TCATATTTTCAAGCCCAAAAATCTACAGTAACCCAATTGATTTCAAGCGCTAAAATTTGATCTACGGTAAGTCTTTGGAAAATTATTCTGAAATACTGTATTTATTTATTTGTAGATCAAACTTCTTTAATTTGGCGCCAAAATTCCCCCAAGTACTGTATTCTTCTTCTTTTTTCCTATCTATCAACTATTTTGCATATTATCTTCTTTTTTTCCCCCAATTTTTTGTTTCTCCGCCGTTTTTTCCGAATTTTTCGAATCAATATTTTTTCATTTTTTCCAAACTTCAGATTCCCTCTCTCGCGCCAAATATTTTCCAACTTCCTCGAACTTGCGGTGCCTAATAACTACTAATAATTATAATCTTCTAATTAATTAATTAATTTTTGAACTGGAAGAATGCTGAAATTTTTGAAACCCAAATCGTCGGATGAGGGAAGTTCGAAAGACAACAAATCATCGGCTTCGCGTAGGTTTTTTGGGGGAGGGTACTGTATTTGGGGTACTGTAGATCAATGTTTTTCTAAGGCTACAGTATTCTAGGGTTACTGTAAGTCTGCAATTTTTATGCCGAAAAATTGTTATCTAGAAATGTTTTCTGCATTGTTTGAGTACTGTATTTTGGGTTACTGTAGAGTTTGTGTGGGATGGTACTGTAGAAAAATATTTTTTTCTCAAAGCTACAGTACTCTAGGGTTACTGTAGACTATACTTATTCACTTAAAAATTTTGCTGTTTCATGATTTATTTAAGTTTTTATCAGAATTTTCAATTCCGATTGGATGTTCTTATGTATTTCTTCAAAAATCTTTTCTACAGTAATCTGGAGTACTGTAGATTTGAAATTTTTGTGTAATCCTACAGTACTCCTGGGGTTACTGTATGTCTGAACTTTTCAAATTTCAAAAATGCAAATTTGAATTCACGCAAATTTTACGATTCAAAGTTTTTAAAAGATTATTTATATGTGGAAAAAATCTTTAGTTATGTTAAGATTACTGTAGGATTACTGTAGATCTGAAATAATAATTTTGAGATCGAATAAAATCGAAATACTTTGGCCCCAAAAATTTACTGTTTCAAAATTTTTTAAAAATTTCGATGTTGGTTTTTTGGAAGTTCAGTCGTTCGATAGGTTTATAAAAATCTACAGTACTCTTAGGATTACTGTAGACTTGAAAATTTTCGCCGAAAATCCTGGGTACTGTACCTAAGGTTACTGTGGGAGTCGAAAAAAAATTTACTGTTTCAAAATGTTTTATCTGGTTTTTTGGAAGTTCCATCACTCAGAATGATTTCAGGATTACTGTAGATCTGAAATTTTCAGAATTAAAAAAAAAAAAAACTATACTGAAATTTCCAGAGACACTTTTAGAATTTCAATTTTTTCAAACCGAATACCCATAGCTTTTCTACTAATTTTATTTTTGTTTTTTTTTCGCTCTCATTTTATTCCCTCTCTTTTCCACTAACTAACTTTCCTTCCTTTTTTCCATCATTTTTTCCTTTTCTTTTTTCCTGCCAACCCTGAAAAAGATACGTTCCAATTTTTGTTTGAAAAAATGAGGAGAAGGGGCGTGGCCTAAAGAAAAGGCGGCGAAAAAAAGCGCCGCATTCGATTATTTTATTCAGAAAAAAAGGAAAAAGTTGTGTTCTTCTAGCAAAATTTATTGGAGTATTTTTATTCATTTTTCTCCTTTGAATTATGCTCTCTTCATCATTTTTTCGCGGCTCATTGAAAGAGCGAAAAAATGAGCAGAATTTAAAGGCGCATCGCAGCAAATATCTTACTGCACAGTATGCAGAGTGGAGTGAGTTTTTAAGCCGTTTTCCAGTTTTTGACATGAAAATTTTGAAACAGTAGATTTTAGTGGAACAAATTTATTAATGAATTATTTTGATGAATTCATTTAAAAAAAAGAGATTTTCCTATCAAAATATTTTGAAACAGTGGATTTATTTTGAAAAATCCACTGTTTCAAAAATTCAAGTTTATCTGCCCAAAAACGCCAAATCAATTTTTTGAACCCCAAAATTTTCATAAGAAATTTTTGAAACAGTAAATGTTTGTGTTTATAATCAGCTCTTTTTGACAGTTACAGTGGTAAATATCAATTTTTCTGTAAACTGGAATTTTTATATGGAAATTTTGAAACAGTTAAGTTTTTTTTAGAAAAATTTAAAAATTATTTTTCTACTACTATCTTCGCGATCACTATCAATACTTTCTGGAACTTGAAATTTTAATTTAAAAAATTTGAAACAGTGGATTTTTTTGAAAAAAAAAGATTTTTATTGTGAACTAAGCAGGTAGAACCCAATATTTTTGAAAACTTCCAGGAATTTTATGAATAAATTTTGAAACAGTGAATTTTTGGGAACATTTTCTAGTTGCATCAGATGAACCATCAATTTTTTTGAACCCTAGAATTTTTAATCTAAAATTTTTGAAACAGTGAATTTTTCCCAGGTTTCAAAAATCCTCCCAAAATCTTTGATCTACCAAAAAAAACCATATTTTCTGCTCCAATGCACTTTTTTCTTCATTATGTTTTTTTGTCCAATAATTTTTCTCTCGAAAAAATCAGCTTGACATTTTCACACGTGTCTTTTTTTTTTCTTCAAAAAAAAATGTTTTTTTTTGTCGGAAGCCCCCGAAAAAATTGGCAAATCATTGAAGCATACGGACACTCTCATTTAATTATGTGCACTTTTTTTGGCGCTAAAATTTTCCTGGGAAGAGGAGTTTTTTTTGCAGAGTGAGAGAGAATTAGGGATTTTTTCTGAAAATTTTTGTTTCTCGGGGGAATCTCTGTGTTTTGAAGAGAGATTTAGAGGAAATCTGAATTTTTATGATGAAAATGCGGGGTCCCCAGGGTATTTTTTGAGAGGGTGATGATGGTGGGCAATTTATGTGTGGCGAGATTTTTGCAACAATTTTTTTGGCGGGGTTTTTTTTTGTTGGATAAATGGGCTATACTGATTTTGAAGATCTCACGGAAGCTTTAGGCATTTTTTGAAACAGTGAATTTTTCGGAGAAAATTTACTGTTTCAAAATTTTTATATGTTTTTTTGTGAGGATTTTCCATGATGAGTCTGCCGGCGAAGGTTTTTCGATTAAATTTTTTTCTGAAAAATTCACTGTTTCAGAAATCTTATATGACTTTACGAGTAAAACTGATTATTTGCTTCCGAATTTTATCTAAACATTGATTTTTTTTTCAGAAAATCTAGTTGTCCTGAATAATTCTGAAGTCAATTCTTATTTTTTTTTCTGAAAAAAATCACTGTTTCAAAAATTCAATATTATTTGAAGATTTTGCAGATTTCTTTATTGAATAAAGAATTCTAGAAATTTCAAAATTGATTTTCACACCAATAAAATTTGGAGTTCAAAATTCTGCCAATACCAAATGAGAGAAAAAATCACTGTTTCAAAATTTTTATATGATTTTTCGAAAATTCTTCGTTGGTAGTAAGTCACTTATCAACTTTCCTAACTTAATTTTCGCGATAAAAAAATCAAGTTTACAAATTTTTTGCCAACTGATTTTCCCTTTAAATAATTTCACTGTTTCAAGTTTTTATCAAAATTTTTGACCATTTTTTGCTCATTAATGCCGAGTCTGTATTACGGTAAATAAAAATTACTGTTTCAAAAATTTAATTTTTTTTTTGAAAATTTCACCAATCTGATTGTTCGTTTGTGTTTGCCGCCAAAATTTTGAAGTTAAAAATTTACAAGTAAATTATCTCACTGTTTCAAATTTTCATTAAAATTTTCGGCGAAATTTCACTGATTGATCCTCTGATTATATTCTCTGAAAAATCACTGTTTCAAAAATTGTATATGATCTTTTGAAAATTTCACCAATCTGATTGTTCGTTTGTGTTGCCGCCAAAATTTTGAACTTCAAAATTCTCACTGTTTCAAATTTTCATGAAATTTTCAGCGATATTTAACTGATTGATTCCATGATTGTGCTTTAAAAAATCACTGTTTCAAAGTTTTTATATTATTTTTTCGAAAATTCTAAGTTGTTGGTGGTACTTTCGTAACTTATTTTTCGCGATAAAAAATTCAAGTTTACAAGTTTGGCGACTGATTTTCCAAGTAAATAATTTCACTGTTTCAAATTTTTATCAAACGTTTTGATCATTTTTTGCTCATTAATAATAGTGAGTCACAATAAATAAAAAATCACTGTTTCAAAATTTTTATATGATTTTTCGAAAATTCTTCAATCTATTGATTGTACGATTAACTTTCCTAACTGAATTTTCGCGATAAAAAATTCAAGTTTACAAATTTGTTGGCAACGATTTTCCCTTTAAATAATTTCACTGTTTCAAGTTTTCATCAAAATTTTTGACCATTTTTCGCTCAGCAATAGTGAGTCACAATAAATAAAAATTCACTGTTTCAAAATTTTATATGAATTTTTGAAAATTTCACCAATCTGATTTATCTATATCTATTCTTGCCGCCAAAATTTTGAATTTCAAAATTTTCAAGTAAATTATCTCACTGTTTCAAATTTTCATGAAAATTTTCGGCGAAATTTAACTGATTGATCCTTTGGTTATATTCTCTAAAAATTCACTGTTTCAAAATGTTTATATGCTTTTTTGAAAATTTCACCAACTTGATCATTTGTCGTGAAACTATAATTTTTTCGGACCAGAAAATTTTGCTGTTTCAAAACTTTTCTTCAAAAAAAATATGATTTTCCTCCAATTTTCAATATTTTCCATCCCATCTGGTTTGTTAGGTACTTTTTTTGCTGTTTCTAACATGAAAATCACCGGTTTCTTCAAAAAAACATATGTTTTTTGAAAGTTTTTTTATTTGATGTGAAAATTTATATCCCCCCTTTGAAAATGAGGGATTTCTGATCTGAAAATGAAAAAAAAAATCACGTGGAGAAAATCGAGAAAAACACCAATTGTTCCAGTTTCCAGTTTTCCCCGCGGGAAAAATTCATTTATTTTTTCTAAAATGATTTCTGTGAAAAATCTTCAAAAATTGGCGGATTTTCGAGCTTTTGCCACAATTTCAATGTCGATTTCGAAATTTCACGATTTTTCATTCGAATTTTTTGAAAATGAGAAAAATTCGAGAAAAAATCAACAAGAAATTTGTGAGGAGATGATAAAAAATGAGGAGAAGAAAGAAAAGAAGCAGCTGTTTGAGAAGAAGAAGAAGAAAATCGAAAAGAATCATTCTTCTTTTTCTTGTTCTCATACCTTTCTAACTTCTCAATCCTCTTCATATATTATGCCTACAAAACTTGATGTTTTTGGCAATTTACAATTCAATTCTTCTACTGATAATGATTCACAAAATCAGCAATCGGCTGAAGATGGAGATGTTACTGCTTGTTTTGTTCTTCCTTCACCTTCTAGCTTTTCTAAATTGACACTTCTTGATGAAATTATGCAAGAAAATGATGATTGTTGTAAGTTTTCAAAAAAAAAAAAAAATTTCGCGGGCACCCGGGCTCGAACCAAAAGGTCCTCACTGCACAGTCTGACGCGCTACCACTGCGCTACGTGCACGCTTTCCTCTCCCACCTCATTTATCATATTTAAAGTCGCTGTATCTATCACGCGCCCTGGTAAACAACATAAAGTTCGCATTCCCCGCAAAAAAAATTAAAATCCTTTGAGATTTCAATCTCTTGGGTCGGCAGATAAACGAGAGTTTCTCGTTTTGGCCAAGCAAAAGAGCACACGAAAAATTGGCCAAAATTATTTCTTTTCTCTGGTTTTTTTTGTTTCGCGAGTCTCGACTCCTTAAGGAAAAGAAAATATATTTATTATATATTTCCAAAACCCTTTTGTTTCTTTGGAAAAACGTTTTGCTGATGAAATGAATATAATATTTTGATGCTACAATTCACGTTTTTCCAAACCGCCATACGTGCTTCACTTCATTTTCAGCTGTGTCAGTTTGGCCCTAGCCCCTAGGAACACAAAAATCAAAAATTAAAAAAAAAATCCTGCGCGCACCGTGGATCGAACCAAAAAGCCTTCACTCTCAAATCTAGCGCACAACCACTGCGCCACGCCACGTTAAAATTTCGCATATGAAAAAACTGTTTTTTTTTGCTGTCACCCAAACAAATTCGTCATGTGTCACTTTTTCTTCTCATTTTTCGTTGCTCTGCAAAAATTAGTTTAAAGTTTATTATATTTTTAGCAGATAATTTTTGAACTTTAAAAAAATGAAACCAGGTTTTCAACCAGATTATTTTTTAATCTTTTTTCTCATTCACATCATTAAAAGTAATATATAATATCTGAAAATCTTGAAAATAAGTTCCTTTTGTCTGAAAATATGTCATTTTGCTCAACAATTCCGTTTTGTACTATTTTGAATTGTTTAAACGGTTTGTGAATGAAAAAATATCTTGATAATGAATTTCAAAATTTTTTAGAATTTATTTGAGGAAATTTTGAAACAGTAGATTTTTCTGAGAACAAAAATTGATGATGTAATTCCAATAGTTTTAGAATTTAGGAAAATTATTTTAGAAAATCTTGTGTATCAATTCATCTGAAGAAAAAATGAATTTCGCGTCATTTTTTGTCGCGAAATTGCAATTCGCGAAACGACACGAAATTAATAAAATAAAAGAGGAAATTCTTTTTTCGTGTGTTGGGTCTCGCAGCGATCACGTGTCCCTTTAATATTTCTCCATTATTTTTGTGTTTATTTTGTGTCGTTTCACGAATTGCAATTTCGCGACAAAAAATGTCGCGAAATTCATTTTTTTTCAAATGAATTGATCCATTGAAACAGTAAACTTTTTCTGAATGAAAATTTTAATTTATGTAAATGAACTTTTGTCAATACCTTTGAAAAATCCTCAAAAATCATTAAAAAAATCTTGAAACAGTAACATTTTTCTGTGATCTGAGAAGCACTAAATTTCTCAAAAGTTTGAAAAAACATCTCATTGGAATCATGATCAATTTTTTCGAACTTCGAAGAATTTTGAAACAGTAATTTTTTTTTTAAAAATGAATATCAAATTTTGAACATCTCAAAAATTCCTTTGAATTTAAATTCATACAAATTTTGAAACAGTCAAATAATTTGCAAAATGTGGAAGTTTAATGATTTTTAACTTTATTTGAAAAGTTTGAGATAATCTTGAAACAGTAAATTTTTTTGAATTTATTTTTTGTTGATTGAAGCTGAACAATCTACTTTGAAAAATATATATTAGAATTTCGAAACAGTGAATTTTTTATTGGAAAACTTGGAAAATTCAGAAAATCTCGATTTCTCAATTCAAAAAAATTCACTGTTTCAAAAATTTTTATTAATTTTTTTGAAAATCATGGGAGTCAGTGGAATTGTTTTCGACTGCATGAAGATGAATATTTTATACTCAAAATTCCAAATTTTTGTGTTCAGAAATTCACTGTTTCAAAAAATTCCCAAAAAACATTGTTCCAGATTCTGAAACTGGATTTTTGAAATTTAATGACATAACTCAAGTTTCAGTAATAGTAATTTACATAAATCCTATCAAAATATATACAATTTTTGGAACAGTGAAATTTTCAGAGTTGGAAAAAAATTACTGTTTCAAAAATTTTGTATTAATTTTTTGTTGGAATCATCAGAATTGGTAGAATGATCGATTTAAAACATTCAAAATTTTGAGCGCCAAAAATAATGGCAAATTTGAATTCTAATTTTTCGCGGGTCCCTCGAAAAAACTTGTACAAATCCATATCCCCTCAACTTTTTTCTCGGAACTTCTTTTTTCCTCTTTTTTCTTCTCGTATTTTTTGACTCACTCACTTTTTCTCCTCAGAAAACAACAATTTGATAATCCGCAAGCAAAAAAAAAGAAGAAGCTCTTCTTTTTTTCTTCCTTCACTCCCTTTCCTTCTATATCCATTTTTGTGCTCCGCGAGCACACAAAAAAAGCTTAGAGCATCAGCAGTCAAGGCGAAAAAGAAGAAGAGGCAGAGCATTTTTTTAGAGCCACAAAAAGGCGTGGCTCAGCTTCTTCTTCTTCTAAAAAAGTAGTAGCTCTCTTCTTCCGCGCAGTCGATATTTTTCTCTAATTCTCTAAACTCTCTCTCTTCTTTTTCTCGACCAAAAAAAGAAGCAGGCTCTGAAAAAAAAATCTTGGGAAAACAAATTGTTTTTTTATTTATTTATTTTTGAATTTGGCGCTAATGAATTTTTAAATGTCGTCGAGTAGCAATAAGAAGGTTCAAGTCAAATTTTGTAGGTTTTTTGGTTTGAAAATTTAATGAAATTTGGGTCCCGGGAAGATTTTTGGGAACCCCTTGGGAAAATTGATTTTCTCAAAAACCTGAAATTAATTTTTGTATTTTTTCAGTCAAAGAATTTCTGGACAAAGCACGCGAGGATTTCAAACAACGATGGGAAAATCCGGCGCAGGTTAGTTCCATTTTTTTTTTTGAAAAAAAATTTTTTGATTAATTTTTGCACCTGGATGTTTTTTTTTGAATGGGTACTGTAGATCAGAACTAAAAATTCACTGTTTCAAAAAATATTGGAAAAATTGTCGATAGAATTTTTTTTAATAAGAAAAAAATTAAAGTTTTCCAAAAAATCTACTGTTTCAAAAAAATTTGAAAAAAAATCACATTTTTGGAATTTTTGATTTTTCTTCTCTATCTGAATCTTGAATTCCACGTGGCAAAATTCTGCTTCAAATTTGGTGACTAAGAAAATTCACTGTTTCAAAAAATTGATATGAAAATTTCCCTTTTGGAATTTTTTTGGTTCCCTTTTGGTTCGAAGCAAATCCACGTGGCTCGATTTTTTGTTGAAAAAAATTTACTGTTTCAAAAAAATCAGTAATTTTGGGAAGAATTTACTGAAGTGTTCGTTCTTGATTTTTTCTCCAATTTATTTTCAACAAAAAATTAACTGTTTCAAAAAAAAATTATTTAAAAAATTCAAATTTTGATTTTTTGATGTTATTCTTGTTGATAAATTTCACTGTTTCAAAATTCTTTCTGGAATTTTTTTTAAAATTCACATTTTTAAAAAATACATTTGTCACGTGGTTTTTTGCTGCAATTTTTCTCTCATTTTTCCCAATTTCTTTCAAAATTTTCATCTTCTTCATCCACCCAGCGCACATCAAAAATGGATGTGAAAAAATACACAAACACACATAAAAATGGCCTTCTCCTCCCCATTTTTTTTTCTACGAAAAAAAGAGCTATTTTTAGCCACTGCCTTTTTTTAGTCGTCGAAAAAAACACTGAAAAAAAGAGGAGAAGAAGAAAAAATATATATAGTAAATTATTTATTTTTTATATGCTAATTTGTGGCTTGTTTTTTCTTCTTCTCGAGATTTTCTTTTCTAGAAAAAAAACTAGAAAAATAGGGATTTTATGGGACAAAAATTCAAAAGAAAAAGTTTTGCGCGCAGTGGGCTTCGAACCCTTGACCCTCGCCACCAAAAACTAGAGCGTTACCACTGCGCCACCCTCACATTTGAAAGCGGAGGGGAAAATTTTGTTTATTATTTTGGTGCCCCGGGTTTTTGACAAGATTCCACGTGGCAATTTTTTGGAGCAAAGCCCCCGTTTTTTGAATTTTTTCCCAGTATTTTTCAGCCCCGCAAAAAATCCCATTATAATTGAAAATTGAAATTTTTTCAGTCTATTTTTAGAATAAAAATGCATGAAATGCAAATTAGTTTTTTTTCGGGGCTGAAAAAAACGACGAGGAAAAAAAGAGGAGGTAATTGAATTTCGGGTGGAGAATCGGACAAAAAATTGTGTTGTTTTTTTGCGGATTGAAAAATGAAAGAGATGAAGAGGATTTGGTTTGAAACAGTGAAAAATATTGGAATTAAAAATTTTTATGTCTTCATGAGATTGTGAATTTAGATTCAAATTTTTAAATATGAAAATTTTGAAACAGTAAAAAATAAGAAATATTGAATTGTCGAAGGTGCAATCAGAACAATTTAACAAAATTTTTATTTCAAATAATTTTTGAAACAGTGAAAATATTACCGGGAAAAATAGGTTTCAAAAATTGACCTAATTTTTCACCTAAAGAATATATTCGATGGTATCTCAATATCTACTTCAAAATCCTGAAATTAAATTTTGAAACAGTGAAAAATTATAAATTGAAAAAAATTTAGTACCAAACACTTGAAATCAATTTTTTTTTAAATAAACATTTTTGAAACAGTGAAAAAATTACATGTTTCATAATTTTTGACATACCTAACCTGAAACAATCGTTCAAGTACAATACTTGTTGAATTCTAAAAAATATTTGAAACAGTGAAAATTTCTCGTTTTAATTTTGCCTCAATTTTTGATGGGTTTTTGAATTTGCCTGACATGAAACAGTGAAAAAAATCACCCGGGAAAAATAGGTTTCAAAAAATTCTTGAAATTTCTAAACTGTAAGAATTTTTAATGCTGCAATGCCTGTATGAGCTTGAAAATCCTGAATTTAAATTTTTGATTTTTATATTATTGGTATCAAAATAATTCAACCGAAAATTTTATTCCAAAACTGCTGAAACAGTGAAAAAATCAACAGTTTCAAAATTTTTAGAATCTGTTAAATTTTGTCAAAAAAATTTTTGAAACAGTGAAACAATCGACCCCGACAAAATACGCTTCAAAAAATTTTCAAATTTTCTAGTGAAAATTATTCCTCAGTGCGGCTATTCCAGTCTACGCTTCTTCTATAAAAAAATATTTGAAACAGTGAAAAATTTCTCATTCCCTCGAGCCCCCCTCAAACTTTTTCCCTCCTCACTTCGTTCTCTCAATCAAACAAATCAATCGATAAAAATACAGTGCAGAGAGAGAGAGTGAGAGAGTGCAGACACATCGAGAAAAGACACGAATAAATACAACAAATAAGTATATCTGTCTCGCTCGGTCTCTCGTCTATTTTTAGAAACAGCTCCGCCCATTTTTGCGCACTATTCTCTCTTTTTCCCTGTGAAGAAATAGAAAAAAAAACTTTTTTTTTCTATCTGAATTTGATACTGAAATGGATCGTAGATATTCGAGTTTCGATCCATTTGATGATGTTTTGCCAAGCACATCATCATCTTCACCCTCCGGCGTTTTTCCATTATCTCGAGGAATATTGGGCGGAGCTCCTCCTATGAGCCCCCCAAAGCCAAACCCGAAAAAAAGAAGATCATCCTCTTCTGCCTCAGCTTCTACCTCAACTTCGAATAATTTCGGATTCAAAACGGATTCTTCACCACCGCCAGCCAATAATTTATTTCTAATCAAAAGTCGCGAGAAAATCCAACATCATGCGCCAATTTTGGAGCCCGTAGATGAACTGCAACAACAACAGAAGAGGAAAGTTGCGCGAAGTGCTTCTGAGGGAAAAGAGGCGAATTATGCGGCCGATTTGTTTTGGTTGAAGACGAATTTGACGGATCATTGGTCGATGAAATGGTTTTGGCAGGTAGATATTTGAGGAATTTTCACTGTTTCAAAATATTATTGAAAATCTTATTAGATAATTATCTCTTTTGGTTATGCAGCATTTCAAAATCTCACTGTTTCAAAATATTTTCAAAAATTTTTGTTTTGCGAAATTTTTCTGATCGTTTTAGTTCTGCTGACGAGAGAATTCACTGTTTCAAAATTTATTTTGAAAATTTTTGAAGGAAATATTCTCATTGCCAAATTTTCAACATCTATAAATCTCACTGTTTCAAAAAATTGTCAAAATACATTTTTCCGAGAGTATTTTGATATTTCACGATTGTACTCTCAAAAAATTTCACTGTTTCAAAATTTATTTTAAAAATTTTTTAGTAGGAAATATTCTCATTGCTAAATTTTCAAGGTTTTTCTAATTTTCAAATTTTACTGTTTCAAAGAATTTTTATAAACAATTTTCCAGAGAATTTTTCTGATCTTTCCTTCTCAAACATTTCTGTTGCACAAAATGGATATATCTAAATTTTTGAATTTCAACTGATAAATTTGCAATTATATTGAACCAAAATTCACTGTTTCAAATTCTGTTTTGAATATTTTTAGAGCGGATTGCTAAATTCTCAACTTCTTCAAATTTTGCTGTTTCAGAAGTATTTTATTCTGAATTTGTGATAATCTGAACTGATAAATTTTCTGCTGCTGTTCGAATGCTAAAAAAAATTTCACTGTTTCAAAATTTTTTTTTTTCAAACATTTTTTTTTGATAATATTTATGACATTCATTTAGTCAGTGTTGAAAAAATGTACTGTTTCGAAATTTATTTCGACTATTTTTCCTATTGACAACATTTTTGAAACAGAAACGCACTGTTTCAAAAGTTTTGTATATTTTTTTTGTTCGGATTCAAAATGTTAAAATTTCGAAACATGCTGAAAATGTTTATAGATACAAAATCATTTTTTCTCTCTAACGAGCAAAAAAAATGATATTTGAGCTACTCCCCCAAAATTAAATTATAACAAAATATTTCTTCACTGTTTCAAAATATATTGATTTCGGGAAGAAAATATGGTACTTTATGCTTATGAATGTCTGAACAAACTTTACTCTATAAAATTTTTTGGAGCTCCAGTGATGAATAAGGTAGGGAAATTACGTGAAAATTTGAAAATTTTTGACGTCAAAAATCCACGTGGCAAGTTTGGAAATTCATTTTTTTGTAAAGAAAAATTCACTGTTTCAAGAAAGTTATAAAATATTTGCAGTTAAATTCCGAATTGATTCTGAGTTCTTACATTTTTCCGCAAATTTTCTGGATAAAATCCTTTTTTTTTTCCCAAAAAATTATTTCAAAATTTGGGAAAAAATTTCATGAAAATTCACTGCTTCAAAAGTTTTCTATTGTAATTTTGAAATTTTTTCCAAGTTTTTGCACCGTTTGAAAAAAATCAGAAAATTTTCACTGTTTCAAAAATTTTATATAAATTTTGTAGAAAAAATTGTTCAATGTTATACGAATTCCATTCTTTTTCTATAAAATTTATCTTAAAAATTCCACTGTTTCAAAAACTTCCTCGTGTTTTTCATCTAAATCTCTAATTCTCTCTATCTCTATCAAAAAATTTTCCGCGTATTTTCCCCAATCAACACAAAAATGTCTATTTATAGAAGACCGTGCGCGCGATCAAAAAAAGAATTGAAAAAACACACTTTTTTTAACACAACAAGTTAGTTAGTTACCCAACAAAAAAGAGAGAAAAAAAAACATTTCCGGTCGAAAAATCGATAATTTTTATGGTGTTTCTGTGTCTAAAAATAGACATTTTCCTATATAATCCCTGGAAAATCCTATTATTTTCTGGTTTTTTTCAAATTCATTTGGTCTGGTCTGGAATTTGGATTTGGATTAGGATTATCAAGATGTAGATCAAAAGCATTTGTGTTAGAGATAGAGATGATGAAAAATTGAGAGACGCAGAGAAAAAGAGACAACTTTTTGAGATTTTCTCTGCGTCTCTCACTTTTCCTGTAGTCACAGTATCTCTAACTGTCTCGGCTCTCTCGATACTCTCTGTGTACCTCTACGTCTCTAGCCTTCTGAAGTTTCTCTAGCTGTCTCGCCTCTCTCATCTTCTCACAACACTTTCTTGTTTTCTCTGCGTAATTTTCTCTACCACTCTAACTCTGTCTGTTTAACTCTCTGCGTCTCTCGCTCTCTCCTATTTTCCTACACTATTTACAATTTACATTTACAAGTATTTTCTAGCACTCTAACCCTCTGCGTCTCTAACCCCTCTTTTCCTCTTCATCTCTAACCTCCCAATATGTCTAATACTCTCTAACTCTCTGCGTCTCTAACCTTCTAAAGTTTCTCGAGCTGTCTCGTCTCTCTCATCTTCTCACAACACTTTCTAGTTTTCTCTAACCCTCTGCGTCTCTACCCACTCCCTGTTTCTCTAGCTGTCTCGTCTCTCGCTCTCTCCTATCTTCCTACACTATTTAGTATTTTCTAGCACTCTAACCCTCTGCGTCTCTAGCCATCTGATGTTTCTCTAACCCTCTGCGTCTCTAACCACCCCCCCCCCTGTTTCTCTACCTCAGCTTTATAAGTAGTATATTTATATCATTTTTCCTTCTGCTTTTTCTTCTCAAATTTGCGTCCTAATCCAATTTCCTGTGAGAGAATTTCCTCGAATAATCAGAATCATCATTTCCATTTTTTTCTCTTTCTGTTGCCCTAGTGATAAGCCCTCAAACCCTTTCATTATTTTTTCTCTCTCGAATAATCTGCCGAGCTCACTTTTTTTTTTGCTATATTTTCTACATACACATATTCTCATTTGATTTTGATCTGAAATGGATGAAGAATCGTCGTCCTCGAGTTCATCTAACTCCTCAACTTCTTCGTATACCGGTGAAGAAGAGGAAGAGGATTCGAGAAGTAGTTTCACAATTTCGTCGATTAATTCGTGTAATTCGAGCTGTGATAGAGAAGAAGAAGAGGCGGAAAGACGCGGAAATGCGGAAGAGGAAGAGGGATTTCCGCTAACTAGCCAATCACTTACACCTCAACCGAATGTGGGTTGAAATTATTGAAAATAACTGATTTTTTTTCAAATAATTTTTCACTGTTTCAAAAATATTTGATAATTTTTGAATTTTTTTTTTTGAAACTTGATATCTTGCTACAAAATTCCAATACATCGAATCCAAAAAAATCAAAAATTTAGTTGAAATATTTTTCACTGTTTCAGAAAAAATATATTTTTTCTGAGGTTTCTATGAAAAATTTGCTTATCTCTTCGAGAAGAATTCACTGTTTCAAAAAAATATATCGATTTTCTGAGATTTCTGAAATTTTGCTCATTTTATGCATGTATAGCCACGTGGATTTCGAAATCTTAAAAATATTTTTCACTGTTTCAAAAATTTCTCAAATTTTCTGAGGTTTTTGTGAAAATTGATCCGTTCTTTTCACCCATGCAGAAAAAATTCACTGTTTCAAAAATTTTTATAAATTTTTCTCGGGATTTTGAAAATGATCCAAAGACAAAAAATCCTCGTATCTACAGTACCCATTCAAAAAAAAGTCGCTAATTGTGGGAAAATCACTATACGAAAAGAGAGAGCCCCAATTATAATTTTCAGTCAGTCTCAAAAAAAAAAATGAATTTTGTTCAGAACACGGCATGTTTGGACGATTTCGATCGAATAAAAACATTGGGAACCGGCTCATTTGGACGTGTCATGTTGGTCAAACACAAGTCAACCGGCAATTTTTATGCGATGAAAATTCTTGATAAGCAAAAAGGTGAGCGTTTTTCAGCAACAATCTGAAATATGTTTCAGTGACTGAAAAGTGAGAGGCTAGAAAAATTGAATAGAAGTTTTGAAACAGTGAATTTTTCAATTCACTGTTTCAGAAAAATTAGATTAATTTCAAAATTTTTATTTTTTCATTGCTTGATAAAAAATTTTGCTGACGTGAGCTTGAATATTATAATTACCGAAACGAGCTAATTTTGAAAAATAAATAAATTTTTGAAACAGTAAATTTTTCCAGTCACATAAAATTCACTGTTTCAAAAATTATTCATTTTTTTTAGATAATGCTGCACACATAATATGTAGAGGACTGGGTTTGAAGGAAAAAAAATTTTTGAAACAGTGAAAAAATGTTCACTCTTCAAAAATTTTGAAATAAATTTCAATTCGTAAAATTCACAGAGCAACAATTTTGAGGGCTAACTAATTTTCTAAAATTTTTGAAACAGTGAATTTTTTCTCATAAAAAAATTGGCTACAAAATCCACTTTTGAAATTATTTTTCAAGATGAAAAATATTCACTGTTTCAAAAAATATTTATTTAAAAAATAATTACTTCTGAGGTAATAAAAAGTGGTAAAACAAAAAATAATTCAAAAAATTCTGAAACAGCGAAAAAATCCCAAATTTAATTGTAGGTCGTAAAACTCAAAAAAAGTTTTTTCAAGAAATTTTGAGACAGTGAATTTTCAAACTCAAAAAAAAATCACTGTTTCAAAAAATATTTATTTACAAATTTTTAACATCAGAATATTGATTCTAGAATTAAAGAGGAGTGCGAAATAAAATGAGCCTAACTTATTTTTAATTCCAAATTTTATTAATTTCAGGTGGTAAAACTGAAGCAAGTGGAGCACACATTAAACGAAAAACGCATTCTTCAAGCCATCGATTTTCCATTCTTGGTAAATATGACATATTCATTCAAAGACAACTCGAATTTATATATGGTTTTGGAGTTCATCTCAGGCGGTGAAATGTTTTCGCATTTGCGTCGAATCGGTCGCTTCTCTGAGCCACATTCGCGTTTTTATGCCGCACAAATTGTTTTAGCTTTCGAATATTTGCATTCGTTGGATTTGATTTATCGAGATTTGAAGCCCGAGAATCTTTTGATTGATTCAACTGGTTATTTGAAGGTGAGTCACAAAATCACATTTTTGCTGATGTTTATTTATTTGCAAATCTGTTTTTTTTGTTGCCTAATCCATCAATTAGTTAATAGGATTATTTCTTGTCAACATTAAAATTGAGTTTTCGTATTAAATGCTAGATTGTAGCTTTTCTCGTATTTTTAAGTTAAAATTTTTCAAAACAAGAAAAAATAGGTTCAAGGCGCACACCATTTTTCGCAAAGGTCTCACCGCGAACAAGCTCGTGTAGTTCTCCCGGACAAATTTTGAAGGTTTTCAGCCTGTAAGGTTGATATTAAGCTTCACAAGGCCCGTAGAAGTGCACACTAGTGTGTAAATATGTTGGGTCTCACCACGAAGTAGGATTTTGTGTAGTTCTCTTGGAGAACAACTCATTTTCAGGCGGGAAACTTGAATTTTTGTGAAAATGATAGATTTTTTCATTTCTAGGCTTAAAAATCATCGATTCTTGCCAATTTCACATCAAAATTTCCCCAATTCCATTTTTCCAGATCACCGATTTCGGTTTCGCAAAACGTGTAAAAGGCCGAACGTGGACATTGTGCGGAACACCCGAATATTTGGCACCCGAAATCATTCTCTCAAAAGGCTACAATAAAGCGGTCGATTGGTGGGCATTGGGTGTATTGATTTATGAAATGGCCGCCGGTTATCCACCATTTTTCGCCGATCAACCAATTCAAATTTATGAGAAGATTGTGTCCGGAAAAGTGGGTTTTTAAAGGCGCATGCTAAATCTCTGTTAGGTCTCACAGCGACCGCAGTTTTGTGTAGTTCTCTCGGACAAATCATTTATGCAGATTTCTAAGAATTTCATGCGAAAAAATATTGTAAATTTAAAGCAACACCCTCGTATAATAGGCACTTTCTTGAAAAAAGCCCAAATGTTCTCAAATCTTAGATTTAGCTTAGTTTTACTGTTTTCTAGTTCGAAGAAAAAATTCAAAACGTTTCGATAAGTAGTCGCCGAAATATGGAAGCCCATTGAAAAACTGAAAAAACTCAAATTCAAACAACGCGGGCTAGCGTCAACGCGGAGTCTCGTTGTTTTCTTTTTTATTTTTTTGCAAATTTTTTTCCATTTTTTCGGAAAATGACAATTTGCATGGAAAAAACTGTTTTCTGGGTATGAAAAAAATAAACTGAAGAGGTATGAGCACTAAGATTCAATATTTCAGACGAAAACTGATTTTTTCAATGGAAATTGTGTTTTTTTAGTTTTTGACCGGAAAATGCAATATAAAACGGAAATATCATTGTCAAAAATGAAAGTAGAGATAGTTAAGGATGTTCAGAAATCATTGTTATAATTTATTTCATTGTTTTCGGTGAAACAATTCACTTTTTCTTGAAAAAAAGTTGAAAGGGGTACTGTAGCACACAATTGTCGTCACAGTGTTTGCACAAATTTCATGAAATTGCGGATCTGCACAATCTGCAGGCGATTTTCAAAAAAAAATAATTTTTTCTCTCAAAAGTGGTCAAACTTGATCGTTTTTAAGTATTTCTTTTTCATATTGCTTGTGAGCATAGCTGGATAGGTTAATTTTATATATTTTCGTGTCTGAAAGCATTTCGCAATGGCCTTATTATACGAGGGTGTTGCTTTAAAGGCGCAAGCTTGTAGATAAAGCGTAGGTCTCATCACGACCAATGTTCCGTGTAGTTCTCTTGGAGAACATGAATTTTCCCCCGAAAATCACAAATTTTCGACATTTTAATGTGAAAAAACTCTTAAAGGCGCATGCTAAATCAAGCTTGGGTCCCACCACGATTCGCTGTTTGTGTAGTTCTTTTGGAGGAAATGAATTTCCCCCCGAAAATTACAAATTTTCGACATTTTCATGTGAAAAAACACTTAAAGGCGCAAGCTAAATCAAGCTTAGGTCTCATCACGACCAATGTTTCGTGTAGTTCTCTTGGAGAAAATGAATTCCCCTCCCCCCCCAAAATGCAATAAAATCATTTGTTTTGCAGGTCAAATTCCCATCTCATTTCTCAAATGAGCTCAAAGATTTGCTGAAAAACTTGCTGCAAGTCGATTTGACGAAACGATTCGGAAACTTGAAAAATGGCGTGGCCGACATCAAAAATCACAAATGGTTCGGATCGACGGATTGGATTGCGATCTATCAGAGAAAAGTGAGTTTTTTTTCGGGGAAAGAGGCGGGAATTTTCGAGGAGTAAGCATGGTTTGATTTGATTTTGCATGACACGTTGTGATTTTTGGTTTTTTCTTTTGGAAGTTTGCCTTTTGGTGGCTTTTTTTGGGTGTCGTTTTGTGAAGGATTTTTTTACACTTCATTTTGATAAAAAAAATGAACTACAAAGTTTTTGGAGAATTTTTGAAACAGTGATTTTTTGTGGAAAAACATTCACAAAAATTCACTGTTTCAAAAATTTATTATTAATTTTCCCAAGCATAAATCTTTAGTGAACGTCTTGGACGATCTCAATATCTCTAAATTTTCAAAAATTAAATAATTCATCTAATTTTCCCTATAAAGTTTAGAATTAATTTTTGAGAATCAATTTTGGACACCGTTAGTTATCAAAATTTTCAAAATCTTCCCAGAATTTATAGGATTTTTGAAACAGTGAGATTTTTTTGAAAATTTTTGGAACTTAAAATTGTGAGAAAATTCACTGTTTCAAAAATATTATAATTTTTCAACCTTTAATTGACAATGATTATTTTTTAAATCTATCACAAAATCCATAAAAAATTGAATTTCCAAAAAAATTCACTGTTTCAAAAATTTCTTATAATTTTTTGTCTGATCTAAAATTTTCAATAGCAATTTTCGCGATGATTGAAATTTTAATGAAAGCTCAAAATTCCAGAAAATGTACTGTTTCAAAAGAATTACCGATAGTAAAAAATGATTTCAACTTAATGGGTTTGAAAAAGATACTCTAGAAAAATTCACTGTTTCAAAAATTTCTCAAATTTTTGGAGAAAAACTTTTTCCAACAGTCCATATATCTTATAAATTCTGAAAAATCTCGAATCGACACCCAAAACTACAGCCATCAAAAAACTTTAAATTTACAGTAGATTTCTATATTTATAATTTCTCTATAATTTTCTATCCAAAAAACCTTCTTATTTTCCTTGCTTTCAAACAGATAACACCAGCCTCATTTTCACGAGGCGATTCAACTGGTCGATTATTCGAAGCACTTTATCCACGTGTCGAAGGACCAGCAGATACACGTCATTTTGTTGAAGAAGTCACTGAACCTACGGAATTTATTATTTCTGATATATCACATCATGCTGATTTATTTGCCGATTTTTGAGTGAAGAAAAGCATGTATTTTATTGTTGTTATGATTTTTTGAAGTGATTGTGGTTTGTTTTTTTTCTATCCTTTTCTTCTTTTACTTAATAGTTTCTCCTTATTTAACTGCACCGCATTTTTTCGGTTTTTAGAGAATTTTTGGGACCAAAATTTGGGAAAAAAATTTGAAAATTCAAAAATATTTGGCTCGCAAATTCTGAAATTTTAGGTTAAATTTCAGCTGTGATTAATCAATTTTCATAATTTTTGGACAAAAATTCATAAAATTTTTGAAACAGTGAAATTGTTTTTGAGAAAAAATTAAAATTTCTGGAAATTTTCAGTTCCAAAATTTCTTAAATTTCAAGTTCAATTTAACATATGAGACAATTTTATCAATTTTCACAATTTTCGACGAAAATTCACGAAAATCTTGAAACAGTGAGATTTTTTAAAGAAAAAAAGAATAATTTTTGCATTTAAAAACTCTGGAGCTCGAAAATTCTGAACATTTTGAGCTTCAAAATTTCTTAAATTTCAAGTTAAATAGAAACATGTTATCAATTTTCACAATTTTCGACGAAAATTCATCAAATTTTTGAAACAGTGAAATTTTTTTGTTTCTAAAAATTCAGAATTTTCATTCAAAAATCAGTAGAATAAAAATTGATCTCAAAATTTTTGCTCGAAAATTATTTTCGGATTCTAAAAAAAATTTTCCTGGTCTTAAAACTTAAGGATCCCTAATTTTTAACCTAAAAATTCTGAAGCTTGAAAATTTTGAAATTTTATGGCTGTTATATCAAATTTGTAATCAAGTTTTCATAATTTTTGGAGAAAAATTCATCAATTTTTTGAAACAGCGAGATTTTTTTATTGAAAAATTTTCCCGAAAATATTTTTTATATCACAAATTTCAATGTTAAAAGGTTTCCCCACCCTAAAAATATCACTTTAAGGCCCAAAAAATGCCCCCAAAAGCCCCAAATTATCTTCAAAATTTGCAGATCGAAGCGCCATTCCTTCCAAAATGCCGTGGACCCGGTGATGCCTCAAATTTCGACGATTACGAAGAAGAACCGCTACGTATTTCGGGAACTGAAAAATGTGCAAAAGAATTTGCCGAATTCTAAAATTCCCCCCTATTTTTCCTTATATTTTCCCTTTCCCTACTATATTTTTTTCTAGTTTCATAGATTGATTTTCCCATTTTCATTTTCTTCCGGTGAGATTCCTGCTTTATCTTTTTAATTTTAATTTCAAATTTTTTCAAAATTCTAATTTAATTAATTAATTATTTTCCCCCATTTCTTGCCCAATTTTTCTCCATTTTTTCATATTTCTTTCACCCCCCAAATAGTCAAAGATTTTTCACGATTTTTCCCAGATTTCTAGTCTTTTTTCTTCACTTTTTGGCACTTTTCCAGAATTTAGAAAACCCTTTTCAAAAATTAACACAAAAAACTCGCCATATTTTCAAGAATTAATTAATTAGTAGATAATTAGATTTGTTTATTGTAAGAAGAAATATCTCAAATGTCGAGTATTGCCAATTTTCCCCCCGTTTAATTTCAATTTTTTCATATTCCCCCTATATTTTTCATTTTCAAAATTTTCCCCTTTTTGTACACTTTTTGTCACCTGAATAGCTTTAAATACTATACTAACAATGTTGATAAATATATTTGAAATCAATAGATATTTATTGGAATTTGACACACATTCTTTTAGGAAAATTTGAAACAGTGGAATTTTTTTTTTCAAAAATTATTTTTGAAGTTTTTTTTCGGAATTTCATGCAACGAACTAAGATTTTCAAATTTCTAGAAATTATAGAGAAATTTGAAACAGTGGATTTTTTTTTGAAAAAAAATTGTGCCAAAAATTGTTTAATTTTTCAAATTTGCCACGTGGTTTTTTTTCGCGAAAATTAATAAAAATTGATTTTCAGAACTATTTTTTCAGAATTTGATTCAAAGTGCTACTGAAAATTTTTTTTTTAATTTCTAAAAATTAAAAAAAAATTTGAAACAGTGAAAAAATTTAGCTACAGCAAAATGCTATATTTTTTTTTTTCAAAAATTCACTGTTTCAAATTTTTCACAAAATGTTTGTTTGATATTTTGATTGCTCATTGTTTCCTGTTACGTAAAAATTCACTTTTTCAAATTTTGTTAAAAAAACTTCATAGGAATTTTCCTCAAAAAATTACTGTTTCAAAATAAATTTGAAAAAAATTAGATTTTTGGAATGCCTATTAAAATCTTTAAAATCATTGAGATTCGAAAAAAATTATTTTTAAAAATCTACTGTTTCATAAAATTGAGAACTTTGGAATTTTTTTGATTTTCCTGATTATCATCAGACTTCTCTTTTTAATAGAAATTCAACTTTTTGAGCGCTTTTTTTCTTAAATTTTTTCACTAAAATTGAAACTGTCTCATTTTGAACTAGATCGCATATCAATTTTTGTTTGAAAAAAATAAATTTGGAAATATCCTGAAACAGTGAAAAAAATTACGAGCCTTTTTCAAAACGAAAATTTATCATCATTATTAAAATACAAAAAGAAAAATACTATTCACAAGCAATACAAAAAATAAGCGATAAAACTCCAAAAATAATAAATACAAGTAGAACTATCAGTCGATTTGGACAATCTCATGAACATCATCAAAAAATCGATTTTTGCTGATATCCGCAAACTTCGGTCGATCTTCTGGGTCCATTTCCAAACAATCGAGAATGAGATCGAATAATTGACAACCAATGAAATCGTTGATTCGAACATTTGTCTGAAAAAAAATGGATTTTCGGGGAGAATTCGGAGCAATTTTGGATAAAACTTACAAAAATCGTTTCGATGTCCTTGAGCGGCGTTGGATTGAATTTATGAAAACTGATTCCCGTTTCGGATAATTCCACCTTATTGCTGCTGAAAAACGGGTTTTATAACAAAATTTGGTAAAAATATCAGAATTATAGCTAAAAAATTGAAAATTACTCGTAAATAATTAATTTTTGACAATATATACGCGAAAATCAACTAAACTCTTGGAATTCATTAGAGAAAAATTAAAATCATGGGAAAATTAGAGTTCAAAAGCACATTTTCATGTCCCAAAACCCCTCGCAAATCCTTACTCAGAATCGAAAGCCCTTTCATACATATAATAAGGAATTGCTCTTCGAAGAACCGTCTGCATAACATCCAATTGCGATTCTTCCGAATTCTTTCTCTCATCGCCGAAAAACAATAATTGACCAGTGTACAATTCAGACAACAAACATCCAAATGACCAAACATCTGATTTCTCGTTGAATCCTAATCCAAGAAAAACTTCAGGTTCTCTATAGTTTTGTGTTTGAACTTCGAAATTCACCTTCGATTCTCTTTTATCGATTCGTCTTGCTGTTCCGAAATCGATTAGGCGAATTTGTGTGTTTTCCATTTGAATAATTGGTTGTTGGTCTTGAATTCGTCGAGATTTCACTGAATTATCGATTTTTACAAAGCAAATATTCTCGGGCTTCAAATCCAGGTGCAATATTTTCAAAGATTCCAGATATTCCATCGCCGAGCAGACTTGATAGCCAATTTGGATTATGTCACTGTCTGAAATAAAAATGTATCGATTTTTGGTTTTTAATTGTTAAAAAGAATGATTTTTCGAAATCGGCTGAAATTTTGATTAAAAAATTTAAAGAATTGGAACCTTTGATCTAGTGCATAGATCTTGAAATTCCCGCGAAAATCTGATTTTTGATGAATAAAACGTGAATTTTTAAAAAGAAAACAACGATACTCCGCGTTTACGGGATCACTCACGATTTTACTTATCAAAATTCAACATTTCAAGGAAAAAACATAACATGAGCAATTATTGATGGAATTTCAATGATTTTCTCATCGATATCAACATTTTCAGCTAATTTCAATTTCCCAAAAGCTAAAATCCTCACTTTCAAAACAGGCTGGATGTTCCGAATCCAAAACTTGAAAAATCGATGGTCCGAGCAAATCCATAATAATATATCGATCGCATAACACGTTTGTCGATTTTTCATTTTTCAAATCGCCGAATTCATGCATTTTCACGATATTTCTGAAAAATAAATATTTTGAAACTGAATTTGAGGGAAAAATTACTTTGATTTTGCTTTCTTGGCCACAAGTTCCATCATATCGGTTTCAACTTGATGCAGCTCTTTTTCGATGTTTCGGTGGATTTTCATTGCGAGCGGTTGATTCTGGAAAGAAACATTTGATGGTTTTGAATGAAAATAGAAGAGAAACGTGGATTTTGAATAGAATTATGAGATTTCCGCAACGAAATTTGTGGATTCTGGTATCAGAAGGATCAGAATAAGATTGCACATCTTTTGAATATAGATTTGATGCGAAAAAGGTTGAATTTCGGGGAGAAAACAGGCTTCCCCAAAAAAAAACAAGCTTTTAGGTGAAAATCTGGTTTTCTAATTGAAATCTTAAATTTTCCACATCCAATTTATATTCAAAAGATGCGCCATCTTCTGCTGATTCTTTTGAAACCAAATACTTTTCTGGAATTCAGGCAACAAGCTGAAATTTCGCGAAACCCTAGTTGAACAGGGTGTTTCAAAGAAAATCAAGTGTTTTTCTTTGAAATTCGGAATTTTTCTCATCGAATTTATATTCAAAAGATGCATCAGCTTCTGCTGATTTTTCAAAACAGATTCTTCTCTTAAATATCGCCAAATAGCTGAACTTTCTGCGAAAAACAGATTTCCAGGTGAAAATATCGATTATCTCTTCAGAATCCAATTTCCATGAAAACTTACATCTCCACTCTGCACCTCAAATATCTGCCCAAACGCTCCAGCACCCAAAAATCCCATGATTTTATCTGAAAGTAGTTCATATTTCAGCTGAAACTTTGAATCTCAAAACTCACATTGATTTCCATTTTCAGTCGTCACAGTTTCGCCAACCAATTCAGCCATTCACACGTTTTTACACGAGGAAAACGAGCTGGAATTTTGTGCGAGAAATGAAAAGATGAAATAAAGGAGCGCAGCGCGCAACACAACAACGGGTCTCGCAGCTAAGAGTGTGGCGGCGGTTTGAAATTTTTTTTTAGAGAAAAAATTCCTAGGTTTTTCTTGAAAAAAACTCACTTTTCTCTTCGAAAAAAATCCGAAATGATTTGTTTTTTAAATATTTTTTGAAAATTAAAATTGTCTACTTACGTGGCAATTTCAGAGGTCACGCTTAAAATTTTGAATTGTATTTATTTTTGGTGCAACCCAGGATTTTAGAATTTCGTTTTCACAATCAGATTCTTGGTTTTTAAGCGTTCTTGAAATGTGACTGAAAAAATGTTCCAATGTTAAATTATTTATTAAAATTGAATATGACATTTAATTTATCGATGGTTTTCCACAAATAGCCGAATTTCCGTATTCGTATTCATAAAACTTCTCAATATCTGAAAATGATAAGCTACTCAATTAATATATCGCCTTACAATTAGTTAAAACCCACTATTTGATGGAAAAATTAGCAAATCAGTCCATGGTGTATAATATCCCTCTGTCTTGCTGCCAAGTGGTACTTCCTCAAATATAAATTGATCAGATTTTTCAGCTGCGAAACCATCATTCCATATAAATTGAAAATTGGCTTTTTGACTCCCACAGTTATCATTTTTCTTACAATCACCGTCTTCATTCAGTTCACACTCTGTTTTCCTACAACCCGGCCGCAATTCTGCACCAAGCCATGTGAACAACGACTCACGAACATTCGTTTCATTTCTCATATTCAAAATCACTTTTTTCATTGACAAATCATCGATTGAAGATAAAACAGCTCCGAAACTCTTACAAATCTCTTTAGCTGTTGTTGTGTTCAAAGAGTGAAACTCAAGTGTTTCTGTCATAATGAGTTTCATACACCAGCCAGTTTTTTCTCTTTTATAATAAGTCCATCCAGATTCACATTTCTCGTCTGCTCGAATTGCACATGATTCCGCATACGATGCAAATTGAAGGAGAAGCAAGATTGTCAAGAATTTTTGAATCATTTCTGATTTGATTTTTTGTTTTTGCAACTTTTATACAAATATTTTTATGGTATTTTTTTCAATTAAAGTATTTACATTGTGCAATTTCGTTTTATGAACGATAAAATGCCGTGAATTCCATTCCATAATTGTTTTTGTTGGTTTTTACGGTCAAAGAATCATTTTTCTAGATTTGACCTCAAACTTCTGGTAGATCAAAAATATTTTTCTCTAAATCTCTCAGTTTTGCGTTTTATTTCGTCGATTGTTTTTTGGATTTCGGGAATATTTGAGTCACATCACCCAGAATTTCAAAAAAAAATTGATTTTTCCTGGAAATTACCTACAATCGCCGGATAGCTTCAACTTCAACTTTAAAATTTTTGAAACAGTGAAATATTTTTTCTGACATAAAAAGTTTGTTAATAATAATTTCTGCTTACAATTTTCCAGTTTCTGAAATGTTTGAAACAGTGAATTTTTTAAAATCAATAACATTCGAAATCTTCTGTTTATTTTTGAAACAGTGGAATTATTTGTGTTCGCAGTAAAAAAGGATAGAATTTTACAGTTTTGAAATTTATAAAGATTTCTGAAACAGTGAACTTTTTTCTGTTATCTATTAAAGGGTTGGTCCTGCTACAGGAAAACTTAGGCTCAATCGATAGAGCTAAGGTGCTCCTGAAACATTCCATATTTTATTTTGATTTTAGAACGAGTTTTCACCATTTTATTCATGTTTTTGTTGGGTTTTAAGGTTTTAGTGCATATAAAAAACATGTGTGCTCTTCACACACATAATTTATTTGTGTGTACTTCTCGCGAAATGCATTTCCTAACATTTTTCAACTATGGAAAGTGATTTTAATCAACTTTAGGCTTGCTTATAGTTAGTTTTAAAAAGTGACGCACTATTGCGGACTTGTTTTTTCGTGTAGCAGGACCAACCCTTTAATATTTCCCTTCATTTTTCTTTCATTTATCCGATTTCTGAAACAGTGAATTTTCTTGTAGATCGTATTAAAAAAAATAAAGAAATAAAGAAATGAGAAAAGTTTTTCTAATATTGAAAAATTCGATGAGTTTATGATAGTAAAATAGTACAAAAAAAAATAATAATAAAAATTGAGATTCCGTGTGTGAAAAAAACCGTTTACAATAAAAAAAACCCCCTAAATATCACCCTAAAAATTAAGGTAACTTTAAGGCTTTACTTAGCGCGTTTCTTCGGTGGCGCACCCCCCTTTTTCGCCGATTTCTTCGCATCTTCGATCGCTTTTCGCTTCGCCGCCGTAACACATTTGACATTGTTGGAAACCGTGAAGAACGAGTCGATTCTTCCTTGTGTTCCAGCTTTTTTGCTTTTTTGCATTCGTTGAAGCGAGGCACGAATTCGATCTTCGCTGAAATTCTTTTCAGCGCACATGAATTGAACGATTCCTTCGACGTCTGGATCTTTCCAAGTTAGCTCAACTTCTTCGCCTTTTGTCACTTCTGGATGTTTGAACAATTCGCGTGCTCTTTTGTATGGCCAATCGGCTGGCGGTGGGTATTTCTGGAAAATTAGGAATGTTGAATTGGATTGAGCTATGACGTGGCAATTTTGAAATTGAAACTTTTTCGAATGAAATTCTATGGAATGATCCACTACTCTGAAAAAACATCCAAAAAATATACGAAAATTTTGAAACAGTAAAGTTTTTTTGTTGGAAAATTTTTTGAGTGTTTTTTGATACTTCAAAAAAAATATTCCAAAATTTCACTGTTTCAAAAATTTCTAATAAAAAATTTGATTCGATTTGATATTATTTCGAAAATTTGATTAAAAATATACAATTTTCAATTTTATATGAGATGCCTGAATCAGTAAAAATAAATTTAAAAAAATTTATATAGGAAAATTCTGAAACAGTGAATTTTTTGCTCGTGGATTTTCAAAGCCAAAATTTCCGAAATTTGATCTTTCCACGTGGATTTTTTCGCTTCAAAATTCATGAATTTTCAAATTGAAAAAATAAAACTCACATTTTGATCAATATTCTCCAAAATCGTCTCAATATCTTTGTGTTGTTTGATCAATTCGACAGCTCTTTTGGGTCCAACTCCCCGAATTGTTCCACAATAATCGCAGCCAAGCAAAATGCACAAATCAATAAATTGATCTTCAGTTATATCCATTTCTTCGTAGAGTCGAGCAAGAATGATTTCCTGAAAGCAAAAATTTGATTTAAAAATGGAGAGGAAATGTGTTTTATAACATTTTTGAACGAAAAATATTTTTACTGTTTCAGGAGAGAAACATAATTTCTGTCAGATGAGTTGAATTTTGCTTGAAAAAAGTCCTCTTCAGTCTAATAAATATTTTCAGGAATCAAAATTCTCCATTTCTTTTTCTCAAAAAAATTCACTGTTTCAAAAATATTTTAAATCATTAATTTGGAGTTTAAAATTTTGATGATAAGGTTCATGGTTCAAAAAAAGCTTTTAATTAGAATTTTTGATAAAATTCAGTGTGAAAAGCTGAAGTTTTTCAAAAAATTTTGTAGTAAAAAATTATGCTGTTTCAAAATTTCATAATTTGAAAAGTTGGTAATTTTTAGATAATGCAACTCAACCCTTTCAAAAATACTCATAATTTGATTTTTTTGCAGCACATTGAATATTCTAAAAAGAAAATTAGTTGAGAATTTTCGTTCATGAAATTCTTGAAACAGTGAATTTTTTGAGAAGAAATTCCTGTTGTTACCATAATTAAATTTAACACGATCAGAATTTAAACTTTAAGAAGTTTTGAAACAGTACAATTTTTAGAATAGAAATTTTAAAAAAAACATTTTACAAATACAAAAACTCAAAACGTTTTGTAGAAAATAGAAATTAATTTTCTAAAAATCTTACTGTTTCAAAACTTTCATATTTATTTTTTCTGTTGAATTTTTTTGATTTTGAGCTTCTTAAAGGTGGACTGCGAGCAAATATGAAGTTTCCCTTTATTTCTAGCAGCTCCTATCCTCAAAAAATGAGCGTTTATGCAAAAAATTAGAAAAAAGTAGCATCGCAGCGAGAAAACACACAGAAACCGTCATGAGGGTACGAGGAAGTGGTGAGGCAAACGCGCTCTAGCGAACAAGCGGCACGTTTGAATTTTCTGTGTGTCTTTCTCGTTTTTTTCAGCGTTCAACCTTTTCAAGCAAAATATAAGGAGAAAAATGAATTTTGAGCATAATAACTTCACACAAAAAGAAAAAGGAGAAGATTCTCTACCTAATCAGCGATTAGAAATCGTGAAATAAGAAATTTTGAGCTTTTTTCTCCCAGTTCAAAATTAACGTGAGCAATATTTTGAAAACACTACATAAAATATATCAATTTGTTCCTTTCTCACTCAGGAATATCAATAATCATGAAAAAATTCTTGAAAAATAAAAATTTCACGGTTTTGGGTTGAAAAACGTAAAACAATGAAAATTCACACACTCTCGACAAACACACAAATTGACGCGCAATTGCAGACGATTTTTGTGTGCTTTGGCGCTGTCCACCTTTAACTCAGCAAAAATTAAATTTTTTCCCGAGAACTTCACTGTTTCAAAAACATTATGAATCAGAATTTTAGCAAATTATTTTCGCTTTGAAAATTGAAATAATTAAAGGTGGACAGCGCCAAAGCACACAAAAATCGTCTGCAATTGCGCGTCAATTTGTGTGTTTGTCGAGAGTGTGTGAATTTTCATTGTTTTACGTTTTTCAACCCAAAACCGTGAAATTTTTATTTTTCAAGAATTTTTTCATGATTATTGATATTCCTGAGTGAGAAAGGAACAAATTGATATATTTTATGTAGTGTTTTCAAAATATTGCTCACGTTAATTTTGAACTGGGAGAAAAAAGCTCAAAATTTCTTATTTCACGATTTCTAATCGCTGATTAGGTAGAGAATCTTCTCCTTTTTCTTTTTGTGTGAAGTTATTATGCTCAAAATTCATTTTTCTCCTTATATTTTGCTTGAAAAGGTTGAACGCTGAAAAAAACGAGAAAGACACACAGAAAATTCAAACGTGCCGCTTGTTCGCTAGAGCGCGTTTGCCTCACCACTTCCTCGTACCCTCATGACGGTTTCTGTGTGTTTTCTCGCTGCGATGCTACTTTTTTCTAATTTTTTGCATAAACGCTCATTTTTTGAGGATAGGAGCTGCTAGAAATAAAGGGAAACTTCATATTTGCTCGCAGTCCACCTTTAAATTAAATTTTTGAAACATAAATTTTTTTGAAAAAAATTTTACTGTTTCAAAATTTACACAAACATAAATCAAAGAAAATTTTCTTGGTTATTATTTATTCATTGTTGCATCAAAAAAACTACTGTTTCAAAATTTACATATCTAAAATGTTTTGGATTTTTTTCGCTAATTTAGTGAATTCTTTTCGAAAGATTTTTGATAATGAAAAACTTTCTGCTAAATTCAAAACTTCAATTTTTCCAAAGATTTTCAGACCCCAAAATCCTCACCTTAATGGGCATTTTCTTGGCTTCCGACATCAACATATGTCTCAAAAGAACATTCGATCCAAAAGTCAACGCATCCATATCTTCAGTCGCAGTTCCATAAACTTTTCCAGCTCTCACCAAATGTGCACATTGTGCTTCAGCTTCACACGGTGCTTCAACAATCGGAATCCCCATAAGTGTCAACAATCGTTTGACCTCTTCATTCTGCTGTTTTGTCACTTTAACCAATCGTCTTTCAAATTTATCAGCTTCTTCTTTATCGCCTTTTTCTTTGGCTTCTAATAATTGTTTTTCAGCTTCTGCTCGTCTTTCTGATCGTTTTTCAAGTTCTCCACTTTTCATATCTGGCGGTTTTCCATCGAAAACATAGCAAGGTTTGATTCCATTATCGATTAGACGAATTGTACGGTAGAACATTCCCATTAAATGACTAGAAAATAATTAATTGAAAATTTCAATGTAATTATTAATTAGGCTTTAAAAAATTCTGAAACAGTGAGATATTTTTCTCAAAAAAAATCACTGTTTCAGAATTTTTGCAAAAACGAATTTTCAATTGAATTTTGTTGTTATCCTGCTGAATTGAGGACGAAAAATAGCGGAAAATTGGAATAAAAAAATTTTTTTTTTCAAACATTTCACAAAACTTCACTGTTTCAACATTTTCAATTTAGATTCAAAGAAAATCAGAAAATTTGCTCAGACTTTGACCCTACCTTCAAAGTTTTCACATAAAATTAGACAACTTTTGAAGCAAAAATTCAAATTTGAAATGTTTTTCGAAATTCAAAAATTTCACTGTTTCAAAATTTTCATAAAACTGAATTTTCAATAAAATTTCAATGAGTAATGCGAACTAGCTCGTAAAATTATAGACTTGTAGGAAATTAATTTTTCGCCCGCAAAAAAGCCCTCACCTAGTAGTTTCTCCATCTTCACTTTGCAATTGTGATCCATCTTGTCGAACAGCGATCAAAAATTGATATAAACACATTGATGCATCAATTGCGACCTGCAAAAATATCACTGTTTCAAAATATTTATATGATTTATGGCGGGAATTTTGGAATGTTAGTGCTAAAATTTTCGAAATTTTTGAACAAAAAGAATTTTGTGTTGAATTATTTCTTGAAATATGTACGTTTCAAAACATTTATAAAATTTTTCTTCAGAAATTCTGGATAATATTTCAAGATCAAAACAAATCATTCAACACAAATTCCCATCGAAAAATCTTATATTTACGTTCCAGATATTTACGTTCTTCGATGCCAATTTACCTATAATTTTCGATGAAAAATTCACGGTTTCTAACTTTTTTGTGTTAAATATCAAAATTCTCACTTTTGAATAAACATGAGGATAATTTTGATAAGAAAAATTGCAGAAAATTTACTGTTTTTTTTAAAAATCAATTTGAGTAACTTGAAAAATTTACATTTTTTCCATAATCAATTTTCAATTAACTTATTTTTTAATTGAAAATTTAAAGTATTTTGAATACCAAATAAATTTTTTGAAAAAAATTAACTGTTTCAAATTTCTCATTAATTTTTGAATAGAAATTACGTTTTCAATTATATAGCGAATTTCAGATTTAAATTTCTGTGATCATTTGAATAGTGCAAAAATTCACTGTTTCATTGAAATTTCCCCCCAAAATTCACCCACCTTTCTGCCAAAAAACGCCTTCATCTCATTAATCTTAATAGCACTCGGCGCATTATCAGCAATCACTTGCGACAATCCTTTAATTCCCATGGCGAAATGAAGTTAGTCCAAGTCTAGAGTGCAAAAAAAAATTTGTCTGTTGCAAAAATGTATACAAATAAAACAAAAACAGGTGTTTCCCGCCAAGTACAATAGAGCGTATTTGACGCCATAAAAAGGGGGAGAGATAAGAGAGAGGGCAGAGAAAAAAAGAAAGAAAACAGTTCATTTTTTGAAAGAAAGAGAAAAAGGTCCCGTAAATAGAATAATAACAATAAAATCAACAAAAATGGGGTTTCAAAATTAACAGGTTTTGGGGGTGAAAATAGAGCAAAAATTTGAATTTTTGAGTTTCCCAGCTAAAAAAATCATGTTTTCAGGTCAAAATAGCTCAAAATTCATGAATTTTAGCTCAAAATGGCTGAAAAATCACCGCAAATCATCTAATATTCATCTCCATCCATATTATCATCACTTCCAGCATCACCATAACCTTCTCCATTATCGAAATAATTTGAGATATAATCATTGTCTTCTTCCTGATAATCATCATCAGATAATTGATTTTCGCCATCTTCTCCTCCCGATTTTTCACTTCCCGAATCTTCGTCTTTTTTGTTGGCTTTTTCATCGTCATTTTCGATTTGAGTGTCGTCATTTCCTTCTTTTTCCTCCAATTTTCGAAGTTTTTCATTGATTATCTGAAAATTTTGGGAATTTTATTGTTTTTGGAAATTGTTCGGTGAAATTTAAACATTCACAGAAATTATTTTTTGAAACAGTAGATTTTTTCGAAAAAAATTGCTTTTCCAATCGATTTCCAAAATTTTTCGAAAATTGATAAATTATTTTTTGAAGCGTATTTTTTCACTGTTTCAGGAAAAATTAAAATTTGTCTTAAATATGTAAAAAAAAATATTAGAATTTGAAAATCCCAAGAAAATTATATTTAATTTTTGAAACAGTCAATTTTTATTCACCCACTATCACTTTGATTGAGTTCCAAAATTTGTCGAAAATTTATAAATAATTTTTGAATAGTATTTTTCAGGGGTTCAAATTCAATTTCACATTTTCAGCTGGAGAAAAGTTCAAACTAGAATCAGTTTTCTCTGGAAAACTCAAGTCAGAATTTTGAAACAGTGAAATTTTCATAGTTAGTGCTTTGACCTCCCCGAAATTAGTAAATCTTCAAATTTTCAAGCAAAAACTAAAATTTAAATGGAAATGAAGCTCTTCTAAAACGATCATTTTTTAAATCGCATTTGAAACAACAATTGAAATTTGTTCGTTTTCTTAAAAATATCAAATAATTTTGAAACGTAAAATTTTACTGTTTCAAAAAATGTATATGTTGTGGTAACAAAATCTCGAAACAGTGAAAACTTTGGGAGGAAAATGAATTCAGGAAAAATAAATGGTTTTCAAAATTTTGAAAACATAATTATTGTTTCTTGAAAATACGCTGATAATTTTTCAGATTTTTGGTTTTTTGAGGCAATTTTATCAATTTTTGAAGTAATGCGGTCAATTGAATTTACACATAAATTTCAGTGAACATCCAGATTACAGTAAAATTTGAAAATTATCTAAAATAAAGAAATTTTTAAATAGTGAAAATGTGCAATCAATTTAAGGGCCGAATGGAGTATATGAATTATTCCAAACCATTCGGAACGAGTTATTAAAATTTTTTGAAACGGTGAAAAAATTATAGAATTTTTTCCGCCAAAAATGCACTTGCCGTATCATCAGCCGCTAATTTCCTTTTCTTCGCTTTCGTTTCTCCTTCTCCATTTCTTCCATCTTTCAATTTCTTCTTTTTCCATGATAATTCTTCTGGCAAACACTGCATATCAGCCTCCAATTTTTCGCGTTCAATAATCGAATATTTATCCAAATATCGTTTGATTTGATCCTCGTTTTCGGCTTCGATGAAGAATTGCGAATCTCGGAGTCTGCGAAAAAATATTTGGGAACTTTTGGGGGGAATTTCGGAAATTTTCCTACAAAAATTCTCAATTTTCAATAGTTCTTGGGTTGATTTTTTGTGAAAAATCGATTTTTGAGATATTTTTATCAGTTTTCTCATAGTTTTCCCGAAATTTTCAAATAAAAAATCGCGTTACCTTTGATCAAGTTCCATTTTCAGCCTCGAAACATAAATCATATCTGGCGACATTTCGAGAGGATGTGGATCACGTTGAACTTTCTGCAAAAATTATTCACTGTTTCAAAATTTCTTGGAATATTTTTGGATTTGATGGAGAAATGATATTGATGATGTATTTATATTCGTTGAAAAAAACATAATTTTTTTTACTGTTTCAAAAAATGTTCCATATTTTTTTGGGTTTTGGAATAAAACTATTGTTGTTCGATATTCATCTCTAGATTTTTTAATGAAAGTTTTGAAAATTGAATATTTTCGAACCCATTTCAGCTAAAAATTTAGGAAAATCTATAAATTTCTACTTTTTTTAATCAAAATTATATTTTCATAAATTTCTAATCAAATTTAGTTGAATTTGATGAATTTTTCACTGTTTCAAAATTTCTTCATATTTCTTTGAATTTTGAAATGAAACAATTCTTTTTTTTTTGATTTTCAACTTCAAAAAGTTCTAGAAAAGAAAGAGTTTGAAAATTCTAGAATTCTTAAAAATTTTCAGATTAAAATCAATTTTCTGAAGATAATTTTTGCCTAAAATTTCTGATTTTTCAAATTTCAAAATCCCCTACCGGATAATTGGGTGGCGGTTCAATTTTCTGCTGCGCCATCATTCTTTGCACATCCTGTCTGGCAATTCCAAGAGCATTTGCCACATTTCTCGCAGTTGTCATCGAACTTCCGCCACGTCCTCCCATCTGCAAACAATTCTGGAATTCCAGCAATTTTTCTGAGAGTACAAAATATTCCAAGAGTTCTTCAAAAACTCTTTCAACAGTAGATATAAAAAAAAAGAAAAATTAAGAGAAATTAATTTTTTAAATGTCATATATCAAAAAGATACAAGGGGAATTTTTGAATTTGAAGAGAAAAATGAATAAATACCTGTGAAAACAGATCCTACTAAAACTATTCAAAAAAAAAGAAAAAAATAACAAGAAAAACAAGAGAGCAAAAAAACTACTACTAGGAGATGATTCAGGAGGAAAAACAACATTTTTTCATCCCAAAACGAGATCTGCGCCTAACAAATCAACTAATTTGATTTTTCCTTCGTTTCACTTGATTCCTTATTCCAATTTTCGAGTCCTTTTGGTAATTCGACATTTTCATCCAAACCGCCAGTTCCAGAAACCATTTCTTCATAAGTATTCTTCTCATTGAACGGCCTTTTTCCAACTATTTCAACCATATCTTCACGTGACAAAATTTCCTTTTCCAACAGGCGAATTGCTACCTGCAACAAAATTAATTTAAAAATTTTTACTGTTTCAAAATTCCTTGAATTTTTCCAAATATGCTCAAAAATTGATTGATATTTTTTCTTTTATCTCGAAAAATCTACTTTTTCAAAATTTTACTAAAAATTCTCAATTTCACATTTTCACAATGTAAATTCTTGAAACCAAGCTTTAACAACCCCAAAATTTTCGATGAATAATTCGAGTTTTTATTCTCCAAAAGTCTACTGTTTCAAAAAATCGCCAAGAACTTATTCAATTTTAATTTTGTTTGTTCTCACTTGTTTACCATATATTTTTAAAAAATCCACTGTTTCAAACGTATCAAAAACTAAATTTTCTTTTGATCACGATATATAATGAGGGGAAAAGGTTGAAATTCAAATTGTCAAACAAACAAACAAAAAAATCATTTTGCTTCGGAAGCTTCCATGAAATTTAACATTTTTGAAATTAATTCATACAGTTTTAGAAAATTTCCATATTTTCTATGAAGAATTCAAGCTAAAAATTTACAAAAAAAAAACACTAGGTGGAAACTATGAAGAAAAATCCAAATTTGTTTGGAAAAATTTACTGTTTCAAGATTTTGAAAAACAAGATAAGTGTGCTTGGAAATTGCTAGAAGTGATTTTCTCAGGGGATATAAATGTTTAAAAATTTACTGTTTCAATATTTCACTAAAAATTCAGAAATTTTCAAATTAAATTAATTATTCCCGTTGAAAATCTAAAACTACATGGAAAACTTCGAATTTTTCTAGGAAATATATTCACAAAAAATTTACATGTCTCATTTTTTTTGTATTTTATTTTCAAAAGTTAGAAAACCGCATATAAAACTAAATGATAATAAAAAAAATCTACTGTTTCAAAATTTGAAAAAAATATTTTAAATTTCATTTTCAAATGTTTTTTTATAAAAACTTACTGTTTCAAAAAAACATTTATAAAAACTTACTGCTTCAAAATTTTAATTCCAAACCCCCTCCGAAATTTCGAGCTCACCTTATCAATATCACTTCTCTTTTCCAACAACAATTCTCGGGTAATTCTCAACGCATTTTGTACAAGATCTCGAACTTCTTGATCGATTAATTGTGCCGTTGTTTCGGAATACGGTTTATCGAATGCCATTTCTCCGGGTTGAGGGGTATCGAATGAGAGTGGACCCACTTTTTCACTCATTCCATATTTTACGACCTGCAAAAATTTTCGTGTGAAACACTGTGAATTGTGAGCAGAAAACATATTATGAATATTTGTGAAACGTAGATTTTTTTGGAATACTTCAATGCTCAACCAATATTTAATATAATTTTGTTCTTTATAAGTATTATTTTTGAAACGTATTTTTCAAGGTTTCTAAAAAATGTACCTGAAAATGGCAGAATTTTTTGATGATTCAGATTTTCAAGATGCTCGCAAAAAACCCCGAGTCCTTATTTATAATGAAAAATCTGTGAAAAAAACCAGAAGATAGTGTAGACCGAATTTTGAATAAATTGAATTTTCCGCCGAACAAAAAAACTAAGTAGAAATTCCGAAAAAAAAAATAACAACTTCAGACAAATACTGGCCAAAATCAGAAAAGATATCCTAACATAAGATAAAAGAAAAAAGGTTCGTGCTACATTCAAAGATGAACTAAGAGCTTCCAGAATCCTGCGTATTGTCTGAAATTTTTCTGGAAAATTCCAATAACGCTAACTCCGGACGTACGAAAGAATCCACTAAGAAATCGCGTCAGGACCAAAACCCTCAGCTAATGAGAACTCCAACTTCGTACAATTCTCTATTCAAAACCACAATTCCTGCAAAATTTCAAAAGTGTCGTCACTATTCCCATCTTCTCCCTTCCTTCCAAACACAATGCCTCGAAACTACTACAAAAAAACTAATATTGTGCAGACATCCGTTACCACACAATTCGAGGCTGACTCATCTTTTGTCGTCCAAGGTGTATAGTCAGTACCAGGGTGCAAGACAAAAAAGTTACGCCCATTGAAAACGGTATAAAAGAGTGGACAGATGGGGTGAGAAAAGTATCAGATCTTCTTCTTCTACTACTTCTAGTACTCGAGACAAAATGAAATTCTTCATCATTTCTTCAATGGTTTTGGCTGTTTGTATGGCTGCTGCTGTTGCTAATACTGCAGAAAGTGCCGAGCTCAAAGAGATCAAGGCTCTTATCGCTAAATTAGAAACCGGTCTCGAGAGTTTGAGCTTCGAATTTAAATCGTGAGTTTATATGGAGTTCCTAAGGAGCTTTGAAGGATCTCAAAAAGGCCCTTAAGAGTCCTAAAGTCTCCTAGAGGCTCGGAAAAGAGCTGAAGAGCCCAGAAAAGCTGTACGATCCTAAAGAGTTTAATATAGTACCTTCCTTAGAACTTTAAAAACTCTGACTTAAGTTCAATAGTCCTTAAGGCTCCTAGAAGCTCTAGAAGAATCCTTAGAAGGACCTAAAACCATCCCAACACCAAATCCTTCCAGCGCCGTTACAAAAATCACTGCCAAATGCACATCTTCCTCCTCATTCGGCTCACTTTTCTCCGATTCCTATGTGAAACCAGGATCCACCTCAAACTTCAACGAAGAATCGATTCGTCAAGAAGTGTTGAACATTTTGAAGGTATCAAAAATCGCGCAAAAACAAAAACGCTCTTGTTTTCAGGGAGGAAACAACCAGAACAACAATAACTTTGGCAACTTCTTGAGAAGCCGCTTCCCAGAAAACTACCAAATCCCAATCTACATTCAAGGAGGAGCCCAAGCTCAACCATCCGCTTCGTACATTCCAGTTGCTCAAGGAGCATACGCTTCAGCTCCAGCTCAAGTTGCCACAACTTATACCGTTCAACAACAAGCTCCAGCTGTCGCCTATCAAGCTCAACCAGCTCCAGTTCAAGTGCAATATAGTGCACCGGCTCCAGTTCCAGCTCAATATGCTCCTCAAGTTCAAGTTCCAGCTTCTGGCTCATATGCTACAGCTCCAGCTGCTGCTCAATACGTTACTTCAAAGAAGAAGTAAATTTTAAATTATTGATTGATTTTCGATTATTTATTGATTAATTTATTTTAGAATTTTTGTGGGAATAATAAATTATTTTGGTGAAAAGCTTCATTTTCCTTATCTCCCCAAAAATCCAATCAAAAAATAATTTCGATGTTTTTTTTTCAAAAAAAAAATCGCAACTTTGTTTAAAGTCCACATGTTTCGCATTTCACATTTTTTCTCCATTTTTCTTCACAAAAATGTTCAAAATCCTATTGATTTTTCTAACAGTTTTGGGCTTTTTCGTCGAATTTTGCTATTCAAAAATATTCTGTGAATGTACAACTGATCCAGTTACTGGAATCGCTTCGACAATTTGCAAACAATTGGAAAACGAGCCAAAAATGGCGAAAATTAATTAGCTAATTAATTGATTAATTGAAATTTGAATTTTTTTTAAAAATAATAAATATGATGTCTTGTCTTGTTTTATAAAATCACAAAATTTACAGGGAAATTTGAAAATTTAAAAATTTTTGTGCCGAAAAATTTTTACTGTTTCGAAAAATTTTAAACTTTTGAGAACAGTTTTTGTAAACTATTAGATTTAAAACTTGAAAGAAATTTTTACGTTTTAGGAATTTTGGCGTAGAAAATATTCCACCCGGCAATTTGAAAATTCAAAAATGTTGTTTTGTTAGTGCTAAAAATCCACGTGGATTTCAGATTCAAAATTGTTGCATCAAAAATGAAAACAGAGTTTTACGCAGAATTTTTTACCTTTTCAAAAATTGGTGCAAAAAAGCCACGTGGCAACTGGAAATTTTGCCTTTAAAAAACGTACCTGTGAATAAGCCATTTGTGTAACTTTTTGCAAATCATCCTGTGCTCCAGTCGTAATTCGTCCAAAAAATATTTCCTCAGCAACACGTCCTCCCAACGTCATACACATTCGATCCAACAATTGCTCTTTCGAATACAAATATTGTTCTTTGGGTAAATATTGTGCATAGCCAAGGCCTTTGCCACGTGGAATAATTGAGACTTTCAAAAGAGGATCGGCGTGTTGAAGGAACCAACCAGCAATTGCATGGCCAGCCTCGTGATACGCTACCGTTTTCTTCTCCTCTTTTTGGAGAACTTGTGTTTTTTTCTCCATTCCGGCGACGACTCGCTCAATTGCTTGTTCGAAATGTTTTCCCGAAATTTCGTCGTTGGCGTCGCGAGCGGCAATCAACGCGGCTTCATTGCAAACATTGGAAATGTCAGCACCTGGAAAATAGGCTTTTTGTTCAAACACCCTAATTCTCTGTCTCTAATCAATATAATATACTCGGTATTTTTGTTTTTTTAATAGTGGATGCTAGTAGACACAGGAACATTTTTCAATCAAATTTTTTGAACATAAAATATTTTTGAAACAGTAGATTTTGTCACAAACATGTTATATAGACGCTATTATTTTAACATGAAACATATTTTATTCAAGGAATTTTTGAAACAGTGAATTTTTCTCAATACAATCAATGTAGTTTCAAAACAGGCCTGTGCCGGAAATTTTCCGAATTTTCCGAATTTCCGGATTTTCCGGTTTTTTCACGGAAAAATCAATTTTCCGGTTTTCCGGAAAATGTGCTCGGAAAATCCGGAAACGATCTCTAGTAGTAATATTTTCAAAATTGCCTAAATTTTGGAAAATTTTCTCAGTTTATGATAGAAAAAATGAAATTTTTGGAAATTTTTTTTTCAATTTTTCAAATTTTACTATTTTTTTGAACGTAAGACGTCTCAAATAGTTACTAAATTACCTGTGAATAGAAGAATTGTAGATAAAAATAAGTTTTAGTGCCAACGTAAGGCTGGAAATCGAAATTTCAGACTTTGAAAAATTTTCCGAATTTTCCGGATTTCCGGTTCAAAAAATCCGGAAATTTTCCGACTTTCCGTTTTCCGGGTTTTGATTTTCCGGCACAGGCCTGTTTCAAAAATATTCTATTGAAAATTGTTTGAAACAGTGAAATTTTTTTCTAATGGACTTATGCAGGTTAATATTTTGTAATTAAAAAACACAAACAATCATAATTTTGGCTATGCAGAAAAATGTCGTAGCACAAAATATACAGTTTAATTTTTTTGAGTAGAGAAAACGTGAAATTGAGAGAGCGCAGACAGACAAATTATTTTTTAAAAATATGTTCTGTTCGAAAACCTAATTTGTCTGTCTGCACTCTCTCAATTTCACGCAGTCGCTACTTATAAATAATAAACTGTATATTTTGTTTTTCAACGTTTTTCTGCATAGCAAAAATTATGATTTTTTTTTGTTTTTTTGTCACAAATTATTAATCTACATTGGCCCATAACAAAAAAAATTTATGGTATCATTTTATTACATTTTTATATTTATTTGAAAATTCCTTGAAACAGTGAATTTTTGTCAATTTGTTCTGTGGGTTAATAAACATCACATAAATTTCACTGTTTCAAAAATATATTTTCATGAATACGTAAATGTAACCATAAATTATCAATTGAAAATTGCATGATATATTTTTGAAACATTGAATTTTTTGATATTTTTGTTTACAATTAGATTTTAAACAAGATCAACCGCACAAAATATGAAGAATTCCGCTATTTCATTTTCCGATCATAGTAAATAAATAAATAAACTATTTGAGAAATATTAATATCTTTTGAAACAGTGCATTTTTGAGCCTATTCAGAAGAATAAAATACCGACTGAAAATACTGAAAACATTCAGTTTCAGACAAAAAATTATAGCTCTAAATCGACAAATTCACAGAATTCTCATCCACTATTTTTCATTATTTTTGGTTCAGTCGTTCACGAGTAATTGATTTTTGAATGAACATTTTTCGAAACAGTAAATTTTTGAAATTATTTTGCAATTAATGCTTCTGAGAAACCAATTATTTCATTTAAAAAATTTTTGAATGAGAATTTTTTGAAACAGTTAAATTTTAATCTCTCTTTTTTTCACAAAAATCCCGCCCCCAAATCTTACCTGAAAATCCAGGTGTATGCGCAGCCAATTTTCTCGACAACACAGTTTTATCGAGCGATGTTCTCAATGGTCCCAAATGTACTCGGAAAATCGAGGCACGTCCTTTGATGTCCGGAACTGGAACATAGATTTGTCGATCGAATCGGCCTGGTCGAAGAAGAGCCGAATCCAGAATATCGACACGATTTGTGGCGGCGATTACGATGACTGATGATTCATCGGTGGTGAAACCTGGAAAAATTTAAGAATAATCAATTTTGTATCGAATTTATTTGAGAGAATAGATTGAATTTTTGACACAGTGAGTTTTTTTATTCAAAAACTTTTTCAGAAAATGTCAAGATTCTCCGTCTTCTGGCTATTTTCAGAAGACATTTTTAGAAATATTACGGTTTGAAAATGCACAGCTTATCCGTAAATCTTTGGAAAATTCAGGGAAATAATTCAATCCCAAACCTAAAGAAAGAACGGAAAAAATAAGAGTGTATGTCAACACCGACAGCCCGCAAACAACAAATCCTACGCGCAACCTTGACGCGAAATACACGCTGTGTGTTTTCGCGAAGAAATTTCTGGGGATTTAAAAGAATGGGAACCCCCCCCCCTGATTCTAGAAATGGATACGTTTAAAGTATAACATATGGGAACCCTGAGAATCTCTCCAATGTCGCTTTTCCCTTGGAGAATACTAGTTTATACAAATTTCATGATTAACTTTATTATCACTAATTGAAAATACATCCAAGTTTTAAAACAGTGAAATTTTGAGGAGATGAAAAACAACGTATTATTGGTGTTTAACACAATTATAGGAGAAAAATTAATTTTTTGAAACAGTGAATTTTTTATAATATGAAAAGTCAAGAAATTTGGAAGCTTTCGCATTTTTCTTTTATTTCAATGTTTTCCATAAATTACAAATCACTATTCTTCAAAAAAAACATTTTCTCATTTCAAATGGAACTTTTGAAACAGTAAAAAAATTGATATGAAATTTTCTAAATTTTATTTATAAATGTTGTATTTTCTTTTTTTTATATTGGTTTTTTTTTCATTTTTATTTATTCTCCCCAAAAGACAGTTGGACTAAATTCAAAATTTTTCTGAAAATATATAGAAATATTTTGAAACAGTGAAATTTTCTAGGAAAGTAAAAAAATTTCAAAAATTTGATGAAATTTTTTTGAATCGCTGAAATTTGATTGAACAATGTATAAACATGATATATTAAAAATTCTGATATGAATGAAAAAAATCCTAATTTCTTGGCTTATTTTTTGACACACAGAGAGAAAAAATCGACAAAAATCACGTCATCCAATCAGCGATTGTGGGCGGGGTTTCAAGAAATGGGTCACGTGAATACTGACGCGTTTGTTGTTTTTGCTGACGCTTTTTTTTATTTTTCGAAATTTTTTTTGAATTTTCAGTTTTTTACAGTTTTTCAGCGAGAGAAGAAACATTTCCACAATATTTTTTATGCAGATTGTTAGGAATCTACTAAGGATCATTTACATATGCAGATTTTCATATTTTGTGAAAAACTCACAAAGTTATAAGAAAAAACATGTTTATTAGGTCAACTTTTGCTTTGTTTGAAATCTTTTCAACTTCGATACTTATTTCGCGATTTATTTTCTTATGAAATCGTATTATATAAGTGATATTCCAGCAAATCGGAACGGATTTTCCCCAATTTACGAAGGAATGCGACGTGGATGTGGCGAACAGTTGAAAACGACAAGATGAACGAATTTTTGGTCAAATTTGAGAAAATGTAGAACTTTCAAAGTGTTCTTTTCGACATGTTGATGGAAGCCAGTTTTTTTATGCTTCTAGTCTTCAATTTGACACAAAATTCGGATTTTTTCATGCTTGAAATATTTTGAATAAAAATTTATTGAAAATGAAACCAAGTTTCCCATATAACTCATCAAAAATGGAAAAATTAGCACCATATCAACTACACAATGCAAAACCGTTGAATTTTGACAAATTATCGGTGAAAATTCTTATTTTTTCCGCTTTTTTCCAAGTATCAGTTTGTGGGTTTTTTGTTGCAAAAACTGCCTCAATATCGACTCCAAATCATCAAATCAGTTTATTCGTTACTTTTGAATGCTTTCTGATGGATTATGACAAGGATTTGTACCCAAAATACTGGAAAAACCGCAATTATTGAGAACTTTTGAACAAAAATCGTTAAAACTTTCGGAACATAGCGAAACTAAAAATTATAAAGCTATAGGAACAATTATCTATACGAGTTCTAAAAACTGTATAAAAAATTTTAGCGAAAAATCGTGATTTTCAAGGAAAAACAACAAAAAATAGGCCAGGCGACCAAAAAAAGAAAATAAAATAAATTTTGAAAATGAAAAAATGAAATGGGCGTGGCTTATTCACGTGGGCCAATCAAAAACGTAGACAGGAATTTAATGAAATGCTGTCGATTTTTTCTCTCTGTGTGACACTGAAAAAAATGGTTGAAAAAAATGAATTCAAAATTTTCAACAACAAAAAAATGTACTGTTTCAAAGACAAATTAGATGTTCTCAAAATTTGTGAATTTTATTGGAATCGGATTATCTAATATAACTTGTTAGTTGAAAATGTATAAACTTAGAAAAAACAAAATTTCACTGTTTCAAAAACTTATGATATTTTTTATTAGAATTCGCCCCAAAATCTATCTCACCATCCATTTCAACAAGCAATTGATTCAAAGTATTTTCCTGTTCCGAATGTCCACCCATTCCACCTTTTCCACCACGTTTTCTTCCAACCGCATCAATTTCATCAATAAACAAAATACACGGCGAATTCTTTCTTGCCATCGAAAACATGTCTCGAACTCTCGCCGGTCCAACACCAACAAACATTTCCAAGAATTCCGAACCAGATACAGTTATAAAAGGAACATTGGCTTCACCAGCGGTGGCTTTTGCTAATAATGTTTTTCCAGTTCCTGGTGGTCCGGTTAAAATTGCGCCCTTCGGAATTTTCGCTCCCAAATCTTTGTATTGTTGAGGATTTTTGAGGAAGTTCACAAATTCCATAATTTCGATTTTTGCCTCCTCACAACCGGCAACATCGCCGAATTTCACTTTGATGTCTTCTTTGTTAATTACACGAGCTGTTGATTGACCAAATCCGCCGAACATTCCGCCGATTCCACCGCCTTTTCCGCCTGCGCCACCAGCTGCGCCACCGCCTTTTAGCATTCGATAGATGTAATAACCGAAGAGAAGAGGAAAAGCGACTGAGATTAGATTCGGGATTTCACGTTTGCTGAAAAAATCGGGGGATTTTCAGACTATAAAATTTAAACTTGGCTGAAAAACAATATAGAATTTTTTTAGTGTAAAAAAAGGGTTTTTTCAAAATTTTGAGTGAAAAATCAAATTTCAGGGTTACTTGAAGCTGAAAATTACAAGATCAGAATGAATTTTCAACTTTTAGCTTTTATGATAAAAATCAGGGGATTTTCAAACTTTAAAAATTAAACTTGGCTGAAAAACTAGATGGAATTTTTTTAGGGTAAAAAAAGGGTTTTGAACTGATTTTTTCCAAATTTTGAGTGAAAAATCAAATTTCAGGGTTCTTGAAGCTGAAAATTTCAAGATCAGAAAGAATTTTCAATTTCAATTTTATTTTGAGGTTTTGTGATGAAATTTTTTAATCTTCAAATTCGCCACGTGGATTTTCAGCAGAAAATTTCCAGAAATTTGTTTGATAAAATCTCAAACAAATTTTGAATTTGCCACGTGGTTTTTGGCGCTAAAATTATTTGAATTTTCTTTTCAAATTCACAAACAATTTTCTGGCCCCGAAATGTTCGAATTTTCAAATTTCCAGGGTTTTTAGCTTCAATTTTTTTTTGAATTTTCAAGTTTTCCCCCCAAAAAAACTCACAAATTAAATTCAGTCTTATAAAGCACAGTAATCTGTTGATCAGCATCATATCCCAAATGATGTTGTGCAGCTCCCAAACTCCTCTCAAAACTATCAACACTTCCAATATTAAAATAACAAGTTTGTCCCGGATATTTTCCCGATGAACTAACAACTCGAACCCATCTCTTATCAACAACTTCAAGTCTTTCAACTTGTCTCGTCTCCAAAAATTCATTATAGAATTCTTTCCACGAAATCTCTTTGTATGATTGATAATCCATGAATAAATATAGAGCTAGAAGAATTCCGACGGAAATTGCGATTTGTTGCCATCCACCAGGAAATTGATTGAAAGGATTATTACTGTCATCTGGTTTTTTTGAAGATGATTTTGGAGAAGATTCTGGTTCTTTCTTGGTCGATGAAGACTCCTCTGTTTTGGGCTCGAAAAACTTTTTCAAATCATTTGGTTTTCGCGCGAGAAGTTGAAATGTCTTCTGAACTTGCTCCATGAATTTTTCCTCGAATCTTTTATCCTTGTTGAGCAGAAACAACACTTCATTCTTCTTGAGAATCGAGTTTTTCTGTAAAAAATATGAAACCATGTATATTTTGAGGCTCTGAACATGATCATGTTGTCAAAAATGACTTAGCTTAACTCTAAATATGAGTTGTAGCGAAGTTTGTAGCTTTTTTGACTAGAATGAGCAAAGGATGTTCACTGATAACAGAAGATGGAAATGAATTTATATTCCTCGAAATGATCAACAAAAAAGTCGGAGGTCTCGGGTTCTGGATAAAGAAAAAATTCAGAAGATCAGTGGTAGAGGTTGTGAGCTGTTCGGATCGAGTAGCCATTCTGAAGCTAAAAATCGGTGAAACAAACCTTGCTTTATTCAATATGTACTCACCCACTAACAACGCCAAACAAACCGAAGTCGATAAATTCTACAAAATGGCGTCAAAAGCCTATAACAGCGTAGCAGATAACTGGGTTCGGATTGTATGTGGCGATTTCAATGGAGCAATTGGGAAAACATCTACCCAAGAGCACCCAACCGTTGGAAGATATGGCTTGAAAACCATCACAAGAAACGACAATGGTGAATCGCTTATTGATTTCGCGAACTCAAAAAGATTGGCGATACTAAACACGCATTTCAAAAAGAAGAGATCAGCATATTGGACCTGGAGAGGTCCAAACGAGAAGTCCAGATCGATGATTGATTATTTCATGATAAAAGAATCGAGACGATTTATGATCCGTGACATCAACACCTTCAACTCCAATTACAACCTATCCGACCATCGATTGTTGAGATTGACTATAAATGTAGCACATCGAGACATATCCAGAAAATTGAGACGACCACGAGAAAGAATGGATCGAGTTGTGAAACTAGATAAATTGGAATATTTAAGATCTCTCGATTCAAATCTCGATTCAAACTGCGCAAACTACAGTAACCTCATCAAAACTATGAAAGAATGTGCAAAACACACTTCAATTCCGACACCAAAAGAATCAAGGATTTCTCAAGAAACTCGTGAATTATTGGAGAAAAGATTCAGAATCTTGGCGTCAAATCAAGCAACCGCTCTTGAAAAACGAGAAATATGTAAGATCACTCGGGAATCCTATCAAAAAGATCTGGAAAACTGGAGATGTCGCAAAATTGAAGAAGCAGTGGCCAAAAGAACCAGCGTGAAAAAGATGAAGAAAAGAATCGAAGAGAAGTCGGAATTGTTTCAAAGATTGACTCTTCAAGATGGATCAAGAACTTCGAATCGATCAAAAATCCGTGAAGCTGTTAAAAACCACTTCAAAAAACAATTCGAACGCACCGGTCCAAAAACAACAAAAATCCAATCAACCACCAGAAATCCACTACCAATTTCTAACTCAGAAGTTATGAGAGCAATAAGCAGTTTGAAAGTAAACACGGCCAGAGGCCTGGATGGAATTGGCGCGGATATGATAAAATATGGAGGAGAATTGGTGGCAAAATGTCTGACTAATTCGTTCAACAAAATAATCGACGACGATGAAATACCAGATGATTGGAACAACATCAGATTGAAATTGATTGAGAAAAAGCCAAACCCAGAACATCTAAAAGACGTCAGGCCAATATCGATTTTATCGATTCCTGGTAAAATCTTCACAAAAGTTATGACTTCAAGATTAATGGGCAAATCAGAACAAACCTTGGATGAAAGTCAACACGGATTCAGACCACGACGATCATGCAGTGACAATTTGCAATCGATTTCAATCTTGTGGGAAAGAAGTCATGAGTACAAGCTTCCATTGATTCTGACGTTCATCGATTTCAAGGCGGCTTTCGACTCAGTTGATTGGAATTCGGTGCAAGAAAGTGTAATTGAAACTGGATTCTGGCCACAATATTTGGAGTGTATTAAAGGCGCAAATGAAGTCGGAATCGGAGAGTTAACAGTACTCGGAGAGAAGATGAAAATTGCGATGGAACGCGGAGTCCGTCAAGGCGACTCATCCTCACCAGCACTATTCTCAATCGCGTTGGATCATCTGTTGAGACAAGCTGACCCGATCCCGGAAAACGACCTTGATGGAAACTATGGGTGCAAAATCCACGGGCAGTATATCTCAAGACTTTTATTCGCAGACGATCTGGTGTTGATCGATACATCGAGCAAAGATGCCCAAAAACGCGCTGAAAACATCGCCAAGAAATGTGAAGAAGCTGGATTATTATTCAACACTTCAAAGTCAAAAGTGTTGCGAAATGAAGCAGCTGACAAGAGGTTCATTGTGGTCCGGGGAGAAAGACTGGAAGACGTTGATCAGATAAAATATTTGGGCCGCATTTTCATGAAAGACGGATCATTGGACTCCGAAATCGCAAATCGGAAAAGATCAGCGTGGGCTGCTTATCACGGAATAGCCGAAGCGTTGAGTGGAATTGGAATGACCAGAAAAAATCAACTGCTGAAACAAAGTGTTGTTGCAGCTGCAATTTATGGTGCAGAAACTTGGAACACAAAGGTCAAAGATGTCGAAATCATTCAAAGAACAATCAACCACATTTGGGTGCAAGCTGGAGCCGGTAATCCGCCAGATATGACAAATTTGATTATGAAAACAAAAATCAGATGGGCAGGCCACGTGGCGCGCATGTCTCCGACTAGATATTGCAAAATCATAACACTGTCGGACTTCCCAGATAAGTATCCAAGAAGGAAAGGCAGACCAAAAAAGCGCTGGGTGGACGACATCAAAGAAGCAGCAAAAGTCCACAATCACAACCAAAATTTATTGGGTCTCGGTGGAGACAGAAGAAGAAGAAGGATCGGGATAATATCCAGCAAAATTCCCTGGTCACGAATGGCTCAAGATCGTTCACAATGGAGCTGTCTGGTTCACAGTTATGATCAATGATTATGGCTTGATATAATGGACCATCAAAGTATCAAAGTAAAGTAAGTATCTAAATATGAGTTGTAGCGAAGTTTGTAGCTTTTTTGACAACAAAATCTACTAGAAAACATGTTTTTATCGAAAGTTTCGAGAAAAATATGATGTAATATGATGCAACTTGATAAAAAATCTTTTCTAGTAGATTTCGACCCCTGATCACAATTTTTCAAGCCACTGCTAACAAAAATAGCCTATATTCAGTTGATTTCCGCAGTTTTCGACAACAGGGCGAACAAAATCCTCTAGAAAGCAAGTTTCCATCGCGGAATCCCTCAATATTCGATGTTTCCCCAGGAAATCCAGATTTCTCTTTCACAAGAAACATTGAAAACCTCGATTCCTCCCCAAAACAACTTACATCATCAAAATTTTGGCTTTGGAAAATGGGCGATTGCGAAAACTCCTTCCTCAAACACTTTTCAACGTTGCTCTTCAATAATCTCGGTGATTTGCGGCATAATCGCCACATCTGAAGATAATAAATTCACTTATTTTTTGATTTTTAACAGTTTCGCAAGCTTTCGCAACCCAGAAAACCCCGAAAAGGTGCAAACAAACGGGAAAAAAAGAAAAATTCATCCTTGCAATAGTTGTGCAAACACCGCGGGGTGGCATTTTATTTGACGACAATTTCTGGTCGGGGGAATTTCGAAAAATAATTATTTTTCTATTTTTTTTCTAACGTCACGTGGCCTCACGAAAATGGGTCTAGGAGGATTTTAAGTATTTTTTAAATACTTAACAAATGAAAACGGTGATATTTCTATGTTCATATTTATTTATCAAAGGAATTGCGTGCTATATCTTGACAAAACAAGAAAATGAAGCTCTGGCGCAGATTTGCGGGTTATATGGAAGAGAAATGGGAGGACAAGTTCCGCGGATAGAACGGAAGGTGCTACGCGGAAAAAACGCGGATATCAAAGATGCTCCCTGGTCGGTTGCGATAAAAGTGGCAAAGTTGGGGAATCGCCATCGGCATTCGATTTGCACCGGAACTTTGATTTCTCCTTGGCATGTTTTGACGGCAAGACATTGTTTTATGCAGGAAACTGAAGATGGGCTAAGTTGGGTGAATGATGACGCGCCAATTGATTGGAGAATGTGCAAAAAGAGGTAAAAAACAGAAAAAATTGCGAAATTCAAACAAAAAAACATGGGCGGCACTGTGTTCGCTGCGAGACTCACACAACAAACAACGTGTGCCTTTGAACAAAAACCGTATTTTTTTCAATTTTTATTTTTCAGAGACTATTTCGTCCCGCAAAAAGTGCTGAAACAGACACAAATCGTGTTCGAAACAACGTGCGGAACAAAAAAAGCATGCAAGGCTTATAGAATACCTCTTCCAAAAGTGAAACGCCGTGCAAAATCGATAGTTTTGTTGGATATTTGCCCATTTCAACGATGGCATTTTGCACCGCCCGATGTGGCTATCATTGAATTGGCTGAGGAAATCAAGTTTAATGAGAAAGCTCATCCAGTTTGTTTGCTGAATAATGAAACTTTGGTGGATGAAGATTCATTGATTCAACTTTTTGGATATGGAGATGATCGTGAGTTGAAATTTGTTCTTAAAATTCTAAAAACATCAAAAATTTTGCAGCTTCACTTGGAAAAGGAACCAAAGGTCGTCTTCGATATGAGCTAAGTCGAAAAGAGGAGCATAAAGACCACGGGGATCGATGGGTTGTAACACATTCGATTTCCAAAAAGAATTTGGCATGTAGGGTAAGAAAATATCGATTTGAAAATGATTTTTCACGCAAATTTCTATTCCAGGGTGATTCTGGAGCTGGTTCAATAGTAAAAATCAACAATCGCTTCACAATACACGGTGTTTTGAGTCGAGGAGATCCTTGTGAATCGGCAACTTTGTCTTCAACTGATCATTTATCATCGGTGGCTTTTTTGGTTGATCGAATTTGTGAATATACTGGGATTTGTCAGATGTGAGTTTTTTGGGGGAAGGGATGAATATTGCGAAAAATATGAATTTTCAACAAAAAATTGGTTTAAAAAATTCTACTGTTTCAACAATTTTTTTTATTAGATTTGAGGAAACTTGAAAATTTGTTAGAACTGTGATGCTCCCAAAAAACTATTTTTTAAAATTTACTGGTTCAAAATTTTATTGAAATTTTGAACCGGAAAGCCTATTCAGTAAGTAGCATCCTACTTTTAGTGCTGAAATTTGACTTTAAAAAAATCTGAACTTTTGTAGGAAAATTCTTTTTTAAATTTACTTATTTTTTAGCTGTAAATTCTGAATTTGGAAAAATAAACGTCTTCAAAAATTTTACTGTTTCAATTGATTTTGTTATTAGATTTGAGGAAACCTAAAAGTTTGTTTAAATTGTGGAGTTCACAAAAAATTATTTTTTAAAAATTTACTGTTTCAAAATTTTATTGAATTTTTGAACCGGAAAGCTTATTCAGTAAGTACATCCTACGTTTATTACTGAAAATTAACTTTAAAAAATCTGAATTTTTGTAGGAAAATTCTTTGAAAAAAATGTAAATGTAAGTACTCAGAGATTCGCTGGCCAGCTCGCCACCAGATCGCTGCGGCCACCTGGAAACCGCATGGCCGCCAGGTCGCCTCGAGTTTTCCGGCGACGTGGCCTGTGTGTTTGAAATTCTGGAAAGCTGGCAAGACAGTGGTTTGTACTCAAAACACTGCATTTTCTACTGTTTTTTCACTTCCTGAGGTTTCAAGTGCTGCGAAAAAACAGAAAATGAGCCAAATTTTTCGAAAATGCCTCAATTCACAAGTTTTTCAGACATTTTCATGAAAATTCATTTTGACGCGGCGAAGTGGCCACCACATGGTAGCCATGTGGCCGTGACCTAGCCAGAGCGTGGCCACCTCGCCAGCGAAAAAAAAAACCGGGCGACATGGTTTCCATGTGGTTCCCAGGTCAGCCAGCCTCCCCACCTGGTGGCGAGCTGGCCAGCGAATCTCTGAGTATTTTTGAACTCAAAAGTTCTGAATTTTGAAAAAAAAAACGTCTTTAAAAATTTTACTGTTTCAAAATTTCACTAAATTTTTGACCTCACAATTTAAAATTGATATATAAGTAAAATTGGGTATAGAATTTGCTGTTTCAAATTAAAATTATTTTTTATGACTGAAAATTCATCTAGTGCAATTATAGAACTTTTCTGTGCCGCTGAAAATTAATTTTGAAAAATCTGAATTTTTCGACGGAAACTCATTTCTTAGTTTTCTCTATATTTGTGACCTCAAAAATCCTAAAATTCACATATTTTTGACAAAAAAAACTTTCAAAAGTTTTTTTTCCAGTGAATATTCAACAAATCACACAACCAAAGGTTTCTACGACGAAAATTCGGGAAAATCTCAAATTTTTCATCCATTTCTATTTTTGCCTATAGTTTTCCTCTTCAAAATCCTCAATTTTCAATAAATAATTTTCTGGCGCCAAAAATCCACATATTTTTAGTCGAAGCGTTTTTCTAGTGAATTTTTATATAGAAAAAACCCATAAATCCGGTCACGCCAACTGACCGAAGAAATAGTGTGGTAAAATGAGAGAGTGACGAGAGAAATGGACTTTTTTATTGGCAGAATTTGGTGTGAATTATGAATGAACAAGGAAAACACGAGAGGAACCCCCCACTTTAGTTTATTTGTTTTTGGGAAAAATATATTTTTAGGTTAGAGAAAAATCCACGTGACAAATTTCAAAATGAAAAATTAAGAAATTTTAAGCCCGGATTTTTTAGGTTTCAAAAATCTTGTGAATTCAATTTTTGAAAATTGAAAAGGGTTTTTATGAAATTCCTTCTCTCGCTAAAATTCCACATTTTTAAAGTTTTGAAATATTTTTTGGATTAATAATTTATCTAATCTTCTCAAAAATGTTTGAATTATGATGAAACTTTTTGAATTTGGAAAATTTTGGCACTAAAAATTCACTGACCATTTTCATTCTGGGAAAAACAGGGAACCCTATAATTAAGTAGTAGATTTTTCGTATTTTGTCCAGTTTTTCTCCATTTTTTCTGTGACCAGCAAAAAAAAGCGAAAAGAAGATGGATATATTTGAATTTTCAATTCCAATTTATTTTTTTCGAATTTGCATTTTTGAGAAAAGAATATTAGTTTTTTGTGTCCTTTTTTGGAATTGAAAGAAAATTGGAAAATTTTTGAGATATTAAAAATTTTTTGGATATACTTTTTAATTAGTTTGGGAATTTTTTGTGCCAAAATTTTTTCAGTATAAAAATTTCACTGTTTCAAATTTTATGTAAATAATATTTATCACCACACAATTTCGATTATTTCCTAATTGCAGTTTGAAAAAAATATAAAAAATCAAACCAGATTGATTTTCACATACAAAATAATTCACAAATTTTTGAAACAGTGAAAATTTCAAGATGAAAAAATATAATTCAAATTTTGGCCCCCGAATTCCACGTGGAAATTTGATTTCTATTTTTTTGAAGTTCCCAGCATGCAAATTCAATCAAAATCTTTTAAAGTGAACATTTTAATTTACAAAAAAGCTTTGAAACAGTGAATTATTTTCATAGGAGACACAATTCATACCGAAATTCATTAAAGCTCATTTCAAATAATAAAAAACTTTGAAACAGTGAAATTTTTGAGATTTTTTGCTCACATTAATTTTCATTTCTAACTAGGGGCTGTTAGCCCCCAGGCGTAACAGTCTTCTCATTTATTTCAGTTTCGCTTTTTTCTGTGATTATTTTCAATTTTCTGTGGAAAACAAATTCATGAAAAATTTCAAGTTTTTTTATCAAAAAATGACTCGTGGCAAAATCAGGAAGGCTTCCTAATTTGGATGACGTCATCGATCAATTTTTTGAAAAAAAAACTTATTTAATTATTTTTTGTATTAAATGTACTCTTAAGAGGTAACTCACACGAATTACAATCAAATTTATAAAAAAATTTCAAATTTTTTGATCAAAAAATGACTCGTGGCAAAATCAGGAAGGCTTCCTAATTTTGCAATGGATGAAGTCATCCATCAATTTTTCGAAAAAAAAACTTATTTAATTATTTTTTGTATTAAATGTACTCTTAAGAGGTAAATTATACGAATTACAATCAAATTTATAGAAAATTTCAAATTTTTTGATCAAAAAAAATTTGCCACGTGGCTTTTTTTCCAAAATTCGTGGAACATATTTTTAATTAGTTCAAAAATTTGTGTTCTCTTTCAAATTTCTTTATGCATCACTGCCTGATTTGCACTTCATTAACTTATATTCAACAAATTTCTGGGTGGGGGAAAAGGCGGACGAATTGAATAAATAAATATAATCCCTTTCTCCTTTTTCGTTGACATTTTGATGAAATTTTTGGAGAACGCTCGAACTTTTTCTTTGCAAAAAAAAATCAAGTCTACAGTAGTATTTTTCAGATTTTTTTTGTTCAGTTCATGCACATTTAAATTCTCGAATATTTGAAAATTTTTGACCTACCCCTAAAAATTTTGCAAATTAATCAAAAATGCATCGAAAATTTGGGCGGAGGCCAATATGTTTCTTCTTTTTTTTTCAAAAATTTTCTATTTTGTGTTGACACAAAACAAAAACGTAATTGGGTTTTTTTCATGAAAAATTTCTGCACCAAAAATGCAAATTTTTTTGTTGTGAAACCAAAAAATAGGAAGCTAGGAAGAATCCTTTGGGATTTTTTTGGTCCAGAAAATTTTTGTGAAAAAACATTTTTTCACTTTTTTTCTGCCGCCAAAAAACTGAGAAAATTGGAATTTCCGATTAGGGTCAATCGAATTTCTAATTGTTTTGTACTTGAACTTTTTTTCGCGAAATTTGACATTTTTGGCGCCAAAAAACCACGTGGCAATATTCTTGAATTTTAATTTTTCGAATATTTCTCGTACTAAATCAGGAATTTAAATTCTTGTCCAAAACAAAAACAATTTAATAATTTATCTTGTTTTTTCTGGGAGGCACCCAAAAAAAGAGGAAAAATTGGAAATTTTTTGGCGATTCGCCAAAAAAAGGGGAAGTGAAGATGAATTTTTGATTTAGTGCGCTTCCCCTTTTTTTTCGTGGCCCTCATTTTTCGGTGTGTTTTGAAGCGCTTTAGCTTTGAATTGAGAAAAATCTGGATTTTTAGAGCTAAATTTTGTTCATGAAAATTAATTTTTTAAAGATGCTTTTGTTGACAATCATTTTCCACATTCCGGAAAAATTTATATAAAAATTTTGAAACAGTAAATTTTTTTAAAGAACAAATTGGTCAGAAGCTTTTTTTTTTGTTTTCCCTTCAAAAATTTGTGAAAATTTTGAAACAGTAGATTTTTTTTCGCAATTTTTTTTTTGAAACTGCCACCAGGATTTTTGCGCTCATGTCCCTTTAAACTACCGTAATCGTCTATTTTCTCTTCAAATCTTCCGCCAAATCTCAATTTCCTTTCTTTTTCCTTCCTTTTCTTTTTTTCAAACTAAAAAAGTAACAAGTAAATTTATGTTTTTTTAGTCGTTATCTGATTTTTTTTCCTCTTTGGCGCAAGGAAAAAACTTTTGGAAGCTGTCAAATTCAGCTTTTCCTCCAATTTTATTTATTTCTATTTTTATTTGTTAATATTAAATGTACCGGAAAATCCTTTTATTTTTTTCTTCTTTTGCTGAAAACTTTAAAAAAAAAGCAATAGCGCGCACCGGGGTTTGAAATCCATGACCATCGCGACAAAAATCTGGAGCGCTACCACTGCGCCACGCCACGTTTTGAAACCCCGTGCGGAAAATGTTGTTTATTATTTCGGTGTCCCTGGAGCGCACTTGAATCATCACAAAAAAATTTTTACAAATTTTTTTGCAGAAGAAAAATTGAATGAAGCCTCTCAATATTTTGTTGTTTTCTTCTGCTTTTCTTGAAAATCAAAAAAATAAAAATAATATATTTTTTCTTTGTTTTGTGTTTTTTGTTGGGAGAATTATTTCCGGAAAAAAGATATATTCATAGAAAAATAGAAAATGAAAGTATCTAGGAGGCATTTGATTGTTGTTAGGAAGAGATTTTCGTATATTCATAAAATTTAGCATTTTCTGATATGCTAGGCTGACAAAAATGAGATAATGTGGTATTTAAATACAACATTTATTTTTTACACGTTTACAAAAAATGCAATTTTACAATATGCAATTTTACAATTTTACCCATTTGCAAAAAATACCAGAATACAACCTTTTTTTCTGCCTTGGCAAAAAAAATCATCGAATACAACATTTCGCATTTTTCCAACACGATTCCACGTGGAAGCAAAAACAAAATACAGTAAACCTCTTCCGTTTATTCTATCTAGAACAAAAAGTCTAAAATGCTCATTCTCAATTAAATTTTGTTCAACTGGATATGGTGTAAATTGGATGGTGGAAAACCGTTTTCAATCAGAGCAATTTCCAAATTCAGAAAAACTGAGTTTTGAAATTCGTCATAATCGAGGCTTCAAGGCAAATATCACTGCCCTTTTACATGATTTGGTAGCGATAAAAATGATAAATTATTCGTAAAGAGCACAGTTATACTATTCAATTCGCTTTCTAGCAACACCTTAATTGTTTCAATAACATTTTCTGAACAAAAAGTACCACAAAATTGTTGAAATTTTGAGTAAATTAAAAAAATGTTGTATTCTGGTATTATTGTATTCTGGTATTTCTAATAAAAAAATCATTGCATTCTGGTATCATTAAAAAAACGTGAGTTGTATTCTGGGCGGCCATTTTTGGCATTTCTAAAAATGTTGTATTCTGGTATTATTTTTGCCAGCCTATGATATGCTACAATGGGTTTTAGGGGTTTTAAATTTGCCACGTGGATTTTTTTCCGCCAAAATTTATCCAAACTAACACCAAACTACGATCAAGGGCAAACTAAAGTATAGTTCTACCTCTCTTTCTCTCACACTCTCTCCCTTTTCCTCACTCTCTCGCTGCTCATTTTCTTATTCGAAAAAAAAAAACAAGTGTTATGAAAATTTCACTGTTTCAAAGTTTTTTGATATTTTTTTGGTTTGAAATTAGTTTTATTATTGCTTTTAAATAAAATAGAAAATTCACTGTTTCAAAATTTCTGTAAACCAAAATTAGTTGTGAAAATTTTGATCTTCAAACAAAAACCTTAAAAATTCCATTTTTTTATTTAGAAAATTTCACTGTTTCAAAAATATTTGAAATATATTTCTTTGAAAATACAGATGGTGCATATGTAGAAGTGTCTGTGGCAAAAAATCCCCAATTTCCACCATTTTCACACCCAAAAATCTCACTTCAAAACTCAAAAGCAAAGCTTTTTGTTTTTCGCGCGCTTTTTGTTGTGTTTTCTGCTTCCAAAAAACCCCACTTAATTTCATCTTTTCCCCCCTTTTTTCACAGCATTTTCTTCCATTTTCTCTCTATTTTTCCACTTGAAAAACCTTTATTATTTATTTATTTATGATTGTTTCTATTGTTTTGGTTTTAGCGCCGAAATTGTGTTCTTTTCTTTTTTTTCAGCTAGCAAATTTTCTGAAATTTTGCAATTTTTATGGCTAAAAAATTAGAGCGCACCGAAATAATCAACAAAATTTTCACCCAGCTTTTAAAAGTGGGCGTGGCGCAGTGGTAGCGCTCTAGTTTTTGATGGCGAAGGTCAGGGGTTCGATCCTCGCTGCGCGCGAAATTTTTTATTTTTGTAATTTCTCGATTTTTTCAGCCGAAAAAATGGGAGCTCGCCTGGCTTGCTCATGTTCACAAGCCGAATGTTTTTCTGGATCTACAGATGAATCGACATTACGGTAGGTTAAAGGAACATGGGGAACCAAATTTTTCTTGTTTATTTACAAACAAAATTTTTGTTTGTTTCATCAATCATCAAACTTGAACCCTTTTTTTCCGAAAAAAAATCCCCAAGAGGATTTTTATTTAGAAAAATTATATATATTTTTTTGTTGGTTGAAGTGTTTGAAGAGGGAAGTTAGAAGAAGTGTGAAATTGGGCGATGCTAATTAGAAAAACAGAAAAAAACATAGACATTTGGATAAATAGGATAGCTGGAAACTAGAAACTAGAACTAGATTTGGTTTTTTTTGAGGAAAAAAATCTGAAAATTTTGAAACAGTGAGTTTTTTGGTGGAAAATTCAATAATTTTGCAAAACATTTTTTCACTGTTTCAAAAATTTTTTAAATGAAAAATAATGGTTTTGAGAAGCTGATTGCGTCTTCTAACTCCAATTTAAAAACAATTTAAACGTGAAATTTTTTTTGAAAATCCACGTCTACCGAGAAAAAAAAACGTGTCCCATTTTCAAAATTCAATCTAGAAAATTGTGAGTTTTTTGGAACGACTTTCTGAAAAAAAAATTTGGTTAAAATTCAAATTTCGAGGAATTTCCCAATTTTCAATCTATTCTTCAATATTCCAACAAAAAAAATTTTTTCAAAGTTCAATTGTGATGGCCCATTAAAATTTCATCCAGTAAATTTTTTATATGAAAATTTTGAAACAGTGAATTTTTTAGTAGAAAATGGAATAATTTTTGCAAAATTTTTTCCACTGTTTCAAAAATTTTTTAAATGAAAAATAATGTTTTTGAGAAGCTGATGAATCTCCAACTCCAATTTTTTTCAAGTTTTCTTGACAAAAAAAAAATCGGAGATTTTTTGAAACAGTGAAATTTTTCAATGAAAATTTGGATTTTCTGATAATGCTGGTGGAATAATGCTATACGGAACATTTTTTGAAAAAATCTGAAAATTTTAAGGAAATTTTAAAAAAGTAAAAATTTTTATTCAATTTTTTCTAAAAAAAAATCCAAGCGTGAAATTTGTCCACGTCTACAGAAAAAAAAAACGTGCCCCATTTTCAAAATTTCTCATTTTCTTCAAAATTCAATCTAGAAAATTGTGAGTTTTTTTAGGACTTAAAAATATAAAAAATAAAAAATTTGGTTAAAATTCAAATTTCCCGGAGTTTCCCAATTTTCAATATGAAAATTCTTCAATATTCGAAAAAAAAACAATTTTTTCAAAATTTAATTGTGATGGCCCATTAAAATTTCATACAGTCAATTTTTTATATGAAAATTTTGAAACAGTGAATTTTTTAGTTGAAAATGCAATAATTTTTGCAAAATTTTTCCACTGTTTCAAAATTTTTTTAAATGAAAAATAATGGTTTTGAGAAGCTGATGAGTCGTTGATAACTCCAATTTTTTCAAGTTTTCAAAATGTTGGAGATTTTTTGAAACAGTGAAAGTTTTCAATGAAAATTTGGATTTTCTGATAATTCTGGTGGAATTATGATCTACGGATCATTTTTTTGAGAAAATCTGAGAATTGTAAGGAAATTTTGAAACAGTGAAAATTTTTAATCAATTTTTCTAAAAAAAATAACCCAAGCGTGACATTTTTGAAGATCCACGTCTACCAAAAAAAACGTGTCCAATTTTTAAATTTTTTCATTTTCCTCAAAATTCAATCTAGAAAATTGTGACTTTTTTTGGGACGACTTTCTGATAAAAATTTTTGTTAAAATTCAAATTTCGAGGAAATTCCCAATTCATTCTTCAATATTCGAAAAAAAACAATTTTTTCAAAGTTCAATTGCGATGGCCCATTAGAATTTCATCCAGTGAATTTTTTTTAAATGAAAATTTTGAAACAGTGAATTTTCGAGAATAATTTTCAATGCATTTTCTGAGGGTTCACAGGTTTTTAAGCCAAATTTCAGCATTTTTCACCCAAAAATCCACGTGGCATTATAGAAGGTTATTCTGGTTAAATTATTCATCTTAATTTTTTTTTAGAATTTTTGAATTCAACTTATAATTGATGCCATTCTCAAATAATTTTTTTCTTTAATTTTTGAAACAGTGATTTTTTTGTTGCAGAATCGATGCCGAAATTTTCGAGCTCTCTGCAGATGGACAAAAATGGCAGAAGTTGGATGAAAAGTTGGCAAAGGTGATGGATTTTTCGCACCAATATTAAATTTTTCATTTTCAAATTATCATTTCAGATTCGTGTATTCAACAATTTCGACGAATCTCAGCCCCGCCTTTTGGCGACTTCTTCAATTACTGGACAAGTTCTCATTGATACACTAATTCCAATTGGTTAGTTTCTTTTTTCTTTTTGATTTTTCTCTTGTGTTCTTTTTTTTTCTAGAAGTGAAATTAGAAATTGAAAAGAAAAAAGGGAATAGATAGCATAATTAGTTAGATTCATTTGAGAAAAAAGGGGAATTTTTGTTGAAGAAAATTTTTGGTTTTTGAATTTCTAGAAAAATTCACTGTTTCAAAAATTATTTGAAAAACTTGACGTTTGATGAATTTCTGATGATTTAATTCTCCGATTGTGGAAAAATTTATGGGTTTGGAAAATTATTGCTAACGAATTGAATTTCTGAAAATGTTCACTGTTTCAAAAATGTTAGAAGGTTTCAAATATTGAATTTCTCAGAGTTTCACATGTAGAAATATGATAAATATTATTTTTTTGAGATCTAAAATTTTTCACTGTTTCAGAAATTCTTATGATTTTATTTTGAGTTTGATTATTTTGATATTCGAACCAACAACATTGCAACGTTTGATAATCGGATAATTTTTCACCGTTTCAAAATATCTAGAAATTTATGTAACTTTTCTCTAAACCTATTACTTCTGTAGAACAAATTTCTAAAATTAATCTAAAAATTTCACAGTTTAAAAAATTTCAATTTGAAAAACAATGAACGATTCGCAATGACTTCCAAATTTTATTCAAAGAAAATCTCACTGTTTCAAAAATCCCCCATATCATTTCTCAAAATCTTTCAATTTTCTTCCCAAAAAGGTGTGGTTCTGCCACTAGAAAATGCATGAATTTTCGCCGAAAAATCAGCCAACAATTTTTTTCAAGACTATTTTTTTCTGTGTTGTCACCTTTCTCTCAATAATAATATTAATTTTCTGTCACATTTTTCGGTGAAAATTTCAAGTGCTTATCAAATAAATTATTTTGATTGCTTTATTTTTGTGGCTCCCACACAATTTTATTACGAAATTTAATTTTCAGTTTTTTTTACAAAAAACTTTGATTTCAGGTGAAAAAGTGCACAAAGTGAGCGATTTTTTCGTGTATATTCGAGCCGAGAATTTTCAAACTTTTGGATTTAACACACTCAGCGCACGGGATACATCACTATTGATTTCGCAGGTATTTTTTCAGATTTTTTCTTACAAAAACCATCAAAATTCTTTTTTTTTCCAGACTTCAAATACAACTCCTTTCAATATGTTTCAACATTCTTTCACAGCTTCTGTTTCAAGAATTGCGACTTTTGAGCAAGATTTAATTCAGGAAAATCATGAAGAAGCTGAAGTCACAAATGTATCACTCAATCCGCTGAATATGGTTTTTAATTATAAAAATCAGCCGGTTACTATTGATTTGGTGGGTTTTTTTTGAAACAGGGAATTTTTAGAAAAAATCATGAGTTCAAAATTTAATCACACAGGAATCATTTTTTTTATCCAGAAATTTCAGTTATCAAAATTTTGAAACAGTAGATTTTTCAAGAACATTTTCTCACTATAAATAAAACTTATATAATTGATTCGAGTTGAAAATTATTTGAAACAGTGAATTTTTTGTGGGAAAATATTTGTTGAGAAAAGGAAAATTGATAATTTTTTAGATTAACGAAGAAGCGGAGAATATAAAATTTTCGAAACAGTGGATGTTTTTTTTTCGTAATTTTGAGATTTGAAATTATCAATTTTTAATCTAACAATTTTAAATTACAAAATTTTGAAACAGTAGATTTTTCAAGAAAATTTTCTCACGACAAATCGATTTTTTTTGAAACAGGAACTTTTCCGAAATTATCATTTTAAAAATTTTCAACATAGATTGTTCTATGGTAACACAATTTTTATATAGAAATTAAAAATAATAAATTTTTGAAACAGTGACATTTTCTTAAAATTCGAGCACGGTACTTTTTTATCCTAAATTTTCACAAACTATTGAAAAATTGCGTGAAAATTATTTTTGCAAATTTAGAAACAGTAAAATTTTTTTAGGATAATTTTTACTCAATAAAAAATATAATAAATTTATTTCCTTAAATCGCCAAAACTCCACACATCACTTTTTGAAACCATTGAAAATGATTTGTTCGAAATTTGAAACAGTGAAAAATTTTAGACCAATTTTTTGGTTGTTTTCGTTTCGAGAAACGAGCTTTGATATTTCGCAGTTTTTTTTCGAAAAAAATTCACTGTTTCAAATAATTTTCATAGCAATTGTTTGTTTTTTTTGGAAATTGATCATCTATAGCTAGTTGGTTGGCAAAGTTTCACTGTTTCAAAATTATTTTATGAAATTTTTCCGAGAATTTTGAATTGCTAGATTTTGCATCAGGGGTTGTGTGTATTTTTATCATAAAAATTTCTGAATTTTCACAATTCCTCTTTTTTTCAGCTCGAAAGCTTTGCCTGTTCAAATCTGGAAAATTCAGTTGACATAACTCATGCCAACAATATATTCCGTGTTCATGTCTCAGCTCATGCTCATATGTTCCTAATTCAAGCCCTGAATATCTCAAGTCTTCTACTTGCTCGAACTTCTTCGCCAAACGTCGCAATTCAATATTTGACACGTCAAAATGAGAAAATCCAACAGAAATTGATTGGTTTGTTGGAATTATCGGAATCGAGCGAAAATCCGACACGGGAAGAAGTTCGACAAATGTTGTTGTTGAAAAATGTGGTGGTGACGCAGAGGATTTGTGCATTACAGCAGACAGTATTGCCTGGAATTGAGGTAGGATTGATTTGACAGGGGGGGGGCTAAGAATCCACGTGGCACATTTGAAACTCCAAAAATTTTGACGGCAAAAAACTATAATTTTTTGCATTAAAATATGCTCTGGCATCCAAACTTCAAAATTTCGTAGATTTATGCATTTTTTTTGAAACAGTAGATTATTTTTGAAATATTTTTCAAGCTTCAGAAAAAAAAAATTGCATTTTTTTGTTTTTTTTTTCGAAACGGTAAAATTTTGTCAGTGAATTTTTGAACTGTTTATGCCAATATCAACTGAAAATTAGTTTTGCGTCAAAAATTCATAGAATTTTTGAAACAGTAGATTTTTCTTAGGTTTTTCTTTCAATTCCTGAAGTGATTCAAGTTGAAGATTTTCTCAATCTGAATTTGAGTTTTGCTTTTTTGAATAAAACTTTTTTGAAACTGTGGAATTTTTTTTTCGGAAGAACACCAAAGCATTGACGCCAATAATCCACGTGGCAAATTTCGATTTTTGGTACCCAAATAAATTATAATATCAAAAATTTTAAAATTCTAAAGATTTATGCTTTTGTTCGAAACAGTAGATTTATTAGGAAATTTGAAAATTATGAACATTTATGCAAGGACATAACAAACATACACTTCTGCTCAAATTTTCATCAAATTCATGAAACAGTGGTTTTTAGCAGTGAATTTTTCTTCTAAATACCATGTTAAATACCAACTAAAAATTAGTTCGGCCTCAAAAATTCATAGAATTTTTGAAACAGTGAATTTTTGAAGATTTTTTTTCACTATGAATTTGAGTTTTGCATTTTCTTTATTCAAACTTATTTTGAAACGGTGAAATTTTATAGCTTCAAGCATTGATCAGAAAACAGTTTTTTGTTCAAAATTTTAGCGAATTCTTGAAACAGTGAATTTTTTTTTCATAATTTTCTATTTATTCGTTTTTCACTTGTTATCGTTTCCAAAAAATCCCAATTGAAAATATCAAAATTTTGAAACAGTGAATTTTTGCCTGCAAATAAATTAGGAATTACTTTTTTTTTCAAGAAAAAGTATTATTTTCTCCTCTCTTCACATTTTTGTTTATCCGTTGTCTCATCGAATCTCGTCAACTAAAAAAAGTGTTCAAGCTTAAATTAGATCAGCGGAACTTTTTTATTTTGGTCACTTGTTTTTTCTAGGAAAACCCTGGCGCAAATGTTATTTTTATTATTTTGGTGTCCCGGGTTTGCGTTAGAGCGCACTTGCAAAATTTTTCGAAATTTAAGAATTTGTCTTACTGTACCTCCCTTTAAAATCAATCATTCATTCATTCATGAATGAATGAACAAATAAACAAACAAATATAAAAAGCAGGAAAAAATTAATAATAAAAGTAATGTACAAATTTTTGATTCTTCTTTTTTCCGCCTCTAAACAAACAACATTTTTCTTTTTTTTTTCTGCAAAAAAAAGTTTTTCCTCATATTTTTTTTGGCCGCGCCCTTTTGAAAAGAAAAGCAGTCCAGCCAAGAAGAAATTATTAATTCAAGGGTCTTGAGAAATTCTCATCGTCTTCTTCAGAATAGTAATATTTTTGAGAAGAATTTGACACTTGTGTACTTTTTTTTTGGATGAGTGCTTGTTGACCGGATTTTTTGGAGATGATTTTTGAGACAGTGGATTTTTGGTTTCAAAAAAATTTTTAATTATTTTTTAGAACCTTTTTTCGATCAAATTAATAGGTTTTCAGACTTTGTAGAATTTTTAAATCAAATTTTTGAAACAGTGGATTTTTTCTTGTGAAAGCATAGGTGAATTAGAATTCGGGCAAAATTTTGTTATCATCTTATCAAAACTTAATTTTTTGTAGAAATGATTTGCGAATTTTTGAAACAGTGAGATTTTTTTGGAAAAAAAAATTTTCTCACCAAAAAATTGATTTTTTTTCTGAAACAGTGAAAAATTTAAGTTCTATTTTCATAAGTTTTTTAAAATTGTATTTGAGGTCAAAGACTGCACTAGAAAACAAATCAAAAATTTTCTAAAATAAATTTTTGAAACAGTAGAATTTTTTAAGATTTGATGATCTCAATATTTGTTTTTTGTCACAAAATTTTAATGATTTTTTTGAAACAGTGGATTTTGTTATCATTTTGATTTGGTTGTTAGTAACGTTTCCATTTTCACCAAAAACCCTAATAGAATTTTTGAAACCTATTTTTTCCTGGATTTTTTATCTTCTAGAAAAATCGTAATAATTTCTAGCACCACATGTTTTCTCTTCTCAAAAACACTTTTTTCTGTTCTCCTGAATTTTCGCGAGAAACTTAGGCTAACTCAAAAAAACCCTCGTTTTTTTTGTTGCTATTTTCATCCGTGCGCTGACCTATTCTTGTTGGTTTTAGGTTTACAAGCGAAAAAGTCGACGGCGGACCCCGTGTTAATCCCTTTTGTCACACACACACACAAAAAATGTTCATCTTTTCAATACAAAAAAAGTTCCGTTTTTACGAGAAAAAAAAGAGATGTATCTAGCTAGCAGCACATTTATTAACTAGAGCAAATACTAGAGAAAAACCTGAATTTTGCAAAAAAAGTGGGAAAAAAAGAGTGTTTTTTGATGAGTTTGTTTCATTTTTTTTGGCACCAATGAATTCTGAAACAGTAAACTTTCTCCCTATTATTTTTCCCTTGAAAAAATATCATAAACAAAATTTTTGCAGCTGATTCAAAACGATATATCAAGTGAAGTGTTGGAAAAATTATTGGACAGTTGTCGACTTTCTTCGCTGTTTTTGTGGCATTTTAATATGAACTCGTTTAGAATGTGAGTTTTTTTTGGTTGGGATTGTAGAGAGGAACTTTAGTTGTTGAACATTAATTTTGATAATAGAATTTTGAAACAGTGAAAATAAGGTCATAAAAAATTTCGAGAAAACGTTTTCCGATCAAATGTACAAATACTTGATTAATTTTTTGAAAACTATTCCCCAAATGTATTTTTATTGAAACAGTGAAAATATTTTGAACCCGTATTTATCAAAAATTTTTGAAAATTAATTGTAAGTATGGATGTTGTATTTTCGAACTATCTCTAATCAATAAAAAATTTACGAATATTTTAATGTTAGATTTTTGAAACAGTAGAAAAATTCAAACATTGTTTGTGGAATTCTGGAATTTCGGGACTTTTTGTTACGTATGTATGGTTTATCATTGAAATTTTAGTTGAAAAGTTCATACTAGATTTTTGAAACAGTGAATTTTTGTAGATATTTTTTTCTAGAATTCTTATAACACAAACGCATCAAAAAATCATCCGGAAATTTTTTAAATGATTGTTTTGAAACAGTAGAAAAGTTAGGGGAGTTTACAAAAAAAGAATTATCATTGAAATTTCAATTGGATAATTTTCACATAATTTTTGAAACAGTAAATTTTTATAAAGTTCGATAGGACATACTCATCAAAAATTATCCAAAATAATTTTTCAAATCATTTTTTTGAAACAGTAGAAAAGTTTGGAGATGTATCATTGTAGTTTCAATTGGAAAACTTTAAATTAATTTTTGAAACAGTTAAATTTTTCAACCAAAAATATTATTTTTATTTTAACTTTAACAGCTTCAAAAAAATCAGAAAAAAATAATTAAAACTTTTGAAACAGTGAATTTTCTCTTTATTTTCTAAGCACCTTAAACATTTCCATTATTTTGTTGTGTTGTTCTTGAACTTGACCAGCATTAAAGCAGAAAACCTTTCCGCCACAAAAATATTACAAAGAAATAACCTTGGGATTATGTCCTAATTATACCTACTTATTTATGTTTATTATTTATTTCCCGCCCTTCCCCTCATAGAAAAATTGAAAATAATTTATTTTTCTACCTAAAATGACAAGATTTTCTAGTTGGCGAAAACCGATGGAATTTGAGATGATGGTCCCGTCGACTTCAGCCAATCAAAATTCGATTATTCATCATATTCCGATTCAACAAGTTAGCGCAACTCCTCCCATTGGAAATTTGAATTTGAATTTGAATTTGAATTCGGCCGCGCAAAAATCGGATGATCATGTGACGACACATAATGGAACTACAACTTTTCATGCATCTACGCCAACACAGCAAAATGTGAGTTTTTTGGGCACCAAAAATCTTAGAAAAAATTACTGTGGATTCATTAGATCAATACATTATCGCAAAAATTTTTGAAAAAAAAATTATGAAATTTTTGAAACAGTGAAATTTTTTAGAATAAAAAAAAAATTCAAACCCCAAATTTTGGAGCTAAAATTTTGATTGTCACTGGGGTTACTGTAGTTTGAAAAAAAATAAGCGTTTTATTTATAAAGGTTACTGTTGATCCGATTATTGGAAAATGATTTGTGAAACATTTTGAAAACAATTTTTCAAGTTGAACGATAAATTTTTTCAGAATTTTGAAATTTTATTACAGTAGTTTTTGGCGCCAGAACTTTTCGATTAATAATCGCTAAACTTTCCAAAAAAAATTATTTTATGAAATTTTTGAAACACTGAATTTTTTAGAATTAAAAAATAATTTCAAACCCCAAAAATTTGGCGCTAAAATTTTGACTGTCACTGGGGTTACTGTATTTTATTTCAGAATGTAGTTCTCTCAAAAATATGGTCTCCTACAGTAATCCCTTTGAACTTTGGCGCCAAAATAATTAAAGGATTACTGTATTTTTTTACGTCATATGATTTATTCGAATTCTGAACATTAAAAATTTTTTTCAACAAAAAATCTAGATTTTTTGAAACAGTAGAAAAATGAGCACTTGAAAAAAAAACTTGATTTTTTTTTCTAAACAAAAAATAAATAAATAAATACTTGAGCTCATTTTTTGGCACCGGAAAATTTTTTCAAAATTTTCAGATTCCCTCAACATCTTCTGCGATGGTTTTGGAGGCTCCGAATCCGGATGATTATCATGTGAGAAAAACGAATGGAAGATTGGGTTTGACAATTTATGCACATAATGAAGATGGAATTATTCGGGCTGAGGTAAGTGAAGATTTTTTACTGTTTCAGGATTTTGAGAAATTTTTGAAGAGATATTTGTTAATGTTGTGGTCAAATATGAAACATTATTAAAAAAAGGAGAAAATTAATTTTCCGAAATTTTTTTTTTCACTGTTTCAAAATTTTGGGATAAATAATTTTTGAAATATTTTTTGTTCGGATGATTGATGCTTGTGTGCTCTTCAAATATTGCAATTTTTCAAGTTTTCTGTAAGAAATCTGAAAAAAAATTAGCGAAAAAATTCACTGTTTCAGAATATTTTTGAATCAAATTTTGGAACTGTTTAGATAATTTGACATCTCCTCTTAAGTTCCCTCAAAAATTCGATTAAAAATTAACTGTTTCAAAATTTAGAAATAATCAATTTTCCGACATTTTTCAATTATTCTAGACACATGCTCCCTTACACGACGATTTACTCCAATAGAAAATTGCCCCTCGGGTCAGACGAGAGACGACGGGAGTCTGATGACGTCATCTGGGACAGAGAAAGATATCGCTTCGAAATATTTTTGAGAAAATATGTGTCCCTTTGAAAAAATACCGTATTTTGTTTCAAGGAACACATGTTTTATTGAAAATATCTCGAAGCGAAATTCATTTTCGGCATATTTTTGTAAAATACTCTCGTCGTCTCGCGTCTGACTCAACGGGCGCCTTGTATGGTCGTGCTTATATAAAATTTTACTGTTTCAAAATTTTGGGATAAATAATTTTTGAAATATTTTTTGTTCGATTGATTGATGCTTGTGTGCTCTTCAAATATTTTTTTCAAGTTTTCTGTAAGAAATCTGGAAAAATCCACTGTTTCAGAATATTTTTGAATCAAATTTTGGAATTGTTCACATAATTTGACATCTCCTCTTAAGTTCCCCTCAAAAATTCGATAAAAAAATTCACAAAAAATTAACTGTTTCAATATTTAGAAATAATTAAGTTTGTGGAATTTTCAATGATTTTCGGAAGAAATATTAATCAAAATTTTACTGTTTCAAAAAATTTGATTTAAAAATTGGGATGTCTCAAATTGTGATCGTTCCATGTCCTCCTACTGAATTTTTTATTTAAAAAATTTTACTGTTTCAAAAATTTAATATTTTGAAAAATTTTAATGCTATCAGGTCCCCTTTCAATCTGAAACCTAAAAATATTCAATTTCCTGAAAAAAAAACGTACAGAAATTTTTACTGTTTCAAAAAAATATGAAAAAATTTAATTGTTTTTCTTTTTTCGATATTCATATTAAGTGTCGTCAGTGAAAATTGTTAAAAATTTTGACTGTTTCAGAATTTTCTGAAATAACAAAACAAATCAGAAAAAATTTGAAAATTTCAAAAATTATGGAGCCAAAAAACCACGTGGCAAACTCGAAAAATTCAAAAAATATTCTTGCAGGTGCGCGGTGTGACATCTTTTGCTCCCCGTTCTGCTCAAGTTGGCGACTCAGTTATAGCTGTGGATGGAGAGCTAATTTCATCTGTAAAAAACGCTTCTGATGTTGAAAAATTGCTGAGAATCGGAAAAGTGATTCATTTGCGTCGAAAAACTCCGCTTCCTCGACCAATGACACAAAATGATAGAAAAGAATGTGCGAAACTGTCGATGGCACTTCAAGAATTACTTCAAACTGAAAAGAAATATGTGGCCGATTTGAGAGAAATGAATGATATTTTCTTGTGTATGAGAGCTGTGAGAGATATTATGCATTCGTCTTTGAGATTGTTTAAAATTCAAATTTCGTTTGTTGATTCAATTGAAGAAGCGATTGGAGATTTATCGAGGACTGATATTTCGATGGCACAAATTAGGGTGAGATTTTAAACTTTTTTTCTGACTTTTAGAAAATTAGAAAAGAGTATTTCCAAATTAATGCCTAAAAATTTATTCACGCTTGTTATTTTATTTTTGAAACAGTGAATTTTTTATTACAAAAAATTCACTGACCATTTTAAATATTTTTTTGAGCCGCAAAATGTTTTTCGAAGGATTTCTAGAATCTCAAGCCTTCTAAAAATATCACTGTTTCGAAAATTTATTTTATATTTTTCGAAATTTATTTAAATTGATTCATCAATACTGGCAACATGTGAAAACCTTAGAAATTTTGAAACGTAGATTTTTCGGTGTCAAAATATTGCGCTCGATGAAAACTACAAAAAAAATTAATTTTTAAAATTTATGACGATTTTGAAACAGTGAAAAAATGTAGAATTTAATAATCACAATTAAATTCACCCTAATTGAAAAAATTCACTGTTTCAAAATTTTCATGAATTTTATTCGAGGAAGTTTGAAAGCAGTGTTTTTGTTTTAATCCGTGGAAAATCTGGAATCAAAACTAGCCATTATTGAAATAAACAATGACAATAGAAAACTTCAAGAAATTTTGAAACAGTAGATTTTTTTAGAAACCAAAAAATATTTGACTGTTTCAAAATTTTGTGAAATTAATTTGAAAAATTGGGAAGTGTTAGATCCGTATTTCTCTTTAAAATTTGGCAACTGTAATTTTTTGAGAGAAAGTTCAATTTCAGTAACATTCGAAAATATTCGTGAAACTGTTTCAAATTTTTCTGAAAATCTGGAATTTATGGTTTCGAAAAGAACTAAATTCACTGGAATATATGTTCTCAACTAGGAGGAAACTTTCCAATAAAAAACGCAAAAAAATATGACATTTCAAAAAATTTTGAAACAGTAGATTTTTTAAAAACCAAAAAATTCGACTGTTTCAAAATTATGTGAAATAAATTTGAAGAAATCTGGAAGCGGTTTTTACGGCATTGACGACAATTTATAAAAGTTAGATTAAGGACAAATTTGTTTTTTTTTGATTTTTTTTTTCAAGAAATTTTTGAAACAGTAAATTTTTAGAGCGCCAAAATTTTTTTAAATCATGTTATTTTTGCAGGATTCCGTGATGCGAGTCTGCGCAGTGTTCGTAAACAAATGTTCGGATTTCAAAATCTACGCGGAATATGCTTCCGCCTATCTTCGCCTCCAACACGAAATCAAACACAAAAAAGATTTGCTCGCCAAATTAGAAGCCGTAAATATATCCAAAGAGCAACATTGCTCATATGAATCTCGAATGATCAAACCAGTTCAACGAATAGTTCAATATCCTTTGCTTCTCAAAAATATACAAGAAGCATTGCCAAAAGAAGCAAAAGAATATAAAATTCAAGTAGAAACAGCCTATCAAAAAATGGCGACAATTGCAGAATATGTGAATGAAATGCAAAGATTACACGAAGAATATTCACAATATATTGAAACAGTCAAAAAAGCGAATGAGGCAATGTTAATTGAAAAAGGAGCTAGAATTGATACGAGGGAATTATTGATTTTTGCACATATTAAATGGAGAGATGCACCTGCTGAACATTATGTTATTTTTGTTTTTCAAACTTTGATTTTGTTGTTGCCGTCGTATGCGAGGAAAGAGATTAAGGTGAGGGAAATTTGGAGCATTTTGAGCCCAAATATGATTAAATTTCCACGTGGAATTGAAGATCTTTGAATTTGGAGCATTTTGAGCACAAAAATATCTCAAAAACCAAAAAAACTTTTAAAAATTTTACTGTTTCAAAAATTATAGATGTTTGAACATTTTCTCAAATTTTTGATTTCAGAAATTTTTTTTTCAACAAAAATTTTGAAGGTTTTTCTTCCAGTTGCTTTTTCAAAACAAAAAATTTCACTGTTTCAAAAAAATATTTAAATAAAAATTGTGTTAAGGATTTTGTTGAATCTCACTAAAGTTTTGTCCAAATAATTTACTGTTTCAAAATTTTCGGAAATATTTTCGGTTTGTTGGATATACAGTGGATAAATTTAGTAAAATTAAACTCGTATTTTTATAACAAAAAACTTCACTGTTTCAAAAATATTTTGAAATAAAAATTAGTTTTGAGATGTTCGTTATGTCCTTTGCATCAACTTCTCAAACCCAGAAAAATTACTGTTTCAAAAATTCTAGATAATTTTTGAGAATTCCTAAAATTTTTCTAAAAAAATTCTGGATAATTTTCCAGATGAAATGGACACGAGTTCTTCCAATAAATGAAGTAGACATTGATGAAAATTCGCAAGATTCAATGAATCTCAAATTATATCATGCAGCTTTCGAAGGACCAAATGGTCAATTGAGTCATTGTGAGTTGAAAAATCCAAAATTCATTCAAAAATTGCTAATTTTTCAGCCAATCCAAACACGGTGTATAATATCGAATGTTGTCAACCGCAATTAAAAATTCAACTAATTCGAAGTATCAAAAAAGCGCGCGCAAGTTTTTCGCGCGAAAATCATCGACCTTTGAGTGGTTCAAGTCAATCGGATGGTGGATATGTTTCTGAAGTTTCGAAGGATCAGAAAAGATAGCTGGAAATTCCAGACTGGGATTTTGGCTGAAAAAGTTCAAATTCTACGGGTTTTTGTGAATATTTTTCAATAAAAGTTTGAATTTTATCAGCGTCAAAGTTTTACAGTAGAATTCATGGGTTTTTCTGATAAAAATTTCATTTTTTCTCTCAAAATAAAATAAATTTGGTCAAATTTGATCAGTTGAATATAAAACATGTCGAAATTCACATGAAAAGTTCCAGCAACTCTGGTTTTTGTATCCTGGACATAGTTCGATTTCGGGTGGATGAATTGGATAATCCGACAGAAGATCGCTGGAAGAATTGCGGATTTTTTGGGGAAATTTTTGAATTTTCACATGGTTTTTTGTTTTCTATGAAAAATTGCGATAAAAATTACTGTTTCAAAATTTTAACATCAGAATTGTTTTTTTTTAGAAAATTTCAGTTTTGTGTTTTGGAATAATTAAATTAAAAATCGAGCAGAATTCAGCTTTAAAAATTAACTGATATTGAATTTTCGCAGTTTTTTTTAAAATTTATTCTGGCGCCAAATTCATATTTTCAAAAAATTTCCCCATTTTCCAAACAAAAAAAAATTCAAATGGCTGCCAATTTCTGGTATCTTTTAGTACAATTTCTCAATTTTTTTCCTCCCAACAATTATCATAACTTGCTTGTATAATAGTTATAATAATAGAAAATCTATACAAAATTTCACTTTTTTATCAGTTTCATGAAAAATTTTGGTTGAAAAATGCTCACCTTTCCTGATTTTCTTGTGCAAAATAAATATTTTTCTCGTGTGAAAATTGACAATTTTGTGAATTCAAACAATGCCCAAATTTATACAGTATACATTCTTCTTCTTCTTCTGGAAAATCTTGATTTTCTTCTTCTTCTTCTTCAAAAACAAATCCATATCCATCAAGAATTCCAGATTTTTCTGGAATTTCAGCCAATTTATCCGATTTTCTGATCGTTTTTTCCAATTGTTTTCTCAAAATTTCGCGTTTTTTCAGCTCTTCTTCATTATAATTTGATTGATTTTCCTGAATATTCGGCATTTTTTGGGCTGGTTTTGGAGTGGAATTTTGAGAATCTGAGTCGATTTTTTGGGATTTGATTTTCTTCGGATAAGTTTGATTGGTTTGAAGCGCGTCGGACATTAGAACACTCTGTAAAAATTTGATATCGGGTTTTGATAAAAAAAATATATTTTTCAAAAATTTACTGTTTCAAAATCTTGTTATTACAACCTTTTCTGATAAACTTTGATTGAATGGAGAGTTTTATCCGGAAAAAATCAAAAAAAAATTTAAAAATTCACTGTTTCAAAAAATTATTATCCATTTTTGATGAATGTTACAGCGTTTCGCCCACCATTTTTTAAACAAATGAAATTTTCACTGTTTCAAAAATTAAATAATAAATTTGTAGGTAATTTTGAATCCTTAATAGAATGAACTCTCTTATTAAAATTCATTGTCAAAATTAATTTTGTGTTTATTCAAAAATTTGCTGTTTCTAAAAAATTAAAGATTCTTTACTCACTCGTTAAATTCGTCTTTGGTGTGTTCATATAAAATCCCTTTTAAGAATTCACTGTTTCAAAAACAATTTCATTTTTTCTTGATACGAATCCCAATTTGGTTTTAAAAACGTTTTGTTGTTCTGAATATCAATGTTTCACTGTTTCAAAAATTAGGTATACATTTTTGGTGGATTTTTATCTGTTCACGAACTGTGTTTTAGTGAAAATTAATTTTAAATTTCTTTTCAAAACATATTTATCCTACATTTATCGATTTTCAACCATTTTCCCGCCAAAACCGCTCACCATCGCGTCATGATGTCTCCGTTCCATAAACCGAATCCATTCCTCTCTCGTTTCTTCGCTCACACTTTCCATCATCAATTTTTTCAACTCTTCAATATTTCCCTCGCCAATCGGCGTTCTTCCCTCGTCCGAAATCGTGATAACAATATCAGCCGGACGAATTCTTCCTAAATTTTTGATAGAACTTTGTTGTAGGTATAATTTTATCAAGAAAACTTACGTTTAAACTTTGAAAATCCCGACATTTAAACCTGAAAACAAGAGAAACGCGCAAAAACAAAAAAAAACTTATCCTCCGAGAGAAATACACACGACACACACTGTGTGCGATGGAGCGCGTTTGCTTGTTTATCTCTTTTTTGAATGGATTTCTTTTATTTTCGCGCGGAAAAAGTGAAAGAGATTATAATTAGATTATACTTAGTTCCGCGATAAAACAGTTATGATAATTAAATACTATACGATTGTTTTACTATAGGCACTTTTTATTCATTTTCTAATGTTTCTTCTTCTTCTTTCATTGAATTTGTGTCATTTTCTTCTTGACTTGTTATGTTTTTGATTTAAAAATCGTAGATTTTGATTTCTGAATTTTGTCTCTTTTATCAAATTTTCCAAATATTTCTGTATTATATCAAGATTTGTCACTTGGCACAAAAGTCTCATGTGAATTTCTCGAAACTGAACATTTTTGACATTTTTTTATTGTGTATCTCAAACAAAAATCATAAAGAATTCCCCAAAGTTTTTTTCATTAATTTTTTGAAACAATGAACTTTTCTATTTGAAATAGTCGTTCTATTGAAGCTCCGAATTCTCGAAAATATTTATGAAAAACTTGAAACAGTGAAAATTATTTCTGAGAATTTTTTGAGAATTTTTAAAGCCGAAAATCATGTTTTTAATTTCTTGAATACATTTTTTCACTGTTTCAAATTATTTCATAAATTTTGTGAGGTCTTGAATTTTCCGATATGAAGGATAAGAGACCAAAAAATCACTGTTTCAAAAATTGAACAATAAATTTGAGACACTTTCAATTTTTGATATCAGCTTTCTTGGCATTCCGGAACCTCTTGATTTTTTTCACTGTTTCAAAATGTTTTGAACTAATTTTTGAGAAATTCTTGTTTTGATGGTCCGAAATGATGAATATCAACATTCAAATTACTTGATTTTTTTTCACTGTTTCAAAAATTTTAGGAATTATTTCGAGAATTTGAGGTTTCCGATAGTTCGCTAAATTCGTGTTTCCCTTCAAAAAAGCTTGAAAATTGTTTGATTCTTTCTGAAATTTCCAGAAAAAAGTTCACTGTTTCAAAAAGTTTTGAAATATTTTTTTTCGAAAAAAAACTTTGATTTGATGTCTATTTCTACAACTTGTTAGATCAAACTGAGATTTCATGAAAATTCTGCTGGACGAATTTTTTTGGCTTTCAAAAATTTCCACGCGGTTTTTTGGCGCCAAAACACTTCAATTTCTTTTATCCATGAAAAGGATAGGAATAATTATATTTATTTATTTATACAAAAATAATTTATAAATAAATCAAAATGAGATGAATTATAATTGTGTCCACTTTTGCAACTGCTAATTCATCTCTTTTCTTCTTTTTTTTGCCTGTTTCCATTATAATCCAAGTTCCTTTTTCTATTCCTTCATTTTTCCTTATTTTCTCTCTCCATTTTCCCCCAAAAAAGGCAAAAAACCATTGAAATTCACATCTGGCACAATTATTATTCGTCAAACGGATATCCTCTTGTTTTTTCTTCTTTCTCCCCTATTTGTAATATATATAGACATATGTAAATTAGTGTAATTTGAGATTAATTAGCCAAAAGTTTCAAGTGGGTTTGGTTTTCTCCTAATTAGCAAAAAAAAAGAAAAAAAATCGCTCGCACCCGGCTTCGAACCATTGACCATCGCGACAAAAATCTGGAGCGCTACCACTGCGCCACGCCCCTCTTTGAAAACACCTGGGGAAAATGTTGTTGATTATTTCGGTGTCCTGCCGGGTTTCCATTAGAGCGCACTTGCACATCTATCAATTAGCGAAAAGTGCACCCCGGAACTAAAACAACTTGAGATGACGAAAACCATAAATGTGCTCTTGCTCTTTGTGTGTGCGGATATCTCCACTTCACAAATCTTCCATTCAATGTTTACCCATCCATTTCTGGACATGCAAAAAAGAAAATTCTTTTTTTTGTTGAAAACAAAAAAAAATGAATGTGGTGCGTGTTGAGAGGCATTTGTTCGAAAAATATATGTTTCTGGAAAAAACCGCGCATTTTTTTTCTTCACATTTTCCCACTGCTATTGAATTTTTAGTGTTTTTTCATGTTGGCGCTTCTTTTTTTCTTTTTTTTTGTGGTCCGAATATGCATGCTTACACTTGTTCTTTCTTTTTTATCTGATTTTCTTCTTTGAACTTTTCTTTTTTCTTTTTTTTCATGCTTGAGAAGTTTTGAGAGATGTTATTTGGAACAGTGGATTTTTTTTGTTGAGAAAAAAAATGCAGAAAAAATTCACTGTTTCAAAAAATTGATTTAAAAATTCAGAATAGCAATTTTTATTGCGACTTTTCTACAAATAAATTAACTGTTCTAAAATTTTTATAAATATTTGAGTGAAAATTTACTAGTTTTTAATTTTCTCAAAAACAAAAATTCACTGTTTCGAAAAATTTATATAAAAAATTGGAGGCAGAAACTTTCGCTACCATAACGAATTGATCAACAAAAAGTTCGATATCCGCCAAAAGGTTGTCAAAAAAATCCCAAAAAATTCACTGTTTCAAAAAATTGATTTGAAAATTTAGAAGAGCAAATTTTTGATGCCTTTCTGTACAAATAAATTAACTGTTTCAAAATTTGTCAAAAGCATTGAAATTTGAAATTTTCTTCGATAGTTGATCTAGAAATTCACTAATTTTTGGAAAAAGCATAGTTCCTTCACATTTTGAATTGCAAACAATTCTTGAGTTTCCACATTTTTTTGTCAGAAAATTCACTGTTTCGAAAATTTCTTATAAAAAAATGGAGGCAGAAACTTTCGCTATCGCTTCTGTTCTTTTAACTGCGAGAAATAAAAATGAAATTTCACTGTTTCAAAAATTTCATTTGAAAATTTCATCACCAAAAAGATTGCTCGATTTGTACTTAGTTGCCAATGTCAAACAAAATCCCAATAAATTAACTGTTTCAAAATTTTCATATAAAAATTTTTGAGCAGAATTTTTGTTTGACGACGTAATACTTGTGGAAAAATTAGAAATCTTCACATTTCAGTCGGATTATAGTTTTGCAAAACATTTTTCAATTTTTTTTTCAGAAAAAAATTTCACTGTTTCAAAATTTCCATATAAAAATTTGAGGCAAAAATTGCTATTCATCACGAAAACCTCTCTGTTTCAAAATTTACATGAATTAAAATTTTCAAAAATTAACTACTGCTTCGAATTTTCTTCATTTTCTCAAGAAAAAGTTCACTGTTTCAAAATTTTCATACAAATTTTTTTCAAAATTCAGAAATTATTATACTTATCTCCATAAATTATTCTCCAAAAATCCACTGTTTCAAAAATTCCACAGGTATCTATTCAAAACCCTTCCCAACATGAATTTCCTCCAATTTCCAACCAGTTTTCGCCATCCAATAACAATACGAAAAAAATGATATAATATTCATCTTTTTTTTCGATTTCTTCCACTACTAATTTTCTAGCAGCGCAAAATGTGTGAATTATGCAGTATTCATTCAACCATCAGCTTCTTCCTCTTTTTTCTCTGCGTCTCTCGAAATCCCTCTCTCTCTCTGTGAATTTCTTCCAGAGAGAGAGAGAGAGATTATTACACCAACCACTCTCTCTCTGCGTCTCTCACCTCTCTCTTCTGGCTCATTATTATTTTTATTTTAGGAAGAAAGAAGGCAGATGAGAGAGAGTGTTCTAAATTTGGAGAGTTTTCTCTGATCCCTTATATGTTTCTAGGGCTCCTTCTTCCTTTTCTGCCTAATTTTTCCAAAAATCCCCCCTAAATCTGCACGCCATTTTGTTTGTGTTTTTGGGTGACTTTACGTATATTTGAAAATTGAGTTGGGTGATTCAGTGGACGCGTGGCGCAGTGGTAGGGCTTTTGATTTTTGAGATAGGGATTAGGGTTCGATCCCCGCTGGGCGCGAAGTTTTTTCTCTCGGTCTGAATTTCTGGGCTAAAAATATTGTTTTTTGCTCTAATTTTCCAAAAAGCTTTTATTTCAAAACAAAAATTCCCCTTGTTTTTCATTAGAAATCCAATTATTCCCACGATATTTTTTATTTCGCGCGCAAAAAAGTTTCTGGCGGCGCGCTATTCTTCACCAACATTTTCCCCCACTCTCCAAAACACGCGCGTGGTTCAGTGGTAGATCTCCCGCCCACGGAAATTTTGCTCGAGGGTTCGACCCCCACCTAGAACTACTATTTTTATTTTTTCGTTCATTTTTACCCAAAAACAAGCTATTTTGTGTCCAAAAGCATGAATATCAGAAGAGTTTTTTTGTTTTGTTTTGTTCGATTTTCAAGTGTTTTCCTTGTGTTCTGCCATATTTTTATTTATATAGAAGATGCTGTTTGACATATGGTTTTGAAAGGAAAAAATAACATATTGTGCACTTTAGGTACTTAAATTAATCTTTTTGGGATTATTTCGAAATATTTCCTTTTTTTGAGTGAAAAATGAATGGAAAAGGGGAAATCTCGTTTTGTTTTGTTTCGAATTTATGTGTCCTGATTTCCAAAATTGATAAAAAATTTCACTTTTCGCGCTCTCGCGCATAAATAATTTTAGGATGAAAATTTACATTTTCTTCTTCTTCTTCTCTTTTTTTCAAATTCAAAAATTTTGGCGCCGAAAATCCTATTGCAAGCGCTGGGAGTCGAACTCGCGACCTTCGAAAAATTGGCTCAGCCGGTTAGAGATCAATTTACTGATTTAGAGGTGGCGGGTTCGATCCCACTAGTGAACATTGATCCAAATTTTTTTATTGTTATATCTTTCTAGGCTTAAATTTCACAAGGGTTTCGAAAATCTACGTGAAAAATCGTAATTTTCAAATTTTGAACCTAATTTTACATGAAAAATCGAGGAAAATTTATGTATCCCCAACAGAACTCGAAATCTAAATAAATAAAAATAATCTGTTGAAAATCGATACTTTTTTTTGAGAGGAACCTTGTTTCCAAATATTGACCACTTCTCTCTTTCTCTCATTTTATTTTATTTATAAATAAAATAATATAACACACAAAAAAACATGTGTGTTTATTTTGCACTTATCCCCCCGAATTTGGAGTTTTTGGAATGTTTATTTGAAATTTTTTTTTTTCAAAAATTGAAAATTTCGGCCCAAAATTTGATTTTCACACGTTGCCACGTGAATTTTCGGAATCCTCGGGAAATTTTTGCCTAGAAAGATATAAAAAACCAAAATTTTCGGTCAATGTTCACTAGCGGGATCGAACCCGCCACCTCGAGATCAATAAATTGATCTCTAACCGGCTGAGCCAATTTTTCGCCAGGTAGAAGGTCGCGAGTTCGATTCCTAGCGCTTGCAATAATTTTTGAAACAGCGATTTTTTTTATGTTTGCTTTTGAGGCATCAAAAAAAATGTTTTTTTGTTGAATTTTTCATTTTTCCCGAAAAATATACATTTTTTGAGGAGGAAAAATTCACTGTTTCAAAATTTTCTTGAATTTTTGTTGTGAAATTTTTTTTTATTAATCCTGACAAAGAGAATTTGACTGTTTTATCAATTTTCTGAATTAAAAAATCACTGTTTCAAAAATGTTTTGAATTTTTGGTTTACAAACTGATTTCCAATTAAAGCATTGAACATCAATCTCCATGTTTTTCTCTGTGTCTCTCAAAAATCTACACTATTTTTAATTTTTGCGCTGAAAAAATTCACTGTTTCAAAAAATATGTAATATTGTTTTACGCTGTATATTTTTTGCTCTTGTTGTGAAGATATGAAGTTTCATTCGAAAAATTTCACTGTTTCAAAATCTTACTAAATTTTGTGGCATTTTTTTTCACTTTTAATGAAGACAAATTCGCACTGTTTCAAAAAATCCTCAAATTTTCTGTAAAAACTTATTTTTGCTGTTTTCTCAGTTTTATTCGATTTCAGAAAATTTCTCATCCAATTTTTTCTGTCAAAAAATTGAATTTATCATCTTCAAAAAATCACTGTTTCAAAAAATCCTGAAATTTTCTGTCATTTTTTTCAGAATTTGATAGTAAGCCAGTATCAAATTCATGTTTTTGAAAAAAAATGTGAAAAAAATTCACTGTTTCAAAAAATCCTCAAATTTTCTGTCGCTTGTTGATTTTAATGACTTTACATCTTCTTCATTGTGAAAAATCTGAATTCTCCAATTTTTCCTGCTTATCATTTTTTTTCTAATCCTTCCAGTTCTCCTCATCTTCCATGTCCCTTTAATCCCCCGCAAAATTAAATTTTTCTCCCCAAAATTCATATTTTCTTATCACTCATTAATTATACAATCATACATATCTTTGCGTTTGTCCTAAATTCAAAATTTCTCCGCGCGCGCAAAACAAAAATCCTGAATTTCAGAAGAAGAAGAAGATATTTGATAATCAGGAGAGACGGCAAGAGTTTGGAAGAGACGCAGAGAAGACAAGACAAGAGAAGAGGGATCCGATTTCAGGTCAATTTTTGTTTTGATTAATATTATTATTATTGTTTTTGGGTTTGGGTTTGATTAACAAAAGAAGAAAAAATAATGAGAAGATATTTGAATATCTTCTCTTATCATTTTCATTTTTATTTTTGGCGGGAGAAAATTATGTAATTGATATATATTAGGCTGAGAAATGTTTACTGTTTCAAAAATTGTTTATACACTTTTGACTAGGATGTTTCAATTTTTTTGAAAAAAAAAATTAATTGCATCTTCCAAAATATTTCACTGTTTCAAAAATTGTATAATCTGTTTTCTGAATTTTTAAACTCGATTTTCTTGAAGCTTTCATTTGAGCTACAGTAATCCAATCTTTTCCCAATCAAAAACACAATTTTTTTTGAAATTTTTTCACTGTTTCAAAAATTCTATAGATTTTTCATGGCTTCGAAATTTTTGTTATTTGAGTGTTTTAACTACAGTAACTTAGAAATTTCACCGAGGAGTACTGTATATTTTCAGCTACAGTATCTTTTTTCACTTAAGTTACTGTACCTTTTCTACAGTAGTACTGTAACAGTAACCTATCTCTCTTTGAATTTCCCAGAATTTTTCAAAAAAAATCACTGTTTCAAAATTTTTATATTTTTTTAAATTTATTTTTCTAGCCGATAGGGTGCACCTTTCGATAAATTAAAACAACAGTAATCCAAAAAATCCTAGGTACTGTAGTTTTTACAGTACTCTTAGAAATAAATTACAGTAACCTAATCTATGACTCATAGGAAAAAAGTTCGCAAAATTTCATAATTTTTTAGTGTTTCAAAATTTTCATCATTTTTTACAACATTGAAAAATATATCTTTGAGTACAGTAATTTATGTTAGTTGGATTACTGTAGTTCCTACCTACAGTAATCAATTTTTTGTTTTTTATCAATCGTTTGTTGAACAACGCGAATTCAGGATTTTCTGAGTTTTTGAAATTATAAAATTTTTGAAACAGTGAAATTTTCCGAAAAAAAATTTCGAATATAAATTTTTTTCAACAAAAAATTTAATTTTTTTTATTTTCAGAACCTGGTTTGAACTCTCTCTCTCTCTCTCTCTTTCTCTCAATCATCCTTGGACTTTCCATAACTCCAAAAAATGACAACAGCTTCGGAATTGTTGTCAGATGATGCGCGAGCCCGTTTCTCGCACACCAAAGCATTATTCGAGCAACTCGAAAGACAACAAGATGTGCCAAGTTTTTATTCGCCACGTCTACAAAGACAGCAACAACCGAATTTGGTGCAACAAAATCAACCGCCACCACCATTGCCACCAAAACCATCAAGTCCAATGTCGCAGGTGAGGATTTTGAATTTTTGAATTTGCCACGTGGATTTTTTTTTTTGAAAAAAAGTTCTCAATAACTGCCCATTAAATTTCTGGTGAAAAAAAATTACTCGAAAGTTTTTTGAAACACTAAATTTTTTTCGGAAAATTTTCCCGGAATTTTTTGAAGATTTTTAGTGTCAAAAAAATTTACGATAAACACAAAAGATGTAATAAAATTCACTGTTTCCAAAATTTTATTCAAATTTTTTTTGAAACGTAAAAATTTATTGATATACAAAAATCAAGGACAATAATCAGGGAAAAAAATCCGAAAAAAAATTCTATAGAAATTTTGAAACAGTAAATTTTTTTGGGAAGTTTTCCTAAAATTTTGAAAGATTTGTTTGTGTCAAAAAATTCCGAAAAAATAACAAAATATGTAAAAAAAAATTCACTGTTTCTGAAATTTTATTCAAACATTTTTGAAACGTAAAAATTTATTGAAATGTAGAAATCAAGGGCAAAAATCAGTGGAAAAATCCCAAAAAATTCTATAGAAATTTGAAACAGTAAATTTTTTTCGGAAATTTTCCTGGATTTTTTTTTGAGAATTTTTAGTGTCAAAAAATTTTCCGAAAATTAACAAATGTATGTAGAAATAGCAATAAAATTCACTGTTTCTAAAATTTTATTCAAATTTTTTTGAAACGTAAAAATTTCTGGAAAAGAAAACCTCGGAAAAGGAAATGCATCAAAAAAAAATTCCAAAAAAAATTCTATAGAAATTTTGAAACAGTAATTTTTTTCGGAAAATTTTCCTGGATTTTTTTAAGAATTTTTAGTGTCAAAAAATTTACGCAAATTAACAAATGTATATATTTAGAGATACCAATAAAATTCACTGTTTCTGAAATTTTATTCAAAAATTTTTTTGTAAAAATTTCTGGAATTTTCAGAATCGAAAAGAGAATTATTCAATTATATAAAAAATACCCCAAAAAATTCAATACTAATTTTGAAACAGTAAATTTTTTCCAAAAATTTTTTTGGACTTTTGAAAGATTTTTTTCTGAAAAAAAAAATTTACGTAAAATTACAAAAGATGTGATAAAATTTACTGTTTCTGAAATTTTATTCAAAATTTTTTTTGAAAATCTCGCACAATTAAAACTCATCAAAAAAAATTTAAAAAAAAAAATTTCTATAGAAATTTTGAAACAGTAAATTTTCAAAATCAATTTTGATAATTTCTGCTATGATAATGTCATTAGAAAACAATTCAAAGAATTTTTAATCAAATTTTTTTGAAACGTAAAATTCTCTGGATAGAGAAGGTATGAAAAATCCTAAAAATTCTGAAACAGTAAATTTTTTCAAATTTAAAATTCCCTGATTTTTCAAACCTCAAAAAAATTTCAAAAATCCTCCCCAAAAATCCCCAGAGTCTTTAAATCTATATAGATAACGAGGACATTTTTATTTCTATTTTTATTTTTATTTTTATACATCTATATATATATACACATTTTTTCCTCACACAAAAAATATTTTTTCCCTTTTTTTTCGAAAATCTCCGATTTCCGTTCCATAAGGGTCCTCTTCTTGCTTTTTTGAACAAAAAAAATTGAATTTATTTTTTTTGTCAATAAAATAAATTGACTTTTTTTCTGCTGTTTCATGAAAATTATTCACTTTTTTGCGAATTTAAATTTGAATTTAAATTCAAATTTTTGTGGGCGGAATATTTAGTTTTCAATTTTTCATTTTCCATGGAAAATTATTGATTTTTTTGCAGGTCGAACGAAGTTTCAGCGAATTGGCTGCGGATTTGGATCGAATTCAGTCGAGTCCAGCGACATCGAGATTTTTGGCCCAAAAGTGAGTTTTAAGCTAAAAATCGGGGAAATACAGATTTTGAGGCCTTAGATATTTCACTGTTTCAAAATTTGTTCAAAAAAAATTTAACGGGTTTCATTTAAAAAAATTTTTTGAAAAATAATTTTCACTCTTTCAAAAAAAAAAAATTATAGAATTTCCCATGACTTTTGAGAAAATTTTGAAACAGTTGAATTTATTTTAAAAAAAACATCATTTGGACTTCCAACAAAAAACACTGCCAAAAAACAATTTTTTCTAAAAATTCCCAAATATTTCAAAAAATTTTGAAACAGTAAATTTTTCCTCACAAAAAAAATGTGCATTTTGCTTGCCAGCTTGCAATATTCCTTTATTTCCATTCATCGCATGATTTGCATTTTCCTTTTCTCTCAAATTTTGCAGATCTCCTCTACCGTATTCTCACGAGACTACAGTACCCCCTCCTACACACAATTCGTCCTCAATTTTGAATAACAACAATAATTTCGAGCCTTATTGGAGAGATGGATCGATTTATCGACGACAATTTGAGAAAAGGTTATTTTCTTTGTCAAATATCGATTTTCCCGCGTTGCCACGTGGAATTTTGAAATCCTCGTGGAATTTTGACCCGGGAAAGTGCTTGAATCAAAAAATTTTGAGCGGCGGGATCGAACCCGCCACCTCTAGATCAATAAATTGATCTCTAACCAGCTGAGCCATTTTTTCGAAAGCTCGCGGGTTCGATTCCCACTGCCTGCTGGATTTTTTTGAACGGGAAAAATCGATATTTTTTTGAACACAGGAAAGTTAGTTGAAGTGCCAGATGTTCGAAATTCGCCTCGTTTATTTTTTTTTCGCAAAAAAACTTTTCTTTTTGCTTGATTTTCATTTTCATTTGCTACTTTTACTAACTTTGTTTTGCCTTGAAAAAAATAATTTTTGAAAATTTCAAATCCCCACGTGGATTCGGTGCAAGTGCGCTCTGATGTTAACTCGGGACACCGAAATAATAAACAACAATTTCCCCCAAGATTTCAAAAGAGGGCATAGCGCAGTGGTAGTGCTCCAGTTTTTGGTGGCGAAGGTCACGGGTTCGACCCACGCTGCGCGCTAAAAATTTTTAATTTTTAAAAAAATTACACGTTTTTGTTGCAGCTTCGATGATCCAATGAATATTCCACCACCAAACCTTCCAAGTGACGCAATGAAACACACAACCTACGCAGTTGTCAAAACTCCGCTCAACTCGGAAAATTCCTCAACAGAATTCGAAAAAGGTCTAATGGAAACTCGACGTGGATTGAGTCCCGATAGAATTCCGGGTGGATCTTCGAGTTCAGCAAGTTCAGACCAAAATCAGGATCGAGATCGAAAAGTCTCGTTTTCGACGGCACCGATCCCAGTCTTCTGTGCCTATTCAGTTGATGATTATGATCGAAAAAATGAGGATATTGATCCGGTTGCAAGTTGTGCTGAATATGAATTGGAAAGAAGATTGGAGCGAATGGATTTGTTTGAAGTGGATTTGGAGAAAGGAGCTGAAGGATTGGGAGTTTCGATTATTGGTGAGTGACATTTTTTCGGGAAATTTTTGGGCTGGAAATGAAGGTTTTCATCTGGAATTTTAGACTAAAAAATTAGCTACCTTCTGAGCCCACATAAGCATAATTTTTGAAAATTTAAGAATTTTTAAGCCTTAATGTTTCGAGCTAAAAAAATTTTATGCAAATTGCGATCCGGAAAAAAAATATATAAGAATTTTTTGAAACAGTAGATTTTTTGGAAGTAATTCACTGACGTCAAGTAAAAAGAGTCAAGTAAAAATTTCGGAGAATATAATTTTCTTGAGACAGTGAATTTATTATTGAAAATTTTCGTCAGCAACGAAATTCCTGAAACAGCTTCTGAATTATATGAGAATTTTTATCATATACTGGTTAATTTAACTGGTTAAGCCTTGGAAAATACAAATTCTTTGAAACAGTAGATTTTTCTCAATGGTTAATTTTGAAAGAGCTTTCAGTCAAGCAACAAGGTCAAACAAAGCAATCCAAAAAATATGAATTTCTTGAAACAGTGAATTTTTTTTTCAAAAAATTCTAGAATGTAATTTTAGTTTGACGCCTTAACCTGCTCCAACCAAATTTTTTAACAACAATTTGAAAGAAACAATTTTTGAAACAGTAAATTTTTGTCGACAAATATTTTTTTTATAAAAAATGTTCTATGGAATAACATGTACGAATAAATATCAATTTTTTTGAAACAGTGAAATTTCCACGAACTAACTGCTCACACAAATCGAAAAAAAATTCCTAATGCAAAAAAATATAAAAATTTTGAAACAGTAAGAATTATCTGGGCTCAAGAAATTTTTGATATGAAAAATAATATTTTAAAGTTGATTACTCAAAAAAATTTTGAAAAAAAAACACTGTTTCAAAAGTAACATAACCTAAATTGAGTAATTAAAAAATAACCTAAAAAATTTCACTGTTTCGAAATTTTGTGATTTGAAATGGTTATAAGTGATAGATATTAACAAGCACATAAAAAAATTGATTTTTCGAAAATTAAAATTTCACTGTTTCAAAATTTCATAATCTAGAGTGTATATCCCTCTGCGTCTCTATCTAGGCTTATTTGGACTCAAAAAATCGCAAATCTTCAGGCCTCCAAATCTACTCCACTTTTTTTCCAGGCATGGGCGTCGGCGCAGATTCAGGCCTCGAAAAGCTCGGAATCTTTGTCAAAAGCATAACCCCAGGCGGTGCAGTTCATCGCGATGGTCGAATTCATGTTTGCGATCAAATTGTTTCCGTCGACGGAAAATCGCTAGTTGGCGTATCTCAATTATACGCTGCAAATACTTTGAGATCAACAAATAATCGAGTAATCTTCACAATTGGAAGAGAACAGAATTTGGAAGAATCTGAAGTGGCACAATTGATTCAACAAAGTTTGGAACAAGATCGACTTCGGATGATGGAAGAAGTTGAGGATGAAGATCAGGAACAAATTCAACATCAACATCAACTTCAAGAACCAACAACTTCAATGATTTCGAAAGAAGAAGCTGAGATTCGCTCGAAAATTGCAGCGTTGGAAATCGAGTTGGATATGACACAACAAAATGCGATTCGAATGCACGATGTTTTGGATAATACAAAGATTCATTGTGAACAATTGGAGAAGAAATATGAGCAGGCAAATCAGATGTTGAAAAATTATCAGGAAAGGGAAAAGGAATTATTGACAAGGGAAGAGAATCATGTGGAACAATTGAGAGATAAGGATGTGCATTATGCGAGTTTGGTTCGGCAGTTGAAGGTGAGGGGGAGCGGGCATTTTTGAAAATTCAAAAAATTTGGCCAGAAAAATCCACGTGGCATTTTTATTTTGTAAATTCTTAAAATTTTGGTACCACGTGAAAATTGTTTGAAATTTTGGTACCAAAAATCCACGTGGAAAACATCTCGCTGTTTCGAAAATTCTTCAATTCTTTATAAATTCATTTTTTTCATACATGATGTGGTTAATGTATCAATTTTCTACAAATTGCCTCGAAATTCATGAAATTTCTGAAACAGTGAAAAAAAAATTTTTTTGAAAGTTTTATTCGGATCAATTTTGTGAAAAATACTCGAAATTTTATGGATTTTTTGAAACAGTGAATTTTTTCTTCTAAAAAAATTAGTCCCAGAAAACTTACTGTTTCAAAAATTAGTTAAAATAAATTTTCTGGAATTCAAAAACGATAATGCCATTAGAAAAATTCTGTAGCTAAAAATTCACTGTTTCAAAAAATAAACATATTTTTTCTTGATTTTTCTCGATCGATATCAACCTTAGTTTCTTACTAAAATTATCTGAATTTTGAAAAAAAATCTCAATTTTCTCTTTAAAAAAATTCAAAAATTTTATCGAGGAAAATCATGTGGATTTAAATTTTTATTCAAGAATTTGGTGTGTGAAATCCTTTTGAATTTCGAATTTCTTTGCTTGAAAAAATTACATGGATTTTCATTTTTTTTCAAATTCTATCCAAAACATCTCACTGTTTCGAAAATTCTTCAATTATTCATAAATTCATTTTTTTTCATACATGATGTGGTTAATGTATCACTTTTCTACAAATTGCCTCGAAATTCATGAAATTTTTGAAACAGTGAAAATTTTTTTTTTGAAAAAACCATTTTGAAAGACACGTTGATCAATTTTGTGAAAAATACTCGAAATTTTGGCAATTTTTTGAAACAGTAAATTTTTTCTTCTAAAAAAAATTAGTCCCAGAAAATTTACTGTTTCAAAAATTTGTCAAAATAAATTTCATGGAGTTCAAAAATAATATATTTGTAAAAAAATTTTGTAGCTAAAAATTCACTGTTTCAAGAAAAAATTAATTTAAAAAACTGGATTTGGCTTTACTATTTACATTTTGAGTATTGTTCATGATTCAAAAATTCACTGTTTCAAAAAATTAATATTATTTTTCTTGATTTTTCTCGATCGATATGAACCTTAGTTTCTTACTAAAATTATCTGAATTTTGAAAAAAAATCTCAATTTTCTCATTAAAAAAAGTTCAAAAAATTTTAGCGAGAAAAAATCATGTAGATTTAAATTTATACTCAAGAATTTGGTGTGTGAAATCCTTTTGAATTTCAAATTTCTTTGCTTGAGAAAATTACATGGATTTTCATTTTTTTTTCAAATCCTATCCAAAACATCTCACTGTTTCAAAAATTCTTCAAAATTTATAAATTCATTTTTTTCATACATGGTGCGGTTAATGTATCATTTTTCTACAAATTGCCTCGAAATTCATGAAATTTTTGAAACAGTGAAAAAAATTTTTTTGAAAGTTTTATTCGGATCAATTTTGTGAAAAATACTCGAGATTTTATGGATTTCTTGAAACAGTGAATATTTTCTTCTGAAAAAATTACTCTTATTTTTCCCCGAAATTTTACTGTTTCAAAAATTTGTCAAAATAAATTTTCTGGAATTCAAATAATACCGTCAAAAAAATTTTTTGTAGCTAAAAACACACTGTTTCAAGAAAAATATCATTAAAAAACTGGATTTGGCTTTACTATTACGGCTTCAAACAGTGGTACTCATGATTCAAAAAATTCACTATTTCGAAAATTTAATATAATTTTTCTTGATTTTTCCAGAATCGATATCAGCCGTAGTTTCTTACCAAAACTATCTGAATTTTGAAAAAAACCTGAATTTTCTCATAAAAAATTCAACAATTTTATCGAGAGGAATTAAATTGAATTTAAATTTTTATTCAAGAATTTGGTATGTGAAATCCTTTTGAATTTCAAGTTTCTTTGCTTGAGAAAGTTACATGGATTTTCATTTTTTTTTTCAAATCCTATCCAAAACATCTCACTGTTTCAAAAATTTTCAAAATTTATAAATTTATTTTTTTTTCATACTGAGTAATCTGATTGGTAATTGCCTAGAAATTTATGAAATTTTTGGAACAGTGAAAAAAAAATTTTTTTTTTCAATTAAAGTTATTTGGAACACATAATAGCGTCGATGCACCAGTTTTCCCCGAAATTCTCAAAAATTTTAGGAATTTTTTGAAACAGTGAATTTTTTCTTCTGAAAAAAATTACTCTTATTTGTCGCAGAAAATTCACTGTTTCAAAAATTTGTCGAAATAAATTTTCTGGAATTCAAAAACAATATAACCGTCAAACAATTTTTGTAGTTAAAAATTCACTGTTTCAAGAAAAATTAATTTAAAAAACTGGATTTGGCTTTACTATTATCACTTTGAGTATTGTTCATGATTCAAAAATTCACTGTTTCAAAAATTTAACATAATTTTTGACTTTTCAATAATCGATATTAATCGTAATTTCTTACCAAAACTATCTGAATTTTGAAAAAAAATCTGAATTTTCTAGTAGAAAATATTCACTGTTTCAAAAAATCTTTCAATTTTTGTTTGAAATTTTTGGAAATTCTTCGAGATATTTGCTATCCCAAAAAATTTCACTATTTCAAAAAAAGCACATAAAAAGTTTCAAATTTTTCCGATCGATATCAAATTTTTAATTTTTTGCAGGAAAGAATCGATGAACTCGAAACCAAATTAGACGAAATGGAAGAACGTCGTCATTCGATTCAAAATCTTGAACTATGTGAATTGCGAGAGAAATTGAAGGAGAAAATCGAGAAACGAGACGAGGGTTTGGCCTATAAACCGGGTGGTGAATTACCGCATGAGGATAAGGCTGTTATGGCGAATTTGGTGCCAGAGAACTTGGTGAGCATTTTTGTTTTCATTGAGTCAAATTTTGAGGTGAAAAAATATCTGGAAATTTTGAAACGTATTTTTTTTCGAGAAAAAAAAATGAAAATAATTTTTGAAAAAATTCACTGTTTTAAAAAATGTTAGGAATTTGAAATTAAAAATAAATTTCTATTCATTCAAAATTGAGTTCTCAAAATTTTTGACCAAAAAAAATTCACTGTTTCAAAATAAAAATATCTAAAAACTCAGAAATTCAAGCGCGTTCCCGTACATATTTGAAAATTTATTTGAGAAAATTTTACAAAATTTTGTGATTTGAAATGATTATGAAAAATGAGTGATGTTTTACTACTACTATCACATAAAAAATAAATTTTTTGAAAATTAAAAATTCACTGTTTCAAAAATTTTTTATTCTAAAAATTGAACACTCACAGAATAATAACACACTGACTCTCTAACTTCAAAAAAAAATTCCACAGTTTCAAAACGTTCTCTAGCTTCTCTGCGTCTCTAACTTACCTATTATCTCTAGCTGTCTAGCGCGAAGCGCCCCGGAATCTTCCGCGTAAGCGGCTCGAGTGGAGCGAGTGTATGTCCCTCTGCATCTCTAACTTTCTAGCCGATCGGTGTAATTGCGGAGTGTCGTAGTTTTTTTTTTCAAAATGCAATTTTTGCAGCCCAAAAAAGACGCCGAAGTGTCAGTTGGCAGCAGTTGGACCGAAGAATATTCGTCTCCCTGCGAATCGCCGATTCCCCGAATTTCCGAACCCGCCTCCCCAGCTCTTCCTCACAAATTATCGGGCCATCGAAAACTCCTTTTCCCGCTCCGCAAAAAATTCCTGGCCGAAAATGAATATTGGAAATATTCGGCTGGCGGTGTGACATCAAATGGCCAACAAATCGGTTTACAAGCATTGCATTGGACTTGTGATGATGTTTGTCAATTGTTGGTTTCGATGGGATTGGATAAATATGTGCCCGAATTTACGATTAATAAGGTTAATGGTGCCAAATTTTTGGAATTGGATGGTAGCAAATTGAAGGTGAGCAAGCGTTTTGGGGGGATTTTTGGCACGAAAATTTTTAATATTCCGAAAAATACTACATTGAAATTTTGAAAAATTGTCTGAACCTTCAAAAAATTTTGAAACGTAATTTTCCGGTGAAAATTACTGTTTTACACTGAATCTTTGGAAGAATTTTTAGAAATTTTTGAAACGTATTTTTTGTTGTTTAAAAAAAAATCTCACTGTTTCAATTTTTCAGATTGCAAATTTTGGTACCAAAAATCCACGTGAAAAAATCTCACTGTTTCGAAAATTCTTTAAAATTTAAAAATTCATTTTTTTCGTACTGGGTGTTCTGATGAGTAATTGCCTTGAAAAAAAATTTTGAAACAGTGAAATTTTTTTTTTGAAAAAAAAATTGTTTTGAAAGTTTTATTTGGAACACATAATATCTAAATGCATCAATCAATTTTGTGAAAAATACTCGAAATTTTATGGATTTCTTGAAACAGTGAGTTTTTTTTTCTAAAAAATTTTGGAAAAATTTATCTGTTTTGTCCCAGAAAATTTACTGTTTCAAAAAAAAAAATTTTGAAAAATTGTCAGAACTTCAGAAAATTTTGAAACGTAGTTTTCCGGTAAAAATCACTTTTGCACTGAATTTTTAAAATTTTCAGAAATTTTTGAAACGTATTTTTTGTTGTGAAAAAATCTCACTGATTCAAATTGTTTTAATAATTTTTGCTAGCTTTCACAAAATGATGGAACGATGGTGGGTTGAAAAATAATTTTCACTGTTTCAAAATTATGTAAAGTTTTTTGAAACAATTATATCTACTGTTTCAAACCCCAAAATTCAAATTTTTCCAGACAATGGGAATCCAAAATCATTCCGATCGTTCGCTAATCAAAAAGAAGGTCAAAGGAATGAAGAACAAGATCGAAAGAGAGCGAAAACAATTGGAAAGAGAAAGTCGAACTCGTGTTATTGCTCATTCTATACCAATGTAAAATTATACAAAAAAAAAACAGACCAAAGGGTTTCCCCAAAATTGCCAATTTTTTTTAAAAATATTATTTTTTACTCGCCAAATGTGATACCTATTTATTTATTTCTTTATTTTTTTTTGTAAAACTATTGATTTGAAAATAAATTTATTATAATTTTAATGATTTGTGGAATTTTTGTGGCAACAAGCTATGAATTTGAAAAACCTTCGGAGACTTGGACGATTTGTATGCTTGATCTCTTTCAAAAAATCTCGAATACAAATATAATTCTGAAGATGGGAACATTATTTCGATATTCCTTCGATCATCAATCCTTTGTCGATAATTGTGAAGAATTCCAGATCCCTCACGAACTTTCGGTGTATAAGGTAAACCTAGTAACTTGAATAGTTTTGGAGCGAAATCAGGCAAATCAATATTTCTGAAAGTCCAATGCACAATATTTTTCGATCCGTTTTGCCAAGCTCTCACAATTCTAACAACATCTTCTGCTTTCAAAATATTACAATCACACGGGATTTCAACTATTTCCGCTGACAAATTCTCGACATTCAATTGAAAATTGGGAATTTTGAAATGATCTTTGATTTTTAAGAATTCCAAACTTGGAGAAATCTTCGACACCAATTCCAGCATTTTTGTTGCATCACTTCTAGCGCTGATTATTTCGAAACTTTGGATTTTCGGCAAACTGAATATTGCATCAAAATTCATGTCGGGAGAAATTTGAAACAAATATCCTGTTGCACAAAAATGCCGGATTGTTCTCTGATATTTTTGCAACATTTTGAATAATCGATTTCTCGCATATTCCACCAAATCAGAAACGGGAACAAGCTTCTTTTTATGTACAAACGATTTATTTGACCTGTAAATTTGAAAAATTGAATTTTGAAAAAAAAAACAATATTACTTTGTCAGTCGCGTGCGGCTGACAAAGCTATGCACTGGTTTTTATTGTTTTCGGCAGCCCCAATTAAAAATTGTCTAGTCTGACGAAACAAATCTCTAGTTTTAAGTACATTCTATTTCATGTTCAAACTAGACAATATTTCATTTTGGAAATTTATACGCGTTGCAAACCGCACGCGTTCAAAGATTTTTACTTCGTCAGTCGCGTGCGGCTATGCGTCGCGGTCGGGATACAATCAATAATTCATGGATTCCTCCCGACCGCGACGCACAGCCGCACGCGGCTTACGAACTAGTGTTTTTTTAAAATTCATTTAACTCTGCACTGGAATTTCTGTTTTAAGCCATCCACATTTTTCAATTTCAATAAATTCAAATCTCACATTTGCTCATAAATATATCCTTCCCCTTCCTGATTTCCGATCTCTTTCCAAATTCGCAGCGTATCAATTCCATAACCAATATTCAAATTCAAATCAATCGAACCCTCGTCTTTTTTTCTCGAACCTTGTTTGTTAAGAAAAGATCGCCATGCTAAATCGGTAAATGGAATCGATTTTCTGACTTCTTCATGACAGATTTTTGAGCATTTTTTTGAGGTGAAACCTGTATATTGACAAATTATTTGTTCATTTTCAAATACAAAACAAAATCAACTGACCTCTCTTTATCTTCCAGAAAATCAATAATAAAAGATCTGAGTTCTGGTGGAAGATCTAGATAATTGTGAAAAGTCCTTTCCGCCATCAAATCGATTGTATCCTGTGCACAGGCACATGTGATTTCCAGTTTCTTTTCCGGAAAAAAAATGATGTTCGGTGAAGCGCGTTTGCTTCACTGGCCTAGGTTTTCACTGTTTTTCTGGGCCACATTGAAACAATTTTGAAAAAAGTTTATGATGATAAAAACAGAGAATGAAGATCATAATTCCTGACAAAAATAAAAAAGATTGGGAGGAATTTTTGTGAAAAATTTTAAAATAATAATAAATAAATAATAACAAAAGGAGAGAGAGAGCGATAATACGGAGGAATAGATACACACGGGGAAAAAACGCCAGCAAAATAATTCAATGAGAAAGGAGAAAATGGCAATTTCTGGGAGGGGAAAAATTTCAAATTTAGTCATAACGGCGGCGCGGTCTGTCTCTGTCTGAATTTCGAGATGCGCTTGAATTTGAGGCCAGATTTGCGCGGCGTTTTTCTTTTTTCGGCAACCTGCAAATTTTATGTTTCAAAAATTTTCGAACGTATTTTTTTAAATGAAAATCTATATGACTTTCTTGCATTTTCGCACTGAAGGAACTTTTGAAAAAATCGATTTTTTCTAAAGTTCTCAAGAAGTTCCAGAAGAATTCAGAATACTCTGAAAATTACCGTAATTTTGCAGTGAAAAACACCCTAAATTGAAAAAAAAATTCACTGTTGCAAGAATTTCTGATAATATTATTCGCAGCCTGATTTTCAATTTGAACAATACAATAATTAAAATTTTCTTGAAAAAAAATCAACAAAAACTTCTGAAAATCAATTTTTTGATTTTCAAGGATTCAGTTTCAGGTATCAAAATATTCATTTATATTTAAAAATGTTTCAATTCAAAGTCTGAATAGTTAAATGAATAGTTAATTAGGTTAAACTTTTTCTGAAACGTAAAATGTCGAGGATTCTCAAAAGTTCACTGTTTCAAGATTTTTTAAATAAAAAATTTGAGAATAACTTCAGAATTTTTCGAAAATCGAATTTTGACTAAATTTTCCAGTTAGTTAGGTTTTTCTACTACGAAAAAATTTCCCTCAAAAAAGTCGAACTTTGAAAAATTTCAGAGTTTTCAATTCTCAAAAATTCACTGTTTCTAAATTTTCTAATAAAAAATGTTTGGAATTGAATTTCAATGCTATTGTCATTCACAATTTATTAAAAATTATTCGAAGCTCAAAAATTCGCTGTTTCAGAATTTTTCCAAAATAAAATTCTAATTAATTGATGTGTTTTTTGCAAAAAATTCAAAAACCCCCAATTTTAAAAATTTCACTGTTTCAAACACAAAAAAATTTAAAAACCAAGTTTCCACTCAAAAATTCACTATTTCGAAATTTCCCCAATATTTTCTTTGACTTTTTTTCAAGGAAAAAAAAATCCCACAAATTCTAACCTGTTCATCAGTCAATGGTACATAATAAAGTGCTGGAAGTGTTTTCGTTTTCATAAAAAGATCATCCGGTGTTTTGAGCGCAGTTTCAGGTCTGAAAATTGTTGAAAATCATCGAAAAATTCCAGAATTTCAAATTTCAGCTCAACAAAAACCCCTTACCTTCTCAATCTCTCCGAATCCAATCGATTTCTCTTCTCATCAACAACTTTTGAAAATGGCGGAGTTTGAGATCGTTGTCTTTTTCGATCGGAGCTCGAATCTCCAGCTGCTCCAATTTCAATCGAATTTCCCGATTTATCGATTCGAGTCAGTCGAGAAGCCAGCGATTTTCGCTCGGTTTTTATCGGTGCTGCAGCTGATGATTCTTGGGATTCTGGTTTTTTCGAATTTTCGACCTGAAATTAAAATTTTCTTTTTTTTGCTCCAGAAAAATGTACTGTTTCAAAATATTCTAATTTTCAAAACTTCAGATTTTTTATCGCTAATACAACTATTCCGTAAATTTGTAAAAAATCTCAATTTTTCGAAAAAAAATTTCACTGTTTCAAAATATTCTAATTTTTGAAATTTAATTTTTTCATCAATGAATTACAAATTTTTTTCAATAGAAAATAATAATTTTGCAATATTCCACTGTTTCAAAAAAATCAGGAAATCTCAAATTTTCCAAAAGAAATAATCAATCAACTGAATTCACCATAAATTCCGTAAATTTGTAGAAAATCTCACTTTTTCGAAAAAAAAAATTCACAGTTTCAAAATATTCTAATTTTTGAAATTTAATTTTTTTCATCAATTAATTAAAAAAATTTTCAATAGAAAATAATAATTTTCCAATATTTCCCACTGTTTCAAAAAACTCATAATCACAAAAAATCCAAATTTTTTGATATTTCTTATGCCAATTTTCCTCCAAAAATCCCCCCAAAAAACCCTACCGTAATCCTCAAATTCGATTTTCCATCAACAACCACTGAAGATTGATTCGATGACAATCTTTCGGCTCGTTTTGCACCCGTCAAACTTCCAACAGTCACTATTTCAGGCAATTTTGCCTCGCCGCGACCTTCTTTGTATCGATTCATCTGAAAAATTGGGCATTTTTTGAAGCTTGAGCTTGAATTTCGAAGTTTCAGCTCTTTTCAGCAAATTTCCACCCAAAAAAACTCACATTATCTTCAGTGTCATGAACAACAACAAGTAATTTCTGATTACTTTCCGGCCAATGTGTATCATGCATTGCTGTCAATACTTTTCCCGCATTTTCGCTTGATGTCAGCTGTAAAAACAATTACTGTTTCAGAGGTTTTCAGGCCAAAAATCCACGTGAAAACTCAATAATTTTGGATGAAGATCATAATTTTTCTCACTGTTTCAAAGTTAAAACTTAATTTGAGAAAATAAATGGAAAAATGATTCCATACTCAGCTCGGAATTTATCTGAAAATGTATAAAATTTTTCTGAAACCTAACTTTCCGGGTTCAAAAAATCCGTGTAGAAATAGGGAAAAATCAGAATTTAGAATTTTGGCGGTCGAAAAATCAACGTGGAAACTTCAAATTAGTGTAAAAATTTAAATTTTTGCCCCAAAAAATTTCCCTGAATTATTCATTGATATTTTTAGGCTGCAAAAATTACTGTTTCAAATTTCAGTTCAATTTTCGGTCCGTATTCATTTAAAATATCAAACTCAGAATTCATCTGAAAATTTATAACATTTTTCTTAAACCTAAATTTTCCGGGTTCAAAAAATCCGTGTAGAAATAAGAAAATATTTGATTTTCGAGTTCTTAGAGCGAAAAAATCCATGAGGAATTTGTTTTCTGCGTTCAAAATTTGAAATTCAAGTTTTTGCCCAAAAACCAGATATTTTTAGTTTGAAAAATGTACTGTTTCAGGATTCTCTTGAATTTTGGAACAAATTTCGATTGATAATAGGATGTACAAATCAAGTCAAAAACTAATAAAAATCTTGAAACCTAACATTTCCAGGTTTATGAAAAATCTATTTTTAATTTCCCGCTCAACAAACCTTTGCAAAACAATGACTTTTGACTTTATCAATCCAAAAATCGACAATTTCTCCACCGTGAGACGAGATGAATGCGCGCAAATTGTTTTCGGTGAACGGACGAACCAAACCACGAATGTGAACAATATCCGACACTGGATGTCTGGAACAAAATCGAGATTTTTGTGAAATTTCAGGTGTTTCAGCTCAATTCTGTACAGATTTTTTGATAACTTTTCTCCAGAATTCTGAATTCATCCCAAAAAAAAACTGACCTAGATGAAGGAGAAGTTGCGCGACGGTTCGAAACCTCGCGCACCTTTTCCTCCTTCTCGACATCCGCTTCTTTCTTTTTCACTTCTTCTTCATTTTTCTCTCCATTTTCAGATGTTGTTTTGGCAGTTGTGACTGGCTGAAAATTTTAGCGATTTTTGAAAAATATAAAAATAATTTGAATTAATTTTCAAATTGTTTTTCGGTCAAAAAAAAAGGTTAATTTTATCAAATCAAATTTTTAAAACAGTGAAAAATTCGAAAAAAACTGACCTTTTCCTTTGTCACAGTCTCCTCTTCATCTCCATAATCCAATTCGTCTCCATTTTCTTCTTTTTCTTCCACATTTTCTTTTTCTGAAAAAAATTATTATGTTGATCAGAAGACTTTGGAAGCAAAATTCAAAATGAAAAACTTGAAACAGCAAAATTTTTTAATGAAAAAATTCACTATTTTCTACATAGAGACTCTTAATTTTCTCCAAACAGTGGATTTTTAAAGGTACATACCGTATGACCTCAATTTTTGTGCAAAGAAGCCTTATTTTTCCCCCAAATTCTAACTTTTTCCACAAAATGTCGGGTTTTCAAAGGTACATACAGTATTTCCTGCTCTCAAAATTCCTCACCATCTTTTCCATTTTCCTCCTCAATTTCTTCTTTTTCCTCCTCTTCCTTCTCTAATTCTTCCTCAATTTTTTCCACATTTTCCGCTTCTTCTTGCTCTTCCAATTTCCGCGGCGTCGAATTTGCCGACGAAGCTCCGGACGAACTCGAAGACGAGGATTCTGAAGTTGAAGACGAAGATCCGGATGACGAGACTTCGGCTTCCGGCTCTGGATCAGCCTGAACTGCAGCCAAGACCGGCTGAACTTGTGGCTCGGGCTCAACTGGCTTAACTGGTTCATCTTCCAATTTTTTGGCCACTTCCTCTGGTGCTGGTTTTGTTGAGCTCACTTGTTGATCTTCCTCCACTTTTTTGTTTCGCGCTGGAAGAAAATTTGAATTTTCACACATTTTTAGATGAAAATCTTGGAAATTTCAAGTTTTACATCAAAAGTACGATTTTTCAGCTCAAAATCAAAGAAAACCAGCAAATTTTTATATTTTTTATCAAAATTTACCCAAAAAGTTCCCCTAAATTCTTACGATCCGCAGCTCTTGCTTCAGCCAATGCTTTTTGTTGTTTGGCTCGATATTCGGCAACCAATGGACTTTCTTGTTTCACAATCGGTACACGATCTCCAGCCAAAAACTAAAACAAAAATTGATTTCAGGTTTTATCGATTGATTTCGTGAATTTTCCTCTATTTCATCATCAAAATGAATTCCCTTTCAAACTTTTTTATAGCCCAAAAACAAGTGAAAACACTCACCTCTCTCAATCTGTCTTGCAAAACAGCTTTGACGCCTTTCGTGGCGAGACCCACTCTTTCAAGCTCATCCTTCAATTCAGCAACTTTTAGCGTTGATAATGGACGACCATCGATTATTGGATCATCGTCAGACATTTTGCACCTCTAAAAAATAATAATGCGATTTTTTTTGAATTCGAAACGCGAGTTTACGAAATGCGCACAACACAAATGCGCCAGCTCTATACAGCTTGGCGCATAATTTGTAATGGGGTGGCCACCCATGAGGGAAAATGTGTGTTTTCAAAGAAAAGCCTCATCACAGGCTTTTTGAAGACGTATGCGCGATGTGCGCGCGCGAAGGCGCCAGCCAAAAATAATGGGTTTGGTGCAAGCGCGCATTTTGTCCAATCTGGCAGGTTAAGCAACGTTGACTCGAGTTAGTGGTGAGATCGGACTCATCCAAAAAGTTGTTTTGTACAGCTTCAATTCTGATTGGGTAAAGTTTAGGGACTCTAGTGGAGGTGATCTTCACAATCAGATGCCAAGTTGGTTGATCCTGAACTTCAGTACGACCATCGGAAGATCGAGAGTCTGAAGTTTCCATCAAAAATTCAAAGTTTTTGAATTCTTCTCAAACTTTCAGAACATTCTACTGAAGTCTTGTGGCTTTCAAAATGATCAAAATTTTCGATTTTTTGTATTCCTGATCTTCAGTATGACCATCAGAAGATCAGAATTCAAGGCGAAATTCTGAACATTTTTGAAAAATTATGAAAATTTCTGAAGTTTGTCTTGGGACACCTTGGACTTCAAGACCATCAAGATCTGTGATTTTAAATCATCTCGATCTTCAGTATGCCCATCCGAAGATCAGAATTCAAGGCGAAATTCTGAACATTTTTGAAAAATTATGAAAATTTCTGAAGTTTGTCTTGGGACACCTTGGACTTCAAGACCATCAAGATCTGTGATTTTAAATCATCTCGATCTTCAGTATGCCCATCCGAAGATCAGAATTCAAGGCGAAATTCTGAACATTTTTGAAAAATTATGAAAATTTCTGAAGTTTGTCTTGGGACACCTTGGACTTCAAGACCATCAAGATCTGTGATTTTAAATCATCTCGATCTTCAGTATGCCCATCCGAAGATCAGAATTCAAGGCGAAATTCTGAACATTTTTGAAAAATTATGAAAATTTCTGAAGTTTGTCTTGGGACACCTTGGACTTCAAGACCATCAAGATCTGTGATTTTAAATCATCTCGATCTTCAGTATGCCCATCCGAAGATCAGAATTCAAGGCGAAATTCTGAACATTTTTGAAAAATTATGAAAATTTCTGAAGTTTGTCTTGGGACACCTTGGACTTCAAGACCATCAAGATCTGTGATTTTAAATCATCTCGATCTTCAGTATGCCCATCCGAAGATCAGAAATCATCATCGAAAATTATCAATTGTATCTGTTAAAAGGAAGAGGACAGTAAGACCAAAAAGTTTAACTCTTGAAGGCGTTTCGAGAAAAAAATACTTGGTGGTTTCACTACTCTTCCTAACTCTAACTACTAACTATTGACTCTTCACTACTAACTCTGCGATACAATTTTTTTGTAGTTTTCGCAGATCTTAAAACCATTCGCGAGAGTTTATCCTGTTCTGCGCTGACGGGAAACCGATTGTGATGCGACTAATCCATGCAATACAGAGAATGTCACGTTTATAATGAAAACGAATTTGAATTGGGGAAAGATTAACCGAAAATGACTTGACAATTTATTTTCTTATAAGCTTGATGTATAACTTCAAATTGGATTTTATGAGAAAATAGTGTTTCTGAAATTTCTATTGTAGTCAAGAACTTCAAAAGTCCAATTTCGATTTTAAAAAAAATGATATTTTCATAAAAAAGTGTTTTTGGTAGTTTTTGTTTCTTCAAGAATAACTTTTATGAAAACAAAATAATGACCATGTGATTCCCCACAGTCGAGAACTCATGAATTCAGATTTTCACCGTCATCAGATACAATTGATAATTTTCGATGATGATTTCTGATCTTCTGATGGGCATACTGAAGATCGAGATGATTTAAAATCACAGATCTTGATGGTCTTGAAGTCCAAGGTGTCCCAAGACAAACTTCAGAAATTTTCATAATTTTTCAAAAATGTTCAGAATTTCGCCTTGAATTCTGATCTTCCGATGGTCGTACTGAAGTTCAGGATCAACCAACTTGGCATCTGATTGTGAAGATCACCTCCACTAGAGTCCCTAAACTTTACCCAATCAGAATTGAAGCTGTACAAAACAACTTTTTGGATGAGTCCGATCTCACCACTAACTCGAGTCAACGTTGCTTAACCTGCCAGATTGGACAAAATGCGCGCTTGCACCAAACCCATTATTTTTGGCTGGCGCCTTCGCGCGCGCACATCGCGCATACGTCTTCAAAAAGCCTGTGATGTTTTCGGCGAGAAAATGGAAAAAATGATGCAAAAAATGTAAAATGAAAAAAAAAAATACACAAACAAAATTCGAAAAATAATTTTGCCGCGCTACAGTTCGCCTCGAGACCACACACATCGCCCCGAGACCCAGGTAACTTTTCAAACCATGCGCCTTGATTTTATTTTTTTATTTTCGTTTTTCAAGATTTTCAACCAAGCTCGCCTGAATTCCGATGCCAAGACAAAAAGTTGTGTATGGAGCAGATAGCCTAACTCGAGTTCTATACCCCGTTGCGATTTGTATGCTAATAGTTATTGCAAATGTTCTAATAATCAAGGAAGAAGAAGGGGAGGCGAAAATGTGAGTTTTTCATGATTTTTAGAGGAGAAAAATGGGACTTTTTTGCAGAATTATTGGATTGTTCAAATCCTACGATGCTCAAGAATCTCCACTAATGGCGATTATTGTTTTCGGATTTATAACAGTTGCAACGTGGCTAGGAGTTATGTGCTATAAATTCAAGCTCTATACGGTGAGAGATTTATTGAGGAGATAGATTTTGAATCGCTGATCAGTATTCTGTTGTCAAAAATTAGTCAAAATCCTCAATTTCCAGGCAATTCGAATTTATTTGATGCTCAACACAGCCATGACATTCTACGTCTTCGCATTTTTACAAATTCGCCGAATCTTCGAATCTCTATCAATTCCAATCTCAAAAATCACAATATTTTTCGTTTTATTCAATTTTGCGAGTCTTGGAATGTTCGTAGTTCATTGGAAATCATCGATTCGACTCAATCAATTTTATTTGATTACAATGGCGGCGTTAACGAGTTTATTTATTTTGTATAATTTGCCGGATTGGACTGTTTGGCTTGTTTTGGTTGCCATGTCACTTTGGGATTTGTTTGCGGTTTTGGCGCCGTGTGTAAGGGATTTTGGGATTAAAAATTGTGAGGAAATGCGTTCCTCGCGGTTTCAAATACACTAGGTTAAACTATTAGTTTATGAAAGGTTAAATAAAGCAATAATGAATACAAGTTAAGGTAAATTACATATAGATTACAAGTTAAGTTAAGTATAAACCATATAAGAGGTGGTCATCAAGGACCATGGTTAAAACTAGAACATCCTTAAAACTCCTAAAAAAAACTCTCTTAGGGCGAAGCTTTGACTCCTTAAATACTGCTCGTCTGGACCCTCAAGGGTGGAGCCTATACTTATTGGTAGATTATTGTAGAGGCGTGGACCACGGCTCCACAAAATTTTGAAAAATTAACATTGCTCATGTTAGAAAAGTCTCGTTATTCATCCCATAAAAAATCACTATTATTCTTTGAAATTCTAGAAACTTACTTGAAATTTCATCAATTTTTCCTTGAATTTCTGAAGAAAGCATTTTTCTTAAAATTTAAAAATGATTTTTGAAAATTCAAAATTTTATCGTACTAAATGAGGAGGTCACGTTTGCCCCGTTTTTTCTAATAAGTTTTTTTTTTCAAAGTTTATTCATTTTACAGGAATTGTTAGCTATGACGTGGCAAAAATGTGTATTTTTTAGTTGTACAAAGAGTTGTGAAATCCGTGAAAATTCTCTACAAAAAACTATACACAATTTTTTAAACAGTAACTTTTTCCGAAATTAAAAATATAGGAAATTTGATTTCAAAAATTCCGTTTTTTCCAGGGCCCTCTTCAAATGTTGATAAAAACAGCTCGTCGACGTGGCGATTCGAAATTTCCAGCAATTTTGTATTCTACAATGGCTGAAATTGAAATTGAGGAACTTGAAATGACTGATCGAACTGATAGAAGTTCGCAACCTTTGTTGAATCGTGGGTTTATAGTTTCAGCCAAGGGGCTGAAAAATTTGTATTTTTTCAGAATCTGAGGTTTCGGACACGTCTAGAAATGCAGCTACAACTTCAAGAAGTGAGTTTTTTAGTGGGAAGTTTGTCAAAAGCTCGAAAATATTATCTGAAAATTTTCTTGATTTTATTTTATTTTTTAATTTTTAAACAGCAAAAAAATTTTAGTCAAAAATAAGAAATTGAGAAATTAATTTGTTTGGTAAGAAATATGATATTTTTGAAACAGTGAAATATTTTCAAAAATTTTTTTCTATAAAAAGTTTCCGCCTTTAAATTTTAAATTAATAAATTCAAATCTAGTTTTTTGGCGCCAAAATGTTTGAATTTTCGAATTTCCCTTCCAAAATTCTCCATGTTTTCAAGGACCAACCCAAGTCGAAGAAATTCGCGGAACAATTCGTCTAGGCCTCGGCGACTTCGTTTTCTATTCTCTAATGATCGCAAACGTTGTTCAAACCTCAAATTATCTCACAACAATCTCATGTTTTATTTCGAATTTGGCCGGACTTGCAATAACTCTTCCAATCGTCTCATTTGCTCAAAAACCACTTCCAGCTCTGCCTTTTCCTTTGTTTTTTGCCGCGTTTTTCTATTTCTTTTCACATATCGCAATTACACCATTCACTCAATTTTTTGCAAGGAATTTGATCATTTTTTGAAAATTATTAATTAATTTGAATATCAATCTCCCAATATTTTTCTATTTTTGGTTGATAAAAATTAATAATCATAACAATAAAGAGCACCATCTTATTTTCTATTTTTTTGATGATAAAAATGGTACGTGCTGTTGTTATCAATGTATACGTGCCTAAATTTTGGCTGTCGATGAAAGTTTTTGAGGTTTTTTGTGGATGGAAAAATGTTGGATGCTTAGAATTTTGAAATTTTGCTCGTGGACAATTGCACTGAAAAAATATCTTCTCAAAATATTTTCCAGATTTTTTGAAACAGTGAAACATTTTTGAAATCTCATGCAAAATCTAGTTTTAAAATTATTCTTGTGTTATAGCAAAAATTCGAAGTTTGAAAATTTATATGGAATTTTTGAAACAGTGAAATTAATTTTAATTTTTCACTGGTTTTTGAGGTGTTTTGAAATCTCAAATCAGAATGTTTGGCAAATTGCATTTCCACTAAAAATTCAGGATAGCCATAAAAATTATCTGTACGTTTTGAAACAGTGTAATTTTTTGAGAATTATAATTTTGCAATTGGTTAAAGAGTTGGTGCTCCGCCAGGGAATCTTGCTTGCTTTAGATAGGATTAAGGTGCTCCTGGAAGGTTCCAGTTTTAGAAAAAATTCTAGTATCAATTCAGTCCATGTTTTTCCTCAAAAGCACAAGCGAGTTAAAACCTACGAAATAAAGCAAGTAAATGCGCTCTAGCGCACAACTTGTTTTTGAATTTTCGTGTGTGTGTTTGCACACAACTTTGAAAACAACACTGTGACGCCTTTTTGCAGACAGTTTTTTCACCAGGAAAACACCAACCCTTTAACACAGTAAAATCAATTTTTGCATAATACTCTCCAAATTTTTTTGAAACAGTGAAATTTCTTGGAATGGCAAATTTTTAATCAAAATTTTATTTTGTGCCATTTTTCTCATACAGATAATAATGGTCTATCCCAGAAAATGCATTTCAAAAATAATTCAAGGTTTTTTGAAACAGTGAAAAATTTAGAAAAATTTCTTCTTCAGTATCATTAAATTTAGTAAAATGTTTTCCAATTTCAAAATTCTTTAAAACAGTGAAAAATTCCCACAAACCAAAATTCCAAAACTCAACTTTCCTTTCTTATTTTCTAACTCCACAATCTATCATTATTTTCATCATTTTTTCTCCTCTATCTTGTGCCCTTTTCTCAATTTCCCCCCAATTTTTCCTTTTTTTTTTTGATAAAATTAATAATCATAAACAATAAAGAGCACCATCTTATTTTTTGAATATTTTTTGATGATAAAAATGGTACGTGCTGTTGTTATCAATGTATACGTGCCTAAATTTTGGCTGTCGATGAAAGTTTTTGAGGGTTTTTGTGAGCGGAAAATAAGTTTGATGCAGAAAAAAAACAAATGATTGTTATCATGTGAATATATTGGTAATGATGTTTGAACTTTGGGAATTTTTGGAACAGTGAATTTTTCTCAAGTTAATTGGAAGTTATACCTTCGAGAATTTATTCTTCAAAATCTTTATTGTTTTTTGAAACAGTGAAAAATTTATTCTTGCAATTTCGTATTACAATCAGCTGAAAAATAATTAGAAAAAATATTAGAAATTTTTGAAACAGTGAATTTTTCTAACAATATTGCCTTAAAAAATTCAAATATAAATATTCATTTTCTAATTCGGTAAATTTGATACAGTGAAAATTTGGAGTGACAAGGCTTTTGAAAAATATTGGCTGACTTAATTATAAAGGCATCTCAGAATGTTGTGCCTCTGGAATTTTTATAATTTTTGAAACAGTCAATTTTTCGGGAGAGTAGAATAATGAACTAACGCAAAAACTATCCCAGAAAATAATTTACAAAAATTTTTCAACATTTTTTGAAACAGTGAAAAAAAACTAATATTTTTCAAGTTCACACTCAGTTTTTTTGAAATTTTAGGTTTGCATTTTTCTTATAAATATTTTTTTTCTGATTAATTTTTGTGCTTCCATTCGTTAAACTATCCCAGAAAATAATTTTCAAAAATATTTAAAAAATTTTTGAAACAGTGAAAAATTGAGGAAAACAATTTCGACATACCTAATTGTATAAGGCTTACGTTAGACTCTTTTTGAAACAGTGAAAAATCCAGAAAAATTAATTTTTCCAGGTAAAACCAGTTTTTGATTTATTTACCTAACAATTACAGGTTATCTGAAATAAATTCGACTTGACATTCGGAAATTTGAGAATTTTTTGAAACAGTGAATCTTTGCGTGACCCAGAACTATATTTTTTCCGCAGGAGTTCCTCATTTTTAAATTTTTTCTAACTAGAAAAAATGTTTTTTACTCGAACAACTAGACTATTTTCAATATCATCTCTAATCAAAAACAAAAATCATATGACTATCAAAAATCCAAATTTATCCAGGTAAGGAAGAAGCAATCGCGCTCCAATGCCAAACTCATAAATCATCAAACGACCCAGAAAACTTATCAATCTCTCTATTTTTCATTCATTTTATTCTAGTTTCCTATTTATTTTCATTTCCAAAAAAATAAATTTTGTCTGATGTAGATCACTTTTTTTGCCGTTTGACCTCCGCCGCCGGCAACCTTTTCTACCTAATTTGATTGCCCAATTTTTGTCGATTTTTTCTTCTTCCCAAAAATTGAAAGTTTTGCCATTCTCTTATCTTTTTTGTGTGTTGGCTCCGCCTTTATTTTCCAAATATTTTGTGTATAAAATCGGAGGCTTAATTATCATTCCCATCTTACAGAAGAACAATAAACATGTCGTTGTCTCGTCAAAATTATCACGCTGAGGTCGAAGCCGCCGTCAACAAGCAGGTTCGTTTTTTTAAGCTTTTTTAAATTTTAGGAAGCTGAAATTTTAAAAAAAACAGAAAAAAAAGTTTGGCGCCACCGGGGTTTGAACCCTGGTGCAAAATTTTGCAGACTCGCGCGCTAACCAGTTGGCCACGCGGCTCTTCGGAAATCAAATGTAAATTTCATAGAAAAGCGCGCTGTCCGGAAAAGAAAAACAATTCTAATTTTCCAGGTAAACATCGAATTGTACGCCTCATATGTCTATCTCTCAATGTCATTCTATTTCGAACGTGACGATGTCGCCCTTCTCAACGTCGCCAAATTCTTCAAAAAACAATCGGACGAGGAGCGCGAACATGCCACCGAATTGATGCGCGTTCAAAATCTCCGCGGTGGTCGCCTCGTTCTTCAAGACGTTCAAAAACCAGAAAAAGACGAATGGGGAACCGCTTTGGAAGCATTCCAAGCCGCGTTGGCTCTCGAGAAATTCAACAACGAATCGCTTTTGAAACTTCACGGTGTTGCAAGCACTCATAATGATGCTCATTTGACCGATTTTATTGAGGAGAAATATTTGGATGAACAAGTCAAATCGATCAATGAATTTGCTCATATGGTTACCAATTTGAAGAGACTTGGACCAGGAATGGGAGAATACGTTTTCGACAAAGAACATTTTGACAGCTAAATTATCGTCGCCTTATCTTTTTCCACATATTATTTACGTGTACAATAACTATTGATAAATAAATATATTGCCCCTGGTACGAACTTTGATCTCGATCGAGGGCAGCTAAAACATCTCGAACAAAACACTTTGTTTTCCAAAACCCCTGCGTGGCCGACTGGTTTACACGCGCGCGTGTTAAATTTTGCACGAGAGTTCGATGCCCCGCGCGAACTTTTTTTGTTTTTATGTTTTTTTTCGCATATCTAAAAGCGATTGTTTTCGTCAAGCGGAAAAGCGAACCTAGATAAATAAAAGATTTCAATCGGCCTTGGTTTTCGCCCCTCGAAATTTTCCAGCAATTTTTTCGTTGTTTTCGTTAACGGATATTTTACTTATTTGTTTTAAATACAATTTCTTTCTTCCCGAAACCAATGTTATTTTATTTTATGATAGGAAAGAAAGAAAGAAAGAAAATAAGGAGAAGTAATAAAATTGATGATCATATTTGGTCTAAATGGTTATTTTATTTGTTTCTGACAACACATTTTTGTAAATAAGTAAATATTTAGAAGAACTTTGAGGAGAAGAATAAAAATGTTTCAATCATTCGTCAATCAATCTTCTTATTTTTCTCCCATCTCATCAGCATTTTTGCTAATCTTTCTTCTTTCTTCTCAAAAAAACAGTTGGTCCGTTCATTTTCAAGCCATTTTTTCTGTGCAATTTTTTTAGCTGGGCCGTTTTCACCACATTTTGATTTATTCATCTAATTAAAACTTTTCCCGATTCTAGAGATCTTCTTGCAAAAAAAAACCAAAAAAAAAAAGAAATAAATAGTTGCCTGTTGTTTAGCCAAACGATGCTCCGCTCGTAATTTTTTTTTCAAAAAAAATTGTTTTTTCGCGTTTTTCCGCGTGAACTTCTAAATTTCTGTTGGCTACTCATTTCTTGAAATTCGAATTTTTAAAATATGAAAATGTCAAAGATTTTTGTGAGTTTTTCGGGTGGGTTTTGGGAGAAATTTGAGGAATTTGAACTAGAAAGTCGAAAAGTCAACCAAAAAACGTTGAAAATCACAAAAATTAGCTCTGAAACTCCGAAATTTCCGTTCAAGACTCAAAAAATCATCAAATTTCGCTACGGAACCTTGAAATTTCTCAAAAATCATTCCGTGACCTCTGAAATCCCAAAATTTCACTAAAAGACTCGAAAAATCTCAAATTTTCCACTGCAAGACTCAAAAAATCGCCAGAAAGCTCATTTTTCACTTCAAGACCCAAACAATACCTACATTTCGCTTCAGGACCCAGAATTATCGGAAAAATCATTCCGGGACCTCTGAAATCGCAAAATTTCACTTCAAGACACATCAAAAATCTCAATTTTTCGTGTCGAGACCCAAACACCACGTAGAAATTCTAAAATTTGCCACGTCATAACTCATCTCACACCTAATTTGTCTCTCTCTCTCTCTCTTTCTCTCTCTCAAAATTTATTTGGTGGTTTTATATCTGATCGAATTTTTTCTCGCAAAAGTGTTGAAATTAATGAGTTTTTTCGAGATTTTATCGTCGTTTGGGTGTGTTTTTTGCCCCAATTTTTGTCGATTAATCGAAAAAATATAAAAATTCTTATCTTTTTCTCTATTTTTTGGCTCCCATGACATATTTTTGTTGATTTTTCAAGGGAAAATGAAAAATCAACAAAAAATCTGTTTTTTTTTTCATTTTTTCACACCATTTTGTGTAATATTATATGTTTATCCTACTACTGCCACCTAATTTATGAAGAAGAAAAATGAGCGGCCGAAAAAATTTGAGCTTTTTGTTTATTTTTTTTTTTTGAATGACTGACGGGTAAAAAAGATGAGCTTTTTGTTTTGTTTTTGTCGGTTTCTAGCCAAAAAAAAACATATACTGAATTTTTTATTTTATATATATTTTCACTCGGAAAAATGCTTTTTTGAACACAAAATTTATTGGGTTGAACTCTTTTTTTTTTATTTGATAGGAAAAATTGGAACAGTTGGCCTTTTTTTTTGAAAAAATGAAAGAAGAAAAAAAGTGTGGTTTTTGATTTGCAGATTTTTATCTGAAAATTTGACCTCATTTTTTTTGAAACAGTAGAATTTTGGCGCAAAATTTTTCAATTCTCAAAATTTGCCACGTGGATTATACGTGGAATTTCGGATTTTTTGAAATATTATTTACCAGCGACTAATAGCCACATTTTTTCCTGTCAAAAATTCTCTCAAAATTTTGAAACGTACTTTTTTCATGTGAATATTACTAGCTCAATTTTTTCCCCGAAAAAATTCACAAATTTTTGAAACAGTAAATTTTTCAGTGTGACTAAATTTTTCGCCAAACAAAATTCCAAGATTAATTTTTTTGAAATATTTTTGAAACAGTGGAAAATTTGGAATCATGGAATTTTTCTAGTTTTTATATTTCTCAACTTTTAGCATCGTCACAATCGATTTTTCGATGTAAAATATTTTTTGAAACAGCAAATTTTTCTGAAACCGAAAAATATACGTTTCAAAATTCCTCATGATTTTATTTGAAAAACTGGAAATCTCGAATTGTGAGTAAAAAATTTTCACTGTTTCAAAAAATTGTTAAATTTTTTAAAATTTGAAACAATTTCGCTGCGAAAGCGGAATAAACCGATAAATTATGAATTTTGAAAATGTGAAATTTTCAGCAAAGAATTTCTGAAAAATTAAATGTTTATACTCAAAATTATTTTGATTAGAGACAGTGGAAAATTGAGAGAGTGCAGACAACAAATTAGTTTTTTGATAAAAAAATAATAATTTTGTTTAGCTTCCGCGCAGCGGCAAAGTTACCCTAACTTTCCAGAGGTTAGCCTAAACACAATTAGTGTTGTCTGCACTCTCTCAATTTTTCGTTGTCTCTAATCAAAATAATATTTATTCTGTATTTTTTGTTTTTTTTTCATTACAGTAACCCAATTTCCTCCTCCTACTTTTTTTCGCCAAAAAAAAACAACAAACAATTTAGAACACATTAAACTCAATCATAAAATAAAACTGTTCAAAACCTCATTTTTCTCCCAAAAAAAAAACAAACACAAAATATAAATGAAACCAGCTTTTCCTTTCTTTTCTACCGCGAAAAAATGACATTTCAAATCAAATCTTCTTTTTTCACTTGTGCCGATTAAACAATTTATCATTTTTCATTTTACACTATCAATTTCTCCCCATTTTTTTTTGATTAATTAATTAATTGATTAATTATGGATTTTTGCCATCAAAAGTTTTCTTTGAGATTTCAGGTCTCCGCGTTAAAAATGAGCTAAAATGCGATTGCTCATATTATTGTTGGTTTTTGGTGCCAAAATTTCGTTGGCCGCTAATTTTTTCGGAAATTTGGAGCAGAACACGACCAAGGTTGATATTTCACACTGTGAGTTTTTTTTTGAATTTTGAATCGATAAAACTTTGAATTTTCTCTCATTTTTACAGTGATCAAAAATATAATCTACGACAAAAACGAAAAAATCAATATTCTCCACAATTACGGCAATGATTTCATTCTTCTTGGCTCCAAAAATCGAGCCTATAATATCAGTTTGAAAACAATGCAAGAAATCGATCGATTTGAATGGGAACCCAATGAAAATGCAAAAATCAATTGTGCTGCTATTAGTTTGGATGCTCAAATCGTTTGTCATAATTTTATTCGAACATTTTTCGAGTTGGCCAATGGATTTTTCATTTTGTGTGGAACTTATGCATTGCAACCGACGTGTGCCGAATTTAGGATTGGAAATTCTAGTGGGTTTTTTAAAAATTTATTTGAAGTTTTATATTAAAAATGGTTGATTTAATTGTAAGTGATTTTCAGCTGAAATTCCAGAATTTTTAATAGAAAAAAAATAATTTTTTTATTGAAAAAATTAACTGTTTCAAAAATTATTTAAAACGTGTTCTGGAAAGTTCGATTGTTCTGTTCCTTAGTTTCTTTTCAAATAAAAAAATATATAAATTTTTTTCCCAAAAATTTTCTATTTCGGAAATTTACTGTTTCAAAATTTATTCAATAGATTTTTTTTCGAATAAAAATTTTCTGCTTCTCGATTTCAAGTAGGTTTGAAATTTTACTTGTTTTCAGTACTGTTGAAACTTTACAATTCAACATTTTTTTTCTGAAAATCTCACTGTTTCAAAATTTTCCAAAAAAATTTCAACAAAATTGACGGACTTAATCAGGATTACAAAAAGTTTCTCTCTGAATTTTTGAAAAATTTACTGTTTCAAAAATTATTTTAGATTTTCCTATTATTTTGCGCTGTTTCAAGATCAAGTTATTATCTAATATTGTTCAGAAAATCAATTCGGTTCGAAATTTCCAAAAAAAAACTTTCAAAAAAAATCACTGTTTCAACAGATTTTCATCATTATTCGGGAAATGCTTCTTTGTTTTCTATATAGACAATTAAACATTTTCCAATGAACATGTCGTGAAAAATATCACTTCAGTCATATAAATTTCAAAAAAAAACCAAATTTTTCGAATTTTCCAGGTGCAACCCGCCTAATTCCATCAATCGGAATGTCTCCAGTCGATGCCGATTCAATTTCTCCATTCATCAGATCCAACGACAATATAATAACAGTAAATGTGGCCGAATTATCCTCCTCCGAACCACTTTTAATTCGAAGAAATGTCATGAAAATGTGGAAAGGTGTAGAAAATGATGTGATTTTGAGAACTCCAAGAGGTCTGAATTCATTCGAGCAACAAACAAGTTTTCTAGGCATGTTTAAGGAGAAAAATGAAAAAGAAGTTCTATTTTTCTTTTCTGAGAGTCCAATTGATTCTGAAGGATGTGGATTAGGATTGCATAAAGTTGCTAGAATTGGAAGAATTTGTGATGATGATATGGGTGGAAATTCGGGACAATTATCAAAAGAATGGTCATCTTATACAAAAGCGAGGCTAGAATGTTCGATTGAAGAGGAAAATGAGGATACGTTTTATTTCAATCAATTTGCAAGTGTTAGTCAAAGTAGAAACTATTTTTATGGAGCTTTTCGATCGCAATTGGCTGGAATTGGAGCATCGGCGATTTGTAGATATGAAAAGAAATATATTAGTCAGACGATTGCGAATTCGTTTAGAAATTCGAGGGAAAGTTGTCCGAGAGCGATGGATTTGGAAGAACTTTTGAAGATTCGAGTGAATCCGCTGATTAAACAAAGTTGGTTTTTTCTAGAGGGGAGAAAAAAATTACTGTTTCAAAAAAGTTGGATATAATTTTGGATTTGTTGAATTTTGCTGATTAGCAAAATTTCACGGTTTCAAAAAATTTATAATAACACTTTTTTCAATCGAAACTTTTGCTTTCTTTTTCATGGATAATTTACGTTTCAAAAAAATTTGGAAATAATTTTGAAGTAGAAAAATCATTTGTCCATGGCGAAACGTAACAAAATTTAAAAATTAATTTGTTAAAAAAAAAACATAAGAATTTTGTTTTGAACTTTTGCTAATTCCCGAGGATTTCATTTGAAACAAATTGTACTTATGTTTCTCAAAAAAATTCACTGTTTCAAAAAGAGTTCGAAATAAATTTGGACTAGAATAACCATTCCGTGACGGTATGATACAAAAATAAACAATTATTTTTTCTCAAGAAAATTTTACTGTTTCAACAATTCTCAATAAAAAGAAACGATTTGGATTTTTGATTCTCTCTACCCGTTCGAAATTATTTTCAAAAAAAACTTACTGTTTCAAAAAAGTTGGATTTAATTTTTTTTCGTTAGTTCCATCTTGGTTTTGAAACATTGTAGTACAATTTTGATCAGAATTTTTTTCAATCAAAACTGATTTCATTTTCTCATGGATAATTTACGTTTCAAAAAAATTTGGAAATAATTTTGAAGTAGAATAATCATTGGACCATGGCGGAACGAAACAAAAATTAAAAAATCAATTTTTTTCAAAAAAAAAATTCACTGTTTCAAAAAATTCATAAGAAATTATTTGTTCTGGATTTTTGCTCATAAAATTGTAAGTACTTATGTTTCTCAAAAAAATTCACTCTTTCAAAAAGATTTGGAAATAATTTTGGACTAGAATAACCATTCTTCCGTGACGGTATGATACAAAAATAAAAAATTATTTTTTCTCAAGAAAATTTCACTGTTTCAAAAAATTCACAATAAAAAACAACGATTTGAATTTTTGATCCCCTCTCCCTCCGTGCGAAATTATTTTCAAAAAAAATCTTGTAAATCTCAAGAAAAAATTACTGTTTCAAAAAAAGTTGGATTTAATTTTTTTTTCGTTGAAGAGTTTCATTTTAATTTTGAAAAATTGTAGTACAATTTTGCTAAAAAAAATTTAGAAAAACAATTTTGATCAGAATTTTTTTCAATCGAAACTGATTTCATTTTCTCATGGATAATTTACGTTTCAAAAAAATTTGGAAATAATTTTGAAGTAGAATAATCATTTGTCCATGGCGAAACGTAACAAAAATTAAAAAACAATTTTTTTCAAAACAAAATTCACTGTTTCAAAAAATTTACAAGAAATTATTCGTTCTGGATTTTTGCTCAACTTTAATTGAATAAAATTGTACTTATATTGTTCAAAAAAAAATTCACTGTTTCGGTCTTTTTATTTTTAAATCTTGGTCTAAAAATATCTCGTTCTTTTGTTTTTGTAAGTTATACAAATTCTCAAAAATTTCACTGTTTCAAGAAATTCACAAGAAAAAAATTAGGTTTAGATTTTCGCTATATGACAGAAAAATCTTCTCTAAAATTTTCTCGAATGAAAAATCTTTCAAAAAAAATTTACTGTTTCAAAGGGATTGCTAATAATTGTGGGCTAAATTGATTTTGTTGATCCATGGTTATACTTTACTAAAATTAAATTTGAAAAAAAAACAAATGAGAAAATTGCTTCACTGTTTCCGAAAATTCTCAGAAAGAAATTTTCGATCTGGATTTTCGCTATATTTTTCAAATAAAATTGAAAAAAATAGCAGAAAATATACGTTTCAACAAAATTCGAAATGACAATCTTTCGATCTAATTTTTAATACGATACAAAGTTCCATTTCCCCCCTAAAAATTCACTGTTTAAAAAAATTTAAACATAAAATGTTCCAGAAATTTCCGCTCACCCAATCTATGTTTTCCACGGAAAAGACAAATTTGTGAATATGATAACCGATGAAAATGTTCGAGATTTATCCGGAAAATCATTCGATATAATGTATATTGCGACAAATTTGGGAAATATTTTGAAAGTTGTTTTGCCGCATTCTGGAGGAGGACAAGCGAGACATTCGAGCACTTTGAGAGTTTTACCGGTGAGAAAATTGAGCATTTTTTGAGGGAAGTGGAAGTTGAACAATTTTGAGAAGAAAAAATCTACTGTTTCAAAATTTTTATAAATAAAAATTTCTGAAATCTGTTGTGCTGTTCTAATTATTTCCAATTGTTTTCCGAAAAATATAGAAAAAACAAGATTATCTTGAAAAATAAAAAAATTACTTTTACACCCAAAAATTCACTGTTTCAAAAATTTAGTTAAAAACTTGGTGAGGAAGGAAGTGAATTTGCTGAAATCAAAATATATTCAATTAAAATTTTCCTACTGTTTCAACAAAAATTGAAAAGAGAATTTTATTTTGCCGAACATGTTTCTTGGAGTTTTGTATACCCGAATGAAAAAATTTCAGGAAACATTCACTGTTTCAAAAATGTTTAAAATTCGACAGTTTTTGGAGCTTTGTTGCTTAACTGTTCACAATCTAGGTTTTTATGAAAATTCAAAAATTTTCAAGAAAAAATCAGGAATAAATTTAATTTTTAAAAAATATTCACTAGATAATTTTATCCGAAAATGTTTTCACTGTTCCAAAAATTCATTCAATTTCCAGCCCAACACAAAAATCATCTCAATGCAACTGTTCACCGAAAATCTCGCCAACAATTTGACCTACCAATATCTTATCCTAATAACCGATCACAGTGTTTTGAAAATTCCGACAACAACGTGTAATTTGGCACCAAATTGTGCCGAATGTTTATCATCTGGTGATCCACAATGTGCTTGGGCTGATGCTGGAGAATGTATTGATGTTAGAAGTGAAAAAACGTAGGGATAAAGAATTTTTTTCTGAATGAAAAATGTTTAAATATTTTTCAGGAGGATCAAATATTCGAGCCAAGATAGTGGAACTTGTGATCTGAATTTTGGACAAGAAATCAAGCCGATATCCTTGGCGCCATTGAAACCGGTTAAAAGTGAGTTCTTTTTTTCAATCGAAAATATATCAGTTATTTTTGGAACACTCCCTCAGATCTTTCAATAATAAAAATTCACTGTTTCAAAAAATATTTATGAAAAATTTTGAAATTTAAAAATTGATTCATTTAGTTTTTTACTGTTTCAACAAACTATTTTTGAAAATCTGATTTTCGCAGAAATCTAAAATTTTTCTCACAGAAAATTCTCTCAAAAATATGTTTTATTCAAATTTCAAAAATTATTTTATGATATTTTTCAAGAAAATTTTACTGTTTCAAAAAATTGTTTTCTTTAAAAAATTTATTCTGATATTCAGTACTGTAACAGCATAATATTATTTAAAATTTCATTAAAATTTTTTGAAACAGTGAAGGTTCAACACAAAATTTCACTGTTTCAAGAAATTGTTTTGATCTCTAAAAATGCCGTATTACTAATAAAAACATCCTTCAAAAGCAAAAATTTATACATTTTCTTGAAACAGTGAATTTTTCCCTCACAAAAAACATATTTTTCCAGAAGAGCCTTTAAATTGTCTGTGCGAGACCACTACCGTAATCCCATGCACAACTGAAGTCATTCAAAAAGAAATCATTCAATATGCCACGTCATCGGAAATCTGGAAATATTTGGCGATTTTCGCTGCGGGACTCGTCGTTGGCGCCGTTTTCAATTGCATCTATTTCTATTTGAATCGCCGGTTTTGTCAACAAAATCGCGAGAATTTAAAGGGAGGTGGAGGATTATCGAGTAGATCAAGCACTGCAATTGCGCCAACTCGAATGCCGATTGACGCATTTACGAATAGCACAATTGCTGATGAAATGTTTTCGATGCATTCGTCGATTAGAACTTATTGTTGATTTTTAGACTGAGCCACGTGGCATTTTTTGATTTTTTCTTTCGCTGCGGGACCCTTGTGTACCTTTAAATCTAAACTTCAAGTGAAAAATTTAAATTTCAAAAAATTTTCCACGTGGCAATTTGAGTTTCCCATTTTCCACTTTTTTTTTTGTATTTTTGCTCACGGGTTCCATTAATTTTCAATTTTTCATATTTCCACTAATTTTTTCCAAATCTGTGCTGGTATTTTTCATATTTGTACATTCTTTGATTTTTTGTTTGTAGAAAGAAAAAATAATAAAAATTCTGCTGATTTTTCGTCAAAAACTTCGCCTAATTCGATTTATTCAATCATCAAATTTTGAACGCATAAAAATCGAATGAAAATAAATTAAGACAGAGAAGAAAATGTTGACGAAACTTGTGATTTTTTCGATTTTTGCCGGTGTTTTGGCCGCCATCAAATGTCCCTCAGATTATCCATTTAATGACGATGGTTGGTTTTGTTTAGAAAAATTTGAATTTCAGCTCGAATTTCAATAAATATCGATTTTCAGACATTGCCACGTGGATTTTCAGAATCCTCATGAAATTTTAGCCCGGATAGGTACAAAAATTGAAAATTTTTCACTAGCCGGATCGAACCCTCCACCTCTAGATCAATAAATTGATCTCTAACCGATTGAGCCAATTTTTCGCAAGGTAGAAGGTCGCGGGTTCGATTCCCAGTGTCTGCGACGTTTTTTCTCAATCAATTTTCGAAAGCAGGCGCTAGGAATCGAACTCGCAACCTTCTACCTGGCGAAAAATTGGCTCAGCCGGTTAGAGATCAAGTTATTGATCTAGAGGTGGCTGGTTCGATCCCGCTAGTGAACATTGTCTGATTTTTGTACTTATCCAGGTTAAAATTTCACGAGGATTCTGAAAATGCACATGAAAATGTCGGAAAATCGAGAATCTAATATAATATTGAAAATTCAGAGCAACGATTCTTCAACCTTATCAAAAATGCCTCAATCACCGGAGCCGCCATTGCATTGGAACATTTGGAACAACCGTACATTTCCGACTTTGCATTTGCTCGAAAATTGATCGAATTCGAAAAATATTTGGAGCATTACGTTCAGGAAGAGCGTATCTACTATCAAAAAGGATACAATTATTTGAATGAGACTGTCGCTAGGCCAGCAAGCAGATGCGCCGAAAATACTGTTGCTTTCAAGCGTCTTAGCTTCGCTATCGCTTAAATCATCCATTTGTTGTTCGTTAAAAACAAAATAAATATGCATTTTCAAAAAAAAAAAAGTATACGGTTTTTATAGACGCACAAGGTTTTGTGTATTTGGTCTTGGCGCGTGCGGGAAATATCGTAGTTTGTTTTTTGAATGTTTTTTTTTCGAAAAAAAATATTTTTGTTTTTTGGGAAGTTTTTCGGGCTTTTACGGTGTTATTGATGGACGAGAGTTTTGAAAAAGTAATTAGAAAAGTTAAATTCTCTTGTGAACTCTTCCTGAAGCTGATTTTCAGAAAAAATTATAATTCAAGTGGGTTTTTAGCTGAAAATCAGTTTTGCGCAGATTTTCTCACGATTTTAATCAATAACAAATGATTTATACCCAAAAGTTGGTGAACATTTCAGAATTTCGACAGAAATCGTTAAATTTCGTATTTTGAAATGCTACGTGGCAATTTGAGCTGCTGAAAAAGAATTCACGTTTTCGAATTAAAAAAATTAAAATTTCACGTGTCATTTGTCATTCCCTTCATTTCTAGTTTTTATTTTCCATCATCTAGCTGAAGAAATGTCGTTGACTATGAAAGTAGGGAATATTTTCCAGGAAAATTTCAATTTGAGCTTGCTTGGACATAAATTAAATAAATATTTTAATATTTTTTAAGCAAGTCAGTTGAAATATTGGGTTTTAATCATATTCATAGGATAGACAGGTCTGAGACAATTCGAATGATATCAATTTTTATGACATTACGTTTGACGTAATACCTTAAAATACGTTATTCATAAGTCATTTAGCGATATTTAGTGAAAAAGCCGAGTTGATCGATAAAACATCGCTAAATTACTCACGAATAACCTATTTTTAAGGCATTACGTTAAACGTAATGTCATGAAAATTAATATACCTGTCTAACCTATGAATAAGATTAAAATCCAATATTTCAACTCACTTGCTCAAAAAATATGAAAATGTCATTTAGGTGTTGTAGTTCTTTCTGAGAAATTATTTAGTTCTTAGAACTATGTTTTTCTCACGAGAGTTTCTATTGTATTCCTTCGAAATCGATATTTTTTCAGATGTCAAACCTTTCTGACTTGAAATTGCAATTAGAAGAGACCGTCAGCCGTCTCAACAAAATCGTTGTGAACCTCGACAATGTTATAGATTCTCAAAAAACCACCACCAAAATCGAAGAAAACTCGAGCAGCTCTGCAGCTAAGCCACCACAAATTCTTCAAGAGTTCGATAATTCGATCATCTCCGCAATTCAAACTTGGATGATGAAATCGGAAAGAATTGGTGACGTGGTTTTTGAAGAAGCCAAAATGGTCGAAAGAATTATGGAGAAATTGAGAAATTATTTGGAGCAAGCAATTTCGATGGAAAAACCGGAAGAACCGACGGAATTGAACGAATTGTTGAAACCAATTTTTACCTTGATTTTGGAGATAAATCAATACAAATTGGCCAAGAAAACATCGCCGTTTTATAATCATTTGGAAGCGGTTGAAGCTGCTATAACAGGTGCATGCGAGGGAAAAGCTTCCGGAAAAGTTACCCCAACTTTCGGGAGGTTAGCCTAAACACACTTTGAAATTTGCTCAAAAAACAAACTTGTTGTCTGCGCTCTCACAATTTTACATTGTCTCTAATCAAAAGAATTTACTTCGAAAAACATAGAGAACACTGGAGTTGCGCTAATTTTCTCCTAAAAATCACGCAATCGCACCAGAGTAACACTAGAGCGCACCAAATTTGAACAAAAATTTCTCTTTTAGAGATTTTTGTGCGAATTCGGTGCGCTCTAGTGTTACTCTGGTGCGATTGCGTGATTTTTAGGAGAAAATTAGTGTTCTTTGAGTTTCTCAAAGTAAATTATTTTGATTAGAGACAAAGTAAAATTGAGAGAGCGCAGACAACAAGTTCGTTTTTTGAACAAAAATTCAAATTGTGTTTAGGCTAACCTCTGGAAAGTTAGTGTAACTTTGCCGCTGCGCGGAAGCTTGCGGTCTACACTCGCTCCACTCGATTTCAAAAAATATCCTGAATCCCGCCGAATCTGAAATTTTCCCTAAAAATTGGTTTTTCATCGAAAAATCGAGCTTTTATGGAAAATTTCAAGATTCCGCACAGGGGAACCTATCGCCAATTTTTTTTTTGAATTCAAGCGAAGCGAGTGTAGACTGCAAGCTTCCGCGTAAGCGGCACTATCTTCCGCGCAGCGGAAAGGTTATCCTGACTTCTTTAGCAAATATAAGAAGTTAGGGTAACCTTGCGGCTGCGCGGAAGCTTGCGGTCTACACTAGCTTCGCTCGAGTTCCAAAAAAGATTCTGAAAACCGCCGAATCTGAAATTTTCCCTAAAAATTGGTTTTTCAACGAAAAATCGAGCTTTTATGGAAAATTTCAAGATTCCGCACAGGGGAACCTATCGCCAATTTTTTTTTTGAATTCGAGTGGAGCGAGTGTGGACCGCAGGCTTCCGCGTAAGCGGCATTATTTTCCGCGAAGCGAAAATGTTATCCTAACTTCTTTAGCTAATCTAGAAAGTTAGTGTAACCTTGCTGCTGCGCGGAAGCTTGCGGTCTACACTCGCTCCGCTCGAATTCCAAAAAGATTCTGAAATTCGCCGAATCTGAAATTTTCCCTAAAAATTGGTTTTTCATTGAAAAATCGAGCTTTTATGGAAAATTCCCAGATTCCGCACAGAAGAACCTATCGCCAATTTTTTTTTGAATTTGAGCGGAGCGAGTGTGGACCGCAGGCTTCCGCGCAGCGGCAAGGTTATCCTAAACGAAAAATATGGGTCCTTTTCCTGAACAAAAATCAAAAATCAATCAATAATGTTTATTTCTAGGAATTCAATGGATTACTGCTACATCAGCTCCAGCTCCTTTCATTCAAGATATGATCGAAGTCTCGCAATTCTACCTCGACAAAATTCTTGTCCAAAACAAAAACGCGGAAAATCAAATGCACGTGGAATGGGTGAATGCGTGGAAGAAGGTTTGGGAAGAAATGGTGAAATATGTCAAAAAATGGCATACAACTGGTCTCAAATGGAATTCGTGTCCGAAAAATGTTCAAGAGGGTAGGGTTTTAAAAATTTTAACAAAAAAAATTCACTGTTTCAAAAAATATTGAAGAATTTCTGAATTTTTGAAAAAACTATTGTGCCATTCCCTTTTCTTCAAGAAATCTACTATATACTAATTGGGAAAATTTTTTTGGTAGTATATAAACCAAGAAACACAGGCTGAAAAGGGGCGGAGCCTAAAAACGCTGCGGCTCTTTTTTCATGTTATTTTTTAAAAAATCATTCAAGTTCTCATCAAAATTTCAGAAAAATCAGAAAGTTTACAACATTTTTTTGAAACAGTGAGGTTTTTCTGATAAAAATTTCAAACTGATCAATTAAAAATTTATTTTTATTTCATCAGATTTTTGCGAAATTTAAATTTTCGCTAGTTTTTACTGTTATGTTCAAGCTACACTCTAGTTTTATCGAATTTATGAGGTATTTTTTTTAATTTCAGGTTTCAAAATTATGAAGCTTAAAAATTGTTCACAATTCTCAGGAAATTTTTCTCAAAATTTGAGCATCTTAATTAACAGATTTAAAACATACCTCATAAAATTGACCAGAAACTAGAGTGTAGCTTGAATATGAAAATAAACAAATTTTAATTTTCATCAAAAATATTCACTGTTTCAGAAAAGTGTTGTAAAATTTCTGGATTTCTGCAAAATTGATAATGTTGCTATTATCAAAATATAAAAATTTGGCAAAAAAAACGGAGCCCAGAAATTCAAATGACAATCTTTCCAAGTACGGTGTTTCTTTCAGTCGCTGCGAGACCCATATGTGCGTCTTTGACTTTGTTTCTCTGCCCAATGGTGTGGTTTCGAAACGGTGTTAGTGACGCAGAGAAATACCGTACTTGGGGAAATTGGGATTTGAATTTCTGGCTTCTGTTTTTTTGCCAAATTTTTTTACTTTGATAATAACATTGTTATAAAATTTGACAGAAAGTATTCATTCCCTCATGAATTTTTTTTGCAGAAGTTTCGAAATCTTCACTTCCACCACCACCTCCACCATTGGATTACGAAAGTTTGGAAAAACTCATGAAGAAAGGCGAGAAAATCGTCAAAATCGACAACAAAATTGCGCTTTTCGAACAAATCAACAAAGGCGATGAAATTCGCGCGAAATTGAGAAAAGTATCGGAATCGATGAAGAATCCGGGAAAAGAGAATATTCCGCCAGGTGGTTTGGTTTTTGAAAAATATCAAGAAAAATACGAAAGAGGTTGCTGAAAACGCGAAGATTTATATGAAAAACGATAAACAGTGGAATATTGATTATTTGAAAAATGAGCCGAATTCGAGTATTACTATCAAGGATAAGAGTCACACGGTTTATTTGTACAAATGCGAGGATTCGACGATTACGGTGAGATTTTCAGAATCTAAGTGAAATTTTAGTATCAATATCAGTCAATGTTCACTAGCGGGATCGAACCAGCCACCTCTAAATCAATAAATTTATCTCTAACCAGCTGAACCTTTCAACTGAAGAAAAATTGGCTCAGCCGGTTAGAGATTAATTTATTGATCTAGAGGTGGCGGGTTCGATCCCTCCAGTGCAAACCGGCTAAATTTTCCTCACTAGAATTTTTGATATTTACCCCTATGGTACCATTATCAAAAACCGGTAAAATTTGAGAGATGTTTATGAAAATTTTGAAACAGTAAAATTTTTTGGCGAGAGGAATTTGGACAAATTTATTTGAAAAAAATTGACACAATTTTTTACGTTTCAAAATTTTGTTATTTTTTGAAACGGTGGATTTTTTAATGCTTTATGTACGCACTATGCACTGTAGAAAATCATAAATTTTTGAATTTTTCATTTAAAAAATTCGGCTTAAAAGAGTTGACGGACATTTTTGAAACAGTAATTCCTTTGGAAATCACGTTTCGGAGATTTTGTGCTAAACTTTTTTCCAAGGGAAAGAGGAAGGTGGATTGTTCGAAAATTTCGAAATTCTAGTTATGAATCTTTTGAAACAGTCAATTATTTATAAAGAAAAAATATTATTCAATCGCAAAAATTCTGAAGCGAATCTTCTGAAACACTGGATCGAAATTATTTTCATATTTTTCAAAAACAAATTTTTATGAAACAGTAAATATTTCCCACCAAAAAATTCTAAATGTCATCTATTTTATCTATTTCAGATCAAAGGAAAAGCGAATGCAATCACTTTGGATGGTTGTACAAAAACAGCCATAATTTTCGACGGACTTGTCTCGCAATGCGAAGTGATCAATTCGAAATCGTGTCAAATTCAAACATTGGGCGAGTTGCCAACTATTTCGATTCAAAAAACCGACGGTTGCCAAGTTTTTCTCTCGAAATCCGCGTTGAAATGTCAAGTTGTTTCGTCGAAATCCACTGAGATGAATGTTGTTGCTCAGGTTTGAATTTTTCGGGATTTTGAAGCCAAAAATACACGTGGAAAAACTAGTACAAAATTCATCCATTTATTTTATTTGAAAATTTTTGCCACGTGGATTTTGGTCTGAAAATTATTGAATTTATTCTCAAATTAATTTTCACATTGGTAATAAGTTCAAACTACATTCTAGTTTCTGGCTGGGTTTTTCATTTTCAAAATATTAACTTGATTCTAGTTTTGATGATTTTTGAATGAATTTTGACTTTTTGGGATTTTGCTAGAAGAATTAACGAACGAAGCATCAAAATATGAAAATTGTGGAGAAAAAGTCAAAATTTTGAAACAGCAAATTTTTGAGAATTCGAAAAAAAATTTATCTACTTTTCTTGGCGCCAAAAATCCACGTCGAAATTTGGAAATTCAAAAAAAAAATCGAAAACTTCATGTGAAAGTTTGAGAACACATTTTTAACACCCCAAAATCCCTTCCCCTCCCCCCCCTCCCTTTCGAAGTGTGCATTTTTGCGTCGCCGTGTTTACACCGCTTTATTTTTTCCCTGTTTGTATTCTCATTTTCCTTTTTTTCTGTTGCAGCTCAACGAAAATGACGACGAATACGTTGAAATGGCGATTCCCGAACAATTTGTCACTCAAATTTCGGGCAAAAAATTGGTCACAATTCCGTCGGAAATTGTCTGAAAATCCCATTTTTCGCTATCTATATTGTTTTTTTTTTGCTTTCATAAATTTATTGTATGTAAAATTTGCCATTTTTCGTGGTTTTTTGGAGGAAGTTTTGATAGCTTTGATATATTTTTATCTGAAAATTATCGATTTTTACCCTATTCCTGTATTTTTAGCTCAATATCAACCAGATTTTCAGACATTTTTCAGCCCCGAAAATGGCTTTAGTTCGACGAAATGACGCGGTTGTCGCAATGGAAACTGATCAAAATCAGCAGCAAAAAAGGACTTCGGATTTGATGGCTCCAATTATGTGTTTGCACGGACATGAGGGTGAAATTTATTCGACACAATTCAGCAAAGATGGAACATTTTTGGCTAGTGCTGGTTATGATATGCAGGTAAGGGTTTTGGGGTGGGAATTGAGGAATTTTGATAAAAAATTCGAATTTTTTGGCTCTGGTTCATGAAAACTATTAAAAAATCAGATTTCTTAGCGAATTTTGAGCCTAGAATTTGAAAATTGAATATTTTTGATAAAAAGTTGAAATTTCCATGTATTTTTTTATTATTAAAATTCAAAATGAAATCTGATTTTTTGCGATCTGAAAAGTTCAGTGAGACTCGAACTTTTTTGATTGAAAAATCTAATTTTTCATCAAATTTGAACCGAGATTCATGAAAAATTGAGGATTTTTGAATTTAGATTTGAAAAAAAATATACAGAAAGCCCGAAAATCCAGGATTTCTTGAATTAATATTACATTGACTAAAAAATCACAATTTTTCAATATAAATTCGTTTTTTCTTCGGATATTTGTTTCAAAACTAAAGCAAACGACAATTCTGATTATTGTCAAAACTTATATTTTTTGTGAAACAGTGAAATTTTGAAGATTTATAAACCCATGTATTAATTTATTGACTGGAGACAAAAATTTTAATTTTTCTTTGAAACAGTGAATTTTCTGCAGATCATGCTTTGGAATGTGTTTGATAATTGTGACAATTTTGCGACTCTGAAAGGACACAAAGGAGCAATTATGGATATTAAATTCAACGCGGATTCAAGGTACAATTTTGAAAAATTATAGATTTCTCTTCGAAAAAATGCACTGTTTCAAAATTAACATATTTGGAAAAATTGATTTTTGGAATTGATCCTTTGTTTGATAAAATTATGTAAAAATAATCATAATTTTGTTGAAATTCACCTAAACTTCCCCAAATTTTCCAGCCATTTGGCCACTGCGAGCACAGACAAAACAGTTCGAATTTGGGACATGGAAACGGGAAAATGTTTGCGCAACTTCAAATCGCATGCGGATTTTGTGAATTCGGTGGATTTTACACGCCGTGGACCTGAAATGATTGCATCGGCTTCCGATGATGGAACTGTCAAAATTCATGATTTTCGAACTAAAGAGCCGCACAAATCGTATGAGAATAAATATCAACAAACGGCGGTGGTTTTCAATGATTCGTCGGATGGTGTGATTTGTGGTGGAATTGATAATTCGATTAAGGTTGGTGCGGTTTTAGGAGGAAAATATATATTTTGAATAATTTATAAAAATTAATGGGCCTATGCAGAATAATATTTTGTAATAAAAAAACATAAAAGAACATTTTTTTCCTATGCAGAAAAACGTCGAAAAAACAAAATAAAGACAACGTGAAATTGAGAGAGCGCAGACATAAAATGGGTTTTTTTTTCTGCACTCTCTCAACTTCACGTTGTCTCTACTCAAAATAATAAACTGTATATTTTGTTTTTTCGACTTTTTTCTGCATAGGAAAAAAATGTTTTTTTATGTTTTTTTATTACAAAATATTATTCTGCATAGGCCCATAAAAAAAACGTTGAATTTTATTTTAATCTCCAAAAAATTCACTGTTTCAATTTTTATTTTAGTCAAGAAAAACTAAATTTTAAAATATTCATATTTTGATTTGAACTAGAAGATTGTATGCAGTTCCAAAAAATTTGCTGTTTCAAAATTTTCATTTATTCTGAAACATTTTTGCATTTTGATGCGTTATCGGCCTTTGCAACATTTGCTTACAATTAGAATTTCGAATTCACTGTTTCAATATTTACTTGAATTGAATTTTTATTTAGAATGTTATAAATTCACCGGCACATAAAAATAGTGAGATCAAAGGGAGAGAGAAAAAAGGGGTAATTCACACTTATTTTCAAGACACAATTTTTAACTTTGATAATAACATTTACTGATTCTGAGTTTCAATCTCAAAATTAAATAAAAATTTGAAGTTTAAAATTTTGCTGTTTCAAAAATCATACTTTTTCTGATTTTTAAAATTATTCTAATTTTCGAAATTTGAAAATAACAAGAAAAATTTACTGTTTCAAAAAATGTAATATTACTAAAAAGATTTTACAAAAATGGGTTGAATACATCACAAAGTAATTAAAAAAAATCACTGTTTCAAAATCAACTTTTCTTTGAGATACAATTTCGAGCGCTGATTTCTTCATACTCAATTGTTTTTTAAAAAAAAATTTCATTAGACAATAAATCCTGCATTGATAATAATGCAAAATTCAAGTGAAACGTATTTTCTCCTACAAAATTTCACTGTTTCAAAAATTGTTTTTGTTTTTCAGAATAATTACGACGTTTGCTGCAAAAATGCAGTGCAAATGTTATGTAGAATTTTAAAATTAAAAACAATTTTTCTGATTAGCGAAAATGCACTGTTTCAAAAATGTAATATTACTAAAAAAATATTTTTCAAAAAATTGTGATGGAGTTGAATATATCATAAAATAATTTTAAAAAAATCACTGTTTCAAAATCAATTCTTTTTTGAGATACAACCCTTCGTATTTAATTTTGAGAAAATTCATTAGACAATAAATCCTGCATTGATAATAATACAAAATTCTAGTGAAACGTATTTTCTCCTACAAAATTTCACTGTTTAAAATATTGTTTTTGTTTTTCAGAAAAATTACGAAGTTTGCTGCAAAAGTTATGTAGAATTTTAAAATTAAAAACAATTTTTCTGATTAGCAAAAAATTCACTGTTTCAAAATTTTCATATATTTGAAATTATATTATTGATCCTTGATGCGTATCTAATATTTGATATACAAATAGACGAAAAATTAAAGCAAAAAATATTCACTGTTTCAATGTTTACATATTTTTTACAAACATTTTTGATATTATGCTATAAAAAATTCCAAATTTATTGAAATCCACCCGTTATTCAATGTAAAAATCAAAATTTCCACACAATTTTCGTCAAAGTTTTTTTTGTTCAAAAATTCATTTTCACAGGCATACCACGCCCAGGGTGAAGCATATGCACGGCGCCAATAATTTTTTTATCCAACAATTTTATTTTTACTTGAAACCACAGTGCCAAAAAAAGCGGAAAAAAATAAAGTATATCTTGGCAATCGCACCTTCTTCAAAAAATTGTGTGGTAGTTCAGTCGGTTAAGTGCGCGAGTTTTTGTTCATAAGGTCCCAGATCAACCTCCGCCTCCTCCTAAATTTTTTATTTTGCTCTCGAATTGTCTGAAATTCAGAGTTTTGTATATTTTCGACATTTTGATTGATTTTCCCCAATCAAATAGTGTTCTAAATGGCCTTTACCAGGTGTAAACAAAAAACTAGACTGTTTTACGTGTTATTTGAGGAATAAAACGTGACCGTGCCTGTTTTTTCGCAAATTTCGAAGAGCTCATCTCATACTGCACCAATTGCCTCGTTCTTGGTCGCAAAAGGTGCACCGGCGAAAAATAATATGAGTTTCTATTACGGGTTTTGCTTAATGATACGAAAAAAAAGTTTTTCTTCATCAAAAACTGCATTTGAGGAAAAATTCAATCGGCACGGTCAAGAATAACTTGAGTTAGAGGAAATTTCCACCTCGCATTTTTGGTTTTATTGAAAGCCCAGCTTTTTTTTATGTATGTAGGCTGTTGAAACAAAGAATTTGATGCCGTAAGACATTTTCTTTTCAGTTTTGAAAAAAAAATCATTGAAATTGAATTTGAAATGAATATTTGTTCTTATTTCATCCATTTCCTGATGTTTTCACCTGGGTAGGGCATTGGAGGATCTCCAACAACAATGTTCAAGCGGATTGGACCTTTGATTCTGAAGTTATCACCCAAAAACTGCTATCCCACACAATAACAACGTCGCTGTTGCACACACAAAAACAGCGAACTTATCAAGGCAAACAAACAAGGCGGTTAGCAAGTGTGTGTGTGGTCTATTGGATAATCTTTTGACTTGCAAACTCATAACAAAAGTTCGAGTTCGACTTTCAGCGAAATTTTTTATTTTTTTTTAAATTTTGTTCTGAATTTTTAGAATAAGGGAAAATGAATTTGAATGCTAGAATCTTTCGAACTTTGTAAAAATCTGTGGAAAAGAAGACATCCAGAAATGTTTCCTAATCTTTGGACCAGGGATTGATTGCAGACAGACGTTGAAAGTAGAAATACAAAACGCGGTGAATTGAAGACATAAGCAAAATCGTGCATTTCCAATAACAAAAATTCACAAATGAAAGCATGCCAACAACAAATTAGAACACAAAAATCATTACATAAACAAAATTAATACAGTTTGAATCGAATTTTTCCACGATCTTCCTCGGAAATATACAAAATTTGTAATAATTTTCTTCTTCCGAATTAGTCATTTTGATGTTTGGGGTCTAGATAAGCTTGTTTTTACCGCGCCAAAATGCTCAAGTAAATTTTCGGCCGCTTTTTGAGAATTTTTCAAAAAATGCCTTGTTTTCACCCCGCCAAAATTTTTTCAAAAATCACCCCGCCAATTTCAATTTTTGATCGGCACGAAGCTGGGCGTGGTATGTTCACAGGAATTGTCTTTATTTCCTCTCAATTTTGAATTTATACCTCATAAAATTTGCTGTTTCAAATATTTGACTTGAGCTCAAAAGTTTATTTGAAATTGTTTCGCCTCTAGTATTTCGATTTAAAAATTCACCGTTTCAAAATTTTTATACATTTTGGTAAAATATTTCTTTCAATTATCTTGGCGTAACATTGTTCCACCAAAAATTCATTTTAAATATTTTTTTTTTAACCCGATTTTGTTTGCAGATTTGGGATATGCGCAGAGATACAATCACAAATGTTTTGAATGCTCATCGCGATACAATTACTGGTCTTTCAGTCAGTCATAATGGCAATTTCTTGTTGTCGAATTCGATGGATTGCTCATGTTAGTTTTTTCCGGAAATTTTTCTTGAATTTTCAAATTACACGTGTATTTCTGGTGCTAAAACTTCCGATTTTCTCCCAAGAATTCATTTTTTTTTTCAGTGCGCTCATGGGATATTCGGCCATTTGTTCCCGGCGAACGACTTGTTTCAACATTCAGCGGACATGTTCATAATTTCGAAAAGAATCTATTAAAATGCGGTTGGTCTGCCAATGATCAATATGTTACAGCCGGTTCAGCTGATCGTTTTGTCTATGTTTGGGATGCGAAAAATCGACGATGTCTTTATAAATTACCCGGTCATATGGGATCTGTTAATGCGACCGATTTTCATCCAACTCAACCAATTTGTGAGTTTTTTTTGGGTGGATGAAAAATATGAATTTACATATTATATACCCTTGGGAAAAATTTGCTGTTTCCGTTTTCCCTCAAAAAATTGATTTTTAAAAATTTATAACGCTTTGATATGATCTCATAAATTTCATTTAAAAAAATTGAAAAACATTGTATTTTTCAAAATTTAGATTTTCCTGCGAAATTCCCGTTCAAAAATTATGGAAAATTTCAAAAAAATTTTCACTGTTTCAGAAGATTTTTGTAATTTTTATGGCTTTTTCAAATTGTTGTATATTTGGAGTTTCAAAAATATGAAATTTTGATGTTTGACTGAATTCTGAAAGTTTTTCCTCGAAAAAATATGTTTCAAAAAATTATGGAAAGCTTATTGTCAGTTCAAATTTCGATTTTATTATTTGAAAAAAAATCTGCTGTTTCAAAATTTTTGTAAATAAAAATTCAATATTTCACATTAATAATCAATGAGCTCAGAAAAAATAGTATAATTTGAATTTTGCAGAATTTTTATTTGAAAAATTAATTTTAATCTTGATTTTCCTGCAAAAATTCTGGAAAATTTCAACCGTTTTCCCAACTTTTGTTTAGAAATAATTTCACTGTTTCATAAAATACAGAAAACTATTTTATGTTTCTATGAACAATTGGAGGCAGTAGAATTTTTCAACAATACAATAAACCTGAAAATCTGAAACTCCCTCTAAATCCTCAATTTTTTACAGTATTGTCGGCTGGAAGTGATAAACGAATATTCCTTGGTGAACTCAATCTCGAATACTGAACAAATCTCAATTTTTCTTCTTTGTTGTCTCTGTTTTATATTATTTTATTGTATTAATGAATTATTTTTTTTCAAGAAAACTGGGATTTTTTCTTTATATTTTGGCATGAAATTTGATTTATGCTGACTTTCTATCACGAATTGTGGGATTGCTACCAAAAAAATTTATAAAATAGAAATGACGTAATAAAAGAAAAACAAGGTTTTTTGAAAACATGAATCTGTTGAAACAGTGAATTTTTTAACAGCGCAGACCCCAAACCGGGAAATATTTGCAAGATGAAGAAGAGTTAATTTTTAACAACTTTATAACAGCATACTTCACACCATCAATAAAAATTCATGTCAGAGAAAAATTAAATTTTTTTTGAAACAGTGAATTATTGAAGATGACCCAGTTACAAAAAATTACTGTTTCAACACATTTATATTTGAAATTGTTTCACGAAAACTGCAATCGTTCTTGCTATTTTGTAGAATGACAGTTTTCAAGAACGAACGAAGAAAGATCGAACTCAGAGCAAACTATTTGGAATGTGAAAAATTATGATATATTTTTGAAACAGTGCATTTTTCTCAAACTCAATTTTTCAACTGTTTATTTTAAAGCAAACCATATTGGTAACAAAAATATTAAAAACATTTTTTCTCATAAACAAACTGAAAAAGTAAATTAATTTTCATATTTTTCTCACGTGACATTTGGTTTTTACACGTTTCAAAATGAAAATTTCGAATCTCAATTCATTTTTAAAAATGAATGAAACTAGAAAATATATGTTTTTGGGAGCTGCCGCCATTATTTTTCTATTGATTTCTATTTTCACTATTCGGAATTTATTTTATGCTGGAGATTTTGCAGAAAATGAAAAATTGAATTTGAAATCGGAAAATACGAATTCAGAAATTTTAAGCCCAAGCACAGGTACTTAGGCTAACCTTAAAGCATTTTTTAAAAATTTCCAGATTCAGGTCCTGAGAGGAAATTAAAAATGGTGCAAATGATTTGGCGACACGGTGATCGAGCACCAGCAGGACTACCGTATCCAAATGATAAAAATGATGAGAAAATGTGGCCGAGAGGTTGGACTCAGTTGACTAATGTGAGCAATGTTTTTTGGAAATATTTTTGGGATCTTTGTGGATGACAATTCTACTGAAGATTTATTTCAGAATGCAAAATTTGATAATTTTTTGAAACAGTTAAATAATTTTGTGAGAGCAAAAAATTAGCGAAAAGTTTTCTGTTAAAAATTTTTGAAACAGTAAATTTTTTGAATAAAAAAATTTACAGTTTCAAAACTATGAGAAATGACTAAATTACTTTTCAGAGGAAAAAACGGAGTCAAATTTTCACTGTTTCAAAAATATTGCTTAATTTTTGAGATAATATTCAAATTTGATTCGAAAATTATTTTCTACAAGAACTAAACTTGAAAAATCAAAATAAAAATTGATATGAGCAATGTTTTAAATGTTCAAACTTCCACGTGGATTTTTAGCGCCAAAAAACTTGATTTTCTACTGTGGTTTCTATTTTTGTAGATAGTTCCCAACAACTCAATAATATTTCATAAAAATAAGCATTATTTTTGAAACAGTGAATTTTTTTGAAACGTTTTTTTGTGAATTATTTATGAGCATAATCTTCCAGCAAAAAAATTAGCCAAAAGTTTTCTTATAAAAATTTCTTGAAACAGTAATTTTTTTCGAATAAAATAATTTACTGTTTCAAAATTTCTATTAAAAAATGTGGCTAAATTAATTTTCAGTAGACTATTGAAGGAAAATTCACTGTTTCAGAAATATTTTGAGACAATATTCAAACTTGATAAAGTGCTGTCTTCTCCATAGATTCGAAAAATTTCAAATTTATGAAATCCAAATATATTTTCCAGAAAGGAATCAGGGAAGCCAGAAACCTTGGGAAATTCTTCCGAAACTATTACAAATCCAGCGGATTCTTGCAAGAATTCAACAAAGATCAAATCTATATTCAATCAAGTAACACTGAAAGAACAATTATGACAGCTCAAGCATTTTCAGCCGGTTGTTTTCCACCAACTGGAAATTCGATTTGGGATAACTCATCTCTTTCTTCCTGGCAACCAACACCAATTCACACAAGTCGACCTGGTTCAGATCCTCTTCTAAACAATAATATCAAATGTCCAAACTACAGAAAAATTCATAAAAAAGAGAAAAGGATCGTAGCTCGAAAAATCGATGAAGAATATGCAGAGCTCTTCAAAATGCTCCAAATTTATACTGGAAAAAAATCTGAAATTCGTTATGGAAATGTGGATAATTTGTATAGTATTCAACGGGAGATTTATCATAAAATGAAGCAGCCAAAATGGGTTTTTGAGTTGTGGAAAAATAAAACAATTATAGAACATTTGATTGAGCTCAAGAGAATTACAATGAATCAATATTATAATTCGAAAGAGAAGGCGAAATTAAAAGGAGGATTTTTGGTGAATAAATTGATTCAGAATATGTTAGACTATAATTCAAATTTGTCAACTATAAATACATATTTATATTCTTCACATGATACAACACTTAATGTACTTGGATATGCTTTGAATGTTTCTGATCATCAACTTGTTCATTATGTTGCCACTTATATTTTAGAACTTTATGATGATGATACTGTACAGGTTTGAGTTAAAATTATCTTATAATTGAAATTTGCGTGAAAATGAGGCTAAATATGGCAAAAGTTACACTAACTTCCAAAAAATTTTTGAATTTTCAGATTTTATATCGAAACTCGAATGCAAATCCACATTCTTTGATTATTCCTGGATGTGAACAATTCTGTCCATTGGATAAATTTGTGAAATTATTGGAGAATGTTAGAGTAAAATCATTGAAGGAATTATTTGCGATTTGTGGAATTTAACTTGTGTTTGGAATGAAATATTTTTGAAAATTTGCTGTTTTAAAAATCGGTCAAGTAAAATAATTTTAAAGTTTTACACAAAAATATTAACTTCTTTTGACAGGAATTCTGATTGCTATTAGGAGCTTGATCAAATTTTGCAAAAATTTTCAAAAACAAGGCCAAGTTTTGAAACAGTGGATTATTTTGAATAATTTTGATAGCAAAAATATCGGCCACCTTATTTTCTTATGAAAGCTTTGAAACAGTGATTATTTGAATTTCATAAGTTAACAAACCAATCATCGAAAAACTCCAGAAATTCACAAAATCTATAAATTTTTTGAAACAGTGAATTTTTCTTGTTCAAAAAAAGTTTGACTCATTACCATCAAACTCTGAAATTTTTTTAAGTTAATTTTTTCTTTACAACAAATTCAACAGCCAAAATATTAGCCTCATAAAAATTTTGAAAAAAGATTATTTGAATTTCACATGTTAATAAACAGATCAACGAAAACTCCAGAAATTCACAAAATGTATGAATTTTTTGAAACAGTGAATTTTTTCACAAACAACTTTTCCCCCTGAATTTCTAGAAAAAATTGAAAATCTCAAAAATTTTTGAAAACATCGGTAAATTTTGAAACAGTAAATTTTTCTAGAAGAATATCTTTCTATGAATATTGTCTTTGATTTTAAAAAAAATCTTTACAAAATATTTTATAAAATACGAACCAAGTGCTAAGAACTTTGCTGCCTACAGTATCCAAATTTCAATTTCCTCTTCTTGTTTTTTCTCGCGCTCACATTCCATTTCTCCAAAATAACGTGGAGAATATTTGTGAGTAGACTTCAAGAATCTGCCGCGATTCTATCATTTCTTGCAAACTCTCTTCTAATTCTTCTAGTTCTCAAAAATTCACCGAAAAAAATTGGATCTTATAAATATTTGATAATCTATACATCAGTCTTAGAAATCTGCTATTCAATTATTGATGTTCTAATTGAACCAATCACACTTTCCTATGGTTCGATTTTCATAGTTCTTGTTAATACAAATCATACATTTTTTCCACGTGACATCTGCCCAATTCTTATCTCAATTTGGGGCGCATTTTTTGGTAGTTTTATGGGATTATTCATTCTTCAATTTATTTATCGATATCTCGTAGCTACTGGGTGAGTTTTTTAATTATTCTGTAGTAAAAAATCACTAAAATCATAGATCAAAAATAATTGAAACATTCAAAAGCTGGAAAATAATAATATGGATGAGTATTCCTCCAAGTTTCGGAATATTTTGGGGATTTCTATCCTATTATTTTATGCATTCTGATAATCAGATTGACAATGCTATTCGAGATGTTTTAATGATTCGATTTGGTTGGAATATTGAGAATATCGCATACGTTGGTCCATATTTATATAGAAATCATAATGCGAAAATATTTATTGAGAAGATCAATATATTGAATATAGTTGGATTAATTCTAATGTCAATAATCTTGATTTCATCAATAATAATTATTGCAATTTGTGCAATCAAATGCTATCAAAAAATCAATAATTATTCAAATAAAACATCAGAGCGATCAAAAAGTTTACAATTTCAATTATTCTATGCTTTAGTTATTCAAACATCGATTCCTCTAATTCTTATGCATCTTCCAGTTACAATATTATTTTTGTGCACGATTTTTAATTTGAATATGGGATATTCGAGTGGAATTGTTAATATAACAATTGCATTATTTCCATCTTTGGATCCTTTTCCGGTTATGTTTGTTATTAGAAGTTATCGAAATTCGATTTTTAAACATATTAGAAAAGTTGTTGCGTTTTGTGATTGAAATTGAATAAAATAAATAAATAATTTGAATAATTATCTTCTTTGTAAATATTCATTAGATTTTTTTGTGTCAAATCAATTAGCGATTGGATCTAGGAAATATTTTCAAAACTTTTGAATCAAAAGTAAGGAACATTTTTGAAACAGTGCATTTTTAAATTCTGTTTTTTTCTGAATGTTGCGAGGATTTTTGAGTAGATAAATTAAAAATTCTGCATCGAAAATTCGAAAAAATCACAGAATCTATTAATTGTTCTATAAATTGTTCAAATCAGTAAACTCCAATCCCAAACCTAAAGAAAGAACGGAACAAATAAGAGTGTATGTCAACACCGAGTGCCCGCAAACACCAAATCCTACGCGCAACCATGACGCGAAATATGCGCTGTGTGTTTTCGCGAAGAAATTTCTGGAGATTTTTAAAAATTGGGAACCCCCCCAGATTTTAGAAATGGACACGTTTAAAGTATAACATATGGGAACCCTGAGAATCTCTCCAATGTCGCTTTTCCCTTGGAGAATACTAGTCTTTTATTAATTTTCAAAAAAAACCACTTATCTTTTTTCCGATTTTTCTTCAAAACCATAGATTGCCGTTGGGAAACTGCCAAAATTCCAGATTCTTGAAGAATTTCAGATTTTCAGTCCATAATTTGTATCAATTCTGTTGATGCATTTTCAACTGGACTACAACTCAAACTTGAAGCTGGTTTTTCGTCTGAAAAATTTAAACTAGAAAAAAATTTAAACTAGGAATTTTACCAGATTTTTTGAGAGGTTTTGCATACTTCCTGTTGAATTGAGTCATCCATTTTAGAAAAACCTGGAAGAAAACATTGAAAAAAGAGGCAAATCGAAGGAACTTTTCGAAAAAAAAAAGAAAAATCATGTTCTCCTCGAGAAGTACACAGCTCCCGCAAACACAGCGACGCACAAATGCACACAATGCTGTACACCGTATGACATGTGCTGTTTTTTATTTATTTTCCAGCCTTTTCCCAGTTTCGCTGTGATTTTTGAGTTTTAGAAAATGCCTGGATAGCTGAAACTCTCAGAAAATGATTAATTCACTAATTTTCTCCATGAATCTATGATTTTTCACGTGACCCACTTTGAAAACGTGTTTTTTTCAGATTTTCGAAAAAAAAATGCGGCGAATTCAGTCCCCAATTTTTCGAATCAAAAAAATGGTCGAGAATTTTGCAGTTTTCTGATGCAAATACTTGTGAGAAGGTAAGTTTTCATCAAATTTTCAACCAAAATTCTATTTTTCATTTTCACCCTGAAATTCCGCTGAAAATCGTCAAATCTGGTAAATTTGGATGAAAAATGAACAATGAAGTGAGTTTTCATCGATTTTTGTTTCAAAAAAACAAAAATTAATTTTTATTCTAAATTTGATCTACCAAAAATGTTAGGCGGCAAGAATTTTTCGCAAATTTTTTTTCAAAACAATTTTTTGGAAAAAAACACACATAAAAATGTATTTTTAGAACACTTATCTCAAATTTTACCCAGGTCAAAATGCTTTTAAAAATACTTCTTTCATTTTCACCGACAAAATTCCTTTTTAGTTACAGTAATCCAGGAGTACTGTAAGGACCTTTGAAATTACAGTACTTTTGGGTTTTTCTGAATTTAAAGGTACATATCTCAATTTTCCTTTGTTATTACTGTAATACCGTACCCTGGTCAAAAATAAAAAATTGTTTTTGTTTACATTTTCTCCCTCCTGGTTCAACTTTTTTATTTATTTTCCAAAAAAAAATTTTTTTTGGGGGGAGGTGCAAAAAACAATAAACCAGTTTCGTTCCAAATTCTCATAGTCCATTATATTTTTTTTATTTTTTCAAAAATATTTGAATTTTTCAGATTCCCGCCAAAAAATGACATTTCTGGTTTGGTGTCGAAAATATTTGTTGGAAGGTCAGAAGCTGGACGAGAAATATTCGGAGAAATTGGCGCATTTTCCCGAGAATCCGACGATTTCCGATTATTTGCTGATTAAATATCGGAAATTTGTGGCTGTGTTGATTCCGTTGTGTTTGGTTCAGGTGAGGAGTTTTTTGCTTTGCTTTGTATTAAAATTGGGAATTTTTTGACACCAAATAAGCCTGGGGTACTGTGGGGGGTTTTGGCGCGAAAATTTTGAATTTTAAAAATTTCAAATTGGTAAAACTTTTTGTCTATCATTCAAAAATTTATTAAAAATTCTAAAGTAAATTTTAATTTCAAAAAATTTTGAAACAGTGAAAAAATTTTCTTCACAGGAATTTCGTATTCAAAAGTTTGTTGAGAAATTGATGCTTCAAAAAAAATATAAAAGATTTTCTAAAATTATTTCGTTTTTCCTAGAAAACTGAATCTCATTTTTTTTCAAATAAACTCAGAAAACCCAAAAAATTTTTATGAAAAATGTACTGTTTCAAAAATTCTTTAAAATCAATTTGTAAAAGACTACTTCATTATTTTGGCAAATGCAGTATGTTTGAAGTCAGAAACAGTGAATTTTCAATTTTAAAATTCACTGTTTCAGATTTTTTAAATATTTTCTTTGTTATGAAATATTTCTCAAAACAAAAATTTTGAAAATAAAATGTGATAAAAAATTTTCAATAGAAAATTTCACTGTTTCAAATTTTATTGAAATCATTGATTTCAAATCAAAATGTTAATGATTTGTTTTATGTGCCATCTGACAATGAAATCTGAAAAAAAAAGCTGATATGCATATTTATTTTCCCAAAACCATCATCCCGTTATTTTCAGTCAATCTGGTGGTCATGCGCAATAAATTTCAATCTTTTCCCATTATATTTGGATTATTGGCATATGCCTGTCACAATGCTTTTGGGTTCTTTAATTGCTGGAATGACTGCCGAAGGAGCATCTGCTGTCTCATTTCCAGTTATGACACTGATTTTGCATTTATCACCGATGATTGCCAGGGATTTTGCATTGATGATTCAGAGTGTTGGTGGGTTTTTTGTTTGAAAACAAATTAATTTTTCAACAAAAAAAATACGTTTCAATGTTTTTGCATTGGACAAGTAATTTGTTATGTAAAAAAAATACGGTTGAAAAAAATCAAATCTCAAAATTTTAGTGAGAAAAATTCACTGTTTCAAAAATGTTTGATTCAGAAAAAATCCTGAAAATGAAGATTCCGTTAGAAACTCTTTGAATCTAAAAATTTAACTGATAAAAAAAGTTGACTATTGGAAGTTATTTGATGAGATTATTGAAGAGATTTCGCTCAAAACATCAAAAATTTTAAATCAGAAATTCCACTGTTTTAAATTTAAAAAAATTACTTGGAAAAATATTACTGTTTCAAAAATGTGTTGGATTTTTGAAGGTTGAAAAAAAGTGTTCAAAGAAAATAAATTTTCTTAAAAAAATGTACTGTTTCAAAAATTTTCGAAAAGTATTTTTAAATCTCCGAAGGTCATTAAATAAGCAAATGTTGGTCTAGAACTCAGAAACTAGGTTGAAAAGGAGCTTTCAGAGCTCCAAAAATATGTCTGAAAGCTTTGAGGCATCGAGAACTAGGTCTAGAACAATCTGGTTGCAATCTAGTAGCCCATATCCAAAAATCTACTGTTTCAAAATTTTGTTAAAACTTGAATTATTTTACTTTTGAAGTTGCATGGCCATTCTCTGCAAATTCCCACCAAATTTGGTTTTTTGGTCAGCAAAAACCTGTTTATTAGCATAATTTTCTTCACTTTTTCAATAAGCCTAATTATATGAATTTATCACTGTTTCAATCTATGTAGAAATTCATAATTTCATCCCTTGAAAAACATTTATTTATTTCTAAAATTGTCTAAATGTCGCTGAAAAATTGGATTGGAAAATATATATTCGAGGGTCAGGTTTTGTCAAAACCTCTCAAAAATATGCCAGAAAATCCCACGATTTCCGATTATTTTTTGATAAAATATCGAAAATTCGTGGCGGTTTTGATTCCGTTTCTATTGGTTCAGGTGGGGATTTTTTGCTCTAAAAATTTGAAAATTAAAAAAAAAAATTTCTAGTCAATTTGGTGGTCCTCAGCTATTCGCTATAATATTTTTCCACTTTTTATTGATTATTGGCATATGCCAATCACAATGATATTCGGGGCTTTAATTGCTGGAATGACTGCTGAAGGAGCGGCTGCTGTCTCATTTCCAGTTATGACTTTAATTCTCAAATTGACACCTGAAATTGCTAGGGATTTTTCATTGATGACACAGTCTATTGGTAAGAAATTGGAGGGGTTTTCTTGATGTACTTCACGTTAGTCAGCAGAAAAATCGAGAATCTTCAAAATTAGAAAATAACTTGAAACAGTAGATTTTGGAACAGATAAGTATTTATTCATTTTTAGAGTTCCCAAAATATTCCCAAATTTTGACGAAAATTTGAAACAGTGAATTTTTTGGGATAACAATTTGAGAGGTTTTTTTCTACCTTTTTTAATAAAATCCCGATTGGGTGGTTAAATTTTAAAATCGCAATCATCCAATAATCTCATAAAAGTCCAATTCTTATCAAATTTTTTTGAAACAGTATATTTTTTGAAAAAAATGTGAAACAGTGGAATTTTTAGATTTTTTCAGCCAATTTATTTTGAAACGTAGATTTTTCTTGAAAAATCTTCAATCTTTCAAAATTTTCGTTGAGTTTGTTTTTTTGAGTTCAAAAATTAATACCCCCGTTTTGCACTCAGTACACCGTGTTCTGTGTCTGGGGTTTTTTTTGGTTTAATCGTTTTGTTTGGGTAATAATCCGCAGATTTCTCTTTGATCTATGAATTGTTTGAAACAAAAAGTGAAAATGAGATTTGTGTTGCAATTTTGAGTAAGGGGACTTTTTGGGGAATTAGCATTAGAAGCTTTCGAAATATCAATCAGACAGATTTTTAATTGAAAGATTACAAAATGTTGAAACAGTTAATTTTCTAGAACAAAAATAAAGTTACATTTGAAAACTAAATTTTTGAAACAGTAATTGTTTCTAGAAACATAACACCAAAAATGCAATCAATATCTCAAGATTTCGAAAATTTTGTAACTAAATTGAAACAGTGATTTTTTCAAGTTGATAAATTTTTTAGCAGTACCAGTATATATCAAAATATTATTTTACCGTGAAAATTAGTAGAAATTTTTGAAACCGTGATTTTTTGGAGACTTTTCTTGTTGATTTTAATATTCATCCTTTTATGAATAGGCTTTTTCAGATCGTCAAAAATATATACAACTTGAAACAGTAAATTTTCTTATAAAAACATTTTGCGAAAATCTTGAAATCATGCATATTTTAACAACTGTATTTAGTCATCCGAAAAATATATAAATATTGAAACAGTGAAAATTAACTTGGATAAATTATGACTGTGCAATATTTTCTGTTGAAATTTTTTGAATCTCATAATTTTTTTGAAACAGTAAAATTATATTAGAAAAAGTGATAGAATAATAATATCATCAAAGTTTATGTTTATCATATTTAATTTGGGAGAATTTCGAAGCAGTGAAAATTATTTTGAATTTTTTTTGGATAATAAAGTCAGTCAATCTCCCTCCAAACGCCCTCAGAATATTATGAAATTTTCGAAACAGTGAATTTTTTTAATTGAACATTTTTTTAATCATTAAACATTAATCCAGAAACATTCCGAAATCTCATACAAAATTTTTGAAACAGTAATTTTTTTGTTGTTGCAGGAATGACATCTTCTCTGGTTTGTGTGATTTTCATGAAAGTCAAATTTGAAGCTCGCGCTGTGGTTTTTGGAATTATTGGAGCATTTCCAGGATTCGTTTTTGGAATTTATTGTGTGAGTTTTTATTCAAAAAATTGTTGCTCCAAGATGAATTTCCTCCAAAAAATGCACATTTTTTTCCAGTTTGACCCACTTTTCACCGGCTCCCAAAAGAAAATGATGTTTGTCTCAATCTGGACCGCTTTCGCATTCGCTTTGGCCCTTTTAAATTCACAGAAAAAACGATCGACGTTCATGGAAATCCAGGAATTTGGCGCCACAAAAATTGTGATTCTAATGTTTGTTGGTTTTATTGGCGGAGTTTTCGACTCGTTTGCCGGAAGTGGAATTGATATTTGTATATTCTCGGTGATTACACTGTATTTTAGAGTTAGTGAGAAGATTGCCACACCGACTACGATGATTTTGAAAGGTGGGCGGGGTTTTTTTGGAGGGGAATTTTGCAAACCTCACCCAAGAACCTGGAGATGTGGGTAAAAAATTGCCCACCTAGTAAAAAAATTTTGCCCACCCAGGTTTTTCGAAAAAAAATTGCCCACCTGGAATTCCAGGTCTTGGGTGAGGTTTGGGAATTTTGATGCGGAAATCTTGGTCTTAATATAGTTTTGTGAAATTTTCCCGAAATTTATACTTTTTGAAACAGTGAACATTTTTAATACAAAAAAATTTCAACAAATTGGAAAGAAGAATTGAATTTTGTTCTGAAACAGTGAAATTATTGAAGAAAAAAATTTTCTGGGTGGTTTACTGGCAATAAGCCTAAGCTTAAAGAAAATTTATAAATTCCAAAAATATAGAGAAAATAATACTAAAATAGATTTGCTTCTTCTGAAAATGAGGAAATTTTGAAACAGTAAAAAATGAAACCCAAAAAAAAAAAATCCAAATTTTCTGTTCATTTCCAGGTGTCGTCTCATTATTCGGTTTCTATTATCGTGCAGTTCTACAGGGTGACATCTCTCCAATTTCATGGAACTATTTCATTTGTTGTGTTCCTGTTGCTTCTTTGATGGCACCGTTGGGCAGTTTTTTGGGATCGCATTTGCATCGACAAATTGTTGCCGGACTGATTTATGTGCTGGAGGTTTTGTCGCTCATCGGATTTTATTTGACAAATCCAGGATGGCCACTTTTGATTGCGTCTGGTGAGTTTTGGGGGGGGGGGGGGTGGGGTGAGTGCGAAAATTCCACGTGGGAAATTAAAATTTAAAAATTATATATTTTGGCGCCAAAAATACCCGCTGGAAAGTTCGAATTTTCTTCAGAAAATGCATGTTTTAGTTAGAGCGCACTTGCTCAATTTTCTCTCTTTTTTCTCTCTTGAAAACTACACGATTTTATCACAAAAAAAGTCAGCTAAAAATTTGAATTTTCTTGAAAAACGCCGTGTGTTCGTTAGAGCGCACTTGCTCAATTTCAACGTTTTTCTCATTTTTTTCCTGCATATCATTGCATATGATTTCAACAAAATTGTACGTCTTACTACAAAAAGCACATTTTCGTCATCAAAAAGTGTATATGTTGTCCTTTTTTTTCCAGGCGTGATAATCGCATTTGGTTTCGCATTTTTCTACATAATCTCAAAACTTGGCGAAAAACAAATGGCTCAAATTGAAGAACGCCAAAAACCACAAAAAATTGCCACAATTTCGAATCAAGTTTGATATTTCTCCCATTTTTTGTTTCCATTTTTCGCGCTCCTTTGGGAGATTAAGAACATTTTTGTTCGCTTTTTACTCATTCATCATATTTTTCGTTCATTCCCATTTTTGTGTATGTCTACGTCCCACTTTTTCTTTGTTTATTGCTCGTTTTTCTGTGGTTTTTTGCACCCCTTATTTATTATGAATTAAATTCAAAATTTGAAAATTTTCTCATTTCCGCCTTTGGCTAGACAATTTCCACACATTTTTATTCGAAATTTTCCATGCGTTTCCCATCGGCCGCCATACACAGCGTTTTCGCATACAGGTGCATTACGGCCCGTTTTCCACCCGTTTACGGGTACTCAACCCCTCGTGCGCGAGTACACCGACGGGTACACGTTTACAGCTACTACGCGCAAAAAAATAGTACTGGGAAACAGCTGCTTTAGTGGTCGATTCTTGTTTTCCTAGGTTTTCATATATTTTACACTTGTTATGTATTAAAAAAATTTATCTCAAAAATATAACGAACGATATTTATAATTAGACGTTTTCCTGAGGTCGGTGGTTGACCAAGTGTTGACGTTGGGAGACTTGGTGTTGTTGTCGGTGGATGGTGGGAGACTTGGTGTTGTTGTCGATGAATGGGAGTTCCTGGTGGTAGCATGGCTCAGTTTGAAGTACATTGTTGAATCTGAAATTTTAATAGATTTTTCTTAGATCATGCTATTTTTCTTTGGATGTGTGACATTATGGCGTAACTTTTCAAAACTCTAGCGGTTAATTGTATAATACCTGGAGGACATTCCCTGGAATTGAATTTTCTGTAAAAATATACAAACCCGAGAAATTTCAGATATTTTTTCCAGGTAATTAAAAAAACATCCAAGGTTTGTACACTTTTACAGGAAATTCAGTTCCGGGGCATGCCCTCCAGATATTGTACAATTGCCCCATTTTCACGTCTGGCCACAACGGTTTTGATATAGAAACACTTACCTTGAAGTTTTTCGACTCCTCACTTCATCTCACGGGTTTGCGGATGTTGTTAAATGTGATATTGAATGAAGAGACCTGAAAGCAAATCATGTTTTTCAAGTTTGGTTATCTAACGAACTAACCGGTCGTTATGTGACGATCTTCTCGTTGAAGCTACCTCTAGACGAGCAGCGCATGCTGAAAACGTAACATTATAATTATTTATGATACACGGATACATATAAAGAGAAGATAACGAAATGAAACGAGGAAAACGATTTTATGAACCCTACACAGAGGAACTACATCCATTATCAGCAACTTTCCTACATTTTCCACTTCAATGTGTTGAAATTTCTCTAATTCCACATGAAAAACTATTCCCAAACCTATTTCTGAACGAAAAGTTGAAAAATCACAAAATGAAAGTAAATATTTTTGAAAGGCCTAAAATCATCGAAAAATCACGATTTTCAATTGTTTTCGGTAGAAATTCTCAGTTGTCCTATTAGGAAAGTATTTTCCAATACTTCAAGCATAAAAACCTATACTCATAATTCTAAACACAACACAAAACCACAGAAAAACGGAAAAAAAGAAAAAAAAAACGAAAAAAAAAGAAAAAATGAATTCATTTAAAACACACAAACTGTGTATTTCGCCGCGAGACCACACACTAGCGTCTCCGCGTAAATCTACACAAAAACCTTTTTTTCTCAATGGACTCCAAATTAAAAACTGAAAACGCAGTTGAGTTGTAAATTGAAAGGCGAACAAAATGATATACAACATCTATACAAAAAAATTTAATTTACATACATCCGACTCTGGCAAATTCAGCGAGATACTCAAAGTGGGTATGATGAAAAACATATCTAAAATTGTGTAAAATTGGTATCTGTAGTGCTTTCTATCATCAAAGTTTGTATTTGCATGAACCGCAAGGATCATTATTCTAGTTTCATACTTTTTTCTTCCTATTGAATTTCTCTGTGAAAGTGTTGGGAAGAACCACCCGTTTTTGACCACTAAACCACCACTAAGGCAAAAATAGAAGTTTTTATGAATTTATTGGCTGCAACGCGGAAATCGGTTGGCAAAATGTAATTATTCACCAATCTATGGTGTTTTTTGATAATATTCTGTCATCTGTGGTTCAAAACGTTAACACCCGTTTTGGACCACTACCGTACCACTATTACCAAAAAACGAGGTGCCTGATTTTTTGGTTTCCTATCAACTTTTCGCCAGCGAAAAGTGATCTAATATCAATATTAGTATTCCTGAACATATACCAATCTATAAAAGCTGATTTTTTCACAACACTATTCCACCACTATCAACACCACTCAACCCACTTTCGCAGTAGTAGTGCGATAGTGGTCGAATAGTAGTGCGTTAGTACCCCTAAACGGGTGGTCGACCCGTAAACCACCTGTTTTCCTATTGTGTGCGAAAACGCTGTGATAGCTCAGTCGGTTAGAGCGTGGGTCTAATAAGCCCAAGGTCGCAGGTTCGACCCCTGCTGGCGGCAAACTTTTTTTATTTTTTCTTTTCTTTTTTGCTCATCTTTTTTTTTCGACCGGAAGGAAGTCGCCTCACACACATGTAAAACACTTTAAACTTTTGATTCATCGATTTTTTCTAGTGCTCAATTTAATGCAGGTGCAATTTTCTCGTTTTTTAAGCGTTTTGCTGCTCTGGCGTGGCCAAACTTTTTTGTGCTCCTCTCATAAAAATGCACATCACCATGAGCATGTGTCAGAAGAAAAATGAATGGTTCATAAATTTATCATGAGCTTGAAAAGTAGCGTTTTTCTTTGTCATAAAGTTTTGCTGATTTTTTTGTCTGGAGGTGTGAGCTCAAAGAGCTCTGAGAATTTTGAGAAATCTGAAAAAAAGTTGAGAATAGACAAATATATAATTTATGAAAATATCGGGTTTTCTCAGCTTTTCCTTCGCTGTTTTTCTGCTTATTTACACACAAAGAGAGATTTTTTTAATTGGCTTGTAGTTTTTTTTTCTTTTTTGCTCTACTAGGATTTTTTTGGCGCCAGACATTTGGAATTTTGAAATTTGCCACGTGGATTTTTGGCGCCAAAATCTACAGTATCCCCATAACAAAGGTCAATTCTCAAAAATTTTCTTTTTTTATTTTTCGACTTTTTTCTCCTATCTTGCTCAAAAATCTTCTTACTTTTTTTCCATTTTCTATTTTTTTCAACGAAAAAAAAACAAAAAAAATACGACGATGCTCTTTTTTTTCGAGTGAAAAACGAAGTAAAACGTCGAATTTTTGCTCGATTTTCGCGAATTTTCTTGAAAGTAGTGTCAAGAATTTGTGTGCCTTTTTTAGTGAGAAGCGAAAAAAGTCAAGAACAAAAAATGTCGAAAAATTGAAAGAGCACGCGAGCGGAAAATTAGAAGAAGAAGAAGAAGAGGAATTCTTCGCATTTTTATATTTTTTGCCGTTTTTTCTCGGGAAAAATGTCGCGGGTTTCGCATCATTTTGATGCGAATTCGCATCACTTTTATGCGAGCTCGCATCACTTTTATGCCGCGGCTTTTTTTTCGAACCTGCATCATTTTGATGCGGCTTTTTTTTCGGACCCGCGTCACGCTGCCGCGGCTTTTTTTCAATAGTTGCGGCAGTTGAGGCGCTTGTGGCGCCCAGCTCAAAATTAGGCGTTGAAAAAGAATTCTCAGCATGAAAATTTTATGAAAGCTTTAAAAGAACTCAAAATTAAATCAAAATAAGAGTCACAAATTACATTCCACCATAGCTTTCGATATTTCTATCCATTAATTCAAAGAAGCTCGGCAATCGTTCCGTAGTCGCAACTTTGTTTGATCGATCATGACATCTGAAAAATTGATGGAGTTTATTGTGTCAAGCTTTATGAAAAATATTTTTCTCACAGGCCCATTGGGAGTCTAAAAATTTGAGAGACTCATTTTAATCCGTATATCAATGTACTGTAAAAATTTCATAATGATTTGAAGTGTTGAGTAAAAAGGTTCCCTCAAGCTTTGGTCAAAAAAAATTTGACAAAAAAATTTGTTTTTGAGTTATAAGTCATTAACTTCGATTGTAAGTAAATGACAATCAATGAAATCGATCAGAATTTGTTGAAATTAATTCAAAATGAGTCAATAACCTAAGTTATAAAACCAAAAAAAAAATATCCGAAGCGATTTCATAAAGTGAGGCTATAGTTTTCTGAATTGGGTGCCTGAATGTAAGATAAAGTCTCAAAAATGATGACAATTTCGTTTCTCATCTGTTTACAAATGCGGATGTGCTTTTCCCAAATCTAGAAATAAAACTTACAATTTTTCATTGAAAACCAAACATCAAATGACATAAACTTCGTCACATTGTTGCAATTCAAAATTTGTAGAGTCTGAAATAATGATATATTGTGATTTCCAGAACATAAGATTTTGAAGATTACTCACAAAAATTTTCTTCACAAAAATCATCAAAAACCTCCATGCTTTGATCGGGCAGGATACATCGGTATGTCCACAATTATCTGTACATGCTTTTCTTCCTATCACATATCTGAAATATTACAGTAACAGCCCTTTCAAATTAAAATGAGAAAAATAGGAAAAACGAAAAAAAAAACAGATGAAAATATTTTTACTACATGCAATGCGTTAACCCATTCTCATCACTGACGCATTTTGTAATCGGGAGTGCCGCGAAAGTCGCATCACTCTCGATCTCGGTAATTTTTGATGCGACTATCGCGTCAAAACAGCGCATCCCAAAAATCTGAGATTTTGGTGATGGGATACTCGCATCAACGGGAAAAAGCGCCGCGACTATCGCGACACGCCCGCCGTATTTTTCCCGAGTTGATTACTTTTTTCATAATAGTTTTGAATTTTCAAATTTGCCACGAGTCTTCAAAATCATGTTTTTTCACTGTTTGAAAAATTTACTGTTTCAAAATTATTTCAAATATTTTCCTCTGATTTGTAGAATATTCCTTGAACGAATTCTTTATAGTGGAAAAAAAAGATTTCTGTGAATTTATATTCAGATTTCAGTAATTCTCAGAATTCACAGAAAAATTCACTGTTTCAAAAAAATTTCTAATATTTTCTCTATGAAAATTATTCTGCTAATTTTATGGTGATGTTGTTAGCTGATAACATATTTTTTTCTGAATTTTTTACTGTTTCAAAAAACTCACAAGTCTTCCGAATTATTTTTGAAAAATTGTTTCGAAAATAGCGTTAATTTTTTATGAATAGTTTTCTAGAATGATTTCTTTACTAAAATTAAATCCATTCTGTTCCAATTTTCAGGTTCATGAAAAATTCAATTTAAAATTTTAACTGTTTCAAAAATTCTATGAAAATTTGTATTTGTTCATCACTTCGATTAATTTTCAATATTTCACTGTTTCAAAAAATGGATAAGATTTCTGAACATATTTTCAAATCAATGTTCCTTGCTGATAATAGTGGTTATAAATAAAATTTCACTGTTTCAAGAGAAATAGAATTTTTCTAAACAGTTGATCTACAGCAAAAATACACTGTTTCAAGAATTTCACAAACTTTTGAAGGAAATTAATTTTTTCGATGGTCATGTTAATGTTTTTCCCAGAAAAATGTACGTTTTAAAAAATATATCTCTGTTCTTGGGAGATTTCATGAACAATCAACTTTTTTTTAAATAATATTTTTACTTTACCAAAAATTGGTTCTAAATTTTTGAATAAAAATTGAACCTTGGACTTTTGTACTTTAAAAATTTTACTGTTTCAAATTTTTGATTTGAAAAAAATGGAAGATTTTCATTATTCGCTGATTATCTTCATTTTATGAAAAAAAAATTCAATCCAATGGTTTAGAGATTTTTTTTCACTGTTTCAAGAAATTTTTAAAATAAAAAATGTTGTTTTGAAAATTGATAGATGATTGCTGCAAATTTAAATTTGTTATATCGAGAAATTCACTGTTTCAAAATTGTATTTTCTAAATAATCAGAAAATGTTTTTTGATGGGCGTGTGTATGAAAATTTCACGGTTTCAAAAAAAAAATTGAAAACAATATTTTTATTTCTTAAAAATTATTTGATCATAATTCAAAAATTGACTGTTTCAAGTAATTTTGAACATTTAAAAAATTACTAGAAAAACTTGGTAAATAATTTGAACACATTTCAAAATTTTTGAGGTCAAAAATCCACGTGGAAAATTTGAAAATTCAAAATTTTTGCCACTTCTCATTTTCATTCCTCCTCCTCCCATTTTTTCGTTCCAAAAATTTCGATGCCCGCGAAATTCGATATTTTAAAATTGGAAATAAAATCTCTCTAGTTTTTTTTTGCTGCTGCTTCTGCTTGCTTCTAATCAAATTCCATTTTTGTTCTGTTCGTAAAAAATTATTTTTTTTCTGCAACCAAAAAAAATGAAAATGTTCCCACGATTTCGAATCGCTGGGACACATTTTTTCTCACATTTTATTATTATATAATTTTTATTTGATATATAAATTTTGTTGTTTCGAGACACCACGCACTTTTTGCTTTTTTTTCGGAATTTTTATTAGTTTTTTGCGGGAAAAATTCAAAAATTTGAATTCAGCGCGAAGAATTTTACAGCTACAGTACTCTTCCAAACCTGCTCATCTAACTTTCGTAATTTTTAAAAATTTGAATTCAATATTTTCCCGCCTACCGTAACCCCTCAAATGTTTGGTCTACAGTATCTTTCATAACCTGCACATCTAATTCATCAGAAATTTGAATTTGAATTCAAATTTTTAAAGGCAATCTACAGTACCCCTCCTAACCTGCACATCTAACTTTTCAAATTTTGAAATTTTCAAACATAATTCGTTAGCCCCAAATTTCTGAGCTACAGTACCCCCTCCAAAACCTGCACATCTAACTCCAAAAATGCCCAATTTTATAGTTTTTCTCAAAAAAAATATGGACTAACTGAAAAAAAACTTCTTCATTTCAGCTGCTCCTTTTTTTTCCTTCTTCTTCTATTTTTTTCTCCGCGTTTCCTGATTAAAATTTTTTATTATTAGTTTTTCGCGTATTTTTTCCCATAGCGAATGAATGAATGAATGAAATAAAAAAAAATTTCGGCGCGAATTTTCGAGAAAAATCAATTTTTCCCCGTGTTTGTTATATGTCTTTTTTCTGATTTTTCCATTATTATTCCATTTTTTTGTATTCTAAAATGTAGTTGGTTTTCCCAATTTTCTGAGCGGCTGAAAATTTCATTTTCAGCAATATATTTCCAGCCAAAAGTATACTTTATAAAGTGCAATAAAAATTTTATGACGAAATTTTCCATCAAGTTTTTATTGGCAAAAAACTGTGCCCTTCCAAAACCCAACCTTGGCGCAGTCGGTTAGCGCACACTCTTTTAATCTAGGCTCGCGAGTTCGATTCCCCTCCGCTGCTCAACTTTTTTCTTTTCTCTTTTTTTTGTAAAGTTCAAATGACTAATTAGAGCATTTCTTTTTTTTCAGCAAAAAAAACGAACGACATCATTTTGTTCTTTTTCTTCTTTTCGTCTTCGACGAGAATATCACCTGACTTTTCTGGGCTTTTTTCGATGATTTTGAAATAGTTTTTTTTTTGGGTGATGTTTGAATTTTGAGCTTTCTGAAAGGTTAATGATTTTTGAGAGAGAATTTAGTTGAATTTTATGTGGTGGGATTTTTTCTGTTGAAAAAATTCACTGTTTCAAAATTTTAATTTTTTGAATATTTTGTAGTTCTTTCCTAGTATTTTTGAAAGTTTTTCACTGTTTCAAAATTTTTACAAGCCTTTTGAACATTTTGAAATTGTAATTCATTGACTGTTTCTAGCTGAAAAAATTTGATTTAAAAAAAATAAAATTTCTAGGAATTTCCACGTGGCAAAATTAAAATCAATATTAAAATTTGATTTTCAGTCGTGAAAAGATTTTTGAGAAATATGAAATATTTCCAAAAAAATTCACTGTTTCAAAATTTCACCACGTGGCAAAAAATTGCGCATTTTTTCATCGCCACATTTTTTTATTCAATTTTTCCTTCAAGTGGAGTGGTTTTTGATAATAAATAAATAAGCAAATTGTGAAAAATAAGCAAATAATTTGTGCATTGTTATTCAGACAGAATTTTTTGTCGTGTGCTCCAAAATAATTTTTTTGCTCCGTCCATTTCTGTCTAGGGGGGCTCGACCCTTGGTGAAAAATTTTTCGACCAAATCCAATTTGTTTTTTTTTTTGCTTTTGGCTCTGGTGTGTCCCTTTTGCTCTGCGCGAAATTTTTTTTTTCAAAAAAAAAAAAGAAAAACGTTGTCTTTTTGTAGTAGTAGTAGTCGTATTATTATTATATTCGAAAAAAAATGCGAAGATTTTTTTTCGTTGTTTTTTTTCGAGACACGAAAAATAAGGAAAATGAGATGTTTTTGAGCTGAAAAATGACATGACATGAGAAAAAAATGAAATATTATCATGGAATTTTTTCTAGAAATTTTGAAACAGTGAATTTTCGAGAATATTGTTGTCACACTTAATCAGTTTTTCAAATTTTCATTTCTGAAAATTTTGAAACAGTATATTTTTTTAAATCTCTTCACTAGTAAATACGACACAAACAGTTCCTCAACTTTCAAAAATAAAATTTTTGAAACGTATTTTTTCTGAATTTTCGGCCGAAATTTTCATACTGGTAGAATCGTTCCTCATGTTCTCTCCAAATTTCTTCTAGAAGTTTTGAAACAGTGAATTTTTGAGAATATTTTTGTCACACTAAATCAGATTTTTAAAATGTTTATTCCCAAAAATTTTGAACAATAATTTTTTTTTATCGCATTAATCTCAAAATGAATGAAGTGGAATTCATCAAAAACTGATCTAATGTTTTTGAAACAGTAATGTTTCAAAGGAGTTTTTTTCATGTTTAATAGTTTGCCATAACAATCGATGAGAAAGCGAAAATTATAGTATTTTTTTGAAACAGTGAATTTTTTGTCGAATCAAACGATTTTATCAAACAAAAATATCATACACATTTCGAAACAGTAAAATATTCTGGAATTGTTTTCATCAAAGTGTTACTTACATGAGAATTAACAGTGAATTTTACACTGCTCCACATAAATATGACCTCACTTCATATTTTTGAACAATTCGAGTTTTAGAGTTTCTCGCAAAAACATCAAAAATCGAAAATATGTCAATATCCGGAATTTTTTATTGTTTTTCAAAGTTTTTCTTCGAAAAAGTTAGAATTTCAGCAATTTTTAGAAAGTGAGCTTATAATTATGTGCAATTGCGAAACTGATTTATTTTAAAAAATTCTAGATTTCTCTTTTAAATTCAAAAACAGTAGATTTTTTACATCACCCATCTTATCCGTAATATTTTTAAGATTCCCCCGTTCTTCTCATGACCATTTTCTGAAACAGTAGGTTTTTGTCACACATTTTTATTTTTCTAATTTTCCCATCATTCACCTGCCTAATAGTTGTTTAATTCAGCTTTTTATTTAAAGTTATTCTTGAAACAGTAATATATTCTCTTAAATTTTTCTTTCTGATTTATTCCTCATGTCGAACATTTTTCAAATTCCCCTATTTTTTCAAGATTATTTTTTGAAACAGTAATATTTTTCCTTCCGTATTTTTTTGCTCGTTTTTCTCGCATTTTTTCCTCCACCAAAATATTCATCTAAATACTCTTTGCTGATTTTTTTGCAAACACTACATTTTTTTATTCGAAAATGTCCTGGCCGGTGAGTTCACTTTTTTGGGAGCTAAACACAAAATGGGGGTTTTTTGGTTGGTTGGGCGAAATATCAAATTTCATCACATGTTTTCTAAAAATTCATTTTTTTTTTTACTTTTTTGATAGAAAAATTTGAGTTTAAAAAGTTTGCCACGTGGATTTTTGGCAGAAAAATTGAGTTTTGACCTTTTTCTTCATCATTTCTAGCATTTTCCCTCACTTTTCCCTCCTGAATTATTTATAATTTTCTTGATCTTCCGAATTTTTCCACATTCATTCCATATAATTTCTCATTTTTTTCTCGCGAGCATTTTCTGCGCGAAAAAAAATGATAAATGCACTGAAATTTCGTCTCGCTCCGCTCCAAAAAATGTAATTATTTTTCTTTTGTGAACAATTTTCAGCCATTTTTCTCTTCCTGAAAAAAATGAATTATTAATTTTTTGTGGCAAAAAAAATTGAATTTTCATTTTTTTTTGGACAAAAAATATCTAAATTTTGTTATGACGTGGGGAATTTTTTGGGGGAGAAGCCTTGGAATTTCGAGGAATTTGACAACAGATTTGAAAATGTTTTTTGGGAAATTAGAGATCTCTAAATTTATTTGAAAATAAAAAAAAATGAAAAATGACATGAGAAATCCTAATTTTCACTGTTTCAAAATTTTTTAAAAAATCCAAGATTTTCGAATTTTTTTCTGATAAGTTGAATCAAAAATTCAACATTTTTCCATTTTTAAAATTTCACTGTTTCAAAAAATTAATGAATTTCTGATTGTTTTTTGCAAAGTTGATTCAGCATCATTTGCCGTGAGTCTCAAAATTTCACTGTTTCAAAACTTTATCAAATTTCTGAGGCTTTTAAATTTTTCCGATGGTATTCCCCACCTTCTCGGTAGATTTTTTTTCACAAATTTTTGAATTATTTTTCAACCTCAAAATTTCACTGTTTCAAAAAATTAATGAATTCCTTGTGTTTTGCAAATTTGATTCGATTCTAAGTTTATGTCAATCTCAAAATCTCACTGTTTCAAAAATTATCGAAATTATATAGACAAACTTTTTGAGATACTGAATATTTCATTGAATTTTCAGAACTAAAAAAATTAAAGCTAACAATAAGAAAAGTTACTGAAATTCAAGTCAAAAATTTAAAATGAGTTTTGAATCTCAAAATTTCACTGTTTCCAAAATTACTGAAATTTTCAAAGTTTTTGAATATTTCTGATTGGTCCTCTGAAAAATTCGCTGAATTTCAATTAACAGAAACATTTAAATTTTTCTGAATCTCAAAACCAATTTATTTGAAATTTTTTTCATTTTGCTGATTTTCCAAAAAAATATACTGTTTCAAAAATCATTGAAATTTTCAAGGTTTTGGAATTTTCTGATATATCTTCGGCAAAGCTTTCCGAATTGAAGCGAAAAAAATACGTTTCAAAATTTTCACAAAGATTTCCATGATTTCCAAATTTTGATAATAAATATTGTTGTATTTTTCAAAAAAAATTAAATTTTCTCAAAAACTTTCACTGCTTCAAAAATTCCACATTGCACTCAAATCCCCCCGAAAAAATTCCCAAATTTTCTTTTTTTTTCTTTCAAAAATGGGTCGTAGTCAGTCAGTGACACCACCAAAAATGTCAAATAATTGGAATTCTTCTCCTCGTTTTTTTTTCCATTTTCCCCCGGCTCTTTTCCTCCTCTTTTCTTTTCTCCGAGGGTAAAAGGTCCCCCCGTTTCTTTCTTTCTCTCCGTCTCTCTCACTCTCTCCCCTTTCTTTAGTTTCCCTCTAACTAGATATATGTCTCTGTGCACTCTCTCAATTTCACACACTCTCTCTGTCTCTCTGTCTCTGCTTCAGGGCTCTCTATTTTTCCTTTTACGAAGAGAGAGACTAGCCAGGATCTGTGTTTTTCTGCTATTTTTATTTTTTTTTGCTTACTTTTTTTTCGCGCGCGAAAATATAGTTTTGCATAAGAAGAGCTACTTTAAGCTACGAATTTTTCATTTTTATTTTTAGTATCTTTTGCTTAAATAAAGATTATCTATTTACGTAATTGCACTTTTCTTTTTTTTCTTCTCAATTTCAAAACATCTTGAAAACTGTGGGAAAAATGCTTTTCCAAATGCTCTCTTTATTTCGAAGAAATTCGTAAAACAAAAAAAAATAAAAAATTTTGGAGGTATGGGGAATTGAACCCCAGACTTCTCACATGCGAAGCGAGCGCTCTACCCCTGAGCTATACCCCCACGCAAGAAACCACCGCAAAATGTCGGTGATAAACATCGTTCCCTCGAAATTTTCTCTGCGTCTCCCATTGTCTAGCCACTAGCTAGAGTTCTAGAAAAAATTTACGATCGTTTTTTTTGAAAGCCAAATTGCCAGTTTGGACCAACAACAAGACAAAAAAAAACAAATAAAGTTCAGAAGAGAAAAAAAAAATCTATTTTTAGAAAATTGTGGAAAAAATCATTGTTATTCGATTAAAAAATCGATTTTTATTCATGATAAATATTTTTTATTCTGCGTCTCTAACCAGACTAATTGTCTAGAAGTCTAACCACTCTGCGTCTCTAGCCTCCCTCCTATAACTGCTCTAGCGTTCAAACCATACTCTACTTCTCTAACCTCCTTTTCACTCTCTATATTTCTCGCTATTCATAAACTCTGCATCTCTAACCTAGCTAAATTCTCTGCGTCTTTTACCTGATATCTAGCTGTCTGCGTCTCTGATCCTACTCTTCTCGTCTGATTTATTTTTTCGTCTGATGTCTAGCCAGCTCTGTGTTTCTTCTATACTCATCTATTTACTCTGCATCTCTAACCTCTCCTCTCGTTCTCTACCCTCTAAACCAACCAACCAAAAAAACCCCAATGTTTTGCTGCCCACAGGTGATTCAAAGTGTTCTCGTCGGCCATTGATCATTTTGTAAATGGCGGAGGAGGACCATCGGATCCTTCTCCAAGCCAACATCAGCCACAGCAAAGAGATCTAGATGAATATTATGACGGTGGAGGTGGCGGACCTTCCGATCAATATTTTGTCGATGAATCCTCAATCGACGACGAATTTCTTGTTTCAGATGCAATGAGCATGCGATTGCTCTGTGTAACCAGTGAGTTAGCCGAAATCGCCGTATTTTCTAGAAAATTATTAAATGAGCACAAAAGAAAATGAGCACAAATTCTGACGACTCTCCAATCATGCTCACTTTAATTGTTTCAGTTAAAAAAGCACGACTACAGGGCACTGTTGGTGAGTTGTTTTGGCGGGAAATTTGAATTTTTCTCGAAATTTTTTTGGTGTTGTGAGGTGAAATATTGTGCTTAGCAACCCGAAGTTTTTGCATGTAAATGTCCAAAGCAAAAAAAATGCATTAATAAATAAATAAATGAAAAATGGAATTAGACAACATTTTTTATGTTGCAGGGGAAAAAAGGGAAATTTGGAGGGAAAATTTTTCACTGTTTCAAAAAATTTATATAAATTTTGGATTTTTCAATTAATTGATCATGTATTTCGACAGAATAATGAAAAAATAAATAGTTTCAACTTTTTGTTCCAGAAATATTTGACTGTTTCAAAAAATTCATATGAATTTTTTTGGAATTTTTCGAAATTGATCTTGTTGCAAGAATATTTGGAGAGTAGAAAATGACCTTTAAAAATTACCCGTATTTTATTTTGCAAAAATTTCACTGTTTCAAAATTTTCATTAAAATTTATAGATTTGATGATGAGATTTTCTGACATGAAAAAAATATCAGAAATTTTTTTTTGTTCAACTTGGTTTTTGCCAACAAAAATTGTATTTTTCTATGATTTTTTCACTGTTTCAAAAACTTGCTAATCTTCAATTTTGAACTTTTTTTTCAAGCAAGGAAATTTGAATTTTAAAAATTTTGAGAGTAGAAAATGACCTTGAGAAAAATTACCCGCATTTTATTTTGAAAAAAATTCACTGTTTCAAAATTTTCATGAACTTTTCTAGATTTCGGAGTTTTCAATGTTGAAAATTTGAATTTTTTTTGTTCAACTTGGTTTTTCCAATTTTTCACTGTTTCAAAATTATCAGATAAAAATGATGGATTCAGAATTTTTCAATTGGCGATTTAAATACAGATCCATGAACAATTTTTCTTATGAATTTATCACATAGTTTCTTTTTTGTGCTAAAAATTTTCACTGTTTTAAAATTCTAATTTTCAAAAAAAAATTCTTGATTTCGCTTTTCACTCAAAATACTTCTGAAAAATCTCACTGTTTCAAAATTCTCACATATTTTTCAATTTATTTTTGAAACTGCTCATGTAACGTTTTTTTCCGCAACTCAAAAAAAACTTGATGTTTTGGTGTCATTTCGAAACATTTCCGTTCTTCTTTTTTCTTTTTTTTTTCACAAAAAACCCATAATTTCGCTTCACAAAAAGTTTTCCCAAAGGATTTTCAACAAAAAATTTTTTCCTCAATTTTTCAAGGAACCAAAAATTACAAGTTAACTCATCTGGAATTAATTTTTCATTGTTTTTTGATTCCAAAAAACCGCAGAAAAAATGAGGTTAAAGATCAATTTAGAATTTGAGCAAAAAGTTATTGTCTCTGACTCACTAATGAATTTTTTCTCGTTTTTTTTTTGAAAAAGAGAAAATAATTGCTCGACGAGTGGAAATTATTATTAATTTTTTGAGTTTTTTTCTTTGGAAAGTCCGGGGGAAATTTGAAAATTCATTTAAAAAACATAATTTTGAAGAAATTAACTTAGCATTCTGTATTTTCATTGAAAAAAATTCATAGAAATTTTGAAACAGTGAAAAATTTATTGTATCTCTGGATTTTAATGTGAAACGTGTTTAAAATTAATTTAGTTGAAAACTATTTTTTAAATCGGGAAATTTTTGGAGTCAACCTTTTGAAGTCAATCAAAGTCGTCATTACATTAAAAATAGGTTCAAAATCTTTATAAAAATTTTGAAACAGTGAATTTTTTAGGAGAAACTGAACAGCCCTTTTATTTCTATCAGTTCAGTTTTTGGTCGGAAAATTTTAATTTTTAAAACAATTTTAAAATGTTTCGAAACAACCATTACTCGAAAAATCAGAAACTGAACCTAGAATCTTTGAAACAGTGAAAAAATTAGCTTGAAAATTTATTTTTGGAATCAACTTTTTCTAAGCTCATTGTTATATGATTGTTTGAAAAATCGGTTCAAAATATTTGTGAGAATTTTGAAACAGTAAAAAAATAACATTCAAAAAGAATAATCAATTTAAATTTTTCAAAAAGTTTCCTGAGCCTCGAAAAAAATCAAGTTGATTCCAAAAAATAATTTTTCAAACAAATTTTTTCACTGTTTCAAAGATTCTCGGTTCAATTTCTGATTTTTCCGAGTAATGATTGAACATTAATATTGTTGAATTAAAAACAGGTGAGAAATAAAAAACTAGGTCAAGTGATGTGGATTTAAAAACAGTATAGGTAGCCATGTCGTCAGTTGCGATGCGTGTGGGCGACACGTTTTTAGAAATGAAAATTTGGAAAATCCAATGGAAAATATCGAGGTCAACACGCAACGCAGAACCGCATCGCGACTGACGACATGGCTACCTATACTGTTTTTAAATCCACGTCACTTGACCCAGTTTTTTATTTCTCACGTGTTTTTAATTCAATAATATAACATTTTTAAAAAATAAAAAAAAACTGAACTGATAGAAATCAAAAAGCTGTCCAGTTTTTCCTAAAAAAATTCACTGTTTCAAATTTTTTATAAAAATTTTGAGCTTATTTCTCAAGCAATCATCATTATAGGCTCTAACTCAAAAAAATGTTCTGATTTCGATTTTTGTGAATTTTCATTGCTCCAAACAATTTTCAGAATTTATGTATGAAATTAATTGTTTAGTTTTTTTTAATTAGTTATCCAATTTTATGAAAAATGACAACAAAGGATTGAATTAATAAAGTATTATCAAAATAAAAAAATTTGGCAAAAAAACGGAACCCAGAAATTCAAATAACACTCTTCCCAAGTACGGTGTTTCTTTCAGTCGCTGCGAGACCCATATGTGCGTCTTTGACTTTGTTTCTCTGCCCAATGATGTGGTCTCGAAACGGTGTTAGTGACGCAGAGGAATACCGTACTTGGGGAAATTGGAATTCGAATTTCTCGCTTCTCTTTTTTTGCCAAATTTTTTTACTTTGATAATATTGAATTAATCTAATAAATTTCAAAAAAGTCTCTACAATTTCTCAAATTTTTGAAACAGTGAAAATTAAAAAAAACTCAAAAAAAAACGTGACGTGACCTCCCAATTTTTGCCACATTTTTTTTCACAAAAAAATTCAAAAACCACTCATTTCTAATTTGTGTTCCGTCCTTGTCTTGTGAGTTTGTTTTTCTGAATCTGAATCCAAAAAAAATTTTCCAAAATCCGAATATTTCAGACGAATTCAATTCATATGTGACGGTCAAACTACAAAACGTGAAATCGACAACAGTTGCAGTTCGAGGCAACTTGCCGTGTTGGGAACAGGAATTCATTTTCGAAACAAATCGACCCGATGATGGAATGGTGCTAGAATTATGGGCGAAAGGTGTTTTATGGGACAAATTGATAGGTGTTCATTTTATGCCGTTAGGTGAAGTCAAATTTAAGTGAGTTTTTTTTTGGTTCTGACATGAAACAGTATTTTTTTTTTGATACCAGGAAGATTGATATATTATTCAGGGGTTCACAAATTTTCAAAAAATATTGGAAACTTATTTCCTTCTTCAATTTTTTCTTAATTATTTCGAAATATTGTTTTCTAGTTTCGAATCACAAAAATTTACAAAACGAATTATTTATGAAATTTTTGAAACAGTAAATTTTTGATAACCACACCTTTTTTTTAATCATTTTCACAGATTCCCCAAAAATTATATGATTATTTTGAAACAGTGAATTTTTTTGTGTTTTTTTAGATGGTTGAGCTGAGTTTTGAACAATGTTAAACAGAAACATATCGTTTTCGAAAATCAACCAAAAATTTATATAAAATTTTTGAAACAGTAAATTTTCGATATAATTTTTTGAAAATTGGCTTGAAATTTTGAAACCAGGAGACTTATCGATTCTATTTATGTATAAATATTGTTGTTTTTTTCTTGAAACAGTAATTTTTTGTGTTGAAAATTGTATTTTTTGTGAAACATTTGAAATGATTCATGCAAGAGCAGCATCGTTTTCTCGATTTTCCCAATTGTTATCTTATTTTTTTGAAACAGTAGAAAATTTGAACAATTTTCTGTATTTTTTCCTTGAAAAAAATATTTTTCGATCTTTCGAAAATTCAAAAAATCAGAAAATATTTTGACGTCAATTCGAAAAACACCTGTTCAAAAATAAATACATCCCAAATGTTTTCGCCAAAATTTTTGAACTCAATTTTTGTTGCAGCAATATCGCTGGTGCTGGTCAATGGCTTCAAATGGATCACGAATTGGAGACGAAAAACGGCCAAACAATTGGAACTCGCGGACCAACTGGACATAATCTACTGGCTGATGTTCGATTCGAACTTCCGTTTGGTTAGTTTTGGGAGGGGGGGATTTTTCAAGTTTTGAGGTCTAAAAATGTATTATTTATTTTTGAAACAGTAGGAATTTTTAAGCATATGAGAAGCAGGAATTGAAGATTAAAAATTGCAAAAAAAATATATTAATTTTGAAACAGTGAATTTCTGGAGAACATTTTTAAAAATTTTTCAAAGCTCAAAAATACACGTGGATTTTTACTTGAGAATTTTGCTAAATAAACTAATGTTTTTTGTTTCAAAAAAAATATTTAAATTTTTCGAAACAGTGAGATTTTTCATAATAACCAGGCCATTGATTAAATTCTGAAATTCAGAATTTTTATGAGAAAACTTTGAAACAGTGAATTTTTCATGTGATTTTTTTACTGTTTCAAACTATGAAAAATATTAAAAAAAAAAAAAAAAAAATATGAAATTTGATTTCTAGACCAATACGGTGAATAATTTTCATCAATAAAAAAATTCACTGTTTCAAAATTTTCATAATTTTTCTGACGCTTTTTGATGAATCGTAATTCAATTTTTTCACAAGTTCAAATTAAATTTGAAAAAAAACATTGACACGTGGATTTTTAAGTGTTTCTCTGCGTCTCTAACCTCACTCTAGCTTCTCTAACACTCTGTACCTTCTCTGCGTCTCCCACCTTCCAGGGTTTGGATTCTCTGCCTCTCACAAAACTCTAGTATCTCTAACCTCTCTAGCTTCTCTAAAATCTCTCGCTTTCTAACTTGAAGACCAGGCCATTAATTAAATTCTGAAATTCAGAATTTTTATGAGAAAACTTTGAAACAGTGAATTTTTCATGTGATTTGATTTTTAGACCAATGTGGTGAATTTCTATGTATTTTCATCGATAAAAAATTCACTGTTTCAAAATTTTCATAATTTTTCTTCCAATTTTTTGTATTTCAATTTGGGACCATTTTTGATGAATCGTAATTCAATTTTTCACAAGTTCAAATTAAATTTGAAAAAAAACATTGACACGTGGATTTTTAAGTGTTTCTCTGCGTCTCTAACCTCACTCTAGCTTCTCTAACATCTCTCGCTTTCTAACTCTATACACTATTTTTGGCGCCAATTTTTTGGTCTATTCTGGTTCAAATTGTTGTTGTTGTTGTTGTTTTCTTCTCCAATATTTCTGTCTATTTTTTCCAGCTTCTTCCATGTTTTTCCTCCTATTTTTTGCTGTTTCTTTCTTCCCAAAGTCAGTGTCCAAGAGAAACGCAAAACAAAAAAAAACAAAACGATGGGCTCGATTCGTTTTCGCTGCTCGGCGTGCGCGCGCGATAAATCTTTGTGCCAAACCACCACACTAATTACGAGACACACACTCGCCTTTTGCTCTTTTTTCTAGCTCTCGCTGTTTTTTTTCGACTTTTTTTTTGACTTTTTATAGTTTTTTGGACGAATTTGCGAAGTTGGTTAGATACTAGAGATGCTAGAGTTGTTAGAGACGCAGAGAAGCTACAGTGTGTTAGAGAAGCTAGAGTAAATTAGAGATACTAGAGTTGTTAGAGACGCAGAGGATTAGAGAACCTAGAGTAAATTCCAAAAAACCACCCTAAAAAGCTCTAGTTCTTCTAACTCTAGTTCAAAAATCCAATTTTCCATTTTTTTTTCCCTCAAAACCCAAAAAAAGTGCGTTTTATGACCCTCTCAATTGTTTTTTCTTCCTTCTTTCTTCCAACTTTTTCTAGTTGGAGAAAAAAGAAGAAAAAACAGTATGAAAATTTTCACTGTTTCAAAAAATGTTTTTATTTTTTGAGAAATTTGGATTTTTCAATGCTTGTAAGAGGTTGTAAGAAATTTATTTTTGAAAATATAAAATTGGAATTGTAAGAGTCTAGAAAGTCTGGGGCAATTTTTTAATGAAATTTTTTGAAAATTATATTTTTGTGGCATAAATTCAAGAAGCATCAATTTTTGAAATTCCCTCAAATCTTAGTTTTCCTCTGAAACAGTGGATTTTTTAAAAAGTTTTTTTGTGAATTTTTGAGAAAACAGAATGACGGTTATACTGAAATTTAGTATAAATTCTAAATTTTTTGTTTTTTTTTGAAACAGTGAATTTTTTTTCACAACAATTTTTCACTTTTTGAATTTTTTGATACGAAGAACTCGAATACGGGGCCAAAAATCCACGTTTGAAAAAATGTTTAAAAATTCCCACAATTTTTGACTCAAAAATTATTCTTTTCCCATTTTTTCTCCTACCAAATAGAAAGAAAAACAATGAATAATAACAAAAAATAATATTTTTTCGTCTCATTTTTTGGTTCTTCTTCTTCATTTTTTCTTCTTCTATTTTTGCTGAAAAAATAACTGCTGAAAAACAAAAAAAAAACAGCGAAAAAGGAGAAAAAGAAGAAGTCGTTAACGTATAATTGCATATTGTCCTTCTTCGTTTTTTCGTCTCTTTTTTCTCGATCCTTGCTCATTTTTTGACTTTTCGCCATCTTCTTTGTAGTATAGATATCAGGTTTAACTTTTTTTTTGGAGCCAAACATTTTTGAAATAAAAAATTTACACTGTTTCAAAAAATATATAAGACTCTTGAGAACTTTCACATTTTGTTAACAAAGTTTTGAAAATCTGAAAATTTCACTGTTTCAAAAAAAATGTTAAATTTCTGAGAAATTTCATTCAAAATTGATGAGCTTGTAATTTTTTAACGCAATTATTTTTTGTGTAAAAAATTCACTGTTTCAGAAATAAATATAATTTTTTCTGGAAAATTTTGAATTTGATGATCCAGAATTTAGGAAATATGGAGTTATAAGAATATTTTCCTCTGGAAAATTTTGTGAAAAAATTGACTGTTTCAAAGAAAACACAAAAATTGAGAAAACTCAGAAATTTGATTTTTTGTAAAATTAATTTTAAAATTTCCACGTGTTCTTTCACGCCTAAATTTATGAATTTTCAAATTTCAAATGGGTCATTTCGGGCTCCAAAATTTATTATTTTTGAAATTTTTTTTGATCTCCTCTCCCCGCTATTTCTTAGTATATCTATCAATTCTTATTTCTTTTTCGTCTCTTTTTTTCTGCCCAAAAATTCAGCGACTTTTTTTGTGTTGGAGAGAGGGAGAATGACAATTGATTGAGTTATTTACTCGCCTTTTTTGGTCTTATTTTTTTCATTTTTATTTTATTTTTGCTCTATTCTTCTTTCTAGTTGAGCTAAGTTTTTTTTTGATTTCCACGTGGATTTCTCTCGCTTCAAAATTTATATTTTTGATTTTCTTTCTGAAGATTCTTTGACATTTTTGCTACTAAAAATGAGTAACACTCGAAAATGTATTAAATTTCCAATTAATTTTGAGTCGCGCGCCGAAAAAAAGCACGCCAAAAATAAAAATATCAGATTCTCTCACACAAGGTGTTTGTTTATTATAAATATATATCCATAATTGTTTTTCACTTTTTTTGTGGGAAAAACAACGGGTTTTCCGGTTTCTTTTTTGAAAACATACATTTTTTCCTGCAACGTATAAGAAAAAAAGAGAAAAGTGCACTAGATTTATCACCGACATTTTCGCATAGGGAACTCGTGCGCCCGGTTAGCTCAGTCGGTAGAGCACCAGACTCTTAATCTGGCTGTCGCGGGTTCGAGCCCCGCATCGGGCTGATGCAAATATTTTTGTTTTTTTTCCCAAACAAAAAAATACATTTTTCGAGTGTTAGTCTCATTTCTAATAGCAAAATTGTAAAAATGTCATTTCGAATCTTGAAAAAAGCAATAACGAGCTGAGCTGAGATTGAGCCCCGCCGCAGAATAGCAGAAAAATAAAATAAATAATAGAAAAACCAAGGCCGTTTTTCATCGCGAAACCCATGTATTTGACACATTTTATTTATTCATTTCATGTCTTTTTTTTCTATTCCGAGCAGAAAAAAAGAGCATTTTAGATATGTATAAACACGATATCATACGTCTTTTTTTTTCGAGATCTCTCAAAAGTCCGCACTTTTTTATTGATCCAAAAATTTTATACATCTCTAGCCAGGTTAAACTAGAGTCTAGTTTGACTCACCCTTATTCATTAAATCAAACTACATAAGAACAGTTTATCTCTTTTTCCCCTGTCACTCTCTCATTTTTCCTTACTCTCTTGCTCAGAAAAACAAACGTGGCAATTCAAAGTTTGAAAATGTCTGTCTAACAAAAATTTTCCCGCCCTTTTTTCATCGTTCCTAAACGAAACATTTTCTTCTGCTTCTTCTTTTCTTTTGTTGTGTCGAGCCCAAAAAATTGAATTATCAAAAAAGATTTTCGAACAAAAAAACGTCTTTTTTTTCCAGATGCTCAAGGTTGTGACGGCGAATCGAAACTGCAAGCATTGAATCAGGAACATTTCGACAACGATCAACTGGCGGCCAATTCACATTACCATAGAGCGCCTTTTAATCATTGTGAGTTTTTGGATTTTCAACAAAAAAAACCCAAAAACCTAAATTCTTTCAGCCGGGTTGAGCGAGGATAGCGATTATACATCCGACGTGTCGTTTCCCATCAATCATCAATTGCATCCCAATTCCTCAGCACATCAATACGAATCACATTTGCATCCACATCGCAGCAATCGCAATTCGCTGTTTCATTCTCGTGACGCGACAGTGAGTGAAAATTTAAAAAAAAGTTTGCTCGCATCGGGGTTCGAACCCGCGGTGCAAAACGTGTGTGATTGTGAGGCGCGTGTGTTAGCCACTTGTACACGCGTGCTTGAAAAAATGCGATGCGATTTTTATATTTGAGAAGCGTCTTGCAAAAAATAACCCGATTAGACGTTGCAGGCGAGTTATGAGGACGAAGAAGACGCGTATCACGCGAGAAACAATCATCAACAACAATATTACAATCAGGACCAATACGGTGAGTTTTCTGGGGGGCAGGGGAAACCGGGAAAAATGGATAATTTTTGATGGAAAATCCCAGGGGGACAAGAGAAGTGCAAAAAATATTCCGTTTTCAACTATACTTTCGTTTTGCCTTCTTTTTTTCGAGATGGAAAAAAAGATTCAAAAATCACATGTTTCAAAAAATATGAGGGTCCCAAAAATCCTTTCTTTTTTGTGTTCAAAAATTATTTTGTGACGTGAAAATTTTAAATATTTATCTGATTTTTGCCGCTTAGTTACTTCGGAAACACATCGAATTTCAAAAATTCCTCAGAAATCTTACTTTTTCTTTGAAACAGTGAATTTTCCACGGCGCAAATTTTTTCAAATTCCAATTTTTCTCTCAGACTCAAATCAACAATACGAGGACACGGTGACTCCGGTTCGCGAATTTGACGATGGTGGCGATGAGCCACCACCCATTAATAATTATTATGGCGGAGGTGGCGGCGGTCCATCGACTTCTCGAGGCGGATATTCTTCTTCATCGACGATGATTGAAGATGTAAGTGGAACATCAAATGGTGGATTGATTATGATGATGGCTGGAGCTGGAGCATCGAATGGTGGAAATGTGAGAAATGATCCGATTATTGAGCATGAAGAGCCTGAATATGGTGAGTATGGAAGATTTTTGGATCTAGAATTTTTTCACTGTTTCAAAAATTTTTTTATATTTTTTGAAACTTTTGTAAAGTGGTTCTCGTGTACTTTGATTGTGAGGGGAATTTTTTTAAAAGAAATTTTACTGTTTCAAAAAATTCATATGATTTTTGGAGGCTTGTGAGATTTTGATAAATTGCATATGATTTTCGTATTCCAAAGAAATTACCTGTTTCAAAAAAATTATATATCATTTTGAGGCATTTTGAGAAATTGCTGCAAGAAAAAAATTGAGAAAAAATTTCACTGTTTCAAAAATATTGTATAATTTTCACTGGTTGGAAAATATTCAATAGATGAATTCTTCTTAATGATTGAGAAACTTTGATTTATGATGTACCAGTTTTTGTTAATTTCTAAATTCTGTAAAAATTCCACTGTTTCAAAATTTTAACAAAAAAAACTATTTTTCTGGAAAACTTTGATGGTATTTTCTTCTAACAAAAAAATGATATATTTTTTTACTGTTTCAAGAACTTGGATATTCAAAATTCAAGTCTTATTGAACTAAAAATCATGAAAAAAAATTTTATTCTCAATTTTTTCACTGTTTCAAATATTGTAATTTAAAAAAACCTTGAAATAAAATCGGTAATAATCTTCTACTGACGAGTTCAAAAAAAAATGTTCACTACAAATTCATTTTCAGTCTACAACAATGGATATAAAGATGAAATGGACGATGAAGATCATTTCGGTCACAATCCAACATATTCCGAAGATGCTCATTTTAGTGGTGGTGGAACAAATCGAATTGAAGACGAATATCGCGATGAATATAAACAACAATATCCGGGAGAATATTGGAATGAATCTGCTGCTGAACCACTTTCTTATAATAGTCGGCCGCCGAATGGGCATGTTAAAACGTGGGTTTTTGTTTTTGGGAATTGGAAATGGGGGGTTATCCAAAAAATCACTGTTTCAAAAATTATTCAATATTTTTGAATTTTTGAATCTTATTAGTTGGATCTTTCCATATTCTTATGAATATAAGAGGCTTTCATTTTCATTATTTTTATTTAGAAACAAATATTTTCAAATTCTTCCGGAAAACTGTACATGTTCAAAAAATAATCAAATTTTGATAATAACCAAAAAAAATTCAAATGTATATTATTTTTGCAAAAATAGTTGTTTCTCTTTCTCAAAAGCTTCCACATCAAAAAAATTCCAGTCAAAAGCTTCCAAATAAAAGACTATCATTAATTAAAAAGAGGGTAGAAAAAATGTAAATTTTTCAGGAAATCCCAAAAAATGCACATTTTGGAAGAAATAATAAAGAAAATGTAAATTTTTTGGGGATTTCCTAAAAATGTACATTTTTGACAAAAAAAAAGATGAGGGGTCACGAGAAAACAAATATTTCCATTCCGTTTCTTATGAAACTGTTTCTGGGAAATGAATGTTTTCATTGAGCGTGATGCCCTACATTTTTATCTACACGCGAATCAGTTCGCACTCTCTCGATTATTTCATTTCTGCTTCTCAAAATACCAATAAAAAGCAGACTTTTTCCATGTCTGCAATTTGACGTGAAAATAAAAAATACAAATGTAAATTTTTAAGGGAACCCTGAAAAATGCACATTTTTTTGGAAAAATTCTTCACGCAAAATGTCAATTTTTCGGGGATTTCCTAAAAATGTACATTTTTTCTAGATGTTTTCATGAAACATTTATTTTAAAATGTACATTTTTCGGGGTTTCCTGGAAAATTTACATTTTATTTTGTTGTTAAATCTCTTTGTTCCCCAACATCAAGTTTATAAATCCTCCTTATTAAAAACATTTGAACTTAATACAAAATAAAAACATTGAAGCAAGTGAAAAAATTGGATTTGAAATTTTTTAATGAATAAAAAATATTTGTTCGAATTTTTGTACATAATTTTAGAATGTACGTTTATTTTGTAGATTTTAAATGCTCGATGACAATTGTACAAGGATTAAACAATTTTCAAAAAATTTGATGAAGTTATCCGAATAATGAAAATTAAAGCCTCTTATATTTTCAAATTAAAAAATTCACTGTTTCAAAAAATTTTTAAATATATTTTTCAAAACTAATATTCAGTAAATTTCACACACAACTTACTTAAAATGAAAGAATTTTTCTCATCTAAAAAAATTCACTGTTTCAAAAAATTTATATAATTTCTTTGAAACTCTCAAAATTATTCTTTTCACAATTTTCAGAAATGAAAAAGTATTCGAAAATTCATGAAGTTTACTTTTCCCGTACTAAAAAATTCACTGTTTCAAGAAAAAATAAAAAATATAGAAAATTTTTTATTTTTCCCTATGATAAATTCACTGTTTCAAAAATAATAAACAACTTTTCAAGTATGTTTTAAAATCCATTACATTAGCTTTAGTTATTATTCCAAAATTCAAAAAAAAACTTCACTGTTCCAAAAAGGAATTTTCTGAATTTTATAAAATTGTATCAGGGAATTCCAAGAATAAAAACATTTTCCACAACAAAAATTTCCCTCAAAACCCTCAATTTTTCCAGCGGAATCCCCAGCGCTTCCTCATCTCGCCCAACATCTTCACAAGCTTGGAATTACAATGATGACGCACATCCATATGATGAAGTTGATCGAGGTTCGAGAGTCTCATTTACACGAACTCCCTCAATTGATAAACCGGATAATCGAAGAAGTGATAGTGGAAATGGATATTATGATGATTATCCGAATGATAGGTTTGTGAGACGGGGGGGGGTTTGGAGGAAAGAAGACATTCATTTCATCACTCGAATATTTCAAGAATTAGTTTTGAAATATTTTTGAAACAGTTGATTTTTTATTGAAAAAATTGCAATTTTTTAATACATCAACAGGAGAATTATTTATGAAAATTATGAGAAAATATTTGGTACAAAGTTGAAACAGTGAACTTTTTTTTGTTATAACCAATGTATTGAAATGTATAACAGAAGAAGTTAACAGTTTTCAAAAAAGCAGAAAAATTTTTAATGATAATTTTGAAACAGTGAATTTTTTCTCAAAATTTTATTTTTTGAGAAAAATATTGTTTCTATGATGGAATTGACACTATTTTCAAAAATTCGAAAAAAATTATTAGATAATTTTGAAACAGTGAATTATTTCATCAGTGTGAAAAAAAAAATTTCAGAACTTTTTCATTTAAAAACAAAAATCAGAATATTTTTCAAAGATGTTAGATCAGAAAAATTCCAGAATCAATATGTATTCATGATTTATTAATTTTTTGAAACAGTGAAATTTTCAAAGTTCAATAAAATTCAAATTTGTTTTGCAGTTCCCGCCGCCCCGATTCTCACCACAATTGGAGATATGATTCGATTCAAGAAGAGGACAATGAAAAAGATAATTGGCGTCAAAATGTGGATTCGTATGAGACTGAAAATGCTTCGGAAAATCGCGATCATTTGGGACCACTTCCAACTGGATTCGAGAATTCGCCGCATGGAAATGATATTGTTAGGTTGGTGGATGGATTTTTTGGGGGGAGAGAATGCCACGTGGCACAAAATTGGTTCAAATCTATGATAGTTCGTCAAATCTATGATAGTTCGATTCATTGAAAATCTGGGAAAAACTTTAGAAATTGAAAATTTTTTGAAACAGGGAAATTTATTCCACAACAGTTCATTTTTTGATTCAAAAAATTCCGAATTGAAAATTTTTTGAAACAGTGAAATTTTTGGAAATTTTTTCTTGCAAAATGAAATTTTCCACGTGGCAAAAAAGTTTTGATTAGCATTTTGGAATATATTCAGAGAGAACTAATCGAACAGAAATCTTGAAAATTTGTAAAATTTGAAATATTTTTGAAACAGTGAAAAAAGAATGTTTTTCGCCACATTTTTTTGGGGGGAGGCAAATTTCGGCGGTTTTTGGCCCAAAAATTGGTTCAAATCTATGATTGGATTTTTTTCATCTATTCATTGAAAATCTGGGAAAAAATTCAGAAATTGAACACTTTTTGAAACAGTGATTTTTTTTTCCATTTTATCGATCAATGTACAAATCGAGGTATTCAAAAAAATTCCGAATTGAACTTTTTTTTGAAACGTAAAAATTTTTGGAAATTTTTTCTTGCAAAATGAAATTTTCCACGTGGCAAAAAGTTTTAATTAGAATTTTGGACAAATAGAGCGAACAGAAATCTTAAAAATTTGTAAAATTTGAAATAATTTTGAAACAGTGGAAATTTCTAGAATTTTTTTTGCCACGTGGCATCCCAGAAATTTCAAATTTTTTTGAAACGTAAACATTTTTGGAAATATTTTTTGTGAAATTTTCAAATTTGCCACGTGGATTTTTGGTGCCAAAAAAAATTCGAGAATATTTTTTTATCAATTAGAGAAAAACTGAAAATCTCAAAAATTTTCCGAATTTTCAGATTTTTTTGAAACGTAAAATTTTTTGGAAATTTTTTGTTTGGCGCCAATTTTTTTGCATATTTTGATGCGAATGCGAATTGAAATCTCGAAAATTCCAAAAATTTCAAATTTTTTTGAAACGTAAAAAATTTGGAATAAAATATTTGACCAGCTGTTTTTTCTTTGAATTTTGCTCCCAAACATTTTTTTTTCACTGTTTCAAAATATGATTGATGAACCTGATTTCTAGTTTTTATGACTATTTTTTCGCCAATCAAAATTTGGAAATTTTCGCCCCAAAAAAATGCAGAAGTTACAAGAATTCGAGTGTAAATTAAAAAAATTTTTGCTTGAAATTTTTTTATCTGAAAATGTTTCAGCCAAACAATTGAGGAGGAAGAGGAGAAGAAGAATTTTCAAGAATTGTGGCATTGGGCCTATAAACAAGTGTGCTCAAATTTGGGTTTTAAGGTTAGTTTTGGTGGGGATTTGGGGGCCAGAAATGGGTCCGGGCTCATTTTTTACCCCTGGGACAGAATTTGGGGCCCCAGGCTTATTTTTAGCCCTATTTTGGCCCCCTGAGCCATTTTTGAACCCTTTTCCAAAAATAAACAAGGAAATATCGTCTTCTGGGAATATTTTTTGAAAAAAAAGAAAATAAATCAAAAATTTTTGTGAGCGTGGGTTTTTCTTTTGTTTCGAAAAGAGTTGACATTTTCAATTTACGTCAAAATTTTTCCAATTTTTTTGTTCTCATTTTTTTTTCATTTCTAACCTAAAAAAATGTTCTCTTTGTTTTCATTTTCGCGCATGCATTTTATTGATTTTTTGTGAAAAAAGAAGAGAGCAGCTTTTTCCCGTTTAATTAGCAAAATTTATTTATATATGTTTTTTTCAGTTTTTTTTATTCATCTGCGGTTTTTTCTCTGAGCAATAATTCACGTGGAAAAACATATTGACGCTGAAATTTTTGAAATTTTTTTTGAAATTATTTTTTTGAAGCTCGCCTGATTGTTAACATTTTTGTGAAAAATTTTCGAAATATAATTTTTCTTTGAAACAGTGATTTTTTTCTAAGAATTTAGAAGTTTGCCGGAAATTTGGAGGACTTTTTCTTGGATTTCATTTTTTTCCATGCTGAAAACATTCTCTGTTTTAAAAATTGTCTGAAAACTCTGATAAATAGAAAAAAAAAATCCAGTTGAACTCTAGAATCTGAATTGACATCCTCAACGTTTTTCAGAATTTTTGAAAAATCATAAGGAAATTTTGAAACAGTGAGATTTTTTTTGTTGCAAAATTCTTAATTTTCCCCCGGAAATTTGAATGATATTTTGAACTCTCTGAAGCAAAAAGAAAATTGATTACAATTTATCAGAAGTCGGATTTTTTTTTTGAAAATTATCATTTTACGTATTGCCGAATTTTGTTCAAATGAAAATTTTAGGGAATTTTTGAAACAGTGAATTTTTTCTTGTTTTTTTTTACTGGAGACATTTTGAGTTTCTCCGAGCGAAATTTGTTTAAAAAATATTTTAATTCATGTAAATTTTGAAACAGTAGATTTTTTGGAATCGAAAAATTCTGAAACTGACATTTTTCTGTAAATTATTGTTTTAGCTGAATTCCTCTATGCATATTTAATTAAATTTTCCAATCCAAAAAATATTACGTGATTTTTGAACCAGTAGATTTTTTTTCTCGAAAACCACAAAACACAAAAAGATTATTTTTTCTTCAAGCGGAAATTAGAAATCTCTTTTTTTTTGCAGCTGATTTTTTTTATCAAGATTTTTTTCTGAAACCTAACCTACAATTACAAATTTTCTGAAACATGTATAATTTGTAACCCGGGTTACAAAATTATAGGTTTCCAGAATTTTCAGCCTCCTCAACTGAAAATTTTTTTAACCAACCAAAAAATTTTTGGTGCCCTGGAAAAGTTCAAAAATTTGTCCCAAAGGACACATTTTCTCTGCCAGAATTTTTTTGGGGGATTTCCAAAAAAAAAGAAAATTTAACGACTTTTGTGGTGGCTTTTTTGGCCACCTGATTCAATTTTTTCTTTAATTTTATTTTATTTGGCACACGGATTTTTGGCTCTAATTTTTGTCAGAGAAACTTTGTTTTTTGACTTGGAAATGCCAAAAAACATGAAGAAATTTCTCATTTCCTGTCGATTTCCGGAAAAGACCAGAAATATTTTTGAACGAGAATAGAGATTGTTTTTTTTTGAGTGAAGAAATTTGGATTCAGAAAATGCCATTAAAAAATTTTACGTAATTTTTCACCTGGAATTTTTTTTTTCGAAAGGTTCTATTTTTTACTTGGATTTGATTCAAATGTCGATTTTTGAAACAGTGAATTTTTTAGAGTCATAACAGGTTTCTGAAGTTTCGAAAATTATTTTTTTTTCGTATTGTTACATATAGCTTCAAAATTATCATCCGAAAACTTAGGAGAATTTTGAAACAGTGAATTTTTTTTGACATACTTTCATTAATTTTTTAATTGGAAAGTAAGCTCAAAATATGCTTTGAAAATTATCTTTTTGTTTTATTTTTCGTGGCACAAAGGAAAGAGTCATCAGCTTTAATAATTCTTCCAAAGATTAAGTAGAATTTTTGAAACAGTGAATTTTTTTCAATAACTTTTTCTCCGAAAAATTATTTAATTTGGATGTTACAATAAATTTTCTAATAATTATTCCCAAAAATCCACTGTTTCAAACATTTCTTATGAAATTTCAGAATAATTTTTGAATAATGAAACCTTTCAAAAATGAAATAGCAAAATAAAATCTTGAAGTTATAACAAGTTCTGAAATTGATTAATATTCTCTTTCTAGTTCTAAAATACAAGAAAAAAAATTACAGATTCATCCAAAAAATTTCAAAAAAAAATCTACTGTTTCAAAATTTATTATATTTATTTATTTGATAGGTTTTCGATTAATTCTGAAAAAATTGTCAAAACACAAAGAATTCCCTCATTCCACGTGGATTTAGCTCAATTCTCCAGAAGTTTTTGTTCATTCATAACTTCACATTCAATTTTTTGTGCTCCTGGTCATGCGCGATGAATTTTCAGCACCACCTAATCAAATTATTCAGCTCTTTTTCCTCCCTTCTTCCTTTTTTTCTAGCCTAGTTCTCCCTTTTCTTCTGAATTTTTCCGTGTTTTTTTTAGCGAAAAGTCACGCCTCTTCTTCTTCTTCTTCTTCGTTTTTTGAGCCAAATGCTCGGCGAGCCGTTACATTTTCCTCGCCGTTTTTTTTCGCGCCATCCATATATATTTTCATTTTTTTTTCATGGATATATGTTTTTTTGTAGTGCCACCGGGTTCCATTGTTATTTCAATTGGCTGCGAGGTTTTTGAGCTAGGAAAAATTGGAAAAAATTCACTGTTTCAAAATATATTTTGCAACTTTTTGGTAACAAATTGCTCAAGATAATTTTTCTTATGAAAATTTTGAAACGTACATTTTTAGGGATAATTATTACTGTTTCAAAAAAGGTATTACTAAATTTTTGGTAAATTCTTTTTCAATTCGGCTAGCAATCTTTGTAAATTTTTAAAACAGTAGATTTTTCTGAATTTTTTTTCGCCAAAATTGTGTAAAATGTTTCCAATCCGCCGAGCAATTTCAGAATTTCACATTTTTATCAAATTTATTTTTTGAAACAGTGAAAAATTCAAAGAAAGGTCAACGAACAAATCTAAATCAAAACTTTTTTTTTATCAAACTTTTGAAACAGTAGATTTTTTCAAGCCCCTTTTTTTTACCAAATATATCAATTTTCCCACTTTTTTATAGTTTTTGAACGTTTTTCTGAAATAGTAAACATTGAAAAATTTATCATTTGTTATCTCTGTATTTTTTTCTCATTATAATTTTGAAACAGTGAATTTTTGAACCTCGAAAAATCATTATTTTTTGAAATTTTCAAGAAAATTGTGATTTTTCGTATAATTTTTGAAACAGTAGGAAGTTTTTGAACAAAGAATCTATAGTATTATAACGAAATCCATAAGACTTTTTTGAAACAGTGAAATTTTCAAAAAACAATTTTTCAGAGAAAATAATAACTACCAACTGTCATTTGTAAATTATATTTTTTAATTTGAATATTTTTCAAACAGTGAATTTTTTTCCACATTTTGAATCAACGATGTTAATCAGCGATGTTTATTAGTTCGAAAATTCGCAAAATTTCTTTAACAAAATTTTGAAACAGTGATTTTTTTTTTGGCTACAAAAATTTGAAATTGGTATACTTCCAAACATCGAATGCCAAAGCTCAGTAAAAAATTTTCATTAAAAAATCCTGAAACAGTGAATTTTTGTGTTCTCTGAAAACTCAACCAAGATGTCATAAGTCATCCTATTTTTAGTGTTTTTTTCTGAAAATCTCTGCTTATCTGCAAAAATCTCTTGAGAGAAGTTATCCTAACTCTACATAGTTCCAAAAATCAGAATGAACTCTTATTTTTTGGATATCGCAGAAAATTCTCCCCAGGAGGCCTTTTTTCTATAATAATCGTAATAAGGATACAAATTTTTTAGAATACAAAAATATTTTTTTTGATATATTTTCCAGTGGAAAAACTCTTTGAGAAGCTTGTGGTGGTGAGAAAAAAGTTCAATTATTTTTCTCATTATTTTTTTCATCATCAGCTCTCAAAACTAAAATGAAAATAAAAAGTTCATGTGTTGTTTTTCCTCTTTTTTTTCTATTTATTTTTGGGTTCTCCCATTCATTTTTTATTTTATTTTTACTTTTGCTCAGGGCTTTTTTTAGTGCTCCAAAAATTCTTTTTTTTTTTCATTTTTCCGCCAGCTCATTAATATTTATTTATGAAAAAAACACAACACAAAATTTTAACTACAAATTTTTCTTGGTTATCGATTTTTCTCCGAGAAAAATTGGCTTCATTTTCCATTTTTTTTTTGAAAAAAAAAGTTTTTTTTTCATTTTGTTGTGTTTTTTCTGCTCCAGCTTCTTCCAGCAAAAAAAATGAGAAAATCAAATTATTTTTTTCGCGCGTCAAGAATTTTTTTTCCATAAATTAGAAAAAAAACTCTTGAAAAGAAGATCTTGTTTTCAAGAGCGAGGTACTGTAGCTCTGCGTCTCTTGATCTCTAATCACTTGATTTTTTGGAGCTCTAGGTGTACTCTGCGTCTCTCGCTATCTCATGTTCTCTAGCTCTCTGCGCCTCTCGAGGGATTTTTGATCTCTAAACACTAGATTTTGCAGTGTTCTCTGCATCTCTCACTTTTTTTCATGTTCTCTAATCTACTCTCGTTTCTCTGCTCCTCTCATTTTGTCATTATCTCTAAGCGTTCTTGTTCTATAGCTTCTCTGTGTCTCTCTAGAATCAATACTCTCTAACTTTCTCTAGTCGTCTGCACTCTCTTCAAGTATCTGCGTCTCTCGAAATTATTGTGGCTGTATTACTGCCTGCGTCTATAATTGCCCACTCTAAGTGTCTGGACTAACTTCTCTAACCTGCTCTCGTCGTCTGATTCTCTTTAGCTATCTCTAACCACTCTCATTTCTCATCAGTTACTCTAGTCGTCTGTACTCTCTTCACTAGCCAACTTTTGTTGTCTGCATTCTTGTTCTCTAACCTCCTCTCGTCGTCTAAGCTCTCCCTTTTCTCTCACTTCCAAGATGTTCCAAATTGATGTTGAACCTGTCAAAAAACGGCAAAGAACCTCTTGAGAATCGGAATATTTTTGTCTTCTTGTGAATATTTTCCTGGTTTCTGTGTGTGTAGCAAAAAGGAATAGTTAACTATTCTCCACGGAGCTGACTAAGAAGAAAAAAAGTTTTTTTTCTCATTTTCGCCTCGTCGTTTTTTTTTTCTGGTCCGAGAGTTATGAGAAAATGAAAATATTTACTAGAAAAAATATTTTTTCTTTTTTTTTTTTTTTTTTTTGCTCTGCTCTGGATTGAAATTGGAAATTTGATCAGAAGCTTTTTTGTTTTTTTTTCAACCCTGATTCAATTTTTCTCCTTTCTCTGAAAATTTTTTTATAGACAAAAAAAAATAATAAAAGGGCATCTATAAATAATTCTGAGAGCCTATTACAGTAGCCAAAATTGTTCCGTGTTTCGTTTCTCGAAAAAAAAATTTTTTTTCTGCAATCCTATAATTATTTAACCTTACCCTATTGTCTCGATGTGCCTTGCTCTTTTTTTTTTTGAAAAAAAAAGGAAAATTTTTGCTCCGAGAGCTCTAGAAGCGAAAAATATTGTTTTTTCTTTTTTATAGATTTTTTTTTTGCTTTGCCTATGAAATTTTTATTTGGGTCGGTGCATAATTTGGTATTTGTCTCTATGACTTTTCTCTTTTTCGCTTTCTCTTCTTTTTTTTTTAGTTTTTTTTCGAACAAAAAGAAAAAAATTTGATACTAGAAATAGCAAGAAATTCGACACGCTTTTAAAAATGCTAAAAGCTTTTTCTGGTTCCTGAAAAAAATTGAAATTCTGTTTTTTTGACGTTTGCTCTTGTGGTGTAGGGGGTAGTGGGTTTGATTAGAGAGTTAGAAGTGCAGGGATCAATTCCTGGTGCCTGCGGTTTTTTTTTCGAAATGAAAATTGGTTGGTGTAGTGGTAACATCACTTGTTGTTGAGTTAGAAACCTGAGTTCGATTCCTAGTGCCCGCAAACTTTTTTTTTGAATTTCTATCTTGCCACGTGGCTTAGTAGGTAGTGGGTTTGATTAGAGAGGAAGAGGTGCGGGGATCGATTCCTTGTGCTCGCGAACTTTTTTTTTGAATTTTTATCTTGCCACGTGGCTTGGTAGGTAGTGGGTTTGATTAGAGAGTAAGAGGTGCGGGGATCGATTCCTAGTGCCTGCGAACTTTTTTTTTTGAATTTCTATCTTGCCACGTGGCTTAGTAGGTAGTGATTTTGACTAGAGAGTTAGAAGCGCAGGTTCGATTCCCGGTGCCTGCAAACATCTTTTTTCCCCCAAGTTTGTATAATGTTTTTAGTTAGCTCAATTTCAATTTCAATTTTCATTTTTTGTATTTTTCTCTGCTCTCTCTCTCAACTTACCCCAACTCATTTCTCAAACTCTAGAACACGTCGTCGCCGTTCTCTCCAAATCAATCGATAAAATCATCAGACGAAAAGAATCTGTTGCAAAATCTGTTTTTGTATCGACCAAAGTCGTCGTCGTCGCCAATTCAAAAAGAACAACAACAACGAGAGCAGACGACGACGACGACGACAAATAAATATTTGATGGTCAAAAATGATAACATGAGCAATGGAAATGCCAAAAATCATAATATTAATAATAATAACAATAATAATCATGTGAAAATTGTTGCTAGCTCGATTGCGATCAAGAAGAGAAGCTTGTATCAGGATTTTGAAGATCGAGGAAGTGAGAGGATCTATAGAACTTCTTTAATGAATGTGACTTTGGAAAAAGTCACCGCTGTTGAGGAACCAAGCATTGTTCGAAGTATTTCCTATGCGTTACCCACAGAAAATTCACCGGGAAGATATCGAACATCGATGAAACCATCGACATCTCAAACTCCACCTCTAGCCCCCACAACATCACAGCAACAAGCTGAAGCAAATCCTCCGAAATCGGATTCTTGTGATCCGGTTAAGCAACTTCTCACCTTCTCCAAGTCATTTAAGAAAGTTCGACGGGTTCGATCAGCAATGCCAAGGCGAAGAAAACGGAAACGAGTGAAATTGAAAATCGCAAAATCGTGTCCGAATTTGTGGAACATCGAGAAGACGCCGATGATTCAGCGATCGATGTCGCTCACTTCGAAGGATAAGGAGAAACCGAAGAAGTTGGAGGATTTGCCGCCGCCGCCGCCGAGGAGGAAATTGGTGGCTCAGAGAGCTGAAAGTGATTCGAAGACGACGGGAAGGAAGAGGAATTTGTTGGATGTTTATAAAAATCGAAAGGTTCTGGGAAATTAATGGGGCTTTTAATTAATTAGTGGTGTTCAAAAAAAATCAATAATTCCCAGAAGACGAGTTTCCTTGACAAAAAAAATGAGGTCCAAACTTTTAGGCTAACAAATCTTGCGGGCCTTATTTTCAGGCTTTCAAATTCAGGCTTAACTTTCGGGCCTAAATTTCAGGCTCAAAATTAATATCTAGTTTTTTGAATCTGAAGTTTGAGGCTCAAAATACAGGCTCAAAAATCTTTTAGGCCTAATTTTTTGGAGCTAATCTGGGATCAGCCTAGGCTTTTGCCACGTAAATTCTTCAGGCTGAGAATCAATCAATATTTTGAACGCCTTAAAAATTTTCTGATGAAAAATCAATCAATAATTCGATTCTCAATTCAAGTGAATTTCAAATTCAATCGATAATTTCAGATTGTGTTCAAGATTTATCAGAAATTTTATGAAGTTTTCAAAAAAATTGATTGATCTCTTTAATCCTCCAAGAAAAATCAATAAATTCAAAACCTTAAAAAATCAATCGATAATTCAAATTCAGATAAGACAAAATTTAGGTCTAAAATTAAAATTTGAAAAATCTGAAATTCTACCTTTAACGACTTTCAAGCCTAAAATATGAGCCTGAATTCAAAAAATTGATTGATCTCTGTAATCCCCAAAAAAATCAATAAATTCGAAACCTAATAAAATCAATCAATAATTTTTGATTCCCAGAAATATTTATCAATCAATAAATCAATCGATAATTCGAATTCAGAGAAGACGAGTTTCCCAGGGGCTTTTCAAAAATCAATAATTCTCAAAAGACAAAAAATCATTTTTTAATACCCGTATTAAAATTGAGTCCTAATGATAAGGGGTCAAAATAGCCCCCTCCCCAAATCAATCAATAAATCAATATCCCCCCCATTTTTTTCCAGAGCACAGTCCTCGATGGTAATGGAAGTATGGCTGCAAATGCATTTTATAAATCGATCGATGCGGCACCGAATATGAATGTGGCAAGAACGAAGACGAGTATTCCGCTGGTTTCTGAATTGGTCAGTTTTCTCGAGAATTTTTGATGATTTTTGTAGTACATCCGTTTTTTTTTGATGAGTGACTTTGTAGGGGGATTTTGGGAGGGACATGAATTTAATTTTGAGGTCTTAGGGACCTTAGGAACCTTAACAAGATTTTCAAGAGATTTAGAAACCTTAATTTAATATTAGATATTTCAGGGGATAACTTAGGAACCTTTACGAGCTCCTGAAGAGTTTTAGTAACTTCAGAAAATTTTTTAAGACCTGAATCTAAATACCTAAGGAGCTTAGGAATCTACAGTACTCTTTAAAGGAACACAATCTTATTTTGAATTTCATTTTTCAAAATTTTGAAGCTGAAAATACAGTACTCCTTACAAAGATTTCGAAAATTACTATCTTATTATCAAAGGTACATACAGTAATCCTGAGATCTCCTAGCCCTACAGTCCCTATTTTTCTAGACTAACAAAACTAAAGGAACATACTTTTTCGTTTCGGGACCCTTAGCGTTTTTTCTAACCTACAGTACCCTCTCAGAAATTTAAAGGAACATGTCACTTTCACACACTCCACTCACTCATTTTTCACTTCTCTCATTCTTCTATCACACACACCACTGATTTTATTGATTGATTTTTCAATCTCACTTCCCCTTAGAACATACCGTGTGCGTGTGTGTCTCTGACTTCTCTAAACTCTCTTCTCTCTCTATCACCCAATCAATAATTTATCGATTTCAGGTTTTAAAGGTAAGTATCACATCACTCACCACTTCTTCTTCAAGAATGAAATTTTTTTTTTTTGAAAAAAAAAATTTGATCGGTAAAATATGCTTTTTTTTAATTAACTCGCTTAAGTTTTTTTTACTAACTCTATTTTCAGTTTTTAAAAATTATTTTCAGCATGAAAAATGCTTTTCCAAAAATTTCAAAATTTCTTGGCCCGCTTTTCATTTTGCATGAAAGTTTTCTCTAACAATTTTTAAAAAATGAGTTGGGAAAAATTTACTGTTTCAAAGTTTTTTGATAATTTTTGAGGGGTTTGGGAATTTTATTCATGAGAAGGAATAGATTTTCTGTAACTATGTGACGTGGCAAATTTTTTTCAGAAAGTGTTTTGAATTTTCAGAGAAAATTAGAGTTGTTCTAATTTTTTTTGACGTACACTTCTTAATCTGAAAATTATCAAAATTTAATTTTTGAACAAATTTACTATAAGGTTTTCAGACAAAATTCTGAAATTCGATAAAATTCAAAAATGAATACAATTTCCACGTCACAGCTGGGTTTTAGATGAAAAAATTCATAAATATTTTTTCATGACTTAAAAAAAATTTTTTTGCCACGTCATAACTTATTTTCAGAAAATACTCGTGCAAAAAAAGTTTTTTTAAAAATAAAATATTATAAAAATTTCACATCAAATCCCAAAACTTCTTAAAAAATTCAAAAAAACCCTTGAAACAGTAATTTTTTTCACTTTTCCAAAATATAATCTCTGTTTTTTTTTTGCATGGCATGCTTTTTCAATCAGCCTTTTTTTTAAATTTTCCAGCCAAAATCCGGTCATTTTTATCACACACACACACTGAAATTTATCTGAAATTTTCAGATTTCAAGTTTTTTGAATAATAAATTTTAGCTTGTTGTGTGATAAAAATTGACCTGAAATCTTGCTCTCCTCAAAAATTCCCCCGTTATTTTTCCAGACAATGGCAACAAAAAGAGCACAAGCCGGGCTCGCCAACGCTGCTCGAACAACATTCGCCGACACCGAACTCAAAACTCACGTCTATCGAAAAACCCTTCAAGCTCTAATCTATCCAATTAGTTGTACAACACCTCATGCATTTGCAACAACCAATTTTCAAACTCCAACTTGGTGTTATGAATGTGAAGGTCTTTTGTGGGGATTGGCTCGACAGGGATTGAGATGTACACAGTGTGGTGTGAAGGTTCATGAAAAATGTCGAGAATTATTATCGGCTGATTGTCTTCAAAGAGCTGCTGAGAAATCTTCGAAACATGGAGAAGTCACAGATCGAACACAATCTTTGGTAGCTGTGATCAGAGATCGAATGAAAATTCAGGAAAATAATAAACCCGAGATCTTCGAGATGATTCGAACGGTATTCGATGTTGAAGAAAAAACCCAACAAGAAACATTGAAGCAAGTGAAGACTTCGATTTTGGAGGGAAGTAGCAAATGGAGTGCCAAGATTACGTTGACGGTTCTGTGTGCGCAGGGTTTAATTGCAAAGGATAAGACTGGAAAATCGGATCCGTATGTGACGGCGCAGGTTGGGAAGGTGAAGCGGAGAACGAGGACTATACATCAGGAATTGAATCCGGTTTGGAATGAGAAGTTTTTCTTGTGAGTTGAGGTTTTGGGCGATTTTGTGAATCTAGATTTTGAAATTATTGATTTCAAAAATTGTGGAATTTTTCTTGTTTGCAAATCTTGATTAATCTTCATTAGCAGCTCTCAATAATTGCTAGAAAAATTCATGTTTGTTTTGAAACAGTGAAATTTTTATCTTGAAAATTTGGAGGGTTATCGTCTAAAATATCGCTGCCAAAATATTAATAGAACATTTAAGCAATTTTTGAAACAGTAATTTTTTGAAGAATTTTTTTTGTGGAATTTCAATAATATTGCACGATCAACAAAAGAAGCAGATTCCAGAAAATTAAATTTTTTTAAAGAAAAAAATTGAAACGTATTTTTTTTCGATATTTTTTTACTGTCTCAAAAGCTTTCGAAAATTTATGCATTTTTTGAAACAGTAAATTTTTTTGGACTTTTTTTTACAATTTTTGAAAGTCTGAATAATTATTCGAACTCATGAACTCATGGAACCATCCCAAAACTTCTATTAATAAGTTTATGAAATTTTTGAAACAGTGAGAAAGTCCAATTAATTTTGAATATATGCCCTATGATAAGTTGACAAACAATAGCATCTTCTTTTTCTGAAAACTAATTCATAAAAATTTTGAAACAGTGAAAAATTATGACAACTCCAAATTTTTTGTTGTAATTTTCAGATTTCATCATTCAAAATATCCAAAATTAAATTTATTGAAATTTTGAAACAGTGAAAAAATTCGCTGTATTGTTGATTTTCCAGTTTCAAAATTGGTGCGAAATTTGTTATTTAATTTTTGAAACCGTAAATTTTTCGAGAAAATTTGAAATTTCGAATTTCACAAAATTATTCGAACTTTTTTTAATATTAACATCCGATTAACCTGATCACAATACCACCCAAATTTACAAAAACCTTGAAACAGCAATTTTTTTGCAGTGAATGTCACAATTCAACGGATCGAATAAAAGTGCGTGTTTGGGACGAGGACAACGATCTCAAATCAAAACTTCGCCAAAAACTCACTCGAGAATCCGACGATTTTTTGGGTCAAACAGTCATCGAAGTTCGAACATTGAGCGGTGAAATGGATGTTTGGTATAATCTCGAAAAACGAACCGACAAATCAGCGGTTTCCGGTGCAATTCGACTTCATATTAGTGTGGAGATCAAAGGAGAGGAGAAATTGGCACCGTATCATGTACAGTATACTTGTCTTCACGAGCATTTGTTTAGTGTTCATTGTGTTGATGATGAAGTCAAGTTGCCGGATGTTAGAGGAGAGGATTCGTGGAAGATTTGTTTTCAAGATACTGGACAGGAAATTGCTGATGAATTTGCGATGAGATATGGAATTGAGGCGATTTATCAGGTTGGTAGCGGGATTTAGATAGAATATTCCACGTGGCAAAAGCCTTGGAAGTTAGAGACACATAGGGATATACACTCGAGCGGTGATAGCTAGAGAGCACAGAATTGTTAGGGACGCAGAAAACCTAGACAGCTAGAGATTCCAGGATTGTTAGAGACGCAGAAAACCTAGACAGCTAGAGATTCTAGGATTGTTAGAGACGCAGAGGGATATACATACACTAGCGCGGTGATAGCTAGAGAGCACAGGATTGTTAGAGACGCAGAAAACCTAGACAGTTAAAGATTCTAGGATTGTTAGAGACGCAGAAGAAAACCTAGACAGCTAGAGATTCTAGGATTGTTAGAGATGCAGAAAACCTAGACAGCTAGAGAGTACCGGATTGTTAGAGACACAGAGGAATATACACCAGCGCGGTGATAGCTAGAGAGCACAGGATTGTTAGAGACGCAGAACACCTAGACAGCTAGAGATTCTAGGATTGTTAGAGACGCAGAGGCATATACACCAGCGCGGTGATAGCTAGAGAGCACAGAATTGTTAGAGACACAGAACACCTAGACAGCTAGAGATTCTAGGATTGTTAGAGACGCAGAAAACCTAGACAGCTAGAGATTCTAGGATTGTGAGAGACGCAGAAAAGCTAGACAGCTAGAGATTCTAGGATTGTGAGAGACGCAGAAAAGCTAGACAGCTAGAGATTCTAGGATTGTTAGAGACGCAGAAAACCTCGACAGCTAGAGATTCTAGGATTGTGAGAGACGCAGAAAACCTTGACAGCTAGAGATTCTAGGATTGTGAGAGACGCAGAAAACCTAGACAGCTAGAGATTCTAGGATTGTTAGAGACGCAGAAAAGCTAGACAGCTAGAGATTCTAGGATTGTTAGAGACGCAGAACACCTAGACAGCTAGAGATTTTAGGATTGTTAGAGACACAGAGGGATATACATACACTAGCGCGGTGATAGCTAGAGAGAACATGATTGTTAGAGACGCAGAAAACCTAGACAGCTAGAGATTCTAGGATTGTTAGAGACGCAGAAAAACCAGACAGCTAGAGATTCTAGGATTGTTAGAGACGCAGAGGGAATTACACTCGCTCCGCTCGAGCCGCTACGCGGAAGCTTGCGGAAAATTTGAATTTTTGAAAATCGAGTATTTACGAGCAACCATTTTTTGAAATGTTCATGAATGTAAATTATCAAAAAATCCCAGAACCCAAAAAATTAAATTGAATTTTTGAAACAGTGAAAAAATTTCCTGAAAAATGTAGGTTTCAAAATTTTTATACTTGGGAATTTTCGGAATTGGTTCCTGAGTAAAAAAAAATTTTGGCGCCAAAAATCCACGTAACAAAATTGTTTTTCTTTTTTTTTTTTTAATTTTTGAAATTCTTACAATGAAAATTTGGGAATTTTCGGAATTAGTTCTTGAATTTTCGCGCCAAAAATCCACGTTACAATATTTTTTTCTGAATTTTCAATTTTTGAAATGCTTAGAAATTTACATGATTTTTTTTTCAATATATGAATGTAAATTATCAAAAAATCCCAGAACCCAAAAAATTAAATTGAATTTTTGAAACAGTGAAAAAATTTCCTGAAAAAAAACCTACAGGTTTCAAAATTATTTTTTATGAAAATTTGCGAATTTTCGGAATTGGTTCTTGAGTTTTAAAAAATTTTCAATAAAAATTTGGCGCCAAAAATCCACGTAAAAATATTTTTTTCAGGCCATGACACACTTCGCATGTCTTTGCACAAAATACATGTGTGCCGGTGTTCCAGCTGTTCTCTCAACTCTTCTCGCCAATATTAATGCGTGAGTTTTTTTTTGTCTGAAATTTGAAACTTTCTGGGAAAATTTTCAACTCAAAGAACCAGGTCATTTTATTTTCTTTCGAGAAAATATTATTTTCCTAGTATTTTTCTTAAAACTATAAAACATACTAACAAAAAAGCGAAAAAAATGCCACAAAATCCGTTGAACAAACAAGAAAAGTATTAAAAATAGATGAATAATTTATATTTGGTCGCTCCATTTTGCAGATACTACGCACATACAACAGCAACTTCTGCTGTTTCAGCACCTGATCGATTTGCGGCCTCGAATTTTGGAAAAGAACGATTTGTGAAGCTGTTGGATCAATTGCATAATAGCTTGAGAATTGATTTATCAATGTATCGGGTTGGTTTTTTGAAGGGGAGGCGAAGAGAAGCTAGACGATTAGAGATGATAAGATTGTTAGAGACGCAGAGGGATATACATTTGCTCCGCTTGAGCCGCTTACGCGGAATTTCCCGGGGGCTTCGCGCAAGATAGCTAGAGAAAATAGGTTTGTTAGAGACGCAGAGGTTCTAGGTAGCTCTAGACGATTAGAGAGCACACGATTTTGAGAGACGCAGAAAAACAAGACGATCAGAGAACGTAAGAGTGCTAGGCAGCTAGAGTTTCTAGGCTAGTTGGAGACGCAGAGGGATATACACTCGCTCCGCTCGGCGCTTCGCGCAAGATAGCTAGAGAGCACAGGAATTCTAGAGAAGCTAGACAGCGAGAGACATTTTTCAAGCTTTATTAGTATTGTTGAGCTAATTTTGAAACAGTAGAATTTTTAATAGTCAAGATACAACGTCGAACGTTTCTCACAGATCAATCAATTTTTTGGAATATTTTTGAAACGTAAAAATTCCGATTTTTTAATGACATTTTGGTTATTATTGCACAGCATTTTTCCAAGCTAGCGATTTTTTCTTGAGATAATTTTGAAACAGTAAAATATTTTTGAGAAATTTTTTAGAGATCATTGTTTGAAATTCACAATTTTCCAAAGATAAATTAATTTTCATGACCTGATTTTGAAACAGTGAAAAATTTAGTGTTAAAAAATTTTTCTTCCGATTTTCGTACTGAACCGTATTTGAAAAAATATGTTTTAATCATTTTTTTATTTGAAACTTCCCATCAAATAATCAAGTTTTCAAAATTACATGTAAATTTTCATGATAATTTTGAAACAGTGAAATTTGTTGAGGAGGACTGTCAAACGTTTTTCACACATTAATTTATTTTTTGGGATAATTTTGAAACGTAAGAAATCATGGTTTTTTAATGTAATTATAAACGTTTTTATAAATCAGGGATTTCCTTTTGAAAATATTTGAAACAGTAAATTTTTGGCATTGAAAATGATGATCAAATTGAAATTTATGAACGATTCAAAAATTTGTGAAAATTTTGAAACGGTTAAATTTTTTTACACCATCCTTTCTACTGCTCAACAGTTCTCGAAGTTTATGAAATTATTTTGAAAATTTTTTGAAACAGTCAAATTTTTTATGAATATTTGAAGATTCGGAAAATAATTTCAATTTCCAAAATTTGATTTTTTATACATTTTATGATTAACTTAACAATTTTGGCTTTTCAAAATATTTTGAAACAGTAAATTTCAATCGGTGCTAGAAGTTCAACTGAATTAAAAACTAAAAATTATTCTGCAGTTTGTAAAAATTTTGAAACAGCAAATTTTTTTCCCCCAAAAAAATTCATATTTTTCATTCTCCCCACGCAAAAGTCCAAAACCAATTTTATTCTTCTTCAAGTCTCAAGAAAAAAATTAATATATGAATATATTAATAATATCTTCTTCATATTTTCTTTTTTTTTTCTCCTAATCGTTTTCATTTTCACACTCCAAAAGAGGATGCTCCTTTTTTCTCTCGGAGCACACGGAAAAAGAGCTCAGTTGCTCGGGCGACGGATCTTTCAGGAGTTTTTTCCCACTTTCTTATATTTATTTGATTATTTTTTATTGAATAGTCACAATATGAGCTCGAAATTTCACCAAACATAAATTTAGATTTTCACCCCACAGTTTCATGTTCCCACAAAGCTCAGCTGGGTAGCCTTTTGCTTTCTAATCTCGTGTCGGGGGTTCGAGCCCGGGTGCGAGCTGACGTGTTTTTCTAATTTTATTTTTAGATTTTCTCATTTCCCAGCTGCAAAAAAACCAATGGTTGCTATAATAAATCCAGGCAGCCCAAAACACATTTCAAATGGGATTAGAATTTTCCTCTTTTCCTTTTCTTCCTCCCAAAAAAAAGCGAAAATGTCAGGGGAAATTCAAAACCTTTTCGGTTCTCTCAATTTACGAAATGAAATAGGTTTTTCTCTTTGTTTCAAGCACTATGTAGACTCTAATTCTTTTTATTTATTCGGTTCAAAATAGATTTTTGAACTTTTCTCGGCAGCAGAAAAATTGATGTTGTCAAAAATGCGCGGAACAGAGCGAAAAAAAAATAAAATAAATGTTTGACACATGGGAAAATGTGTGTGCACTTTTTGCTCTTTTCTAAAAAAAAAAAGTTCCTTTTTTGAGCTCTCACAGCCCTAAAGTGTTTTCATTTTGCAGAATCATTTTCCATCTTCATCACCCGTCAAATTACAAGATCTCAAATCGACCGTCGATCTTTTGACATCAATCACCTTCTTTCGTATGAAAGTGAGTTTTTTCCGGGGATTATTTGATCTCTCTTGTTTTGTTTTTGGTCGTCGGATAATCTTTTGATTCATCTGAAAAGCGCAAAAATCAAATGAAAAGCGTACGGTTTTTCAAAGGCGCATAATTGTTTGTGTATGGGTCTCGAGACGACGCGCGAGACTGTTCGGTTTGAATAAATACTTTTGTTTTTTTTTTTTGCAAAAAAAAAACAATTTCGCGGTTTTTCCTGGGATGTTGAGATGTTTTGGTGAGTTCTGAATTTTGATGTTTTGAGTGGGAGTAGTTATGACGTGGCAGAATGCCAAAAATATCAAATTTCTAGGTAAATTTTGAATTGCAACACTTTTGAACTGAAAATTAAAAGTTTCGATCGAAATAGTTTTGCGCGCTGCAACCGCGACGCACGACGCACCGCCACCAAAAATCGATAACATTTCCAGGTACTCGAATTGGCAAGTCCACCACGAGCATCGAATGTTGTGCGTGAATGTGCCAAAGCGTGTATGCAGCAAACATATCAGTTAATGTTCGAATCGTGCTGTGAACAAGGCGGACCATCCGCCGATTCAGTCCGTTTCTGGTTCGATTTCCTCGATTACATGATGCGAGTCATTGAAGACGATAAACACATCTACACACCAGTTTTGAATCAATTTCCACAAGAATTAAATGTCGGACAATTGTCAGCTGGAACATTGTGGCAAATGTATAAAACCGATTTGCAATTGGCGCTCGAAGAACATGCACAAACCAAGAAATGTACAACTCCAGAATATATGAATCTATATTTCAAAGTGAAAGGATTCTACTTCAAATATGTCGCCGATATGCCACAATACAAACAATCAATTCCAGAATTTCCAGCCTGGTTTATTCCATTTGTTATGGATTGGTTGAATGAAAATGACGAACATTCCATGGATATTCTAAGGAATGCGTATAACCGCGATAAATCTGACAATTTTCCGCAGACATCCGAACATACAAAATTCTCGAATAGTGTTGTTGATGTTTTCACACAATTGAATGAGGCGTTGAAATTGTTGAAACAAATGGATTGCCCGAATCCCGAAGTTGCTGCGGATATGATGAAGAGATTCAGTAAGACATTGAATAAGGTGCTGTTGGCGTATGCGGATATGGTTCAAAAGGATTTCCCCAAATTTGCGCATGATGAACAATTGGCTTGTATTCTTATGAATAATGTACAACAATTGCGGTAAGAAATTTTTTGTTTATTGAAAATTTTGGGCTGGAATTATCAATTTCCAGCATTTCTAACGTTTTCAGCGTGAAATTTGAGTCTAGAAATTTAGATTTAAAAATTAAGGTTTTTTCAAATTATTTAAAAATTAAAAAATTTGGCCTACAGTATTCCTAGGCCTAATACAGTCACCCTAAGTCTCAAAATAATTCCTCTTTAGAATTTCCAACGTTTTTAGCGTGAAATTTGAGTCTAGAAATTTGGGTTACAGTAATTCTAGTTTTAATTTTTTTTAAAAACATCTTTAAAAATTTAAAAATTTGATCTACAGTATTCCTAGGCCTAATACAGTAACCCTAGGTTTCAAAATATTTAGAAATTGGCACGAAGACCTACAGTAACCCCAGCTTTATTTAGTCTCAAAATTCCAGTTTAAAAAACACTGAATTTTTCCCGGCAAAATTTAAAATGTTGAAATTTGCCCTACAGTAACCCTAGGTCTCAAAATAATTGCTCAATTTTTTTAAAATTTGCGCAATGACCTACAGTAACCCCAGCCTTATTGGGTCTCAAAAGACTCCAAATTTTCGCGCCCGAATTTCAAAAAATTCTCCAATTTTCCAAAATTTAAAAATTTGGCCTACAGTATTCCTAGGCCAAATACAGTAACCCTAGGTTTCAAAATAATAGCCCAAGAAAATTTAGAAATTTGCGCAAAGACCTACAGTAACCCCAGCCTTATTCGGTCTCAAAAGTCCAGTTTAAAAAGCACTGAATTTTTACCGGCAAAATTTAAAATATTTAAAAATGTTAAAATTTGCCCTACATACAGTACAACAAGGTCTCAAAATAATGAAAAAAAATTGGCACGAAACCTACAGTAATCCAGATCATATTTGGTATCAAAATACTCCAATTTTCCAGTGTCCAACTCGAAAAAATCTACGAAAACATGGGCGGCGACGCATTGGACGGAACAGCCAGTCAAGTTCTCACAAATCTCCAAAAGAAGCTCAACTCGGTTCTCGACAAACTCTCCGGTCAATTTGTAACAACTCTCGAACCGCACATTCACGAGCAAACTATGAAATTGGGAGTTTTGCTAACCAAAATCAAAGGACCACAATTGCAAAAAACACAAGTTCAACCAGAAGCTGACGCAGTTCTCGAACCACTTATGGATCTGTTAGAAGGTTCGCTGCGAAGATATGCGGATCAATGTGAAAAAACTGTGCTGAAATACATATTGAAAGAATTGTGGAGGATAACAATTGTGTCAATGGAAAAACGGGTTGTTCTACCGCCATTGTCTGAAAAAGCGTTGCTCAAACAATTGCCGAATGCGAAAATTCAGGATGTTACCAAATTAATGAGTACAAATATTCAGAATATTAAAGGAATGAGTTCAGTTAAAGATATGATGGATATGGCGAGAGAATGTGAGAAATCTTTGAGCCCTAAACAATGTACAGTATTAGATTGTGCTCTCGATGCAATTAAGGACAGTTTTCACGCATCAGGAAAAGGACTCAAAAAATCGTTTTTCGAAAAATCGCCCGAATTACAATCACTCAAATATGCTCTTAGTTTGTACACTCAAACCACCGAACAACTCATCAAAACATTTATTACCAGCCAAAAACAACAGGATTTACCGAGTCAGGAACAACCTGTTGGTGAAGTTAGTGTACAAGTGGATTTGTTTAGTCATCCTGGGACTGGAGAGCAGAAGGTTACGGTTAAGAGTGAGTTTTTTTTTCGCAATTTTCTAAGGGGAAGTGATGAGTACAGTAAACATTTTTTTAAAACTTGTCAATTTTTATGAAAATTTCTTGAAACAGTGAAATTTTTCAAAAATGTTTAATTATTTAATTTATATTTTTTGTTGCCACGTGGCAAAATTTTATTCAGAATTTTGATTGCCACGCGGATTTTTAAATATAATATTCCAAAAAATATTATTTTTCGAAATTTCGGAATTTACAAAAGATTTCATTGAAACAGTTGAATTTTTCAAAAAATCTGAAATTTAGATCAAAATTGAGTGTTTATAAAATCGAAAATTTTAGCGCCAAAATCCACGTGAAAAATCTGAAAATTCGATTTCCAAAAATTGAAAAAAGTTTCATTATAAAAATTTTGTACCCAATAAAGGTCCCTAAAATAATAAATCTGATTTTTTTTTCCAAAATCATGATTTCGAATTTTTCACTGTTTCAAAAATATTTCAAAGAAAAATTCAATATTCAAATTTTGTTCAGTTAACGTTTTCGGTAAAAACTTTGAAATTTTAGAAAAATTCACTGTTTCAAAAATTTGCCATTTTTTTGGAGAAAAAAATGGGCTAGTACCAAGTCAATCAATATTCTGGAAATTTCAGAAAAATAGTTTTTTTCAACCTGAAGAATATACGATTCTTGAGAAAAAATCTGAAATTTTCAGCCAAAAATATTAGATTTGAAAAATAATTTAGAAATAAATAACCTTTTTTTTCAAATAAAAAATAACCGGCAGCTCAATTTTGGGTCCTGAATTCATTTTTTTCAAATTTCCCAGCCAAAAACCTTCCACCACCCCTATAAACCATCTGAAACCTCCCAAATTTTCAGTCCTTGCCGCAAATGATCTCCGCTGGCAAACATCTTCCGCATTCAAACCATTCGTCGAAGTTCATCTCGTTGGTCCACATTTGTCAGACAAAAAGCGAAAAATGGCGACGAAAAGCAAAACTGGAAATTGGGCTCCGAAATTCAATGAAACTTTCCATTTGTGAGTTTTTTTCTGGGGTTTTTTGTTAGGGAAGATGATTGCAATAGATAAATTAATTTAGAAAAATTGATATGGTATTTTTGAAACGTATTTTTCACGGTGCAAAAGTGGAGTGTCGTAATTTTTTTTTCCAAGAAAAAAGTAGCTGAATAAAAGTTGCCAAAAATTTTCTAGTTTTCAAAATTCCACGTGTTTTTCTGAAAATCGAAAAAGAGTTAATATTTTTCATACAAAAAAATCACTGTTTCAAAATTATATGAGTTTATTTTCAAACAAATTTCGCGTTTTTTCTATCCCTCCATAAAAAATGAGTTATGACGTGGCAAAATTCAATTTTTCTAACTCATGAATTCAAAATCCACCTTTTTACAGCTTCCTCGGAAATGAAGGTGAACCCGAACACTACGAGCTCATGTTCCAAGTCAAAGATTATTGTTTCGCCCGCGAAGATCGAATTGTCGGAGTTGGTGTTTTGCAATTGGCGAATGTTGTTGATCAAGCTGGTTCTTGTGCAATGTGGGTTCAATTGGGAACTCGTCTACATATTGATGAAACTGGTTTGATTCTGTTGAGAATTTTGTCGCAAAGGCAAACTGATGAGGTGAGCGATTTTTTGGGGATTCTGATTGTGATAAAAAATTTGGAAAATTCAATTTTTGTACTTTTTTTGAGGTGTTCAAATTTTGAAACAGTAAAAAATTTTTTTCGGAAATTTTGAACATTTGAAAATTGTTGTTGTTTCCTTTCCAAATATTTACAATTTTGAAACTGAACATTTTACACAACAAAAATTTACCCGAAAAAAATAGGTTTCAAAATTTTCTGAAAATTTGCCAATTCGATTGAAAATTTAATTAAAGGATAAAAGTCTTTCTTACAAAAATGGCGCCAAAAACGTGGAGTAGTTGAAACTGAAAACTTTCCTCGTCAAAATCCACGTGGAAATTTGAAACTTAAATAATTTTGGCACATTTGTTGTTCAAAATTGAATTTTTTTCAGGTTGCCAAAGATTTTGTGCGTCTAAAAACGGAATGTCGACACGAAACTGAAACTGTGATGGCCGCATCTGCGAGTAGTCAAAATATTGCCAGATAACTCTAAATCCCCCCAAAAAATTCAAATTTATCATCATTTTCACCGGTTCCTCTTTTTCCCCTTATTTTTCGAAACCTCTAGTGCCCTTCCTTCCTTTTTTCTCATAATTTTCAAATTTAAGCAATAATTTTTAATTTCAATTAATTATCCCCTAATTAATTTGTGTCTAGCCCCTAGAATTCTCAATTTTTCCTTCCAAAACTTTCTTTTCCTTCTCTCAAAAATGATGGGTTCCAATGTTTGTCAAGACCAAAATCACACACATTTTTTCTCACGAGAAAAAATGATAATTTATTTTTCCGATTGCTTTTTCATGTGCCTTTGAAAATCAGATTTTTTTTATTGAATTTTATGAAGATTTTTATATTAAAAGGAGTTTTTGGGTTACAGAAAAAATGCACTGTTTCAAAATTTTTATGTGAAAAAATTTTGATTTTTTGGGTCTGATAGCTCTTAAAATCTAAATTTCAGATTTTTGAGCCAAAAAAATAGGCTCTAGAATAATAATACTATTTTTAATTTTTCAAAAAAATTCACTGTTTCAAAATTTTTATGAAAAAAAATCACAAAAAAAAATAAATGATGAACGAATAAGGCTATAAGGCTATTGCAAATTTTTGAAAATACTTTTTTTTTAAATCCCGTGAAGAAACATCAACTTCACAATTTCTTTCAACAAATCAATGTAGAAATCATCGGAACAAAATTGAAAAATCGCCGATAATATCTTGACTCAGCTTTGAAACAGCAAAATTTTCCGGTCGACAAAATTTTTGGGGGAATTTTCAATACACACATTAATTGTTTCGAATTTTGAAAATTCACTGTTTCAAAATTTCTATGAAAATGTTTTTACAATTCTCGAATAGTAAACTTATTCATTTAAGCAAAAATCGAAATTACAGTACTCAATTTTCAACATTTTCTGAACATAATTTTTATTCAAAAATTTCAAATTCAAGCAAATTTTCATCCAATTCCAGATTTAAATCTGATTTTGTTCCTCAAAAATGTTTTGTGTCTGACAAAAAACCGGAATGAAAATTGAATTTTTGAAATGGGAGATGGAAAATCAAGATATCCCTGATTATTTCCGATGAAAATACAGTTTTCGGAAGCCAAATTAGGAAAAAAAAAGAAAATTTGGAATTTTTTTTGTTGGAAATCTGAAAAATGTTGAAAGCTTAAAATTCCTGGAAAAATCAGATTACTTGAAAAATGTTTGGAATTACTGTCACTTACAGAAATTGTGGATTTCGGGATGAAAAATTATCAAAACTTTGCATCTTCCAAATTTTCACTGTTTCAAAAAATTTATAAATTTTTTACAGTTTTGAAATTTTTGCTGATTTATAGATGTACTCCAAGAAAATTTTATTTTCGAGAAAATTTGGCGTCAAAAATCCACGTGAATTTTTCTCTGAAAATTCGAAAAAAATTACAGGCGCTAAAAATCCACTTGGCAATTTCTAATTCAAAAAATTTGCCAAAACAAATCAGAAGACCCTCAAATTTTCTAATCGCTCCGAAAAATCATTTCAATATTCAAATCCTGAATTTTCACAAAAATTATATCAGATGATCTTTTGAGATACCTTCTGAATTTATATAAAAATTCAAATAAATCCTGTCATTTCTCTTGAATTTCAAATGTATTCTCCACTAGATCTGAATTATAAATTTGCCAGGCAAAAAGCGTCGAATTATAAAGGATTTATATTTATTGCCTTGGTTTTTGCAGTTGTGATATTTATTGGAACTCGAGGGGCTACTTCTGAATTTGAAAATGAAAATGAGAATTCTGAATTTCGAAATCAAAATCCGAGAGCTGAAGTATATGTGAGACCAGTTCTTGAAGTTCAACCTGAAGTTGTGAAGCCTGAAGACAAAGTTGAAGTTCCAGCTTCAACTTCAGAAGCTTCAGAAGCTTCATCTCCAGTTTCAACTTCCAAAGAAAACATCGAATTGACCCCGGTTTTTCGTGGATATACTGGTCCGAGACACGAATTGGATGATGTGGAATGGGAAACTGATTCGAAGGTGAGCAAGAGATCAGGAAAATGTTTTTTCTAAAATTTACGACATCAATGCAAAAGCAAAAGTTAAAAAAAACCTCAAAAATTTATAATTTTTTTGAAACAGTAAATTTTTGGAAAAAAAATTTCATTCATTTTCTTCATTTGAAAACATTTTCATTTATTTTTCTGCATAAATTATTTTCGAAAAAATTTGCGTTTGAAAATAAATAAGTTACGATAACTCCAATTTGTTCAAACCCAAAAATCGAAAGTTTCATCTGATTTTCATCCGCAAGAAATTTTGAAATCCTGTTTCCTATTTTCCGAATTTATTCCAGTGATCTCAAAGTGCGAAAAATCAAGATAATCTCTCTTCCGACTTAGACTAAGTCAGACAATATTTGAAAATCCTGTTTTCAATCTGATTCCTACAGATCTCTTGATCTCCTCACCCCAAATATCTTTTCAGAACGTCAACTCGATCACCAAATCTCTCCACGAAATCTACTACTCGAACCCCAAATGTGATTATCGTTCTGAATCCGAAACCGGCAAAAAAATCGCCAAAACAGCTCTCGAAGGTTTTCAAAAATGTGTCAAGCCAATTTTCGACTCATTTAATGAGGAATATAAAGAGATGTTTGATAATTGGGTGAATTCTTCAAGAAAATGTGACTTTATTGATGAATATAAGGATTTGGATATAAAAGGAATTGCGAATCGAGATGAATTCAAATGGTTGATTTATCCGAAATGTGTGAGTTAGGGAAAACAAAATTTTAAACGACACTTCGTGATGACGACGCGGAGTTTCGTAGTTATTTGACTAGGTAAACTCGGAGTGTCGTAGTTTCAATTTCCAGCAAGAACACAATACCCATGTTACCCTTGGAGTTGGAAATGATATAAAAGCTGAAACTAAACTCAAAAAACATCAACCTTTCACACAATTCTATGGAGTTGACCCAATTATCGATTTTAATTATGAATTAATTACAAATGACCTTAATGGCTCATTTTTCGCATTTGCATTGGCGAATGAAACTAAAATTCAATATTTTCCAGTTCTCCCGAAGCAAGGTAAGAAGATTTCTCCTGGAAACCTATATCTTCAGAGTTTTTTTGCAGGTCACTATGCTAAACAAGCTGTAGCCACTTTGGATGCTGGATATTTCTTTGAACATTTGTTGAAACTCAAAAGAATCGATACACTTTTTCTGGATATTGAGGGAGGTGAACAGTATTTCTTTGATTATTTTTCAAAAGGCGGAAAATTTGATGAAATTGGAATGTCAATTTGTCAATTCAATATTGAATTTCATCCCGGGTACACTAAAAACTACGATCTTGTTTATAAATTCCTGGAGCAAACTATCAAAGACGAGCGGTTTATATTCATGCGACCTGCTCATCATACTCCGGGATTTTTCAAAATGTATTTTTTGAATGTTGAGAATCAGGAATGTATTACAAAGTTCTTATCGGGAAGTGTGAAGTCAAATAATTATTCGAATTGATAACACAAATAAAATTGATGAACTATATTTTGAACACGCAACGCAGACCGCGTTGCGTTAGAAACCAATAGAACATTGAAGATCTTTTGAGAATCCAATTCATTCCGCCTTGATTAGATCTCTTCGGAAAATAAAAATTTTCGAACAAAATAATTAGATCAATTAAAAAAATAAGATTTATTGGTCCTTCAAGAAAAGCGCGTGAGATCAGGCTATAGATTCGAACTCAGCTTTCAAAAATTTATTTTCATGGGGAAAATTTGAAAAACGAAAATTTGAAAAACAATAAATTTATCTTGAGATGTATCTGTGTATTTTTGAGAATAATCTTTCAGAACTTGCCCGAAATTTCCCAAGAAAACCCATGTTTTTCTCATATCTAAGGCGTTTTCGAATCCAATTTAGATGAACTTTCGAGATACCACAATTTCCAATTCAATTAAAAATATCTATATCTATAAATAATGTATAAAATCAACCCAGACATCCACAATTCTTCTATTTAATAACATCAAATGTATTCTCAAACTGACAAAATGAAAGATCGAAAAAAATCATTCGCTAAACTATTAATCTTCATTGCATTTTTGATTGTTGTTTTGATATATTTACAAACTCGAAAACCCGTTGAACCTACTTATTATCCGCATGAACGTTATGGATATAATGGTCCGAAGAGCGATTTAGATGATCTTGAAATCAAATTTGATACGGAGAGAGTGGATGAAATCAGCAATGAGATCCAGAAATTGATAAATTCCACTGAACAATGTGACTTCTCCGATTTCAATTCTGAATCTGAAGGTTCAAGAATCGCAAAATCAGCTATGGATGGATTTCAAAAATGCGTCAGACCAATATTCGATTCATTCAATGGCGATTCTAGGGAACTTTTTGATAATTGGGTGAATTCTACAAGGAAATGTGATTTTATTGATGAATATAGCAATTTGGATATTCTAGGAATCACAAACAGAGATGAGATCAAGTGGCTGATTTATCCGAAATGTGTGAGTTATTTTACGACACTCCACAATGACGGAAGTGTTGTAGTTTCCTACAAATCATAACGTGTAAACGCGGAGTATCGTTGATAGTTCTCAATTTTCCAGCAAGAAGAAAATATTCATGTTACCCTTGGAGTTGGACATGATATCAGAGCTGAAATGAAGCTCAAAAAACATCAACCAAATACAAAATTCTACGGAGTTGATCCAATGATTGATATTAATTATGAATTAATTACTTATGATTTGAATGGCTCATTTTTCGCATTTGCATTGGCGAATGAAACTAAAATTCAATATTTTCCGGTTTTGCCAAAGCTAGGTACGATCTTATGAACATCAGAGATTTTTCTGAAATTAAAATTTTTCAGAAACGTATTCTAAACAAGCTGTAGCCACTTTGGATGTTGGATATTTCTTCGAAAAATTGTTGAAACTTCGGAGAATTGATACACTTTTTTTGGATATTGAAAGTGGGGAAGAATATTTCTTTGATTATTTTTCGAAAGGTGGAAAATTCGATGAAATTGGAATGTCAATTTGCCAATTCAATATTGAATTTCATCCCGGATATACTAAAAACTACGATTTTGTTTATAAATTCCTGGAGCAAACTATCAAAGACAAGCGGTATATATTCTTACGGCCAGCTCATCATGTTCCAGGATTTTTCAAAATGTATTTTTTGAATCTGGAAAACAAGGAATGTGTCAAAAAGTTCATAGGATAATACATTTTTTGTCAAATAGTTTTTATACATAAACACTTTTTGGAAGAGTTCTGTGTTTTTCTTGTTTTTTTGTAAGTTTCAGTCATGATTTTTATTAAAAATCGATAAAAACTTACATTTCCACAAATAATCTCATTGCAAAATTTGATGCCGTTTTCTTCATTCGTTTGAGAACTGAATTCGCCACATTTTTTCTTTGAAAATCTGAAAAAAAAAACACGTTTTTTGCAGGTCACGTGAGAAAATAATTGAGAATCAATGAAACAACTTCATTTTCTAAAAGTTTCAGCTATCCAGGCCTTTTGTAAAACTCAAAAATCACAGAGAAACTGGAAAAAAAGCTGAAAAAAAATGATTTAAAAAAAAACAACGCATGTCATACGGTCTACAGAATTGTGTGCACTTGTGCGTCGCCGTGTTTGCGGAAAGCTGTGTACTTCTTTTGAAAATATGATTTCTCTTTTTTTTCCCGGAAAGTTCCTCCGATTTTCCTTGTTTTTCAATGTTTTCTTCCAGATTTTTCTCAAATGGATGACTCAATTCAACAGGAAATATGCAAAACCTCCCAAAAACCAGGTAAAATTCAAAAATTTACCTAGAAAAATCGATTTTTTCCAGGATTACCACCAAGAAAAGGATTTGAGTGTGTTGGTCTAAATCTTGTAGCGGATTTATACAAAAGAGGAGCATTTGACAATATTTCATCGGCAATTAGTGCGAAGAAGCGAAAAGTTGAGAATTCTGAGGAAAATGTGTGCAAATTGGTGAAAATGAACGCGGAAGCTTGGGAAAATCGAAGAAAATTTGAATCACGTGTTGCAGACGGAATTTCAAAGCCGCGTGAGAAGAAAAATAATACAGAAATATCGGAAACTTTGAAAAACGCATATTTACCGAGCGAAATTTGGGAAAATGAGGAAACTTGCGAACAATTCTCAAAAAATCCTATAATTCACAAGGGAAATATCGATTTTCAACAAAATTTGGAGATTCCTGAAGTTTATCAAGTTTGTGAGGAGAAAATTGAGCCCAAAACTTGCACATTTTTGTGGTCAAAAGCTGAGGAAGAAGACAATTTTAAGAAATTCCCAGAAATTCCTTTAATTCACAATGAAATTATGGATTTTCCAAAAACTTCAGAGGTTTCTGAAGTTTATCGAATCGAAGGTTAGGAGTTTTTCTAGTTATTTTTTATCTGAAAATTAAATTTTGTCTAGTTTCAGAGCCCCGCGAACCTTGCACATTTTTGAGAACGAAATCTGAAGAAGAGGAAACTTTTGATAAATTCCCAGAAGTTCCTGTAACTTATGAAGAATCTTCAATGGTCCCAGAAGTTATGCGAACTCAAAAGAAAACAGAAGTTCCACACAAAAAACCAAAATCAGACCTTCCGATGGAAAAATGGCTTTGCAAACCGTATTTTTTCTTCAACAAAAAACCGGAAAAGAAAAAAGTTGTGAAGATTTTGCCGAAAATCGAGAAAATTGTGCCGAAAAAGGTGGAAGTTATCAATTTGCGCAAATTTCTCCCTGAATATAATAGGAACTTGTAGAAATGTGTATAAATACTTTTATTTTTGAATGTAATTTGTTATGTTTTATCAGCTTGATTCAGTTTTTCAAATGAAAATTGACAGTTTTTTGGAGTTTTTTTTTGTGCGAAAATCTGTTGATAATTTGATACAGTCGATATTTTGAAGCTTTATAATCAGCGAATTTGTATTTTGCAGGTGATGGATCTCGATCTTGAAAAACTGTCAATTTCAGAAGAAAGTTCTGAAAAGGTATGTGGTATTCAATAAAATTAAATTGAAAATTTTAAATTTCTTTTTTTTCAGGGATGGATTAAAATTGATATGATGGATGAAAAATCAAAGTGTAGTTTTGCAATTTGTTCGAAAAAATGTGTGGAAGAAATTGGAATGAATAGAAATTCAATCGAAAAGCTAATAATTATAAATCGTAATATGACAGTGTATTTTCATATGACATCAAAAGATATTTCAAGAAACATATGCTTCTTTGATAATTTTTTGACTGGAAAAGTTCAAATCAAATGCGAAGATCACAATTCACATCGTATAATTTGGAAAAAAGAAGAAATTGGTGGATATTTTAATGTTGTTCTCAAATATCTCGATTACATTTTGAAAAGTGGAGCTGAAAGTTTGAAAGAATTACAAATTGGTGAAGTAAGTTTTGCATTTTTATTGTTAGTAAAAAGCAAATATTCAAGTTACATATTTTTCAGCAATACTTTAATATCAATGAAAATCATTTGAAATTCAAAAATTTGAAAAAATTGAAGAAAATTTGTTTATTTGTGGATTTTAATTTCAAATCATTTGATTTTGAACAATTTTGTGGATATACAAATGTTCACTTAAGATGCCCATATTTATCAATGGATCAATTATTTCAAATCAAAGCTAAAGATGTTGCTATTTATGGTTTGACATGGACATTAGCATATATCAACAGATTTTTGAAAAGGTGTATTGATGGAGAAATTGATGAAAATGTTGAATATATAACATTGGGATTTGATGTGTTCATTGAATTTATGGTTTTCATGGATTTGAATTATTTCGCGAGAATTGATAGGTATGTTTTGTTATATTGTCATTCCAGAAATAAAAGAACCCCCGTTTGAATTGGCGCTCACGTACAGTAGACTAAAAATGACGTGACACATGCATATCAAACTGGTTGGCAAATAGCCAACGTGTAAATTTCGCATTTTATTTTCCAAATAGACTCCAAAATTTCGCGAAGTCTACTGTAGTATTGGTTTCCTAGGCCATGTCGGTTCTCTTCCAAGGTTCTTTTTTTTTTCGGAAGGACAATACCTTATTGTGATCTATTATCGAAAATTCAATCGGTACCACGCGCTCTACCGCACACACGCCCGCGAAAAAAAATTGTTTGAACGTGATTTTTTTTTAATTTTTCGCGTTTCGTCTATTCAAGGCAATCGCTGATGTTTCTATGTTTTCCATACAGAATTGGAGCTCCTGTAATATGTCTATAAGTGTTCATGCTGAAATTCAGCTTTATCCTAGTTTTTAGCAGGTTGAAAAATTAACGATTCAAATTCCCTCCCTTTTTTGTGCGTGTTGTGATGCGGCGCGGTCTGCGTTGCGTGTTTATTTCGGTGGAGCGCAAGGTACCGATGAGTTTTTCGATAATAGAACTTTTTAAATTTTTATTGTCGCAATTCGAAACAAAAATATTTTAATTTTAATTCCAGAGGTTCTCAAATCGAATATCTTTTCGAATATAAACATCAATCGGATTGGTATCTTTTTGTCGCCATTGTTAAAAGTGCTCACCAAAATAAACTACATATTTTCACACGAGCAACCAAAGAAATGCCAAATGACAGTGAATATGAGATTTTTCCGTCACCTTGATTTTTTGAATAAAAATTCACAGTTTTTTGGAATTTTTTTTGTGAAAAAATCTGTTGAAATTTTGAAACAGTAGATATTTTTCTAGGGTTTTTTTCCGAAAAATCGGACCTCCGGGAAATCTACGATGCTCCGCCTTTACACCTTGAAAATTATTGATTGTCTGGAAATTCCAAGGTGTAAACGCGGAGTGTTGTTGTTCCTTATGTATTTTTTTCTCACAAAAAAAGAAATTAGAGCAACATTTTTCACGTGACCTAATTTTCAAAAAATTAATCCACGTCTTTTGCTCCCCAAAAATCTGGTCATTTTTAAAAATTCGAAAAAATGAATCAAATATTTCTAAAAATAATATTGATAACAATTCTATCAAAAATCTATCGAAATGCAAATTCTCTAAATCTATCCGGAATTCGAATATCATCCGATAAATATCAGGAATATCAGCGAAATCAAGGATTTTCAGTGGAGATTTTTGGCAAAAATCTGCCCGAAACTGGCTATTTTTTCACGAATGCGGATCGATGTGAAGATTGGCGGAAAAATGGGGAGATTTTGGAAGTTTCGACAATTGAAATTGGAAAAGTTGAGAGTTTCGGGAAAGTGGCCAATTTTGAAATGAAAAATGGATTGCCTTTTGATGATTTTACACGGTTTTATCGATTGTGCTCGAATCAGACGAAAAATATTGATTTGAAGGTTGGTTTTTCATGGGAGGGTTGACATTTTTGGAAAAAAAAACAATGAAAATTGAAATTTTCATTTTTTTTCGACACAAAAAATGAAAATATAAATTCTCTCTAAATATGATTTCTATGACTAATATGAGCAACATCTGTCTTAACAATATTTGAGCAAAACAAACTTCGCACAAAATTTCGATATTCTCTAACTGTTCCAATCATAACAATACAATTAATACTTGAATGACAACTGAATAATAACTCATTGAAAAATATGAAATTCTGATTTGAAAGTCCATAAACAGAGTGAATAAAGAAACCAAAAACTGGGATAATCATAATTGAACACGTGGCAGTCTGCGCAAATAAATTATGAATTGCATTTTGATGTGATTGCTTATGAGAATCTGATATAGTTCCGATAACTCGCCAAAATGTTTGTAACATATGATAACTTAGAATAATAATTATTGACACTCCAAAAGGCGCTGCCAATGCTAAATAACCAAATGAATATATATTCAATTGACTATCCTCGAAATATAATAAAGTTTCGATTTTTTCGAATTTCGAATATAATACACTCGCATATTTTTGTTGGATAAATTCTAGGGATTTTTCGCGAGACATTTCTTTGGAGAAAAAAATTAGAAGAACACTTGCACCAAATATTATTCCGATAGATTTGAGAGCGAGTTTTTGGGCGGGTTTTAGGAGGAATTTTGAGTGAGTTGCGAGATGCATTATTGCTTGATGTTTTTCGAGAAATTGATAGAAGATTATATTGATTTGAATTAGGACCAAAAGTGATAAGATGATCTGTAAAAAATTCAGATTTTTCTGAATTCCATGGGATTTTTTGACACTAAAAATCCCACTTTTTCAAAAATTTCAAAAATAAACTTTTTTGACATTTACTGATTTTCTGAAGGACAAAGATCTGAACTGAACATAATTTTTTATCTTTTTGGAACATTTTGCCACGTGGATTTTTTGGCGAAAAAATTGTTAAATTTCCAAATTTCCACTAACCATCGATTGAAAAGACGTTATCCCAAAAAGTTTCCAAAAATAACCATCAGTTGTAATAACTACCCAAATTGGTAGAGTTAGCACAAATTGACAACCAAGTGTAAAACTAATATCAACGAAAATTGAGCAAATCAGAAATGCCAATAAATAATATCTATAATTGGATATTTTTGAACTTTTATTAATTATTAAATATATTCCGAAGGAATTGATAATTAATGAGATAATTGAAATTATGTGGTAGGAAACTAGAACCCATTTTGGATTTTCATAGATTATATCGTCTAAACTCATTTAGTCCAATAATTTCTGAAAATTGAAGAAATAAATGATCGAATGCTTTTCAGCTGTAATTTTCAGAAAATGTACTTTGTGTGTCAACTAGAAAAGTAAAAAAAACAGGTGAAAAATCTACTGTTTCAATATTATGAATTATTTCAGAATTCTGGAATTTGAAATTCTGAGATATGAAATTACCCCGAAAGAAAATCCCACTGTTTCAAAAAATTCCTAGAAATCAAGAAAATATTAAAAAAAATAAACAATATCTATGAATTATTTGGACCACATAATTTTTTAAACGATAAATCTACTGTTTCAAAAATCACAGGAATATCGGGTTTTGATATCTAAAACAGTAGTTTTATTTTACAGATGAAAAAAGTTTTATAAAAAATTTTTTTCAAATTTTTTATGAATAAAAAATAACTGACTGTCGAGTTTTGAAATTCTAAATAGTAAAAAGTTGTTCTGAAAACAATTTACTGTTTCAAAATTATCATCAACTATTTTATAATTCTGCGGTTTCATTTATGAAAGTAAATCATGCAAACTGAATTCAAAAAAATCTCACTGTTTCAAGAAATACATGAGGATCAAGAAAAAAAACAGATTTTTGATAGGTTATTTTTGTAAAAAGATATAACAATTTTTTTTTGAAAGATTTGATCCACGTAATTTGTTTAAAAAAAACATTCCCTGTTTCAAAACTCACATCAATGTCGAATTTTAAATGTAAAAATTATTATCAATATACATACAGGTAAAAACATTTTATAAAAATTTACTGTTTCAAATTTTTGATGAATAAAAAATAACTGATTGTTTTTCAATGTTTCATGCATATTTACTACAAATATAATATTAAACAGCCTAAAATTTCCACTGTTTCAAAAGTCATAGGAATATCGAGTTTTGAAATTCTAAAACAGTAACATTAAAAAAATTTTAAGTTAAAAAATTTCAAAAAAAAAAAATCTACTATTTGAAAAATATCATGATTAGTTTTTCAATTTTGCGATTCCAGTTATTACATATTAAAAATAGTGCATACAGAATTTCAAAAAATCCCACTGTTTCAAAAAATACATGAAAATAAAGAAGAACAATTCAGATGTTTTATCTCTTGAAAAAATGGTAAAAAAATAGTTTTAAAGTTTTTCGAATTCGTTCGCGAACATGTTTTGAACAAAAATTAACTGTTTCAAAAATATAATTAACAAAAGTTTATATTTCTTTTTTAATCGGTGACTGTAGCACAAAACTATTTTCAAAAATCTACTGTTTCAAAACCACATGAAAATCAAATGTGATTTTCCAAAACAGTTATTCGTCTTGTTTGACCATTAAAAATCCCCAATATTTTTCCAGCACACCCGAATCTACAACAAAAAAATCGAGAAAAACGACCTGATCCTCATCCGAATAATCCTATGCATTTACTGTATTTTGGTATCAGCCTTCAGTTCAGGAATGACAATTGGATTTATGCGTTTTTCAATTCAAGACCTTCAAAAAATGCTAAATTACAATGAGCCAATCAAAAGTCGTGCTGCTCGAATTCTTCGATTTCGAAAACGATCAAATTGGTTGGTTTGCACATTTTCGCTATGTTCAACAATTCATAGTGTTATTTTCACAACAACAATCGAAAAAATGGTTGAGAGCTCGAAATATCATGAAATATTATCAATTCTAGTGCCAACTTGTATTCTTTTCATTTTTGCCGAGTTTTTACCGCAAGCTGTTTTCAATAGTAAATTTGGATTCGATTTGGCGAGTGGATTATGGCCGATTACTGTATTGATATTTATTATTTGTTCGCCTGTTGCTTGGCCAGCTTCCAAGATTATTGATTTGTTTTTGAAACGAGATGTTAGAGAGGTTATGACAGAAGAGGAAAAATTGAATATTATTAGGAATATGGCCAAAAATACGAATAATACAGAGAGAAGTGAGTTTTTTTTGGGTGGGGTTTTGTGGAAAAATAGAAGTAGATTTTGTATATGAAAATTATGAAACAGTGAATTTTTATATCAAGTTATTTTGTAACAAAAATTAAGAGGTAAACAATTAAGAGAGCCCTTCACTGAAAACATTATTGAAGATTTTTTGAAACAGTGAAAATTTTGAAAAAATTATTTTCAAGTTGTTTTAAAGTTATTTTTGCTTGAAATTGTGTGTCAAAATTTTTAATTCGAATTTTTTGAACCTAAAACTTAAAACACAAATTGATTTTCCAGTAATGAAAAAATGTTTAACATTTTTCTAACCAAAAATCTGAAGTCTTCTAATTTTTGATCCTAAATCGGGATTCTATCGATTTCCCTTTAGTGCACATCAAATTCAAGAGTTTTTTGAAACAGTAGAATTTTTTAAATTCAATTTTTTCCAGTTTTGTTTTGCTGATCTTTTCTGGAATTCCGGGGTTTTTTTCAATAAAATCTTTACTGTTTCAAAAATGGACCATCAATTTTTCTTTATTTTTTTTTCCATAATGTTGGGAAATAAAATGTCATTTCCAATAATTATACATTTTTGAAACAGTGAATTATTTTATTGTTAATTTTTGAGCTGAAGCCTGACATTTTTTGCACTTCATAAAAATTCACTGTTTCAAAAATTTGTTCATGAATTTTGGAGAAAATTGATATTCTGTTAGGTCTTGTGGTGTTTTCTGTCGAATTTAAAAATCAATTTTTTTCTTGCATAGGGTTTTTTGAACCGATAGATTTTTTTGAATTTTTTAGTATAAGGTTAACAATGGCACTATCAAAAAATTTCATAAAATTTTTCAATTTCATAAGTATTTGAAACAGTAAATATTTTTTTGCCACATCTAAATTGTTGAGAAAACCAACATTTTTCAAAACAGTAATTTTTTTGTCAAAATATTAAACTTGAAAGTTGAATAGAAAATCCTAAATTTATGGACTCTATAAAAATGTACTGTTTCAAAAATTTTCCATGATTTGGAAAATGAATGATATTCTGTTGGGAGACGGAGACTGAGGTGGTACAATTTTTGGAAAAAATTCAAAAATTCACTGTTTCACTAATTTTTCAAATCTGGAAAATCTAAACTGCAATGTTTCCAAACATCTTGTATTCTGAATAAAAAATGTCAATTTTCCAGAAATCCTGGAACGCGCCACAACATTTTCCACAAAAACCGTCTTCGATATAATGACTCCAATTGAAAAAGTGTTCCTTTTAACCGCCTCAACTCGTCTAACAAAAACAACAGTTTTAACATTGGTTGAGAAAGGATTTACACGTGTTCCAATTCAAGATGACAAAAATCAAGATAATATATTTGGTGTGTTAAATATTAAAGATCTTATTAATTATGATCTCAAATCATCTCCACAAGTTTCGAAAATATTTGCAAAAATTGACAAGAAAAATGAGATGAATTATGTTAGTTCGGAAATGAAAGTATCCGAATTAATGCAGAAAATGAGACTTGGCGGATTTCATATTGCAACTGTTTTCAAATTTATCGATTTTTCATATAAAATTTGTGGAATCATAACAATTGAGGATATTTTGGAGCAAATATTTGGAGATGTTTCGTCGAAGAAAAAGTATAATATGAGCAATTCGAATAATTCGTATAAGGATTCGATGATTATTAATTGGTGTAGAGAAGCGGCTTCGGATCATCCAAAATATCCCCTCACTTTTTCACAACAACTTTTGGGTGCGTTTTTTGAAGCGGAAAAAAAGTTCCAAAATTTTTATAGATCACAAAAGAACTTGGTTACTGTAGGTTTTGTAGTACTTCGGAAATTTCACATTTAGAGTTCATGATTTTAATGATTTGATTTCATTTAGAGTTTTTGAGCTCCTGGTCCACAAAGAAAATTCAGAACATTTGTAGATCAAAAAATCTTGGGTTACTGTAGGGTTTAGGGTACTGTAAGCTCTCGTTTTCTAAACCAAAATCTAATCCTGATCCCAAACTTTTGAGCTACAGTATTTGAAACCTACAGTAATCCAGTTTTTTTAAATATTAATATTTTTTATTTTAAAAAATCAATGAAAATATTAAAAATCACGAGAAAAGTTGAATTTTTCATGATTTTTTTCAATCAATATTTTTTTTTCTTTACAGTAATCCAAAGTTTATTGGCAGAATGCCCGATTTTTGAGCGATTTGGAATTGAAGTTCTAAAAACAAAACAATTATTGAGAAGTGATCGAATTCGAATTTCGTGCAAAAATGAGGAAATTTTGAAGGAGAAAAATGAAAAAAACGAGGTTTTATTCATAATTTGGGATGGATTAATTGAAGTCAGAAGAAGTGATGATGAAATGCCACAAGAAGTTTTGGGTAGGTAAATTTTTGGGGATTTTGATGGATCTCTAGAGTTCATACCCAAAAAAATGAAGAAAAAAATTCAAAAATTTTTCACTGTTTCAAATTTTAGTGAAATTTATCTTGGAAAATCTGCCTTCAATCAGCCATATTTTATCGCATGAAATTTATGAATTTTCAAAAAAATTTGAAACAGTGAAAAATTTATGAATTTTGCCACGTGGATTTTTGGCTCCAAAATTTCCCAAAATGTTTTTTTCAGTCAAACAAGCTGATGCCACGTGTTCACATTCAAACGAAATTTTTGTGGCCGGAAAAAATGTGTTGAATCAGATTTTGAAGGATTTGAAAATGGTGGAATATCAAAAACCGATTGATGAACGAATTTTGGGGATTACTGTACTCTCGGAAAAATGCTTCTATTTTAAGGTTGGTTCTTTTTTTTGGGGAAAATTTACTGTTTCAAGATTTTGAAGTGTGGATAAATTTAATGGAAAAATTATACTATTTGATAAAACATTGAAACAAATTATGAACACATCCAATCTGAAAATTTGTCTAAAATATATGTGAAAATTTACTGTTTAGAAAAATTTGCTTTGATTACAATTTTTGTCAGAAATTCACTGTTTCAAAAAATTCGTAAAATTTTTCATTTCAAAATAAATCTGTTTTCACAATTTTGATTTCAGCCAAATAGAATATTCAAAAAAATTTTACTGTTTCAAAAATGAAATATAGGAATGTTTTTCAGAAATTTATTGATTCAAGCAACCTCCTTTTATGAAATAGTTTTCCTTTAAAAAATCTACTCTTTCAAAATATTTATATGTCGAAAAAATTGGACTAAAACTCGATACATAAAAAAATGTTGCAGATTCGAAAACAGGAAATAATCGATATTATAAATGAAACCGAAACTTCAATTCTAAAAAGTGATCAAATGCAAAATGTTTCGAAAAAAGATTCATTTTCAAAAGATGTCAATTCGGAATGCTCTTTCTCGTCGTCTTGTGAAGAAAATCAAAAATGTAAGATTTTTTGCCGCGAAAAATCCTAGTTCAAATGTTTTTTTCAGATGAAAAACCAGTTTCAAGTCCAAGTTGTAGTCCAGTTGAAAATGCATCAACAGAATTAGCACAAATTATGGATAAAAATGTGCCAGTTGGTAAGAAAATCTGAAATTTTATACAAAAAAATCTGGATGTTTTTGCAGTTTCCCATCCGCGATCTATGGTTTTGACACTTTTGAAGAAAAATCGAAAAAAAGGATAAGTGAAGTTATTTTTTGAATGAAGAATAAAAGATTTGAATTATTTTAAAAAATTTACTGTTTCAAAAATCTTATAGTAATAATTCTGTCACAAAAATTTTAATAGATGTAAAAAATTACTGTTTCAAAAATATTATTTTAAAAATTTATCAGCAATTCTGCAATATCTATACTTTCAATGTCGATATCAGTCAAAAAATTAAAAAATTTACTGTTTCAAAAATATTATCTCAAGAATTTTATAACGGAAGAAGTGATTATTTTTTGTTATAGTCATTACAATCAAATTACAGAACTTCTAGAAATTTTTCAAAAAATGTAGAAATTTTAGAGAATTTTAAACGTGACCTTTTTCTTCTCAACAAAAATTTACTGTTTCAAAAATATTATTAATTTTGGGACTATTTTGGAGTTTTTATTATTCTTCTTCTTTATTGAAAATTCTAATAAAAATGTCACAGTTTGTCTTTTGAATCGAAATTTGACAGCAAAGAAAATCAAATCCTAAAAATCCACTGTTTCAAAAATCTGCAAATATTTTCAATTGCCCAAAATATTTATTGAAGAAACAACTAAGACTTATAATTGTATAATTGGCCATCCATTTTTGTTTGCACGAATTAATATAACCTTACGACCATCAGGTTTTTGTTGCTCCAAAGTTTGTGGAGAAGTTGAGATAAGTACGAAAAATGAGAGGAGAATCAAGAAGAATACAGTGAACTGCATGGTTTTGAATGAACAAATGAAATTCGGAGATATCTTTAATGATAAGACACTGGTTTCAGTCGGGAATCTGCAGAAAAACAACTTTTTCAGACACTGGTCACACTCGAATTATATTTGATGTAAATATGATAAGAATATAATCTTTGATTGGGTTTCAGTATTTTTTGAAGTGTGGCAAAATGATCTACTTCAAAAATTCATTTTTTTTTTGAAAAAAAAAATCACTGTTTCAAAAATTTATTTTATTTCGCACAATTTTCGGAATGTTTGCTACTGTATTGACCCAACACCAGAAAAACAATCGAATTTTGCTAAATCAATATTTTCTTCAGGTTTCATCTGATTTTTGAGATTAGATCTATTTTGTTCATTTGACAATGCGGGAAATTCAATTATTTATCTATTGAAGATACAAACTCCCTTCAAAATGACATCAAAAAATCAAAACTATAAAAAAAAACAATTATAATAGTTTTATTACCAAATTATCATCCTACAAACTTTCTGACACATTCCTTGTTTTCCAGATTCAGAAAATACATTTTGAAAAATCCAGGAGTATGATGAGCTGGCCGTAAGAATATATACCGCTTGTCTTTTATAGTTTGCTCCAGGAATTTATAAACAAGATCATAATTATGAGTATAACCGGGATGAAATTCAATATTGAATTGACAAATTGACATTCCAATTTCATCAAATTTTCCACCTTTCGAAAAATGATCGAAGAAATATTCTTCCCCACTTTCAATGTCCAGAAAAAGTGTATCAATTCTCCGAAGTTTCAACAATTTCTCAAAGAAATATCCAACATCTACAGTAGCCACAGATTGTTTACCATAATGACCTGCAAAAATGTATATTCATCAAAATTCCGATAAGAAATCTCACCTTCTTTATTCAAAACTGGAAAATATTGTAGTTTGGTCTCGTTTCCTAAAGCATATGGGAAAAATGATCCATTAAGCTCTTTTGTAATTAAATCATAATTAATATCAATCATTGGATCAACTCCGTAGAATTTTGTGTTTGGTTGATGTTTTTTGAGTTTCATTTCAGCTTTAATATCATGTCCAACTCCAAGGGTAACATGAGTGTTTTCTTCTTGCTGGAAAATTGAAAACAATTAACGATACTCCGCATTTACGAGTGGGAAACTACAACACTACGCATTTTCGTCATTGTGGAGTGTCGTAAAATAACTCACACATTTCGGATAAATCAGCCACTTGATTTCATCGTTGTTTGTGATTCCTAGAATATCCAAATTGCTATATTCATCAATATAATCACAAGTTCTTGCAGAATTCACCCAATTATCAAAAAGCTTTCTTGAATCACCATTGAATGAACCGAATATTGGTTTGATGCATTTTTGAAATCCATCCATAGCTGATTTTGCGATTTTTGAACCTTCAGATTCAGAATTGGAATCGGAGAAGTCACATTTTTCAGTGGAATTTATTAATTTCTGGACCTCATTGCTGATCGCATTTACCCGCTGAAATCAAAAGAAATTCGAAGGTTCTGAAAAATATTTTGTCGTAAACCCACTTTTGTATCAAATGACATCTCAAGATCATCTAAATCATTCTTCGGACCATTATATCCATAACGTTCATGAGAAAATTTGACAATTATAGGTTGAAGTGGTTTGGCAAATGCAATATATATCAAAATACAAATTGAAAATCCGATCAATATGGATAATTTATAGGATGTGTTTTTTCGATCATCCTGTAATTTAGAATATGTCATAACTTATATTAAATATGCGATCATTTCGCTTCATTTTATATACATAATTGAACAATTCATTAAGGTATCTTTTATGATGATCAGGATTCGATAACGAGGCAACATTTGAGAAATTCCGATTTTATTGATCTGGATTTTTGAAAATGAAAATATGAAGAAGAAATAGATAGAATACCCGCATTGTCAAATGAATGAAGCAGATCTTATCTCAAAAATTGAAAAGTCCAGTGAGATGTTTATCAAATGAAACCTGGAGAAAATCTAATATTAATTGATTTTGCGAAATTAATTTGGTTTGGTTCAATGGTTTTGGGTAAATATTTGAAAATAAAAAGGTTTTTGAGCGTCAAAATTTGCAAACTTTTTGGAAAACTGTTCTTTGAAACCGTAATTTTTTAAAAATTTTAATGAATTATTTTTGACAATTCAATTTTCAATGTTATGAAACCCATATAGCAAACTTTTTGAAAGTGGAAAAAATAAGTTAAATTTTTGAAACAGTGAATTTATTTTCCGAAAATTTCAGTTGCTCATTAAATATAATTTTCGCGAGTAATTCTTACCTAGCAATTTTTGTGAAAACAAAAAAAATATGAAAAGTTTTTGAAACAGTACATTTTTTTTTTGAAAAATACGAACAGAAATAGTACAAATTATTCAAGCCTGAAAAAAATTTGATAAATTTTTGAAACAGTGAATTTTTAAAATTTGTTCCGAAAATCATATTTTTCTCATAAAACTTCTGAAACAGTGATTTTTTTCCAAAATTTTTAAAGCTTGAAACAGTTCGGATTTTAATTTTCAAGTATAAATCTTGTAAGAGAACTTGCCATTTTCGAACTAACTTTTGAAGATTGGAAAAATATAAAATAAATTTTTGAAACAGTGATTTTTATTTTATTTCTGATTCATCTCAAAAATTATTTGTCTCTAAAAATATGAGAATTTGAAGCCACACCTTTTAAAAAATCCTTCAGAACTTCACCGAAATATTTCCGCTTTTCAAGTATCTTTTCGTGTTTTTCTAATCTCTAAGGCGTTTTCGACCTTAATTCAATTCTAAATCCAATAATCTTTCGAGATACCATCTTCATTGTTATATAAAAAATCATTGTTCTATAAAATGAACTCCCAAAATTCATCGAAACACCTCAAATGTATTCTCAAACTGACAATATGAAAGATCGAAAAAAATTCACTAAACTATATATTTTCATTGCTTTTTCCATCTCCGTTTTGATATATTTCAAATTTTTCAAAAGAGAAAAGCCTATACAAATTATACATGAACTTTATGGATATAATGGTCCGAAGAGTGATTTGGATGATCTTGAAATCACATTTGATACAGAAGTAGGTTCTAAAACATCTGACGTTTATCCAGAACAAAAATATACATTCCAGCGAGTGAAAGAGATCAGCATCGAGGTCCAGAAATCAATAAATTCCTCTCTGAAATGTGACTTCCGTTCCGAATCAGAATTTGGATCAAGAATCGCAAAATCAGTCATGGATGGATTTCAAAGCTGCGTCAAACCAATTTTCGATTCATTCAATGGTGATTCAAGAGAACTGTTTGATGATTGGGTGAATTCTTCGAGGAAATGTGATTTTATTGATGAATATAGCAGTTTGAATATTCGTGGGCTTACGAATAATGATGAAATTAAATGGTTGATTTATCCAAAGTGTGTAAGTAATGTTTGAAAAAACAACAACACTCCACTTTTACACCGTTCACTTCACAAAAAACACTTTGAAAACCCAACCCGGTCCCAAACAAACGATACTCCGCATTTACAAACACCCGTAAACGCGGAGTATAGTTCATAGTTCTCAATTTTCCAGCAAGAAGAAAACACTCATGTTACCCTTGGAGTTGGACATGATATCAGAGCTGAAATGAAGCTTAAGAAACATCAACCAAATACTAAATTCTACGCTGTTGATCCAATGATTGATATTAATTATGAATTAATTACAAACGATCTTAATGGATCATTTTTTGCATTTGCTTTAGCGAACGAGACCAAACTACAGTATTTTCCAGTGTTGGATAAAAAAAGTGAGATTTATTTTTAAAGTTTTATATCTTTGCAATTTTTTTCGTAGATCACTATGGTAAACAAGCTGTAGCAACTTTGGATGTTGGATACTTTTTCGAAAAATTGTTGAAACTTCGGAGAATTGACACACTTTTTTTGGATATTGAAAGTGGGGAAGAATATTTCTTCGATTATTTTGCGAAAGGCGGAAAATTTGATGAAATTGGAATGTCAATTTGTCAATTCAATATCGAATTTCATCCTGGATATACTAAAAACTACAATCTTGTTTATAAATTCTTGGAGCAAACTATCAAAGACAAACGGTATATATTCCTAAGGCCAGCTCACCACTATTCTGGATTTTTCAAGATGTATTTTCTCAATCTGGAAAACAAGGAATGTGTCAGAAAGTTTGTAGGATGATCAATTATTTCGTGTACCAAAAAAACGACTGGATCATTTTTCAAAAATCATTGTAGTAAATGCTTATTTTTTGAAACGTATTTTTCACGTCTTGCTTTCCAAAAATAATATTGTTTTGATAAATCATAAAAAGTTTGGTTCGTGACAGAAAAAGTTTTTTTTTAAATTTTTCGTTGTAAAAAAGAGGAAGGCCAATGAATCATCACAAAAATGTTGTTTGAGAAAATGGCAATTATTTTTGTGTGATTTCGAAACATTGCTATTTTTATTTTATTTTTGCTTCGAGCTACTTTCTTGGGAATTTTTCAGTTTCCTTCAAATATTTTCTATTGGTTAAATTATTGATTAATTAATTCCATCAACTCAATCTTCATCAAAGGAATTTTGTTGCAAAAAGGTGAGCTGAATTTTTTTTTTTTGAGAAAAATCATTCAAATTTAAAAGAAAAATTTTTTCCGGGAGAAAAGGGTTGGAAATTCGGATCGATCCAATTTTTCTAAACTTTTTAAAGTTACGTTTTAAAGTTTTTTTTTTGAAATATTTGAATATTATTTTGATGTTTCAAAGTTTTCTGAGAGCCCTATATTTTTTGACGATTAATTTTGGATTAGATACATTCCTTTTCAGAAACTATATTTCTTCTAACTCTAATTTCAATCCGAGATCTTCTAGGTCTCACTGAACACAGAACTAGATGAAGAGGAGGATCGAGCAGCAGCTCCAGCTTGAGAAGTCGCCCAAGAAAATCACACTTCTGATATTCTGTATTCACAGAAATATCGATAAATTCAAATGGGAGAAACTTGCTTGTACAATTTTTTTCAAAAAAAATTGAAAAGAAATATTCTTCCTCTATTCGAAAGCGCACAAATACTATAGAAACAGCCATGAGCTACCGAATATTTGGAGAAATTGGTGATTTTTCCAAGAAAAAAAAACAATCAACTATTCCGAGAATACCGACTATGGTCGAGTCACCATCGAAACTCCAATCACGAGGAGGAGATAGTTCGAAACACTTCTGATATTCTGTATTCACCGGAATATGTTTATTATGAAGATGGGTTTCTTAGAATAACCGAAATTACGAAAATACTAATTTGCGAGAAACTTTTAAAAACGATTGATGATTCTGGAATGATTGGCATCCAGTTGTTGCATGGCAGATTGACGGAGTACCATTTGCAAAAGCTCTTCAAGATCGGATTCGCAGACATAATCATTCACAACTTCACTTCTGATATTCTGTGTTCACAGATAAATATTTGGAGATGTGGAAAATGTAAGAAATAAGAAAGCACCGAAATGAAATTTTAAAAAAAAATGGAATTTTTAAACGATAGGCTGAACTTTAAAAAAACAACTCAAGGATTCCTGAAAGTCAACGATCGCAGAGAACTAATTGAATTTATCTTAAAATGTTCATCTTGAAATTTTTCTGAATTTTTATTTGTCTAGCTTTTGATGTCTCTGATTTTTTTATTCTCCAAATCATAACATTGTTTTTTTTATTAAAACAATAATAAATGTTTTCTAAACAAGTTCTAATATTTTTATCGATTTCATTAATCGGATTAATCAATGCAAGTTCAATTGCGGATGTGAATATTCCTATGGTGTAAGTAAAAACAACTAATATCATGGATCCACGAATTATACGACCTCGAGTGTTTGCACATTTCTCCGGCTACAGTACATTTGTGCGCGGCAAATTCAAACGCATGAGAATTTTTTTGAAAATTTTTTTCTTTTTTTCTGTTTTTTCATTTCGTGCATGAAATAAGAACGTAAACGAAAAAATGGAGAAAATGACCATTTAGTATATGAAAGAGCATGAAAAGTTCTACAAATCGATATCTGTAAAAGTGAGCAAAACGTGAAAATGGCCGAGACACAAGCGATGAAAGGAAAAACACACACAAACAAGGCGACACACAAGTTTGAATTCAAGATGTGAAATTAGGTTTTTACTCATAGAGGGTCGATTGAGATGTCCAATATAGCATTCGAAAGCAAATTTTATGGCGGAAAATATGTAATGAGTGTTGATTGTCGTTGCGGATTTCAATATTCAATAATGTATGGCCACCTCGAAAAATCACGTATTTTGTCATGGATATGTTTCTTGTCAATAAAAATTCGATAAATCCTGGATAAATATTGCTGAAAATGTTGAAAAAAGTTTTCTCTTTCTATTTCAAGGTATTCATGATTGAAATAACTAAAGAAATCAATCTGAAAATGTCAAAACCTGGAAAAACTATTTAATTTTTAAAGAAAAACTGATTTTTCACCGTTTTTCATTGAAATTTGTTCAACTTTAGAAATTTTTTCAATCATAAAAAATTTCATTGTCAAAAACAGAGAAATATTTCGAGGAAATATACAGAATTTCTTCCAGATTGTCACAAAAGTTTCAGTTAACTTCATTTTTCCATTTGCATATTTCTCTCGCCACTCTCATTTCAGCATTGTCTCTCAGTTCTCAGATTTTGAGCTAATTTCTGGAAAAATATTTGAATGGAAGTAGATTCACAAAGAAAAATAGTTGTATTATCGATAAACATCGCCAAATGAAAATATAAATTGATGATTTAAAAATTTTCCTACTACAAAAAGCCTCAAATTCTATATTTGACATTTTCAGAGCAATTTCTTCAGTTATTTCAATCATGAATACCTCGAAATAGAAAGAGAAAACTTTTTTCAACATTTTCAGCAATATTTATCCAGGATTTATCGAATTTTTATTGACAAGAAACATATCCATGACAAAATACGTGCTTTTTCGAGGTGGCCATACATTATTGAATATTGAAATCCGCAACGACAATCAACACTCATTACATATTTTCCGCCATAAAATTTGCTTTCGAATGCTATATTGGACATCTCAATCGACCCTCTATGAGTAAAAACCTAATTTCACATCTTGAATTCAAACTTGTGTGTCGCCTTGTTTGTGTGTGTTTTTCCTTTCATCGCTTGTGCCTCGGCCATTTTCACGTTTTGCTCACTTTTACAGATATCGATTTGTAGAACTTTTCATGCTCTTTCATATACTAAATGGTCATTTTCTCCATTTTTTCGTTTACGTTCATATTTCATGCACGAAATGAAAAAACAGAAAAAAAGAAAAAAAATTTCAAAAAAATTCTCATGCGTTTGAATTTGCCGCGCACAAATGTACTGTAGCCGGAGAAATGTGCAAACACTCGAGGTCGTATAATTCGTGGATCCATGCACACCCGTTCAAGCCACGCAATGAGTGTTTTCTACTGTAAAACGAAACAAAAAACTGTGCAAACACTTTTGTCTAATTCTCTCTGTTCGCCGTTATATTTCGCACTACAGTATTAAAGGAACATGATAAATTTCATGCGTTGGGTCTTGTCGCGATTGCTAACTTTCTTCGCAGGACCCTAAAAATTACGAAATGCGTAGTCTCACACAGATCTCGATGCGCTGATTCTAATGGTATATTTAGTTTTGCCACTTAGTTAGCTAATTCCTTTGCAAATTGCGGCGCAGTGTGAATAAAAGAAATTTCCAATTTTTTCATTGTTTGAACGGGTGTGCATGATAAGTAAAAACAACTAAATTGTCGAATTTGAAAAATGTGGCAGCCGTAAAAAATGAAAAACAGTGCAGAGCTGAATGAATGACAAAGTCATTACTTCGTCAGTCGCGTGCGGCTGTGCGTCGCGGCCGAAAAACAAAGGAAAAAATAAATAATTGATTGTTTTTCGACCGCGACGCACAGCCGCACGCGACTGACGAAGTAATGACTTTGTCATCCATTCAGCTCTGCACTGTTTTTCATTTTTTACGGCTGCCACATTTTTCGAATTCGACAATAATAAATATTTCAAAAATTCTCCGATTTTCAGATTTCGAAAAGCTTTAAATCGATGGAATAGGGTTAGAGCGATAAATTATCTCCAATATTGGCTAGATCCGCTGAATTTGACAGTTATAGTTTGCGGTGAAACTTTAGCAACTGGTTTGTGGCTTTTAGAAGGCTTTCAGAAGGTAACATGATTTATTTAGGTTCTGATGGGCTTTACACACTGGTCGATTATCTCATTTATGAGGGAAATCGATATAATGATAGTTTCACAAATATTACACAATATAAGGGGAGGGTAGTCTCAAAAAAAGTGGTTTTTTGCATAAAACCAGAAAAAAAATTCGAAAAATATAGGACGCATCAGAATCAATTTTGAGGAAGAGAATTCGAAGAACTGTTATTTTTGGAGTGTTGGGGTGAGCTATTTTCCGAGCAAAATTATTGGTTGAGTTTTGCATGTGTACAATCGAATTTCGATAAATAGTCTAATTAAAACACAAATTGGTTTTTATGAAAAAATATTTATTTCAAAGTAAAAGAAAAATAAGCTGAAGATAGGATGGCTGCGGAGCTCCGGAGGCGAAGGATGATCGGCGATGATTCTCGAATTCCACTGGGCAGCAGTTTCTGTAATTTATATTTTATTTGTTTTTTATTTTTAATTTTGTTTTGAGTTTTTATTTCCCAGGATTTTTTTTCTGAAAATTGAAAAAAGGTAGAGAAAAAGAATTCACGTTTTTTTATTTTTATGTGACCTAGCGTGCTCGAGGCATCATGCCTCAAAATGCTCGATTTTTCGAATTTTGGGAGCTGCTCTAAAAAATGGGCTTGAATTCTGAGAACAAAAAGAATTCACGTTTTTTTTATTTTTATGTGACCTAGCGTGCTCGAGGCATCATGCCTCAAAATGCTCGATTTTTCGAATTTTCCTGAGCTGCTCTAAAAATGGGCTTGAATTCTGAGAACAAAAAGAATTCACGTTTTTTTATTTTTATGTGACCTAGCGTGCTCGAGGCATCATGCCTCAAAATGCTCGATTTTTCGAATTTTGGGAGCTGCTCTAAAAAATGGGCTTGAATTCTGAGAACAAAAAGAATTCACGTTTTTTTTATTTTTATGTGACCTAGCGTGCTCGAGGCATCATGCCTCAAAATGCTTCAATTTTTCGAATTTTGGGAGCTGCTCAAAAAAATGGGCTTGAATTCTGAGAACAAAAAGAATTCACGTTTTTTTATTTTTTATGTGACCTAGCGTGCTCGAGGCATCATGCCTCAAAATGCTCGATTTTTCGAATTTTGGGAGCTGCTCTAAAAAATGGGCTTGAATTCTGAGAACAAAAAGAATTCACGTTTTTTTTATTTTTATGTGACCTAGCGTGCTCGAGGCATCATGCCTCAAAATGCTCGATTTTTCGAATTTTGGGAGCTGCTCTAAAAAATGGGCTTGAATTCTGAGAACAAAAAGAATTCACGTTTTTTTATTTTTATGTGACCTAGCGTGCTCGAGGCATCATGCCTCAAAATGCTCGATTTTTCGAATTTTGGGAGCTGCTCTAAAAAATGGGCTTGAATTCTGAGAACAAAAAGAATTCACGTTTTTTTTATTTTTATGTGACCTAGCGTGCTCGAGGCATCATGCCTCAAAATGCTCGATTTTTCGAATTTTGGGAGCTGCTCTAAAAAATGGGCTTGAATTCTGAGAACAAAAAGAATTCACGTTTTTTTATTTTTATGTGACCTAGCGTGCTCGAGGCATCATGCCTCAAAATGCTCGATTTTTCGAATTTTGGGAGCTGCTCTAAAAAATGGGCTTGAATTCTGAGAACAAAAAGAATTCACGTTTTTTTTATTTTTATGTGACCTAGCGTGCTCGAGGCATCATGCCTCAAAATGCTCGATTTTTCGAATTTTGGGAGCTGCTCTAAAAAATGGGCTTGAATTCTGAGAACAAAAAGAATTCACGTTTTTTTTATTTTTATGTGACCTAGCGTGCTCGAAATGCTCGATTGCCTCAAAATGCTCGATTTTTCGAATTCGTCTCTAGAAATTCTTCGATTTTTCGGTCATTTTTTTTCATTCCTTCTTCTTTCATCTTCCCTATTTTTTCTAATTATTTGATTTTGATAAATCTAAATTGAGGATTCTGGAGTACATTTCTTGGAACCAAATTTCCTGTGAAAGTATGTACAATTTTTACTGGACTCGGCCCATGTTTTTCCTCAAAAACACAAGCGAGTTAAAACCTACGAAATAAAAAAAGAAAATTCGCTCTAATGCACAACTCGTTTTTAGAATTTTCATGTGTATGTTTGCAGACAACACCGTGACGCCCTTTTGCAAACGATGTTTCACTAGGAGAAAACCAAAATTTCAAAACAAAAACTAACCATAGAAATTATTCACGATTTTGCACACCAATGGTTTCATCCCTTCAAAATTCATTTTCCATTGGAAATTAACTTGAAAATGTAGGACAGCACTGTAGAAGCAACATTGACCAATTGAAGCAGTGGCACATTTTTTTGAAAAATCGAAATGATTGTTTCGTGGCATCACGCAGATTTTAAATTTTTGCAATCTTTTTTATTTTGTCTTTTTAGAAAATTCCTTCAGAAAAAAAGATTGAGTGAGAAAAACATTTTTCACGTGACATTCGCGTGTGACGTGTTCAATGCTCATTTCATTCTTTTGCAAAATTTATTCGACAGGCAACAAATCGAGAGAGTCAAGCTAATCCTGAGATGAGTTGATGAGGTAAGCTTATACTTGCCTGCTTTTAGATTTTCGTTTCCCAGAGAGTGTCATTTACAACTCCAAATCTCTAGGACTCTAAAATTTAAAAAAATCTGATAGACAAGAACATTTATCAGAATCTTATTTTGTGTGTATCGAATTAAAAACTGTGTATTATAGCTGTTACCAATGACAAAATAGGCAGGTTAATAATTAGAATCCTAGTTTTCCATGAAGTCAAAAGAGTATCTATTTTCATTGGCCGAATAGACCGTTCACACCTCGGCCAAGCCGTGGCTGGCCAGAGTACACTTTTTGGAATAATCTGAATTTCAGTTTTTAGAGGTCAAAATTGAAAAATCACAACTTTTAGAGAACAAAAACTGAAAAAATCACAATATTTGTGAGAAAAGGGTTATACATTTTGAAATTAACAACCAATGGACCGAAAAATCGAAGAATTTCTAGAGACGAATTCGAAAAATCGAGCATTTTGAGGCATGATGCCTCGAGCACGCTAGGTCACATAAAAAATAAAAAAACGTGAATTCTTTTTGTTCTCAGAATTCAAGCCCATTTTTTAGAGCAGCTCCCAAAATTCGAAAAATTGAAGCATTTTGAGGCATGATGCCTCGAGCACGCTAGGTCACATAAAAAATAAAAAAACGTGAATTCTTTTTGTTCTCAGAATTCAAGCCCATTTTTTAGAGCAGCTCCCAAAATTCGAAAAATTGAAGCATTTTGAGGCATGATGCCTCGAGCACGCTAGGTCACATAAAAAATAAAAAAACGTGAATTCTTTTTGTTCTCAGAATTCAAGCCCATTTTTTTGAGCAGCTCCCAAAATTCGAAAAATTGAAGCATTTTGAGGCATGATGCCTCGAGCACGCTAGGTCACATAAAAATAAAAAAACGTGAATTCTTTTTCTCTACCTTTTTTCAATTTTCAGAAAAAAAATCCTGGGAAATAAAAACTCAAAACAAAATTAAAAATAAAAAACAAATAAAATATAAATTACAGAAACTGCTGCCCAGTGGAATTCGAGAATCATCGCCGATCATCCTTCGCCTCCGGAGCTCCGCAGCCATCCTATCTTCAGCTTATTTTTCTTTTACTTTGAAATAAATATTTTTTCATAAAAACCAATTTGTGTTTTAATTAGACTATTTATCGAAATTCGATTGTACACATGCAAAACTCAACCAATAACTTTGCTCGGAAAATAGCTCACCCCAACACTCCAAAAATAACAGTTCTTACCAGAAAAAATAATACAAAAAAATTACATGATGTTTTTTTTCTGAATGGTTTTTCAATTCTGGTTTTATTCAAAAAACCGCTTTTTTTGAGACTACCCTCCCCTTATATCCAGTCGAAAATTCCGGACATTTATTCAATTTTGATGCTGAAATAACAATGAAAAGTTCGATGAGTTTCCAGGATAATCGAAGAATTAAAGTAAAAGCAATTGACACCATGGGCCAATCTATTTATACAAAAATTATGTATGAGCCTAGCTGGTATATTCAACATGTTGAAATATCTGGAAGTTGTATAGACTCGAAAAATATTGATAAAAATTTGATGGTTAATAAATGGATGCCTCAATTAAAAACTGTTAACAAAACTGCGAAAGAATTTATGAAGGAAATCATCAAAAGCATTCCATTAGACTCCCAACATTTATTTCATTGGAGTGCTCTAATTTTTCACAAAAATTTGTATACTATTAATGGTATGTTTAAGTCAAATTATATCTAAAACTCATGACAATATGTTTTTTATTTTCAGGAAAATATTTCGAATGGCTTCAAAAGTTCAGCGCACACTTCAAACATCGAGCTGAATTATACTCATTCATTATTTCTGAGAACATCGATCATATCGTTTTTAGAACTTCGCATATTTTTGAAAGTATCAAAAATAAAGAGAAAACTGAAGTTTGGCATTTTATAATTGAAGCTGCTTGTGAACATTTACGAGTTGCTATGAAACCACATAAAAGACATGAGGTTTGGAAAATTCGACAAATGCAATTTAGACCAGATTATGATCTTTATCGGAATATTGAGAAGCGAAAAGAAGCTTTGATGGAAGAAGTTGATTTTTTGATTCAAGAGTGGGTTTATTTTACAGAATGTTGAATTATTATCGATGTCTTAATGCGCTCTACTGCGCTCTATTGCACAATTTTTAAAACGAGAGAGTAAAACTGTGCGAGACACCAGACGGAAAAGGGATAGACCAAACTCTACCGACTTTTTTTCTCAAATTGGCTAATGTGTTATTTTCAGAATTGAAAACATCGCCAACGAGCGGTCACCTAAATATTTCTACAAACTCGAAAAATATGGCCGCGCAATACGATTCGATAAACCCGAATTAACTCCAAATTATGAGAATGGAACTGATCTTTTCAAGAAAGTATTTGAAATTCCGATTTCAATGAAACTCGAAAAATGCGAAACATGGCTGAATAAAAATGGGAAAAATCTAACAGCCACTGTTAATTGCGAATATGAGTGTATAAGTCAAAATTCTATAGGTCAACAGCGAACATTTTCAAGACATGTGAAGTTGGAAGTTTTTGGAAGGATGGTAAGATGTGTGAAAATACTATCTTCTCTCTGAAAATATCTGAAAATTTTACAGGAAGAGTATGAGCTCGAAGCAGAAGTTGTGGGAATTCGGGTAATTCTTCCAATAATCATGAAACGTGCTCAAAATTCGATGACTATTTATCATGTATGTAGACGAATCATTGTTTATTTCCTCAAAAAAAAAATAAAATTTCAGGCAGACTTATCGTTATCATTTCACAGGCCAACACTTGTTATAAATCATGATGATTTTGCCAAAAAGATAACTAGATTGCTCATCGGACAATCAAGTTATGAATATTCGAATTGGAAAAGTAGTTATGATACACTTTTCTCATACATTGATAACAAGGATTTTCATTCAAAAATCTGTGGAAAATCACATAGCAAACATGCAGCTGAAATGTTCAAAATATATCTGGAAAGAAATCGAAAAACAACGAAATTTTCGAAATTTGATATCGAAGTGATTACAAATACTGAGGAATCGAAAATAGAGTTTAAAATTGTCTACAATTCAATTAATTTGATGGACTTTCTCGCAACTGAAACTTATACATTTGTTGCTGAAAAAGGTGTTATTTCGGAGAATTGGTGGATCAAATCAGTTAATATTGAGGGAGCTTGTATTTATCAACAGTTGAATTCTAAATTTGTTTCTTCATTGACGGCTAGGGATATACAAGGAATGAGAAGATATAATAACTATTTTCTCGGCGAAATCGTGTAAGTTTATTTTTCAAGAAGGTGGTGAGACAAGCATTTCGATTTCCCTCAAAAAATTTAGCACAACAAAACGAGACTCCGCGTTGACGGCGTGGTTTGAATTAATGTTTTTTTCAGTTATACCCGGGCTAATCTCATAATTCAGAATTCCATACATTGAAAATGAGGGCAATGTTCCTATCAATCTATATTCAAAGAATTTCCAAGGATACATAATTGCAAATCCAAATTTGACTGAAATCTATACATTTGAAGAATTCAAAATGTATATGCGATATTTTGTGAAATACAATAAACGGAGACCAAAAGTCAACTCACAATCACAAATTATTGTAACAGAACCAAATCATTTTGTCGTGCAAATCACAATGATTTTCGATCAATTAATTCAGAATAGAAATCAGTCGTCGAAGGATGATTGGATATTTATGATTGAAGGATCTAGAGATTCGGAGGAAGAATACTGGAAGATCACAAAACTTGTACTCTCACCAAAGTTGGAATTTCTGACAAACGGCATGTTTATATGGAGAGCAATGTTGAATTATATGATGGATTCAGAAGATAAGTGAGTAATTTTTTTGAGGACTTCTGACAAATAATGTTTTAAAGTTATTTGGAACTTGCTCGAAAAATGCTGAAGATTTCACGGAATTCCACTGAAGAGAACACGGTGTTATCGAACTGTGAGCCTAGAACTTATGACTACACACCTAGAGAATTCAACAAGTTTCTGCAACGTTTTGTTGAATGTTTGAAATTGGCAGATCCGAAAACTGAATTAACATCTTCAAAAGATATTTCGCGTCCATTCAAACAGATTAATACATTTAAATTTCATATAATCTATAAGATTATTATTGGAGGAATTAAGAAGTTCTTAATTGTCAATCATTATGCACAATATGTAAGGAACAGATCATTTTGAAAAGATAATATTTAAATTTTCAGAATTTCAAATATGGTTATTATCGGGATTGGAAACTTGAGCTAACTTGTCTAGCGGATAAAGTTGAAGGGCATGATGATTATTAAAAGTTGTATCATAAACATTTCAATCATTTTTAGTTTTTCTCGAAAATTCTCAAAATTTTTATGTGTCTAGCTTTCTTCGTCTCTGATTTTGTTTCTATCAAAATCATAACAAGAATAAATGTTTTCTAAACAATTTCTAATATTTTTCTCGATTTCATTTATTCAATTAATCCATACAAGTTCATTAGATATTATAAATATTCCTAATCGGTAAGTCAAATAAAATATGAGTAATTCCAGGATGTTCTATTCAGGTTTCTGAATGCATTGAATCGACAGAATGCAATCACAGGGTTAGAAAATCTTGCACCTTGGCTGGATGAGAAAAATTTAACATTAACAGTATGCGGTGAAGTTTTGGCAAACGGTTTGGCAAAAAGTAATTGTTTTTCAAAAAAAAAAAAGATTATTCTAGGTTCTACTGGAATAAGAGGACTAGCCGATTATATTGGTTTTGAGCAAAATCGTTATAATCAAAGTTTCACGAACATTTCACAATTTCCAGTTGACCACGATCAAGATAAAACAGAATATCTACATTTCGAAATAACAATGAGAAGTTCAATGGGATTCCATGATAAAAGAACAATTAAATTAAAAGCTGTTGATAAAAGTGAAATATTCCTGTTGGAAGATTGGTGGATTCAGGAAATTGAGATAACTGGAAGTTGTGTGGATTCGAATAATATTGATAGAAGTTCAATAATTAATGAATGGTTCCCAAAATTGAAATTTGTTAACAAAACTGCGCAATTTTTCATGAATGAAGTTATTCGAAAAATTCCATTCGAAGATCAAAATTTCTTTCATAAGAATTGCACAATTTTTCACAAATGGATTGACCCATTCTCAATTGGTACGATTTATTTATTTTGTTTTATTGATATTTGTTAACAACCCAATTTCTGTTGTTATTTTAGAAACATATTTCGAATGGCTTAAAAAATTCAGCGCACTTTTCAAACATCGAGCTGAATTGAACACTTTCATTATTATTGAGAGTATTGATCATATTGTTTTCCGAACTTCTCATATTTTTGATGATAAAACAAATAGTGACAAAACTGAAGTTTGGCATTTTATCATTGAAGCAACTTGTGAAGAGGATTGGACAATTCGACAAATGCAATTTAGACCAGATTATTATCTATTTGATATTATTGAAAGAGATACACAAGCATGGATAAAAGAACTTCATTTTTTGATTCAAGAGTGGGTTGTACGAAAAGCTTTAAAAAATTGTCTCACTCCAATTTCAGAATTGAAATCATATTTCAAAACCGACCAAATGGAAACTTATACGAAATCGAAAAATATGGAAACGCATTACGATTCGAAAATCCAGAATTAGTTCCAAAACATGACAACAAAACTGATCTTTTCATAAAATTATTTGAAATTCCATCTTCAATGAAGCTCGAAAAATGCGAAAAAATGCTAAAAGATGACGGGAAATATGAGACTAGAGCTATACTTTCAGCCACTATTAATTGTTATTATAGCTATATTTCGAGAAATGATCAAAAATTGTCAAGAAATGTGAAATTGGAAATTTTTGGATGGATGGTAGGATTGATTTAGTTTGTAATACGTAGTAAAAAATACCAATTTCAAGGACATATTCACAATTCAAGCGGTTTTAAAGCAAATAAAAATAGTTGATCAAATAAATATCAAATATTCATCATTTTCAGAGTTTGTTTATGTAAGAGAACCTTTTTCTTTAATAAGAAAACGAAAATTTTTTTTCAGACAGATATTAGTAACTATGAAACACATGTGATAAGTCATAATGATTTTGCAAATTTAGTTGCAAGATTATTAATTGGACAATCAAGTTTTGAATATTTGAATTGGAAAAATAATTTTGAAACACTTGTCGGATTTATTAAAATCAATGATTTCAATTTGAAAATTTGTGGAAAAACACACAAGAAAAATGAAATTGAATTTCTGAAAATATATCTGGAAAGAAATCGAAGAACAACGAAACTTTCGAAATTTGATGTTGATGTATTTACAATTAATTGTGGAGCCGTGGTCCACGCCTCAACAGTAATCCACCAATAAGTCTAAGCTCCACCCTTAGAGGGTCCGGAGGAACACTATTTAAGGAGCCAAGACTCCGCCCTAAGTCAGTTTTTACTAGAGTTTTTACGAGAATCATTATGTAGTTTTCCTAAGGTTTTTACTTATCTTTTACTTATTCTTACCTAAACTTTATACAATGTTCATTTAGTGTTACTTATACTTTAATACTCACTTTGATTTTATATATATTTACCTATCTTATATTATATTGTCCTTAGACTTATTATTGTATACTTTGATTTATCATAAATTAGTAGTTTATTTAACCTTTGTATATCATTATGGAACCACGAGGACCCATTTCCTCACATGGGGATGGAGTTTCCTCACATGGAGGTTCCCCGATTTTGAATTAGGGAATCTGAATTTTTAAATTTGTATTGTCTAAAATTTAAAAAAAAAAACACATTTTTTTAATGTTCTTATTATAATACTATTTTCTAATAATACTATTCTTTTTATAATACTCTGCATCTTAATCTCATAATACCATTTCCTTCTTAATACTATTCTTCTTAGATCAAATATGTATTTAATTCTTTTTCAAATTATATTTAAAAATCTAAACCTTTAACGTATCTAAAAATCTAAGTTATATCTAAAGTTTTATTTTTTTAATTTCCTTTAATTCAAGTTTTATTCATTTGTTTCCTTAACCTCAAAATGTATCTGTCACAACATTTTCTGATCTGTTCCTCGCCCTTTTTGCTATTATCTGTTGCCATACTTTATATCTGAAGAAAAAAAAAAAGAAAAGAGAAACTTAGAAAAGCACTGTAGAAAGCTCACAGGTGCTATAGGTTAGGAACGCAGCGAGCAGCGAATTTTATTCCTATTATTTTGGTTTTATATATAAAAGACATATATAGACATATAAGAATACTGTAGTACACACCAAGAATCAAAAAAAAAAAAAAAAAAAAAAAAAAAAAAAAAAGAAAAAAGAACGCCTAACGAAATTTTAAAATGTAATTAAAAAAAAAAAAAAATGGCTTGCACTTTTGGACTAACGAACCAACATTTTTGTACTAACGAGTCGTTTTTGCACTAACGAGTAGACGTTCGCGCTAACGAAGTTCGCACTAACGAAGCTGATTATACTAACGAACCAAGATGTTTTTTGGTATTCACTAACGAACGTTACAAAAGGCACTGTTAGAAATAAAATTAGGGAAAGCGAATCAGTACAAGGCGAACAAACAAAAAAAAAAAAAAAAAAAAAAAAAAGAGGGACCAAATTTCAGAAAGCGAAGCTAAGAGTGTTGGGGATACGGTACCACACACACACACACACACACACATACAGACATACATATATATAGAAACTCACACATACAACACACACACACACAACGAATACAATACAAGGAATAAGATAACAACACGGTACCTAATTAGGAAAATACAATACAATTCAATGGGAAACAATATTATATAATAAAAGATCGATCACAACAATTAAATTAATATTAAAGAATAATCACTATCTTTAGAATTATAGTAAGCAAAAGAAAATGAAGGAAAAGAAAATGAAATGACGAGCTATGATTGTGCCGTAGGGTCAAAGCCTTAATCCACACACCGTTTAAGTATTAGAATACTTAAATGGGTATAAGTTTCCCAAAACACACGCACAAAAGAATATTAAATACGAATAATGAATAATAAAGAATAAAGATAAATGAATAATTATATTAATACCCTAGTTAGATAATATTAATATAAAAAGAAGGCTACTGTTCGGAGAGACACACCGACCCTGTGTAGTTAGGCTCCGAACATGTGTGGATATAAAAAGTAGATCTATGAGGACAAACCATCTTCATAGACCTACGAAAGATAGTGATAATACATAGACGATATAAAAGGTCCAACCGGGAGACAACCTGCGATGGCCAAGCTCGATGACACCCTCGAAGACACCGAGTTAGTGGGTTGTTTCAAATATTTTATTACGGTACGGCACAAGTAGACTCCTCGCCCCATGGCGTCCAGAAACGGACCGGCGCCCTGGGCACCACAATACAGACAAGGAAATAACCCAAACACTCTTAGCCACAAAAACAATAAATCCCATACATAATTACCAAAATATTAATTTCAATTACTAATAAAATAACAATTCGCGCTCAAAAATTTAAAACCGCTACACCAAAAATAACTGCGTAAAATATATAAATTAGGAAAGTAGAATAACACACACTATTAAATCTTAAAATTAAATCATTTATTATAAAAATAAAATTTTAAAATAAAACCTAGATAATAAAGTAACAAACTATAGATATAACTCAAAGGTAGACGTTGTAATACCGTAGTATCGTAATGTTATTGCAATAGTCATAATCACCTAACGTATTTCCGAATACGAGAGAAGACAATCCTTCTCAAGAAAAGACAATTCCTTCTTTGCATTATTACAAAGAAGACATGCTAACTTTCAAATTGGACGACAGACGGCCAATCTTACAGGTATGGAACAGCGATCGACAGATCGATCACCATCACCGACAGCGGAAGAACTCGCAGTCTGGGAGAAACAACTCCTAGACGACCCCGATGAGGAGATGACAGATATCACCCTCAATAGCGACGCGAACAACGAAGAAATTCCAGTGGAGCAATTCCAAGAATTAGCAGTAAGCGTCCCGCAAACAAGAAAAGCGGAGGAATCAAATGTACCTATGAATCAACACGAAGGTACACCTCCGAAACCGAACGACAAACTCGGACGGTTTGAGGACAAATTCAGGTCCATGAGCGAGGTAGCCGAATTCTTGACTAACAAGTCAACGGCAGAACTCAAAGCATCAATCCGAGGCATGAAAATCAGCTCGGGTGTGCGAATAATTCGCGCAGAACTCCAGCGGAGACAACGTGTAATCTACCGCTACACCAAACTCAATGACCTAACAGTCTACGAGTTGAGAGACAAACAGTCTAAGAAAGACATATCAGACAACGAAATGATGCTTGGCTACGAAATCAGCAAAAATCGAAGATCTCAATCACCAGACCCAACAACCGAAGAATCAAGATTTCGCGAATGCATGGAACAAGCATATACGGAGAGCAAAAGAAGATATGTACACAGACGGAAGCATAGATTACCATCACCACGCTTTCGTCAACAAAATGGTGAATTCATCAGAATTGAACCAACACAACATCCATGGAAGAAAAAGAAATCATCGGACCAACATCACGCCAAAGCGCCCGATCACAAAGGATTCGCAAAGACCGTGCGATTCCAAGCCACCTGCCGGGCTCAAGCGAAGAGAAGTTGCCGCGAACCACCGAAATAAAAGACAACTTCAACGCCAAGGATCTAATCGAAAACTATAATCATAACCAATCGTAGCCGTATTCATCACAAATCAAAGCGTACAAGTCGGGGATGTGGAGCCGTCATCATTTCGTCAGATACCGGGACGGTATCTCGTGCTGGTCGGGGATGTGGAGCCGTGGTCCACGCCTCAACAGTAATCCACCAATAAGTCTAAGCTCCACCCTTAGAGGGTCCGGAGGAACACTATTTAAGGAGCCAAGACTCCGCCCTAAGTCAGTTTTTACTAGAGTTTTTACGAGAATCATTATGTAGTTTTCCTAAGGTTTTTACTTATCTTTTACTTATTCTTACCTAAACTTTATACAATGTTCATTTAGTGTTACTTATACTTTAATACTCACTTTGATTTTATATATATTTACCTATCTTATATTATATTGTCCTTAGACTTATTATTGTATACTTTGATTTATCATAAATTAGTAGTTTATTTAACCTTTGTATATCATTATGGAACCACGAGGACCCATTTCCTCACATGGGGATGGAGTTTCCTCACATAATAAAGAAATCAGTATAGAGTTCAAAATTGTCTACACTTCGATAAACTCCATGGGCTTATTTGTGACTGAAAACTTCAAATTTTTTGCAAAACAAATTTTGGGAACTTATAAAATCAAGTCAGTTGAAATTGAGGGAGCATGTATTTATGAGAAATTGAATATTGATTTTATTCCATCAGAAATATCTGAAAATGAAGATTTGAGAAAAGCAATTAACGATTTTATTGATAGAATCGAGTAAGTTGGAGTTTGACGGAATATTTATATTTAATTTTTTTTATTTGAAGATTTCCTTACATTGGAAATAAAGATAATATCAACATACATTCCTTTTCTGAGAATTTTGAAGGATATATCGCTGCCAATCCGAATATTGAGGATGTTTATGAACTTCACGATTTCATGATTTATCTACAACATTTTGTGGAAGTTAACAAATTGAGACAGCGAATGAATTCAACTATTCTTAAAATTGAACCGAATAGTTTTGTTGTGAAGATGTCAATGATTTTTGATCATTTCATATTTCACGTAAATCAATCATCGAATGATGAATGGATTTTTTTGATTGAAGGATCAAGAAATGTTGAGGAGAAATGGGAAATAACAAAACTAGTTATGTCACCAAGATTAGAGCTTCTTACAAATAATATAACTCAACGAAGAGCAGCAACTTATCATATGTTGCATTCAGAACACGAGTAGGTTTATTTTTATTTTTTTCAATTTCAAAATTTCATTCTTCCAGAAATACTGACATTCTTCAAATGGTGCAATTTATGCCGCGCAATTCAAGTCATCCAAAAATTGATATAGAAAATTGCGGAACTATTATTTACAACCACACATATCACCAACATCAAATGTTCTTCGAACGTTTTGTGGAATTTTTAAAGTTATCAGATTTCAAAGCTGTCATTGATCAATGGAGAAAACCACCAGTATTCAAATCGTTTCAATCTTTTTCTTTTGAAATCAAATATGAATTAACGATTTCTGGAATTCGCAAAGCATTTGTGGTTAATCATTTTGCTGAATATGTGAGATATTAGACAAATTTACAGATTTAAGTAATAAATAAGTTTTTGCAGAACTTCAAGCATGGATATTATCACGATACAAAACTTGAGCTAACTTGTCCAGTTGATATTGCAAGATACTATAAATTCCCAAGAAATTATCATTAATAAATAATTTATATCAATTTTAGTTTGGCTAACTTGAATTTTACAGCCAAAACTGTGTTCAAAAGTTAGAATTTTCGAATCGCATCTCAATCATTTTCAGAATTTTTATTTGTCTAGCCTTACATGTCTCTGATATTGTCTCTTTTTTAAATCATAAAATTGTTTTGAAATGTTTTCTAAACAATTTCTAATAATTTTCTCGATTTCAATAATCGGATTAATTAATGCAAATACATGGGATAAAGTGAAAGACTGGCCATATGACATACCAGCTGTAATTTCAGAATTTGTGAATAAAATTCTTCGATTGTAAGTTATTTTTAAAATGCTCAATGCATTCTTGGAACTTGCAGGTTTCCTCGAGTTCTCAATAAAAATGATGAGCTTACGTTGTTAACTGAGCTCACAAAGTTGATACACGATGACAATTTGACAGTTATTATGTGTGGTAGAACTTTGGGAACCGGTGCTGACGGGAAAATATCACTCTACGATTATATACGTTTTGAACGAAATCGTTACATTGAACGTTTTCCTGAGATAATCAATCTACACGCGATTCAACATCCCGAAGAAACATTGAATTTTGAATTCGATATAACAATGAGAAGTTCGATGGGATTCTATGATAACAGAACAATAAAAATCAGTGCAATTGATACTAATACAAATCCCGTTTTCTTTGACAATTGGATTATAATTCGAGTTGAGATAAGTGGAAGTTGTGTGGATTCAAAAATTATGAATAGAAGTTTGATAGTTAATGAATGGGTTCCTCTATTAGGATATGGATATGTTAACAAAACTGCAGAAAATGTTATGAATGATGTGATTAAAGCTATTCCTTTCAACAATAAGCATTTCTTTGATTATCGATCTACAATTTTTTTCAAGCATGTAGATTCTGAAGATGCGTTGTGTATGTTTGAATATTTATTGAATATAGATTTTTCTCAAATTATTCTTCCAGTAAACTATTTCGCATGGGTCATACATTTCCTAAAACACTTCAAACATCGCGCTGAATTAAATTCTTTCATCATCTCTGAGAACATTGATCATATCGTTTTCCGAACATCGCATGTCTTTGAAAATATCAAAAACAATGAGAAAACTGAAAATTGGCATTTTATTATTGAAGTAACTTGTGAGCATTTACGAGTTGCTATGAAACCACATAAAAGAAATGAGGTTTGGACCATTAAACGAATGCAATTCAGACCAGATTATGATCTTTTTAATAATATTGAAAGACAGAGGGAAGCTTTGATGGAAGAAGTTGATGTATTGATTGAAGAGTAAGTTGGTTTTTTTTTTTTGAAAAATTGAACCACGTGCACTGGTCAGTTCTGGTTTCTAATCTTTATTACAGAATTGAGAACGTTTTTGAAAATCGACCAACTAAAAATGCAAATAAAATAGAATGGTATGGTCGTGCTTTACAATTCTTCAACCCCGAACTCGTTCCAAAACACGACAACAAATCGGATCTTTTCAAAAAAGTATTCGAAGTTTCGTCATCATTAAATGTAAGATTTATTATTAATTTCAATAATTTGGTAGTCCATCTTTTAGCTTGAAAAGTGTGATAAAATTCTGGAAAAGGATGGGAAGAATCTAATGGTTAACATTTATTGTCAATATTGGTATTTATCAAGTGAAAATCGGAAATTGTCAAGGAAGGTAAAATTGGAAATTATCGGAGGAATGGTGAGGTTTGAACGGAATAGAATTGTTTTGTTAAAAACAATTTTTCAGGACTCATTCAAGATCGAAGCAATTATAAGAGTAATTCGGATATTTGATCCAATAAAAATTACAACTAAATACAGAAATGACAAGATTTATGTAAGATAGATTTCATTTTTTTGAAGAAAAAAACCTATGTGAATTTTCAGTCATCCTTGAGTTATAGAGACACAGTGAAAATTAATTTTAATTATTTCGCGGATTTAGTTACAAGATTATTAATTGGACAATCAAGTTATGAATATTTGGATTGGGAAAATAATTTCAAAAAACTTGTTGAATACACCAACAACAAAGAATTTCATGCAAAAATTTGCGGAAAATCCTACAAGAACAATGCAGCAGCAGCATTTTTCAAAAAATATCTGGAAAGAAATCGAAAAACAACGAAGCTTTCGAAATTTGATATTGAATTGTTCACAATTAACGAGGTATCCAGTACACATTTTAAAATTGTTTATACATCGATTAATTCAATGGGTTTTCTCGCCACTGAAAATTATACATTCAGTGCGCAAAAAAGTTTGTTGGCAAGATGGACAATTGAATCAGTTGGAATCAATGGATCTTGTATTTATGAGAATTTGAATATTGATTCAATTCATTCAAGGATATCGGAAAATGTGGACTTGAATAAAGAAATCAATGAAGTTGTTAACGGAATTCAGTAAGTTTGAATTTCATTAAATATTTATTCATTCTAGTTTTTCATTTAAAGAATTCCATATATCGAGAATGAAAATAATATCAATGTTAATCTATATTCTGAAAATTTTGAAGGATACATCGCTGCCAACCCAAATATTAGAGAAGTTTATCAACTTCCAGATTTCACAACTTATTTACGTAATTTTGTGGAAGTTAATAAATTGAGACAGCGATCGAATTCAACAATAATTAAAATTGAACCGAATAGTTTTGTTGTGATGATGTCAATGATTTTTGATCATTTTATATTTCACGTAAATCAATCATCAAATGATGAATGGATGTTTTTTATTGAAGGATCAAGAAATGCTGAAAAGAAATGGGAAATAATAAAACTAGTTATGTCACCAAGATTAGAGTTTCTCACAAATAATATAACTCAACGAAGAGCAGCAACTTATCATATGTTGCATTCAGAACACGAGTAGGTTAATAATTATTTTATACTAGATTCAAAATAATTTCATTCTTCCAGCTACTCTGACATTCTTAAAAAAGTGAAAGATATGCCACGAAATTCAAGTCATCCAAAACTTGATATAGAAAATTGCGAGTCCAGAATGTACAACCTGGGCACAGCTCTGGAATTTCACAAGTTTTTCATACGTTTTGTGGAATTTTTAAAATTATCAGATTTCAAAACTGTCATTGATCAATGGAGAAAACCTCCAGTATTCAAGTCGTTTGAATCTTTTTCTTTTGAAATCAAATATGAATTGACGATTTCTGGAATTCGCAAAGCATTTGTGGTTAATCATTTTGCAGAATATGTGAGATATTAGAAAAATTTACAGATTAAAGTTATAAATAAGATTTTGCAGAACTTCAAGCATGGATATTATCACGATACAAAACTTGAGCTAACTTGTCCAGTTGATATTGCAAGATACTATAAATTCCCAAGAAATTATCATTAATAAATAATTTATATCATTGTTAGTTTGGCTAACTTGAATTTTACAACCAAAACTGTGTTCAAAAATTAGAACAAAGTTTTGGCATCTCATTCATTTTCAAAATTTTTATTTGTCTGGAATTTCATTTTTCTGATATATTTATTTTGCAAATCATATCGAAAAAATATTCATGTTTTCTAAACAATTTCTAATAATTTTCTCAATTTCAATAATCGGATCGATCAATTCAAATACCTGGTCATATGTGAATCGTCCCTATTCTGACATACCGTATTCAATTCGAGTGTTCTTCAAAACAATCCCCGCATTGTAGGTGATATAATTTTTCTATATTTTTGGAAAATTACAGGATTCCCAAAGTGCTTAATGGAAATGATAACTTTGAATCGTTAACTGAGCTCACATCTTACATGCATTTGACAAATTTGACAGTTATTGTGTGCGGAGAAACTTTAGGAACAGGTACAAAAAATGGCTGATAGCCCAAAACTTTATGACTTCAGGTGCTGCCGGAAGATCTGCACTGATTGATTATATATTCTACGAACAAAATCGTTACAATGCAACTTTAACTGAAACACCAGATGTTAATTTGATTCAACATCCCGAAGATTCTCTAAATTTTGTGATGAATATAACAATGAGAAGTTCGATGGGATTCTATGATAATAGAACAATCAAAATCAGTGCAATTGATATTGAAATAAGTCCGATCCGTTTATCAAATTATATTCTCAATAGATTCGAAGTTAGTGGAAGTTGTTTGGATTCGAAAAATATAAATAAAACTTTGATTGTTAATGAATGGGTCCCTAAATCTAAATATGTTGACAAAACTGCGAAAGAATTTATGAAGGAAGTCATTGGAAATATTCCATTTAGAGATCAGCACTTCTTCGATAATAGATCTATAATTTTTCTAAAAGGACATATATCTCTCACGCACAGTAAGTTCCTTGCTTTTTTTTTAAATTCAATCACATTTCTCTTCAAGTAACATACTTCGGATGGCTTCGAAAATTCAGCCGACACTTCAAACATCGAGCTGAATTGTATTCTTCAATTATTTCTGAGAACATTGATCATATCGTTTTCCGAACTTCACATGTCTTCGAAAATATCAAAAACAATGAGAAAACTGAAGTTTGGCATTTTATAATTGAAATAATTTTCGAGAATTCGAATTGGACTATAAGACAAATGCAGTTTAGACCAGATTATAGTCTTTTTCGGAATATTGCAAGGCGAAGAGAAGCAATGATGATAGAAGTTGATGTATTGATTCAAGAGTGGGTTATAGAAGCGTTTCAAATTTCTCACTTCGAAAATTTTTTGTTCAGAATCGAAAACGTTGCTCAAAGTAGATCAACTAAGAATTGGTTTCACATAATGTATTACGGAAATTTGTTAAAATTTGATAATCCCGAATTGATTCCAAAATATGCTCACAAGACTGATCTTTTCGCTAAAATATTCAAAATTCCTTCGGCAGTTCAGCTAGAAAAATGTGACAAATTTCCGAAAGATGAGGGAATGAATTTGACTATTATAGTAACTTGTAAATATTGGCTTCATTCAAGTGAGAATCAAAAATTGTCTAGAAAAATACAACTGGAAGTCACTGGAGAAATGGTAAGCTGCAAAAGCTGGCCGACTTCAAATTTTTGAATTTTTTAGGATAGATTTGTGCTCATTGCTGTTATCACTGGTATTCGAATAATTGATCCAATTAAAATCAAAAGTTCAGAAAACTTTGGATATTATGTTGTAAGCTTTTTTGTTGACTGAGGGATTTTTCTGGATTATTTTACTTTCAGAAAGGCTTGGTTCAATCTAGAAAACAAGAGCAAAATCACAATTTCATAGCGAAAGAAATAGCTAGTTTATTAATTGGACAATCAAGTGTTGAATATTCGAATTGGACAACTAACTTTGAAAAACTCGAAGAATTTATAGATGATGATAATTTCAATCTGAAAATTTGTGGAGAATCTTATAAACAAAATTCAGCTAAAATACTCAAAAAATATCTGGAAAGAAATCGAAGATTGACTAAACTTATGATTTTCAATGCGGAAATGTTCACAAAAAGTTCGAAATCAGAAATAGAATTCAATGTTTCATACACTTCTACAAATTCAATGGGCTTTTTCATAACAGAAAATTATAAAATTGTTGCTATGAGAAGTTTTTGGGGAAATTGGGGAATACAATCAATGGAAATTGAGGGAGCTTGTATTTATGATAACTTGAACCCGGAATTTATATATCCAATGGAGAATTTATATATAAATGAAGAAAGGGAAAATGAAATTGATAAATTTATTGAGAATAATAGGTTAGTGAGTTTTTCAGGAAATTTTTTGAATCTGCAAATTTCCAGATGTTCCCCACCTGAATAACCCTGATATTTTCAGCAATCAATATTCCAAAGACTTCAAAGGATACCTAATAGCAAATCCAAACATTAGTGAAACTTATAAATCGCAAGAATATGAAAAATATATTCTACATTTTCTAAAGTTTAATAAATTAAGAAACAAATCTCATCCAAAAATAATTATAAACGAAGAAAACCACGTGGTTTTGAGAATTGAAAAATATTTTGATCATTTTTTATTGGGCACAAATAAGTCGACAAATGATGAATGGATATTTTTGATTGAAGTTATGAGAAACTTCGAGGGATTCTGGGAGATAACAAAACTTGTGATGTCACCGAAATTAGAAATTATTGTGAATAATATTATTCCAAAAAGAGCTGCGAATTATCATATGATGCACATGGATCAGCAGTAAGATTATCCAAAAAAAATGAACTCCACCAATAAAATTTCTCTAGGTATTTGGAAATCATTCAGAAGGTTCCCGTTATTCCAAAAATCAATGAAACAGTGGATTTCAACAACTGCGAGACTCAAACTTTCAATCACACAGTAACAGAATACTCCCGGTTTTTGCGAAAAATTTTGGCTTACTCAAAATTAGCTGCCCCCAGAGCCTCTTTGAATTTTTGGAAAAAAATACCGAAAAATTTCAAACTAGATGGGTTTGATTTTGAAATTAGTTATGAATTTGTGAAGAATGGGATTGCGAAGGCTTTTGTTGTTAAACATTTTGCGGAATATGTGAGGGAATTGAATTTTGGGGAAATTTGAAATAGTGATTTTTCAGAATTTCAAATATGGATACTATCATGATGTGAAACTTGAGATAACTTGTCCGAAAGCTGTTTTCAAGCCTGGAGCTGGGATTTTGGGAGAATGAACATTTGAACTTATTCTAGAGGTTAAACTGATAAACTATTTTCACTCACCTAAAAAAAATTTTGTTTTTTCAAAAAATCAACGCGCGTTGCGTTGAATTTCACATAATTTTTATCGATTTTTTTCAATTTTTCCGAAATCCCTCCCCAAAAAACTCACCAATCGCTTCTATTCTTCAAATCACACGAAATTCATCGAAAATCCGAAGTTCTCCACGTTTTCCACATTATTGACATTGTTATCCATCAACATTTCAAGCTGAAAATCAGAAAATTTGAATTTTTCGTATATCATTGAGTTCTGCTAACTCTATTTCTATTTCTATAGAGAGCTTCTGGGTCTCACAACAATTTTCCAGCTATTTTTCAACAAAAAATTGTTTTTTCTCAAAAATTTCAATCAAAACAGTGTTTCTCTAGAAAAAACCCACCTTTCTTCGATAATCCTCGGATTTTCCGTTTGAATCGATAATTCCAGCCTTGTAGAACATCTAAACATTCAATTTTTGACTGAAATCCACTGATTTTCCCCGGAAACCTGAAAACCCAGCGAAAAAAAACGAAAAATGAAAATATTCTTGTGTTGCGCTAAACAGCGGGCAAGCGGAGTGTCGTTGTAAAACGCTTGTCAGTCAATAAATTCATTTTTTCTCTATTTTTTAGTTTTTTTTCTTAATTTATAGTGTATATCACGCGGGATTTCAACAATTTTTTGTTTTATATCGAATGGCAGCCCACACGAACATTTTCGAAATGAATTTTTTATTTTGTCGAAAAAACGTGTTCACGTTTTAAGTATAAACCAGAAGGGCTCCGCCGGCTAACGCCGGCTCCTCCTTCTGGATTGTCCCGGCTTCGCGCGTAGTTTTCTTTAGGTGTAAACAGAAACATGTTTCGTCTTAAAATACGACAGAGTTGTAGTTTTTGAAAAGTTGGAAAAGATTCTTTAAACAAAAACCGAAATTTTGATTTTCGTTGAATTCTTTCTCCGTTCTCCGCTAGGTATGATTTTTAAAATTTCTAATGGGGCTATTCACCGTCTTTTCTCAACGCTGAAATGGTTGAGAAAACTTATTCAGGTAGGCTGAGAAAATAGGAAAATGGTTGAGAAAATGATTTTCTCAGCATTTTTCCCGTTTTCTCAGCGTGTTGAGAAAATCGCTGAATAGCCCCATAAAGAAAATTGACGAAAATGGTTTTAAAAAATGTGCGAAAAAATTTCTTGATTTTATAAAGAGGTTAATCCAAATTTTCTACGTCTCAAAAACTAAAGCACAACATTTGGCGAAACTGTTCCGAAAATCTAAAATCTATATCCAAAAAATCTATATCCAGAGCGAAAAGAAATGCTGCCTTATTTTCTGAGTATAAGCTTCTATGTTCCATCTGAAATTTTCAGAGCCGTGGAAGATAAAACCAAAGAACAGTAAACTCCGCCGCCCTTTGATTATTTTCATTGATTCATTCGGGCTGATTTTTTTTTCATCCAACGAAAACCGATTTTTTTTTTGAAAATAGCCGGGCCGATTTTTTTTTTGAAAAAACTCGGGCCGATTTTTTTATCGGCCGATTTTTTTTAAAAACTCGGCCCGATTTTTTTCATCCAACGAAAACCGATTTTTTTTTTGAAAATAGCCGGGCCGATTTTTTTTTTGAAAAAACTCGGCCCGATTTTTTTTCATCCAACGAAAACCGATTTTTTTTTTGAAAAAACTCGGGCCGATTTTTTTTATCGGCCGATTTTTTTTTAAAAACTCGGCCCGATTTTTTTTCATCCAACGAAAACCGATTTTTTTTTTGAAAATAGCCGGGCCGATTTTTTTTTTGAAAAAACTCGGGCCGATTTTTTTATCGGCCGATTTTTTTTAAAAACTCGGCCCGATTTTTTTTCATCCAACGAAAACCGATTTTTTTTTGAAAATAGCCGGGCCGATTTTTTTTTTGAAAAAACTCGGCCCGATTTTTTTTTCATCCAACGAAAACCGATTTTTTTTTTGAAAAAACTCGGCCCGATTTTTTTTCATCCAACGAAAACCGATTTTTTTTTGAAAATAGCCGGGCCGATTTTTTTTTTTGAAAAAACTCGGGCCGATTTTTTTTTATCGGCCGATTTTTTTTTAAAAACTCGGCCCGATTTTTTTTTCATCCAACGAAAACCGATTTTTTTTGAAAAAAGCCGGGCCGATTTTTTTTTGAAAAAACTCGAGCCGATTTTTTTTTGAAAAAACTCGCGCCGATTTTTTTATCCAACGAAAACCGATTTTTTTTGAAAAAACTCGAGCCCAATTTTTTTGAAAAAAAACTCGGGCCGATGTTTTGGCTCTAAACGGAAAAAGAGGGTTTTAGGAAAAAAAGAGGGGTTTTTGAAAGAAATAGGGGATTTGACGGAAAAGAGGGGTTTTGAAAACTTTATTCTCCCAAATGTGGGAATATTTTCACTTCTCATAAAATTTAAGCGCAAGGATCAGATTAAGCTCGAAATTCTGAACAAAAGCAACTTCTGAAACTAACTTTTGAAAATCGTTTGAAGCTTTTGAAAAATGAAGTTTTTGAAAACCCCTCTTTTTATTCTAAACCCCTCTTTTTCCGTTCAGAGCCGATTTTTTTTTATCCAACGAAAAACCTCGGGCCGATTTTTTTGCCACGAGTCTATTTTTGATCAAAAAAAGAAATTTTGAATGAATTCGATTTTCACAGAAAATTGTAAATAATCATAGAAAAAAACGGAACTGAAATAATTTGGGCTTAACTATATTGGGATTCCCAAACACATCAAAACTCACTATCAAACATTCACATTAAAGTATTTGTTTTTCTTCTTGTAAAAGAAATTATCCAATATCTGAAAGTTCGAACAGTATATAAATTTATCTACAGTAATTTGACTCACTTAATTTCCATTCATTTTCCAAACCGATTAGGAGTAGAGTAATAGCGAGAAATGATTAAAAATGTCCCCCCTCTATGAATGAAATAGAAAGATCAGATAAGAGACGTGACCTAGCCATTTTTTTCCGATTAAAAACGTGTTCATTCTTTTCTACACGGAAAAAGTTTTTATTTTTCACGTGAAAACTTGCGCACTTTTGAAATATTTCGAATATCGTGCATCATCTAAAGTTCCTAAGCCAAAGTAATGTATTTGAGATACTCTGATCTCTTATGTGTTGTATAACAAGATGCAGTTATTACTGTAGACAAGACTAGACAGTAAAGTCTTTATTATGAAAGAAAGAATAAGAAATAAGTTCCAGTTCTATACCTCCAAGAACTCCCGAGAACTTCCAAGAACTTTCTGATTATACTCTAGTCGGTCTTCTTTTATACACAGGCATAATAGATGGCACAAATAGATAACCCAAATGACGTTGCACGTTCACGTGTATATCATAATCATTTCTATACACAACACCTTCCCCGTATACAATTGACGAGATATTTGTTGTCTCTTCGTCCAGATCACGAGTCACAGATGTTTCATGCATCAGGCACTGATAAACAATAGCCATCAACCAAATTGATCCACGATCAATAATCCCGAATCCTATTGACAAGATATTCGACTGTAAGATCCACTTACAGATCCTGATCTTCAACATCCTGATTCTAGCTCGCCAAAACCATTTGTTGTTTTTGTATATTTCGACGAACCATTCCACCATAATTTCATAGTGTCTGATAGTCGCACTTTCATCAGCTTGTATCTTGTATTTGTCTGCATTCACACCTTCCTCTTCCCCTTTCGGAATCAATGAGGATATTTTGCTCCAACCATAACCAATATACTTGTCAGCAGCAGGTGTCACACCATCCAATGATGTATCAAGAATTGAACACGAGATAAGCTGATTTCGCATTGTATCAGTTATGTTTCCATCTCCATTCAGCTTGTTCACTCCTTGTTTCAAATTATTGACAAATATTTCTGCTTCTCCATTACGTTGAGAATTGTCAGCTGATGTATAAGTGTGTTTAATGCCAAACTCTTCACACGTGTATTTGATTTGATCAGATACCAATTGTGTTTCGTTGTCTGCTACGAGATGCTCTGGAACTCCAGGCTCTTTTGATTTGGCACCGATCCAACACACTTTTACCATAATGTTGTCTTCCCATTTCAACTCATGAATGAGATCCGCCACACATTCGACTTGCTTGCAGCAATCCAGGTTAGTTCGAAACAACCAAATATCGTCTTTTCCATCCACGATATATTGTTTATGCGAGTCTTCTTCTCTACTGATGTTTTCCACGTCATCCTTCGATGCTCTAGATAGATATGCTATTTCCAGTGTCACGCTCACGTAGACCACTCCTCCATCGTTCTCAAACGAATAGTGTATTGTTTCATTGTATGAATTGTATTCATACCAAGGACTAGCATCCATCCAACAAACAGTAATCTCAATGTTGTCTTTCCATTCCAAATCATAACTCATATTCTTTGGATCCGTTGACATACATTCTTCTCGCCCACAGTGTTTCCAGTCATCGCCATTTCTCCTTTTCCCAATACAATCATAGAAGCTGCATTTGCGAACCAATACTACGATCCAACCAGATAATAATATCACTTGATGTATTTTGTCCACGAAAGACACCACAGTTCCAAATTTTGCAACCTTCTCCCAGTATTTCAAGAAGTATGACCGATTCACTTCGGTTGTTTTCCACCAACTCCATAACTTCGATAATACGACAAGTTTTGACCAAACTGATGTCCGTATAACGAATAACACTCGATGTTTCAACATTCGCACGATAAACCAATCGTTGCTACGAACCATCGCCTTGTTGTATATACCTCGAGATATTTCACCCATCTTGGTGTATCTATTGTATATACTATGGACTCTTTCATCCATTTTCATATTCGAGGTAGCCATCGTACTATTCCGATGTTCCTGCTCCTCTCGACGTTGTTTGGCCATATCAAGATTCCATATCTTGATCTCACACGGCAGCCCCATTGGAACATCAACCGATTTGACTCCAATATCCATAGCTACTTCTCCGCCACCACAACGTTTGGCACTTTCGCCATCATCCACCAACCATGTCACCACTCGGTCCTCACTCTGAGTACCCCTCGCCACGGTCCAACACGAATCAACTATTCGCTCCTCCGAATGACGATCACCAACGAATCCTAGGCACTCCCGATATTCTTCATATCGTTCCAACAATGTGTGCTCTTGATTCTCCTTGGCCTTAATAGTGGACCCACAAACTGCCTTGAGTTTTTCCTTCCAACTATTCTTGGTGCATTTTGTTTTTGGTGTGTCTTTCTGCTTCTGACTAGAAGACTTCGTGTTTTCTCTATTCTTCTTCAACTGCTCAACTTCTTGTATACTTCCAGATATCATTCCAGCAGAACTATTGTATGATATCTCTCCACTTTCCCTTTCCATCGACGAAATTGACGAGTTGCTAGTTCGTCTCTCCAGCTGTTGTCGAAGATTCATATTTTTCTTCTTCAACTGCTCCACACATCTCCATAATTCGCGAAGAATTGTGTTTTCAGGCATGTGTTTTACCAATGTATTTCCATCGTCGATTTTCATAGTTGTTGTCGATCTGGATCGCTGTAAAGATCCTATACTTTGTGTTTTCGACTTCGACATCCTGATCGCCACTGTAAAGTTCCTAAGCCAAAGTAATGTATTTGAGATACTCTGATCTCTTATGTGTTGTATAACAAGATGCAGTTATTACTGTAGACAAGACTAGACAGTAAAGTCTTTATTATGAAAGAAAGAATAAGAAATAAGTTCCAGTTCTATACCTCCAAGAACTCCCGAGAACTTCCAAGAACTTTCTGATTATACTCTAGTCGGTCTTCTTTTATACACAGGCATAATAGATGGCACAAATAGATAACCCAAATGACGTTGCACGTTCACGTGTATATCATAATCATTTCTATACACAACAATTCACATTAAAGTATTTGTTTTTCTTCTTGTAAAAGAAATTATCCAATATCTGAAAGTTCGAACAGTATATAAATTTATCTACAGTAATTTGACTCACTTAATTTCCATTCATTTTCCAAACCGATTAGGAGTAGAGTAATAGCGAGAAATGATTAAAAATGTCCCCCTCTATGAATGAAATAGAAAGATCAGATAAGAGACGTGACCTAGCCATTTTTTTCCGATTAAAAACGTGTTCATTCTTTTCTACACGGAAAAAGTTTTTATTTTTCACGTGAAAACTTGCGCACTTTTGAAATATTTCGAATATCGTGCATCATCTACGAAAAATTTGGAACACGTTGGTCCAAGTCTCATTCAAAACGGTCTTCTAGAAATTGAGTTACGGTCGGCTACACATTTTTATTTTCAAAAATACATTGAATTTCAGGAGTTTTTTCAGTTAAAAGTTTCCCTGCGCACTACAACAAAAAACTTTGAAATTTCATAATGTTCTGCATCATGCTGCAACTATTTGGAAACTTTTCTTTTTTTAACCAAAACTTTTCATGAAGTAGAAAAAAGTTGGTCCATCTGACATACGCACTTCTTAAAAAGCAGTTTTCAATTAGTATATATAGTAGATAGTAGATAGATAGATAATCGAAAAAAATCACGCTAAATAAATCTCTTTTTTTCAGGCTGGACGCTCATTTCTTGAAATTATTTATTTTGTATTCGGTCTGTATTCAATGAGAGCTCTCAATTAAAGGTAAGTTGGAGTTTATTTTTATTTTTCTTGCTATGACCCAGAGAAATTAATTTCAGATTGCTTGAGAATTCGGAATTGAGTGAGCCAATGATGAAGCCAAAATGAATTTGAGGATTTGGTTTGAGGATACAACTGCAACTCATGTCAGGTCAGTTAATTAAATGAGTTTTGGGTTTGGTTTTGGGTGAAAGAACACAGTGATTTGTGTTGAATTATATCAGGTAAGTTTGGGGTATAGTTTTATAGTGTATAATTTGAGACGAAATATGCACTCTCAGTTGCTTACAAGCCAGGACTTGTGGAAAAAAAGGAAAATCCCTCAAAATGTTATTTTTTTCATTTTTCCTATTATTTTTATAGTTTTTTTTTTTAAATATTCCACATTTCTTTTTGATTTGTGTTTGAGTTAAGTTACAAAGCATCCAACATAAGTCCTATGACAGCTTTTTGCGGTGTAAAACTTGAAACGAATTGAAGATGAATTTCGAAAGGCTGTTGTCTACATCAAATATTTGAAATTATCAACATCTTTGGCTTTTTTTGCAACCTCAGAGTTCAAAAAATCAGATACTTGATTTCGAATTTCAAACATTTTCAGAATTTTTATTTGTCTATCATTTCTTGCCTGTGAAATCTTCATTCGAAATCATAACATTATTTCAAACTGAAAATAAATGTTTTCTAAACAATTTCAACTATGTTTCTGTTTTCTATCAATGGGTTTGATCAAGATGATTTCTTGTGACACCGACGACGTTGCTATGTTGTAAGTGAAACAAATATTCATACAAATTCCCTGAGTTTGTATCAGGTTTCAAAATGCGTTGAATCGAGAAAAAGGACCTATGGCAATAGACAATATCTTACGCGAGTTTGATCATGAAAACTTGACAGTATTTATTTGCGGTTACCGGTTGGCAGTTGGTATGTATTTTTATTCAATTGAATCCTTTGTGAAACACATTTTTTGTTAGAATCATTTGGAATATTCGTACTGAAGGATTACATTACTTATGAGGGAAATCGATATAATAGCAGTTTCAAAAATGTTACACAATTTTCAGTCGAAAATTCCAAAGATACTTATGATTTTGAAATAACAATGCAAAGTTCGATGAGTTTCCATGAGACTCGAAGAATTAAACTCAGAGAAAATAAGGGGCGTTTTCAACAAATTGAAATATCTGGAAGTTGTGTGGATTCATATAATATTGATAGAAGTTTGATGGTTAATCAATGGGTTCCTAAATTGAAAAATGTTAACAAAACTGCAAAGGAATTTATGAAGGAAGTCAGAGAAAAAGTACCAATACATGATGAGAAATTCTTCCATCGAACTGATATAATTTTTCAAAAAGATCGGCTTCACTTTAATAGTATGTATTCAGAAGCATAACAATTTACGTCATTATTTAGTTTCCAGGCAGATATTTCGAATGGCTTAAAAAATTCAGCCGACACTTCAAACATCGAAATGAATTGTTTTCTTCAATTGTTTTCGAAAATATTGATCATATTGTTTTTCTAACTGCGCATGTTTTTGAAAGTATTAGAAACAAAGATAGAACTGAAGTTTGGTATTTTTTCATCGAAGCAACATGTGAACAAGAAATTGAAGAGCAATGGACAATTCGACAAATGCATTTCAGACCAGAATATAATCATCATCGAAATATTCATAAACTTCGGGCAGCTTTGATGGAAGAGCTTGATTTTTTGATCCAAGAGTGAATTGAAAAAATCCTGCAAAAAAACTATATATTAATTTCAGAATTGAAATCATTTCTGAAAACCGACCAAATGGAAACTTATACGAAATCGAAAAATATGGAAACGCATTACGATTTGATAATCCTGAATTGAAACTAGACTATTACAGTGGAACTGTTATGTTCATGAAAGTATTTGAAATTCCATATTCCATGAAATTAGAAAAATGCGAAAAACATCTGACAGAACAAGGACAAGATCTTACAGCCAATATGAGTTGTTATTATAGTTATTATTTGAGTGGAAATCAAAAATTGTTCAATGAAATGAAATTTAAAATTACGGCGTATATGGTAAGTACGATTCAGCATAATTATCTATCAAAAAAACCTTGAAGACACGTAGAAAGCTAGAGATTTTTTGAAATCATTTGCATATTTTATAGCATCCTTCAAATATTGGAAATACATAAACAAAATTAAGAAATATTGAGTTTAGCAAAAGTCAAAACAAGAAATTGCCTTTTTTGAAATCGCTCAGCCGACGAAAAGTTGGTGTTTGCACAAATTTTCGTGATTTGACGCAGATGTGTGCATTCTTACTACTGTACTACCACTTTTTATTTATTTTTTTCGTTTTTCTTACGAACAACACACAACTTTGGAAAACGCGCGGATTCAAATTTCGAAGATTACGAACACACATTTTTAGTTTTCTATGTGTCTTTAATTTCTCTCTAACATTAAACATAAAAGTTTTAAGGACGATTTTGGAATCGAAGCGTTGTTATGGAAAATTACAAGAGTTAATGAAATAACTGTGAAATATACACCTTATTCACTATATATTTATGTGAGAAAATCAATTTTTACGCACAAAAAAGATTATTTTTTAGACAGATTTAGGCGACAAAACATTTGTTATAAATTACAATTTTCATGCGATTAAAGCCGCTAGAATAATAATTGGACAATCAAGTTTTGAATATTGGAATTGGGAAAACAATTTTAAAAAACTTCTAGGATTTATTGATAACAATGATTTTAGTTTGAAAATTTGTGGAAAAACATACAAGAAAAATGGTGCAGAGTTTTTCAAAAAATACTTGGAAAGAAATCGAAGAACAACTAAACTTTCGAAATTTCATACTGAAGTGACCACACAAAATCGAGAATCCGGTATAGTATTTAAAATTGTCTACACCTCGATAAATTCGATGGGATTTTTCATGACGGAAATTTATACAATTGATGCTGAAGACACAACTTTCCGTGATTTTCAATGGGAATCAGTTGAAATTGAGGGAGCTTGTATTTACGAAAATTTGAATATTGATTTTATTCATTCAAAGATGTCTGAAAATACCGATTTGATAAAGGAAATCAATGATTTTGTTAGTACAATCGAGTAAGTTTAAAATAACTCATTGTCATTTTCATATTTACTTGAAGGTTTCCATACATTGGAAATAAAGGTAGTATCAACCTATATACATATTCTGAAAACTTCAAAGGATACATCATAGCAAACCCTGAAGTTATGGAAGTTTATCAATTTAATGATTTCGAACTTTATTTGCATAATTTTGTGGAAACTAACAAATTGAGACAAAAATCGAGTTCAACTATGATTAAAATTGAACAAAATAGTTTTGTCGTGAAGATGTCAATGATTTTCGATCAATTTATTTTTGATAAAAATCAATCATCGAATGATGAATGGATTTTTTTGATTGAAGGATCTAGAAATTCTGAGGAAAGATGGGAAATAAAACAACTAGTGATGTCACCAAAATTAGAACTTCTTGCTGAAAATATAATACAACGAAGAGCGGCAATTAGTCACGTGCTAAATACGGAAGAAGTGTGAGTACTGAATTAGTTTTGGAAACTATTCAAGTGAAATTAGATTTTTTCCAGTTACTCCGATGTTGTTGAAAATGTGAAAAATATGTCACGAAATTCAAGTCATCCAAAAATTGACTTAGACAACTGCAAAACCCTAACTTCCGATCACACCGTTTTCGAATTCCATAAGTTTTTGGAGCGTTTTGTGGAGTTTTTGAAATTGGCCGATAACAACACGTTAACTCATGAGCATAAACTTCCAATATGGAATTCGGTCAAGTCTTTTTCGTTTGAAACGCGATATGAATTTAAGAATTCTGGATATCGCCAAGCTTTTGTGGTCAAAACGTTTGCGGAATATGTAAGGCGATTATTAAGTACATCATTTTCATAGAAATTTTTTCCAGAATTTCAAACATGGATTTTATACCGATGTGAAAGTTGAGATAACTTGTCCTGAATATGTATTCAGGCCAGCGGGAAGAATTGTATAAGCATAAATTTTTGGTTGAATAAAAATATTGATTCAATAAAAAAGGCGTCATTCATTTGACATTAGCATATTTTTTAGCACAACGTTTTTTCTCTTCTACAGGAAACCTTTGAGCAATAAGTGGGGATTAATCAGCTCCAATTTTTATATTGAAAAATACTATGTCGATATTACTCGTTTTCTGATGAATGATTCAATTTTCATTTCTTATTATGAAATATTTTGAATCTTTTCATTTTTACGGGAATTTTCGAGTTCAAGCTATTTTTTTGTTGAAAAAACATGGGAAATTTTAATTTTCTTTTCCGAGCAGAATTAACCCCATTAAACCCTTTATTAAAATACAAATTCTGCAAAGTTTAAAATGCATATTTCTGTGGACACAATATTTCGAATTCATTGACATAATACGTATCAGACTTTGGCTGCTGAAAAACTAAATTTTCAAAAAAAAAATCCTCCAACTTTCTGTTTTTGGAAACTCACATAAACTGCATAGAAAATCGTGTCAATGAAATGCAGTTCCCCACCCGAACTTCCCTCAAAATAATAACGAATTCGGAATTTTGGATTTGGCGCAACTTCGAGAAGATGTTTAACATTGTAAACTTGCCAATGTTTTTCGGATGCTTTTAGGGTTTTTAGGAGAGGCATGAAATCTGAAAAAGATTACTGTACATAGAACTGATGTTTGAGAAGCTCGAACTACAAGGGGTACTGTAGCGCAAAAAACCTTAGACTACACGGTATACTCTAACAAAACTGCAAGGAGACCTAAGGATTACAGTAGCTCGCAAAGATTACGGTAGCCTTAAGATTGGTGCATCCAAAATTAAAATTTTGGAACTTATGAAAAATTAACTTACTGTATCCATCAACACTTGTAGTCACAGTTTTGTTGTTGCATTCTGGAGTTTGCTCAACTTTCTCGATCTGATTGTTTTTGCGCATCTCTCCCAAATTCTGCTCAATTTTCTTTTCCATATTGTTCATCAATTCAAAAAGTTGTCGACTTTGCATGTTATAAATATTCAAAAAATTCCTCATCGGAGGTCTCACAAAAACTCTTGAAACTTTCCAATCTTTCTCATTTTTCAAATTAATTTCAATTGTAAATTCCCACAAATCCATGAAATGCGAAGAGAGAACTGGAATATGACGATATTCAAAAATCACATTTGTTCGGAAAACTAGATGATCCGTCTGTTTTAGAATGATTTGAGTTTCAGCATTTCCTCCCACATTTTCTCGAATATCTCTTCGCCTTCTGAATCTTTGAGAGAAATCTTGCATATATTTTTGAAAATCTTCCAAATTATATTTATAATCAGAAGCATTTTCGAACTCCAGATTTGAATCGATGATTGCCTCAAATTTCTGATCAAAAATCCCTCGATTTTTATCGAAGTTGAAAGAAAATGGGATCAATTTGGTGATCTCGTTCATAAATTCTTCAGACGTTTTATTGGTTTTTGGTTTTTCAGATTTTGCAGCGATTGCTTGGAATATCAGCTTTTTTTTAATGGTTCTTGAATGAATACATGATCCATTGATGTTAAACTTTTTGATTACCCAGTTTCCATTTTCTTGAACCGCAGAAATGTTGTATATTTCTGTTGAAATGTAGTTCATGATATTTGTTTGATTGAAAGTCACTCGGAAATTGGCAGTTGGCTGGAAGTCCATAATAGTGAATTCGATTTTCTGGAAATGTGTGATTGTTTTCTTGACTTTTCTGTAAACTTTCATGACCTAATTAAGTATATACCCGATGCTTCAATTAAATAAGTTCAACTCTTAGAAATTCTTTTCAAATGATTCCCACCTTTGGGTCCTTCTTCTTCATTTGTCTTCTCTGAACATGCAAATAACTAATAACAGGCATTGAAACCACTTTCTCACATAATTCACAAACCATATTTTCATTTTCCAAATAACTATACAACAAATCCGCATTTTCCTTCCAATCCGAATTTTCCAAACTCGATTGTTTCGCCAGAATTTCAGCAAAATGATGCACAAACGTTCTGACGTCATTTGTAGATCGTTCTTTTGCTATTTTTATTCCTCTTATCATAAATGTATTTTTATCTCTTCGTGTTCTATTCGCTAGTTTTTCATAAGAATTACAAATATGAAAATTCTCATCGCAATTTAGAGTCAGGTTTTCCGATTTTAATTTGGTCTCAGCTTGAGTTACTGGAACTTGGAAGAAAAATATAATACTTAAAATGAACCACATATCTCTTCAAAAATGAATAAAAAATGAAAAATAATATCGAAGAAATTTTGGTGCCATATTTTATTTTGTCCAGACTATGTGAGAATATTACTTTCTTTATTTTCTGAAATCAAATCTTCACAGGAATTTTTGTAGAGGTACCTCAGAACTTGAATTCAAAAACTGTCAGTTCAGTAGCAGTTACTGTATCTTAAAATAACTCCAAAATGTCTAGAAGTCATGTTTCAAAATAACCTTGATTTTGATTTCGAAAATTGACCGAATTTTTTTTATGAACTTGAGACTCTCCTTAATCTAATTGAAACATCTAAAAGTTCCGAAGAATCATGTTTTTTTTATCGAAAAAAAATTAATTGACCCGAATGTTTTTCATTGTTAATAATTCAATTTTTTTGAATTTTTTATTCATAACAAAAAATTCAAAAAAAATATCATCCCATGAATTTTCTAACACATTCTTGATTCTCCACATTAAGAAAATACATTTTGAAAAATCCCGGAGTGTGCAAAGCGGGTCTCATGAAAATATACCGGCCATCTTTGATAGTTTGCTCGAAGAATCTATAAACAGCCTCATAATTCTTGGTGTATCCAGGATGAAGTTCAATATTGAATTGACAAATTTTCAAACCAATTTCATCGAATTTTCCACCTTTTGCAAAATAATGATAGAAATAGTGTTCCCCTCCTTCAATATCCAAGAAAAGTGTATCGATTTTTTTGATTGTCAATAGTTTCTCAAAAAAATATCCAACATCTAAAGTTGCAACAGCCTGTTCGCCATAAACATCTGTAATAAAAATAGGGACTTCTAATTAGAACATTTCTTAACCTTACTCTTCTTAGGCAACACTGGAAAATATTGAATCTTGGTTTCATTTGCTAATGCAAATGCAAAAAATGATCCTCCAAGTTGATCAGTAATTAATTCATAATTAATATCAATCATTGGATCAACTCCATAGAATTTTGTATTTGGTTGATGTTTTTTGAGTTTAAGTTCAGCGGTGACGTCATGACCAATTCCAAGAGTTACGTGATTATTTTCTTCTTGCTGGAAATTGATTTGAGCTACGACACTCCGCGTTTACACCTCTCAAGGTGTGAACACGGAGTATTGTTTTGTTTCCCAACTCACACATTTTGGATAAATCAACCACTTAATCTCATCCCGATTTGCAACTGCACGAATATCCAAATTCTTAAATTCATCAATAAAATCACATTTTCTAGCAGAAGTCACCCATTCATCAAAAAGTTTCTTAGAATCGCCATTGAATGAATCAAAAACTGGTTTGATACATTTCTGAAATCCCTGCAGAGCTGATTTCGCGATTTTCGAACCGAGTTCAGATTCAGAATTGAAGTCACATTTTTGAGTTGAGTTGATTAACTCTTGAACAGATTTACTGATCTCGGCAACTCGCTGAAATTTTTGGTAATTTTTGTTTTGACCTTGAAGTGTTCGTATTATCAATTGAGAAAGTGTTGAGAACTTGAAAAAGATTTTTGAAACAGTGAATTTTAAATTCAAAAAACTTTCATGAAACAATGATTTTTTGAAAAGTGTAAAAATCTATCACTAAATTTTGAAACAGTGAAAATTTTTTTCAATATTCCAATCTCAAACTAACCGCTGAATCAACTTCCATCTCAAAATCATCTAATTCACTTCTAGGACCATTATAACCATAAACTTCAGGACGAATCTCCAATTTTTTCACGGTTTCTGCTTTTTTGCCATTTTCTGCAACTTTATTTTGAATTTGAGCTAAAACTTGATTTCCTCCAACTTGATTTTGATTTTCAGTTTTTTCTTCTTCTAGAACATAATTTTTTCCAGCTCCAACTCCAAAATAAATCAATACAGCGATTGAAAAAGCAATCAAAATAAATATTTTATTCGAAGATATTTTTCGATCCTTCAGCTCTAGATTCGAATACATCTTATTCTCAGGCAACTGTGAGGATTTCAGAGATTTGATTCATTTTATAGTCGGAAAATTTTTGAACTGAAAATGAAACAGGAATCTCATACGATAATCGAAACTTGATAAATCCATGATTTCAAGTCCAATTTTTTCCGAAAAATTGAAAAATTCTATTAAATCACCTCGCATCCACATTTTTTCTCAAAAAAATCGAGATCTAATCATCGAAAAAATTGAAAAACTATTAAAGAATCGGGTCCACGTTGGCCAAATTTCATCATGTTCCGATGATCTTAAACAATCTCGAAAAGAAAAGGAATGTCGTGGCTACTGTAGATAAATATAGTAGACACAAGGAAGGAAGGATATATTTTGATATTTTTTTTATTTCATGAGAGGTTTTCAAAATTATTCAAACAATTAACAGGTTCATGCTCCAATTAATTCACCTCCTGGTTTGAACAAAGCTTTCGGACAAGTTATCTCAAGTTTCACATCGTAATAATACCCATATTTGAAGTTCTGAAATTTTTTCATGAAAAAGTCTTCACTTTTTACATGTTCTTACATATTCCGCAAAATGTTTAACTACAAAAGCCTTCGCCATTCCATTCTTCACATACTCATAACTAATTTCAAATTCAAACCCATCTAGTTTGACTTTCGGGATTGTTTTCCAATTTTTTAGTGGGATTTTAGGAGCAGCCAAATTTGAATAAGCCGAAAATTTGGGCAAAAACTTTTTGTATTCTGTAACTGTATGGTTGAAAGTTAGCGTTTGACAATGTTTCAAATCCACTTTTATATCCTTAATATAGGCATCTTTGGCACCTTCTGAATAATTTCCAAATATTCTTGATCAATTTGCATCATATGATAATTAGCAGCTCTTTTTGGAATAATATTATTCACAAGAATTTCTAATTTCGGTGACATCACTAGTTTTGTTATCTCCCAAAGACCCTCAGAGTTTTGAATAACTTCTATCAAAAAAATCCATTCATCATTTGTCGATCGATTTGAATTCAAAATAAAATGATCAAAAATCATTGACAATCTGAAAACTATATGGCTTTCTTTGTTCATAATTATTGTTGGATCCGATTTGTCTCTCAATTTATTGATTTCTAGAAAATGATTCGTATAATGTTGATAATCCTGATTTCGATAAACTTGACTGATTTTTGGATTCGTTAAAATGTATCCTTCAAAGTTTTTGGAATTTGTTTTTCTGCAAAAATTAGCTAGTAACATTTTTCTAGGCTTCCAGGATCCCCCATGAATCTTACTTAAGTTCGTTGATAAATGTCTTGACCTCATGTTCCCCTGAAATATTCATATTCATCAATCCATTTTCAATTGGATATATCAACTTCAAATCTATCAACTTATCCCAAATACAAGCTCCCTCAATTCCAACAGATTTAATTTTCCAATTGCCAAATACATCATGTGCAGCAGCAAACTGATAAATTTCAGTCATAAAAAATCCCATAGAATTTGTAGAAGTGTAGGAAACATTGAATTCTATACTCGATCTAAAACTTTTTGTAAATATTTCCGCATCGAAAATCATTGGTTTTGTTGTTCTTTGATTTCTTTGCAGGTATTTTTTGAATACTTCAGCTACGTTTTCTTTATAGGAGTTGTTACAAATCCTCAAATCGAAATTATTGTTTTCAATTAATTTTTCAAAAGTTTCAGATGTATTTGTCCAATTCAAATATTCAAAACTTGATTGTCCAATCAATAATCTAGTAATATTTCTAGCAATATAATTGTGATCTATCCATGATTTTTTGGAGTTAGCCAATCCTGACTGCAACAATTACATAATTTCTTTTTTGAAAGTTGTTTTTTTTTTCACTTACAACATAATATGGAAAATTTTCAGAATCTTTGATTCTAATCTGATCAATTATTTTGATATAAGAAATATATGCTTCAATCTCATAATAGTCCATTGCTCCAGTCACTTCCATTTTTAATTGCCTTGATAATTTTCGATTCTGATTGTCACTCCAAAATTGACAAATCAAAATGACTTTTATATTTCTCCCATCTTCTTTTGGTAGTTTCTCACATTTTTCTAGCTGAAAATTTGATTAGGATTGGCAGAATTTTGAAAAAACAATTACTTTTATTGATAATGGAATTTTGAAGACTTTGGTAAAGAGATCCGAATCATTTTGATACTTTGGAAGTAACTCAGCTTTTTCAAAGCTCAAGACTTGTTGATACCATTCGAGTTTTGGAAGGTTGTTGCTTGGACGATTTTCAGCAACGTTTTCTATTCTGAAAAAAAATAGAATTTAAAGGGTTGGTGCTTCTCTGGTGAAAAAATCGTCTGCAAAAAGGTGTCACAGTGTTGTGTTCAAAGTTGTGTGCAAACACACACACAAAAATTCAAAAACAAGTTGTGCGCTAGAGCGCATTTACATGTTTTATTTCGTAGGTTTTAACTCGCTTGTGTTTTTTTTTTTAAACATGGGCTGAATTGATACTAGAATTTTTTCTAAAACTGGAACCTTCCAGGAGCACCTTATTCCTATCTAAACCAAGCAAGATTCCCTGGCGAAGCACCAACCCTTTAAAAGGCAAAATGCATTTTGAGTTTCATCCAATAATTTGACATTTCTAAAAAAAAAGCTCATAATCTTCTTTTAAACGTTGCCAAATCATAACTCATATTAGGACTTGAGTACTGCAGTTTTGGGATAGTGATCAACCTTTAGAAAATTATCAGAAAATTTCTTTTCAACCCACTCTTCAATCAAAAAATCAACTTCTTCCATCAAAGCATCCCTTTGCTTTCCAATATTATGAAATAAATTATAATCCGGTCTAAAATGCATTTCTCGAATCGCCCATTTCTCTTCAAATTTTCCTGGCATCGAATAAACAGGCGAATGATCATAAATTGCTTCAATAATAAAATGCCAAACTTCAGTTTTCTCATTGTTTTTGATATTTTCGAAAACATGTGAAGTTCGAAAAAGGATACGATCAATGTTCTCAAAAATAATGACAGAATTTAGTTCAGCTCGATGTTTGAAGTGTTTCTTAAATTCAGTAACCCATCCAAAATAATATTCTGAAAAAGCATTGAAACTCTTGTGATAAACTACTGATCTATAATCAAAAAAATTTCCATCCTCAGCTAACGGTGTTTTTTCGATGATTTCATTCATAAATTCTCTCGCAGTTTTGTTAACAATTTTCAATTTAGGGATCCATTCATCAACTATCAAACTTCTATTGAAATTTTTCGAGTCCATACAACTTCCAGATATTTCAACGTATTGAAGATGATAGTTTGGTTTATAAATCAAGCTTGGTCTAATATCAACTTGGTTGGATTTGATTCTTCGAATATCATGGAAATGCATCGAACTTTGCATTTTTATTTCAAATTCATAATTTTCTATAAACATCGAATCTTCGGCTGGAAATTCTGTAATATTTGTGAAACTATTATTATATCGGTTTGCCTCATAAGCAATGTAATCCGCCAGTGCGTAATATCCAAATGAATCTAGAATTCACAAAATAATATGTACATATTTCAGAGAGTTACAATAACTATAGACATACCAGTTCCTAAAGTTTCCCCACAAACAATAACTGTCAAAGTTTTTCGATCAATCCACTGCTTCTGGAGAGCACGGAATACCGGAGCTCCAGTTTGTCGAGTCAACAGCGTTCGAAACCTGATATGAATTTTTCAGAAAGGTGTAGGAATATTTTAATTTGCATTACTTACAGCTTACCCATGCTGTCAGTGTCACAAAAAATAACATTGAGTAATCCAATCGAGAAAAATATTAGAAATTGTTTAGAAAACATTTATTTTTGTTTTTTGAAATGGATGTGATGGTTTGAAGAATGAAGGCGAGAAATGATAGACACATAAAAATTCTGAAAATTCTTGAGATCTTATTGGTTTTCTGAACTTTGTTTCTAATTTCAGTGGTTGTTTTTTGAAAATGGTAATGAACTACATACGAACAATAAAACAATTCCAAAATCAATATAAACATTTAGTGAAACGTAAGATTTCCAAGAAAAAAATATTTAAATTCAGAAATTTGAATTTTCATTCACAGTAAAAAAGACGTTTCAATTTTTATTTTGATCCACAGAGGAGAAATTCAAAGATCTGCAAAAATTTTCAGAAACGTATATTTCACAAGATAATTTTATCATAAAACTTTTATTTTTAGACATCAACTGGACAAGTTATCGTTGGTTCAATTCAAATTTCAAAGCTTTCAGTGACTTTTTCAAAATGCCCCTTTGATTTTGCAACTCGAAAATTTTCAGATTTTTTATTTGTCTATCATTTCTTGTCTGTGAAATCTTCCATTTTTAAAATCATAGCATTATTTTCTTCTTCAAACAAAAATAAATGTTTTCCAAACAATTTCTAATATTTTTCTCGATTTCATTTATTCAATTAATCCATGCAATTTCTTGGGATACCATAAATATTCCAAATTTGTAAGTGAAACAAAACATCAGTAATTATTTTGAAAGTTGTAGGTTTCTAAATTCTTTTAATCCACGGAAAATGCCTTTGGCGCTCGAGAGACTTGGATTTTGGATGGATCGGGATAATTTGAATTTTACAGTTTGCGGTGAAGTTTTGGCAACTGGTTTGTGAATAATATTTTTTTTTCGAAACGTATAATTATTTTTCTAAATGTAAGACTCTTCTGGATTAACAGCACTGGTTGACTACCTCATTTTTGAACAAAATCGGTATAATGAAAGTTTCTCAAATATTACAAACTTCCCAATTGAAGATCAAGATAAGACAAAATTGTTTCACTTCGAAATAACATTGAAAAGTTCAATGGGATTCCAGGATAATAGAACAATTAAATTGAAAGCAGTTGATACAAAAGGATTCTTGGAGCCCGCAGTATGGCGGATTCAAGAAGTTGAGATAACTGGAAGTTGTATTGATTCGAACAATATGAATAGAAATTCGACAATTGATGAATGGGTTCCAAAATTGAAACGTGTCAGCAAAAATGCGCAATTTTTTATGAATGAAGTTATTCGAAAAATTCCATTCGAAGATCAGCATTTCTTTCATAAGAATTGCACAATTTTTCACAAATGGATTGATCCATTCTCAATAGGTACGATTCATTTTTTTGTTTCATTGATACCCAATTTCTGTTGTTATTTTAGAAACATATTTTGAATGGCTTAAAAAATTCAGCGCACTTTTCAAACATCGAGCTGAATTGAACACGGTTATTATTTCTGAAAATATTGATCATATCGTCTTCCGAACTTCGCATATTTTTGTAAATAAAACAAACGATGATAAAACTGAAAATTGGCATTTTATTATTGAAGCAACTTGTGAAGAAGATTGGACAATTCGACAAATGCAATTCAGACCAGATTATGATATTTTCAATAATATTGAGAGACACACAGAAGTAATGACTCAAGAAATTGATATTTTGATTCGAGGGTGGGTTGATTTTCTGGAAAAAAATTTTAAAAATTCAAAACTTGAAGCTTGTATCTCAATTTCAGAATTGAAAACATTTCGCAAAACCGATCAAATAGAAACTTCTACAAACTTGAAGAATATGGAAATGCAATACATTTTGATAATCCTGAATTAGTTCCTAAACATGACAACAAAACCGATCTTTTCGTGAAAGTATTTGAAATTCCACCTTCGCTAAAACTCCTAAAATGCGATAAGATTGTGAAAAAAGAAGGTTGGAATCTGAAAGCCACAATGTTTTGTCAATATTGTCAGTATTGTTCAAACAAATTCTATTATTCGAATAATAATGTGAAATTTTCAAAAATATTGAAATTGGAAATTGTTGCAGAGATGGTGAATTTTTTTTTATTACATAGAATTCTATTAGAATTTTTAATTTTTTTATAGAATGATAATAAGATTGAAGCAAACTTGATGGAAATCAAGGTATTTGATACAATTCATATTAAAAATGGGGTAAGATAATATTTTAAAAAGTAGAAGAAGAATGAATTTTCAGGAAGTAGAAGTTGCGATAAATCACAATTCGATTGCTAGAAATATTACAAACTTATTAATTGGACAATCAAGTTTTGAATATTTGAATTGGGAAGAGAATTTCAAAAAATTACAAGAATATATTAGAAAAGATGATTTTGATGTGAAAATTTGTGGAAAATCACACAAAGAAAATCAAACAAAAATATTTGAAAAATATTTGGAAATAAATAGAAAATTAACCAAACTTTCAAAATACAATATTGAAGTGCTCACCAAAACTGAAGAATTTGGTATAAACTTTACAATTGGCTACACTTCAATAAATTCCATGGGCTTTTTTATGACTGAAAATTACACGATTGCTGCTGTAACATTTTATAAGAGCTGCAAAACAAAACACTGTGGAGTTCGACCAAAACAATGGCGAATAAAATCAATTGAAATTAAAGGAGCTTGTCTTTTTGAGAATTTTGATTCTAGATATATTGATGTTTTAAATCCTGAAAATCTACAATTTGGAAATGAAATTGATGCATTTATCAGCAAAGTTAAGTAGGTTTTTTCTCATAAATAAAAACAATAACAAGATTTTCAAGAATTCCGCACATTGGAAACAAAGGCAATATTAAATCTCAATATTCCAAGAACTTTGAAGGATACATTATGACAAACTCGAATATTAGTGAAGTTTATAAATTTGAAGATTTCAAAAAATATATGGGAAACTTTGTGAAGGTTAACAAATTGAAACGGCAATTGAATACAACAAGAATTATAAATGAACAAAATCGTGTGTTTTTCAAAGTTTCAATGATTTTTGAACAAGATCTTCGTAAAAATCAATATGAATGGATATTTTACATTCAAGGATCCAAAAATTCAAAAGAAAAATGGGAAATAACAAAAGTTGCGATGTCACCAAGTTTAGAACTTCTTACAAGTAATACGTTGAATATATAAATCAAAATTATATCAATAAAAATTTATTCATAGCCGAATTTGGTTTTTTTTTTGTAAAAAAAAATTGCAGTACTACAAATCCCTCAAATTTTCTAATGAACCAAATACTGTTATCACTAAATTCATATTTTCCTTTTTTTTCACAAAAAAAGTGTTGCAAAACATTGCTCATGTTTATTTTTCCCTCATGTTCTTCTAGCATTTTCTTTTTGAAAATATTTTTGCCCATGACTTTTTTTGTTTCTCTCAACCACAAATACACCTCATTAGTGCCCAAAGACTTTTCTGTTCAAATCAATCAATTTTTTTTTTGGCGACGCCAATTTTTTCTCGTCGAACACATAGATACTTTTCCTCTTTTTCCTGCACGGGCTTTTGTTTGGGTGTGAAAAGAGGAAAACATTTTTGGGCAACATTTGTTTTTTGTTTTCAATGAATTTAGTTTTTTGAGAAATCGAATAAAAAATCAAATTTTTCCATTTTATCTGGAAATTTTGAAACGTATTTTTATAGGAATTTTTTGTATACCTATTCCCTACTGTAGCTCTCAAACTTTAAAGTATACTGTACTCTTATTGTAACTCAATAGGGTACTGTAGCTTTGAGTTTTAGATAGTTTTTTTTTTCAAAAACTACAGTATCAGGTTTTGCATGAAGTAACTCAAAAAATTTTAAATAATTTTTTTTCAATAAATTAAAGTGATTTTAAAAATCAGTTTTGTTGTCTCAGATCGATTTGAATTTCAATTAAAAATGAGCCGAAGAGCAAGTTTTCCTAGAAATTGCAAGAAAAACAGCGGGGTGAGCTCACAACTTTTGAAAACTCCAAATTTTCCACCAATTCAGTTCGAATGTTGTGTTTGCCTTGAAACGGGCTCTAAAGGGGATATGAAAGCTCTCCCAAAAACACGGCGACTTGTGGAAAATTATATCCGAAAGCTTGGTGAAATTTATCGAGAAGTTTTGATAAATCGACAAGACGCTTTTATCTGTCGGGCGCATTTGAAAAAACCAAAATTGAATATGAGAAGAGTTCGCGAGGAAGTTTATGAAGAACCGCAAAAAGAAAAAGTGGCTGAAGCTGGAGCTGAAGTTGAAACTGAAGTTGAAGCTGAGCCTCAGGAAGATCTTGTTCCTTTGATTGTAGGTTGAAACGCAACAAATTTATAATCAAAATTAAATTATTTTCAGCCAAACATCAAACGAGAACAGGAAGATTTTAGAAGATTTGAAATTGCCAGTGGATCGGGAAATTTTATGGTATGTTTTTAAAGGGGCCAAGATTTGGGAACTTTCTAGACCTAAACTTCAGTTTTTTTCTCAACCAAAACCAATTTTTCAGCCAAACTATCCCGGAGCTGAAATTCCACCAATCGTCAATCCATTCCAGGAATATGATTTTCCTTCCCAATTCCAGAATCAATCAGAACAACCCTTTGTATGTATATTTTTTTTCGTAAAACTAAAATGTGATAAATTTCGGATTGAATATACTGTGATATAAAAAAAATTGACCCAAACTTCAATCAACCAAAACTAATTTTTCAGCCAAACTATCCCGGAGCTGAAATTCCACCAATGTTCGAACAACCAGTTTACCCCCAATTCCAGGATCAATCAGAACAACTCTTTGTATGTATATTTTTCTTCTTCAATTTTCCTTTCCACAAAAATCCACGTTTTCAGATAAACTTCCTGAACCAGTCTCAAAATTCCGAGCCATCATCAAGCTATTTCCAATTCCCAGAACTTCAAAATAATTTTCCGGTGAGTTCTTCTACATAACATTCTAGAAAAATTTCGAAATAATTAATTTCAGGACTCAAATTTCCAACAACAACACAATTTTGGAGGATAAATTGTCACTTTTTTGAAAATTCTGAAGTTAAAGGTTTTTTGATTGGAGAATAAATATGTTTTCAGAAAATGTATTGGCAAAAACTCATAGAAATCCAGAAAATTATTGAAATTTGCCACGTCATAACTGTAATGTTTCCTCTTCCTCTCATTTTCTCTCATGACATTTTGCGCCTATCAAAAATGAATCGTCCCCTTTTTTCTTGTGGTGTACATATGTGTCACAAGTTAGTAGAAATGTGGCAAAAATAGTTGTTGCACGTTTTTTTTCCTCATTAAACAAATAACGTTAATTGGGCTTCTAACTTCTTATGTTTTCCTCTTTTTCATTTTAATTTTTTGAATTCTCAAATTTCCTTTGGCACCAAAGACAAAAGTTGCCAGAAATTCCTGTGAGCACTTTTCTGGAAACTTCCGGCCATAGAATCTGAGCAGCTTCGGAACCCTAGATCAGAATCATCTAATAATTTACAACAGTAACAATTTCAGCTGAATTCAGGAATTCGGGAAGCCGAAATCAAACCAGAAATGGAAAACTCGAAGCGAAATTCAGCGAATTTATTGAGCGATTGGAACCGAATGGCTGACCTTCTAAAAATAAATCCAAAGAATATAAAAAAATCAGAAGATTCAACTCGATCAGATGTTCAAAATCAGGCTGGAGTTAGCAATGTTGAAGCGGTGGTATGTTTATATGAAAAAATTCAAATCAAATTGTAAATATAAAACTCTTAGGTCGGAAATTTTGAGCCAGAAACTCGACAAGTTGAACCACCACTCCGATTATGGCCATTCAAGATCCCACCTCTGGCATTTTTGGTAAGTTTGATCAATGACAACTGAAACTATGTAAAAACAATATTTTTCAGCAAATCTCTCCAATGGCATGCTGTCGTTTCTGCACAGCTTATATGAAGAAAAAATCGATGATGCGAATCACAACAGCAAATTATCAATATCTCAGAAGTCAAATTGGTCAGATACTTGAGGAGAATATGGCGGAAAATGAGACGCCTCATTTTATCTGCTTGACTCATGTTCGAGATTTGATGCGTCAAGTTTACAATGATTCTGCTCACGATTGAAAAAAAAACTAATTTGAATTTTGTTTTTTTAAATGTATTTTAATGCTAGTTTCATGAAGTTAATTATTTTTAAATAACAGTGTTTTAAAACAATAAAATTTTATTTACGAAAACCAACGTATTTCTTTCGAAAAAAGCAATTTTCAGCTGAAAAACTCACACCCCGCTGAAACGAGAAATGACTGTTTTTCTACTGTAGAACGCAATCGAAAAGTGTGCAAACACCGCGTCTCTGCGTCTCTCGAAAATTCACACTGTTTTGTTCGTTCAAAGGAACATACATTTATTAATTTATTGGGTCTCGAAAAGCTGGCCTTCCTGGGCTCCTAGGAATTATGAATCTTATGGTTTAATGTAGATCTCGACACGCTGAATCTCGTGTTATTTTTCATTTTTTCTCTAACGCCTGTTTTCCTAACGAAAATTGGTACGCCAATTATTTCATTGATTTACGTTGCTGATTAAAGGGACACGTATTTATTTAACCGCGTGGTCTCGACGAAAATCGTAACTTTCTTCGCAGGACCCCTAAAAATATGAGTAACATAGTTTAATGTAGATCTTGAGACGCTGATTCTAATGGTATTTTTAGTTTTTCATATAACGACCTCTAAGGTAGCTAAAATTGGTACGCCAATGAGAACAGCATTTTGCTAATTTTTTCATTGTTTGAGCGGGTGTGAACTGAAAAAAAATTTCAAACATCCTCCACGAGAACTACACAAAGGTCTCGCCACGAACAATTTTTTTTCGCTCTCGATTTACGGCGCAAGCGCGCTCCTTTTTTGTGTTTGAAAGTTTTTTTTGTTTTTCTCGGCTCGAACCTCATTCTGCTGCGATTTCCAAGAGATGTCAAGAGTGAGCAAACCAAGAGCATGCAAAACCAGAGCCGCGGTGAGTTTTAGCTTATTTTGAGAGAGAAAAGTGAATAATGTTTTTTTTTATTTCAGGAAGCTCGAGAACAGGAGAAAAAGGGCAAGAAACGTGAGACGCCAGAACAGGAGAAAAAGAGTACGAGACGTGTAGTTAGAGTGAGTTTTTCGAAAATGCCACGTCATATGTCACAATTTTTCTAATTTTAGGTTCGATGCTATCGTGAAGATGTTATGAGAATGTTCCAAGATCCGAATCTGTCAGAAAATGATGAAGAAGATGAAGAAGAATACGAATCACATGATCCGGTGAGCAATTTTAGAGGAGAAATTTTAAAAAAAATTTTGTATAGCGGTTTTTGGCGCGAAAATGTTCAAAAAAAAATTCCAGAAATCCGAACATTCTTGCCGACTTTGCAACGACACAAAAAAGGCGCGAAAAATGACCGAAGTTCCAAAAGAAGACTTTTTTTTCGATCGCTGGGGTCGATCTGCTGAAACATTTATGAGAATCGGAGACCAGCCACCAACATTCTTCGAGAATTGTCGAAACAATCCAGCACCACATTTCATTTGCAATGATCATGTCGGTGAACTTTTATTCGGAGTTATGCAACTTCCACGAATTGAGATGGAAAAGAAAGAAAGAGGAGAACAAATGTAAATTTATCAAATTTTTATATTTCGGAAATATTTTTATGTTGTCAATGGGAAGACAGAAAACACACTAATTATAGATATGTATCATAAAATAATTTATTATCAAAGATTTATTTAATAAATCGGATTTTTATGCTAAAATTTGAATCAAACTTCAGCCAAACATGAAATCTCCATCTTTCGAACATTGAAATTCTCCTTCTTATAATTCTGAAACCAATTTTCGTTTTCAAATCAAATCTCCTCGAAAACTCACAAACAAAACTTGAAAATCCACGCGACTTTCAAAAACCGCCCCAATTCCTGAAAACAAACAAATCACTTTGAAATTCGTTGGATCGATAATTTCAGATTGACAATTTATCAAATATAAAGGTCCCGATTGATTTTCAGAAGATTGAAGATAAGTTTCATGAAAATTCCTTTGTCTCATCTCCTTGGAGATTTTCTGAACTTCTTTACAAATCGTAATATTTTCCAACTTTGAATCAATAGTTTTCAAAATATTTCCATCAATAATTTTCTTCTCGGTTTCTTCAATATATTCCGATAACCATTGATTTTCAATTATATTTCCTGAACTTTGTGGAGGTCTCAAAAATATTCTCACAATTCTCCATTCTCCTTTCATCGGTTTGCCTTCTATTTGCATGGTCCATAATTCAACTGACAAGGAATCTGGATATTTTTTATTTTCAAGAGTTAGAACAACTTGAAATACAGTATGATTTTGTTGGATTGTCAGGATTTTTGAAACATTTTTGGAAACCAATTTATATCTTCTCATTAATCGAACCATGTATGCAATAAATTCATCTGGAATTCAGCTTTTTTTGAATTTTCACATTTCCACGTGGAATCTTGAACTCACTAGATGTCCACGTCCCATCAAACTTCGAATACGTGTCAATCAATCCATCGTGAAATCTTGGAGAAAATATCCGTTGCTCAGAATATTCTAGAAATGGAATTTTTTGCTTCACATCTTCAATAAACTCCTCAACACTCATATTTGTGTCTGAATCCTGATTCTGATCATTCCAAGTATCAACAACCGGCGAATTACTCATACAAGATGCACCACTAACTTCTATTGATTTTATAGACATTTCAGTGATTTGAATACCTTTCGAAGGGCTTCCAAGAACTATTTTATACTTTTGAGAAACAGAAAAGCTCATAACATTTTCCAAATCAAAGTTTACAAACATATTCCAATAACCATTTTGTGCTTTAACAATTTGAACTTCAGGATTTCCTGAAGTTCTCAAATATCTCCTTCGTTCAGTTTCCAAAAAACCAAAAAACGTGGAAGTTCTTGGAAAATCATTTTTGATATGATAATAGGAATTTGATGAAACAGTTTCTCCACAGATTTCAGCTTGGAAGTTTTCCTCATCGATAAGATTCAATAGAGACTGTAAACTATCTTTCCATCCTGGATTTCGATTGCTTGATTGATTCAGAAGTCTGAATTCAGTCAAGTTTTCTTGGGATATTGCAGATAACTCACAGATAAGGAATCTGACGACTTTTAAGATCCGGGAATTCTTGGATAGTCAACGTTTGCCGTTTTTCAACACTTCCAGATGATTCTTCTTCATCGGAGACTTCACAGAACACGCGACTAAAAATGAGGAATAAAAAAATACTGAAAAATCTCCACATTTTCAAAAAATCATAGAATTGCTGAGGCGAGCGAAAAATTGGTTTTGAAGAAATACATTTTTATTGTGTCTAGACATAATCTAATTTTGCAGATTCAACTCCAACTTGAAAACGTGGATTTCAAAATTTAAAAAAATTAAATTGTGTAGTTCACAGATTTTATTTGTTGAGCTGGAGAACTTGGATTTTTTCATTCAAATTTTCAGAGTATTAGGATTTTCTTGAAAACCCCCGCAATGTTCCGATTCCCAGAAATATTTTATTTGTCTACGAAAAACTGTTTCTCCTCCAAATTCTTCTTATTTCATTCGCTTCAAAAAATGATTCTAAAACAGTTACTTTTCCTAATTTTTCTTCTGTCATCCAATATTTTTTGTCAAACCATATTTGATAAATTGTTAGATGATGTCATGGTTCCGTGAGTTATCCCAACTAATTCCTCTCCAGATTCTAAAGTTTCAGACTTCACCAAGTGTCTAGTCGTAATAACGGTAATTTCAAATATGCAATGGCCAATCTTAAAAAAATGATAATTGGTTCGAACATGACGATCATAGCTTGTGGTCAGGTTTTTCAGAAAATTCTGGTCCACAAAAATTATTCGATTATCTAAATTGGGAATCAGTAAAATTTAGTGAATCCCTCGATGAAAAACCGCAATATAAAACATTATCCAAACAAACTTGGGATACTGAATTAACAATTCGACTTCGAAGTCAGATGGGATTTCAAATGACAAGAAAGATTGCGATAAAATTAACAATGCCTAGATTCTCCAAACCAACATTGAAACCCACAATTCGAAAAATGAAACCAATCATTTTTAATAGGTTTGAAATCACTGGAGGTTGTGTGGGTTCGGAAAGTTTTGATAAATCTATGATAACTAATGAATGGGAACCGAAAATTAGAAAATTATCGAAATCAGCTCAAGAATTTATGAAAGAAGTTATCGAATCGATTCCATTTTCTGATTTTATCAATTTATTTGATTTGAAGAGTGTGATTATTAATGAAAAACAACTTCGATTAAACAAATGTGAGTCTGAAAACCCTAGTGATTTAATTATATTCTTATTAGATGAATTCGCTGATTATTTGGAATCATTTTTCAATCGATACCAACATCGATCTGATCTGAAAAGCCTTCAACTAACAACAGAAGAATCTCGAAAAAATTATGAATCAAAAGTTGAAACAAAAATCATAACTGAAAGTGTGGATCATATGGTTTTTCAAACATCTCAAATTTTCGAGAAACAGAGAGATGAATCGAAAAAGGTGATTTGGCATTATCTAATTGAAGTTTCCTGTGAAGCATCGGGATCTGCGAGGATTTGGAAAATTCGAAGAATGCATTTTAGACCATCTTATGAGTTTATTAAAAACAAACAAAAAACTGTGGAAATAATGACAGATGATATTGACTTTTTGTTGAAAGAGTGGGTTTTTGGAAGCAATTAGACCTTTGGTGCAGGCCTGATCGGAATCGGAATGTCGGAGTTCCGAAATTCCGAAACCGACAGGTTTTTCGGAATGAGACAAACGTGTCTCGGAATCGGAATCTATTTTCTCGGAATCGGAATCATTCCGATGTTACTTCCGAAACTTTTTGGAATTTCGGAATGTGTTTCTCTTCCGAATTTCGGAATTTTTCTACCGCATTTCGGAATTTTTCGGAATGTTTGAGCTGAAATTAGTGAAAAATTCAACAAAAAATGGAAAAGTTGATGAATTTTACCTGTCATTTTCAGAAAATCTCTTTTTTTCTTGTGATTCTCGAAAAATGTAACTTTTGAAGACAATTTTTTTAAGTTTTATATCATTCCGAAACATTCCGAAAAATTCCGAAATTCCGAGGTAAAAATGTCGGAATAGAGGTTCGGAATTCGGAATTACGATCTGACTACTCGGAACGAGTGTGCTCATTCCGAACCTTCCGACAAGGTCCATTCCGATCAGGCCTGCTTTGGTGTAAAATACTTTTATTCAGATTCGAACATGCGACCAATGGCAATCAATTGAAAATGAAACCAGCTTACTATATTCGAAGATTTTCAAATAAGATCCGCTTCGAATCACCAGAATTGACACCAAAGCTTTCAAATGGCGCCGATCTTTTTCCCAGTTATTTTGAAGCTCCTCCATCTTTAAGAGTAATGTCTTCTGAGAATTATTATCAATCCGAATTCTAATTTTTACAGCTCGAAAACTGCAAAACAAAAATGAATGACAACGACAAAACATACATTGTCCATTTTGGTTGTGAGCACATTTATTCAGATTCACGTGGATGTGGGAAAGATCTCAGAAGAAATATAAGTTTCGAACTTCGTGGAGAAGCGGTAAGGACTTACAATTAGGTATTGAATCAGGATAAATAAGTTTTCTAGGATCCGAAACTAGATATTGTCAATATTCATAAGATTTTGGTGAAGGATCGGATAAAAGTTTGTGAGAATGTACATAAGATTGATTTGAAATAATCTAATTTTTATAGTATGTTGGACCTGAACTTACAGGGATGGAACTTATTACTCATGTCTTCATGGAAAATACGGCAAAATTGTAGGTTATAATATATAAAATCAACATTTCCTAACTATGGTTTTCAGATTAATTGGACAGTCAAGTTTGGAATATGCAAACTGGGAAGATAATCTGAAGCAAATTATAGATCCGATTGTTCCATACAATTTTGAATTTGAAATTTGTGGTAAAACTAAAATTGATGAACACGGGTTAGAGAAGTTCAAGCTTAATCTAAAGCGAAAAAGAAGACAGAATCGATTGATGAAATTTGATGCAACAATTATTTTGAGAAAATTAGAAAGGAAGTTATTGTTCAGTGTGCATTTCACATCAATCAATAATTTGGGATTTTATGTGAAAGAAGAATATTGGTTTGAAGCTGAAAGACTTGTTCTTACAGGAGATTGGAGAATTATCAAAGTTCAAGTTAAAGATTATTGTATTGATGATGAAAAAAAGTTCAACAAGAATTTAATTTTACCTTTCAATAGTTCGACGATTTCTCGACCAGAATCTAATAATAAAATTGACGAGTTTATGAAGAAATTCAAGTGAGTTTTCAAGTGAGTTACACAAATTTTCAAGTTAGCATAAAACATTAAAGACTACCGCATATTGAACAATCTGAAAATGTCAACGATTTGTATTCTCGTGATTTTCAAGGGATTATTGAAACAAATCCAAATATCAGCGAGGTTTATGATTTTGAGGATTTCAAAATTTATATGAGAAACTTTGCAGAAGGCAACAAATTGAAACATTTTAAAGTAGGAATTTTGTTAACTCAATAATCATAATTTTTACTTGAAAATTCAATTACAGAAAGCTGTAATCATAACAAATGAGCCAGATCATTTTGTTTTAAAAATCAAAATGATTTGCGATCAATTAATCTTGGATCAAAATCAGAATTCGAATGATGAATGGACATTTTTGATTTCGGTTAAGTTATCTGAAAAACATTGGAAAGTGACACGACTTGTGATGACACCACCAATCAATCTACTTGGAAATGACATTCTGAAACACCGCTCTGAACTGCATTTCATTTTGTCGACACTTAACAAGTGAGTGAAGCGAATGAGTGATTTGAGAAAATAAAAAAAATTCAGTTATGATCGGATTGCTAACAATTTTCGAAATATGACTGAGATGTGGGAGCCAAAGAAAATCGAAAAATGCGACCAAACTGCTACATTTTATGACACATATACAGATTACATCGAATTCAAAAAACGATTCGTAGGATTTCTGCTCATGGCAGATACAAAACCACCAGTAAAATCAAAATTGGATATGCCAATGTCCTATGTGAATCCATTAGTTTTCGGAATAAAATACACTTATAAAGTGTCAGGGATTACAAAGTTCATTGATGTTATAAGCCATACTGAATACGTATGAACTCAGATTGTTTTTTTTTAAATGTAGTGAGAATTATTTTCAGAATTACAAGCATGGACATCATCACATTTCGAAAACCGAGTTAAAATGTCCAGAGATTTCAAATGACTGATTTTTTAATGAATAAAATTTATTGCATTTTTTTTGAGGTTGTGTGGATTGGGAAAATAAAAGATCAGTGGGAACAGAAAACAAAAAAAATGCGTCTTTTTTGTCCATAAAATAACAGGAAAGATATGGAAATTAGAAATCTCTAACAATGCACTATTCTCAAAAATAGAATTATTTCGACGCAAAAAAATGAGCTGGGAACATCGTGTCAGCCAATTTCAAGAAACTTCAGCTGGAATTTCAATTCTAGCCAATTTACTTCTAATATTCCTAATCATTTTCAAATCACCAAAACAAATTGGCCCATATAAATATTTAATGATTTATATATCATTTTTCGAAATTTGCTATTCAATTATGGACGTTATCATGAAACCTATGATATTCTCTCATGCTTCATTTTTTCTAGTATTTTCGAATTTCGGAAAACTTCCCTTTTCAAGTGAAATAAGTTATATTTTGTTTATGATTTGGACTGGATTTTTCGGAACTTTTATGGCAATATTTGTTCTACAATTTTTTTATCGATATTTGGTTGCAACTAAATCTTCACTTTCAACATTCAATGATTATCGAATAATTTATTGGATGATAATTCCCCAAATATCTGGTATATTCTGGGCAACATTTATTCATTTTCTTTTACATCCAAATCAAAATACTGAGAATTATATCAGAAACATGTTACTGGTTGAATTCGACTGGAAAATAGAGGAAACAGTTTATTTCGGAGCATATCTTTATCAACTTAATGAAAATAACAATTCATATGAGTTTGATTGGGATTCGATGATTGGTATTATCTTGGGATGGATAATTGTTATCATTTCATTAGTTCTTGTCTTATTTTTCGCAATCAAGTGCTATTTGAACATTAATTCATACTTTCTGAATGACAATAATAATAATAATAATATGATTTCCAAAAATTTAATTCGACTTCAGTATCAATTATTTTACGCCTTAGTTACACAAACTTTGATTCCAGTCATTTTAATGCATATTCCAATTGCAATCATATTTATCTCTACAATTTTAGCTTACGACTTAAGTCATACTAGTAGTCTATTTAGCATCACGATTGCACTATTTCCAGCACTGGATCCATTTCCATGCATGATTATCATTCAAAATTATCGAAATGTTGTTTCAAAAGTGGTAACAACTCCTATTTTTATACTTGTAAAAAGAAAAATCTAATTGTTTTGAATAAATTATTGTACTTATAAGCACCGTATCACCCAATTTCTAGAAACAACCACTTTTCAAGTTTACTGTTCAAAAATTGAAACTGGAATAATTGACGATGAGCTCAACACTTCCCTTGTGATACTGTATAGATTGTCTCGAAAACCCATGTTCCCAGACATATTTTATTTGTCTTCGAAAAACTGATTCCCCTCCAAATTCTTCTCATTTCATTCGTATCAAAAATGATTCTGAAACAGTTACTTTTTCTATTTCTACAGTTTTTCAATGTGTATTCCGAAGGCAGATTTGATGAGATGTTTGAAGATATCATGATTTCGTGAGTTAGCTCAACTATACCAGGTTCAAAGTTCTTCAAGTTCTCATTGATTCAGAATTTTACAAGTTAGTAGTCGTACAAATGGAAAATTTACCGAAGCTATGAAAAATCTTCAAGAATCAATAACTGGAACAAAAATGGAAATAGTGGTGTGTGGTCAGGTTTTATCTGAAAATTCTGGTCCACAAAAATTGTTTGATTATCTAAATTTGGAATCAGTTAAATTCAGCGAAACACTCGATGAAAAACCGCAATATGAATATAAGGAAAGCATAAATCACAAATGGAATGCAAAATTGAAAATCAGACTTCGAAGTCCGATGGGATTCCAAATGACACGTTTTATTTCTATTAATGCAACTTCGGCTGAGATGAATCTTCCGATTCAGTTAGCCCATATGAAAAAATTGACATTTCATCGATTCGAAATCACTGGAGGTTGTGTGGGTTCGGAAAATTTTGATAGATCATTGATAAAAGATGAATGGGAACCGAAAACAATAAAAGTTCGGCATTCAGCAAGAGAAGTGATGAAAATAGTTGCTGAATCGTAAGTTTGAAATAATAAGGTTTTGAAAAATCTTTTCAAAAATTTAGAATCACGTTATACAATCAAGAATGGTTATTCGATGATAGAAGTCTGATTTACAACGAAAAACAACTTCGTTTGGAATTTGGTGAGCTCTAGAATTTTAAAATCATACAACTATAGATGTTGCAGAGGACTTTAACGCATTCACAGATGCATTTCTCGATAGATATAGACGTCGAAATGACTTGAAAGTGCTTCCACTAACAGACGAACAAAAAAGAATGAATCACGAATCAAAAGTTGAAACAGTTATCATAACTGAAAGTGTAGATCATATGGTTTTTCAAACATCTCAAATTTTCGAGAAACGAAGAGATGAATCGAAAAAGGAAATTTGGCATTATTTAATTGAAATTTCTTGTGAAGAACATAATATGGAATATTGGTTAATTCGAAGAATGCATTTTAGACCATCTTATGAGTTTATTAATAACAAGGAACGAAATGTGGAATTAATGACATCTGATATAGGTTTTCTATTGGAAGAGTAAGTTATTTTGTTGGATAACCAATTCAAAAATATTTTAGAATCGAAATCACCGCAAGAAATCAATCAAGAGTTCGTGCATATTTCGATATTCGAAGACTAAAAAATGTCATAAAATTCGAGAGTCCATACTTGATACCAAAACATATTAGCGCAAAAGATGTATTTCTCAAATACTTCACATCACCTCCATCTCTTATAGTAATGTTTATCTGATACTAATCTAATCATTTGAGACTTTTTATTTCAGTTCGATAGTTGCACAACAAAACTAGATGATAAAAAATCTGATACAGAAATTTCAGCCAAGTTTGGTTGTGTACATTATTATCCAAAACCAAACAACAAAAAAGACGGATACAGACATTTCAACATTGAAGTTAGCGGAGAATTGGTAAGAATTATATCAGAGTGAAAATTAATTGTTGCCACCACAAAATCTTTCAGGATCCCAAACGAGATATTGTGAAGATTCATCAGCTTCTGATAAAGGATGCGGTGCGTGCGGTAAGTCTTTTTCAAATCAACAAAAAGTTAGAACTCCAGAATTTCAGGGAGTGAATAGTAAAGGAGTGAAAGCAAGAGATTGGGCGTTGACAGTTTCTAAACTGTAAGTTTTATTGATTTTCTAGAAAGTTCTGGCATCTTTCCGAAGATTGAAAAGCGCGCTCGAATGGCGAATTTTATTGTTAGATGGTCCAAACCTTTTTTGTGGCTTTTCAGATTGGTTGGAACATCAAGTTTGGAATATCAGAATTGGGAATCAAGCATGAAATATTTTGCGGATATTATGCTCAATTTTTCGGGCGATTTAGGTTTCAAGTTCGAATTTTGTGGAAAAAAGTTTGCAGGATTAGAAGGAAAAAACTTGTTCATAAGTTATCTAAAGCACAAGAGAAGACAAAACAAACTCATGAAATTTGATATAGTTTTGGCTCCAAGAAAAGAAAGCCGGGGTGTTGAAGCACTAGTATTTGGACTTAACTTCTGGTCAAGGAATATTTTGGGATTTTATGAGTGGCAGCTTTTTAGGATCTCTTTGCCTAAAAGCGCTAATTTCCTACATTATTTTAACGAGGTTAGCGTGAACGATTATATTTCAACAGATGACTTTAATTCGAGTAGAATTTTGCCACTCGATAGTTCAATGCTTTCTCATCCACAAAGAACAGATCATATTGATGAATTCATGAATAAATTCGAGTGAGTTGTGCTAAGTCTCAATGAGCATTTGAAATGAATCAGTTTCAGATTACCATTTATCGACAATGGTGGTTCCACGGATTATACGTATCATGAGAAGTTTGAAGCGATAATTGAGGCGAATCCGAATATTCACGCAAAATATGATTATAATGAGTTCAGAATTTATTTGCAATATTTTGCGAGTTATAACAAATTACGGAGAGATTATTTTGTAAGTGCAAAGTGATTGCCAATTGACCGCAACGCACACGCGTCGCGTTTCCGATCCCGATCCCTAAATATAATTTTCACCAGGTGAACAATCGAGACAAAAGATTGGACATGAAGATTCTAACTAACGAACCAAATCACTTTGCACTAACCATAACAATGGTTTTCGATAATTTTATTCTGAACAAAAATCAATCATCGGGAGATTTTTATACTTTTATGATGAAGGTAATTAAAATCAGAGATGATTGGAAAATCAGCAATATGATTATAACCCCACCGTTTCTTTTGCTTGACACGGATACTCTTCAAAAAAGATCAGCAACGAATCACAGAGAAATCATCAATCAAGAGTGGGTATATGTACTATTAAAAGCTCCTCAACTTATTTTTTTCCAGATTTTTGAGCGTGTTACAAAGTGTTGAGAATGTTTACCAAGAACCATCCCCTGATATGATCAAATTTGATAAATGTCAATTAGACACTTCTAATTTGAGTGCTTTCGAAGCCCATAACAAATTCCTGCAATTCTGTCGTTATTTGAGACAACAGAACTTCACAACACCCATAACTTCATCAATCAGACAAGAAAGTGAAGATTTAGATCAGTATAAATTTATAATCACATACAAATATGCTATTGCTAAAGTTTCGAAATACGTTGAAATCGAATTTGTTACCGAATATGTGAGTTTTTTAATGTTTTTTTGATATTTGAATGCTAAAATTTCAGGAACAAAAACTAGGATTGTACAATAATAAGAAAATAATTCTTTCGTGTCCAGTGACTGTTTAATTCGTTATTTTGAACATTTTTATGAATAAACAATTTTGGGGAATGAGAACTTTTCAAAATTGATGACTTCTAGACAGTGCGAACATTTTGTGTACAAACATTTTTGCAAGAAAAATATTCATTTGCAAAATGAGAGCAATTCTTTGGGTCTCAATTTTCCTCGTCAATTTATTGAAGCCCGTTGAGTTACGGTAAGTTCGAATGAAAACCAAAATTTTCTAACTTTGTTATCAGTGAGGCAAAACTATCTGAGGTTAGAAAACTTAATGCATCTCAAATAAATGGACGCGAAATACCCAGATATATTCATAGATTGTAAGTTTAAAAAAAAAAAATTTTTCAAATAAATTTCCAAGATACGTTAAACAAGCAAGTGATCGATTAAATTATTGGAAAGTCTATGCTAACAAACTGATCGAAATGTTTGATAAAAACAAATTTGTTGCTACTGTTTGTAACATAGAAATGAATTATTGTAAGTACCAAAAAATAATTCCCCTCAAAATCAAATGTTTCATCAAGCCACTTATATTCAACACCTTAATCTTCAACGAAGAAAAATTCGATATGTCAAACGGAAAAATAAGGATTATATCAATGCCCCTATGGAAACTTGGATATCTTTTGAATTCGAAATTGAAATCATAAATATATTAGAAGTTCGAATGATTGAAGAAACATTTATTTATGGTGTAAAGACTGAAGATAGCTACAGAATTCAAAAAATCATTTCTGACGGAGCATGCGGAGACCCAACGAAAACATACAATAAAAGCGAAATTGTGAACAAAATGATTGAATTGTAAGAATTATTGACTTAGTCTGAATCACATACTGTTTAATTTCAGAATACCAGAAAGACTAATCGATTTGCTAGATGAAAATAAATTCGAAGCAATCATCGACACAGATCACAATTTTGACAGAAAATACGACATTGGTGAGTAGTTTGGTAGATTAACTTCTCAAAAGCTCGGAGTTTTCAGGTATGTTTATTCGATACATGAAAAGATTCAATGAAAAATACACCAAAACGGATGGCTACGAAGAGTCATTGATTCTACACGAAAACAAGAATATGATATCGTTCAGGAAAAATTTCATGGTTTCTTGGAATCAAGATTTAGAATCAAATCAAACAATGTTTTGGTCGTTTTCATTTGCTGTCAACAAAGAAAACCAAAGAATCCAAAAAGTTATTGTAACTCCTTTGAATTATCCTGGAATACCTAACGCCGGTCAAAAACATTCAGCACTCGAATTAATCAACAAAACATTAACTAAAATCGGTGCTCATCTTCAGCTTAAAAATCGAAATATTTTCGAACTTCGAGATACTAATCGTTTATATAATTCAGAGTATTGCTTAAAAATAGGCATGAGAAATAACAATTACACCGAATTTCTTATAATTTTTCAAATTTACGGTAACTTTGTGCAAGTTTATGGAAATATTGTTGACAATCCTAGTTTTGATGGTTTCATGGTGAATTTGAATTTCAATGAGAATTCATTAATCAAACAATTTTTTTTAGAGAAACTCAACAATTTCGATTCAAAATTTGGGGGATCAGTTAATTTTTCAAGTTCGATTCTATTATTACAAAGAAAACATCGGCTATGAATTAGATTTTATAGTCAAGTCTTATTATGTAGGTGATCATAGAGAACTGCAAATATGCTGAAAATAAATATTTTCAGATCGCAGAGATTGATACTTACGAAATACACGAATTTATGATTAGTTGCTTTGAAGAAATGACGGATAAAGAGAGAGAAGATCAAAATTCTGGTTTGAAAATCGAAGGTTTCAACAAATAAATAAAATTTTATTTCCCAAAAAAAATGATTACTAAATATTTACAAATTTTCGCTTTTCCTCGTTTTTTCTACAATTTGATATCGAACATCCAGCCGCAACAGCAATCACAATCAAAAATAAGGCTATGAAAATCTGAAATTTGAATTTTAAATTTAAAAAATATATTGAACTCACCCATACATGGCATCTTTGCCCAACAGACCCTCCATGTAATGATCCCCCCCTCCCCAAAATTTTGAAATGTCATGATCCCTCCCCTCAATTTTTTTTGTCAAAAATTTGAAAAAATAAATGGTGAAAAAAATGAAAAATATCCAGGAGAGGGGGGTTTCATTTTTGACATATTCTTTCAGGTTCGATAATTTGGAAACTAGTGCTTTTAATATCGGATGTAGAGAAAGGGCGAAGAATTCGACGGATATCATCCATTGTTTCTTATTTTTTCTTATTTTATTTCTAAAATTCTCAATTATATTTTTCTATATCCTTCTAAAATAAAAATGCATTTATTGTAGTAAGTTCATCTCAGAAATTTTTACAAATTTTTCTGAACAATTACATAATAATAATAATAATCATATCCAATGGGTTATTTATTTGATAATCAAATTGAAATCCAAAAATATTGAATTACAAAACAAAAGAAAAAAATGAATTCCACCGAGAATTCGATCCAAAAACCCTCTGATTATTAGGCGCGATCTCTACCGACTTGACCACGAGGCTACTTGTTTTCACACGTTTATTTTTAAGTGATAAATAAGGGATAGAAGGGGGAGAGAAAATGAAAAAGAGAAGGAGAAGCGGAAAAAAATCATGAAATTTTTGAAAAATTCCCATTTTTTATCGAATTTCGCCGATTTTGTTATATGTTTCGATTGTATAAGTAACTTAAGGATGGTAGAAAGGAATGTCTGTGGAAATTATCTAAAAAAGATGGTTTATTTCTTGAGATATGATCCCCCCCAAAATCGAAGCCGTTTTGCTATGTCATTTTGGGGGGGGATCATATCTCAAGAAATAAGCCTTCTTTTAAGATAATTTCGACAGACATTCCTTTCTACCATCCTTAAGTTACTTATACAGTCGAAACATATAACAAAATCGGCGAAATTCGATAAAAAATGGGAATTTTTCAAAAATTTCATGATTTTTTTCCGCTTCTCCTTCTCTTTTTCATTTTCTCTCCCCCTTCTATCCCTTATTTATCACTTAAAAATAAACGTGTGAAAACAAGTAGCCTCGTGGTCAAGTCGGTAGAGATCGCGCCTAATAATCAGAGGGTTTTTGGATCGAATTCTCGGTGGAATTCATTTTTTTCTTTTGTTTTGTAATTCAATATTTTTGGATTTCAATTTGATTATCAAATAAATAACCCATTGGATATGATTATTATTATTATGTAATTGTTCAGAAAAATTTGTAAAAGTTTCTGAGATGAACTTACTACAATAAACGCATTTTTTATTTTAGAAGGATATAGAAAAATATAATTGAGAATTTTAGAAATAAAATAAGAATAATTAGCCGATGAAAGATATCCGTCGAATTCTTCGCTCGTTCTCTACATTCGATATTCCTAAAGAACTAGTTTCCAAATTACCGAACCTGAAAAAATAAGTCAAAAATGACCACATGCAAAAACCCAATTTTTTTCTAGCGTACCGATTTCACTTTGAAAAAAATTTAGGTTTTTGTATGTAATGTCATGATCCCCCCCCCCCCCCTCGAAAATTTTTTCCAAATGTCATGATCTCCCCCTCACAGATTTGAGAGCAGTGCCATGTATGAACTCACCAGAAACGAAAAAATTGTTGTAACTTCGCCAGATTCCTGAAGAGAACAAATAATTTTATCAACACATGATAACATTTTTGAATGAATTGAAAAAAAAACAAGAAAATGTTGAAAAATGAAAAAAAAAGTGTCAGGTGGTCCGGAGTTTAATTTATTGCACAAAGAAATATATTTGTAAAAAAGCGCAAAAATTTGAAAATTAGATTTTTCAAGCCCAAACTTCTTCTAACTCCTATTCAAAGAGTACCCCCCCCCCTCCCAAAAAAAAATAAACTAACTGAAAACTTTGATTCACATCCTTTTCGAATTCCTCAACCGATTGTTCCAAATCAATATCAATATCCGATTTTCCGAATCCTGAAACATACATGAACTAGTCGCTCCGGGGACCCCCGAGTTAACCCCCCTCCAGAAAAAAAAATCGAGAAAGTTAACCCCCCCCCCTTTTCAAATTTTTTCTGACCTCTGAAAAAAGTTCAACATGCCGTGAAAATTATACAATAGTTTTTTCTCAAGTCTTAAAAGTTAATTGATGGCGAAGGCTTTTATAAAAATTTCTGTCAAAAAAGAAATTTTTATATTTGCCTCCGCCACATTTTTTTTAAATTTTACGGCGCCAAACTTTCTTTATCATGAACTTTCGCCGCTGGTGTCTTCATCGCGTTCTTGGTGTACTGGCTAACACGTGGGTTTTTGAGTAGGAAGGTCGCCAGTTCGATTCCACCTATGTGTATGATTTTTGTTTTTTATTATTTTTTCTTTTGAAATTTTTTTAAATTCTCAATATTTCATGTTCCACTAAATCAATCGAAGTGAAACTTGTCTCAAATGTAGTTTATCTATCGTAGATAAGATATATAGCAACTCTTGTCGATTTGGTGACGTTTCCTTTCTTCTACCCCCCCCTCCGTATGTTGACAACCATCATTTTTCACCAAATTTCAGGTATTTTCGAAATTTATATCAGCCAGAAACCACCATAAGGACATTGATTCGTGATAAACACTAGTAAATAAGTATAGAAAGGTATGCCAAACAATTCTTTGAAGTTTTATGAAGAAATGGAGCTTCTATCCCCCCACTCCGTTTTCGGAGCCTGAGACTCCGAAAACGGAGTGGGGGGATAGAGGTCGTAATTTGCAATTATACTTCAAATAATTGTTAGACATACCTTTCTATACTTATTTACTAGTGTTTAGCACGAATCAATGCCCATTTAGTGGTTTCAGGAGAAAAAAATTTGTCAAAATACCTGAAAATTGAAGAAAATGTTGGTTTTCAACATACGGAGGGGGGATAGAAGAAAGGAAACGCCACCAAATTGACCAGAGTTGTTATATATCTTATCTACGAGAGTTAAACTATATTTGAAACAAGTTTTATCGCGCTTAGTAACGATTAGATGCTATATTTATATGAAAATTCAAAAAAATTGCCCAAATATGCTTAAAAATGCTCATTCTAGATCTAGGAAGGGGGGTTACTTGGAAGAAACCACAATAAATTGAAACAAGATTATGTAAAATTGAATAAACAATAGTTTTACTGCATTTTAAACACATATCACCTTCTTGGCATCTGAAAATTTCGAAAAAAAAATGAAAAAAAAAATTTTTTTTCTAAAAAAATTTTTTTTCTAATTTTTTTCCTAATTTTTTTCTTCAATTTATTTTTGAAAAGTTAAGGCCCCCCACAAAAATTTTTCAAAAGTTAACCCCCTTCCCTCCGGTTTCGGAGAGGTAGTTCATGTATGCACAACACACACAAAAAAGCGAGGGAATTTGAATCGTTCCCTTATTTGTGTGTTGTGGCGCGACGCGGTCTGCGTTGCGTGTTTATTTCGGTGGAGCGCGTGGTACCGATAAAATTTTCGATAATAAAATTCTCTTGAAATAACTTTGAGAACAAAAATAAAGCATCCGTGATAAACGGTTTTTAGGAACACATACAATCAAAAATCCCAAAAAAATTATTTACAAAAGTCACTCAACATAATTTTCAAAATACATATTTTACAAGATATTACATACATAAACATAATTTACAAATATAAATATTTTCATTTAGAGATTTTCATGTTCAAAATCTTCTTCTTCTTCTTCATCATCTTCTTCTTGTCTATTTTCATTTCTTTGAATTTGTCTTGGTGGAAATTCAACGAAATTTGAATTTGGCGCAAAATTATAATGATTTGAAGGAAAAGCATTGCTTAGATTGTTAGGATTTGAATTATAATAAAAATTTGATGTAGTAGGAATGTTCGGATCATAAAAATTCGAAGTCCATAAATTGTTGGGATCATAATAATTCGAAGTAAGAGGTTCATAATGATTCTGTGGATTGTTCAGATTTTGAACATTTGAAGTTGAAGGAATATTGGGATTCATCCAATTCTGATCGTAGTATACCGTCAGCATTCCAGAATTGTGAGTCTACAACGAATATTTTCTCTAAACATAGTCACAAAAAACAAACCTGAGCAACTTCATCATCATTATTTTCAGCGATAGTTTCATTCTGTTGAACTTCCTGACTAGTATCGTTCTGGAAAATTCATAAAATGTTTTCAGAACCTAATATTTTTCGAGATTTCTAATTCGATTTTTCAAAATGCTGACCTTTTTCGCCGACTTCCGACCACGTATTCTCTTGAATTTTCTTCCCTTCTTTTTTAGTGGAATACTATCATCATTGGTGGAATCTGCGTTGTCTGAAAATGGAATTTTGTTTATAGAAATGATTAGAATCAACTCACAATTCGCCACCGGAAGTTGTCTTTTTTTTAGTTGCCTCGATCCAGGTGGAAGATCAAAATGTGACAAACAAATCATAGGTAAAGAACGCCTTCGTGCGACATTCGCTTCAAAAGTATTTCCAAGAATATCAATCCATTTCTTCAATTCACTTTCGTTTTTTGTGACACTTGTCATTTCTCCGCAATATTTTCGTTTCTCACAATATGCACAATTTGTTACTGTCAATTTCTTCTTTTTTTGATTTTTCCGAACAGACTCGACATTTGCAATCGGAAGATTGTTTGGATTTTCGACATTGGAAGCCGATCGATAATTATGATTCAAAGGCGGGGGATTTCCGAAATTTGAAGTTGAAGGAATATTGGGATTCATCCAATCTTCGTTGAACTCCGCCAGCCTTCCGCCTTGTTGACTCCTATTCTGAAATAGACAAATTCATAATTCGGCCAAACGCACGAAAAAAATTTGGCTCTATCGCAATATATGGGTCCCATGGAAATATAAAAATATAAGGGTCCGTAAATTTTTTTTAAGGGTCCATAAAAAAAGAATTTTTTCTAATTTCAATTATTTATTTTTGGTGATTTTTTGTAATTTTTTCACATTTTTTTTAGCCAGTCAGTATTTTTCTAGGGGGTTTACTAAGCCTAAGCCTAAAATAATAGAGAATTTCGAATCCTCTAGTAACTCTATTTTCGGCTTTTCAGCTTCATAATTAGGCTTAGGCTCAGTAAACCCCCCGAAAATACAAAGAATCGTCAAAAAATCAAGAAAAATACAACAAAACAATTGAAAATTTAAAAAAAACACACATTTTTTTCCTCCAAAAATCAAAAAAATCAGACCTATGAAAACAATCACGGACCCTTAAAAAAATTTACGGACCCTTTTATTTTTTTGGGACCCATAAAAAAATTCACGGACTTTTATATTTCTGAGGGACCCATATATTTTTTACGGACCCATATATTTCCATGGGACGCATTGTTATATTGCGATAGAGCCAAAAATTCTCTCACCGCCTGTTCCGATTCTTTTCTGACACTTTCTATGCATTTATCTATAAACTCCATCATTGATTGTTGATTATTCGGAATCAATGGATTTTTGCTCTGAATATGTATATGTAGAGTCATTCATTAGATTGTTTTTGCAAAATCTTACCGCCTTTTGACTTTCTGCAAGTATTGCATTTTCTATATCTCTTTCTAACCATCGAAAAAATGGTTCCTCATTTCCAGAATTAGCATGTTGATTTGATGTTGACGGAATGTTCGGATCAAAATCGTTCGAGGCCGGTGGATTGTTCAGATTTTCATTCTGCTGAACTTCTTGTTGACTAGTAGATGGTTCATTTGTCTTCTTTTTCTCATAATTCGCCACCGGAAGTTGTCCCGGTTGAATTTCTGTTGCACCAGGTGCAAGTTCAAAATGTGACAAACAAATCAATCTTCTAGAATTCCATCTGATATAATAAGCAAAATCATTTCCAAGAATAGCAACCCATTTCGTCAATTCTCTTCTGTTTCCCGTGACAAATGTCATTTCGAATATCCTTTTTATTTCTCTACAATATGCGCATTGCTCTTTAGCAATTTTTCTACAAACTCGAGGAGCACCATATTGTATTGGTCCAACATCTACAGAATCATCGGTCTGAATAGTAACAGGTTTCACTTAACCTAAGCTACTACGTGTCAACTTACCATTGGCGTCTTTTTTTTGTATATCTTTCTCGGCTTATAATCTGAAAATCAACAATTTTAATTGTAAAAACATTAGAAGCAAAAAAAAACTCACAATCTTTGTTGGCAATCGGGAGTAGCCTGGGGTTAAATTTCTCAGATAACTTATCAAGGTTTTTTGGAAAATGATATCGACAAATAGGAAAGTGTTCCGCAGAGTCTGCGATTGCCTTTTTGAGATTTGCAGCAAATTCTTCGCCGAGTCTCTCGATCCATTTTTTCAACCGTTTTTCGTTGTCTATCGGGACTGGTCTCATTTCAGATGATTGTTTCTCAAGTCCACAATATAAACATTTAGATTTATGGTTTAGGACCATTTGATCCCACCTATTCAGATAAAAATTAGAATTTTTTAAAAAAAAAGTTCATTCCAAAATTTTGAAGTACATAAATCATCCGTGCTCAACGGTTTTCCAGGGTAAATTTAAAAAAAAATCTCAATAATTCTTAAAAATTTATATATTCAACATAAGTACTTTTCAAATTTATAAAATTCAGCAATTTTGATTTTTTAAATACATATTTCACAAGAAAATGACTTACAGGAAAACAAAATAAATTAAAATTCAGATTCTTCTTCTTCTTCTTCATCATCATCTTTTCTAAAATTTTGTTGATTTGAAGAATTTGAAGTGGATGGCATGTTATCATCAGCACTTCTCGCAAGTATTGCATTTTCTATATCTCTTTCTAACCATCCAAATAATGGTTCCTCATTTCTAGAATTTGAAGTCGTTGGAATGTTTCTCTAAAAAAATATTGATTTATTTTGCTCTAACAGATAGGTGGCTGGAAGCCGGTTTGAAAAATCGGAAAATCTCCGGGATTTTTTCAAACTTGTGACAAAAACAAACCTGAACATCTTCATTATCATTATTTTCAGCGATAGTTTCATTCTGTTGAACTTCCTGACTAGTATCGTTCTGGAAAATTCATAAAATGTTTTCAGAACCTGAAATTTTTCGAGATTTCTAAATAGGTTTTTCAAAATGCTGACCTTTTTTGCCGACTTCCGACCACGTATTCTCTTGAATTTTCTTCCCTTCTTTTTTAGTGGAATACTATCATCATTTTTGGAATCTGCGTTGTCTGAAAATGGAATTTTGATTGTAGAAATGATTAGAATCAACTCACAATTTGCCACCGGAAGTTGTCCTCTTTGTGGTCGCGTCGATCCAGGTGGAATATCAAAATGTGACAAACAAATCATAGGTAAAGAACGCCTTCGTGCGACATTCGCTTCAAAAGTATTTCCAAGAATATCAATCCATTTCTTCAATTCACTTTCGTTTGCTGTGACACATTTCATTTCTTTGGAAAATGTTCGTTTCTGACAATATGCACAAGAAAATGCTCTCGATTCTTTCTTTGTTCTATTTTTCTGAACATTCTGGACATTTGAGTTTGACGTGGATGGAATGTTGGTCTGAATATAGAACATCAGAGGAATTTCTGTTTTAATTTTGGTTTTCTGAATGACCTCGCAAAGCTAAATTTTGAAAACCATCGTTTTCCAACTTTGTGAAATTTGTTGTGTTCATAATCAAAAACAAGTCAGTTTACTAATTAGGAACTTTAAAATGATGGTTTTTGAGAAAATTTGAGCAATGAAATCATAAAAAATTTCTGCGTGAATTACTGTCAGATCAGCATATACTTTTGTCGCTATAATTTGTTGTCACCCTGTAGAGATTATGAGACTTTTAAAATATTCAAATTCTGATGATTGAAACTAAAAATGCATCTAGTTCACAAAAAATTGAAGTTGAACATAGATTTTCAGAAAAAATAAAAGATAAATCTGTCCTCTCAGATTTATCTTTTATTTTTTAATATCACATGAAACATTTAGAATACATTTTTTTCAAAATCTTACATCTACTTCTTCTTGTTCTTCTTCCTTTTCAGCAGCTGTGTTATTTCTATTCGATGCAATTTCATAAACATCTTCGGTTTCTTGCTTTCTCACACATCCCATGAATCTTCCAAACCATCCTGATGATTTTTGACGATTGCCAGATGTGGAAGTCGAAGCAGCGCTGTCCTGAAAATTATTGATTTTTTTTTGAAAATGATTTGTTATTGCTCATGTTAAACTCTACTGATTTTTAAATTCTAAATTTTTGAATAAAAACAACGCATTGCTCATATTAATACTATAATTTTATAGCATTGCTAATGTTAATCTCTAGATCGAAATTTTCAAAATTCAAAGAGAACTTTTTGATTTATGGGAAAAATTCAGGCTCAAAAACTTTTTTCCAACTTTTTCACTGGAAAAATTTATCCAAAAACTAACCTGAGATGGAGCAGGCAAACGCTGTGCAGAAATAGTATTTTGTGGCTGGTTCTGACAATCTTCCCTACTTCGTTTAGTCGATAATTCATCAGCTATTCCATCAAAATTCATCCGTTTTTGTTCTCTTTCGACACTTCTTGGCGAATGTTCTACAGAAGAGTTTGAAGCTGTTGGAATATTCAGATTTCCGAAATTCCCAAGTGTTGTGGATGGTGACAATAAATTGTTAAACGCTGAAATTTTCATTATTTTTACTCAAATCCCCCAAATTAATTTCACAACATACTTGGCATACTTGAAGTGTTGGTTGGAAGAGGAAAAAGTGGTTGCGGAAAAATATTTGGCATAGAAAAATGAGAACGCGGAAGAAAACTTTGAGAAGGAATGTTGATCTGATTATTTTCGATTGGATTTTTTTGTCAAATTTCATTTTTACCTGACTGTTTTCTGGACTTATCACAAATCTGGGAACAGAGACATTCTGCAGAAACTGTGCCTGATTTTGCAAGATGATTTGATTTAAAACTAATTGATTTAATAATAAATTATATACGATGTTAGGGTCGGCGAGGAAAATCGAATTCGGAGCGAAAATCGAATTCGGATTGTTTGAAGTTGAAGGAATGTTTGGATCTATGAAACTGTCATTGAGTTCTGTCAAAGCTGAAAAAAGGGGATTTTTGAAATAAAAATTGGGGGAAAAACTAACAATTATGCATTTGTTGTTGACTAGTAGATGGTTGATTCTGAAAATTATATTTTATCTGAGGAATCTTGAGATTATGAGCACTTTTTGAAATATTCAAAAGCTGATGAATGAAACTTAAACTGCATTTAGTTCACAAATTTTTTTTAAACAAATTAAAGATATGGGGCCGAGAAATGTCGGGAATTCGGCCAAAGCAACAAATGCGCTCAAATGTGGCAAAAATCCTTATCGTTGCACGTCGTGCCACCACACGAATTCGAGGAGACGCAGACATTCATTTTCGGTTAGAAAGTCGCTGCGAGACCTCAACACATCAAAGGGCGACGCCGATGTGGTCTATAAACGCAGCGACAGTCGAAAAGCGGCGCGGCCATGCGCTATGTTTTGTGTGTGTGTCTGCTTGTCTGCTGTGTCTGCCAACAGCACACTGTATCGCCCGAGGGGAAGGAAAGGCGAGAGATGTCTCTGCCTGTGTTAAAAGTCTGCGTCTCCCAGAAATTTAATTTTTGTATCGGCTGGCATAGCGTGGTTGGAGCACATTTGTTGCATTGGCCGAATTCCCGACATTTCTCGGCCACCAAAATACTTAGTTCGGACACATTTTTTCTTCTGAAATTCACGTTCAACTTCATTTTTATGAAGTGAATCCCTTTTGAGCCTACAAATACATTTTTTCAAAATCTTACATCTACTACTTCTTGTTCCTTTTCAGCAGCTGTGTCATTAGTTGTCTTCCAAGGTCTCCCCACCTTCCTTCTGGGGATTTCATCCTCGTCGGAATCAGTGATGGCTGAAAATGAGATTTTTGTAAAAGCAAAATTATAAATAATTTCGAAACTCACAATTCGGCAGCGGACGTTGTCCAATTCGTCTACTCGTTGCTCCAGGTGCAAGTTTGAAATGTGACAAACAAATATAGCTTATAGGATTCCGTCTTATTCTTCTACCAAAACGTTCGCCAAGAATATCAATCCATTTCTTCAATTCTTTCGGATTTCTTGTGACATTTGTCATTTTGATCAACATTTTTCTTTTATCACAATATACACATTTTGGATAATCGTTTGGTTTCATTGTAGGTTCACACTCATAATGAAATTGATTGTTAGCTATTTTATTTTTACAAAGTCGATGTTCTCCATATTTCATTGGTTCCAACACAATAGGAACTTGTGCCTAAATATCAATAGATTTCGCTTGGAAAAAAACCCGGGAAAATTGCGTGCGCAGCAATTTTCCGTCAACTTACCATTGGGTTCTTTTTTTTGATTATAATTCGCGGCACAAAATCTGAAAATAAAATTTTTTTTTAAAGTTGGAGGCAGAAAAAAAACTCACAATCTTTATTCGGGATCGGAATTTGTAGATATTTCTTCCTTTTTATTTGCCGAGCCATGTCTTTTTTCCAAATGAATTTTACAGATGTATTTTTTTCCGACTGTTTTTGCAATATTTTCTTCGAATACTTTCCCTAATGATTTTTTCCATTTATTCAATTTTTCTTGTTCATTCGGAACAGTTATCATTTGACAAGCCTTCTTGACAACTTCACAATACATGCATGTTACCAACCCATTCATAATGCCGGCTAGAAAATTATACAAAAATAAAGCATCCGTGATTGATGGTTTTTAAAATACGTTCTACAAAACTGCCAGTTAGTTGACTGGAAAAACGGTGTTCTCCAAAAGAAGTACAAGGCTTCTCAGAAATTTAAAAAAATAAATCAATCCGTAATCTACGGCTTTTTCTATGCAAAAAGACTTCAACATACAATTTTCAAATTTTATTAACATAATTTTTCAAGTTTAAAATTCACCATTATTTTGATTTTTAATACATATTTCACAAGAAATTAATAAACATACAGAAACATACTTTTCAAATAATTTCAAGCAAATGAGTTATGATTCAGGTTCAGATTCATCTTCTTGATCTTCTCTCAAATTTTGCTGATTTGAAGAATTTGAGGTGGATGGAATGTTATCTTCAGCATTTTTTGCAAGTATTGCATTTTCTATATCTCTTCCTAACCATCCAAATAATGGTTCCTCATTTCCAGTCGATGAATTATTCTGATTTTGGCTGTCCGCATTTCTTGTTTCATTGCGTGGAAATTGTTCATCTTTTATTTCAATCGAATTTTGAGCATTGGAAGAGTTTGAAGTCGAAGGAATATTCGGATCAATAAAATCTTCATCGGAATTTGCCCAGGCTGAAATATTCATTCGTTGTTCGCTAGTAGTTGGTTGATTCTGGAATAACAGGTTTTCAGAAACTCATAATGTTTTTTTTTTCTAATAAGCTCACAGATCCATTATTCTTCAAAAAAACATAGCAGACTTCTTACCTCTTCATTAATTTTCTTCCTTGGTCTCCCTTTTCTTATGTCATCATCGTCGGAATCTGTGATGGCTGAAAAAAAAAAGATTGGACGAGGTGTGGCCACAAAAAACTCACAATTCGCCACCGGAAGTTGTCCATGTTGTATTTTCGTCTTTCCAGGTTCAAGTTCAAAATGTGACGAACAAATATAACTTATAGGCCTTTTTTTGACATTCGCTTCAAAACGTTCGCCAAGAATTGCAATCCATTTATTCAATCCTGTTTCATTTTGTGGAACATATCTCCTTTTTTTACACCCTTTCATTTTTTCACAATATGCACAAAGCTTTGGATCATAATCACGAATTTTTTTACTTGGTCTCCCTCTTCGATTTTTCGGATTTTTGTCATCATTAGCTTGATGTTGTGCAGAAACATTCAATGGTTCATCTTGTCCAATATTTTGGTTCATTTCAGTTGGGGCAGTTTCTGCTGAAAATTCATTTTTTTTTCAAAACGGCTTGGAAAAAAATTCGAACCTGGGATATTATCTGGAACGTTATCCGAGGCAACGATTTGCGGTAAAATTCTTGCAATAGAAAATTGACCATGTGGATCTGAACTTCGATTATTTGCAGAATTTGGATTCGAAGGAACGCTGACCTAAATATTAATTGGGTTTAATTTACAAATAAAATTTCAAATTTAAGCTAACTCACTTCTCTGCTCACCAAATTTGGGCGATTTTGGTTCATATTTTGATTGATTTCTGCTTGAATAGTTCCTGATAAAGAAGCACTAACATTTTGAGAAATCGCGAAGTTTGAAGCCGAAGGAAAGTTAGTTTGTATTGGTGGATTTGTTGGCAAGCGAAAAACAAATGGAAAGAAACGTTGATTATTGGCAAAATTTGAAGTTGAAGGAATGTTGGTCTAAATATATATTGATTGATTTTATTCTGAATATAATGAAAACTCACCCTGTTCAGGAAGGCTTGTCGTGACAGGTATTCTTGAAAATATAGAAAATTTGCTGCTTGGCCAAGTTCATTTAATACTCTCATTGTATTCAGAGAAGTGTCAACATTCGGAGACAAAGAAATGTTTGGATTCGAATTCGAAGTCGACGGAAGATTTGGATCTGTTAAATCTTCGTCGGAATCCGGTGGTACTGAAAAATTGGATGATTGTGAAATAAAATTTTGAAAAAAACTAACAGGTATCCATATTCGCAACCGGAACATCGTGTCGTCTTCTTGTCGATCCAGGTGGAAGATTAAAATGTGACAAACAAATATAAGATTGAAAACCATTTCGCTTGACATTTTCAGCAAAACAATCTCCAAGAATAGCAATCCATTCTTTCAATTTCCGTTCTTTTAATGGAACACTTGTCATTTTTGAATATACTTTCTTTCTTTGACAATATACACATTTTATTTTTAGATCCTCATTAGCAACTTTACAACTTCGACGAGAACAATATTTCATCGGTTCCGCAACAATAGGAACTGCTTTCTAAATATCAATAGATTTTGCTTGGAAAATTCATTTTGAATTTCGACACTTATTGATTTCTGGAGCGCGAGGGCTAATAGTTCAAAAAAGTCCTAGATTTATCCCAAATTGCTAATTCGTGTCAACTTACATTTCTTTCGTTTGCACTGCACGGCTTATAATCTGAAAAATACTATTATACATTTAAAAAAAGTTGAACACAATAAACTCACAATCTTTATTCGCAATCGGAAGTACCCACCAGTTTATTTTTCTAGATGCCCTTCCATGTTTTGGATCAAAATGATATCGACAAATATGCATGTGTTTCGAAGAGTCTACGATTGCCTGTTTGACATTTTTAGCAAATTCTTCGCCGAGTCTCTCGATCCATTTTTTCAATAGCTTTTTATTGTGTATCGGAACTTTTGTCATTTCACATCCAAATTTCACGAGTCCACAATATAAACATTTTATAAGAGTGTCTGGGGACATTCGATCACACCTTTTTAGATAAAAATAATAATTTTTATTTATTTACAAATATCAATAGTATTTAACGCAATTCGTAACTAACGGGTTTTCAAAATACGTTCTACAAAACAGTCAGTTAGTTGACCGGAAAAAAATTCAGACAAGTTGTACGATTAATCACCGAGTAAAGTGAACTTACGATTAATAGCCTGAACTAAATTAACACAGGCGATTAATCGTCCAACTTCTCTGAGAAGAAAAGAAAAACCGGTGTTCTCCGAAGGAAGTACAAGACTTCTCACATACACGGCGACGCACAATTGCACACAAATGTGCTCACCGTATAAATTTAAATAATTATTTTATTTTTGTTTTTTTTTTCTGAAGTTTCTCTATGGCCACGTGGATTTTATATCCACAGAATACTGTACGTTTTCTAGAATGAAATAAAAATAAATCAATCCGTAATCAACGGCTTTTTCCATGCAAAACGACTTGAAAATACTTATTTTCAAAAATAAAAAACTATACATTTTTCAAATGAATCGAACAAACAAAATGAGGTGAACAATGTTGGATGAGATTTGCTGAAAACTGGGCTCCCAGAAGTTCGAGCCATTTCATAATTTCATCGTGATTTATCGGAACTTCGGTCATCGAATTCTCTTCGATCGATTCCATGCCACAAAATCGACAAGGAAATGAGGAAATCGGCTCGCTTTTCTGGAAAAAAAATAGGAAATTGAATAAGAAAAAAGCGGGGAATTTACCACTTTGACTGGAGAAATTTGTTCGGTTTTGATTTTTTGTGGTGGAAGACTTGGACTGAGCATAGGCATCAGATTCTGAAAAAAATAAAAATTTCATTTTTAATCTTGGCTTCTGCTTCTAAAATTTTTTATATATGAAAAAAACAATTTTTTTATTTCAGAAAATCTAGAATTCTGTAAAATTTTCCTAGAGATCAAAATGTTTTGTTTAGTTTGAAATTCATATTTTCAGGCTTAAATTCTGAAAATTCTCGAAACCAACTTTTTTGGAATTCTCAGGTAGACAATGTGTGAAACCCGATAACTTCCCAAATACCGTACACCAAATATTCACATGCCCCGCCCACTTTTCTAACACTATTTGGCGTGCAAAAATTGGCATTTTCCCAGTTTTCGTCAAATCTTGTTAGTCTTTTCAATTCCTAAAAAATGGATATTTCACCACGAAATTCTGCAAGCGATTCTCAAAGAGACGAAGATCCACTTCCACTAATTATCTTCATAATTTCTGTTTGGACAACTATTTTTGCATTTCAAAGACGAACTCCAGATTCAGAAATGCAATTAGTCACTATTTTGATTATATTGATTGCAGTTGTTTCGTAAGTTTTATGAACTTTTATGAAAGCAAAACAATCCATAAATTTTTTTAGACATCCTCGGAATATTCGACAAATTCCACGTGACGTACTTGATTGTTTGGAAAGAACTATTGAAGGATTCATTATGTTGCTCAGATTAGTTTTTATGTCGAGAAATCAAGAAGAATTACTATCTGATGAAGATGAATTGATTGATATTTTGTAGATAAAAAAGAAAAATTAATTATTTTGTCTGCGCTCTCATAATTTCACGTTGTCTCTCTCTCTCTCTACTCAAAATAAAAAAATCGAACCTTTTCTTCATTTTCCATTTTTTTCGGCAAATTCCTCGCTCCTCTGTTCATTTTTCCCGGTTTCAAATCGAAATGCGTCAAACAAATCATTCCTCCATTATTTTTCTTGACATTTTCCAAAAATTGCTCGCCCAAGATTTCGACCCATTTTTCGAGAATTTTCGGTGATTTTGGAATATGTGTCATTTTTCCTTGATTTATTGATTTTCGGCAATATTGACATTGACGGGTTGACTGAAAAAATTAACGAGAGCTAAGTTACCCTAACTTATTCTAATCTATGAAGTTACACTCGCTCCGCTCGAATACAAAAAACTCACACCGATTTCAAAATCCAAAGCACATTTCATTCGATTTTTCGCTCCATTTTTCAATTTCGGCAACTGATTTGCTCCACGTTTTCGTGAATTTTCGGGCAAATCAAAATGTGTCAAACAAATCATATTAATCACCTTATTCTTCTTAATTTCATCTCGAAATTCTTCGCCCAAAATTCGAATCCATTTTTCCAGAATATGTGGGCTTTTTGGGACAAATGTCATTTTTTCCTGCGAATTTTGCTTTTTACAATATCTGCATGTATGACTTTTGTTATTATTGATTTTTGGAATTCGAGGCATTTTTTGAAAAGCTGAAACTTGTACTAAATTTATTGATTTTTCACATTTTCAATAATATCCTATCGATTTCAACGATCTATTTTTTAATCCAAAACCAACTAAAATCTAAACATTTTCATTTGATAAAACAAAACCAAAAATTAAATTTTGTCCAAAAGTTCCCGGAAAACAGATAATTGCGCATTTTTGTCGATTTCTCGAAATTCTGGGCGTCTTGCAATTTCTTTGAGTTGACTAGCGGTTTTGAGAGTTTTGAGGAAGATTTCACACTGAAAAAAAAAATAATTGACTTCAAAAAAAATTTTCACGTGGATCTTTTCGATAAATAAAAACTCACATCTAGTTTCTCCATGTTGTGCTTTGCCGAATAATCAATTTTCCTCATAATATCCACATCTTTTTTCTCAATCAAATATTGTTCAACAACCGCGTTTATTGTAAAAAGTTTGAATTTGTCTTTGGCCTCCAAAATTGCATCAATCATGTTTTCTATGAAATTTTCAAATTATTGAATTGAAAAATATTTTTGAAAATAAAAATCTAACCTGATAAAAACATTGGATTGAATGATGCAAGATAAACCAAGCAAATGACTTTGTCTAAGTCGATTTTTTCAAATTTGATGATACTGTCCGTTCGCCAGCGAAGGAAACGCGGCCAAACGCGCCCCATTGATAAACAACGCATTTTTGTGCGGCCATTCAAACAATAATTTTTATTCTTTTACTGTTTTTCATGCGAAAAAAGGCATTTCCACTAATTGAAAAATGAGGAAATTGGTTATTGTGGAAACTACTGAGTTGAAAAGGTTTTACCTGACCATTTTCACTTAAAATTGGTGCATTTGGACAGAAATGAGCATAGAAAAAGTGAAATTTTCTTATTTCGGTTGGAAACGATATATAACTAGTTGGAAAACAAAAACTAAACAGTTTATCAACAAAATTAATCAAGAAAATAGATTAAATTAGTGACAAATCACAATTTTCGACCAAAAAAACCCGACTTCCTCATCATTTCTATCAAAACTCCGAGCGAACCGATGTCTTTTTCGCATAAATCTTGTTGAGAAGTTGTTTTCTTTGTCACTAATGTGCACTTGCATCATTTGAATAGCACATTGATTGATTTGAGGCATTTTTGAGCAAATTATCCATAACATATCGCCATTCATTTCAAAATTGCGATGAAAACCGCAAAAATCACTAATTTTCAATCAACAACCTGAAAATTGCATCATTGTCATAGAAAATACATAACTAAACAACTAACCTTCGATTTGAATTGAACTGCGACTACAAAACACTCCAAAAATCGATTTTATAACACTTTTTCGATCGAAACATCGAATTCCATCGAAAAAAATCCATAAATCGCTACCAAAAACCATTTTTTTCGGGCAAACTTGGAAGATAAGTATAATTCGAGTTTTGCCAACTTCTGAAAGCAGAAAAATTACAAAATTGCTTCTTTTTTGGGGAAAAAAGAGGAAAAAACAAGAAAAAACGGAAAAAAATGAAAAAAATTGGGTCGGCAAAAAAGCAAACTACGGTATGTAGTTGGAGCGCGTTTCCTTCGCTGAAAAACGAACAGTATTTTCCGTGCATTTCTCAATGAAAAACAATTCGTAGAAGTATTGCGAAAAAGATGCGAGAAGCTGAAATTTTTATTTTATTTCTTCTATTTTGAAGCTTAAAGGGTTGGTGCTTTCCTGGTGAAAAAATCGTCTGCAAAAAGGCGTCACCGTGTTATTTTCAAAGTTGTGTGCAAACACACACACAAAAATTCAAAAACAAGTTGTGCGCTAGAGCGCATTTACATGCTTTATTTCGTAGGTTTTAACTCGCTTGTGTTTTTGAGGAAAACATGGGCTGAATTGATACTAGAATTTTTTCTAAAACTGGAACCTTCCAGGAGCACCTTATTCTTATCTAAACCAAGCAAGATTCCTTGGCGGAGGACCAACCCTTTAAAACCAAACCAACCCCTTTATTAACATGAAAATCAATATCCTCCACTCGAAGTGTAAGATCAGTATAATCCGGAACAATTTCCGAAAAATCATAAAACTTATAATCAGCCAAAATTTGTGCTCGAAAATATTCCATATGCGAAAAAACGCTCCATTTTCTCATCGCAAAATACTTGCAAATATTATGATTTGCTGTATAATTCCAATTTTTATCCTCGCCCATTCTATAATTTCCCACTTCACCATATTCATCTTTTTCGTCCAAATTAGGATCGACATCTTCTTCATTGCGAAAAATGACAAAAGTCTGATCTTGTATGCTCAATAACCATGCTTGATTTGTGAAGGATTCGGGCAAAAGTTCGACTTCGCATGACAAATAGATTTCTCCGTCTTTGATGGTTTTGTAGATTGAAATTTTCCTAAAGAAAACACTATTTTTGTGAATTTTCAGGGCAAAAATGTTATCACCATTTCAATTTCAAATCTCCATCCACTTCAATAATCTCACTTTCCCTTCGACTTCCATCCCAAGTTTTCAATTCGGAGAACACGCAATTGAATTCCAATTCAGTGGCATCACTTGAAATTCGAGAAAACTGAAACAATTCTTGATTTAATATTTTTATAGAAAATTTTTCAAAACAAACCTTGTTATTGTTGTCGTTGATCAAAGCTTCTGGCATCTAAAAAAATTGATTTAAAATAGAAGTATGGTAAAGATAATTCATGGTTTGAAAAAAAACAGATTCAAGAAGTTGGAACAAGTATAAAACAAAAACAATTTATTAAAGAAAGTTCAAGAGTTTTTTGAGAACAGGAAGTTGGGTAGTTTCTTTGAGTGAGTTGAAAGCTTCGTGTCTTGTAAGATTCACAATTAGATCCACGCTGTTGAGTGCTTTTATACAACTTTGCTGAAAATTAAAACGTTTAAATATTTATAATTTAAAAAATGCTGAAAAAACCTGTAGAAGTGTGTATGAATATAAATCCGACAATCGAAGTTTCTCAATAATTGGAATGGTTTCCATTTTTTCTTCAATCAAATATCTTTCACATCTGTGATGCAACGAAGAAGATGTGAACAACGATGCTAGACTTATAAGTTGGGAATAGTTGTCTCCTGGAAGAAAATCAACGAGTTTCAGCTTGATTCCAGGTAAACCTACTATTTACATCTAATGGTATTTGATTAATCGAAGCCAGAAACAAACAAAGAAGCTCAGCAGAAATGAATGGTAATTCAAAATTGTCTGATTCATTTTCGACGAAACATATGTTATAGAAAAAACTCGAATTTCCACAAAGTTGCTGCAAAGTAAATGTTAATTTCGAAATGTATATGGTATTTTATAAATAATAAAAGTACTAACCCCTTTGTTGACAAAAAACTTGGTATTTTCAACATTCAACGTCAAATCGTGATAAATTGGAACTTCTCGAATAAAAACATATAATTTTACGTTAATTATATTTTCAATTATGATTGAATTATTTTCCATAAAGCCTCCTATTTCCATTTTTCTCCACGATATAAATTCATTAAATCGAGATGTATCAAAATACTTATTGAAGAGACGTCTTGGAGTCATTGATATCGAATAATGCGCTCCTTTTCCTCGTTGTTTCAACAATCTTCGTTCCCCATTCATCTTACATAGCCATCCTTCTCCTTCAAAACCACTAGATACAAGAACTGTTGAACATCTCAATTTCCCATCAATCAACTGAATTCCTTGTTTCCTGAAATTGAGTTTTTCAAAATGAATAATACTTGTTGACAACTAAATAAATACCAAATGAATTGTCCAAATCGTATTTCATCACTCCATTTTTCTTTACCATCCCAATTTTCCAAATTCTCGAATTTCCATCTCAAAACATCTCCATTTCGAACAATCGGATTTTCTTGAAATTGCGCAGGTTTCTCTTCTTCCTCCTCCTCTTCTTCTCCATCATTTTCAGTCGTTCGAGCACGTTTCAAAGATGGAACCATTTCCAAATACCGTAGAACCTGTAGGTTAATCTGTTCGAAATTTTATCAAAATCCAAAAGAAAAAATACAGATAATTTCAAAGAATATTTCAACTCTTTGAGATGAATAACAATATTCCAAATAGACAAAATCCATATTTATTAAAAATTTCAAAATGATAAATATTTTAAAGGTTTCATGAAACCTCAGGAGATCAGAAACTTTAAACCTCAGCAACAAAATCAATTTTTCATTTAAAAAAACTATTCACAAAAATTTCAAAAGTTTTCTAAGAACTTGTAATTGCGTATTCTCCTCGAGTTTCATAAATTTCTCATTATCCGTCAGTTTTTTGATATCCGCTGTATTTTTGAGTGACGAAATGCAATTTTGCTGAAATAATAGATATTGTTTTAAAAAAATAAAAACTTAGGATGAAAAATTACCATCAAAGAATTATATTCGTATTTTTTCAGCATATTCCAGCTTCTTAATCAATGCCAAACTCGAAGATATCAAAAACGTTTCGCATTTTCTGTGCAAAGTTGGAGCATCGAACATTTCAGCCATTTTAACAAGCTGTTCATAATTCCCATCTAAAACATCAATATTCTTTTAAATTCCAAAAATAAAAAAGTACCAGTAATTTCCAGTGGGGTTGGACACAAAGTTGCCAAAAAAGAACAAAAATCGTTAGTCAGAACAGAATCCAAATTTATCTCTTCGGTTTCGTTTTCGATGAAGATTTTGTCGTAGAAAAACTTTGAGCTAGCACAGAGTTGCTATAAATATCATAGAGAAATTGGGAAAATGAGAGAAAACAACTCACTCCTTTGTTGAAATAAATCTTGTCATTTCCAATATTTATCACAATATCATGGAATTTCGGAACTCTTCGAGAGAAATCATAAAATACCACATCTAATTGATTCTCAACTATAATCAAAGTATCCTCTACACATTCCTCAGATTTCACTTCAGACGAATGAACTATGCTGGTGAAAATTGCCTGATTTTCTGGTGACAAACATTTTTTTTGGAAAGCTCCGCTAAAACAGCTTGCTTCATGTGTTCCTTTAAAATGAATTTTTCCTGATCCCGATAGATTTATCAACCATCCATTTCCAACCGAACCAGGAGATATAATTTGAGTTAACAAATTTAACTCTTTACCGTCACACTCCAATCCGAGTTTCCTGAAAAAAGTGCATTTTCTTATTAAAATTCTAATAATTACTCACCAAACAAATTGCCCAATTCTTATTTCATCACTCCATTTTTGATCTACATCCCAATTTTTCAAATCTTCAAATTTCAATCGCAAAACATCTCCAGTTCTAATAATTGGATTCTCTTGAAATTGCGGCTGAAAATCTAGATTTTTATTGTCAAGTTAGGCTAAATATCAAACCTGAATTTCGTCTTCTTCTTCCTTGACCACAGTATTTGACATTTTCCTAACGTTGTAAATAAATAAAATGGTAAATAAATTTTTTCACGCAAAATATTCCAAACCGCCAGTGAAAAACGGAAAAACACATTTTCAGCAAACGTTTTTCTCTCTCTCATCATAAAAATTCATTCAACAGGTATTAAAATTTTGAAAAAAATAAATAAGAAAAGCGCATATATAAGTGAGAGAAAGCTGGAGTTTTGGTAACTTTTTAGGCCATCGAAGATTCGGCGGAGATCAATTGCATGGTGACTTCGTGGTTGTTTGGAAGAACTGTTTTTTCAGCATATTTTTGCGAGCAAATTGTGGTGTCGTAAAGATCATCGGCGATGAGCATTTTGGCGCGGAATCTGCAATTTTTGTATAAGTGTTGGAGTATTTCGAGCCCAAAACGCACCTTCTTTTAGAACACCACGCCCGTAACAAAAAAACCGCGATGACCATGAGGACTCCAGTCAAAAATCCAAGAAATATCACAGTTAGAATTGGATTTCTACCCAGAAAATTGCGAAGACCTTCTGTAGCTTTAATAATTCGAAGTTCATTTTCAGTTCGGTGGGGCAGAAGTGATTCATCTGCTTCATCGCTAGAACTCGTTGGCAAAACTGAAAAAACTCAAAAACGTTTCACAGAAAAAAAAAATCAAAACCCACCAAAAACCCCTTCATTCGTCTCGTTTCCTTTTCTCAATCGAAATTCCGTGTTATTTACGGACAAACTTGAGACAATTAGTAGAGATATTATTGGAATTAGCAATTTCAGTTGCATGGTTAGTCTGGAAACATCAAATTTTGCAGGAAACTTGAAGAAAAAATTTGAAATGAAAAAATATAGGCCACGCCCATTTTTCAAACGTTGCACACACATTATGCAAAAGTGCGGCGCGGTTTTTAATCAATCGATTTTTATTTGTTTTTTTTTCAGCGCACAAAATCTTGAAACTACTAAAATTGTGCATCGTTTTGTAGACAATCGTTCACTCTATCGAATGAAACAAAAATCTCACCGTAAATAATAGTTATAACAAAAAAATGCGATAAAACTTTATTATATTAAGAAATTCAATAATTTTCTATGAAACTTGAGTTGTGTACTCTCCTTAAATTGCGTAAATCGTGTATTTTTCATAAATTCCAAAAGTTCCTCTTTTGTTCCGCAATTTTCGACGCATTTTTCTATCAAATAGTTGTAAGAATTTTTATCGGCCATTTCGATTAATTCCATTTTTCCAAAATTTTCCGTCAGAAATTTCTGACATCTTCTCTGCAAATCCGGAACTTCGAATTTATCTGCCAAAATCGCCAGTAGAATTACATTCTGTTCTAAAAGTCAACATTTTTAACGATCTCCAGAGAGAAATTCACCGACCTGTTACAGATAATGAAGTGGGACATAAAACCGCTAAAAATTGACAGAATGCGTTGATTTCGATGTCCTCGATTTCCAAATCTCCTTCGATTTTTTCGATAAAAAACTTGTTGAAGAAATATTTCGAAAAACTGCTCAACAGCTGAAAAATTCGAATTTTAATCCTTGAAAACATTTTTTTTCTTCAAAAAAACAAACCCCTTTGTTAGCAAAAAAGCGTCTTCTTTGAACTATTATAATCACATCGTGATATCCAACAATTTCGTCATAAAAATCATAATAGAAAATTTCGAGAGTTCTTTCAATCAATAATTCATTGTTTTTCATCCATTTCTCTTTAACAATATTCCATTCACCAATTTTCTCACAAATTTCCATTTTTGCGGGGTGAAATAGGGCTTTTGAAGTTTGTGATAATTTTTGTGTCGGATTTTCTTGATTGACGATTCTTCGTTCTCCAGTCAAATCACATAACCATCTTTTGCCAGTTAAGCCATTTGAGACAAGTTTTAAGTGACTATATAGATTATTTTCGCGGATTTCAATTCCAGTTGCCCTGGAAAAAGAATTATTTGAAAAATCTGAATTTTTGAGTGAAAATTTTTCACTCAAAAATTCACCAAACAAATTGTCCAAAACTAATATTTTCACTCCATTTCAAATTTCCATCCCATTTATTCAAATTCTCGAATTTCGCGCTCAAAACATCTCCACTTCTTTCAATCGGATTTGTTGGAAATTCTGGTTTGATGGAAACAGCTTCAGGTTCTTCCACTTTTATGTTCATTTTTGCTGGAAATTCTGAAATTAATTGTGAAGAATTCAGAAATGTTCGAAGAACATTTTACCTTGAAAAAAAAAATAAAATAAAACTTTTTCAATTTATTTTGAAATGTGTTTTTTTAATCGAAAATTATTGTTGAAAAAAAAAACGTTTTTAAAAAAATTTTCAAATATTTCTCAAATGCTCAAATACATGTTCATTAAATTTTCAAAACGAAAAAAATCAAAACTTCATATAATAAGAAAAAATGAACAAAAAAATATTTATTTACAAGACATCAAATTTTCTTTGTTCATGGAAAACGCATAAAACATAGCAAAACTCGAATTTTGGTCGGATCCTTAAGTTTTGGAAAATGTTCCGAGCTCACAAATTCCTTCAATTCGATTGTAGTCTTAAAACAATCTAGACAATTTTTCATCAATTCTTCGAATTCAAAACTTTCTGCATAACAAATCTTTTTCGAAATTGGAATTCCACAACATTCAATCAGAAAACTTTCACAATTCGATTGCAAAGATGAAACCAAAAATCGATTTGCGAGAGTTGCGAGTTGCACGAAATTCGCTTCTGATACTGCAATTGGAACTGGACACATTGTGGCGAGAAATTGGAGAAAATGATGGGGTTCCGTGTTTTCGACGAGGATTTTTTGATCTTCTGATTTTTCGGAATTTTTGTAGAGTTTATCGTAGAAAAATTGCGAGTGTGTGCATAAAATCTGAAACATTTTTTGAATTTTCAAATTCAAATTTTTTCGAGCCCAAAACAAAACTCACATCCTTATTAAAATGAAAAACACAATCCTTGACATTCAGTGTAATATTTGAAGTATCGCAAAGTTTCGTGGAAAAATCATAAAAAGTATAATCGATATCAATCTCAAAAATAATCGAATTCTCCTTCACATATCGATTTTCGGCCAAATGTTCAGTCATTTTGAATTTTCCGCATCCAAATTTGAGCATTCCCGAGTGTAAATTGTTTCGTGGCACCAATTTTACGACATAATCATTGCTCGGATTTTTATGGTTTAGCATTCGAATTCGTCCGTCAACTGTAAATTGAACATATATTTTTGGGAATTTTGAATTCAAAAATTTCATTGTCAGCGTCAAAATTTGAGAGGTTTTAAGTTCAAAATTAGATTTTTTGGCGAAATTTTGAATTTCAAGAAAATTTAAAAATTGTTTTTTTTTGAAACAATAAATGTTCAGAATGAAAATGGTTCAAAATTAGAGGTTTTCCCCAAAAGTTTGAGAAAATCTAATTTTAAAAGCATTGCTCATGTTAAAATTATGAAATTCACTGATAGAAAGAAATATATCCACGTGGAAAAATTTATGTGTCAAACTTTTTTAAGCTGAAATGTTTTGGCACTACTTAATCTATATAAAAAAATATGTTTTTTACAGAAAAAAATCTACGTTTCAAAAAAAAATCAAATTTCGCCCCCGAAAAACGCCGAACCTTTAATCAACCATTGATTTCCATTAATATTTTTCGACACAGATTCAACCAATAATTCAACAGACAGAAAACAATCAGTCAAACTGCTTCCAATTTTCCATACAACATCATCTGTGTACAATTTATCACTATATCGAATTTTGCCGTCCCATTCATTTATATTATCCACTTGCCATCGTAAAATATTCCCTTTTTTCACAATTGGATTCGGTTTGAATGGAGTTATTGATTTTGGAATCGATTGAGGTGGAGAGAGTTGCTGAAAATTGACATTTTAGGGTTTGCCACGTGGCAATTAGGAATTTCTGAAAAAAAAATCAATTTTCAGCCGCGTGGCAACTAGCTTTAATTTTTTAAACCAAATTTTTCAAGAAATTGAGAGTTTTACCTTCAATTTTTTCTAAAAATTTAACAAAATCTCTGAAAATTAAATTTCTGATTTCGAAATTTTCAAAAATTTGTATTTCAGAACAATTTTTGTCATAAAAAATTCAAGAAATTTTTTTAAAGACACATAGAAAACTAGAAATGTGTGTCCGTAATCTTCAAAATTTGAACGCGCGCCTTTTTTCAAAGTTGTGTGTTGTTCGTTTGAAAAAAGAAATAAAAATTGGTGGTACGGTATGCTAAGAATGCACACATGTGCGGCAAATCACGAACATTTGTGCAAACACCAAATTTCGCGTCGGCTGAGCGATTTCAAAAAAGGCAATTTCTTTTTTTGACTTTCGCTAAACTCAATATTTTTCAATTTTGTTTATGTACTTCCACTATTTGAAGGATGATAAAAAACATTCAAATAATGATTTTTGAACGATTTCTAGTTTTCTACGTGTCTTTAACCACCAATTTCCCGCCCATAAACCCCAACCTTCACAGAAATCGTAGCATTTTCAAATTTCTCTCCTCCATTTCCTCGATTCATCGAAAACTGTTCACATTTATACCGCAACGCGGGAACATCAAATTTTCCAGCCAATTTCAGCAAAAACTCATAATTCTCCTCTCGAACTTCCAAAGGAATCGAGCACATTGTCGCCAGGAAATGAGCCAATTTATAATCTTCACAGCCTTTTAGTCGAACTGATGGCGGTTCAGTTTTTTGTTCGGATAGGAATTTTTGAATGAATTTCGAATTATTGCATAGAATTTCGCGATTGAAGTGAAAAATCGCGACATCTTCGGAAACATCGCTCGCATCAGAAATTGAAATATTCGTGAAATTCGATATTTTCCTAGAAAAAACATTTCATGAGCAATGGTTTAAAAGGAAAGTCTAAGACTATTTTTGAAACAGTAAATTTTTCAATTGAAAATAAAATTCTGTGCAAAAGAGCATTGCTCATGTTAAAATTTTTCTATTTTTTTCATGTTAAAGAAGTTCTATAAAAATCTATCAAAAACATTGAAAACCCGCGAAAAATTATAATTTTTTTGAAACCTAAATTTTTCGGGTTTTGAAAAATGAAGACTTTCTTCGAAATTCGGAGCATTGCTCATGTTAAAAATACTTCCAAATTTTACATTCCAGTGAATTTTTTTGGATTTTCAACAAAAAAAATTTGAAAATGTTCATATCTAACATGAGCAATGGCTCAAAATGAAAGGTTTTTCGAGATTTTTCTGCAAATTTTAACATATATTTGTGAATGGTTTACAGCTCAAAATTCTGTAGAAAACTAAAAATTTGAGCATTGCTCATATTAAAAAATTTCTAATGTTTACAAAATGTGTAATGCATTATTATCATGAAACCCCGCGAAAAATTATTATTTTTTTGAAACCTAAATTTTTCGGGTTTTGAAAAATGAAGACTTTCTTCGAAATTCTGAGCATTGCTCATGTTAAAAATACTCCCAAATTTTTCCATCCAGTGAACTTTTTTGGATTTTCAACAAAAAAAAGTGAAAATGTTCATCTCTAACATGAGCAATGGCTCAAAAATGAAGGGTTTTCGTATATATTTGTGAATGGTTTACAGCTCAAAATTCTGTAGAAAACTAAAAATTTGAGCATTGCTCATATTTTAAATTTTCGAATTTTTACCAATGGTGTAAAGAAAAAAATCAAAAATATTGAAAGCCCGCGAAAAATTATTATTTTTTCGAAACCTAAATTTTTCGGGTTTTGAAAAATCCCGACTTTCTTCAAAATTCTGAGCATCGCTCATTTTAAAAATAGTAATTGAATTCAAGTAACTTCTATTCATGTTTAACATGAGCAATATTTGAAAAATGAGGAATTTTCAAGATTTTTTGACCAAAAAAAAAACTTACCTATTAAAATCATAATAAAATACATCAAAATGTGCCTCAATTTCCAAACAATCATCTTTCAAAAATCCCAATTTCTCAAAATCTGTCCAATCGCCCAACAAATTGGTGAAATTCTCTTTATAATAATGATTGAAACAAGTTTTCGGCGAGAATTTCATCACAAAATCCTCCGCATCTTTTCGTAAAATCCGATAATTTCCATCGATTTTACAAAGCCAAGCTTTTGGTGTTTTTTGTGATTGCACAAACTTCAAACGAAACTCCAGAAATACACTGCCTTTTGATGGCTCATCGAAACGTTGTTTCATTCGACGAACACAAAGTTTCCTGGAGGAATAAGAGATAATTGATTAATTAATTAGGAAAATTAATAAATTACCATTTAAATCGATCGATTTGCAAAACATCACTATATTTCAAACTTCCATCCCAGCCTTTCATATTTTCAAATTTACACTTCAAAACTGCTCCTTTTTTGAAAATCGGATTTGAGAAAAATTCATTTTCTTGCTCTTCAATCTTTTGTCGCTTGGGTGAATTTGACATCTGAACAAAAAAAAGTTCTAAATCCTTAAAAAATGTTGGTGATGAAACAAAAAATATTTTAGAATAATAAAGATTTGGTCGTTAACCAAGTTCGCAAAAAAAATTCAACAAATATACTTTTCTCAACAACAATCAATTATGGAAAAACAGTTAAAATCAACATTCACAAAGTGTTACACGTTTCGATTAAAAAAAATAACAAATGTTCTTTAAACAAATTTAGCATACTCTTGGAAAACTCGAAGTTTGAGAGAATCATCGAAGTCCTCGAATCCTTCAGATTCTGTGAATTTTTTGACATCCGCAGCAGATTTGAACTCATTCATGTTTTTTTTCTAGAAATTTTTTTTCATAAATCTCACTCTTTTCAAAATTTAGAACTAACCATCAGTGCTTCATATTTATACTTGAATGCATATTCGACTTTTTTGAAAAGTTCCATTTTAGATGAATTGATCAAGAAATGTTCGCATTTGTAATGCAAAGATGGAACACGTAGTTTTCCAGCAACATTCATCAAGTCCACCACGTTCTCTTCTGAATTAAAGCTTAACTTACTTATATAAAATTACAGAACAAATTAATTAGTTACCTAAAACTTCCAATGGAATTGGCGATAATGTAGCAAGAAAATGGCGAAATTGATGTACACCAACGTATGGGATTATCCATTTTTGTTGTTTCTTATCCAACTTTTGAAAATGTTCGAGACAATATTCAGAGTGAATTGAAAGTAGCTTAAAAATATTTTACAGTAAAAGAAGGTCTTTGCAATTTCTAAAGAAAGTTGCTTTTCGTTGAAAACCACAATAGAAAAACGTACTTCTCTATTACAATGAAACTCAGTTCCATTAACACATGTGATAATATTAGTAATTCCTTTAATAGGTGCTCCAAAATCATAGAGAACAAAATCCAATTCAACTTCAATAATAATCGAACCATCCTTGATAAATCCATCTGTTATGATTGTGTTCCAATCATTAAATGGTGTGAAAAAACAATACAGAATCGACTCATAAAAACAATGTCTTGGCAGAATTGGTCGAATATAATGATCAGAGCTTCCATCTTGTTTAAACATTTTTCTAAACCCACGAACTTTGCATAACCAAGATCCATTCTTCAAGTTGTCGGGGACAATGTAAGTAGTTATTGCCAAACCATCAGGACCTCGATAAACTCCCATTTTCCTGAAACAAGTGGAAATAAAATTCGAAAATTGTATTCCTGATTGAATTTCGCATGTTCTACTCACCATTTGAATCCGCCAATATCATAATTATCACTAAATTTGATTTCCAAACCAAGATCCAGAATATTATCCACTTTCCATCGCATTTCGCCTCTTTTTGCTAGCGGACAGTCCATCCCCTACCCGACTGCGCTAAGGATGCAGACATAAAACAATGCGCGTATTGTCAAGTTATGAAAGAAGGAGGCAGAGAAAAGGGGGAGAGGAGTGAATATCGGGAGAAATGTGTTGCATTGTGGGATTTTTAGAAAAGGTTGATTCATTTTTCTTTCTCTCTCTAAAATATTTATAAATATAAAATTTATAAATGTTTCCTGATTGTTTTGTGCTGAAACTGCTCAAATTCACTGATAATCATAAAATTCTTGATGTTCAGCACAAATTTCGGGTCTAGAAAATTTTTTAGAAGTCCAGAATTATCAGTAAAAAAACAAAGCCAACTTTTTTTTCTCGAAAAAAAAAGTCCCAGACCCAAATTTTGTGCTGAAAATCGCACAAAAATCGGTTTAAAAATTAGCAAAAAAATATCTGAATAATCTTGGTCGTGAACCAAATTTGAAATTTCAATTTTAACAAAAAAAAACAAAATCAACAATATATTTTTCAACAAATAAAAAAAAATAACAAGATTATTCAAACAAATTTGGCCATCTCTCTGAAAAATCGGAGTTTCGTCGAATCACTCAAATTCTCGAATCCTTCACTTTCTGTGAAATTCTTGACTTCCGAAGCAGTTTTGAATTTGCTCAATTGAATTTTCTGCAAAAAAGTTATATTTTTTCATTTTCAAACATTAAATCACATACCATCAATGTTTCATAATTATACTTCGAAGCATATTCGACTTTTTCAATATCTGAAATTCCACATTCTTCCGAATTTATCAAAAATCGCTCGCATTTGTAATGTAAAGATGGAACACGTAAGTGATCAGCAACATTCATCAAACCAATCACATTTTCTTCTGCAAAAAAAGTTTCTATTTTATTTTACCAAGAAAAATTTCAAACCTGAAACTTCCAATGGAATTGGTGAAAACGTGGCGAGAAAATGAAGAAATTCGGTGGCTTCGATATTTTGCACTAGAATTTTATTTGGTATTTGCTTCATTTTTCGAAAAGTTTCTTGAAAATATTTCGAGTGAACTGCCAGCAACTGAAAAAATAAAAGTGGCCGAATTATTTCGCTGGCCGAGAAATGTCGGGAATTCGGCCAAATCAGCCATTCAAAGAGAAATAACCTAACAAGATAACCTACATCTCTATTACATAGAAATTCAATTCCATCAACATCAATAATCATATTAGTTATAGAATCAATTCGCAAAGCAAAATGATAAAAAACAAAATCCAACTCAATTTCAATCAAAATCGCTCCATCTTTAATAAATCCACCTGTTTTCATAATATTCCAATCATTAAATGGTGAATAACAAACATGAAATTTCGATTTATTCAAGCAAAAGTTCGGCGAAATCGATCGTATATAATGATCAGATTTTCCATCTTGTTTCAACATTTTTCGAAATCCACGAAGTTTACAAAGCCACAAACCATTGCTCATGTTATTTGGAACGATTTGAACAGTTAGAACTAAATCACCCATTTTTCGATGAATTCCAAGTTTCCTAGAAAACAATTGGGAAGATTTTTTGAAAACTCGAAAATTTTTACTCACCATTTCAATCCACCAATTTCGAAAATATCGCTGTATTTAATTTTCATGCCAAGGTCCAGAATATTATCCACTTTCCATTGAAATTCGCCTCTTTTTGCTAGCGGATTCATTTTTTCTTGCTTTCTCTAAAATATTTAAAAGCTTCCTGATTGTGAATAAAACTTTAACAAGATACAAATGGAAGCCAACCAAAATAAATCAAAAAATAAAACAAACAAATATTTCTTCATTGAAAATTCATACAAACTTTGCAAATTCTTGAAGAATTCTGACTTTACATAACTCTGGCAAACTTTGAAATTCCGGTTTTTCGGTGAATTTTTTGAGTTGCTTCGCAGATTTCAAACCAGCAATTTGTTGAATCTGAAATTCTTCTAAAATTGAAAAAAAATGACACAAAAAATAAGTTACCATAAATTTCTCATATCCATATTTGAAGGCCAATTCGAGTTTTCTAATTTCACTCAAACCAGATTTCTCCATCTAAAATCGTTGGCATTTGAAATGCAAAGATGGCGACTGCAATTTTTCAGCAGCTTCCGTCAGAAAAACAACGTTTTCGTCTGAAATATCAGCTTGAGCCGGATGAATAGTTGTCATGAAATGCAAAAAAGTTGTCAAATTGATTAAATCGAGCACACAGCATTTTTGTTTCCAGTCCATTTTTTGAAATCGCGCGGCAAAATATGCAGAATGAGTGGATAAAAACTGAAAATGATGAATTTTGAAAAGAAACACGTGACGTCATGAGGAAAACCCTACATTTCTGTTACAAAAAAATTTATAATCTTCACAGTGAATTCGAATATTAGTCAAACCAGTGACTGATTTCTCAAAATCATAGTAAATATAATCGAGGCTAACTTCCACTGATATTTGATTATTTTCGATTTTCGAAGAGATTATCTCACAAATATTGAATGTTGTGAGCTTTGGATGAAGAGAAATCTCATTCGATAAATATTTATAACACGATTCTGATTCATTCAACAATTCTCCACGTGTTTTACACATCCATCCTCCTTTTCTTTTAAATGTTTTCAAATCCACGCAAATCACATAATTTCCCTCGGTGTTTTTCGAAACTCCGAGCTTCCTACAATCATTTTTTTTTCTTTTCAATTAAGTTTGAAACCAATTATAAATATGAACATACCATATTACACCATCGATAAATAAACTTCGACCATATTTCACTTCAAAACTGATTTTTGAAACGGGAAAACTCAATTCCAACGCAATTTTGTTACCCGAAACCGGGTTCATTTTCAAGCTATTTCGAAATAATATAAGAATGATATGAGATTAATTTGGAAGATAATTTAATTTTAAATAGAAGACATTTTGAACTTCGTGAAAAAACAAAAAACTTGAGATTAAACAATTAAGGTTTATAACCACAAATATGAAGAAAACAAATTAAATCATTATGATGATACAGACATTACAAAAGACAATCCTAAATCTTTGATGGAAACTGAGGCGCATTTATTGAGAACACTTGAATTGACCTCGAAATTGATGTCTTCGCCGCTGAAAAATTTTTCAATACTTTTTCAACACTTTTGTTGCAAAACTCACTCATCTTCCAATTTTTCATATTCAAATTCATCCATTTCCACCGAAATTCTTCTTTTCGACAAAGTTTTATTAAATTGCGCGCTGATTTTCAAAACTTGAATATTTCTATGAAGTTTTCCTTCTTGCCACAATTTCAAATATTGTCCCAAATCTTTTGGTGTCAATTTCATATAATAAATATGAATATAACTTGCGCGAAGTTGAATAAGTTGATCGAATTTTAAAATTGTTGCGGGAAGTTTCATGAAATCGAGAGTTTTCAATTGTTCGAATTCGATGAATTTGTATTTGAGCATACAAAGTTGATTGCGAACTTCACCGATCCACAGATGTTTCAATCTTTTCATTTTTGGAATATTGATCCCGCGCATCAACTTATTTCGGTTTTGATTTGACTGAAAATTGATTTTATGTAGACGTTACAGATTTTTAGTGTAAAATACCACAGTCATCTTGAAAGACACCAAATTATCTTTGTGTCTCTCCAAATATTGATTGACATGAGTTATAACAATATCTATCAAATTTCCAAATTCAATATCAACATCAAGACAATCTGGCCCGAAGTTATAGCATCTGCAACGGATTATTCTTATTATCTGAATTCCTGTTAATATACTCACTTCCACTGTTTTACTTTACACCTTGGTTCGCAATCCTCTTCATCCGGACCAAATCTTTTTGGCTCGAATTCTACGAACCATCGAGAACTTCTTGGGATTTGTGGAGATTGTGTGAAGTAGAGCTCAAAGTCTCCCCAATATGGAGTTTCAATCAATTCCATTGAATACACATAATTTTTTGATCCCATAACTTCTTCGCTGCATTTTTTTGAGCATTTAGCGAGACTTCCCAATGAATCCAACTCGACTTGATCGGTGATCATTTCGCGTAGCTCTTTTGGTATGTCGAACCAGCCGGTCACAGTGTCCACAAAACGACGTTTCTGCGTCTCTTTTCGAAAAATCTCTCGTTTCGGTAGAGCGCGTTTGCTCGTTTGTCATTTTTCAATGGAAAAATCGAATTTTTTGCCGATTTTTCAACTTTTTCTTGTTTTTACTCATTGTCATTGTTGTTTTTGCAAATTTTAATGAACGATTTCTTATTCTATGAATATCAGAGAACATTTTCATGTATAGATCGTTTCATGAAGTAACGCCATAATGCCGTTCAAAAATTTTAAAGATTTTCGTTCGTTTTTCAGGTTTTTTTGGGTGTCACCAAAAAGTGAAGAATACTCATTTTTCGAACTTTTTGGAATACGAGGACCACATTTGGGATGAAATGGGATATATTTGGACCAATTGTAACGATGACAGATTTTTTCTCATTTGAGGCGATGGATGTCACTGGTGGTGTTGTCGAACTGTTATTTGATGCTTTGTTTGGATATAAAATGATTCGAATATAATGGGAGAGAAGAATATCAAGCTTTTCGTAGGTTTTTTGCTTTAGCAATTTGATAATAATGGTATTTATAACGGTATTATTGCAGGTGCACGCTGGTCATCGCTACTTTTGGACATTTACTGGTTCAAACAATATGGAACTGGTCGTCAAATTTGATTTTTTGATGAAATCGTGATCGCATTGGATGTATCTAATCGTGATTTCGAATCAACTACATATTTTTGAATGAGGATAAAATCACATTGATGGATCTGACTCTCGAACACCAACATCAGGAAATTTGCTATTCAGAGTACTAGAGGACAGTGAAAAACATCAAGAAAACACATGAAAACCCACTTGACAATGTATATGTTGTAACTGTGCAGAAAATAGCGGTGTTTGGAGATGGTTTTATATCGAAAGATGGCTCAAAAGATGATTAATTGGGAGGAATTCATATTTCAACAGCAATATCCGACTTGTTATTGCTCAATTCTAATTTTTGAGCTTGGTACAGATTTGACGATGATTTATTCTGAAGCTGGCTGGATAAGTTGAGTTTGAATCGAAGAATGACGTTCCTTATTGGCTAAAGTTATCGATTTGTGATATTCGGAGCTCTATAACTCAGCTGAGCACTTTATTGGGATCCTGATAATTTTTTTGTGTATATTTTCATACGGTCTTTCTGCCGATGTGAATTTTTATTAACTTTCAGCCGGTTTTTCAAAAAAGTTTTTTTGTAAGACACGATTTTCTATTTTTTATCAATAAATATTGGATTAGTTCGTTTTTTTTTGTTACGTAAAACTTTATCATTTAAATTTTTCGGTTTTTCACACTTGGATTCAGATTTTCTAATTTTTTTAAAGTTCAAAAAACGCTCAAATAAACGTGTTTTGCTGATTGCAAGACTTTTAGGTTCAGAACTTCTCACTCCTAGCATCAATTAAACTGATATGTTTCGATTCACGTAATCCCTGTCCTTTAGAAGTGAAATTACCAAAAATTTCGTGAAATTTCAGCTAAAATACTTCTTCAAAATAATATAAGTTTTTCTTTCGATTTTATAGCCTTAAAAATTTCAAAAATGAATCGAAATGTTATTTCTCTGCCTTCCTTTCATCCTCCTCTACTCGCTCATATACCATTGTCCCCGTGAATTTCTTGAATTTTTTGAAGAATTTCGAAAAAATTCAAAAAAATTGAAAAAAAAATGAGAGAGTGTTGTTTGCTGTAGAGACGCAGACAACGAGAGAGCGCACACACCTCGCGTCGCCCTGTGGATATTGTGCGGTTGATTTTTTTTCTGGGATTGATTTCAAATCAATGCGTCTTCGTTTGAAATATATCGGCAAACGAATTCCATCGAAGGATTCGTCGGATTCATCGGATTCCATAGTATTGTGCGAAAATGAAAATTTTGCAGAGGGAAAATCGATAAATACCGTAATACACACAAAAAAGGCGCATGCAAATTTTTAAAAATATCTCGAAACGATGTTTGCAAAAACACACATTTTTGTTCAAAGGCACATTGAATTTGAATTGTTCGTGGTAAGATATTTTTTTATTTTGCATGCGCCTTTCAATTACGGTGCATCGCAATGTGTTCGAAAAAATTTCGATGAAAATGCTTTTTCGTGGAGCTCTCTGGATTGTGAGCTCATTTTCATTTCGTTTTGAGTGCTGGACGAATTGGTCCTGGTCTCGAAAATCAATTTTCCAGTTTGATTCAAAAATCAATGCTCAATCGGAAGATATTTTAAGGTAAATATTAATTTTTTTTTTAGAAATTTTGAATTTTCCCAAAAACCTTTTTTTTTTATTGCCACTAAATAGATCTTAAGATTTGGATGTTTTGGAAGCTGGGCCAATCCAAAATATGGTATGTTTCCTTACTATTCATGTAATTATCGAAATTTTGGGAAGACTAATAAAGTTTTCTTTAAATGTGATTTTAATGGTTCGAACTTCTTTGGATTACGGTTTGATCCGTTTGTTTTATTGATAATTTGTTTTATCCATTTTAAAAAATGGAAAAATAGGCCAGGAATTTGAAAATGGAGAAGAGAAGATGCCGATATTGTGAAAAAGTTGTCGATTCAAAAAATATGAAACAAGTTCCATTAAATCCCGAAATTCGTGAGAAATGAATCAATATTCTTGGCCCACTATTTTCTGAAAATATGAAAATATTATACCAAGTACGGACAAAATATTTTGGTCTTATTTGCAAGTCGCATTTTGAAGGAAATATGCGAATTAAATATAATCAACTTCCAATTCGAATGAGTGAAGAAGAAGAAAATGAAGTACGAAAGAGAAAACTAGAAATGATAAACAAAATAGTGAGTTAAAATACCCGGCCAATCACTTTTCGTATTTATAAATTGGAACTTTTTGAATACTTAAAAACTTCAAATATGACCTCAGGCTAGACAGATGGCCGTGTCTTTTGAGATTTGAGATGGTCGTAATAAAAAAAAAATGAATTTTTCCAGCCATCTCGTGCTTCGAACGACTTATTCAATTGTTGTTATTGCAACAAAGGCTTACCACGATATAAAATGACAGGAGTTCCGACAAATCAAAGTATTCGTGAAAAATGGGTTGAAATACTCGGAAAACAATTCGCCAATAATTTGAAGAAAGCTAAATACTCTTTTATTTGTCGCACACATTTTGAAGGAAATCCTGAACATCGATTGAACTATCAACTTCCGGTTCGAATGGAAAAAGATAAAGAGGAGAAGGAAGATGAAAATGAAGAATTTGGGGAGGAGGATGAAGAAGAAAATGGTATTCGAATGAACGAGGAAATTCCACACTTCAATTGTTTTGTTGCAAACGATTCGGAAAAACAGACAGAAAAAGTGAATAATTTTGAAACGGTTGCAAAATTGGTATGATTTATTTTTTAGAACTAAAAAAATTTCGATGTACACTGAAAATGTTTTGCAGAATGAAGTTCGAGATGTTCCATCAACTTCAAAGAATCCAAAAATAAACGGAAAAGTCGATTCAGAAGATCATCAAGAAGTCAGAAATAAGAGAAAAATCGACTCAAATTCTGAAAAATCGTCGAAACGAGAGAAATTGGGAAAAGGAAAGATATCTATTGGTATTCACAATCTTGAGAAGAATAAAAAGCGAATGAATCAAGAAAATGAAGAGAAGTTTGAAGAAGTTGAAAAACAACCTGAATCAAACGTTACATTGTTGAATGCTCCGGAAAATGATGATGAAATTGAAATTATCGTAAGATTTTCATTGATACATCAAAAATACAATTCCATGAACAGTTTCAGCAAACTACAATTCGCGAAGTTTTTTTTCCGAGAGTTTTGGAAGAAATGCAAAACAAGGACACTCATGAGAAACAATCAATAAATAATCAAAATAATGAAAAATCTGGAGAATTGAATATAGAGCATGACAGAGAATTTTCGAGAAAGGTAAGATTTTCTTTTGAATACATCTTAGCAATTCAAAATATTCCAGGAAACTGAAATTCGTGTGAAAATTGAGCCAACACAACTTCCGATGCCGAATACGTTGATTGTGAGTTTTCTTGATTTTTTTAACCAAAAACTTTATTTTTTTGAAAATTTCCTCTTGATAATGTGACGAATATTTTTCAGAAAAACTCAATCAAAGAAGAAAATCTGGAAGATGAGGTGCAAATAATAAATGATCAATCAAGTTCAATGGATTTCGTGCCAGAAATTAATTGTCGATTTTGCAAAATAAAAATTAGATGCATCAATCAAAGCGGTGGATATTCCACAAAACCTTGAAGAATTTACCAACTGGTCTAAAGTTTTTGGCCAACAATTTTTAGATAATGTCTTCGAAAATCAAAAACCCCATTTTATCTGCTTCTCACATATTCTAGAACAAAATTGGAAAACATGTTAAATTTTGTATTTTTTTGAGCATTTTAATGAACATTTTTGTAATAACATGGGAAAGACAACAATTCCAACATTATTTATATTTATGTTCAAAGGCGCATGCGAATTTTGAAAATATCTTGAAGCGATGAAGAAGTACGGTATTGCACATCTTAATTTTCTCCCCAAAATTTTCAAGTGTTTTCAAGAAAAATGGAGCCGATTATTGTTCTTGGGAATGATTTCAAATGGAGATTCAATGCAAACGAAGTTGCCAATTTGCGAAGAATGCAATTCAGTGAAAAATTCACAATCGCAGAGAAAGATTGGAAAATTGGTGTGGTCTCAATTGCAAATGAATTGACTGTTGAAATTCATCTCGAAACAAATGATCAAATTGAAAAACGTTGGATTTATGAAATTGATGGCGAATGCACAGTTCTCAAAGATGATTCCCAGAAAAATATCATTTGCAAAAAAGTGCGCCAATTTGTTTCACTGCAAACGATTGTTCTGGAATTTTCGCAAAGTTCGAGAATTTTTACAGTGATGGAAGAGAAGGACCTTTGATTGTTGATGTGCTTTTCAATCTCAAGATTTATGATTTTTCCAAGGAAATCCCGAATAATTTGGATTTTGTGCTTCATGTTGATGATCAACGATTGCATGTCAATAAAGGGGTTAGCTAATTAATTTTATTAAAATTAATTGTGGAATCAAGTGTTCAAATTTTACAGGTTTTGTGCAGTGTTTCGCAATTTTTCTCCAAGTTTTTCGAATCGAATCCAGAGGAAAAAAGATTTGAAGTTGAAAATGTTGAGCTCCATCAAATGTGCCATTTTCTCGCTGCAATTAATCCAATTCCAATTCATGCAACCAGTAAGTTGGGTGTTTAAAAAACGATATCGAATCAAATTCTTCCAGAAAAAAGTTATGAATTCTTGATGGTTTTGGCGAAAAAATTCGAATGCTTGACAGTCTTCGCAAAATGCGAGCAATATTTGATCATCGACAATGATCTTGATTTGATGAAAAAATTGGAATTGGCTGATCAAAATGATTTCGAATATCTCTTGGAAAGTTGCATTGATTCGTTCAAAACTCACAAACAAGTCAAAGAAATCACTTTGAATGCAGATTTTTGGAAATTCAAGGAATCCACACAACTTCGTGTTGTTAAATCGATTTTGAAGTTTCTCTAACTTTGTAATAATAAACCGTGTATTGTTTTTCTTTGAATAAATGTTAAGAACCGAAATACTTGACTATGAAACGAATAAATATTCATGCTTTTCTTGACACAATCAAAAATCAATGTCAAAAATTGGAACAAAAACAGAAAAGTGGAAAAACGTACCAGTAAACATTACAAGAACTCTGTACAAGTAACAAAATTATTGAAGAAATCGGCATTTTATTGAACTGGTGTCGGCGAGTTCGAAATTTCACCCTTGAGAGAAGGAACATCTTTGGCTGGGATGCAAATACGTGGTTTGACAGTTGAAGAAGTACGAGCTGATGAGTCTTTGTGAACTTCATATCTGGAACAAAATTCATGATTAAATGATAAAGGGTGAAGTTTCATTTATACCTCAAAGTGTCTGAATCAGGAATCGAAAGTTTTGCCTTCAAAACTTGTCCGATTCGAAGATTGACATCGTCTTTTGTAGCATCACGAGTCCACAAAGAAACTTTGTCTCCTTTTTGACGAACATTGACGACAGCTCCACAAATGTATTCACCGTGATCTTCAAATTGTTCCCCAACAATCGCCATCAACAATTCAAGCCAATAATGATCGAGAGTTTGTTGTCTTCTCTGAGGTGATTTCTTTTTCCACATTGATAAAATATTTTTAATATATTGTGGTTGAACTTACTTGTTTCTCAACTACAACCAACCAACGACCACCTTGAACATTATTTACATCTTCCCACATTGGCTTGATTCCCTCCTTGAAAAGATAATAATCGGATCCCCATGGAAGAGCACCAGCTGTTTGAATATGGTTGTAGAGTCCCCAAAAATCTTCAACTGTGTCGAAAAGTGAGACCATCTGTAAAAATTGTTCAATTTGTTTTGACAACTTTTGCAATCCAAGTTACCTTCAAGCAATCTTCCCAATCCTTGTTTCGATCCGCCTTCAAATACCACAACGCCCATCTATTTTGAAGTGGATGTCTGCTCAATACATTACGTGGAATTCCGATTTCTTTGGAATGTACGTGTCCATTCGTTTGATGGCGCGGTACTTCGATCACAGACATTTTGCTGGAAATATTTGATTGGGTAGGATATTGAAAGAGTGAAAAGAAGAAATAACGGATGTAACATTTTGTCGCAGAGTATTGAAACCTCAAATTTCTAATGCAACGTAGCTTTATTAAAAGAAAACAAACGAGAGAAAAAGAGTATGATTGACAGATAGTTCAAAAGTTTTTTTTTATCTTTTGAATGCATCTATTCATTTGCGAAAAAAACCGAAAAAAATGTATTTTTTTACAATATTTTTCTATTCATGAAAATGCACGAAATAAATGTCTATCGCGGCGAGACCCACACACATTTCAAGGAGAAAAACATGCGAGAAAAAAACAAGAAATGAAATTTTCGAAAGCATGCATTTTTCACACTTTCTTCCTTTTGATGAGTGTGGGTCTCGTCACGATTGCATGTATTTCGCGACAATTTGTGATTTTGGTGAATAGAAAAATATTGTAAAAAAATACACTTTTTTCGGTTTTTTTCGCAAATGAATAGATGCAGAACAATTTTTTGACAGATGTTTTCTCATAAAAAAATGTTTACAAATCAAATAACTTGGGAATTGTAGTGAACCTCAATAGTTCTACTCAACATTCAAACATTTCAAAAACTCGCAAAACAATCAAAACGACGTCGAAAACTCGGATAATGAAAAACGCGAAAACGAAAATTCAAAAACACCTGCCACACATTCCAACCGACTGCTACAGTAGTCATCGCCGTGGGGAACAAGAGATAAGAAAATTGATGCGCCTTTGTGCGAGGGCGTTTGAAAATTCGTTTTTTAAATAAAGAAAAGCAATTCAGACTTCAACGTATCCTGCTTCTTGGCTTTTCCGCAAGAAGCTAGCAACAAAAAAAGAAAATAAAAAAAATTAGAACTCCTCGGCATTTTTGTAGTTTTCGATAACGACCACCAATTTTGCTCTGAAAAAATCGAATTTTTTCTTTAGCTTACAAAATTTCAGAATATTCCTAGTTTCTAGTAAAAAAAAGAAATTTTGAGCATACTCAATCTGAAATTCCAATTGAAAATTTGGATTCCATCATTTTTCAATCAAAATTCCAGAACTTCTTTTTGTTTGGTGGAAAAAAAAGCTCACCGAAAATATATCGAATTCCTTGATTTCTGTTGTTCTGTGCAAGGCGAGTTTTTGAGTTTTTTTCTGAAAAATTATAATGTTTCTCATGAAAAAATCTTATTTTCCCTTATAAAAGCCTAAATTTCCCTCCTCATTGAATAATTCCACGTTTTCTTTTCAAAAAACTTTGAAAAGCGAACCTCGATCTCTCCCTTCACAGTTTTTCCAACCAAATCAAGTCGACAAAATCGAGAGTATAACCAAAAAGATATTTAAGGTAACTCATGTCGAGGTTCCTGACAATTGCAATGGCTAATGCTCAACTTAAGAAGCTTTACTATCCAGAGTTAGGCTAAGTTGAGCTGTACTTCACTCCAGGAGAGACACGTAAAATTGTTCGCAGAGATTAGTAAATTAGAAATTCAGGCAACCCAGGGAAAAAAACTCATCTTTTTTGCTGCCGTTTTGTTGCTCGCCGAAAAAATAACTGAAAATTTTTTGTTGAAATTGCATTTGCCACGACAAATTTCACGTTCACGCCAAAATTTTATTTTTTTTGCTGGCAGAAAAAAACTTATTTTTTCCGTTCTTTCTTTATCTTTAAGTTTGGGATTGGGATCTTTGTTTTGTTTAGATTTAAAAAATATTAAAAAAAAAGAGAAATCAGCCTTATTTAGAAATATACTATATTTACAAGAAAGACATTCAATAAAAATTATACTACATCTATAAATATTATACATTTGATGATTTTCGAAAAATATTCAAATCAATCGACACATTTTGTCAACAATATCACCCAAATGAACTTTACAAATAAAATGGGGAGAAGGATTTCGATGAACATTTTCGGCAAATTGTTTACCAATTGCTCTCGACCACTTCAAAAACGAATCGGTTTTGTTTGGAATCTTCTTCATCGCCGAAACATGAGTTTTTTGCTCACAAATACGACAACAAAATTCTCTGTCGTCATCCTAGAAGAACAAGAATTTTAAAGTTTTCGAGAATAAAATAGCACGCAAAAACTTACCATAACTTCGACAACTTCAAAAACATCCAAATCTTCATCTTTTGGTGATAATAAATCACCCACAACGACAATTTCATCTTCCTGAAAAATAGGATTTTTGGAAAGGGCCATACTATTTTAAATATCACAAAAAAGTGAATATTTACCTCAAGATCCATATCTTCCGATTCACCATTGATTTCAGGTTTGACGTTTTTTTGCTGAACATTTTTAATTTTTTGTCAAGATCTACTATAAATACTCACAAAAATCACGACTGGATAATCCTCTTTCTCTTTTTTCGGAACATGTCGCAATAAATCGCTATATCTTTGAGTTATCCCAAGTACTTCAATTTCATTATCATCATCTTCTTCTTCCTCATCTTCATTTTCTTCTTCTTCACCCATTGCAACTGGAAATTGATTATGTTTTCGAAATTTGAATCCGCCTTTGAAATGTGATCGACAAATGCTGCCATTTGTATTCCTCTCCAAATTTGCGGCAAATTGTTGACCGAGAATTTCTATCCATATTTCTCGAATCGCTGGATTCATTGGAACATGAGTCAAATCGTTTCGACGCAACAATTTCTGACAATAAAGACATCTCAAGTTTGGTGGTTTTGATCTTTTTCGACGATTTTGATTTCCATTCGCTGTTGGTTGATTCGTCATTTGGGGAAAATCGGCTTTTTTGCTAGGAAAGTCGAAAATGGGCGGCATCGCAAGGCGAAATGAAAAAAATTTAAATGAAAAAATCCAACGAGAAACGTGCATGTGCGCCCCAATGCACCCCGCGAAACATTTGTGTTTGAATTTCATGTTCAAAATATTTTTTTTTCACTGCTGGTTTTTTTTTATTTTTCGCGCAGAATTCTGCCTTTAGCAGCTTTTTTCTAGTTTAAAAATGAGTTTCTTTATTATTTCAAATAATATTAGTGTGAATCATACAATGGACATTTCTTTTCCGGATTCATTGGTGTTTTTTCGGCGCATTTGAAAGCTTTTGCAAATGCCGCAGTATTTGACATCATTCCATTGATTCGAAATTCTCCAATACTGTGAACATGTTTTTTGGCTTTTTTCAAATATTCTCCGACAAAATTCATACCACACCATTCCTAGATAAGTTTAATTTTGAAAATAATTGTTTTTTGAAAGATTTTTCGATAATTCAACTTACATGAGCCACTCTCATAAAAAATTGTTGTTCCACCGAATATTCCGCCAAAATCGGTAGTTTTTGTTGTTTTTCCGTAATCAATAATTTTTTGAGAATTCTTGAGACCAAATCAATTCCAATTTTATCAGCCGTGTCTTCTGATTGTGACTTTTTTCCATCTGAAAATGTTCCATCCGAAAATGTGTACTTGCTGTATTTCGAAATAATACAATCAACCCGTTTTTTGAATTCCTTTCGATTTTTCGGACTCATCGGATAATTCACTAGAAGTGAATCGTGTTCGAAGCTATCCGCATCAAAAGGATGACCAATTTCGTGTGAAATCATAAAACCCAAAGCTGCAATCATATTCCAATGTGGTAAATCGGAATCAATATATGGAAAGTTGAGAACAATTGGTGGAATTGCTAAAATAAATCAATTTTTATTATATATTTCTAATTAAAACTCACAAGTTCTGTGAGATCCTATACGAAAGTTCGACGAAACATATATTGGATTTCCCGAATATTTAATTTGCTCTTCTCTCGCCACTCTCAAAAATGTTTCTTCTGAATTCATTGCCAACAAATTTCTAACAAGTTCTAGATAAGTTTGTTGTTCAGCCGGTTTCGTTTTTTGCACACTTTCATACATTTTCTCAATATTTTTCATATCTTTATATTCATCCGGTATTCCAATTGATGATTTTATCAAATCAATTTCGTTTTTCAATCCATCTTTCAATTCTTGTTCCATCCAATCATTTTCCTCAATCATTTCACGAAAAACTTCTTTAACTTCATCAACAAGTTGATTCGCTTTTTCCAAATTTTGTTTTGGCACAAATTGTTCGATAAACATCATTGCTAAAGTTCCCGGAAACATTTTCTCAATAGTTTTATAACATTCATTTTCTCTGTCGATTCCAGTAAAATTATCAGACACCACGTATTTCTCAAGAGCTTCATCATAAAACGGTTTTAACTTATCGCGAATTGTTTCGACGCCTTTTAAATTAACTAATTTTTCCAAAGCTATTAATTCATTTTTGTGATATATCAGAGACCATGTTGTGTTTTGCGCATATTCGGGAAGCAGTTCTTTCATATATTTTTTGATATCGAAAAATTTGAAATCACTTGTTGTTTGACCACTTTTCAGTTTTTCTTCAATTTCATCAGGTGATTTAGCAATAACAAAACTATGACATAAGAAGTAATCCCATGCAAAAACCTTTAAAAAAATAGTTAAGTTATTGTCGAATTTAAAAAATGTGGCAGCCTTAAAATATGAAAACCAGTGCAGAGCTGAATGAATGACAAAGTCATTACTTCGTCAGTCGCGTGCGGCTGTGCGTCGCGGCTGAAAAACAAAGGAAAAAATAAATAATTGATTGTTTCTCGACCGCGACGCACAGCCGCACGCGACTGACGAAGTAATGATTTTGTCATTCATTCAGCTCTGCACTGGTTTTCATTTTTTACGGCTGCCACATTTTTCAAATTCGACAATATAAAGCAAAGTATTTTAAACCTCCTGAATTCCACTTTTCAAAGTTAAGCCAAGTCGATGTTCTCCATCAGTAATAATACTTGGATAAATATCATTTTTCAAAAATCGTGTTTTTGTTATCGAAACTTTCGCCATTTCCAATAAAATATCAGTAAAATCCAATTTCTTCCAAATATCTGTCTCATAAATTTCCACACTTGTTGTTTCCACACATTTCTTCCATAAAGTCATTGCAATTTTTTCCGGTGTTGTTTTTGATTTCAACGTTGAAAAATTCAAATATTTCGAGAAAATATCACGATTAACATCTTGCTTATTGTATATTTCAATAACATGATTTTTGTTCGGATCGACATTCTTATCATAATTTCCGCAACTGAATTTATAAAAGTCTGTGCATGGATCAGTTGAGTTATCCATAAATAATACCATTCGATCGGCCAGTTGAAAACATTTTTCAGTTTCACAGATTGGTTTGAAATCAGTAACTTTTATAAAATCATCAGTGCTTGTTATTATTTTTATAATAAAGCATAAAGAAATGATAGATGCAATGATAAGAAAAGCATATTGAACTTTTTTTCTTTTCAGAAAATATGGTCTGAAAATTTCTGAAATTATCTAGGGAGACGAGAAATTATTTATAAGCTCACAGTTTCATTATACCAAAATCGTAGAAAATGAAAAATTGTTTCGAGAAAGAGGGACACGTCAAATTTTTTCGAATAAAAAAAGTTATTTTTAAAAATCACAAGAACATATTTTATTATTTAGACGTGAACTTGACACGTAGTTTCATTTTCCGAAAATATTTTGTTTTTCTAACAAGTGAGCTTTTTGAGAGTAAATTGCACTTCTATTTTCCATTTGTATTTGATTGTTTTGATTCTTTTTTTTAAAGGTGGAGTCCGAGCAAAACATAAGTTGTGCTAGTTTGAAAGATCATGTTCCAATTAGTACAATCCTCGAAGGATTTTTTCTGGAAGCTTCTCAAACATTAATTAAAAAACTGTAAAGTTCGAAAAAACAGTGAAACACCGTGTAAAATGGCTTGAAAGTCCATTTGTCCAACCGTTTGGAGCTGTGTTTCTCTAATGTTAGAGAAGCTTTCAGAAAAAATCCTTCGAGGCTTGTACTAATTGCAACATGCTCTTTCAAATTAGCACAACTTTTTTTTTGCTCGGACTCCACCTTTAAGAAACGATAATTATTATTTTTTAAATATTTATTTTCACAAATAAATGATTTTAGTACAATGGGCATTTCTTTTCGGGATTCATCGGCGTATTTTTAGCGCATCCAAAAGCTTTTGCAAAATCGTCCGAATTCGACAAAACTCCATTGACTCGAAATTCATAAATACTATGGGTGTCGTTTTTTGCGCTTTCGATGTCTGACTTATCATATTTTCTACTACATTTCATCTAAATAATTTTAATTTTTCCGAAAAACTTAATTTTAAGAGAACCTACATAAGAATATCTCAAATAAAATTGTTGTTCGACTGTATATTGATCAATAACCGGTAATTTTTGTTGTCTTCTATCATCTAACAATTTCTTAAATAATCTTATGGCCAAATCAAATCCTATTTAACAGATGTATCTTCTCCTTTAGTCTTTTCTCCATTTGAAAATGTTCCATCGGGAAATTTATATTTACTGTATTTTTCAATGAAGCAATCAACTCGTTTTTTGAATTCTTCTCGAGTTTTTGGACTTATAGGATGTTTTCCGAAAAGTTCATTTGTTTCAAAGTAATGCGCATCAAAAGAGTGTCCCATTTCATGTCCCAGAATAGATGAAAAATCTACGATTGTATTCCAGTTTGGTAAGTCCATATCTATTTTTGGATATATCATCCAAACCAACCCGAAAGCTGGAAACCTCGAAGTTTTAGTATGAACTCTGAGAGCTGACAACAATAGCTTTTCCAAGAAAACAACTCACAAGTTCTATGAGAAGCATAATGAAAATATGCATTCGCAATGAGTGGGCCCGCCAGAAGTGTTATATCTGCTTTTTTCGCAATTCTCAAAAATGTTTCTTCAGCATTCATTTTCAACAAATTTCGAACAAGTTCTAAATATGTTTGTTGCTCAGCTGGTTTCGTTTTTTGCACACTTCCATACATTTTTTCAACATTTTCCATGTCTTCATATTCTTCCGGAATTCCAAACGATGCTTCTATCAAATCCGCCTCTTTTTTAAATCCATCTTTCAATTCTTGTTCCATCCAATCATTTTCATCTATCATTTCACGAAACACTTCTTTCAATTCTTTAAGATTTTCCTTTGCTCTTTTCAAATTTTCCTTTGGTACGAATTGCTCGGCGAAAATCATTGCGAAAGTTCCAGGAAACATTTTTTCAATTTTTCCAAAACATTGCTCATCTCGTTCTTTTCCAGTCACATTTTTCCCAACAACATATTTTCCCAGAACTTTGTTGTACAACGGTTTCAATTCATCGCGAATGGTTTCAACTCCTTTCAAATTAACGAGTTCTTGCAGAGCCATTAACTCATTTTTCCAAATAATGCAAAGACCATTTAGTATCTTTTGCATATTGGGGAAGCACTTCGCGTAAGTATTTTTTGATATCAAGAAATGGAAATGGATTTGTTGTTCCATCACTTTTTCCTAGTTTTTCAGTTTTCAAAATCGGATTGTCGTTGAGGATTTTGTTGTATTCATCTTTGTATATCTAAAACATTTCACGACATGAGGGGCCCAATCAAATAAAAAATAGTTACCTCGTCTATTCCACTTTCCAAACTCAAAACTAGATAAACATTCTCCAAACTATTTCCAAATGACCACATGTTGATATCATTTTTCAGAAAATGTGTTTTTCCAATCGAAACTTTCGAAATTTCCACTAGAATATCAGTCAAATCTGTACTTTTCCAAACACTTTGCTCAATAATTTCAACATTGTCAGTTTTCATACATTTATCCATCAAAACCATTGCTATTTTTTGAGGTGTTGTTTTCGGTTTATAAGTTGAAAAATTGAAATGTTTCCGGAACATTTTCCGATCTACTTCATAATTATCATGAGTTTCTGTAATAAAAAAGGAGGTAAGACGACAAAATTGTATTTGCTCAGAAAAAAGAAGGCCGCCTTCGAATAGTAAAAGCCCCAGGGGATTTTTTTCTCGGAAGGCGTAAAAAGATCCGAAAAAAATATTCCATGAACTTTTTTTCAAACGTATACGTTGTCCAAAAGTTTATGGAATATTTTCAACGCATACGTTATACGTGGTACCTGGTTCATGGAACATTTTTTCTGAGCCTTTTCAGAAAAAATCCCTTGGAGGTTTTACTACTTTTGGTGAGCTTTTAACTTTGCGACAAAATTTTTTTGTCGTCTTACCCCCCCCCCCCTTTTTTTTTTAATTAAAATGCAAATATTTTTTACTTTGAAATCCTGTTTCAAAATTTCCACAACTAAATTTATAAAAATCAATGCATGGATCAGTTGAGTTATCCATATATGATGCCATTCGATTTGCCAGCTCATAACACTTATCCGTTTCGCAAATTGGTTTAAAATCATCCCGATTTATGAAATTTCCAACACTACCAATCAGAATTGCAATGAAAAGCGATAAAGTTAGAAGAAATCCAGTGATCAGAATCGCATATTGAACCTTTTTCTTTTTCAGAAAAGCTGGTCTGAAAAATCTTTGAAATTATTTAGGGAGACGAGAAAATAAAGAACTCACACTTTCATTTTAGCCAAGTCTTAAAAAATGAGGAGGACTTCCGAAAAACTCACGTCAACGTTTTTTTTTTTGAAAAAAAATACTATTTACGAGAAATTCCAAAGAACATATTTAGACGTGAACTTGACACGTTATTTCATCTTCTGAATTTTTGTTTTTCCAACAAGTGAGATTTTTGAGAGAAAGTTGCACTTCTATTTTTCATTTGTATTCGATTGTTTTCATTCTTTTTTTTAAGAAACGATAATCATTATTTTTCAAATATTTATTTTCACAAATAAATGATTTTAGTACAATGGGCATTTCTTTTCGGGATTCATTGGTGTATTTTTAGCGCATCCAAAAGCTTTTGCGAAATCATCAGAATTCGACACCATTCCATTGACTCGAAATTCAAAAATACTATACTCTAAATTTTTTGCTTTTTCGATATCTTTATTTGTATTTTTTCTACAACATAGAGGCTAAAATTTTGAATGTTTCAATCAAATTAGCTTCGGATTAAAACTCACATATGCAAATCTCAAATAAAATTGTTGTTCGACTGTATATTGATCCAAAACTGGCAATTTTTGTTGTCTTCTATCATCTAACAATTTTTTGAATAATCTTGAAATCAAAACAAATCCAATTTGATCAACTGAATCCTCTACGTTAGTCTTTTGTCCATTTGAAAATGTTCCATCGGGAAATTTATATTTACTGTATTTTTGAATGAAGCAATCAAATCGTTTTTTGAATTCTTCTCTAGTTTTCGTACTCATTTGATATTTCTGAAGAAGTTGGTTTGTCTCGAAGCTATTCGCATCAAAAGCATGACCGACTTCATGTCCCAAAATATGTGAAAAATCTGCTATTGTATTCCAGCTTGGTAAATCCATATCTATTTTTGGATATTTCATTAAAACCGTTGCTAACGCTGGAAGCATGATCTTGATATGTTTTTATTCGGAGGAAAAAATTTTCATTAACACATTTTTGAAACCCTTTTCGTATTTGCCGAAAAAACCTTGTGTTTACCAGCCTTAAAGACACATCAGCCACTGGAAAAAACAGATTTCCCGCATGTTTTTTCAAATGACAAAAACAGTATGTGCGCTCTATTGCTTCGTTGTGTGCAAACCACACCCGTTCAAGCCACGCAATGAGTGTTTTCTACTGTAAAACGAAACAAAAAACTGTGCAAACACTTTTGTCTAATTCTCTCTGTTCGCCGTTATATTTCGCACTACAGTATTAAAGGAGCAAGATAAATTTTATGCGTTGGGTCTTGTCGCGATTGCTAACTTTCTTCGCAGGACCCTAAAAATTTCGAAATGCGTAGTCTCACACAGATCTCGATGCGCTGATTCTAATGGTATATTTACTTTTTCTATTTGGTTATCAAATTCCTTTGAAAATTGTGGCGCAGTGTGAATAGCGAAATTTCTAATTTTTTCATTGTTTGAACGGGTGTGAAACTCTTTCGAAAATCCCGTCGGCTGAGCGATTTCAAAAACAATTATTTTGTTTTTTCACTTTTGCCAGACTCAAAATTTTTTTCTTGATTTTTATGAATTTCGATTACTTGAAAGGTGTTATGAAAGAATAACAAACTCATTTTCTGTTCATTTCTAGTGGATGTTGTGTCTTTAACTTTTTCCAAAAAACAACTTACAAGTTTGATGAGCCCCATAATGAAAATATGCATTCCAACTAAGTGGTTTTACTGCAAGTGTCATAACTGTTTTTTTTGCGACTCTTAAAAATGTTTCTTCAGCATTCATTTTCAACAAATTTCGAACAAGTTCTAAATATGTTTGTTGTTCAGCTCCTTTCGTTTTTTGCACACTTTCATACATTTTTTCAACATTTTCCATGTCTTCATATTCTTCTGGAACTCCAAGTGATGCTTCTATCAAATCCGCCTCTTTTTTAAATCCATCTTTCAATTCTTGTTCCATCCAATCATTTTCATCTATCATTTCACGAAACACTTCTTTCAATTCTTTAAGATTTTCTTTTGCTCTTTTCAAATTTTCCTTTGGCACAAATTGTTCGACGAAAATCATTGCGAAAGTTCCAGGAAACATTTTTTCAATTTTTCCAAAACATTGTTCATCTCGTTCTTTTCCAGTCACATTTTTCTCGACAACATAACTTTCGAGAACTTTGTTGTACAACGGTTTCAAACTATTTCGAATGGTTTCAACTCCTTTCAAATTAACGAGTTCTTGCAGAGCCATTAACTCATTTTCCAAATAATGCAAAGTCCATTTAGTATCTTTTGCATATTCGGGAAGCACTTCTCTCAAGTATTTTTTGATATTAAAAAATTTGAATGCGTTTGTTGTTCCATCACTTTTTCCCCATTTTTTGGTTCTAAAATTCGGATTCTCGTCGAGAATTTTGTTGTAATCATCTTTGAATATCTAAAAAATGAGATAATACCGGAGAAAAAATTGAAAAGAAATAGTTACCACATCGATTCCGCTTTGCAGCACCAAAGAGAGAGGAATTCTTTCGATATTTTCTCCAAATGCCCACGAGTAGATATTATTTCTCAGAAAATGTGTTTTTCCAATCGAAACTTTTGACATTTCCACAAAAATATCAGTTAAATCTGTACTTTTCCATACACTTTGCTCAATAATTTCAATAGTGTCAGTTTTCACACATTTATCCATCAAAACCATTGCTATTTTTTGAGGTGTTGTTTTTGGTTTATAAGTTGAAAAATTGAAATATTTCCGGAACATTTTCCGATCTTCATAAATATCATAATTTGTTGCACTCCCATGGATGTATTCTCCTGTTACCAATGCTGTATTAGCATTTCCGCAACTAAATTTATAAAAATCATTGCATGGATCAGTTGAGTTATCCATAAATAATGCCATTCGATTCCCCAATTCAAAACATTTTTCAGTTTCACAAATTGGTTTAAAATCATCCCGATTTATGAAATTTCCAACACTACCAATCAGAATTGCAATAAAAAGCGATAAAGTTAGAAGAAATCCAGTGATTAGAATCGCATATTGAACCTTTTTCTTTTTCAGAAAAGCTGGTCTGAAATCTTTGAAATTATTTAGGGAGACGAGAAAATAAAGAACTCACACTTTCATTTTAGCCAAGTCTTAAAAAATGAGGAGGACTTCCGAAAAAGTCACGTCAAATTTTTTTGAATGAAAAATATTATTTACGAGAAATTCCAAACAACATATTTTGACGTGAACTTGACACGTTATTTCATCTTGTGAATTTTTTTGTTTTTCCAACAAGTCAACTTTTTGAGAGAAAGTTGCACTTCTATTTTTCATTTGTATTCGTTTGTTTTGATTCTTTTTTTGTTAAGAATCGATAATTATCATTTTTCAAATATTTATTTTCACAAATAAATGATTTTAGTACAATGGGCATTTCTTTTCGGGATTCATTGGTGTATTTTTAGCGCATCCAAAAGCTTTTGCGAAATCATCCGAATTCGACACCATTCCATTGACTCGAAATTCATAAATACTATGGGTGTCGTTTTTTGCGCTTTCGATATCTGACTTATCGTATTTTCTACCACATTGGCTCTAAAAAATTATATTTTTTCGAAAAAAATTGATTTTAAACTTTAAATTTAAAGGCTAACTTTTGGGATCTAGCTATAAATCTGATAATATAGTTCTCAAGGTGTGGGTGCTGCGTGATCGCTTGTCAGATCAGCTCACAAGCCGTTACTTTTTGAAAGCGCCTCTTTCTTTAAAAAAAACCCACATAAGCCATTCTCAAATAAAATTGTTGTTCGACTGTATATTGATCAATAACCGGTAATTTTTGTTGTCTTCTATCATCTAACAATTTCTTAAATAATCTTATGGCCAAATCAAATCCTATTTTATCAGCTGTATCTTCTCCTTTAGTCTTTTCTCCATTCGAAAATGTTCCATCGGAAAATTTATATTTACTGTATTTTTCAATGATGCAATCAACTCGTTTTTTGAATTCTTCTCGAGTTTTTGGACTTAGAGGATGTTTTCCGAAAAGTTCATTTGTTTCGAAGCTATTCGCATCAAAAGAATGTCCCATTTCATGTCCCAGAATATATGAAAAATCTGCGATTGTATTCCAGTTCGGTAAATCCATATCTATTTTTGGATATTTCATCCAAACCAGCCCGAAAGCTGGAAACCTCGAAGTTTTAGTATGAACTCTGAGAGTTGACAACAAAAGCTTTTCCAAGAAAACAACTCACAAGTTCTATGAGAAGCATAATGAAAATATGCATTCGCAATGAGTGGGCCCGCCAGAAGTGTTATATCTGCTTTTTTCGCAATTCTCAAAAATGTTTCTTCAGCATTCATTTTCAACAAATTTCGAACAAGTTCTAAATATGTTTGTTGCTCAGCTGGTTTCGTTTTTTGCACACTTCCATACATTTTTTCAACATTTTCCATATAAGAATAGATCAGTTTCATAAGTATGTTATAAATAGTCAGGAATTCATTAAGTGGAACGAAAACATCACAAAATGTTCATTTTTCACTACTGAAAGACAAAACAGCGCATTTTTTCAAACTTATAATTATTTTGTGTGAATTAATGTGCTATCGAAGATAATCAAACCATTTTATGACAAATTACATTCTAATACAAAAATATTGTTTTTTATTTTTTGTTGTTTTCTTTATTAAGTTGCTCATAAATCCCATTGTTTTCTTATTCCCATTCCTCATGTTCATAATTGTTTTATTGTTCAAATCAAAAATGTAAAAAAGTTCGCTTCGGTTGATTTTTTCACATTTTTTCCTTCAAAAAAATGTGAAAAAATGCGCTCCGACCGATTTTTTCACATTTTCTCAAAGAAAAAAAAAGGAGGAAAAATGTGAAAAAATCGGTCACAGCGCATTTTTTCACATTATCTATTTTCGCGTAAAAACGTGTGATTTTCAGAAAATTAGTGAAATTGAGAGTTATCAATTATGAAAGCATTGAAACAACAGAAATTGAACTTCATTTAACCCTTCAATTTCGAAAATTCTTTTGAAAACTGAAAAAACCAACAAAACTCGACTATTTCGAGGAAAAAATCAAAATTCGTCACGTTTCACACTTTGGGCTGATTATTATTCATCAACTCAATCTATTTACAAACGGTTCTTCCCGTTTTCACAACTATTTTCCGTCGATTTCTTCGAAAAAACGAAAAAAAAGAAAAGAAATTCGATTAAAGGGAGGACGATGACATGTGTGTGTACCTCGCAGCGAACACACATTTCGTGTACTTCTCTCGGACGATTTCAAAAAATATATTTTTTTCTTTTTCGCCGAAATGTGTTTTGTTTGTTTTACCCTATATGAAAATAGTATTTTGATACTTTCAGGTGATAAAATCGATAACTGGGAATGGAAGAACAACTGGAACAACACTATAGAGGAATTATTGGTAAGTAATTTGTTTTTATTTGACAAAGGAAGAAAACACATCAAGAACCTAAATTTCGATGAAACTTGGTGGAAATACAGAATTAAGCATGCTAATTGTGATATGGGAGGTGCAAGTCATTAGAAACTCCCGTTGATAACTGGTATGATGCTACAAAGTGTCAGTTTCTCTGCTTTTCACAAGAAACATTCAAAAATTGCAAAAATCAAGTGGAAATTTTTGCTCACCGAATCAAGGTGCAAAAAGTGTGAAAGACTGATAACTTTGAAGCTTCATAAAAGTGTTCACATGGTTCTGATGCAACTTTCAACTTCGAAACACGAATTTTTACTTTACTGTTGTATAGAGAAGAAAAACCAACTTTAGATTGTTTTCTGAGAAGTTATGAAAAATGATACATTATATTAGAATTGATTTATCGCTTTCTCCAAGTTTCATGCGTGTTTTATATCCTTGAGAAAAACATTCGTTTCTACTGAAATTACGATAATGGCTTTTTTGCAGATGAATCTCGAAATCGGAACGCATTCGGCCGACAAACAATGGACAGAGTGAGATGGGTCTTCAAACAGCCATTCGAGGAAATTTTTATAATAATTTTTTGTATGTATTTTGCACATTTTTCTTCGATTCAAAAATGTTGAAAAATTTGTTGTAACTCATTTTTTTACATTTTTGAATCGGAGAAAAATGTGAAAAAATTGGCTGCAGCCGTTTTTTTCACATTTTTCCAAGGTTTTTTTGTGAAGATCAAATGTGAAAAAATTAGCTCTGACCGATTTTTTGACATTTTTTATCACTGGAAAATGTCAAAAAATTGGTTGTGGCTGATTTTTTCACATTTTTTCTTTGGAATTGGGAGATAAAATGTGAAAAAATGAGATGCAGCCGATTTTTTTACATTTATATTCAACATTGTTGTTTCTTCTTTCGTTTAATAAATTGATTTTGAAAAATGGTTTTTGGTGAGTGTTCAAAAAAAGAAGGGCTGATAAGAATAAGAGTTTTTCTTGACAGTTTCTTGGAAAAGTTTGAATTGCATACCGATTATCAGATATATGTCTGTTTTTTCAACATGGTACGAATGAACGACAGTTTTCATCAACTTGACTATTTATAACATACTTATGAAACTGGCCTATTCTTATATACAGTCGAGCAACAATTTTATTTGAGATATTCTCATGTAGGTTTAAAATTTAAAAAACTTAAAATTAAGTTTTTTCGGAAAAATAAAATTACTACGCAATTACGCAATTAATAAAACTACGCAATTACGAAATCTTTTTAGATCTGAATGTTCAATTCGACTTACTTTCCTTCAACCACATCTGCTATCAATTTTCCGGTTTCTTTTTCATTTTCTCCACTTTTCACATAATTTTTATCAAAATTTTGTGAATTCACACAAGCTCCATCAATTTGAATCGATTGAATCTTCCAAATATCCTCCGCACATTTCCCCAGAATGATTTGATATTTCCAAATCGCTGTGAAATTCATCAAACTGGGAAGTTGCAAAGTTACAAGAATTGTTGGAGTTGAAATTGTTCCGGGCTTTTGAAGAACTGCGATTTCATGAGGAATCGTGTTGGATTTACGATATCTTCGTCGCTCAAAATCGAGAAATCCGAGAAAAGTTGCAGCTTTGAAGCCACCTAGAATTTATTTGAGACTTTTGGTAGGATAAAAATCCTTTCTGAATCACCCTAACTTACGATAAGGTAGAACATTGTGTCCGCAAATTGTTGGCTTAAACCTTCGATGATCTATCAGATCTACAAGTGAAACTATACTCGAAAACCAATCTTGATTCGCTGAACTTGATTGTTCTCTCAATAAATTCGGAATCTTTTCAATCAATAACTTCAATTCTTCCGCCTCCTTTTGTTTCCTAATTTCATAATTTTGCTTGTAGATTTCAGCTGTCGCACCAGAAACTTGTCGCTTTATTCGAAATTCTTTCGCAAAATACGTGGAAAATAGGAGAAACATGATAGTTTTAAACATTTTTCACAGACAGCAGGCCAAAAAATCAGCGAAAATATACAGAACATTTTATGTGTCTACAATGTGTTGGAAAATGTTTTGAGAAAGTTTTTTCTGACATAAATTTTGGAGTATAATAAAATTGCAAAAAAACATGAATATTTTTTTTCTTCTCATGGGGCTATTCAAGTATTTTCTCAACACGCTGAGAAAACAGGAGAAATGCGGAGAAAATGCATTTTCTTCACTTTTTTCGTATTTTCTCAGCCTACCTGAATAGGTTTTCTTCGCTTTTCTCAGCGTTGAGAAAATAACTTGAATAGCCCCATCACAAAATAGTAATTAAAAATGTTAAAATTCTTTGCAAAGTTGGTCCAAAATGTGTCTCAAATGAAAATAGCAAATAAAATGTGGAGAATTGTTTGAATTAATATTGTCAAAAAAGACACTTCCAAGTATTTTAAACCATTTCAAAAGAATTGATGTTTTTTTCGGGATCGGAGTCATTGATTTGACATCAGAAATTATTCCACAAACACGACATTCTGATGTGTTAATTGAGTTTTCCGTTTTTATTGGAACAATTATTTGAATACCCTCATCTTCTGGCTCACATAATTGCTGAGCTTCAATTTTCACACGATTTTCACCAGTTAGCTGAAAAATTTAAAGATTTTATGAAACTTGAAAATAAAAACATACCGAATCTTCATCTTGTTCTATTTTTACTGACAACAAATCTCGATTTTCCAAGTCGCCATTTTTCTAAAAAAAATAAAATGTGGCCGAACTATTTGTTTTGGTGGCCGAAAAATGTCGGCAATTCGGCTGGGGCAGCAAACTCGCTCTAATAATGCGAAAATCCTCATTGTTAGAGCGCCTTTATTGCTTTGGCCGAATTCCCGACATTTCTCGACCACATCTTTCAGAATTTGAATATTTTTAAAAGTGCTCTAACTCCGTTTCCGAGCCATTTTCAGTAAAACACATACTGATTGATGATGATCAGCTTTATCTATTTCATTATTCATAATTTCTTCTGGCCTCTCAATATTTTCCAACACATTATTGCTATCCTTTTCGATAATAAAATTTTGCTGAAAATTCAAGTTCTCATTTTGTTCCGTTTCCATTTCTTCTCTTTCAACTGTCACCACATCTATAAATTCCATATCGTCACTTTCGTTTTCCTGAAATTTGTTCTCAAATATCATATCTTCTTTGATTCTCTCAAAACTCACAACTATTTCAACACGATGATTTTCGTTTTCGCTCGAGTTTTCTGAAATATTTCCCCCGTAATAATTTAATTCATTTTCTCGACCCATTCTGATTGGAAGTTGATACGTTCTCCTCCGAACATTCAAATTTCCTTCAAAATGTGCTCGACAAATCAAACCCTGCTGAATCTTGCTCAAATTTTTCGCGAAACGTTTTCCAAGAATATCGATCCATTTTTGACGAGTAATTTGATTTGACGGAACTCGTGTCATATTTGAAGATTCGTCACGTTCCTCACAATAACAACATTTGTTCAGGTTCGAACTTTTTCTTCTTATTTGTTGACATATGATCCAAAAATAATTAAATAATACAGTGGGTAATTTAAAACAAAAAGGCTTTTCCCTATATTTTTTGAGATCTGACGCAATCTTATGTTAGGGTCAATGTTAAATTCGACAAAAATTATCGATGTTAAAACTTGGGGACTAGCGATTTGGTCTAATTAAATACACACTGTGAGTAGCATTTCTGTTTAACCCCAGTCTCAACTCACTTTATTTCTCACCACGTTTTCTTCTTCCTCTTCGCTCATTTTTATTGGAAGTTCTTGCGGTTTTCGATAGTTCAAATCGTTTTCAACATTGAAATGTGATCTACAAATTCTTGGAAATCTTCTGCACTTCGTGTTTTCTGCGAACCGATATCCAAGAATTTCGATCCATTTTTGTCTCATATCTTTTGATCGAGGAACATCTGTCATATCACTTTGATATTTACTTTCTTCGCAATAACTACATATACTTTTTGTTTTTGACTGAAATCGAGTTTGGAAATCGAATTTTGATTGAAGACTTACTGTTTGATTTTTTGCTTGACTTCCATCCATTTTTCTCATTCAATTTGAAGTTTTGACTGGAAAATACAAGCAAGGAATCAACAAACACTTTTTCAAAAATATAACTAATCAAGAGCAGGTTTCTGTGATTTTTTGCAAAAACTATACTATAATCGATGCAACAAAAAATAAGAGGAAAAAAATGGGAAATCAATTATTCTATTGTTGATTCAATTATTTGATCAATCGAAAAAAATTCAGCAAAAGATTTCCAATTTTTGGGAATAATATTATGTGAGGAAAAAATAAAATATGGCACAAAATTGTTACTCATAAAGACTCGTTATTAACGAGTGCTAATTAGTATCAGGTTTCCAAAAATTAGGATCGTTTTTGGAAGGATGAAACATAGTGTGTATTCTGAGAGGATACATTTTTCTGACAAAAAATTTGTATTTAGAATACCGTGCATATTTAAAAATGTTTATTTTCTTTGTTATCGAGCAAAAAAATATAGAACAGACATTTGTAAAATGCAATTATATTCATTTATTCAGTGTGTTCAAATTGCGGGACAAAAATAAAAACCAAAATAAAAAATTGTGAGAAAAAGGGTAAAAAATATTTTGAACTTGTAAAAAGTAGCCGTATTTTTTTTTGGCAAAACAAATGAATTTCAAAAAAAAATCAAACTTTCAATAAAACATTTATAATTGCCTGCAAGCTTGATCAAGCATGTGTCTCACATGAACACCACAAATAAAATTCGGAGAATTGTTTGAAAGATTGTTGATAAAATCATTTCCGAGAAATGTCATCCATTTCAAAAGTGTTTGACTTCTTGTCGGAATTGCAGACATTGTCGAGATATCACAAATTCGTCCACAAACACGACATGTTGCTGTGGTTATAGTAGGAGCTTCCGTTCTGATTGGGACAAAGATTTCGATCTCCGGATCTTCATTGACAACGATCGCTAGCTCGGCAACTTGATGAGGCTCGATTTTCACACGAACAGCCTGCAAAATGAGACAATTTCATGAATCGGCAAAAAATGACGGTCTAGAACGGACAAAAAAAAGTTTAAAACATACCGCTTGTGGCATAGTTACACCAATTTCACCCGTCTCCAAATTTCCCAATTCTCCTCCCAAAATTCTTCCATTTATCATTTCGCCAGGAGTTTGCTGAAAAAATAACATTCATAGAAGAATAGCAACTCCGACAACAAAACTTCAACTTACATCATTTTCAGCTTCATCAAGTTGATTTTGAGAAATTGGATAATTTCCCACGAGCATTCTTGCATTCTCATATTCACCTTGTTCTTCTCGATTTCTGATTTGATTCGCTTGATCGTTTGTTGTAAAATCGATTGAAGCAAGATGAGAGAAAGGTGGTAACGGCATGAACAATTGATTTTGGGTTGTCTGAAAATATGAGAGTTGAATGTAAGGTCCCGTCCGAAACTTCAACTTACAGCAATTTCAGCTTGATAGGCCTCTTGATGCTCAACATTTTCTTGACCAACCATTTCTTCTCCAGCAATATTGTGCTGAAATTTTCTCATTTTGATCTCTGTTTTATAGAGATTTATGAACTCACTGTCAAAGTATTTGGAATTCGATCAAAATGATCATCCTTGAATTGTAATGATGAAATATTATCACAGCAAATTTTTCACTACGCATTTTCTCATTGCACAATTTCACGTGTCGCTACAGTATTTTCGCAAAAAAATGTCTTTTTTTGTGTTTTTTTTCACAAAAAATGTGTTTTTGAAGCCGAAACCGAAGGAAACATGCTCAAACTACATTTTTAGAAGTAGTTGATAATTTTTCAAGTAGTAATAGTTTTTTGAATCAAAAGTTTATTGTCTTTCCTGGGAAAATCGAGAAAAATATGGAGAAACGTCATTTTGAGCGGAATTAGAAGATTAATAAGCAATTATCTGTCTTCCGGACCTCCCTCAACCCTTCTTTGCTCAATTCTGATAGTGAAAAATCAACTTTTCCCTGAAATTCGGGTTCAAATCCTCAAAAAACGAGTAAAAACAGGATTTTATTAGGCTCCGCCCAGATGTGTGTGCCGCGTGAAAAACACATTCTGCAATGATTTTTTTATTTGAGGTCACGTAGAAAAAAATTTGCTGTGATTATTATCCGTTTCCACAACAACACTGTTCTAGAAAATAAAATAAAAAATTCAAATTGTTTTTTTTCCGAAAAATCATACCATCAGTGGATCATTTTCAATAATTTGTTCGTCCATAAGATCTTCATCACCCAATAATCCATATTTTCCAATTTGAACAATATCAATTACCTGAAAACTCATTTAAACTTCCAATTTCAGAAATATCAGCCTAACCACCCGATAAAATTCCGTGGCTCATAAGAAAAACATACCTCTTGTGACATTATCTCACCCATCTCCACATTTCCCAATTCTTCTTCTACAACTCTTGAATTTTCGTCACGAGTTTCCTGCAAAAAATTGTACATATTGCTAAAGAAAAATTCCGAATAGCGGCCCGAAAAATCAGAAACTTTAACTTACATCATTTCCAATTAGATTATGTTGGTTCACATTTTCCAAGATTTCTTCTTCATCTTCTTGATTTCTGATTGGATTGGCTTCACATAATTCACTTACAAAATCAATTGGTGTTGTGAGATCAATTGAAAAAATGTTTTCAAAGTGATAAGTATTGCTCACAAACGGTGGTCTCGGAATTTGGAAGAAGTTTTGTCCAAAAATACATGGCGACGGAATAAATAGTCCATCTTCATTAGGTGATCGCCTTTCGAAATTTTGGGTTGTTTCGGATGTTGATTCCAAGCAACTCTGTCGAAGACAAAAATTAACTTCATCTCGAAAATTAGGGGTAACTTTCAAACCTCACCCAAGACCTGGAATTCCAGGTGGGCAAAAAAAAATTTAGGGTCTTTAAGGCGAGCCTCAGCTGGGCAAAAAATTTTAGGGTTTTTAAGGTGAGCCTCAGCTGGGCAAATTTTTTTTACTGGGTGGGCAAAATTGGTACATAAACCCAGGCGGGCAATTTTTTACCCACTTCTCCAGGTTCCTGGGTGAGGTATGGGTAACTTTTTTCACTCACCGCATTTCCAAACAAAGCTTGTTCTTCTTCCATTGTCATTTTTATCGGAAGTGTATCTCGCTTGCGATATTTGAAATTGGGATTTGCAAAGTGGGTTTTGCAGATTCTCCCGTCTTTTTTCCGTTTCATATTTTTTGCAAAGCGATCTCCGAGAATCGCTATCCATTTATTTTTCCATTCTTCAGATGTTGGCACTTTAGTCATTTGTTTCTCGGGTTTCAATTGTAAGCAATAACAACAATTGTGACGCTTTAAGTGAAATTATAAATTAGAAAAAAATTGAACTATGCTCACTTGATTACGTTTTGGAACATCTTGTTGTTGCATTTGATTGATGTTGTGAAAAGCTGGCATTTTCTGAAGTAAATGGCGATTAGAAGGAAATTAAAAAGATATTATGGTTGACCGAGATCACCCAAGAAGGTTCTGTGCTTCAAGCTTTGGCCGGGTTACGTCAGAAGCTTCTTGGGTGGTCTTATTAGTCAAAATCAAAATTATCAATAAGGTTACAGAATAAAATAACACAGTATGAGAAAAGGAGTTGCAACTATTTTAAAAAAATAATTCAATGGCAGATGTTTACAAAAACCTTCTATGAATTTTTTGGCAAAAAAAGTGTTTTCTTTTTTCTTTTGTGACACCCTCAAGTCGGCTTTTCTTTTAACATTGGCTTTTGTGTCGAATTGGTTTTAAAAAAATTGTCTAGCAAAGTGTGTTTGATCAAAAAGAAATGAATGAAAAATAAAATGATATATTTTTTCTAGAGCCTTCTGTGAAAAAAACACAGAAAAATGGGGAGGGAAACATTAACATTTGGATGAGTCATTTGATATGCGATAAATGTGATAAAAATAAAACAACATTCAAATATTTTTATTGATATTTTTCAATTCCAAAATCATGTATTCTGCAAAAAAAAAACTCTGGAACCGTAACTTAGAGGCTACAGTAATCCGTGTAGTTCGTAATTTTTAATTACCATTTTGCGACCTGAGTTACAGTACTCCTTGTCAGCTCAAAAATTGAGAAATTAGTGTTTTTTGGGTTACTGCAGCTTGGCATGAATATTTTGTGAAAAAAATTGGAGAAATTTTTGAATTGTGTAATGTTCTTTTTAAAAAATTATTTTTATTAACAGAATAACAAAAACAAAAAAAGAATTAAAAAGTAAACTGAACCAAATTTCCAATGTTTCTCACATGAGACATACAAATAAAATGTGGTGCATCATTTTGAAAAATATTATCTGTTAATTTTCGACCAAACACTTTCGACCATTGTAAGAATTCCTTGGTTTTCTTTGGAATTTCTCTTTTCTCACTTGATGAGTTGAATATTACATTGCAAATGCGGCAAATGTTCGATGATTGTTCTCGATTTATTTCAAACTTCATTTCCAGTTCCTCGTTTGGTTTTTCACTTTTATTCGGCAATAAATCCATTTCGATTGGTTCAGGAGGCTAAAAAATACATTTTTCTAAGCTTAAATTCAACTAATACCCACCAAATGTGCACTCAATAATCCGTTTTCTTGAGAATTTGTTTCATTTTTTCGATTTTTCACATTGAGAGAACCTTGCTGAAATTATTTATGAAATTCTACATTTCTTCTCAAGAAAATAAAAAACTTACAATAATTACAATTCCATTATCTTCCACCTCCATTTTTGGAAAATTTCTCAATAAATCATTCAATTTTGGTCGCATTTCAAATTCTTCAAAATTATCATTTTCTTTGTGTTCTTCACCTAATTTTCCTCTTTTCGATGATTTTTCAGAATTTGAGTCAATTCTTCTTTTCTTTCTGACTTCTTGTTTTCCAGTTGCTCTTTTTCCATTGTTTTTTGGAATCGCTGATGTTGATAGAATATTTGAGCCGGCTTCGAGATCTTGAACTTCGTTCTGCAAAAAAAACAATCAATCTGGATCTCCTTCTTAATTTTCAAAAAATAAATCATACCATTTGTGAAACTTGTTCAGTATTCGGATTGTCTTGTTGATTTTCAGCCGAATTCTCAGAAACATTCTGCAATTCTAGAACTGTTGCATTCACTCCAACGTCATTCTCGTCTTCAAATTCTTCATTTTCGTCTTCCACTTCATCGTCTTCATCTTCCTTCTCCTTTTTTTCCATTCGAATCGGAAGTTGATATTTCAATCGATATTCAGTATTTCCTTTAAAATGTTTTCGACAAATCAAAGGCATCTTAACATTTTTCAAATTGTTGCTGAATCGTTTTCCGAGTGTTTCGATCCATTGTTTACGAATCCTCTTATCAGTTGGAACTTTTGTCAATTGATGAGATAATAAAGGTTTCTTACAATAACAACATTTTCGTTTTCTTGATTTCTGAAAAATGGGTCAAAAGTAGAACCCTTGTCTGATCAACCCTCGCCATTTTTGAATTACCCTCGTCTTTTGGTCAATTATTTTTCGCAACAGTAATTTTTCGTATGAATTTTTTTGCATTTTCAATTTTTTGAAGGTTCGATTATTTAAATTCAAAATTTCGAGGGTTCTACTTTTAACCGAAAAATGATACATCTTACTTCATACAGTAATCATGGAACGGTTATAATAGTTTTCCTTAACTATCCGAAATCTTAACCCACTTTTTTAATAATCGAATTTCCTCGATTCTTTCGTACTTCATTTTCCTCTTCTTCACTCATTCGAATTGGCACAGCAAATTTTTTCCTACTAAACACCGAAAAATTGCGTCCTTGCAGAAAAATGGCAAGGGCTCGCACAATAAAATGGGTGGAGCCTATTGTGCAACAGCATCGCACACGTGTTTGCAATTTTTGCAACAGCTCTACAGTTTTTTCCATGATTATTAAAATAAAAGGAAAATGTTTTTTCAAAAGAATATTGGCGAAAACGGGTGGAATAGAGGATTAATGACTTAAAAATACATTTGGAAGAAAAAAGTGATTAGATTCCAATTATTCAAGTCGGTCGGAATTTTTTAAATAAACAAATCAAATTTTTTCTCAATTAAAACAGCAAGGCTTACACATTATCCCAATTTATCCGGAAAAAATCCCCCATTTGTTCTGGAAATGAAAAATCCTCAATTTATATATATATTTCTAACCGTTATATTTATTTGTCGCAACAGCTTTATTCTAAAATTTCATGAAAAAGAGGAAATTATTGAAAAACTTGAAAACAGCGTGAATTTTGAGAATCTGTAAGAAATGTCGCTAAACTTGAATCATTTTTTCAAAAAAAAAACATATTCATTTATAAACAACACAAACTGTCAAAACAGAAAATCCCATATTGGGTGAGACAATTCAAATATTCAGAAAGAATTTCCGGATTTGTGTGTAATTCAGAATCCATCGACCGAAGTTGATTCTTTTCCTTGTTATTTCAGACACTATACTCCTTTTCATCGATCATCGGTCATATCGATTTTCAAGAAGTTTTCGACCAAAAATCTTCACGTTTTATCCATTCTGACCGCCGATGAACAACTTTTGATTTGAAAATCGAAGATGTGGCGAATGAGCAATTATTTGTCCGATACCTGAAAGCAAACTATGCTCATAATTTGGCGGATTCATTTAAAAAGAAAAATAGTTTATTTGCTGTCACGAAATGAAAATGTTGGTCTCTGATACTGTAGTTATTGAGTACTGTATTTTTCATATCAATCGATATTGAATGAAAATTATTGAAACTTGAGAACGAATATTATTATTTTGACGACGTGACACGTCATTTCATTTTCCACAAAATATGTTTATCAAAGAAGTTAGTTTTTTTGTTTCTCATCTCAGAGTTGGTTCAAATGGTGAGTTATTTTAATTTTAACATGATTTTTTTCCTTTCAAGTTTTGAGAAGAAACTGTGATTTTTGAAAAAACTCACATGTTCCGAGGCCACAGTCATATCATTCGATGAGCCAATGAATTCTGAGAATTCCTCCGGGAATGACGAAAAATCTGAAAAAATTATATTGTGACTTTTATTCTAGGAAACGGCAAAAAGGCCGAGCCAAATGACACCGACGAAGTTCGATTTCTAAAATGGAGATAAATACAAAGGACAGGGAATTGCGCAACCTGCGGTCAGAAAACACCAGATTAAGAACACACATTCGAAATATTGAAGAAAACAAGCAAGTTGATCTGGCTATTAAAAGGCAACGGGAACAGAATCGAATGTTTATAACCACATGGCAGAAATTGATTTGAGAAATGGATTATTAGGCAGCAAACAAGGAATTGGAAAATCTTAGGCGAGAGTATGTGAATCGATTGAATCATTTTAAGCAAGATATGAATGCAAAAAATGCTGAAATCATGGATCTTCACCGAACAATAGCAAATGGTCGTATTCTGATAAAAATATTGAAAGTCGACTAGAAACTGCACAACTAAAGACTTGGACAAAAAAACTCGAGAAGTTTTTGAATTGCGAGAAAGAAATCGAAAAAAATGATGCCATAAATTATTACAAATAAAAAACCAGCGGAAACAACAGAGGAGACGCGTGAAAAAGCGTTTTCTGAAATGGAAAATTTCTATTACATCGAAAAACGAACAGATGAAGCTTTGGAAATGCTTTGTGAAATTTCGAAAGAGGAGGATTGTTCGGCACTTTTGCACGCGGTGATCAAAAAAGCAGACAAACCGAAGATAAAAATGGCTTTCAGAATCAAGCTCAACGTTGAAGATGCAGTATATGTTGTTTCACAATTGAATATTACCAAATCACAAGTAGTACACAAAGATTTATCTGGGTCAAAACGGGCTGTGATCCTTTTCCTTCAATGGAAAAAATGAACAATCTCGAGAAAGAGCTGGTGGATTCGGATAACTTAGAGATTCGAACCCATGCTGATGGTACTATTGTTGGAGTTCTTAAAAATGTGAAAAAAGCAATCGAAACTCGATGACAGATTTGGCAAAATCTGGACAATTGTTAGCTGGCAGAAAATTGGCATTGTTCGTGGATAAAGAATGTGAGAAAATGTCTTGAGGCGACAAACAAAGTATTTTTTCAGGAGGAACAACGAAATTAATTATTGTTCTGGCACATCTTGTAAATCCGAATAGTCGTCATAATATCTGGTCATATCAATTTTCGGCAGATGACAGCTCAAAATATACAAAGACATTCCTGATGTGTTGACCAACTCAACCATTGGAAATAATCAGCTTCGAACAGAACGGTGTTCTTGTTACAATTGATGTTGAATGGATGCTTGGTGGTGATCAAATTCTTTGTTCGTGTCATGGGCATGCAGGTAATGATTTGTTCATGGATTCAAAATTAATAATTCATTTCAGGCGCAAGTTCTTTGGAATTTTGCTTCTTCTGCTATTTAGTAAACAGACAATGTAACACAGCTCAGGGATTATAATGGTGATGCTATCCTTCGAACAGTACAATCATATGCTAATGATGCTTTGACTGGTGCTAATTCAGTACAAATTGGCTCCGTGATTATCTTCAAACTAGTGAAATTATCACATGTAATTGTCCCTTCACTTCATATCTTGATGGGATTAGCTGGATCGATATTTTTGTTTTCTTGCTAACTCTCGCCGCGAAAGAAGATAATTTGACAGACATTGAATTCGAAAAGTTGAGCCACACAAAGAGTAAGATGAAAGAAATGGTGAAAAACTTGGATAACAAAAATAATGTATTGAAAACTTGGATCAGCGACAAAAAATCAATGGAAGATATGCTATTGGGCCGTCACTAGTGTAATCAGTAGAAAAATATCAAAAGCTCGAAATCCACCACCAACATGTCATGCTGAAATTTGCATTTATACACATAAATCTTGCAAAACTACTGTTAAATTCGAGAAAAAGCGTTGCGACATATTGCACTGGTCCTGGGAGTTTGACCAAAAATTGGTCAATTTTTGGTCAAAAAAAAATTTTGAACAAAAATTGACCAAAAAAATGCACCAAAAAATTTTTCACCATTTTTTGGTCAATTTTTCAACTTTTTCCCACCAATTTTTCACCATTTTTGATCATTTCCCAGACTTTTTTCAAATCAAAAACACATTTTTTTCACAAAATTTATTGAAAAAGAACAAAAAGAAACAAAAAATGGTTCTAACTGTTAGAATCTGCCTTATATTATGAACTTTAATTTTCATTGAAAAACATTTTGAGCTAATTAGAGAAAAAGAGAGCTGGAGGTTTGTGCTCGGAAGAATGTAAATTTTGCCCTAAGAAAGTTAATTTTAGAGCAATCGCAGACTCCTAGCAGTTTGTGAACCTTAGAAACAATAAAAATTACTCAGTTTCGACTAATCCTTCTGCCTTCTCTGCACCAGCAGAAAAAGCAGTGTCAAATTGTTCCTTGATTTGCTCACGTTCGTCTTCTGACAATTTATCCGGATTACCATATTGTTCCTCGTCGATTGAATTGTTGTTGGCATCACCTTCTCCTACGGTTGGCATGATAGTCATGGCATTTGAGAATACTTGATCTTCAAGTTATTGAGTTCCAAAGGGCTTGTCCATAGTAGAAGTAAGGATCAAATGATTGTTCGCTGTCGTCTCCGAAGAGTTTACCACTGAAATGCATAGAAATAGAAAATGTATGAAAATTTCAAAACTTACGCAAGTTGAGAAGCCAAACTCAAGAGATCAGCAGTATAGTTGGACATGGTTCGAAAAAAAACCGAGCGAAACCAGTTTTTTTGGTTCGCTCACCATTTGGTTTTCGGTTCGCCCATTTGAAATGGTTTGGTTTGGTTTGGTTCGCCCACTATTTGAAAATCGGTTTTCGCTCAAATGTCAACTGGCTTGGGGTATTAGGTATTGATGAATTTCGAGGTTTTCACCAGGATCACGTGATGGACTTATTTTCACGTAAAATCACTCTTAAAGGCACACCGAGCAAAAAAAATTTTGTTCGAAAAATGGGGTATTTGGGCACGGGGAACATTTTGGTGAGGTATACGCTCCAAAATAGACTTTAAAGACACATGCCAGGTTATTATACATTTTCGAGACACAAAAACTAAAAAGATCATAACTCGGGCATTTTTTGAGCTTTTTCAAAATTTCGACAACCATTTTGACGTGCTCGTCGTCAGCTAAATTTTTTCTCATTGACCGAAATTCAAATGTTGCTCCTATGAGTGAAAATACGCATTTTTGCTAAAATTTGCGTTCAAAAATTGATATTTGGAGAAAACGTATTTTTCACTCCTTAGGAGCAAAATTTGAATTTCGGTCCAATGAGAAAAATTTAGCTGACGACGAGCACGTCAAATGGTTGTCGAAATTTTGAAAAAGCTCAAAGATTGCCCGAGTTATGATCGTTTTAGTTTTTGTGTCTCGAAAATGTATAATAACCTGGCATGTGTCTTTAAAAGTCTGTTTTGGAGCGTATACCTCACCAAAATGTTCTGTGCCCAAATATCCCATTTTTCGAAAAAATTTTGCTTGGTGTGTGCTTTTAAGAGTGATTTTACGTGAAAATAAGTCCATCACGTGAATCCCCATAGTCGAAAACCTCGAAATTCATCAATACCTAATACCCCAAAAACCAGTTGACATTTGAGCGAAAAACCGGTTTTCAAATGAGTGAGCGAACCAAAAACCAAAACCAAAACTGAAACCATTTTAAATGAGCGAACCAAAACCAAATGAGTGAGCGAACCAATCAAACTGGTTTCGCCTCAAACCATTTGAAAAACCACTCATGTCCAACTATAATCGGCAGCCTTGCTGAATTCGCTTCTCAACAAAAGACGCTTTCCAGATGTCAAGTTGTTCTTCGGATTGTGTAGCCCTAGAAATAAGAACCAATTTTGATTAAAATTCTTCAGGAGAAAAAACTGACTTTTCCTCGGAAGTGAGCTCTGTGGTGGCAGCGGTGGAAGTTTCAGCAGTAGTTGGAGTTGTTTCTTCGGTAGTGGTGGTCTTGATATTTTCAACTGGAACAGTGGTTTCTCCGGTCATTGTGTTGGTAGTAGCAAGAGCAGCATCCATTCTTTCTGGATTAGTAGTTTCTAAAAAAACAGCACAAATATCAATATTGCGAAATAAGGTAGATGAGAATCGGAAGATAGATGAGAATCAGACGGCCGTCTACCGGCTGTTGAGACACTTCTGATTGGTATGATAGGAACTCATGCAAATGTTGCTGGAAATGTGTCAAACTGAGAAACAGCCCCGTTCTGATAAAAATCTGACACTCTAACAAGTAACAACACCAAATTTGTAAGAAAACCAAATTTTTTAGTTTTTGGCCTAAATTCAAGTTTAATATGTGAATTTCAAAGTTCTGGTAAAACTTGGCTAGATCCTAGTCGGGGAACAAGCTTTATATCTTAGCAGTCGTGAACAATCAATTTCTCTATAAGTAGGGCAACACACAAAAAAACGAAAAAAAAAAGAAAAATTTTGGCGTGCATTTCGTCCGAGAGAAGTACACACACACATTTCGCTGCAGGACCACATTGCATAAATATTTGCGCCTTTAATCTATTGTTTTCGCGCCCCAATTAGTTGTTTTTGGTGATAAATAGTTCGCACCATTCGATTCAGAATTTCACGCTGAGTAAAATGGATATAAAAATCATCTCTGTCTGTGGAAGTTTTTGAGTTCACGTTTTTGGGAAAAAATGCATGATTTTTGGGTCACTGGTGTTATTTTTTCGAAGCTGATGGCTATCACAACAATATTCTTCCAAAAATAATAGAAATTATTGCCTCTGAACCCAATACTTCTGAATTCTCTTGAGCCCTAGTTCTTGATAAATCAAGGATCAATCAATACAACTGATAGATTCGAGATAGGTCTCTGCTGATATCAAATAGCTCCAAGATAAGTCAAAACTGATTTTAGTTGAAGATTTGGGACTGACATTTGCGCCAATGGTGCAATTGGTGTGAGTGGCGCCAACATTCAACAAACGAAGTATTTTACTCCTACTTATTGATTCACCAGTAGAAAAACAACGAAATTCATCAACCTAACTTCACCAAAAGCCGCAAACGACATGTCTGCCCAAAAACATTAAGATTTTCGCAATTTTTCACACTAAAATTTTCACTGAATTTTGGCCAAAATTCGACCAATTTTTTGACCAATTTCTGACCATATTTTGGCCAATATTTTTGATCAATTCTTGGCCAAAATTCGACCAATTTTCGTTTTTGGCCAAAAATTGGTCAATTTTTGGTCAACCTCCCAGGACCAGTGTGAATGTGCATATTGCCACAGATTCATGCACATCATGTGCAGGAATTTGGCTGCCAGACGATCGGATTCGTTTTGAAGAGATCCAAATGAGCCATTTTGTGTTTGATATGTGAGAATAAGACAAACTTGGAACGTCAAGGAAATGTTGGAAAAACCATTGTTGAAACCGATGCTTATATTACTGCTCTAAAAGAAGAAATAGTAGAATTGGAGGTTCAGAAATCTTTGTTCGAACAATCTGTGACAAGCAATTCGGGCGTATGGAGGAAAAATTGGAAGACTGCTGGAAACAACATGGTGGATCAATGTCAACTTGGACGCAGAAATTTAATGGAAATCAGACATATGCCTTGCTGAAACCTCAAGCAATAGATGCAATGTTTGATTTATTTCCGAGTACTCCACAATTGGAGCACTTAAGAACAGCAGCAAAACATCTCGGAATTATAATGAGCATAAAACTGAGCGATCTGATGCCGATGATCATGCCAAATTCGACGCATCGTTGAAAGGATTTTGCTCTGAACTCATTGCCGCGGTTCCTGAAGACCATCCGATTGTCAAATTCCATATGCTCGATAAACATGTACCAGATTTCGTAAAGATGTTTGATTCTTGGGCTTTTGTTTCGGAACAAGGAGGGAAGGAATCTATGCATATGTTAATGCCCTATTCAGACAGTGAGTTTTTGTCAAAACATTCTGACAACAAATCTCATTTTTCAGTTATGCTTCGGCGAAAAATCCAGAACTTATTCTTAGAAGAGTCTTCACCAGAATTCTGCTAAACAACAAGATGGTCGACAATTATAACTTTTCGTGAATTTTGAAATACATCAACCTGAAATGAAGCATAAATTTCACCTTTGTTATAATCCTTCAATCGACGTTCAAGTTCCATCAACATCCACACCTACTCCATCATCAAAATCAAAATCCAATCCATATCCAGAACAAAACCCAATCCATATCGGCAATCCATATCCAAATATTGGAATAATTGGTGTCGCCAACCTTTCAATAACTCCAATATATGCTCAACATATCTGAAATTTAATTTATTAGTTGAACAGAAAATTGTGATTTATAAATTATTAAATGAAATAATTGGAAAGCGTGTTTCGAAAAATACTCCCACATGGATTGTATAACCTAGACTAATGATAGAACCTAAGCTTCTTGCAAAACATAATGAAACAATGGTATGTTCAATGCAACAAAGAAATCAATAAACAATAATTTTACATTGGCCTAAAATATCAATTTACGACCTAAAAAACTTATATCTATGTGTAAAATTTGGCCATCTTATCAACAACAACACCGTTCAACAATAACACTGAAATACATCCAAGAAAAAATCAACGAAACGCACTAATTCGAAAAAATTCGAAAAGAAACAAGCGAAAAACAAAAAGAAAAATGATGCAATTTTCTCCTCTGCCAATGTGTGTGCCGCACTTTGCAATTTTATTTATTTATTTTTTGGGTTACTGTAGTTTCAAATGTGTGCAATGAAAATTTACGTAGGAAAAATTTGCTGTGATTGGAAGCTGTTTGATTTATAATATTTGACCTTCCCTTCGAAATGTGAATGGCAAATACGGCCAAAATACTTCGCCTGATCATTTTCTCCTTTTTTCAAATTTTCTGAAAATAATGGGCCAAGGATTTCGATCCATTTTTCACGAATTTTCGGATTTAATGGGACCAGTGTCATATATTTCATTTCAATTTTATGTTCACAATATTTGCATCGTGTCTTTAATCCCTGCTTTTTATTCGTCATTTCCAAATTCCTTATTAAAATATTTTTATCAGTTTTTATAAGATTTTGATATAAATTAAGAAATAATATCGGATCGAATCGAACCGTGAAAAAAATTTCCAAATATAAAATTTCAACAAAAAACTTTATTATAAAAATTCCAAAATTCAACAATTTTTCCAATTTTGCTCCAAAACATGAGACATACAAATAAAATGTGGTTCTGGATATTTGAGAATATTATCTATGAAGTTTTGCTCGAAAACATTCCAAAATTTAATCAAATCTTCTTTTTTCGATGGAATTGGGATCATTTGAATTGATGAATTGAATTGAACATTGCAAATGCGACAAATATTTTCTTGTTTTTCAGAATTTTTTTCAATCTTCTTTTTCGGTTCCTCGTTCGGTTTTTCAATTTCATTCGGCATTAAATCTATTTCGATTGATACACGTGGCTAAAAATTTTTGTTTTTTTTAATTATAATCGAAACTTCATTTCAAAAAATACCCACCAAATGTTCATTTCCTTCTTCTTCTTGTTTAACTATCAACAATCCATTTTCTTGAGAATTTGTTTGATTTTTCTGATCTTTCACATCTCGTTCCATATTTCCAAATTCTCCAAGAATTTCATTGAGAGGACTTTGCTGAAATTATTTATGATCTTTTATTTTTAATAATTACAATTCCATGATCTTCATTTTCCTTTTTCGGAACATTTCTCAAAAATGTATTCAATTTTGGTTGTCTTTCAATTACTTTATAATCATTTTCTTCGCGTTCTTCAACCAATTCATTTTCTTTTTCCATATCTTCTCCTAATTTTCCCCGTTTCGATGATTTTTCAGAATTCCAATCGATTCTTCTCTTCTTTCTGATTTCTTGCTCATCTGAAGCAACTTTTCCGTTGTTTTTTGGAGTCGATGGAACAATGGAGATTGTTTCAACATCTTGAACTTCGTTCTGATAAAAAAAACATAAATAGAGAATCGCAAAACATAATTTACACACAAAAAAAACTTTTTCACTAAAGTTGACGAAATTCAAAGCAAAAGTGAGAGATTTAGAGAAAACTATTTTCGATCTACCAAAAATTTTTTAAGAGTTTGCGGCCTAGAAATTCGTAGTAGTAAATTACACACTATGGGTAATATTTTCAATAAATAAATCATACCATTAGGAAAACTTGTTCAATATCCATATTTTCTTGTTGATTTTCAACCTGTTTTTCCGGAACATTCTCCACAATATCGTTGAATTTTTGAATTGTTTCATTCATTTCAACAGCATCTTCCTTATCGTCATTTTCTTCGCGTTCTTCAATCAATCCATCTTCCTTTTCCATTTCTTCACCCAATTCTCCTCGTTTCGATGATTCTTCAAAATGTGAATCGATTTTTCTCTTGTTCCTGACTTCTTGTTTTCCAGGTGATCTTTTCCCGTTGTTTATTGAAATCGCTGATGTTGATGAAACATTTGAGCCGGTTTCGAGATCTTGAACTTCCTCCTGCAAAAAACAACAATTAACAGTCAACCTGGATCTCCTTCTTAATAAATTTTCAAAAAATAAATCATACCATTTGTGAAAAAACTTGTTCAGTATTCGAATTTTCTCGTTGATTTTCATCCGAATTCTCAGAAACATTCTGCAATTCTGGAACTGTTTCATCCATTCCAACCTCATCCTCATCCTCAATTTCCTCTTTTTCTTCATTTTCATTTTCACCTTCGTCTTCTTCGTCTTCATTTTCTTTATTCATTCGAATCGGCAGTTGATATTTCAAACGACGTTCAGTATTTCCTTTAAAATGTTTTCGACAAATAAAAGGCTGCATAACATCCTTCAAATTTTCGGCAAATCGTTTTCCGAGTATTTCAATCCATTGTTTACGAATCCTCCCATCACTTGGAACTGTTGTCATTTGTTGAAATGGTAAAGATTTCTTACAATAACAACATTTGCAAAAAATTTTTGATGACTGAAAAAATGAGACACGTTTTTTCTATTACTGAGCACTTTACAAATTGTGTTAATACATATATTTTACAAAAGTGAGGACAGAATTACAGTAGTACGGAACGTTCCCATTATTATTTTTCCATAACTATAAGCTTAACTCACATTTTTATTGCTCATTTTTCCTCGATTCTTTCGAACTTCATTTTCCTCTTCTTCACTCATTCGAATTGGAAGTTGATATTCCGATATCTGTTCTATATTCCCTTCAAAATGTGATAGACAGATATGACCAAAATACCTCGCTTGTTCATTGTCTCTTTCTTTCAAATTTTCTAAAAATAGTGGCCCAAGAACTTCGATCCATTTCTCACGAATTTTCGGATTAAATGGGACTCTTGTCATATATTTCATTTCAATTTGTTGTTCACAATATTTGCATCGTGTCTTCAATCCCTGTTTTTCATTCGTCATTTCCAAATTCCTGATTAAAATATTTTTATTACTTTTTATAAGATTTTCATATAAATTAAGAAATAATATCGGATCGAATCGAACCGTGAAAAAAATTTCCAAATATAAAATTTCAACAAAAACTTTATTATAAAAATTGCAAAATTCAACAATTTTTCCAATTTTGCTCCAAAACATGAGACATACAAATAAAATGTGGTTCTGGATATTTGAGAATATTATCTATGAAGTTTTGCTCAAAAACATTCCAAAATTTCATCAAATCTTCTTTTTTCGATGGAATTGGGATCATTTGAATTGATGGATTGAATTGAATATTGCAAATGCGACAAATATTTTCTTGTTTTTCAGAATTTGAATCAATCTTCTTTTTCGGTTCCTCGTTCGGTTTTTTAATTTCATTCGGCATTAAATCCATTTCGATTGATACACGTGGCTAAAAATGATTGTTTTTTTCAATTATAATCGAAACTTCATTTAAAAAAAATACCCACCAAATGTTCATTTCCTTCTTCTTCTTGTTTAACTATCAACAATCCCTTTTCTTGAGAATTTTTTTGATTTTTCTGATCTCTCACATCTCTTTCAATACTTCCAAATTCTCCAAGAATTTCATTGAGAGGACTTTGCTGAAATTATTTATGATCTTTTATTTTTAATCTCAAAAACCAGAAAACTTACAATAATTACAATTCCATTATCTTCATTTTCCCTTTTCGGAACATTTCTCAATAAATCCATCACTTTTGGTTGTCTTTCAATTACTTTATCATCATTTTCTTTTTGTTCTTCAACCAATCCATTTTCTTGAGAATTTGTTTGATTTTTCTGATCTCTCACATCTTTTTCAATACTTCCAAATTCTCCAAGAATTTCATTGAGAGGACTTTGCTGAAATTATTTATGATTTTTAATTTTTAACCTCAAAAACCAGAAAACTTACAATAATTACAATTCCATTATCTTCATTTTCCCTTTTCGGAACATTTCTCAAAAATGTGTTCAATTTTGGTTGTCTTTCAATTAATTTATCATCATTTTCTTTTTGTTCTTCAACCAATCCATTTTCTTTTTCCATATCTTCACCTAATTTTCCTCTTTTCGATGATTTTTCAGAATTTGAATCAATTCTTCTTTTCTTTCTAACTTCTTGTTTTCCTGGAGCGACGTTTCCATTGTTTTTTGGAATCGCTGATGTTGATGAAACATTTGAACCGGCTTCGAGATCTTGAACATCCTCCTGCAAAAAAAAAAACAATTAACAATCAACCTGGATCTCCTTCTTCTTAATTGATTTTCAAAAAATAAATCATACCATTTGTGAAAAAACTTGTTCAATATCCGAATTTTCTCGTTGATTTTCATCCGAATTCTCAGAAACATTCTTCAATTCTAGAACTGTTTCATCCATTCCAACCTCATCCTCATCCTCAATTTCCTCTTTTTCTTCATTTTCATTTTCACCTTCGTCTTCTTCGTCTTCAATTTCTTCATCCATTCGAACCGGAAGTTGATATATCGATCTCTGTTCTATATTTCCTTCGAAATGTGTGAGACAAATCAAAGGTTTCTTATAGTTGTTCAAAGTTCTAGCAAATTGCTTTCCGAGTATTTCAATCCATTGTTTACGAACACTTTCATTACTTGGAACTGTTGTCATTTGATTATCTGATACACGTTTCTTACAATAACAGCATTTGCGTTTACGTTTTGAAGCCTAAAAAATGAGATCAACGCCATTTTTATGGTTATATGGAACGTTTGTAAATAATACTATCCAAAATCTCAACCCACCTTTTTATTGCTCATTTTTCCTCGTTTCTTTCGAACTTCATTTTCCTCTTCTTCACTCATTCGAATTGGAAGTTGATATTCCGATATCTGTTCTATATTTCCTTCGAAATGTGTGAGACAAATCAAAGGTTTCTTATACATTTTCAAAGTTCTAGCAAATTGTTTTCCGAGTATTTCAATCCATTGTTTACGAATACTTTCATCACTTGGAACTGTTGTCAATTGATCATTTGATACACCTTTTTGACAATAACAACATGTTCGATTATGGCCATGCGCAGGCAAATTCATATGGATATTGTTCATCCTGCTGAATTGATGAACAGGAGACTGACCGAAAAAAGAAACAAAACGACACGCCTTTTTAAATTGCAAATTTGAAGAGAAACTGAGAAAAAGACAAATCGAACTGCAAAATTTTTTCGCGCTGCAATACCAGTCAAAAATTTATTCATTTTCCATTTTTTTTAAACTTTTTCTTACGGTTTTTCTTCTCGAATTCCGTATTTTTGATCTATTTTTAGGCGCGACAAGCAGAAAAAGGCGAGAGAAACAGCCGAAAAAGTGAAAAAAATTGAAAATGAATAAATTTTTGACTGGTATTGCAGCGCGAAAAAATTTTGCAGTTCGATTTGTCTTTTTCTCAGTTTCTCTCCAAATTTGCAAATTTTCCTTGTTTCAAAAAGGCGTGACGAAAAAAACGAAATTTTTCTCCCGCAGGAGCCGAAAAAAAATATCAAACAACCTTGTGCGCTCTAACACAGGGTGTAAAAAAGTACAAAGGAAGAACGAAAAAAAATTACGTACTTTGTGCAAAGCCTCGCACAATGAAGGAGGCGGGGTTTATGTGCCACACAATCGCAAGGTTCCGCACACATTTATTTTTTTTCGCTCCGCCCCTTTTTTTATTTTTTCGAACAGCTTTTTCAACTCATCTATGCGTTTTTCGATGCAATTTCGTTGTTTTCATGGAATAATTATGAATTGATCGTGCAGATAGTGGAAGATAACTTGTTTGAAGCTAATTTTGGTACCTTAAAAGCCTAAAAATAGTGTTTTTCCATCAAATTCAATTATTCTAATCAAAAATCGAACTTTTATGCCGAATTATGATTTTTGTGCTGCAAATCATCATTAAAAAAATATGATTATGAAATGTGAGGTTATAAAAAAAGTTTATTGACAGAATATCGGAATTTATCGAGTTTTCAAATGTGTTCTCTTGAAGAATCGGTTGACGACAAGTTTCGATTCAAAGTTCAAGGCAAAAATCCATCATCACAACCTTGTTTTGTTGTCGCATCTGCTTTTCATCCTGTTATACTCCGTTTTCGATTAATCTCCTTGTTAACTCTCAATTTCTCATGTTTTTCGTTTCTTCTTAATCATTTGCCATTTCCACGTTCCACATCTCAACTTCATCGAATCGATATGCATCCTTTTTTTGTCGAACTCTTGATTCCAGCGTTTTTCTGAAAAATCAAATAAAAACTACGGTTTTGTTGTTACGGAAAAATACAGATAAAAACAGGACCTGATGAGATGCTCATTGCAATCATCCAAAATCCATCTCATACGTATACAAATCATTCATCCGGTTGTTGCAAAATATTGCGCATTGACTTCCGAAACAATACTCTGAAAAATCAAATAACGACTACGGCATTTTTTGCAGAAAAATACAGATAAAAACAGGACCTTGTTCAATCGTTGATTAATTGACCAGCACGCTTCAATTCCAGCACCAATCATTTCTCGTTGACTTTCACAAGGGTGCCGCAACTCCTCCAATTGTTTTTTCTGAATTAAAATAATTAATTTCACTGGAAATGCTGAAAATCTTTGAAAAGGGGAAAAACAGAAAAAAAAATGATGAAACACAAATGTGTGCCGCACTTGCAAAATCATGTGCGGCGCTTGCAACATTTGAATTTTCTGTTTCCCGCTTCCATCTCGATTACGGTAGCTCGCAAAGTACGTAATTTTTCAATGGTAGTCTTTTACACCCTGTGTCTAATGATAATTTCAACTTCTCGTGCACACTCGTGTATTTCTCCCAGGTTAAAAATAATTTGTGTTCGTTTTTTTCACACCCCGCTGAAACGAGAAATGACTGTTTTTCTACTGTAGAACGCAATCGAAAAGTGTGCAAACACCGCGTCTCACACCCGCTCAAACAATGAAAAAATTAGCAAAATGGTGTTCTCATTGGCGTACCAATTTTAGCTACCTTAGAGGTCGTTATATGAAAAAATAAAAATACCATTAGAATCAGCGTCTCAAGATCTACATTAAACTATATTACTCATATTTTTAGGGGTCCTGAGAAGAAAGTTACGATTTGCGTCGAGACCACGCGGTTAAATAAATACATGTCCCTTTAATCAGCAACGTAAATCAATGAAATAGTTGGCGTACCAATTTTCGTTAGGAAAACAGGCGTTAGAGAAAAAATGAAAAGTATCACGAGATTCAGCGTGTCGATATCTACATTAAACCATAAGATTCATAATTCCTAGGTGCCCAGGAAGGCCAGCTTTTCGAGACCCAATAAATTAATAAATGTATGTTCCTTTGAACGAACAAAACAGTGTGAATTTTCGAGAGACGCAGAGACGCGGTGTTTGCACACTTTTCGATTGCGTTCTACAGTAGAAAAACAGTCATTTCTCGTTTCAGCGGGGTGTGGTCTCTGCGTCTCTCGAAAAGTCACACTGTTTTGTTCGTTCAAAGGAACATACATTTATTAATTTATTGGGTCTCGAAAAGCTGGCCTTCCTGGGCACCTAGGAATTATGAATCTTATGGTTTAATGTAGATCTCGACACGCTGAATCTCGTGATACTTTTCATTTTTTCTCTAACGCCTGTTTTCCTAACGAAAATTGGTACGCCAACTATTTCATTGATTTACGTTGCTGATTAAAGGGACATGTATTTATTTAACCGCGTGGTCTCGACGCAAATCGTAACTTTCTTCTCAGGACCCCTAAAAATATGAGTAATATAGTTTAATGTAGATCTTGAGACGCTGATTCTAATGGTATTTTTATTTTTTCATATAACGACCTCTAAGGTAGCTAAAATTGGTACGCCAATGAGAACACCATTTTGCTAATTTTTTCATTGTTTGAGCGGGTGTGTTTTGTTTTTTTCTTCCATTTTTTTCCGTTTTTCTTGGTTTTTCAATGAAAAACCGAATAATAACTTGATAAATAACTTTGATCAATGCTATATTTTCGTTTTTCTTTCAGTAACATCAATATGGGCGAGGAATCAACGAAAGAAGAGACAATAATTTCATTTGTTGGAAGATATAAAAAATAATACAAATGAATTGAACATTTGAAAAAGAAAATATTACACGGAGTTATTCACATGAGCGTTGATGAAAATAGTAATGAAAAATATAAAAATACGAAGAAAGCAAACAAAAATATAAGAAAAAACAATGAAAAATCAAAAAATTCAAGAGGAATCGGAACAATAATCAATAGCTGGATTATTATCGTTGTCACTTCTGGAAAATAGCGAATCATCGCTGGAGAAATTGTCGTTATCCGAAGTGTCAGGATCATTGGAAGCTTGGATGATTGGGGCGTTTTGGGCTTGGAGATTCGTGGAGATTTGCTTGTTTTTCTCGGCAATTCGCTCTCGGATTTTTTGTTCCAAGTTTCTTGCGTGTCTTATAACTGCTTGCGCTTCTTCGGCTGAATATTGTTGTAACCAATAAATAGCACGTCTTTTGACCTGAAATAACAAGGATTTGTATTTTGATAATGTTTGGAAAGTGCAAATCGTACATCTTCCAAACAATCGTCAGTGGATCCAACATCTTTGAGATCTCTTTTGAGCTCAGCCCACACCAATTCAATCGGGTTGAAGCAACAATGATATGGGGGCAAACGGAGGAAATGGCATCCGTGATTTTGCAACGCCCATTCATCTACTTTATACTTTTTCATCGCGTTTCGACCGCCATTCACCATAAGAAGATTGTCAAATTCTTTTTGCAATCGTTTCTTATCCCAAGTCCTCTTAACTCGCATTCCATGCTTCTCCAAAAACGCTGTCAAATCGGCTTTATTGGCATTTCTTGGCGGAATCTGTTTCAAAATATGTTAGAATTTTCAGACATGTGCATCTAAAGAAAGTGAACGAATATTTGGTTCTAGCTAGAATTTCAGGTAAGTTTTTTTTCAGTTTTATGAAACTTTGAACTTTTACAAATTTTTTCTCGATTTAGAAAACAAATGTAATTAATATTTGGAATCCAAAAAAAGAGAATGTGTTTCGTAAATTTTGTCCACCTTCAATTTGTAAGATTGATCTGTATCTTTTTTTCAATCATTTTTTTAAAACTTTGCAACTTTTGAGATTTGAAGGAACTCGAATTTTTCTTAATGATTTCACTTTGTTCCTAATTCTTAAAATTTTGAATTATGGACCTTTTCAGTTGTGGTGTTGTGGAGTGGAGAATTGTCGATGACCATAACCGGCACTTTTCCTTGTTTTCGAGCTTCGGCGACGAACAGTGGAATCATTTCCTGCATATAATTCTCATAAGCTTGTGCCGTCATCATTAGATGATAATCCATCATTTCTTGATTTTCACCCGAAATTATCACCTTCTCCGACCCTTTCAAAATTCCATCACTTGTCAAAATTGCGAGCACAATGGCTCGCTTTCCCTTATTCTTGCCCTTTGCAGGTCCCGATCGTTTTTCATCAATATCCCCCATTCGTGCGATTTTGTACATGGTTTCATGTTTAAAAGTCCAATCATTCAGACACCATCCCTTCAAAAATCCAAGTCTCATCGAAAAATCCAAAATAAGGTTCGATTCCAGCCTTTTCAAACTTTTCTTTCAAAACCAAATATTTTTCTCTCAAAATGATCAAATCGACGCGTTCTTCTATGAGTGGCGTGCCGGATTTTTTTCGAAACGTATAGCCGAGGCCATGCATCACATCATTCAAGCAAGTTTTGCCTACATCAAAATCACACTCTTCTTCCAAAAATTCTCTTATCTTATCCAAAGTTACTTGGATTTGATCTTTCCAACATGCTTGCATATATAATGACAATTTAATTTGATTGCTCGTTGTCAATTTTTCCGCGGCTAACCTTCTTTGTTCTTTTCTAGATGTTTTTTTTTTGATAGAGATCATTTTCTTTTCTGGTTCGGTGTAAGTACTGGGCATCCACTCCAGTGAAAAATTTGAAAAGTCGATCAGTTCTGTTGAACATAGTGTTTGCAGAATTTGCACCGAGCTCTTTTTTAATCGATTTAATTCCACTCATCACGTTTGTCAAAATATTAGCAGCTCTTCTCGATACGTTTTTGCGACAGGTTTTTGGTTGGTCGAGAGCGTCAATATCAATTTGTTTAACAGCGCGTCCCAATTCCGAATCAGACTGAAAGCTTTCTTCCTTCAGGAATTTATCCGGTTTTTCAACATCTCCTCAAAATTCGCCCTCTCATTAAAATCCCGTAAGGTGAAATTTATTTAGAAAAATGTTCATTTCTCCCGGTCACGTGAAATTCTGATAAATATATATTTATCAAAAATGCTTCATTTCTTACCTACACGTGTGGTGTAGGCGGGGAGAGCGATGCCCACAGCGAAATTCTGGCATATCTGCTGCAGTCCTGCCGAACTCCTGCCGAGGTCGAATCTGCGGTAGTACTGTGAGGTACATGCCGGCAGGACCTGCCGGCAGAAGTGCGGCAGGCATGTCGCAGCTTTCAATCAAATTTTCCGCTTTGCTTAGTATTTTTCATCGCAATTAGTTAAACAATCTTGATTTCACTAACAATATTTATTAAACATATAAAAATGTAATAATTAGAAGATCCTCGGGTATGGTGATGCGGGTGACTGATTATTGTTTGATGAGTGAAGTCGTTTCTCTGAAAACAAAAATAGAGTGACATTAATTTTGGCTTTTTGAGCAGCAGAATTTTTTTGAAGCCTGGGGCAAATTTCCAAATGGTCTTATAATAGCTTGAGAAGTCTCTGAATTTTTCTGAAGCGCGGGTGAACTTCTAGATGGTCATAAAGACCAGGTCTTAGTAGGTCATAAAGACCAGGTCTTAGTAGATTTTCGATATGGCAAAATTGTAAAAGCTCGATTTTTTTTAATTTATGGCGAAAAAACTACGATTATCCCAAACAAAAAATTGAATTTCCAAATGTTAAAAAAATGACGGGCTGTTATTTTTCCCAGATAATGGGTGATGGGTGAGCCTGATGTAATGGAAAATTCAAAAAGTTTGGGGCCAAAAATCCGGAAATCTTGAAAAATCAAACCTGATTTTTGATTTTTAGGTCATTTTTTGTTGTTCAAGACTTCTGTGCTTTCAAAATTCGAAAATTGAAGTTTTTGCGCGAAAATTTTCAAAAAATAACAAAAAATTACCTGCAATTGATATCCTCCTCGAATTCGCCCAAATTGCTGAATCCTGTGTGAAGTTTCTGTAAAAAAGTTGATGAAAAAACTACGGTTTTTGTAATTACGGAAAAATACATAAGTAAACTGACCTTAAAAAAAGATGAAGAATGAGAAGAAATGGGCGGAAGGTTATGGAAATCTGAAATTATTTTTAATGATTTACTTCTTTATTTCAATTTTTAGCAGACATAGCTCGGGAAAATTTTCTAAAGGCCTTAGAGTGGCCCGGGAACTCACATAATTTTTTTTTGAGATCGTGGAAAATTTCTAAAGGCCTTAGAGTGGCCCGGGAACTCACTGAATTTTTTTTGAGATCGTGGAAAATTTCTAAAGGCCTTAGAGTGGTCCGGGAACTCACTGAATTTTTTTTAAGCCTGGGGAAAATTTCTAAAGGCCTTAGAGTGGTCCGGAAACTCACTGAATTTTTTTTAAGCCTGGGGAAAATTTCTAACGGCCTTAGAGTGGTCCGGAAACTCACATAATTTTTTTGAGATCGTGGAAAATTTTCTAAAGGCCTTAGAGTGGCCCGGGAACTCACATAATTTTTTTTTGAGATCGTGGAAAATTTCTAAAGGCCTTAGAGTGGTCCGGGAACTCACTGAATTTTTTTAAGCCTGGGGAAAATTTCTAAAGGCCTTAGAGTGGTCCGGAAACTCACTGAATTTTTTAAGCCTGGGGAAAATTTCTAAAGGCCTTAGAGTGGCCCGGGAACTCACTGAATTTTTTAAGCCTGGGGAAAATTTCTAAAGGCCTTAGAGTGGTCCGGAAACTCACTGAATTTTTTTAAGCCTGGGGAAAATTTCTAAAGGCCTTAGAGTGGTCCGGAAACTCACATAATTTTTTTTGAGATCGTGGAAAATTTTCTAAAGGCCTTAGAGTGGCCCGGGAACTCACATAATTTTTTTTTGAGATCGTGGAAAATTTCTAAAGGCCTTAGAGTGGTCCGGGAACTCACTGAATTTTTTTAAGCCTGGGGAAAATTTCTAAAGGCCTTAGAGTGGCCCGGGAACTCACTGAATTTTTTTTAAGCCTGGGGAAAATTTCTAAAGGCCTTAGAGTGGTCCGGAAACTCACTGAATTTTTTTTAAGTCTGGGGAAAATTTCTAAAGGCCTTAGAGTGGCCCGGGAACTCACTGAATTTTTTTTGAGATCGTGGAAAATTTCTAAAGGCCTTAGAGTGGTCCGGAAACTCACTGAATTTTTTTTGAGATCGTGGAAAATTTCTAAAGGCCTTAGAGTGGTCCGGAAACTCACATAATTTTTTTTTGAGATCGTGGAAAATTTCTAAAGGCCTTAGAGTGGTCCGGAAACTCACTGAATTTTTTTTAAGACTGGGGAAAATTTCTAAAGGCCTTAGAGTGGTCCGGGAACTCACTGAATTTTTTTTGAGATCGTGGAAAATTTCTAATTTGAAAAAATTGAATTTCAGAGGGTAAAACTGAAAAATTGACATTTTTTTATACTGAAAAAAAGTTAGCTTTCAATTTTCAATTTTGAAAACCATGATATTTTTCAATCCTTAGACGATATGAAAAACAGGAGTAGAAAAATCTAAAGATTGACAAAATTCGTGGTTTCAAAAATTGAAAATTGAAAGCTTTCAGTAAAAAAATGTCAATTTTTCAGTTTTACCCTTCACAGGGTGTAATTTACTACCTCAAATCGCTAGACCTCAAAATTTTCATTAATTTTTGGGTAGATCAAAAATCATTTTTCTCTAAATCTCTCATTTTTGCGTTGAATTTCGTCGATTTTAGTCCCGCCCCTAAGATCGTGTCAGGTCTCAAAAAATGCGCGATTTTTTTCGGGTAGTAAATTACACTCTGTGCCCTTTCAGAAACTGAAATTTCATTATTTTTTCAGTATCCTAGCCTAAAACAGATTGGCTGGGGTTTGTTATGTTAAGAATTTCTGTAGAAAAATAAACGACAACGAAGATGAACAAATTGCTGCTAAACTGAGTATTGTCAGTGTTTGTCCGAAAAGTAAAACATTTGGCTAATTAGCTTAAGTATTATGCTCTTCAGACAAACACTGACAAAAGGGCTCAGAGTGAAACTGTATACGAAGGTACATTTCTTATTGAAAATCTCCCGGGACACCTAAAACACTGGTTAGCAAATATAGACGCCAGAAATGTAAAAATATTCTGAAATTTTGAGTGAAGTTACATTCAAGTGAATAATCAAACTTTACGGATAGAGGATTCAAAATTTCTCAAACTTTAAAATCACAAAAAACGACGTACCATGTTTTTTCCCGCTTTCCGCAAATCTTGAGATTGTTGATTGTAACTTCTGAAAGAATATATTGACAAAACACTAAGAGAAGAACAATTTGCATAGAAAATAAATGAAAATATGAAAGAAAGTTCATTATTTTTGACCTCGAAGTTATTTGTAACTATATTCATTCTAAAGGACATAACAATTTAGCTGAATAGTGGCTCCAAATGTCTACTTACAACAAATTTCGACACTGAATAGGCAACTTAAATCTATTTTCATAAATACCATTTCTCACCAAAGAACGATAAAAGTTCTCTCGAGGGAAATGTGGAAACATTTCAAAGACTGGTTAGGCAGACTTGCTTTAGAATTAGGCATATATTTATTGTAATAGAATTTGAGATCCGAACAAGCTTTCAACTGGTTTACAGGTCAAGAAAGGGAATTGCTATCCTAATTGTCCTACCCGCTGAAGAAAAACTGAAATGCCTGTTTTTCTATTTCGCTCATTTCAGCGCTTTTTCAGTTTTTCTACTTTTTCTCTGGTGTCAGGCATCGAATGATAGATTTTTGAGAGTGATTCAAGTTAAATGAACTCATTTAACTGTCGTTTAACAACATCTGGTAGGACAAGTAGGACAGCAATTCCGTCCTCTTGTCAATTATTAAGTTCAGATGAATAAATCGAATTAGTCGGTTATCTGAGCTCTATGAAATTTTATAGACCTACTCAGAGATTCGCTGGCCAGCTCGCCACCAGGTGGGGAGGCTGGCTGACCTGGGAACCACATGGAAACCATGTCGCCCGGTTTTTTTCGCTGGCAAGGTGGCCAGGCTCTGGCTAGGTCACGGCCACATGGCTACCATGTGGTGGCCACTTCGCCGCGTCAAAATGAATTTTCATGAAAATGTCTGAAAAACTTGTGAATTGAGGCATTTTCGAAAAATTTGCCTCATTTTCTGTTTTTTCGCAGTACTTGAAACCTTAGGAAGTGAAAAAACAGTAGAAAATGCAGTGTTTTGAGTACAAACCACTGTCTTGCCAGCTTTCCAAAATTTCAAACACACAGGCCACGTCGCCGGAAAACTCGAGGTGACCTGGCGGCCATGCGGTTTCCAGGTGGCCGCAGCGATCTGGTGGCGAGCTGGCCAGCGAATATCTGAGTAATATTGTTAAAATAACTTGAAAGGCTGATTAGAAATCTAAAATTTCGTAATTTACCTCTACATTTTCATTAAAAAACACATAAAAACAAAACAACAGCAGAAAGAAAAAAAAAAGAAAAAAATTTTGTAAATTGTCCGGGAGAAGTACACACAAGCGCGTTTCCGTGTGGGACCTTTCTGAATTATTGTGTGCGCCTTTGTTTCGGTTTTATTTACGTGAACAGGACACGTTAGTTTTCGCAAAAAATTATCTTAACTACGCGACGCAAAATCTCGTTCTGAACAAAATGGTTATGAATTGACCCCTAAAAATAATATTGCTAGGCTCGCAAAATACAAGAACTTGGTTGCAAGAGGTATTCACGACTCCATTTACTCCGAAAATTGTTTATTACATCTGAATGGACTTTTCTGAAGTCGTGAAATCATGAGAAAACTATTCTCATGCTTATTTTGCAAATTTCTAAGATAGAGTATTTATCACGAAAAAAGTACTTCGATTTTCAGCAGATTTTTGCTGAAAAATTTCAAAATATTCAAAATTTAACACAGCACAGATTTTTCAAGCAAAAATTTACACTGTGAAGAACCTTTTTTGCAAAATTAGAACTGTTAATAAAAATATTTAGTGACTTCTCGAGCCATTTTAATACTATTAGAAATTTTCCCCAGGCTTAAAAAAAATTCAGTGAGTTCCCGGGCCACTCTAAGGCCTTTAGAAATTTTCCCCAGGCTTAAAAAAAATTCAGTGAGTTCCCGGGCCACTCTAAGGCCTTTAGAAATTTTCCCCAGTCTTAAAAAAAATTCAGTGAGTTCCCGGGCCACTCTAAGGCCTTTAGAAATTTTCCACGATCTCAAAAAAAATTCTGTGAGTTCCCGGGCCACTCTAAGGCCTTTAGAAATTTTCCCCAGGCTTAAAAAAAATTCAGTGAGTTCCCGGGCCACTCTAAGGCCTTTAGAAATTTTCCCCAGTCTTAAAAAAAAATTCTGTGAGTTCCCGGGCCACTCTAAGGCCTTTAGAAATTTTCCACGATCTCAAAAAAAATTCAGTGAGTTCCCGGGCCATTCTAAGGCCTTTAGAAATTTTCCACGATCTCAAAAAAAAATTCAGTGAGTTCCCGGGCCATTCTAAGGCCTTTAGAAATTTTCCACGATCTCAAAAAAATTCAGTGAGTTCCCGGGCCACTCTAAGGCCTTTAGAAATTTTCCCCAGGCTTAAAAAAATTCAGTGAGTTCCCGGGCCACTCTAAGGCCTTTAGAAATTTTCCCCAGGCTTAAAAAAATTCAGTGAGTTCTCGGGCCACTCTAAGGCCTTTAGAAATTTTCCCCAGGCTTAAAAAAATTCAGTGAGTTCCCGGGCCACTCTAAGGCCTTTAGAAATTTTCCCCAGGCTTAAAAAAAATTCAGTGAGTTCCCGGGCCACTCTAAGGCCTTTAGAAATTTTCCACGATCTCAAAAAAATTCAGTGAGTTCCCGGGCCATTCTAAGGCCTTTAGAAATTTTCCACGATCTCAAAAAAATTCAGTGAGTTCCCGGGCCATTCTAAGGCCTTTAGAAATTTTCCACGATCTCAAAAAATTCAGTGAGTTCCCGGGCCACTCTAAGGCCTTTAGAAATTTTCCCCAGGCTTAAAAAAAATTCAGTGAGTTCCCGGGCCACTCTAAGGCCTTTAGAAATTTTCCACGATCTCAAAAAAAATTCAGTGAGTTCCCGGGCCATTCTAAGGCCTTTAGAAATTTTCCACGATCTCAAAAAAAATTCAGTGAGTTCCCGGGCCATTCTAAGGCCTTTAGAAATTTTCCACGATCTCAAAAAAAATTCAGTGAGTTCCCGGGCCACTCTAAGGCCTTTAGAAATTTTCCCCAGGCTTAAGAAAAATTCTGTGAGTTCCCGGGCCACTCTAAGGCCTTTAGAAATTTTCCACGATCTCAAAAAAATTCAGTGAGTTCCCGGGCCATTCTAAGGCCTTTAGAAATTTTCCACGATCTCAAAAAAATTCAGTGAGTTCCCGGGCCACTCTAAGGCCTTTAGAAATTTTCCACGATCTCAAAAAAATTCAGTGAGTTCCCGGGCCACTCTAAGGCCTTTAGAAATTTTCCCCAGGCTTAAAAAAAATTCGGTGAGTTCCTCAGCCATTTTGAGACTATTAGAAAATTGGCTTGAAGTTTTCAAAAAATTCAGAACCATATTACGCCACTATAAGAGCCCTTCGAAGATCTAGATATTTTTTTGGAAAAACGTTGCAATTGTTTTATCGTCCTGTCTTCTGATGAATTTCATAACTTTAAAATTCAAATATTCTCTTCATTGTGTTGGAAATAATTCGAAACTATGTAGTGAGGTAATTTTGCGACTTCTAATGAAAATTGCATGTTTCATTTGAAAAATCGTACGAGCCATAAATTTTTCTCCATATTAGGTCAACTTATGCATCTATTTCATACAAATAATCAATTAAAATGCCACCATACTCTCAACTTATAGGCATTCTTTTCATTATAATACAGAAAAGTGAAAAATATCTTGGCAGACCTGCGGCAGATCTGCCAAAATTCCATAACTTCTGCCGCACTCCTGCGGAAGTCATGCCAACCTCGGGATATCTGCCGCACACCTGCCGCACATATACCAGAATTTCGCTGTGCCTTCCAATCAGGCAACCCGCCTTCTTTTGTGGGTTCGAGCCCCACTCGGAAAAAATTTTTCCCTATATCGAGTAATGCAGATTTTCGGAAATTTTGTTCCTTTCTCCCCAAAATTGCGAAAATTCGACATTCCAACGCGGCAAAAAAGAAAAAAGAAGAAGGAATAAAAAGAGCTCAAAAATAATGAGAAAATCAAGAAAATATCCTGCGTGACCCATGAACGAAAAAGCCTGATTCTTCAGATGCTATTGGCATTGTTTAAGAATTCCTAATTCCTAACGGGCCAAGAATATTATTCAAGTCTTCAATACGAAAAAAAAATATTAAAGGGTTGGTGCTTTCTTGGTGAAAAAATCGTCTGCAAAAAGGCGTAACAGTGTTGTTTTCAAAGTTGTGTGCAAACACACACACGAAAATTCAAAAACAAGTTGTGCGCTAGAGCGCATTTACATGCTTTATTTCGTAGGTTTTAACTCGCTTGTGTTTTTGAGGAAAAACATGGGCTGAATTGATACTACAGTCCTCCACATAATCTTAGCCTCACCCCCAAAATTTTCGAAAAATCGAAAATTTGATTTTTTCAGAAAAAGTTGGCATAGTCAAAATATGTCAAAAGGTGATACATAAATGTACCCTACTTCGAATTTCAGATAAAAATGAGGCTGAAATAAAAAGTTGACTTTTTTGAAAAATAGGTCTTTTCACTTTCCACATAATCTTAGCCTCACCCTAAAAAATTGCTGGAATTTCAGGTTTTTGGCTTGAAATGAGTTTGGAATGAGGCTGAAAATGATAGTTAAATCAATTTCAGATAGAATTGAGATGTAATCAACCACTATTGATTGATTAACAGTGACCGAGAGCGCTGATAGCGTGAAGACTTCCATGAAAACAAGTTTTCAGTCGAAGTTGGTCCAAAATTCGATTATTTCGAGCTTAATTTTCAGAAAATTGGTAGAAAACACTTTTTCAACATAATCTGTCAAATTCTGACCCGAATTGCAAAAAAATTTGAATTTTAGCTGATTTTTCGAAAATTCAGAAATTTTTTTTAACCAAAATTTTTGAGTTTCAGCCAAATTTCCGACATTTTTCTGAGTTTTACAGTTGGATATTCTTGTTCAGGCAAGATACTGATCTCTTACAACTGAAATAAGCTTATTCTTCAATAGGGCGCTCTGAAATTGTGAGATATCGGTCATATCTGATCCAAAGTTTCAGATCAATTTTGAGAAAAACAGTTTACTCTTGTAATTTCTGAAAATTTCAGTTTAAATGTGTGATAATGGTTAAAAAACTGACAGAAACTAATAACTGACTTCAATTAAACAATTTGTGTCCAAATGTTCAACCAGGAAAGCTCCTCAATGTTGGGTTAAAAAATTTTCAAAAATTCATCAAAGTCAGGTTTCAGTCTTTCACCTGATTCTTACTCCATTTTTGAATTTCTGAGTGTCAGAATTCGAAAAATTATCAGAATTAACGTGTTTTCGTAGAATCAAGAATATCCAACTGTAAAACTCAGAAAAATGTCGGAAATTTGGCTGAAACTCAAAAATTTTGGTTAAAAAAAATTTCTGAATTTTCGAAAAATCAGCTAAAATTCAAATTTTTTGCAATTCGGGTCAGAATTTGACAGATTATGTTGAAAAAAGTGTTTTCTACCAATTTTCTAACAATTAAGCTCGAAATAATCGAATTTTGGACCAACTTCGACTGAAAACTTGTTTTCATGGAAGTCTTCACGCTATCAGCGCTCTCGGTCACTGTTAATCAATCAATAGTGGTTGATTACATCTCAATTCTATCTGAAATTGATTTAACTATCATTTTCAGCCTCATTCCAAACTCATTTCAAGCCAAAAACCTGAAATTCCAGCAATTTTTTAGGGTGAGGCTAAGATTATGTGGAAAGTGAAAAGACCTATTTTTCAAAAAAGTCAACTTTTTATTTCAGCCTCATTTTTATCTGAAATTCGAAGTAGGGTACATTTATGTATCACCTTTTGACATATTTTGACTATGCCAACTTTTTCTGAAAAAATCAAATTTTCGATTTTTCGAAAATTTTGGGGGTGAGGCTAAGATTATGTGGAGGACTGTATAATTTTTTCTAAAACTGGAACCTTCCAGGAGCACCTTATTCCTACCTAAACCAAACAAGATTCCCTGGCGGAGCACCAACCCTTTAAATAAGTTTTTTTTTTGAAAAATTTATTGATGACGTCATCCATGGCAAAATTAGGAAGCCTTCCTAATTTTGCCACGAATCATTTTTTGATCAAAAATTTCAAGATTTTTCATGAATTCAATTGTAATTCGTGTGATTTACCTCGACCCGAGTTTTTCGACCCGAGTTTTTTTTTAAGTGAAAAAAAATCGGCCCGAGTTTTGTTTGACAAAAATACCCGCCCAAATGAAAATTTCGATTTGAGCGGGTAGCTGACAAAAATTGAAGTTTTTATTTTCGTGTATACAGTCAACAAAAAAAGTAACAGATTTGGAATAATCCAAAAATGTAAACATGAAATCGATGAGTTGCGACCTAAATGACACTTCCTCTCAGGCTTAGGCTTAGTAAACAACGCAGAACCAACTTTGAAGCTAAAAAAATTGAAAGAAAATTTTTAACACTGTTAAAAAAACGAGAAAATTTAGAATTTCATCCAGAAATGAAATTATTGTCTCCAAACCGAAATTTCTGTTTGGAGACGGTAATGTCTATAATTATGCAAATAAAAAAAGAGATTCAATTATGTTTTATGAAAAATAGTTTGATGACTTTATCCATGGCAAAATTAGGAAGCCTTCCTGATTTTGCCACGAATCATTTTTTGATCAAAAAACTTGAAATTTTTCATGAATTTGTTTTCCACAGAAAATTGAAAATAATCACAGAAAAAAGTGAAACTGAAAAAAATGAGAAGACTGTTACGCCTGGGGGCTAACAGCCCCTAGTCGAATCAATAATATTTTCTCAAACTGGAACACTGGAATTTTTCACTGAAAAGTTGCTTTACAATTAGAGTTCTATTTTTCCGAACATGTAAGCTTATTGTAAATTGTGAAAAATAATTTATTTTTAGTAAAAATGTATTTATTGAAAATATCACAAAATTTACTGATTCGAATTTTTCGAGAATCCAGACCTTTTTCGTATCCTTTTTGCTCTTTGATTGTTCCACTTCCTCATTGATTTTCCGGATTTTGGCTGAAAATAAGTTTATGAAGAATGTGTTTGCGAGATTGTCATTGAAAAAACTAACATTTTTCTCCAAAAATCCTTCTTTCTTGTTCAATTTCACAGCGTACTTCGCTCATAAACATATCCAAACAGCGCCGCGATTCTGTAATATTTTCAATTCAATTTTTGGAATACGCCGTGGCTGGCGATTTTCAAAATTTGTTTTATTAGTTCTTTTTATAACTTTTTCAAAATTAAACATATACTTTGTTCCGATTAAAAAAAATACATATTTATATTTATAATATTTTTCAACTTCTCAGAACATTTCATGATCACTTAATTTCACACTCTCCGATTTATTGTTTTCATTTTCTTTTTCAGTTCTTATTAAATATTTTTCTATCAAAAAATCTCACAGTTCTTTAGTGAATTATTTTCTAAATTTCTCAAAATTTTAAACATCGTATATTGTGTAAATTTGAACTCATTTCAGTTTGGAATTGTACAATTTTAAACTTTTCTTAGAATATCAAAATTCTGAATTGAGATTCAAAAAACTTTTTTTAAAATAACTTTTAACTAACCTGCTGATTTTTGAGAACAAATCGAAACGACATCACTATCGGAGCTATCATCCGAATATCTTTCAATTTGATCAAATCCATAAATCATATTATCATCAGAATATCCTTGTTGACCGGAACCCGATGTTGTTGGCAATTCTCCACCAGCGCCAAGATAAACTGATAAATCTGCAGAATATCAAAATGAAAAATTAACTGATATCGTTTTTTTTTCAAATTTATTACCCGAATCAATTGCTTTTTCTTTCGAGAAAAAATCAGCTTCAATTCCATCCAATCCATACATCACATTCTCATCCAAATATCCTTGTTTACTTGAAGCCAAATTTGTTGGAAGTTTTTCACCCGCGCCAAGGTAAACTGACAAATCTTGAGAATCTGAAAACAAAAAATTAGCTGACACTTTTTTTCTAATATTTTTCTCAATTTTATTACCTGGATCAAGTGTTCTTTTGTTGGATTTCGAGAAACTGTCACTACTAACTCCTTTATTAGAAATATATTTGGACACAAAAGCGAATTCCAACGAGTTTTTCGTTTGTTTTGAAATATTTTGAGATTGTTCAGATGCTGGCGTTTCTTCAATAACCGGAGGTTTCATGAAATATTCTGATGTTCGTTTTTTGCGATTTTTCGGAACTTTATCGCATTTGGTAAAATAATCTCGCAAGTTTATTACTTTCTTCTCGGGGAAAAACTCATATTGATCAGCATCATCTTTTTTCATATTATGATTTCCATCCTTTTCGGGTTTTTCTTTTTCCGAACTTCCGGATTTTGTCGCATCGAACCCATATGGCTTACATAACCATTCTTCCATCGCATCAATACTCTCATTTTTTCCCGCAACCTGACCAGATTTTTTTGAACATAATTTCAAGAGTTTTTCTAAATCTGATGCTTGATATACCTTCATCATTTTGTTGCCAATTTCGAATTCTTTTTGTTCTTCCGAATTTGCTCGAATATCCGACATTTCGCGAAGATTTGGATCTGCTCCATCTTTATCAACTTCATCTCGAACTGTTTCAGCCGCTCTTGAATTATCCGAAATTGTTTGAGCATTCGCATCATTTGCCTCATCATCTTCCGAATTTGCTCGAATATCCGACATTTCGCGAAGATTTGGATCTGCTCCATCTTTATCAACTTCATCTCGAACTGTTTCAGCCGCTCTTGAATTATCCGAAATTGTTTGAGCACTCGCATCATTTGCCTCATCATCTTCCGAATTTGCTCGAATATCCGACATTTCGCGAAGATTTGGATCTGCTCCATCTTTATCAACTTCATCTCGAACTGTTTCAGCCGCTCTTGAATTATCCGAAATTGTTTGAGCATTCGCATCATTTGCCTCATCATCTTCCGAATTTGCTCGAATATCCGACATTTCGCGAAGATTTGGATCTGCTCCATCTTTATCAACTTCATCTCGAACTGTTTCAGCCGCTCTTGAATTATCCGAAATTGTTTGAGCATTCGCATCATTTGCCTCATCATCTTCCGAATTTGCTCGAATATCCGACATTTCGCGAAGATTTGGATCTGCTCCATCTTTATCAACTTCATCTCGAACTGTTTCAGCCGCTCTTGAATTATCCGAAATTGTTTGAGCATTCGCATTATTTGCCTCAGCTCGCTTTTTGAACTCATCCTCTCTATGCTTTTTCCACGCTGCTGAATTCAATCTTGCCAACGTTTTACTTTCAGATGGAATAAATGCATTTTTCATTTCGTCCGAAATCTTCTTGTATTTCTTTTTGATTGGATTTGTTCCTGGAAAAAAGTGGTTTTCAGAATGTTGATAACATGGAAAAAAAACCTTTCTCTTCTTCCTTTTTCCGTTTTTTTGGAGATAAACTATCCATAGCAGTAGCGGCCAATACTGAATGGGTCCCACTGAAAGGGACCGGTGTCAGAAAAAGGGACCGGTTTTAGTAGAGTCTGAAAGGGACCGAACAATAGAAAAATGAATGACTGAATGGGGCCGATAAAATAAAGGGACCGGGATAAGAAAATAGGGAAAACTGAAAGGGACCGGGGCAAAAAGGGACCCGTTTATTATTTTTAAAAACAAAATAATTCTGCTGAGTGGGATCGGAGTAAAAAAGGGACCCGATTGAATTTCAATAAAAACTGAAAGGGACCGGCGAACAATTATGATAACTACATATCAATTTTGTTTGTATTAAGTTTATGTAAAAATATCTTGTCAATTTTAATTCTACGATTTTCCAGACTCATAAGACCAAACTCAGTATTTCTAGTTTCATTAAATTTGTAATCCTTCTCATCTAATAAATCTCCCTTTAATTCTAAAAAATAATTTTCTAGTGAAGTTGTTTTGGGCACTTTCTATAATTTGTTTCAATTTTTCGTAGACGGCGATGTTACTACTGTTCCATGTTTATATAGTTACGTTTTCGATGAGATTCCCCAGCAAAATTCTAATATTTCATCAGGAGTTCTGACAGTTTTCTCTATGAAATTTTGAAATGTGAAAAAACAGATTTCTGATAGTATTTCCGACTTTTTTTGCCGAAACTTCCCAAAAGTCTGCTCTGCGTATGCAAAAAAGACATTCTATTTCACAGCTGACGCGGTTTTTTGACATGTGCAAGGTGCGAAAAAAAAATTTGAAAGGTGCGAAATTCTACTAAAGTTACCATATTTCTTCAAGCTGAATTTTGGTAAAATTTCCAATTTGGCGCCAAGAATATCTAGGGGAAATAACCTCAAAGCTAAGCAAATGTCCTAAACTTTTTCTCAGGTGATGACCCCTCCACGGGCCGATTACCTCTGGCATGTGACGTATGAATTCAAGAATAAATGTTTCTGAAAATGATCCATGAAAAAGAAAAAAATGCATGAGATGAACGCTACTTACTCATCACTTTTCATTTCTTCAAAACAGAACTTTGTTTCAAAAACATTGTTTAAAAATCATGAAAAAATGAACTTGAACCCAGAGTAGTTATCATAATTGTTCGCCGGTCCCTTTCAGTTTTTATTGAAATTCAATCGGGTCCCTTTTTTACTCCGATCCCATTCAGCAGAATTATTTTGTTTTTAAAAATAATAAACGGGTCCCTTTTTTCCCCGGTCCCTTTCAGTTTTCCCTATTTTCTTATCCCGGTCCCTTTATTTTATCGGCCCCATTCAGTCATTCATTTTTCTATTGTTCGGTCCCTTTCAGACTCTACTAAAACCGGTCCCTTTTTCTGACACCGGTCCCTTTCAGTGGGACCCATTCAGTATTGGCCAGCAGTAGCTTGTGAAAATCGACTGAAAGCTCCAGAATTGAAAAGGTTGGCCACCAGATTGATGCCAACATTGTCTGTTTTTTCCGTCGTATCAGTGTTCTTCGGGTTTTCGCTGGATTTCTGCGAATTAGAATCGCCCATATTGATGTTACTGAAAGAAAAACGAAAATATAGCATTGATCAAAGTTATTTATCAAGTTATTATTCGGTTTTTCATTGAAAAACCAAGAAAAACGGAAAAAAATGGAAGAAAAAAACAAAAAAACGAAAACAAATTATTTGTAACCTGGGAGAAATACACGAGTGTGCACGAGAAGTTGAAATTATCATTAGAGCGCACAAGGTTGTTTGATATTTTTTTTCGGCTCCTGCGGGAGAAAAATTTCGTTTTTTTCGTTTTGTTTCTTTTTTCGGTCAGTCTCCTGTTCATCAATTCAGCAGGATGAACAATACTTCATTTTCCTCTTCTTCACTAGAGCTCATTCGAAAAAAATATTTTTATTAAAAACTCTTTATAAGATTTTCATATGAATTAAGAAATAATATCGGATCGGCTCGAACCGTGGAAAGAATTTCAAAATATAAAACTCCAACGACAAGCTTCATTATAAAAATTAAAAAATTCAACAATTTTCCCAATTTTTTTCAAAAACATGAGACATACAAATAAAGTGAGGTTTTGAGTTAACAAGAACATTTTCCGAAAACTTTGTTCCAAAAATTTTCAACCATTTGATAAAATCTTCAGTATTTTTCGGAATTTCAACTGCTTCAATTAAACTATTCAATTCCATTTCACAAAAGCGACAAAAATTCTTGTTTTCGACTCGGTTTTCAGATTCCATTTTAATCGATTGATTTGCCTGCAAAAATTTAAGATCTCTTTTGGTCCACAAACTTTTCAAAGACCACATACCCTTGTCGAGGAGCCTTCATAACTTTGATCATTTATAAACTCTTCTTCATTTTTAATATTCATAATTTCTGCATCTTCTTTCACAATAGCTTCGACTTCATAATCTTCATTTTTCGGAACATTCATCAATAAATCGTTGATTTCTTGAAAATAACAATTATCTTCATTTTTTCCATTCGGAAATTGTTGTTTTGTTCGATGTTTGAAATTTCCATCGAAATGTGATCGACAAATATATCCATGCTTAACTTTCTTCATATTTTCAGAAAAACGAGTTCCAAGTATTTCGATCCATTTTTCACGAACACTTCGATCATAGGGAATTCGTGTCAAAAATTCTTGTTTGAGACTCTCTTCGCAATAACAACATTTATAGCACTTTTTTGGATTCGACTGAAAACACTCAATTGTACAATTGGAAAATTAGGGTTATATTTAATAACTTACTTCATCAATAACTTTTTCATCGTTTCGCAATTCATTTTCTTCTTTTTCACTCATTCGAATTGGAAGTTCTTTTTGTTTTCGTCGTTTCAAATCTCCCTCAAAATGTCTCAAACAAATTCGGCCAAAATCCTTCGATCCAACTTGATGGAACTTCTTCAAATTTTCAGCAAATCTCTCTCCAAGAATCGCAATCCATTTTGCTTGAATATTCGGAAGATATGGAACTGTAGTCGTGAATTCTCGATCGATCGATTTCTTACAATAACGACATATTATTTTTCTATGCGATTTTCTCCTGTGAATTTCAGCTCCAACCAGACTATTTGTGTTTTCCATATTTTTCTGAGAATATTGAATAATTATGGAATTGGACGAATTCAAGTGTGACAAACCGATATCTTTTGCGCAAAAAAATGAATAATGATCATTTTTTGGAGATACGGAACACGTGAAAACCCCGAAAAATATTTTTTAAATTGATTTTATAAATTTTTCGAAATTAAAAAAATAAATTAAAGTTTAAAGGGGGACTCTGAGATAAGCGCATGTTTCATTCATCCTAAAGCTATTCCGTTTATCATTCTCACTCCGCTTGAGAAAAAATATCGAAATTTTGTGTGTGAGAAAGAAAAAAAAGAAAAAAATCTGTGAACATTTCTGGCACGCGAGCTTGCGCGCTCTAATGACAACGGCGGAAAAAATAAGATTCAAACTGTTTTTCTCTTTTTTGCAGTAATTTCTCACAGAAACCAGAAGAAACAGGATTAAATTAGTGGTTTTCGTGAATTTAGAACGTGAATTATATAAAAAAAAATAAATTTTGAATGAAATTTCATTAGAAATCGGCAGGAATCAGTAAATTTGTGAAATTAGGCGATGATATATTTTAATCTAGTTGTTTTGAGCTGAATTTTGAAAGGAATGTTGCTTATTTCTATGGAATATTACTGAATTCTACGTTTTTCTGTTTTATTCCATCATTTCCCAAACAAACACACTGCGAACAACTTTTTTTGAAAAATAAAAATACGTGCGCGTCAATTAAAATGTGTGCTGTGCACAAACACACAAGGCGACGCAAAACTACACACCACTTTTTCAGATTATTTCGGTGACCCCCTTTAACTACTGTAGATTTGCTACGAGACCTGTCCCTTCTTACACATGCGCCTTTAAAGAGCACCGTAAGTCCACACATTTTTAAATTTTTTTTATTTTAGGAAGAGAATAAAGAAAATAAAGCTCTTTCACGGTGCGCTTTTCTTCACGTCGCCTGAACAAAAAGACCGTCGAGAAATTTTTAGGAGAGGAGAGAAAGCGCGCTCCATCGCACACAATTTTCTCATTGCGCCATCATCTTTTCTCAGCAATCCGTTCCGTAATTACATTGTAGAAATAGCGTTTCTGTAACGAGACTAGGGTTCCGATGTAATTACAAACTGTTAATTTTCAATGTTTGTAATTACATCGGAACCCTAGTCTCGTTACAGAAACGCTATTTTTACAATGTAATTACGGGACGGATTGCTGAGTTCACTTGTTTCCTCTCTTTCTCTGACCTTTTTTCTGCTTCTTTTTCCATTTTTTTCTCGACGGCTGCTCGCGTAAAGGAAAGCGCGCCGTGCTTTTCGAAAACAAAAAAAAAAGGGTTTTTGAGAAGAAAATAAAATAGAAAGAGGAAAATGATGAAGGGGTTGAGAGAAAATAGAGGGTTTTGAAGAAAATAATGGGCTTTGTGTTGTTTTTTTTAGAGAGAAGGGGATTCAACAATATTTATCTGAATTCTACAGAACAAATATCTCAAAACAATTTAAATATCAACAAAAAAACTTTATTGTTCTTAACAAAATCACAAAATTCAAAAATGTTCCAAATATCTTTCAAAAACATGAGACATGCAAATAAAATGTGGTTCTGGATGTTTGGCGATATTTTCTATGAATTTTTCACCATAAATTTCATACCATTTCAATAAATCTTCAGCATTTTTTGGAACTTCAATAATTTCAACTGAACTTATTTCAGTTTCACAAAATCGGCAGAAACTGTTTGGATTTTCAAGTTTTATTGGCAACAATGCATCCATTTCAATTGTTTCGGGCTCTTCTCTTTTAACTTCCAATAATCCATTTTTGATTGAATCCAGGTGATCAACCATGAATTTTTCTTGATCCTCTTCATAATCCATATTTTCAAATTCTTCATTGATATTTCTCTCCTGAAAACAATCATTTTTATCAAGGAGATTTGTATCTCCAAAAAACTTACAAATTGAAAATCTTCTTTTTCATTTTTTGGAAGATTTCCTAATGAATTATCAAATCCAATTTCAAGTTCCCCCTCTTCCTTTTCATCGTTCATTCTAAATGGAAATTGTTTTTTTCGATGCTTCACAAATCCTTTGAAATGGGCGGAACAAATGACAGAATATTTTAATTTTTTGACACTTTCGGCAAAACGATCTCCAAGGATCTCGATCCATTTTTCTCGAACATTTTGATTACGCGGAACTCGTACTGTATCTATTTGTCTAACTCTTTTCTCGCAATAACAACATGTTCTAATTCGTTGTGAAGATGGCTGAAAATATTCGAGTTTACATTTAAAAAAAATAGTGTTTTCTTATTTAACTCACTTTACCAATACCAATTTCCTCTTTTTCTTTTTCAAAATCTTCTTCATCCATTGGAATCGGAAGTGCATGCTTATTTCGAAATGTGATATTTCCTTCAAAATGTGTCATACAAATGCGGCCAAAAAAAGATCCATTTTTATTGTATTTTTTAATTTTTTCTGCGAATCGTGGTCCAAGAACTTCTATCCATTGTACACGAATTTCGGAAGTTGATGGAACATTAGTCATATATCTTTGTTCAGTCAATTTTCCGCAATAACAACATCTTGAATTATTCGTGTTTGCAGGTGATCTCTGTTTCGATAATCCTCCAATTTCTTGATGTGTCATTCCAGCCTCAACTTTTATATTCAATTACACTAATAAAAAATTTACATATAATATCGGATCAAACCGTATTCAAATGATATTTTAAAAAATTTGAAACTTTATTATTCCTTACAAAATTCAACAATTTTCCCAATTTTTCCTAAAAACATGAGACATACAAACAAAATGAGGTTTTGAGTTTCTTAAAATATTATCCGAAAACTTTTTACCAAAAACTTCTAACCATTTGATAAAAACATCAGCATCTGTTGGAATTGGAATAGTTTTGATTGAACTGCCCAATTCAATTTTACAGATTCGACAATTTTGTCGATTTCCAGTCCCGATTTGATTTGTCTCAAAAATGTGTCGTTGTACTTCTCGTTCAATTTCTACCACATCGTTGTCCTGGAAAAATGTATGATATTTTTTAAAAAATCAAAAAAAAAAAACAAACTTCTTCAATTATTTCGAAATCCTCCATTCTAACTGGTAATTGATTTCTTTGATATTTAAGGTATCTTTTGAAATGTGTTCGACAAATACAAGCATTTTTAATCTTTTCCAAATTATCGGCAAAACGATTTCCAAGGATATCGATCCATTTTTGACGAACACTCAGAATAGACGGCACACGTGTCGTTTCTTCTTGTTTCACACTTTTCTCGCAATAACAACATTTTCGAAAGGCAGATGGCTGAAAATTTTATATTTAAAAAGGATTTATTCTAATTATAACTCACTTTATCATCATTTGTTTCTTTTTCAAAATCTTCTTCATCCATTCGAATCGGAAGTTCATACTTTCTTCGATTTGCGAAATTTCTACTAAAATGTGTGATACAAATTCGACCTCCATTTTTATTGTATTGATTAACATTTTCAGCAAATCGTGGTCCAAGAATCAAAATCCATTGTACACGAATTTCAGGAGATGTTGGAACATTAGTCGTATATTTTCGTTCTACTGATTTTTCACAATAACAACATCTAAATTGTTTTGTGTTTGGATGTGCTCTTGGTTTCGATAATCTTCCAATTTCTTGATTTGCCATTCCAGTTTCCTAACTTATATTGAAATTACAAAAATATAAAAAGTTCACAAATAATATCGGATCAAACCGTATTCAAAAGATATTTCAAAAATATTTTTATTATTATTTTAAAAATTTCAAAATTCAACAACTTTCCCAATTTTTCTCAAAAACATGAGTCATACAAATAAAGTGAGGTTTTGAGTTTTTAAAAATGTTATCCGAAAACTTTTTGCCAAAAACTTTCGACCATTTGATAAATTCATCAGTATTTTCTGGAATTTCGATTGTTTTGATTGAAGTTTTCAATTCTATTTCACAAATTCGACAATTTTGTCGATTTTCCGTCTCAAAAAATTCGCCCTTTTTCTCTTTTAACTGTCAATAATCCATTTTTCTCGATTTCCACCACATCGTTGTCCTGAAAAATGAATGATATTTTTGAAAAAAAAAACAAAAATCATACCATTTCCAGTGAATTTTCAACTTGACCATTTATTTGATTTTCATAATCCATTTCTTCAAGTTCTCCATGATGACAGTTTCTTTGCTGGAAACATTCATTTTACAAAATTTCTAATTTATTTCCCAAAAACTTACAATAATTTCAACTTGTTCATTTTTCACTACATTTGCCAATAAATGATTTTTTCCAGTATTTTCATAAATTATTTCGAAATCCTCCTCTTCGTCTTCCTTTTCCTCTTCCTCGTCTTCTACCTCTTTTTCATTCTCATTTCCTTCCTCCATTTTAACAGGTAATCGATTTCTTAGACCTTTAACGAATCCATTGAAATGTGTTAGACAAATGAAAGCATATTTGCTTTTCTTCAAATTTTCAGCGAATCTCTTTCCAAGTATCTCGATCCATTTATCACGAACATTTGGAACCAATAGAACTCGAGTCATATCATTTTGTTTCACCATTTTCTTTTCACAATAACAACATTTGTGGAAAGTATTCGAATATACCTGAAAAAAGGGGGAATGATATAGTTTTATACAAAAAAAATTATAATTGAAACTCACATCAATATGTTTCATCTTCTTTTTTCTCGTGTTCCCTTCATGTTCACGCATTTTAACTGGAAGTTGATTCATTTTTCGCTGTTTGTTTTCCCCTTCAAAATGTCTCATAAAAATTCGACCAAAATTCTTCGATCCATTTTGATGGAATTTCTCCAAATTTTCAGCAAACTGTTGGCCAAGAATTTCAATCCATTTTGCTTGAATATTCGGAAGATATGGAACTTCAGTTGTATATTCTTGGTCGACACATTTTTGACAATAACAACATGTTACTTTACGATGCGACTTTCTTCTGAGAATTTCAGTCTCCATAAGAATTGAAATTTGTTCTGAAAGTGTTATAATAAAGAGAGGAACCCATTTTTTTTCTATTCAGAAAAAAAGAAAATAATATGTCGTCAATGTGTGTGGTGTTTGCAGAAAGAAACGCAGACACACATCAACCTACAGTACTCCGCATTTATAAATTTTTTCGTTTTATAAGGGAGAGAATATAATACCGGTCCGAACCGTATTCAAAAACAATTTTAAATTATTCAAACAAAACTTTATTATTCTTATAAACATTACAAATTCAACAATTTTTCTCAAAAAGATGAGACATACAAATAAAATGTGGCTTTGCGTTTCCAAAAACTTTTTGGCAAATACTTTCGACCATTTGATATTTAAAAAGCAGAATAACAACAACAACAAAAAATAATTAAAAAGTAAACTCAACCAAATTTCCAGTGTTCCTCACATGAGAAATACAAATAAAATGCGGTTCAAAATTATCATAAATATTTTCTCTGAATTTTCGACCAAACACTTTCGACCATTGTAAGAATTCCCTGGTTTTCTTTGGAATCTCTCTTTTCTCACTTGATGAGTTGAATATTACATTGCAAATGCGGCAAATGTTCGATGATTGTTCTCGATTTATTTCAAACTTCATTTCCAGTTCCTCGTTTGGTTTTTCAATTTCATTCGCCATCAAATTCATTTGAATCGATTGATTTATCTGAAATAATGTATTTATAGAAGTACATAATTATTTCAAGAAATATAGTTCAACTTGCCGCAACCCGCTCATTTTCCACAATTTCCGGTTCTTCTTTTTTGATTCTCAATAATCCAATTTCATTTTTATCATTAATAAACTCTCCGTTTTCCTCTTCATAATCCATATTTTCCAATTCTTCATTATACATTCGATAAATTCTTTCTCTTCTGCTTCTACTTTGCTGAAAACATTCATTTTCATAAACAATTTTTATTTCCAAAAAAAAACTTACGCTAATTTCAACTTGATTATCTACTTTCTCGTTTTGCGGTACATTTTCTGGCGCATTTTCAAATCTTGGATTTTCATTAATTGTTTCAATTTCATACTCCTCTTCCTCTTTTTCCTCTTCATCTTCATCAAATTGATCTACTTTCATTTCTTTTTCTTTTTCTTCTTTCTTTTCATTTTCTTCATTCATTCTAACAGGTAATTGATATCTTTTTCGATGATTCAAATTTCCTTCGAAATGTGTGAGACAAATCACAGCTTTCTTAATGTTTTCCAAATTTTTGGCGAAACTTTCTCCAAGGATCTCAATCCATTTTTCACGAACATTTTGATCGACCGGAACTGCTGTCATACAATGTTCTTTTGAAAATTTTTCACAATAACAACATCTTCTTTTTTGATATTTCTGAAAATAATCGAGATGAAATGACGTTAGTGTTTAAATTATTAAAACCCACTTCGCTAATAGACTTTTTCTGTGTTTTAACTCTAGCCATTTCTTCTTCTTTTTCACTCATTCGAATTGGAAGTTGTTCAGGTTTTCGGCGTTTAAAATTTTCTTCAAAATGTGCCAAACAAATTCGCCCAAATCCCGTTCCAATGTTATCATATTTCTTCATATTTTCGACAAATATCGGGCCAAGAATATCCATCCATTTCGCTCGAATATTCGCAGAATATGGAACTGCAGTCATATGTTTTTGGTCAACCCTCTTGTTACAGTATTGGCACATAAGAAAGCGTTTTGCAGAAACTTGAGGTTCCATTATTCACCTACAATAATTTTGATTTTCAAAAAAAAATTTCTCTAGTAAGAAGTTAGACAGATAAAATTGGATCAAACCGTAATCGTAATGGTTTTTTCTAAATATTCAACTCATAACAAGAAAAACAAACTTATTCTAACAAAAAAATCAATTCGCGAATAGCTTCATCCTATAAAGCACTTTTAAGCTCAAAATTTTGAAAACGCTGAAAAAAAAAACAGAAAAAATGTGTCGTCAATGTGTGTGGTGTTTGCACAACGCAATGCACACAAACACAAACCTACAGTACCCCAAGGAATTTTATTTCTAAAATTCACGCGAGAAAAAATAAAGAATCTTAGAACGTGACCATTATCTGATTTAAAAATCATTTCAAATTTTTTCCGGATTTCAAAATGCCCTACATTTTCGATTTTCCTTCTCAATTATTCTTCAAAATCACAACTAAAAGTTAAATTTATTGATAAAATTACAGATTAAATAATTTTGGTTAATCCAGAGGGCAATACAAGGTGATACTTTTATGTTGGAAAATTCCAAGTTTATAGTTCTGAAAAAAATAAATTGAAATCAGAATAGTCTATCAAAAAAGCCTTACAAATCTTTCTTTATAATGCACCTCAATCGATATTTTACCATAAGAATAAATGACTGTGAAATCGAATTCATCATTTTTCTTCAATTTGAAATTGGATATTTTGAATGAGTTCTGTAAAAAATGGAGCAAGTTAGGAATCAAAAAAAAAACTTACAAGCTGGTTTTCTCCGCCAACCAATCCTGCAAATCTTCTGAAGAAATCATAAATTTCCGGATTTTTTTCATCAAAAACAACTTGTTTTTCACAAATCTCGATTATTTCGAATTTTTTCACTGATTTCATTGTATCCCATTGTCTGAAAAATCAGAATTATGACTGAAAATCTATCTGAAAACTCACAATTGACTAATTTCGTTTGCAAATTTCATGGTTGAATTTTGATCAATTTCAAAAAAATGATTATATCCGAAAATTGGATGATTCAAAATTATTCGCGAAGTTTTCCAGGTTGAAATTTGCTAAAAAAAAACAAAAAGTTTTTTCAAAATCAAAAAAAAGTGTTTACCTTCACAATTTCAACATGAAAACTCCATTTTAAATTTTCCGGATTCGAATTGAAAGAAATTCGAAAAACTGTGTGATCCAGGTTTTGAGTGATAATGAAAAATGTTTGATTTTGTGATTTCGAAATTTTTTCGGCAAAGGTTTTCAAGAATTCGAGGGCAGACTCTGAAGAAAAGATTGAGTTATGACGTGGCAAAAAAAAATTATTGAATTTTTGATTTTCAGATCTCAACAGTGTTCTGAATATTCAAAAATTTTTGTGATTTTTTCCAAAGGCTTAAATTATTGTTCGCCACGTCATAACATAAACCTCTCTCCTGTATTTTCACATTTCCTCCAACTTGATAAATAATTTCAAAATCATCTGTGAAATATGAAAATTCCTGATAAGTTTCCCTTTCCAAAATTCTGTAACATTTTTTCTCCACATATTTTTTTCTGCCACACTGAACTTACACATCTGAAAATCCTGCGATAAATTTTTCAGCATTCTCAATTCCAGTTTCCGCTTCCCCATTTCCCCGCCAAATATTCACCAAACTCGAATTCGAGCTCTCAAAACTCTCCAAATCATAACAATCTCCATCAAAACTAATATGAGTCACTAGATATCTTGCACTTTTCACATCAACACTTCTCCGAACTTCCACAAAAATCTTCTTTGTTATTTTCCATCCCATTTTATGTGTCAATTCAACATTGACAAAAAATTTGATGGCGTCATTTGTGTACATTTTTTCATTTTCGAAGTGGAATGTGATTTTAGACACAGTAGATTCTGATTTCTTGGGATTTTTCAAATATTTGGAATTTTCGAATTTGATATAGTTGTAGAGTCCAAGGGTTTGATTTTGATGGACTGAAAAAAAATAATTTTATTAATTAATTACACTAATTAAAAATTACTGTAGCTACATAGATAATTTTGAAGTGAATTTTTAAAAATAACTCACAAGTCTTTAAGTTCTCCTCACAAATTTTCAAATTCAAAGTTCCTAAATATTGTTCCAAGTTCTCAAATGATCTCTCAAAATCATCGCTAAACAAATTAGCCAACCTAAAATCATTAATTAGCTAATTAATTATGAAATTAATCAATAAAAAACCCACGCTTTCGGCACATTTTCCAGCATTTTTTCCACGTGGAACTCATCGTTTTCCGGATTTTCCGCGCGGATTTTATAAGCTTCCGTGTGCCGCATTGAAATATGAGCAATCATTGGATTTTGCATGAGAAGGTGAAAAGCCTCTTGGGTGAAAATGGTGGAAATTTGGAAATTAATAATTTGGAGAAAAATCTGGATTTTCATTTTCATTTTTGAAATTGAAAATTCAAAAAATTCTTCTTTTTCAAAAATATGATGTCTAGACAAATGATATTTTTCGGGGAAAAAAAGAGGATTTCCCCAAACCAAAATTTATTAAAACAAGAAAAAGTGCGTATAAAAAAACAAGAAAACAGTGTTCAACAAAAATAAAAAAATAGTAAATTATTCACAACAAATTGGTCAATTGAGTTACCATATCTTTCAAATGACACATGCAAATATAATGGGGTTCCTGGTTTTTGACGACGTTTTCCGCGAAATCCATGCCCAAAATATCGAACCATTTGTAGAGTTCGCGCATTTCGCGCGGCACCAACGTCATCAATTTTTCCTCGTTTGTGTAGACTTCGCAGACGCGGCATTGGAAATTGAGCAAATTTTGATCGTCTCGTTGGCGAGCCGCCATTTGGCCTCGATTTCTATCGAATCCTTCCATATTTTCGATTTTGATCTCTCTTTGGAGTAATCCACCTGGATTTTGCGGCTGAAAAATATTGGAATTTTTTGAGCAAAAAATAGAAAGCATTGATTTTTCAATTCAAAAAATTTGAAAAATGTAAGTTAAAGTTTGGTATTTCTTAAAATTAGGCCATGAAAATCAGGTTTTTGAGTTTCTAGGCCTCCAAAAGCAGTACTTGGATTTCTAGGCCACCGATAATAGTATTTCCGGATTCCTAGGCCAGAAAAAGCATTATTTCTGGGTTTCTAGGCCATCTGAATCTTGTATTTGGGTTTCTAAGCCACCAAGAACAGTATTTGGGTTTCTAGGCCTCCAAATGTATATTTATCATTTTCTAGCCCATCAAAATTGGATTTCTAGGCCACCAACACCATATTTCGGTTTCTAGGCCACCAAAACTATATTTGGTATCCTAGGCCACCAATTTTCTCTACCTCAAAACAAAACCTCACCACAACTTGTCTAACCGGTGCTGGAACATAATGAACTCTCGCAACATTATCATTTCTTCGCTGATCCTCCTGATCTTCTTCTTCCTCTCTAACTGGAAGATGATTCGGTTTTCGGGGTCCATTCAAATTCTCGAAATGACTTCGGCAAATGCGATTGTTCAATTTATTCTTCACATTCTCCCCAAATTTTTTGCCAAGAATTCTGATCCATTTATTCAACATTGTCTTGTTTTCCGGGCAAACTGTTAAGAGTTTTTGATCGCGTGTTTTTCCGCAATATCTGCATGTCATAAATCTAACGTTCGTCGTTGACATCTGCAAAAAAAGGCGTTTTCGAGTGGTTAAATTGAATTTGGCTACTTTTTTTGCAACCCTCGCACACATTTCCTTGAGTAAAAAGTGTTTCAATTCGGCTTTTTTTTAAATTAAAATTTGTGAAAAGTCAAGGTTCATCAAAATTTTCTAGGATAAAATTTCAGCTTTTCAAAGGTCTCCAAAAACTTTGATTTCTGAGTCCTAAATTTTGGCTCTCAAAGTTTTTCAAATTAAATATTCTCGGAGCTTTTCAGCTACCATTTTACCAACCAAAAATGAAATAATCAAAAAATCTCGCAAAAATAATTAATTATTATTAAAAATCAATAGCTATTCACATAGATAAAACTCGCAGAAAACAATTAGTCAAATGCAAAAATCTCTCAAATGATTTGAGCAAATGAAATGCGGTGCTGAATTCTCGACAATATTCTCCACAAAATTCTCGCCCAAAATCTCGAACCATCGAAAAAGTTCCGCACATTTTTTCGGCACTTCTCTCATCACTTTTTGATCGGCTCGAATTGAGCAAATTCGGCATTGAGCAATTGTGACGATTTTTAGTTTTACTGGCAACAAATTTGATGTTCCCTGGAAGAAATTGGGAATTTTAATTAATTAGTAGAGTAGAATCACATACCAAAAATTGGTTTTTATTCTGATTTTCATTTTCTTTTTCTGCTTCTCGAGAAGTTGTTGGAAGATTTTGAGCCAAATAGCTGTCACCTTCGCTCTGAAAAATTCGAATTCAGAAACTTTTGGTGCCAAAAATCAACAACAAAATCATACCATATACATATCATCTTCAAATTCCTCCTCTTCTTCTTCCTCAAAATCTTCCCCCAATTTTCCAACTTCTTCCAATTTTTCATCACTCGTTCTAAAAGGCATTCCAATTGCACGTCCTTCCAAATCAAATCGCTTGAAATGATTTTTGCAAATGAAATTCGTCCTCAATTTCATGATATTTTCAGCGAATTTCGGTCCAAGAATTCGAATCCATTCGGCCAAATCCCTTTGACATTCGGTAACTCGACGCATTTCTTTTCGAGGGCACGATTTGTCGCAATAACGGCACTTTGATTTTTCGTTTGCTCGTTTTCTGCGCTGCTGGAAATATTGCAACTTTTTTGCAATGAAAAATCGAATAATATTACATTTTTGAAAAAAAATGCAAACAAAAAGAACCAGAGAATTCTTTTTTTATAGAAAATATCTCATTTTTCGGGAACGTTTTTAGAGCTTAAAATTTTGAATGAGAAAATTAAAGAAATTATTTTTCTCTTCGAAATTTATATTTTTTTGAACCTGATCTCTTCCATGTCACAATTTTCAAATCTCATGTTTCCCTCCCAAAAATCAAACTCCAACCATTTGTTTTTCATCTTTCATTCGACTTGGTAAACCATGTGCAACTCCATCACAATCAATAATATCAAAATGATTTCGACAAATGAAATTGGTCTGTGTCTTCTTGATATTCTCCTCGAATTTTTTGCCAAGAATTCGAATCCATTCATCCAAATCCACTTTTTCATCTGTTACTCGTTTCATTTGATTCAAAGGGCGGGAATGTGAACAATATCGACATTTTCGGAGATCGGATTTTCGAGATGGTAACATCTGAAAAATATGTGAGTTGGGGAGGAAATTGGCGGTGAAAGCTGGAAATTTTCGTTCAAAATTTGAAATTTTTGATTTTTTTTAGTCGTTTTTTAGTTCTGGGCTCATTCTAATCCTATAAATCTAAAATTTTAAGAAATACTTGAAGTTCGTTCAAACGATCTCAATAAAAATCACACACAAAAAACCAATAAATCGATAAAACTTTCAACAAACTATAAAAAATACAATCTATGGAATTGGCAAAGAATTTCTTTGTCTTTGCCCATTCGGTTTAAATTTATCAAAATGTGTCAAGCAAATAATTGAAGTCGTTTTGAATTGTGCTCCCAAAATCCATTCCCATTCTCGAATTCCTTCTTCAGATCTTGGAACGTGAGTCATTTGATTTTGTGGGAGTTTCAAGCCACAATATGAGCAAATTCGATTTCTCTGAAATTAGAAACTTTAAATATGAAGTGGAAAACCTAACGAAATTCCATGTCAAGAAGTGTCTTCATTATTTTTGAATCACCTTTCTCTCCAATTTTTTATTATTCAAAAATTCCTCATAATCTTCTGCAGCTTTCTGATTAATTCCATTTGCAACAGGTATAAAATCCAAAATTCTTCTTCTCGTATTTTTATTTTCATCATAAAAATTGTCAAAATGTGCCAAACAAATAAAAGGTTTTGAAGAACATTGGACCTTCTCAACAAATTCTTCACCAAAAACGGGGCCCCATTTTTCGAGAATTAATGGGCTGAATGGAACTATCGTCATTTCGGAAGGAAGACAATGAATATTACAATAAACACATATTCGATGAATGTTTCTGGCTCTCTGGAAAGAATAAGATTTTTTTTTGAAATCTGAAGACTTCAGGAAATCAATTCAAAATTTTGGCATAGCTTCCGCATCTCCACTGAAATTCCAATAAAAATCTGAAAACGTCTGGAATTTCAGACAAACCATATATTTGTCTGGAAATTCGATCTTTCAGACTTTTATTGGAATTTCAGAAAAACACTTGGAAGTAGAACTTGGTGACACATAGAAAAAAATGAGAAAAATTTGCTTTTGACGCGAAATTACGACCAAAACCCTCTGACCGCACGCTGACCCTCGACTCCGCCCTCTTTTTCTCTCTCAAAACTGCAATTTTGCGGCGCACTTTTTATTTTCCTTTGAAAAATGTTCGAATTCTAGAACATTCTTCTGCGTCTCTCACCCCTTTTCCGCCTGCGTATTTGAATCTGCAAACACTGCACAGCAGCAAAATATGGGCCAATACTGAATGGGTCCCACTGAAAGGGACCGGTGTCAAAAAAAGGGACCGGTTTTAGTAGAGTCTGAAAGGGACCGAACAATAGAAAAATGAATGACTGAATGGGACCGATAAAATAAAGGGACCGGGATAAGAAAATAGGAAAAACTGAAAGGGACCGGGGAAAAAAGGGACCCGTTCATTATTTTTGAAAATAAAATAATTCTGCTGAATGGGACCGGAGTAAAAAAGGGACCCGATTGAATTTCAATGAAATCTGAAAGGGACCGGCAAACAATTATGATAACTACTATGAGTTCAAGTTAATTTTTTCATGATTTTTTAACAATGTTTTTGAAACAAAGTTCTGTTTTGAAGTAATTAAGAGCGATGAGTAGAGTTCATTTCATGCATTTTTTCTTTTTCGTGGATCATTTTCAAAAACATTTATTCTTGAATTCATACGTCACCAGAGATAATCGACCCGTGGAGGGGTCATCACTTGAGAAAAAATTAGGACATTTGCTTAGCTTTGCGTTGATTTCCCCTAGATATTCTTGGCGCCAAATTTGAAATTTTACCAAAATTCAGCTCGGAGAAATATGGCAACTTTAATAGATTTTCGCACCTTTCGAATTTTTTTCGCACCTTACACATGTCAAAAAACCGCGTCAGCTGTGAAATAGAATGTCTTTTTTGCATACGCAGAGCAGACTTTTGGGAAGTTTCGGCAAAAAAAGTCGGAAATGCTATCAGAAATCAGTTTTTTACATTTTAAAATTTCATAGAGAAAACTATCAGAACTCGTGATGAAATATTATAATTTTGCTGGGGAATCTCATCGAAAACGTAACTGATGTAAAGGGTTGAAACGAACAACCAAGAGAAATAACGCTGAGCCACAAGTATGTAATCAGTTTTCAAAATGAACTCTACTCATCGCTCTTAATTACTTCAAAACAGAACTTCTCGGGAAAACATTCGCAACCTTGGCGCTAATTTGCGACTGGATTTTTCGTTGGCGCAGAAGTGCGACCGTTTTGAGCGAATGTGCGACACTTTTTTTGGTCGCAGTCGTTGGCGCAGATCTGCTTAAAAGTGTCGCTAACTATTTCAAAACCTGCGACACACTCTCTCGAAAACTCGAAATTTGAGAAAACGGTCGCAACTCATTAGCAGATTCGCGACCGCAGTCGCAAAATTAGCTCACTCGTTGCGACACGTTGTCGCAGATTCGCTGAAAATGGCCGCAAATCTGCGCCAACATGTCGCGAATCCAGCGAAACTCTGCCCGAGTTTGTTTCAAAAACATTGTTAAAAAATCATGAAAAAATTAACTTGAACTCATAGTAGTTATCATAATTGTTTGCCGGTCCCTTTCAGATTTCATTGAAATGCAATCGGGTCCCTTTTTTACTCCGGTCCCATTCAGCAGAATTATTTTATTTTCAAAAATAATGAACGGGTCCCTTTTTTCCCCGGTCCCTTTCAGTTTTTCCTATTTTCTTATCCCGGTCCCTTTATTTTATCGGTCCCATTCAGTCATTCATTTTTCTATTGTTCCGTCCCTTTCAGACTCTACTAAAACCGGTCCCTTTTTTTGACACCGGTCCCTTTCAGTGGGACCCATTCAGTATTGGCCCAAAATATGTTTTATTTTTTTCTATGTGTGGTGAGAGCAGAGACAACAAATTAAATTTGAAAAAAAAAAATCAATTTTTTGTCTGCGCTCTCTCAATTTCACATTGTCTCTAATCAAAAATAATATACTGTATTTTTTGTTTTTCTGAACAATTCGGAAACATTTTTTCCTTAGGTCTCGCCACGATTTCTACCGTACTCACTTTCCTCTTCACTTTTTCTTTTTCACAAAATTCGTCTTTTTGAACTTCTCCATCTTCCAAAATCTCTGGATTTTCCTCTTGGACCTGAAATTTGTCCCTGCAAAATTTTGTCTGGAAATTTCCAAAAAACCTCAAAAATCTCCTGTTTCACATCAACAACTACTTCTTTTTTCACTTGAATTTCAGGTTTTTTTTCAATTATAATTTTCTCCTCAATTTCCTCAAAATTCTCATTTCCCACTATTTTCGTTTCCTCAAAATTCTCCAAATGTTCAGCGCAAATAAACAACGACATTTCCGCGTTTTTCTGCGCTTTTCGCAGAAATTTCGAAGAGGGCGCAAAATTGGCCAATTCGAGAAGAATCCCTTTGGATTTCGGAGTTTGCCGCATTTCTCCTATATTTCGACATTTTCCACACAAATCACAAGTCGTTTTGGGCGAACGTATTGGTTCGAGCATTCCAGGCTGCAAAAACAACGTGTTGAAATTTTGACGTGGTGCGTTGCGTGTGCGTCGCGTGCGATTAGAGCTGCTCATGTCAAAAACTGATCAACTTTGTTAGATGTGAATATGAGTTATGACGTGGCAAATTTTGAAGAGAATTTTCACAAATTCCAACGAGACTCCGCAGTTACACTCTTCTTTTTTCTGAAATCACGAATCTTCACGCTTTGCGACGTCATAACTAATATTCAGAGTCTAGTTCTCCAGTATATAAAACCGCGACGCACACGCGCCGCGTTTCGAATTGACCTCCTTAAAGCCTCACCTCCCAACTTTCTCTAACAATTTCATTATCTCTATAAACCGGTTGATGAACTCTGCTCCTCATATAAGGACACGGTATTTCACCATACGCAATTCTTCCGCAAACATCTCTACGAAAATGCAATTTGCATATCAAAAACGGTGCAAAATCGGGATTCTGTAGATTTCTGGTGTATTGTTCGCCCAAATGTTCCTTCCAGATTTCTGCGTTTTCCGGAATTTTCAGCATTCTTGTCATAGATACCTGTTTTTTACAACAATATGTGCATTTATAAATTGGCTCATCTGGATCGATAATATCTGATGGTTCAATTGAAATGTTGATTGCTTCTGATTCTTCTGAGATTTCTATGATTCTTGTGTATTGATCTGATTTAACGATTTTCGGAGAATATATCAGATTTTCTATAACTTCAGGTGATTCTTCTGAATCTTGAAAAGTTAGGGAACTTGTATGATAATATTCAACTTCTGGTGATGGTTCCAGTTTCACTTTTTTTATCGGACAATCCTGATTTCCTCCAACTTCAGAAGCTCTTTTTTGTGTATTATTGATTGATTCAATAGATTCTTCCAACTTTGCAGGTTCGATAACTTCTTCTGATTTGACATTTTCTTGTGTATAGGAACTTTTTGATGAACTATTCCAACTTGATCTATTTGTAACTACTGGTTTTGGACGATTCTCGTGGATAGCCTGAAAATATTGAAAGTTCAAATTTTTTGGGCAAGTAGAAATGAGATATTTGTCAATCATTCCACTATTTATTTAGAAAATAAAGAGGTCAACACGTAACGTTTGAAAAAAAAGAACACTTTTCATTTCTAACTCACAAGCATGTTCTCCTTTTTCTCCAACCAAACAACTTCTTTATTTCGAAATGGCAAAGGTTTGGGATACATTCCAGTTTTGATAATGACACCATTTTGAATAAAAACCTGTGTGATATGCGACGCACAAATCATTGGATTCACAATATTTCGCGATTTTATGGCATATTCTTCACCAAGCAAAATTTGCCAAGTTTCTTGTAGTTTTTCAGTCCGCGGGAGTTTTGCCATGAAATTTCCGCTTTTCCACACTCCACAGTATATACAAAGATGTGTATTCATTCTGGAATTCGTTTTTGAAGCGATTTTCAGCGAAGAAACATGAAAATTCAAAATTTCAAATTGCCGTGAGGAATGGGGAAAGTGCGCTCTATTGTTGTACTTGGCTCGTTGCCAAGAGTGTGCAATAGAGCGCGCTTCCATTTCTACTTTTATTTTTGTTCGTTTCAAAAAAATGTTTTTTATTTCTCTGTTTTTTCTAGTTTTTCCTAACTCGTTCAAGGTATCATGGCTGCCATACATCCTCCATCCGATCCCAACGAATTTCCAACAACTGAAATCAATCGGGGCGTCTTAAGAACCATAATCGCTGCGAGACAATGTTCCGAATCGAAACTTGGTATAAATAGTGTTTCCTATTGGAAAACTGGATTATTGATGATGGCCTCAACGAATGATGATTCAATCTTGTTGTTTGATTTGGAAGGAAAGCAAAAACCAAAAGATGTTATGTGCAAAAAATATGGGGTTGCCAACACGATTTTTGCGAATGATACAAAGTTTGCACTTCATAGTAGCACAAAAAAAGATCGTAAGTTTTAATTTTTTATTGGTTTTTAAAGAAAGAAAATTGAATTTCAGATGCAATTCGATATATTTCACTGGAAACCAAGAGTTATATTCATTATTTTCCTGGTCATTCCGAAAATGTGACTGGTTTGAGTATTGCTGACGGCAAAACCCTCTTTCTATCATCATCAATCGATAAAACAATTCGTCTCTGGGATATTCGAAGTTTATCTTGTCCAGGAGTTATGGAAACCAAAGGCCAAGCAGTTGCACAATTCGATCCGGAAGGTTTAATCTTTGCGGCGGCGTTCAGAAACTCCGCGACGATAAAACTATATGATTTACGAAATTTCAAGCATGGACCATTTTTGAGTTTTGCTTTACCTGAAGATTTGACAAATGTTGAATGGAGATCGGTGAGATTTTCACAAGAGGGAAGATTGATGTTGATTTGTACGAATTCCAATAAATTGGTGTTGTTGGATGCGAGAACTGGAGCGGTTCAATGGATTTTGGAAGCACATAAGAATGATGCGGTGAGTTTTTTGGGGGATTTTTAGGGAAATTTCATTTTCATTGAAAATCAGAGTTTTGTTTGGAGAAATTTTGAAAAAAAACTTTCTTTGAAGAATTCGAGTATGAAACAGATTTATTGAATTTTTGAAAAACCGTGAAAGATTTTCACAATTTTTTGAAACGTATAATTTTTGGCTAAAATTATAGATATAAAAAAATTAGTTAGGATAACTCTGCCCCGCGTAAGCGGCACTATCTTCTGCTTTAGCGGCCACGTGGTATGTTATGACGCAGAATTTCAATGTTTTTGGTACGGTTATATCATACTACGTGTCCGCCAACGCGGAAGCTTGCGGAAACCTCCTCTCAACTCTCTGTCTTCTTCCAGAATCTCCCATTAGTCGCCTCATTTTCACCGGATTCCAAATATGTTTTCGTTGGAAGTTCGGATAAATTGATCTACGCCTATTGTACAACAACAGGAAAAACAGTTTGTAAATATCATACACCGCATTCTGCCACACCAACAATCGTTGAATGGAATCCCGTTTTTCTCTCCTTCATTTCGGCCGAAAAATCGATGGTTCTTTGGAATCCGGAATCTGAAGATAGAGTTGTTGAATGCCAGACACCAATTTATTGATTTTTTGTTGAATTTTGTAAATTTTTTGACGGGTTTTGTTGCTCGTGTCATAATAATAATAATGAAGGTTTTGTTGAATTTTGAACTTTTTTTTTGAATTTGTATCTTATCAAATTTAAAATTACCTTGAATCAGAATTGTATGGAAAAATCGATAAATTCGAACTTGCCGCCAGAAAATATAATTGAACATTTTTTTCTGAAATTCTAATAAAAATCTAAAAACTTGAATTTCCAGACAAACATGTATTGTCTGAAAATTCCAGCCATTTTCATATTTTTAGTGGAATTTCAGTGGAGATGCGGAAGCTTTGCCGAAATTTTGAATTTTCCGCGAAAGCTTCCACACCTAAGCCTAACCTTGAGAGTTAGCCTAACCCTCACAAAAATTCTGTTTTGTTTCAGATGTCATCTTCAAACCTATTCTCGTCTGAAAAAGAAAAAGAATATATAATTCCCTTTAACCTCGAAGTTGTCCAAAATTTCGAGCCAACCAAGGAATTTGCACCAGCTTCAATTTGTGTCACTGATCTATCAACATCTTCCGATGGTTTAGAAATGATTCTAGCAGCTGATGATAACAAAATTGTATATTATAATATGGAAAGTGGAAGATGTGTTAGAAATGTGCCGACGGATAAATATGGTGTGAATTTGGTGCAACACGTGGGAAATAAACATTGTATTCATAGTTCGACAAGGATTGATAGTTAGTTTTATGAGAATTTTCACTTTTCGCCCCGAAAAGTGAAAATTAGCTCAAAAACTTGAAAAAAAGTGAAAATTAGCTCAAAAACTTGAAAAAAAGTGAAAATTAGCTCAAAACTTGAAAAAAAGTGAAAATTAGCTCAAAAACTTGAAAAAAAGTGAAAATTAGCTCAAAAACTTGAAAAAAAGTGAAAATTAGCTCAAAAACTTGAAAAAAAGTGAAAATTAGCTCAAAAACTTGAAAAAAAGTGAAAATTAGCTCAAAAACTTGAAAAAAAGTGAAAATTAGCTCAAAAACTTGAAAAAAAGTGAAAATTAGCTCAAAAACTTGAAAAAAAGTGAAAATTAGCTCAAAAACTTGAAAAAAAGTGAAAATTAGCTCAAAACTTGAAAAAAAGTGAAAATTAGCTCAAAAACTTGAAAAAAAGTGAAAATTAGCTCAAAAACGTGAAAAAAAGTGAAAATTAGCTCAAAAACTTGAAAAAAAGTGAAAATTAGCTCAAAAACTTGAAAAAAAAAGTGAAAATTAGCTCAAAAACTTGAAAAAAAGTGAAAATTAGCTCAAAAACTTGAAAAAAAGTGAAAATTAGCTCTAAAACTTGAAAAAAAAGTGAAAATTAGCTCTAAAACTTGAAAAAAAGTGAAAATTAGCTCTAAAACTTGAAAAAAATTTTCCATTTGAATATTTCTTGAAAACTTCAAAGAGAGAATGAAAGATTTATTGAATTTGAAAAAAAACTGAAAATTTTCACAATTTTTTGAAACGTATACCTAACAAGAAAAGTCCCTGAGATTTTCAATGAGACAAACATGTTTCTGTACAGTTTTTCACGATGAGAAAGAGCCCAAAAATGAGCCAAAAGTTGGGAATTTTCTGAAAGTCGCCCCTAAAATCCCTTTTTTGCAGATAATATACGATATTTGTCACTGACTGAAACCAAATATATTCGATATTATATGGGACATACGGCTGAGTGAGTTTCTTTTTTCAATTTCTTCATTTTTTAAGAAAAAAAACATTTCAAAACCCCAATTTTGTTGCAGTGTAAATACAGTTCAAACAAATCCACGTCTCGATTTATCGCAATTCATTTCATCTGCAAACGACAAAACTATCCGATTTTGGGATTTGAGAAGTCAATCAACAACTGGTTTTTTGCATTTTCGTGATATTCCAATTTGTTCATATGATCCAGAAGGTATTCTATTTGCAGTGGCTGTTGGAAATCATACAATTTATTTATTTGATGTTAGGAGTTTTGATTGTGGTGAGTTTTTTTGGGGGAATTTGAGGAAAATTATGATTTCTTGTCAATTTTTCATTCAAAATCTGAATTTTTTAGAGAATCTGAAAATTTTTCTTAAAACATTCAACTTCTATCGATCAAAAATCGTTTTTTCGATTAATTTTTTAGTTATTTTTGAAACGTATTTTTACTGGAAATTTAAAAAAAAAAAATCTCAAATTTGTCTACCTACTGTAATTCGTGATACTGTAACCTGAGCAATCTTGGGTTACTGTAGTTGTTTGGCGTCAAAATCCATCCACAATTTTTAAATGAATTGTATCCCAAAATATATAACATTTCTTCGAGATACTGTAGTTATTAACTTATCAAATTACTGTAGAGTTTGGCGCCAAAAATGTATCCAAAGTAACCTAGGTTTTATTCAATCACAAAGTCTTATCTACAGAAATTTTTGGAATATTTAGACTACTGTAGGTATTTTGGCATTTATTATTCCACATAATTTTCAAAGCGAAACCACAGGCTGAAAAATTTAAAGGATCATCAGGTTGTCAAAAATACAGTAGTTCAGAAAGTTTTTAAATTTTTTAAAGAAATTTTGTTTTTTGCAGGTTCATTCAAAAAATTCGAAATCCTGCACGATTTTCCGGATGCAAAATGGAAGCGCATCGATTTTTCGCCATGCGGAAAACTGATAATAATCTCAACAAACACCTCAAAATGCCTTGTAATCGACGCATTTTCGGGAAAATTGAAATGGATTCTGGAATCGAGCCAACATCCGAATCCAAATATTTACACGAGATGCTCATTTACACCGGACTCCAAATATATTTGTGTTGGAAACTACGATCGATCGATTCATTTTTATTCGACAAATTCGGGAGAAATGGAATTGAAAATGAAAACGACACATATCGAAGGACCACATTTGATTGCATTTGGAAAAAATAGTTGCCATATGACAAGTGTTTCGAAAAGAATGGTACGGTGGATTTTGAAGGGGAATTTGGGCTGAAAAATTGATTTTTTTTGTCGAAATTTTTTTTTTCATATACGAAAATTTATGATTTTTCCGAATTTTCTGATTTTCTGTTCCTGTGAAAAATCAAAATTTCACAATTTTTCTGAAAATTAAAAAATTTTTAGCCGAAATTAATTTATTTTGTTGCAAAATTATTGTGAAATTTTACCAGAAAATAGTCAAATGTAATTATTTTCAAGTGAAAATTCATCAAATTTCACAAATTTTAGCTCCTAAAAATTCATCAACTCTTTCAAAAATTAAAATTCCCTTGAAGGAAATCCCTCCAAAAATCCCCAATTTTTCCAGCTACTTTGGTCCGCTCCTGATGAATATATCGACAAAGTCAAGTGAGTTACCCTAACTTCTTTCAATTTCCAAAAAAAATCCAAATTTTCAGAATCGAAAAAAGCTAAAACTCTTCTCATTGGATCTCAAGAATACATGTATTTGTTATGAAATTTGCTCAAAAATTCTGTAAATAAAAGTTATCCATAATTTATCGAAAAAAAGTAGGATTTACAAGAAAAAACAGGAAAAGCGATAGACAAAAAAACTATTTACAAGTGAAAATTTGACGAAAAAAAAAGGGTCCCGTTGTGAGAAAAAAACTGAATTTTTGGATTTTTTGGTGGGTTTGTGGGTCTAGATGCGAAATTTGGCAGCAGCCGCCGTTTTTGCCGGATTTTGGCGCGAAAATGAGTAATATTGTTGTTGATTTTGAGGATTGTTGTCATATAAACCAGCTGAATCCAAAGATTGACGACTTCCGGCTAAAAAATTTGAAAATTCAGAAAAATTCAGAAACAAAAATACATGTGAAAATTTTCAAACTAACCCATTGATCCATTCATTCTTTGTTCAGCCACAGATGGTGCAGTTGGAGTGGCTGCTGTGATTTGTGAAGATCTTCGAGCTGGTGGAGGTGGACGAGAAGCTGACGCTGGAAAAATTGGGATTCTCAGTTTTTGAGTGAAAATTTATAAAAATTTGAATTTCACTCAAAAAAAATCAGATGAAAAAAATACGTTTCAGATAAAACTCAAATTTTGAATGGAAATTTTCTCAATGATTTTTTGATTGCATACATTTTTTGAAAATTAGGCTCAAAAATAGTTTTTTTTTAAAGGGGTTGTCCTGCTACAGGGAAACTTAGGCTTAATCGATAGAGCTAAGGTGCTCCTGAAACATTCCATATTTTATTTTGATTTTAGAGCGAGTTTTCACCATTTTATTCATGTTTTTGTTAGGTTTTAAGGTTTTAGTGCATATAAAAAACATGTGTGCTCTTCACACACATCATTTCTTTCTGTGTATTTCTCGCGAAACGTATTTCCTAACATTTTTCAACTATGGAAAGTGATTTTAATCAACTTTAGGCTTGCTTATAGTTAGTTTTAAAAAGTGACGCACTATTGCGGACTTGATTTTCGACGTAGAAGGACAACCCCTTTAATTCTGGTTTCAAAGTTCAAAAAAATCTCTGGGAATTCGAGAAAACATTAAAATTTCGAAAAAAAACGTTCAAATCTCTTAGAATCCACAAAAAACGAGGCTCATCTGTTTTTTTTTTCGAAAAAAAAAGTTGCCACGTCATAGCTCAAAATCCAAACTCACTAGTTCTCATTCTCACTCCTCCAACAATTTGTGATTGTTGCTGTTGGGAGGATCCTAATCCAATTGTATGAACCGAAACTCGTTTTGCTTGATCGATGGCTGAAAAAATCAATATTTTCGAGTAAAATTATCCACGTCATAACCAGAATCCCCATCCCCACACTTCAAACCCTTACCATGAACATTTTGTCCTCCACCAAAATCTCCAGCATGCGAAGCTCTTCGATTCACCGATGTCGAATCAATATAATACTTCTCTTGACTGTTATTCAAATTACAATAATTCTCCAAATCGCTTCCAAGTTGATCAATGTCTTTGCAGGCTTCTGATATGAGCAATGCACTTGTTGAAGCGACTGAACTACCGGATGATGGGATGATATTATTACCGGGTGGAGATATTCCATTGTTTGATGATGTTGTTGAATAGACGATTGGAGTTGTTCCGAGACAAGAAGATGGAGTCTGGAAAATTATGGAATTGAGGGAAATTTGGGCTTTACTGTGAAAATTACTCAAATTTAGTCAAAAAATATCCATAAAACTTTATTCTTAAACTTCGAAATGCTCCAGGCTTAAAACATCACATTTGTCCTTTCAAATTCAATTTTTCACAGGTTAAAAACTAGCAAAATCACATTCCCTATCCCTAAATATTCCGATTTCCCCGGGTTTTCACAAAATAAATAAATAAAAATACGTGCGCGTGAATTAAAATGCATTGTGTGTAGGCGTGTCAGTGTTTGCACACATCTCGTCAACTACAGTACCACGTTTAATTTATTTTCCCTTTTCGTCCCAAAATCACTCACAAATGTGTCAAAATTCAAATTTTGCGGTCGTTGAATTGCGCCCTGTCGTGCATTGATAACTTGTTGATAAGCTGGCGGTGGATTCGATCGATAAATATCAGTGATTGTGTTTGAGGACGAGTTCGTTGTGAGACCATTTCCAATCATGTTCAAACAAGTGTTTGATCCTTCAGTTGGTGAAGACATTGAGAACTGCAAAAATACTTTAATGTTTTACACATTCTCCGACAAATTTCGGGTGAAAATTGGAGCATTTTTGAGAAAAATATGTAAAAAGTCTTACCTGTCCAATACTTTTCTCGCTATTTCTTCTCTGAAGCGGCGGTTTCATCGAAAACCGCGTCGATGATGACGTAATCACCGAACTCGCCGAACTATCCATCGTACTTCCTCCAACTCCTCGCAAACTCGCCGGTGTTGCACACATATCTCTCACCGAATAATTGTCATCGCTACTCGAACCGGTTCGCCATTTCTGACCGGCTTGCGATAGACATTGTTTCCACGCCGTGTCGGGACCCTGTGCCACGTCATTCACAATTGAGTTGACCAGTTGATCAGTGTCGACGTGTTTGACGGTGGATTCGAGAGAATCGACGACTTGTCGTAAGTGCGCTCCATCGTCCAACATATTCATTTGATTGTTCTGTGAAAGAAATAGCGTTAGAAGAGGTTTAGAGAAAGGATTTTTGAATGAAATATATTTTTCTAGTAGATTCACGGCACGGGCGAAAAAATCAAACATTTTTCTTCATTGCGGACTATTCAGATTTTAATTTGATCTACCTAAAAATCAGTGCGCGAAAAAATCATTTTGTTGTATTTTCTTTTCATTTTCACTTTTTTGTCGATTCTCAAACGAGAGATAATATGAATCGAGGAGTGATCAGAGTTGACTCTGGAGGGATTCCCATAAGGTACACTGTAGGGTACATGACACGCCCCTTTTCCCCTAAAAGTCCGCAGTGAAAAAAGTGTGCCTTTTTTGTCTTGTTTTTTCGCCCGTGGCACGGTGCGCTTTTCTTTACGTCGCCTGAACAAAAAGACCGTCGAGAAATTTTTAGGAGAGGAGAGAAAGCGCGCTCCATCGCACACAATTTTCTCATTGCGCCATAATCTTTTCACTTGTTTCCTCTCTTTCTCTGACCTTTTTTCTGCTTCTTTTTCCATTTTTTTCTCGACGGCTGCTCGCGTAAAGGAAAGCGCACCGTGGATTTTGACCAACTGGTAATGAACCTGTAGTAAAAAACAGAATGAGTCAACTGGAAAATGAGTTATGACGTGGCAATTTTGAAAAATCGGAACTTTACTAGGCGGAAACTAGCCTTCTGAACAATTTGAAGCTAAGCTGGAGCTACCTCTGTGCTTTTTATGCAATTCTATTATTCAGGAGGCTAGTTTTCACCTAGTAAAATTCCGATTTTCAGACTTTGCCACGTCATAACTCATATGCCAGTTGACTCCTTCAGTTTTTTACAACAGCTTCATTACCAGTTGTTCAAAATCAAGTAGAAAAAAATATTTCATTCAAAATCCCTTACCAAAACCGGCATCAACGTATTGATAAAAAATGCAAACTGTGTCCTTTGCTCCGTCAAAATCTTGGTGCACAATTCTCTTTGCTCATTCATCACAGTGATATCGGGTCGTTGTTTCCGCGCGCGCACCTTTTTCACATGTTTCGCCGCCATTTTGTCCAACTCATTACATCGATTCTTCCAATAGGTTCCTCGTTGTTGTAATCCGAGTGCAAATTCGTCAGTTAGTGCGTCGGCCCAAGATCTCATTCGATTTTCGATCGATCGTTGTTTGATGCAGACACGTGTTATGCAGGCGCCAACATCGCGGGTTGAACCTGTAGAGGTAGATTCGGAGCTGAGGCTTTTGGATTTTTAATTTAGGGCTTGCCAGGCTTCTATAGCCTAAGGTGTTCTGCTTTTAGAGTAAATTTTGGTTTTCAGTTGTAATTTTGTTACGACTTATCCTAACTCACAATTCGCGGACCATTTTCATTTCGAAATTTTAACCGAAATGAAAATTTTTTAAAAATCACGTGAAATTTTCCACGTGGCAACTCTGATTTCTATCAACTTCCCTCTAAAAATCGCCCCTTACCCTTCAAATTATTAGCATGATCCGAAACACTTTGCATCGCCTCCACAAATCCGTTCAAACATTGTGCAGTGGCTTTCAGGTGTGCTCCCAATTTTTGTGCTCTTTGACTCAATTGCTCCCAACCGGGATACGTTTGTTTCATGTCGTACACAACACTTTGATAGATTGTTGTTAGAAGGTTGAACTCCGCGTCTGGATCCATTCTGAAATCAGGGGATTGGGATGAGGAGAAAGGGATAGAGTTTGGAAATGAGTTATGACGTGGCAAATGAATAATATTCAAGAGAATCTCAAATTTCAGGCTTCGTCTAAAATGGAGTCTGAAATTAGGCTTAGGCTCGATTAGGCCCGATTTAGGATGGGTAGAATGAAAATTTGGGCATAGCTTCCGCGTCTACGCTGAAAATCATGAAAAACATCTGAAAAGCCTGGATGGCCAGGAAGTCCAGATGAATTTTATGATTTTCAGATCGAAAATGACGATATGAATATGGGGTTTCAGAGCTGTGTTCAAGATTTTCCACGTCATAACTCATCTCGAAATAAGCTACAAGATTTTCCCAAAAAATTCTGATGTTTCCCACCAAAAAAGAGCAAAAGAGAAAAGATGAAAATATGCGATAAAAAATTGTTCAGCGGATATTTTTTTATTTTTTTCGTATGGGTGCGAAAAATTATGCAAATCAAAAGGGAAAAAGAAGACATTAAACTTTTCATTTTTTTTTCAAAAGCGAGAATTTCTTCTTTATTTTTTCCACAAAAAAAGTATACAAATAATCCGTTCGAAATTCTAATCTTTTTCGCAACTAAAAACGAACCAAAAAAACGTAGGCTGCTTGAGTAAATAAACAACAAAAAACACCGTTTTTTTGTTGAAAAGCTGTTTCAAAAATTCTGATAAGAGAAGGGAAGATGTTCGAGAATTTTGACGCCAAAAATTTCATTTTTGATAAGCAAAGTTGTTTTCGTAGGAAGATAAGAAGTGCTAATCTCTTATACGATTTCTTGCTATTTTTGAAAACGGACTAAAAAATGAAGTGTTCGCTGGGAGAGAATTTTTTGAAGAAAAATGAGAAATAGCCGAAAAAGGTCGTTATTTTTCGCATTTTCACACGAAAAATGTGGTTTTTTGGTTGGGAAACAGAGAAGGAGACAATTTGGGGGCATAAATAGCCACAGTAATCAAGGCCATTTTTGGGCTGGAAATCAAGAATTTTCAGATCGAAAATGAAATTTTGGGCATAGCTTTCGCATCTCAGGTCATTTTCGAGCTGAAAATCATAGAATTCATCTGAAACTCATGGAAAATTCAGGAATTTCAGAAACATTTCATGATTTTCAGCTCGAAAATGACAATTTGAATGAAGAGTTTTGAAAATTTAGGTTATTTGGCTAATTATTCCCAAGGGGAAAACATGACGTGGAGTTAGCCTAACTCAGAAAAATAGGAGAGGATTTTGGGATATTCTGAAAATTCAGGTTTAAAAATTTGTTCCGAATAAGTTAGGCTAACTTAAAACCCAAAAATTCCCGAATCAAAATAATTTGCCAACACAAAACAACAAAAAATTGACTTTTCGCTATTCAATTACACGCCAAAAAATCTCCAATATCAAAAAAAAATAAAAAGCGAGCATTTATTTTGTGTCTTGTAGAAGCATACAAGCATGTTTTATTTACACAACACAAAAAACGAGAGAGTAATATAAACAAAAACGAAAGAAATCATCATAACATTTGCTTGCGCATTTTTACACCGTGCAAAAGTCTGGCGGTGTGCCAAAAAACCCTCCGAGTTATTGTAAATCACAAGTACTTCTTTCATTTTTCGTGTGAAAATTCGAAAAAACCGGATAAAACTCGAGTTATACAAACAATTGAGGAAAAAATTCGAAATGTTTTTTTTTTCTTCCAAAAGTGGAGGGAGGAGGAGGAAATTTGGATTAAAAACAACAAAAAAAAAGAAAACAAAGAAAGAATTTTTTGTGGAGAGAGTCACAAAAAAGTATCTTTCTTCCTCTTTTTTTTTGCATTTGGGACCTCGATTAGATACACTTGAATGAATCAAGAAAAATATGAAAGGAAAGTCAGGTTTTGGGAGGAAATTTGGACATAGCTTTCGCATCTCTGGTCAATTTCGAGCTGAAAATCATAAAAATCACTTTAAATTCCCAGAAAATCCAGACATTTCAGGTCAATTTTATGATTTTCAGATCGAAAATGACAGTTTGAATATTGGGTTTTGAGAAAAGTTTTAATGAAAAATTCAGTCAGGAACCTCCAAATTTCAATTTTTGTCATCAATATTTACGATGAAGAAGACCTATCAAAAAAAGTGTCTGAAATTTTTGTATATGACAATTTTGAAACGTATTTTTTCGGGGAAATTTAAAAAATGTCCATTTTCATCTCGTTTTTCAGCTAGAATTTCTAAATTTGCTGATCAAAAACAACATTTTTTCTTTACATTTTGTATATAGTTTTAAAGGCTCAGAGAAAAAGTTACCCGAACTTTCCAAAAAAAACTACAAAGGCGAAAAAGCGTTCTGTTTGCTTGCTTACAAAAAAATCGGCAAAACTTTTTTGTTTTTCTTTTTTTTGTTCTGTACTGATTAGTCACAAGAAAAAAACAGAAAAGTGTACTTTTTTGTTTTTTTTTTGGACTAAAACTAGATAGGGTCTAACTTAGCCTAACTTGAGCCCAGTCAAGCCTTCAAAATTTGGGCATAGCTTCCGCATCTCCGGTCAATTTCGAGCTGAAAATCATAAAAAACGGCTGAAATTCCCGGAGAATCCAGGAATTTCAGGTGAATTTTATGATTTTCAGAGGGAAAATGATAATTTGAATATGGGATTTTGGGAAAGCTTCAATAATTTTTGGTTAGAAAATCATGGCGAATTTTACACGATGTTTTGCTTCCAAGAAAAACCCACAAACCAACAAAGTGTACTTTTTGGCGCCAAAAAAAAACTTGGCGAAGACACGAGCAAAAAACAAGCTATAGCTCGTTCAAAAAAAAACGACAAATTTATTCTCGTAAAAAAAGAGAGAAGAAAAAAGAGCTGGCTGGATGGACACTGACTGAAAAAGATGTCACAAAAAAAGTGGAAAACTTTTTTTTTCGTTTGCACTGCATAGTAAAAATGAGGCTAATTCTTAAAGATTAAATGAAAAAATTTCATTTGGGGCTCAAAAATTCCCCTTTTTATTATTACTATTAATAATGAATAATTCTTCAAGGTACTTCAGATTTCTTTTGTTTCGAAAGAAAAGAATTCAAAAAATTCTCGAATACTAAAAATTCTATTTCACACATCAAATAAATAAAATGGGATGAAAAATATAATATGAAATCAAATAAAATAAAAATAAAATATATCCCGTTCAAAACGGACGGAATTTATTCTCACTCAGAGATTCGCTGGCCAGCTGGTCACTAGGTGGGGTCGACTGCCCATCTGAAATTGACACGGACAACCACATCGCCCGTATTTTTTGCCAGACGACCTGGTCGCGAGGTGGTTCAGTTCATGCAGACCACCTCGCCCAGGTTGTCCAGCTCGACCCGACCTCACGTCCAGATCGTCTCGCTTAAGAGAAAAAAGTCTAAAAAACTTGTGAATCCGAGCATTCTAGAAGAAATTGGCTCATTTTCTGTTTTTTCGGAGTACTAGAAACCTTAGGAAGTGAAAAAAACAGTAAAAAATGCACTATTTTGAGTACAAACCACCGTCTTGCTAGCTTTTCAGGGTTTGAAACACACAGGCCACGTCGCCGGAAAACTCAAGGCGACCTGGTGGCCGAATCAAATTCAGCTCGTTTTGAACTTTCCGGCCACCTGGTCCTGATCTAGTGGCGAGCTGGCCAGCGAATCTCTGAGCAAGGTTATGTGAACAACTGATTTTTGAGGGGGAAAATAAGCAAAAAATTGGGCATAGCTTCCGCATCTTCGGTCAATTTCGAGCTGAAAATCATGAAAAACAGCTGAATGTCCCAGAAAATCCAGGAATTCCAGATGAATTTTATGATTTCCAGATCGAAAATGACAATTTGAATATGATTTTCGGGAAAATTTTTGCTAAAAAATTCGGAAAATTTAGGTACAGCTCGAAATTTCAGTCATAAATTATATGAAAATCATATTTTCAGGTAGAATTTGGAGCCAACAGTATCGCGCATACAGATCAAGGTTTTGTTTCCGAAAATTCTATTATAAAAATTTTGAAACGTATTTTGCGACGAAATTTGAATGGTAAATTTTCAGATGAATTTTATGAATTTCATATCGAAAATGATTAGAAAATCAATGAAAATTTAATTTTTTGGGTGAAAAACCAACCAAAAAACCAAGATTTTTCGTTTCTTTTGTTGTTTTTTTTTTCCATTTTCCCTAAAAAGAAACCAAACAAACAAAAAACAGTATCAGAAATTCTCTCATGAATATAAATTTCGATTCGTTTTTGGGCCAAAAAAAAAGGAGAATACTTGTCAATACGAATTTATATAATAATTATAGATCTGTCTCATACAACAAATAATTATCAGGTTTTTCTGAAATTGAAATTGAAATAAAATTAAATTTCAATTTTGAATACTAATGAGGGAAGGAAGAATAAATAAATTGGGAAAATCGGAAAAATAAACAAATATTTAAGTTTATGGCTTATTTTGGGATGAAAAATGAAGAAGAAATTGACACTTTTGTTGTGCAGATGGAAAGGAAAAATTGGGAGAAGGAAATAATTAGGAGAGGAACATGAATAGGGTCAGATTTCAGAAGTCAAGGTGGAAAAATTGGGCATAGCTTCCGCATCTCCGGTCAATTTCGAGCTGAAAAGCATAAAAATCACCTGAAAATCCGGGAAAATCAAAGAATTTCAGGTGAATTTTATTATTTTCAGATAGAAAATACTACTTCAAATAAGTTTTTGAAATCAAAGATTATAGAAATTTGAAATTTCAGTCAGAAACCTCTCAAAATTTGAAATTTATTTTTTTTTTGAAACAAAGTCAAACGAAGAATCAAGAAAATATTCAAAAAATTTTTTAGTTAGAATTTTGAAACCTATTCTTTCCTGGAAGAATCTGGCTTTAAAATTTGAACATAGCTTTCGCATCTACGGTCAATTTCGAGCTGAAAATCATGAAACTCACTTGAAATTCCCGGAAAATCCAAGAATTTCAGCTAAATTTCCTGATTTTCAGATCGAAAACGACAATTTCACCCAAAAACTCCCCCAAAAATCGCCGAAAAAAAGTCATTTTGGCAGCTGTTCTATTCCAATATTCATTTTTTTTCTCCTTCTATTTCTTATTGTCCATTCTCGCAAAGAAAAAAAAGAACACCAGGAGAGAAAAAAGGAATAATAATAATAGGAATAGGAATAGTGGGTGAGAAGGGAAAAAAGGGACAAAAACACAAGAATAAAGAGAAAAAGGTCGGCAGAGCACAAAAAGAGCTATAAACCTGGTCATTTTCTCCAAGAGAACTACACGCAAAACCGTTCGCCGTGAGACCAAAGCCTCATTTAGCATGCACCTTTGAAAATTCAAATAAATTCCAAGAAAACCTTGAATCTCCTAAACATATTGTGAAAAGGCCCATTTTCACCTTGAAAAATGACTTGCCAGATGTCTACGTTCAAAAAAAATACGTTCGAAAATATGTATAGTTGGATCAAAGCAAAAAAGAAGTGACAATCGAATTTGTCCCGGAAAAAAACGAGAAGAAGATAAGTTTTTTGCCCCACATTTTTTTTTAGCAAAAATTGAACATGAACAACTATAAATCACTCAACAATTGTTTTTCTAACAACTTTATTCAGCGACTTTTTTCTAGATGCAAAAAGGAAAGGAACAATGGACCTTTGTTGCACTAATTTCATTGTTTTCCAAAGCGAATCAACTAGAAAAACCCCCACATATTTTTGAAAAATACACAAAAACCGATAAAATCTATCGGAAATCGTAGTTTCCCAGCGGGAAACCTGAAGATTAATTGCGGTTTTCGACAGATTATATAAGTAATTATTCGATTTGAAGCGGTTGAGAGGTGTCAAAAAGTCCAAAAACAAGGTCAGCCGGGGCGTGTTCCCATATTCGTTCGAAAGTAATTAAATGTAAACAAGAAAAAAGATGGACTAATTTGGCTGGACACGTAACCAAGACAGACAGATGTTTCACCTTTTTCATCTATGTGCATAATCTTGTTTTTTTTTGACAGATTAATAAAAAAATGAATTATTTAGAGACATCTGTTTTACCCTTACTCCCGGAAAACTTTTAGAAAAATCCCCGAAAAACTCACACTTCAACTTTGAAAACATCCAGATTCATCTCTTACTTTTGCTATTCACCAAACTTCGAAGAACGAGAGAAAACGTCGAAAAACAAGCGAAAAAAAACGAAAAATGAAACTGGCGCCGTTCGTAATTCAAATGTTGGCAAATCGCCAAATGTTTGAATCGCCGCCGGCCCGCGTTTTCGTTGCGAGACACAAGGACGTTTGTGTGTTTGCTTTCTCTCTCTCCTCAATCCTAAAATAATTTCGTGTCGGTTTGTGTGTGTGACTGGTGCTCATTCATTTTTCTTTGTTTCTCTCCGTTTTCCTCGTTCTTTTTTCCAGTTTCAGCCAATATTTTTACAATTTTCAGGCTTCGTTCACGTTCGCGTCGCGAAGCAGTCAAACATGAGAGAGAAGGTTAGTTTTTTTGCTGAAATTTTTTCTAGAGACTTGACATTTTCTTGAAAGAAATTGTCCTAAATTTTTTTATCCTAAAATTTTTTAAAAATAACTATTTAATTTTTTCAGTGGCGTAAGAAGCGTATGCGTCGTCTGAAGCGCAAGAGAAGAGCCGCAAAGAAGTAAACAAGTCGCCCAACAACGCCCTCCAATTTTTTCGTTAGCCGCTGCTGCAATTCTTCACGTCTTTCAACAACGACCATCGTCTACAATTGCTCGGCATCATTGTTATCAGCTTGCTTATTGTTACAATGAACGTTTGTTCCTTTACCCAAATGTGTTTAAATCAGGAAATGCATCAAATATTTATTATTATCACAATTTATCTCATAGAACTTTGACAGTTTGATCGTATTGAAGTAGATGCGGCATTGAAGGCCCATCTACGAATAGTGGGAAAGAGTTTTCCGCGATGCATCGGTATTTTCCGGAGTGCTCCAAGTTGAGCGGCTCTAGAATGAGGTTGTTTCCATCAAATTGTGTGCTGTTGCTTGGAGCTGAAATGTTTTGTTTCACTCTAGAACTCTTGTTGCTGTCGTCTCACCAATCGCTTCTCCATCCTTTTCCCATCGAACAAGCGGTTCTGGGTTTGACAGCACTGGACATTCCAGTGTTATTTTCTCGTTTTGAAACCCTTTCCGTTCAGCTCCAATAACATGTGGCGGTTTAGCATTTGGTAGTTCTTTGGCATTCGAAAAAGATGGGAAATTCAAAACTGGTGGCACTGAAAAATTTCTTTACAGGAAAAAATTACAGATTTCATGGACTCACAATAAATGATCAAGTTTCCACTGTGGATCTCCTTGTCAAGAGTTCTCACTTCACATCGATATCTTCCAACAACGTTGACCGACACATTTTGGCCGATTTCCAGGTAAATTTTGCCCTGATTCTCAACACCCACAGAAACCTTTCCATTTTCAAGTTTAGTGAATTCACCATACTCAACATCAACATGCTCTTGAAGTTTCTGCGCACCACACCACAAATTCGGAATATCAACTTTCAAAGTTCGCGGATGTGGAAGACTGATATGCGAATGTGGATTTGCGACGACTGCCAGATTTCCAACAACAATCACTTGACAATAACAAACGAGTGGGAAAATCAATAGAAAAATTGCTGAAAGGGAGAGTGATAAGTTTTTTTTCTGAAAAAAAAAACTTGAAATCTAAAACGAACCAATTTTATTCATGATAATAGCCGGAAGAAAGAAGAAAGCTCAAAGAAGAAGAATAGGCTGAAGATAAAGAAAACGAACAACAAATGTTCATCTTTTTTCACTTCGGGACCCGTTGTAACATTTTGTGCCCTTTCGGATCATTGACATGTGATTCATAAGGTTCAAACAATTCATTTTTTAACCAAAGAAAAAAGAGCAAAACCCGTTCAAAAACTGAGAAACTTTGTGAGAAATTTAAACATCCAAACTCATATATTGATTCAACGCATTATTATTGTTATTAGCTAGAGTTGAATGCAAATTCTTATGACGTAGCGATTGTCCACGTGGCGGTTTTAAAGTTAGGCACGTTTTATCCTCGAAATTGCATGCAGATGCACTTCGTTTTCGCATTCTTTCAGATGCTTGAGTTCTGAAAATTTTTGGGTTCGTTCTATAGAATTAACTAGAAAATTCACATGCAAAATTGTAGAAAATTCCAGTAGAAAATTTGTTAGTAGAAAGTAGATAGAGATAGATTAAAGATCATTTTTGATAACAAATCTGAATCAAAAATTATATTTTTAAAAAGCTTTGAAAAAAATCAGTGGCAAATTACCTTTGTACATTAGCTGAACACGATAAATGTCGATCTGAAGCTGTTGATTTTGAACAAGCCACTAATAATTGCAATTCTTTCCTGATGTCAAATGAAAAATAACCGTATAAATAGGGAGAAATTGCGGAATTGAAGAAGGCGAACGCGTAGATTACTTTTCGATAATTTCCAGGGATTCTGGAAGGGAATTTGTTATGGTTTTTGAGAGCTCAACCTTTTTTTCGAAAACCAAATTTTTTTCAAACTGAAGAAGTTACAAATTTCGGAGTAAAAAATCAATTTCTCAAAATCAAATTTTGCCACGTGGAATTTTTCTTACTCAGAGATTAGCTGGCCAGCTGGTCACTAGGTGGGACCGAATGGCCATCTGAAATTGACACGGACAACCACATCGCCCGTATTTTTTGCCAGACGACGTGGTCGCGAGGTGGTCCTGTTCATGCAGCCCACCTCGCCCAGGCTGTCCACCTCAAGCCGACCTCGCGTCCAGTTCGTCTCGCTTGAAAGAAAAAAGTTCAAAAAACTTGTGAATCGGAGCATTTTCGAAGAAATTGGCTTATTTTCTGTTTTTTCGGAGTGTTTGAAACCTTTGAATGACAAAAAACAGTAAAAAATTGACTGTTTTGAATACAAACAGCCACCTTTCCTTCTTTTTTGGATGACAAAAATTAAGACCACGTGGCCGGAAAACTCAAGGCGACCTGGTGGCCGAATCAAATTCAGCTCGTTTTGAACTTTCCGGCCACCTGGTCTTGATCTAGTGGCGAACTGGCCAGCGAATCTCTGAGTACAAAAAATTCCGAATTTGAAATTTTTCATTAGGAGTTTTGAAATCGTGATCAAAAAAAATTGTTCGCTTTGAAAATTCCAGAAACGCCAGAAATTGTTCGAGTTTTATCTGGAAAACCTAATTCCGCGTGTATTTTGAGCTAAATTTAAAAATTTAGCTAAACTTCAAATCCACGTGGATTTTTTTCTAACTCCCTCAACAAAACTCACATATTTCCCATTCCTAAAAAATGCAAAAATGTGCAAATTGAATACGGTGTCCAGCAGAAAATAAACGCCAAAACAATCACAAATGTCATCCTGAAACAGAATGATTCGGCTGAAATTTTCAATGAAACTTACTTCAAAGTTCGAGATTTGGCGCGTTCCAGGTTGTTTTGGCCATTTCGGCGGAGCAAACTTTCAGACGATTTTTCGGCTGAAAATTGGGAGATTATGAGTCAGGGACCTTTGAAAAAGGATTTTCTGAGCTTCGGACCTCAAAAATTCCAATTTTTGAGAAAAAAATTGAATTTTTCGTGAAATTTTGACCCCGGGACCTTCCTCTTTTCCCAAACTCACATCCTTTTTCATTTTTCGACTTTTTCGAAATTTTCCATAAAATCAATGAATAACAAACTACAGTAATAATAAGTGGAATAAAATAGACTTCGGCTAAATTGAGAATTGAGAAGATGAAAACGACGGCTTGCGGAACTTCGAAGACCAAATTTCGAGAAACACATTGCATAAACCAGGGATAACATGGATGAATTGCCAAACGGAACAGGAAAACCTGGAAGAGAAAATTGGGTGGCCGAGAAATTTTGGGAATTCGGCCATCTCAATTTTTCGACCCCTAAGTTTTGCAGTTGGAATACTGTAGGATTTTTTGATAACTGAATTTTGCAGTTTTATTACTGTAGGCCCTAAATTTTGTAGTTTGGTTACTGTATGCCCTAAAGTTTGCAGTCTGATTACTGTAGGGATTTTAATTTTTGTAGTTTAGTTACTGTAAACTTTTTTGTCCCTAGATTTTGCAGTGTGATTACTGTGGGTCCTAAATTTTGCAGTTTGATAACTGTAGGCTTGAAATTTTGCAGTTTGGTTACTGTAGGCCATAAATTTTGCAGTTTGATTACTGTAGGCCTTATTTTACCTGAGACAATCCAAAGTTTTTCAAAAATTCCAGAATAATTCAAATTTTCGAAAAAAATACATTGCTCATGTTAGTTGATTGAAAAATGACTCGCAAAATGAAATTTGAAATTTTTTTTCCGTGAATTTTGAGTTGGAAACAAATTGGGTCACGTTTGAAATTGATTTTAATTTTTATTTTTCACAAAAAAAAATTCAGCCACTCTAAATTGGCTTAAAAAATTCATAATTTTTTGAAATTCTTCATGAGATGAACAAACCTGTGGCAATGCGGCCAAAAACGAAACAAACCACGCGCACATCACCCATTTTTGCACACTTTTTCGCGCTCTCATTGCATAAAGCGGGAAAAATATGGAATAAAATCGATCCAGAGTTATGCAAATCAGCACATTCATTGATAGAATCACACTGAATGCGTCGAAAAATTTGAACATTTTGCACATCTGCAAAAAATTGTCATTAGAGCGCAATTACAGTATCTCAATTAAAAAATTGTGGAAAACTGTGCCAGGCTTGCAAAAAGAGGCGTGGCTTGAATTTCGCCCCACCTCCCTTATTCGATTGCAAAAAAAGTGTGCCAGACTTGCAATTCAAGCCCCCCCCCTTTCTCCGACTTCAAATTCTCAATTAGCACTTACAACATTTCCAGCAAACCATCCAATCCAATAATGAATAACAGCCTCTTTTGGGATAACAACAATTGTGACTATAAGATGAGCAATGTTCATGTGAAGGAGTAATGAATGAACACGACGAACTTTGACCATTTGATTTCTGGAAAAATGTGTGCGGGGATTGCAGAAAAGGGGCGGGGCTTGGAAAATTTATGAAGGGGGAAACTGTGGCAGACTTGCAAAAAGGGGCGTGGCTAATTTTGAAAGTTTTCTCAGAAAAAACGGTGAAAAAAAGTGTGCCAGGGTTACACTCTGAAGCCACGCCCCTTCGAAAAAAGTGTGCCAGACTTGCATATCGCTCACAAACCTGCACAATATCAAAAACATTGTGAAATTTCCAACAAACGAAAAAATGAACAAAAAAACGTAGATCAACGCGATTTCGGGTGATCCATTTGTATTCGGAGGTTTTGATGTCAAACATAATTTTGGAATTCCTGTCGAGAAATTTGAGGAGATGGAAATTATCGAATCGTTGCTCATTTTACTGCAAAAAATAAATAAATAGGAAGTTGGGGGTACTGTAGAGAAATTTAAAGGAACATGAAGAGTAATAAAATATAGAATCAGATTTTTTTGGAAAAATAGAGGTACAGTACTTCTAACTTGATCCTTGGACACATATCTAAAAAATCTCAAATTTTTGGCGCGAAACCAAAAAAAGCGCGCGTTCATCTTGATCAACTCTTTTTCTTTTTTCAAGAAAAAAAAGCGACACTGGAATTCCCAAAAGTGCACTTTTTCTTATTTTTCTCCATGTTTTTTTCTGTGTTTTTTTTTGGTGGTTTCATGAATGACCGATTATGGCTTTGTTGTAGATGTTGTTACTTATGTTATGTTAAACCAGAAGACAAAAAAAAATGAAATGATGGAAAAGTTTGGGAGGTTTTTTGGGCGGGAAAAATATTTTGTTTCAAAAAAAAAAAATGAAGTTGAGGGAAAATCACACCTGACGAGACGTGTCCAAAATGGACACTGTACATTTTTTTCAAAAGTCACACTGCATTTTTTTTCAAAAAATAACTTTGTTTCCTTTTCACCAACATTTAACCTGGGGAAATAAATGCGCATTTAGTTCAGTGGTAGGCCATTTTGCTAGTGTTCAGAAGGCCCAGGTTCGAATCTTCATTCGAACTAAACTTTTTTTATTTTTGCTCAACTTCAAAAACAACTTCAGCTTGCTAATTTTTCGAAGTTTCTCGGTGAAAATCAACTCAGCAGACTTTGTTTTAGTGTAGTAACACAATGTGCAGTGTGGAATTTACGTGACTGCTTAGCAAACCATAGTGTCACTGAAATTTCGAAAAAATTGACTTTCTATGGAAAAACTTCAAATTCCACACTGCACATGGGTAAATTCTAAAACTACGCTTAAAAATACACCAACTTTCTGAATATACCAACCCTTGATATGTGCTCGGAAAAAAATGCCGTCCGATTCTTTGTAATGTCCATATTTACCATTGAAATGGACACTCCAAAATAACAGCGAAATAGGGCATTTCCACACTGCACTCATGGTGTTCCACACTGTCTATGACCATAGCAATCTATCATAAAAAATTCAACCATATCCGTTAAGCCTAAGCTTAGTTATCCTAACTTCAAAATTTGAGCAACGTTGCAACGCATTCGTTTAAAAACAGTTTCCTTTCCACCAACATTTTCCCATTGGGAGAAAAGAGAGATGTGGCCGAGAGGATAGCATTTTAGCACGCTATGCCAGCCGATACAAAAATCAGATTTCTGGGAGACGCAGACTTTTAACACAGGCAGAGACATCTCTCGCCTTTCCTTCCCCCTCGGGCGATATATTGCACTGTTCGCAGAGACAGCAGACAAGCAGACACACACAAAACATAGCGCTTGGCCGCGCCGGTTTTTCGTCTGTCGCTGCGTTTATATACCTCATCGGCATCGCCCTTTGAGTTTGTCGCTGGGTTTATAGACCCAGTCGGCATCGCCCTTTGATGTGTTGAGGTCTCGCAGCGACTTTCTAACCGAAAATGAATGTCTGCGTCTCCTCGGATTTGTGTGGTGGCACGACGTGTTAGACTGTCGAGCATGAGACCAGGGTTCGAATCCTCCTGCCCGCGGAGTTTTTTTTTCGAAAGACTTAAAAATTTCACGCTGCACATTTTTTTTTGAAAAAAATTTTCACACTGCACAAAAAATTTGGGACACTCTCTCGTCAGGTGTGGGGAAAATGTTCAGGGTACAAAAAATGCGCAAGCAAATAATTCACTGACGCATTTTCAGGAAAAATAGGTTAGGATTTTTGACAGCATTTTTTAGAATTCAAATTTCAAAGTAGGCAAATTCCAATGTGATTTCCAACACAAACGAAGTTCTTTCTACCAACACAAAAAGTGAGCTCCTCGAGAAAAATTTCAAAAAAAAAATCCATAGGGTGTAACTGACATGTTTCCGGTTTTGTTGCATACTTATTTCATATCTCAACAATTTTTTTTCAAAAAAAGGTCAAAGATTTTTTATAGAGATTTTTTTTATTGAAAGAAAAATGAAAGAAACTTTTCGAAAAAATTTTAAAATCAGAAAATCTCATAAAATTTTATTGGCTCAACTGATTTTTTGTTGAAAAATGAATACCACCAACGCAAAAATTTTGAAAAATATTAGGCCACGCCCACAAAACTGTGCCGCATTGTAAATTTCTAAAAACAAAGGATGCCGCAACGTTGCAAAAATTAAAATTTAAGCCACGCCCACAAAACTGTGCTCAACTTTGCAAAATTCACTGTAAATCACCAAAAATCACGCTGAAAATTACTTTTTTTTCAGTCAAAACAGGAAAATCGTGTCAGAGCGAGAAGAAAAGAAAAGAAAAATGAGAGTCAATTTATTTTTTTTGTGCTAGCTAGGTTTTTAACGCCGTGAAAAAAGAAAGTTCAATTATTTTGATTGAAAAGTTGAAAGTTTATTTATGTGCGGCATGGTTTTGGGGGCGTGGCTTCTAGAAACTGATGTGCCTCAATTTTGCAAATTAAGCTCCGCCCACTCCATATTTATTTTTATCCCATCATAATTTTTTTTTCAACAAAAAAAAGATGATGCAATTTACCCTAACTCGCCTGAAAAACAAGTGCATCCATCAAAAAACACGGAAACATTGTCACCACAAAAAATATCATATTTTTCAGGGCGAAAATGAAAAAAAAAACAGCAATGTGGCCGAGTGGTGTGCACGGTTGCCTACTGTTTGCACAACCAGGGTTCGATCCCCACCCGGCGCATCAACTTTTTTTTTTATTTTTAAATTTTCTTACGGACTTTTCTGTTATTTCGGACCTCTAAATGAGTATCCAGCAAAAAAAACAACAATTTAATAAATAAATAAATACGCATCGAAATTTTGTGGCTCACAGCCAGCAAAAAATGGAAATTTAATTGGAAAAAAGTAGAAGTGAGTGTATCTAAATTATTATTTCTACTATTTGAAAAACATTTTCTCAGGGCACATAAAAATGGGCGGAGCTTAAATATTTCAGGTCCAAAGTAAAATATATAGTTAATATTTGTCACAAACTGCACTGCAAATGACATTTTATGGCTGAAAACGGAGCAAAAAAAATTGCGGAAAAAAACTTAATTGGCTCTAACTTTTATGAAAAGGGACTTTTTTGAGAATTGAAAAAGGCGGAGCTCTGGAGAAAAAAAACAAAAAAACAATTGCGGCGAGTGGGGGTCGAACCTGATAGCCTTCACCTATGGGGCAAAACGTCTACCTGCTGCGCTTCGCGGGACTTGTTGGAAGATTGGTGAAATTACAAAGAGCATAAAACTGAAGAAGGCGGAGCTCAGGAAAGAGCCAAGAGCCAAAGAAAAAATGAAAAATTTCTGAAATTTTTTTTGGAATGATTTACGATGTTGCATTATTTTTTTTTGGGAGAAAAAAATGTTTTCGAAAAAAATGTGAAAATATTTTGGAGATAAGATTTTTTTTAGTAAAAAAAATAATAATGAGGTTGTCAGGGTGACACGACAAATTTGTAGTTTGTGTACTTTTTGTCTATAAATCTGGAATTCATTCAACAAGAGAAAAAACAAGAAAATACGCCAGCACAAAAAATACGTCAGCATAGAGGTTGCTGGCGCATTTTTGGAATACTGAAAAAAACTAGAGGGCAGAACCAGCTACAGCAAACGCGTCAGCATTAGATTTCTATTGGCGCATTTTTTAATTGTGCAAATACAAATACAAATATTTTTCCTATAAAATATAACCCGAGACAAAGCCACGCAAAAAAAAAAAACAAAAAACAAACCAAAAATGAGATTGAATGCTGGAATAAATAACATAAAAATGGAAAAAAAGAAAAAACCTCGACTGAAAAATGTATTAATTGAATTACTCCGAAAAATTGAAGAAAAAAACGAATGAGCAATTGAATTATTTTGACAACACAAATAATAAAAAAATGGATGAAGGAACCATCCAAAAAAGACAGGAAATTGGAAAATTTATGCATTTTATTAGGGTCAAAAATTAGACCAAGCAATTATCTGAAAATGCGTCAGTAATGATTTATAGGCGCGTATTTTGCAGATTATTTGTTCGTTATTTTTTAGGTGAAAAATTAGCAAAAAACTTGAAAGTGCTCTTAAAATGCGTCAATACAACTCTTCACTGACGCAATTTATGTGGGTCTAGAACTAAACTCAATTCAAAATTTCCCCCAAATTTCGTCAGTCAAAATATTCACTGACGCGTTTTCTGTAGGTCTTTTTCCAGCTCAACTAAATACGTCAGCAGAAGCTGAAAATTCGAGCCGCGCATTAATTCTCAAGTCTAACCTAAAACAAACACACCAATTAAGTAAAGTGAGGAAAAAAAAGAGTTTCGAGCTCGCGCGCGCTTCAACGCAAAAAAGTACATCTATAATTAGAAGAATAAAAAAATGGGGAGAAATGGCGAGTATCAAAAATCAGCGGGAAATTTGAGACTTCTCATTAGTCGCCCCAAAAAATAATAATGAATTTTCGCGTGAATTTGACGCCAATTAGCCGCTTGTTGATGCTCGCGCAGCTTTTTTGACGTAGGCGGACAACAAAAATGTTCGGGGGGTTTTTTGAAACATTTTTCAGATTTGCCGTGGAGCGCATTTCCTTCTTCATATTTTTGTAAATTTCAAATCCCATCATTTATTGACAGATTCTCCGTGGAGCGCACTTCGCCCTTTCATCTTATTTCATTTTATGTGTTAAATAATGATGTTTGATAACACAATTTTTCTTTGACACATTTTTTCCCATCTCGACTGATAAAATAAATTGTTTCTTTACACTTTCTTCTCCGGTTCAATCTTTTTTCAACTTTTAAAACTTCAAAATGCCGTGTTTCACATCATGTCAGCTCAATGAAAATTGGCAATCGGTGAGAGTGAAGAAGACTTAGAGAAAAATAGATCAAAGGTACACCAAAAATTTGTGAGTCTGAAAATCCATATTTTTGAAATTGCGGTTGCTGAACATATTTTGTTTCGAAAAAAAATGAGGATGACTTTTAGTCGCTTGGCACAGTGAAAGTTCTAGAATGAATTCTCAAAAGTCAAGCTGAAGCCTATTTCTAAATTTCACAAATCCTACACCCGCAAATGTAAATCGCTGTAGATCACGCGCGATTTCAATATCTTTTCGTCTCTTTCACTCTCACCGATTGCTGTTTGACATCTCAGAAAGTGTCCTGACAGCCGTCGGCGAGAAAATCTCGCCAGCTAGCACGCGAGCCGGCAGACGGCCGTCCATTTCTCGCATTTTTCTGGCGAAACCTCGCCAGTTCTCGCTGCTAGCTAGCGTTTGCCTGTTGTTTTCGCAATTCATAGAGCTTATTTTAAAACAATTTATTGAATAAAAAACACATTAATTATCAGAATCCTGTGGGTGTGGAAGTGTGGAGGGTGTTTGTGCTGTTTTCCAGGCTGCGAAGATTTTGCCGATGATTGTAGAATCTGAAATTGTGAATCGTGTTGAAAACTTAGTTTTAAAAATATAGGACATTGGGAAATGGGAAAAAATCGAGTCATTTTTGAAGTGTTTCAAGTTACATATTCAGATATAGCCTATTATCTGCAAAATGAAAAACAGACTGCTGAGGCAGCGTTCATTGTTTAGAAAACACAACGAGCCAAAATTACAAGGTTTTCGTAGAAAGTGAGTCAGTGCTGACAAGCGATTTAGGAGCTTGACTTGACAATGACATGGTAATTACTTGTCAACTACTTATTCCTATCACTATCAATTTTCTAAAAGTAATGATTTTCTAATTTATCAAGTACTAATGGAAAAATACAATAAAATACATTTCTAGATGAATATGATTAACAGACACGAATATAGAATTTTCCATTCGAAGTTTATATAGAATGAGTTCTTTTCTCATGAAATCGATTTGTTCCTACACTAGAGCATGAATTTAAAACTACTGGGACTTAGGAACCAAAGCTTTCATTCAAACCACCTTACCTTACAAATTTTATCAAAAATATTGTTGTGCTGCTCGTCCATCCCGCCATTTCAGTCGAAAAAATCGCTTCAAACATCGAGAGCCCTGTAAAATAGGTTTACACTAATTTACTGAATTAAAAATCATCTGCACTCACCAAAAACACATTTTCATGTCACGAAGGTGCCTGGAAATGTGCACCGTCTCCATTCCAACACTTTGCGACATTGATTGCATGTTTTCTGTGAAAATTCTCGATGAAAAAGGCATAAAACGATTTTAGGCCAAAAAATTCGAAAAAAAATGAAAAAGGAAATAGACGAGCAAATCTGCTCCAGTCGCAATTTTTTCTGTCCGCTAGCTAGCTGCTAGCTAGCGCTAGCTGGCGGCGAGGAAGATGCGCTCGCTCCTCCCCTTTTTTGAGAATGCGAGCTGGCGGACAGCCTCTGCTAGCTTTCGACGGCTCGCAACCTCGCGGACGGCTGTCAGGACACTTTCTGAGATGTTGTGGTTTTGTGTTGAAAATAAAAAAAAACAGGAAGAAAAAATGGCTGGGGGTCGTGGTTTTTTGTCGGCTCCTAGGTCATGTCGAAATATTTTTTCATTTTTTTGATTTTTGTTGTTTTTTCGGTTTGTTTAAACAGAAAAAGGAGAAGAAATCACATGTCAATCAAAAATTTCAATTTTAGTTTTAGTCTGTTAATTTTTTTGTGTGATAAAAAACTTTTTTTCCGTTTTCAACCGGATTTTTCCCGGGTAAAATATAAAAAAGATAAAACCAAATTTGATTTATCTATTTTTTAGAGCAACCGAAATGACAAAAATTTTTGACTACGAATATTTGACGACGCGGCAATTGAAGGGTTTCGACAGCTACAAATACAATTGTATCGATAATTCGCCGTTGAGTGTTTATGTTTCACATCCGTTTTGGAATTGGTTGGTGCAGGTGAGGAGAATTTGGCGGGAAATTGAGAAATGAGAAAAAACGTGACCCATTTTTTGTAATTTTTGAAATTTCATAAATCGAAATTTGTTTTTTGAAAAATTTTTGGCAGAAAATTGCAGAGCTTGTAGATCAGGTACGCACAATTGCACAGAAACACCTAAAATCACTCAAATATGCAGAATTTCCAATAAAAACACCAGATTTGACGTAAAAATACAGAATTTCACCTCAATGCATCATATTTGACGCGAAAATGCACAGAAACACCAAAAATCACGCAAAAATGCAGATTTCCTCCAAAATCCCTCATTTTTCCAGTTTTATCCATTAACATGGGTTCCAAATGTGATAACATTAGTTGGTTGGGCACTTGTGATGTTCGGATTTGTGCTAGAATCATATTTGGATTATGATATTTCGAGGAACTCTGATGGAGCACTCAATCCTATTCCAGATTGGTGAGTTTTGGGTGAAAATATATGGAAAATGTAGAATTTTGACCCAGAAAACGTGATTTTTGATGGAAATTTCATGAAAAATCTGAAATTTCACATCAATTTGACCCAAATTCCTTCAGGTTCTGGTTAGTGGCCGCTTTATGCACATTTCTGGGTCATACTTTGGATGGAACTGATGGAAAACAATCGAGAAGAATTGGAGCTGGTGGACCGACTGGCGAATTGTGTAAGTATTTGATTTTGAAAGCGATTTTTGGAAAATTCGAGAATTGTTTGTTGTGAAAATCCAATTTTGATGAAAAATATAGTTTTTTTTCGACTTTTCCTTATCAATTTTGCAAGTTTTCTTTGTGATAACGGGATTTTTTTGACGATTTTTTGTTTGGAAAATTTTAGAATTGAATTTGAAAAAAATCAGAGTTCAAATTGTTCATGAAAAACTTCAAAAGTTTGATTTTTACCAAAAATTCATGAAAATTTAGGTTTTTACATAAAAACATATATATCTTAAGTAGCCACGCCTAGAAAGCATTGGTTTCAAGCAGCGGCGCTTAGAGAGCTCAATTTTCAAGCAGTCACGTCTTGAGAGCATTAGTTTCAAGCAGCCACCCCTAGAGAACGTAGTTTTCAAGCAGCGGCGCCTAGAGAGCATAGGTTTTCAAGTATTGGCGCCTAGAGAACATTGTTTTTAAGCAGCGACGCCTAGAGAACCTTGTTCTCAAAGTGCCGAGTCGAGAGGATGTTATCAAGTAGCGACTCCTATAGAATCTAGTTGTCTAGGTGCCGTGCCTAGAAAGCTTATTTGTCAAGGATCAGCGTCTAGAGAACATAGTTTTCAAGTAGCCGAGCCTAGAGTCACTTGTGATGCTCAAAAATCCCCTAATTTTTTTGCAGTCGATCACGGTCTGGATTCCTGGTCAACAGTTCCATTCACAATCACAATTTTCTCGATTTTCGGTCGCGGACATTTCTCGATTTCATGTCTCGAATTACTCTGTGTTCTCATTTCAACACAAATCGTCTTTTTTGCAACACATTGGGAGAAATATAATACCGGAATCATGTTTTTGTCGTGGGCTTATGATTTGAGCCAATATGTGAGTTTTTTTGTGCATTTTGGGGAAAAAACCACTGAAAAATGATCAAAAATGGGCGGAGCTTGAATTTGCAAGACTGGCACAGTTTTTTTTAAATCAAAAATTATATTTGAAAAGGCAAGCCTGACAGTTTTTCTGATTTTCAACGTTAAAAACCAGAAAAAATGCAACCCTGGCACAGTTTTACCCGAGAAAAAGTGTGCCAGGATTGCAGAAAGCCTGAAAATATGATCGAAAATGGGCGGGGCTTGATTTTGAAAGATTGGAAAACAGTTTTTATCTTCAAAGATTCAGGAAAAACTGTGCCAGGATTGCAGAATGGTTTAAAAGAGCCACGCCCATTTTCTGCAAGCCTAGCATAGTTTTCTCCTTTGATTTCTCATGTTTTTTGAAATCCCGAAAAATTTACGTTTCGAAAAAATTAGAAAATAACTTTTTCTGGTTTTTTTTGATCGGGTATTTCATTTCTCATTCAGCAATCTCACGTCAGAAAAAAAATAATTGCAAAATGCACAAAAGTTCGTTTGGGACCCTGAAAATATGGGAAGAAAATAGGAATTCTGAAAAATCGGCACGGAATTTATTTTTGCAAGCCGGGCACAGTTTTTCCTTCAAAAAATCCCCGAGAAAAAGTGTGTCAGGATTGCAGAATGATATAAATAAGCCACGCCCATTTTCTGCAAGCCTCGCACAGTTTTCTTTTTGTTTTGCAGGGTCTTGTAATTGTCTATTTATGGACATATTTTGTTGGCTACAAATGGTTCCATTTCATGTTACCAGGCGGATTTGTCAATTTTGCATTCGCTTTTCAAATTGGATTTTATGGTGAGTTTTTTTGGGGGTTGTTGAAAATGTTGACATATTTCTTCTACCTCGGGAATCGCCAGGGCTGTCAAAAATCACACCGGAATTTGCCTACCTTTGGGGGATATTTTGAGATTTCCGGAAAATCCTATCATATTTTCCCTATCTGTCGAAAATCACACTATATTGTGCCTACCTCGAAGATTTTGAGGGCTGCCGAAAATCCTGGCATATTTCTCCTACCTGTCAAAAATCGCACTATATTTTCCCTACCTTTCTATTTTTCCAGCATGCTGTGCACTTTCTCTCGTCGCCTCAGCCTACAATATTTCGGTGGCCGAAAAATTGAAACATGTGAGTTCTAGTTCATCCCCTCAAAATTTTCAGCCCACAATTTTCATTTTCAGAACACATTTCTGGCTGCATTCCGACCGGCTTGGCCAGTTTTGACACTTTTCGGTTCCTCGATTTTCTGGGGAGCATATTCGCCCGGAAATGTGCTCGATATCGATCCGCGCTGCTTCTTTTTCTGCATGGGAACTGTTTTTAGTAATGTGGCGGTAAGCGGAAACTTGCGGCAGACAGCTAGAGAACACTGAGAGGTCAGAGACGCAGACACTAGTTGTCTATGTCTCTCATTTTTCTATGATCTCTAACTCTTGTTACTTTAGCTCAAAAGTTTCCTATCTAAGATTGAGTACTGTAGGGGCTCCAGATTACTGTAGATAATTCTACAGTACTCATTGCACCGAAAATTTTCCAAGTTTCTTTTCCCAAAAATTTCGAAGCTACGGTAATCTTCATAGGCCTGAAGAACTACAGTAGTCTCATGGTTACTGTACTTTGAAGCTTTTCGAGCTACAGTACTCTTAGCTACAGTACCCTCCATGTGTTTTTTTTTGCAGTGTCGACTAATAATTGCCCAAATGTCGAATTCGATCGCCGAAATTTTCAATTTTGCACTCACAATTTATATTTTTGCCATTGGTACTGTACTTTTTTCGCTTCAGGACCCATTTTTGAATTTTTGCAGGTTTGGCTTTCCAATTTCCAAATTTCGAATTGTCAATTTTGCGTATCTCAACTATTCTCATCACTTTAATACATGTACACTATGGAGTTTGTGTGGTAAGTTGCGGGTACTGTAGGAGGGGTACTGTAGGTATCGTAATCTGGAAGCTCAAGTTTTGACCACTTCATTTGAGAACTTGAAGTACAGTAAGCTACAGTAATCTGGAATTTTCTAAATGAGAATAACTGCGAATTTCGTTATTTGAAAATTTTTTGAACTACAGTACTCCGGATCATTTTTCCTGAATAGAAAATGTGGAGTACTGTAGTTTTATGATCCTTTAAAAAATATTCTGACTCACAGTAATCTGATTTTTGGATTACTGTAGAACTTGGATATTTTCTATAAGCCTTTAAAATTTTGAGGTTGAGCTACAGTAACCCAAGTAATAAATCACTCAAAAAATTTTCATTCAAAATGCAAATTTTCCCAGGTTACTGTAGGTTCTTTGTTTTCGTCGCCAACAAAAAGCATAAATTTTGAACCCAAAATTTTCCGAATTCAAATTTTCATTGTTTTTCAAATCTCAAACAAAGAAATTGAATTTTTCCCAATTTTTTTTTCAAAATTTATGATTTTTTGTTCTGGAAAACTATAAAAGCAGGTGGAAAATGCTCAAAATTGCCTTCAATTTTTTTTTCTCGAAAAATTTTTTTGTTTGAAAAAATTGCATAATTAGGTTATTATTTTTTCCAGTTTTTTTGCTCAAAGAGCACAATTTTTTAAAATGTTATTTTATCTCAAATTTCTACATGTTCCTTTAAAATGTGCCTACAGTACTCTTTCATTTTTTGCAGGTCCGTCAACTTTGTCGTCATTTCAAAATCGAAGCCCTAAGTGTTTCTTATTTGGAAAAACGAAAGGCGAAAAATTGAGCAGAAGATTACTGTAGTAGGTTACTGTAGTACAGTACTCTTTTATTTTTTCATGTGTTTTTTTTTCTATTTACTGGTTTTCTGATTGACGTTGCCATGAAATGTTCCTTTAAAATCTACAGTAGTCTAGAAATGTTTAGATAAATTTCGAAATTCCATTTCCACTGGTTTTTGATCAGCATGTTCCTTTAAAATCTACAGTAATCTTTCTAATTTTTTGGAGCCCGGAAATTTGGAATTTCCGACAAAAATTGGCTGTTTTTCCCATGATAAATCCCCAAAAAAAATTTTTTTTGGAACTTTTGCGCAGTTTTTTTGGTGCGAAAAAAATATTAAAAATTTTTGACTGCGTACGTTAGATACTCAGGGAAGTGGGAATTTGACTGCGTACCTTGGGATCTGATCTACCAAAATTTCCCAACCCCGATTTCTTAAAGGAACATGTGATTTTTAACAAATTCTTCAAAAAATGGGATTTTCCGCCACTCTTCCTCTTTTTTCTTCTTATTTCAAAAAGGTCTTAAAACGAATCCAATTTTGGCGCCAAAAAATTGTTCATTTCACATTTTTTCTTCGCCTTTTTTTTGTGAGAAAAAGAAGAAGAAGAAGAAAATATGAAAAAAATAGGGAAAAAATATATTTATTATGTAAACAGCATTCTGAAGCGACAAAAAATTTGAATTTTTTTTTGTGGTGGATTTTTGGCGCCAAAATTTTTTTTTTTCATATTTTTTTGCCTCTGAAAAAGTCACATGAACGCTTTGTTTTATCCGAGCGGATTAGTCAAATAAGAAACATTTTTGTGCTGTTCCAACAATTTATTGATGTTTTTTTTCGGATGAGTAGGCGAATTTTGGGGAGATTTTCACGCTATGCCAGCCGATACAAAAATTAAATTTCTGGGAGACGCAGACTTTTAACACAGGCAGAGACATCTCTCGCCTTTCCTTCCCCCTCGGGCGATACAGTGTGCTGTTGGCAGACACAGCAGACAAGCAGACACACACACAAAACATAGCGCATGGCCGCGCCGCTTTTTCGTCTGTCGCTGCGTTTATAGACCACATCGGCGTCGCCCTTTGATGTGTTGAGGTCTCGCAGCGACTTTCTAACCGAAAATGAATGTCTGCGTCTCCTCGAATTTGTGTGGTGGCACGACGTGTTTTTGACATCCTTAAAAATAAGTTGGGTAGGAGAAATATGATAATATTTTTGTAGCCTCATAAATAGTTTCTGATAGGAAAAATATAGTGTGATTTTTGACATCCCGGCGTTTTCTTGAAATTTCCAATTTTCCGTGTGAATTTCGATGAGTAGGAAAAATATGACAATATTTTCGACATCCCCAAATTCTCGTTGACTAGGCATTTTTCCGTGTGATTTTCGACGTCACAGTTTTTTCTCGTGGTTTTTTTTGAGAGGATTTCCAACCCTCCCCAAAATTTTAATTAGAGATTTTGTTTCGTCTCGAAATTTTCAGTGTAGGAAAAATATAGTGTGATTTTTGTTACCTCAAATTCAAAAAAAAATTAAGTAGGTAGTTTTTGGTATGATTTTTTACCTCAAAATTATTCTGTTGGGTGAAATACAGTGCGATTTTTGACATATCAAATTTCTAATGAAATTTTAGGTAGGTTAATTACAGTTTTTTTCAAAGTAGGAAAAGTATAGTGTGATTTTTGACACCCCCATTTCCCGTGTTTCTCCCTGCAGATAGGCAAATTCCGCTGTGATTTCCGACACAAAAATCTCATTTTTTGTTTCTCTATTAATGATCAGTGAACAATTTCAGACATTCCCAAGTATTTTTTCTGAAAATTTATTTTTTTTCGTCCCGAAAAAAATAAAAAAAAACCAGATGTTTTCATTGAATTATTCAAATGTTTCCAGATTTTCTTCCTCCCGAAAAATAATGTTTTTTCTTGAATTTGAAAACAAAAAAAACACGCGCGAAATTTAATTAAATTTTCTTTTTTTTTTTTTTTGAAAAAAAAAGATTAGGAAAATTTTTCCCACTTTTATAGAAATTTACGATTTTATTTTTGAATTTTCACAGAAAAAGTTGTGCGCCGAGTGGGGGTCGAACCCAGGCTACGCGAGCAAAAGGCCAACTTGTATACCACTCGGCCACCCGTTCACTTTTTTCTTCTGCTGAAAATGTCGCTTATAAAATGGAGGTCTCGAAGCGAATAAAAAATCAGATGTAAAAAAAGAAACTAGAAAAAAAGATGCTAAATTTGTTTACAATTGCATTTTTTGTCGACAAAATGAGTATTTTCAGAGTCTTTCTTTTTTCCGCGAAGATTTTTGCTGAAAATCCTGACATTTTTCGCCTACTTTTGGCATGTTGGAAATCTTGTCATATTTTTCCTACCTTTGGATAAAGGGGAAATTGTGGGTTTTGAAAAAAAGCATTTTTCAAGAGGCTTGAAATTTTCATGCTGAAAATAGCACTATATTTTACCTGGATTTTGCTGTCAAAAATCTTGTCATATTTTCCCTACCCGCTATTTTTTTCATTTTTCTTCGAAAAAATAAACTTTATTGGCCCCAAAACCAATATTTTTTTTTCCAATTTCTTCCCAAAATCTCATCATTTTTTCTCGCACTCTCCATTTTTTTTGTCGAAAAAATTCAATTTCCTCGGTCAAAAAGTCTCCCAGACTTTTTTTCAATCAAAAATCTATTTTCAGCTGGAAAATTGTGTTTTTTTTTTTTTGAAAAAAAAAACAAAAACCAAAATTCGTATTTTTGCTACATCCATCATTTTTCTCTCACTTTTTTTGTTGTTTGAGAAAATGAAAACAAATAATTTTGTTTTTCAAGATTTCTTACTTCAGGAAAATGAAGAACCAGAATTTTTTGCAAAAAAAAAGAAAAAAACTTGGGCGCCAGGTGGGGTCGAACTCAGGTCTTGCAAACAAAAGGCAAACGTGTTCACCACTCGGCCACGCTGCTATTTTTTTCAGCAGGTGAAATTGTCATATTTAAATGCGCTTTTTCGCGCCTTTACTAAATTTTGACCACAAAAAAAACGAAAAAGTTGAGACATGTTTAAACTTTTAATTAAACTACTCCCCGAAAAGGGTGTCATTTTCATTTCTCTCCCAAATTTCCCTCCCTTTTCTTTTCTCCTATTTTTCTCCTTTTTACTACGTTTCTTGGCAACAATTGGCGCCTAAAATCTATTTTTTTTCAATATATTTTTAATCCAAAAACTTTTAGGTTTTCCCCTGAAAACCCCGCCCATTTTTCATTTTTCAAAGAAGCTCCGCCCCTTTTTTTGCGGCGGCTACCCTAGGAGGATGATGAATATCTCAGACACCACTTTTTTCGGTGGAGAACTGAATATGACAACTGAAGATAATGCCTTAGCCTACGAGTTAATTCTGAGACAACAATTGGAAGCGCATCGGCAGAAAGAAGGTTAGTTATATCAAAATGTTCGCAAGGATCTGAGGAATAAGGAGAACTTTTTAGATTTTCAAATGGTTTCCTAGTTCCTGAGAAAAATCCAAAAAACCATGCGGGCTTGTAGAAAGACGCATACCGTACCACACACAGGTCTCGTGGCGATGCGACGAACGAATTTTTTTTTATTTTTGGAAAAAAATTGAGTTTTTTTTTGGTTTGTGTTGGACTTTCTGGGTGGAAAACTGAAAAAACCCATAAAATTCTTATTGGGTAATAATGTAGTAATGACGAGCTCGATTTTGCACAAATTTTTTGTTGTTTTTTGGACCGGGGAAATTCAAAATTTCTGAAGTTTCCTGAATCGAATTTTCCTGTAAAAAACGCTTTACTATTATAATATTTTTTGCATGATTTCATTGAAATTCAAATTTCTTCTTCTTTCAATTCAATTCAATCAAAATCAAATTTGAATATGAATATAAATAAATAACTAACTTCTTGTTTCCTGCGAAAACAGGGCTTCCCAAAAAACATGCAAAATATTATAGATCACTGGAACAGTCTAGCACGACGTTTTGGAATATGCTACATCGTTTTGGGAATTCTTGCGATCATTGTGAACATCGTTATCTTCACAAGTATTATTTTACGAAGAAGACACACATTTTCTCAAGTTTTCTACATTATTATTCTGAATTTCACGATTATCGATACGATTAAAGGTTTGTTTAGTTTTTACTTCTTTTTTGCTCCTGAAAACGTTTTTTTTTCGTTCCGTTGGCAAGAAATTTTAAAGCAATCAACTGAAAACAGAACAATGTTTTGTTTTGTTTTTTCAGCTTTGTCTCTGTGTTTTTTCCCTTTTTTTAAGCAAGCTCAAAAACAAAGTTTATATATAAACAAACAGCCGGAAATACATATTTTAGGGGATTTATTTAGAATTCAAGGTTCAATAGAGCGTGTTTTTGTTGTTTTTAGTGAATTACTTACTTGAAACATGCAAGTTTTTTTTTTTTTTTAATACTTTAGAAAACGCATTTAGGGCTGTAAATTACGTAAGGCTTTCGTTAAATAAGAAATATAGTCTTATAGAACTTGGCTCCCTGAGCACAATTTACCCAGGGAACACCGCAGCTAATTTTAAGAACATCGTGACCAGTGGGTCGAGTTCTGTAAGGCTATATTTCTTATTTACCAGAAGTCTTACGTAATTTACACCTCTTACTACATTTTCTGAAGTCGACTTGCATGTTTCAAGTAAGTAATCCCCTGAAAACAACATAAACACGCTCTATTGAACCTTGAATTTTAAATAAATCCCCTAAAATATGTATATCCGGCTGTTTGTTTATATATAAACTTTATCTTCAAGCTAGAGACTACATAAAACCGCTATAAAATGTGTCTTTTTGGACCAGGAACTCTATATAGAAATATTGTTTTTCAAGGACCCTGCAGAATACTCTGAATCAAAGGTCTTAGGTTAAATAAATATTTTTCCGGAAGGAAAGTTGGAAAAATGTATTGGGGGTAAATAATGAAAAATGAAAATGAAGAAGAAGATTAGGTTGAGATGAGGTCATGTGGAAAAAAGTCACGTATTTAATGAAATTAAATTTTTATCCTCATTTCATTTCTGAATATTTCGAAAATGGGGATTTGCGATGGAAGGGAAAATAATTTTTTACAAAAAAATTGGAGATGGATTTTTTGATTTTGGCAAGTTCGAACTAGGCTCAAATTTCAAAACAAAACCTTTTTTGGTTTTAAAAAATTCGAAGAAATACTGAACTCCGGAAATCTTCCTTGAAAATTTAGTAAAATCAATTTGCAGTTTGCAAAATTCATGAATTTTCTGAAATTGTCACTTGGAATTCTTTTCAACTTTTAATTCTAGAAAATTGTATCACTTCATGTAGTTTTCAATCTGTTGATCATGATCCCTGAACATGAGTTATGACGTGGCAAAGTTCATTAATTTTGCCACGTCATAACTCATGTTCAGATTTTCAGCAGAGCAGCAGAAATCTACAAAAAATGATACAAATTTCTAGAAGTAAAAAGTTGAAAGGGGTCCCTAGGGACAAGTTCAGAGAATTCATGATTTTTGCAAATTGCTCAGACGCGGAAGCTATGCCCAAATTTTCATTTTGGGCATTTAAGAAACATTTTTGGTGAAAAATGAAGAGTGAGTGTAATTAAATATTAGTAAATGAAAATTTTTCAAATGTTTATCTTTAAAAACGTGACCTACGTGAAAAATGAGATAAAATTGTTTTGAAAATTTATTTTGAATTCGGGAATTTTTGGAAAATAAATTTGGCCCGACAGGCTTAATTGGAGATAAAAATAATCTATTTTTCCAGGAGTCTCCTCAATTCTATTCGCAATCAAACATGTCACATCCGATCTCTCCTCCGAATCCTCTTGGGCTGTAATTGTTGATCAATACGGCGGAGTCCTCCTCCGCTTCACAAATCTCACAACAATCATGAATGTTCTTCTAATAACCCTCAACGAATTCATTTTCATCTGTTATCCACTTCGTTATTCCTCAATTGTCACAAAACATCGTGTTCTCATCTCGATTGTTTCCAGCTGGTTTTTGGCCGCATTTTTGGTGATTTTGAATATGTGGGCCAGTTTTCAACACAAAACTTTTATGATTGATGACGAGTGCAAAGAAGGTAAGCAAGTTTTAGTTCAAAAATTCTGAAAAAAACAAATAATTTTTTTTCAATTCTGCAGAAATGGAAGAATGTCTCCAATTCAACAAATCATCTCTTTTCAAATTCTTTTTATTCCATTTAATGTTGGTTGTTTTTTGCCTGACATGTTTGGCTGTTACAGTTGGATGCTATTTGGTTCTATTCAAGTGAGTTGAACCTGGGTTTTTTGGGAAAACATTTGGGATTTGTTCTATGACGTGGCAATTTGAAAGGGGGTTGGATTGTATGATTTGAAAAATATAATTTTTTAATTTTCTAGATTCGCGGGAAATTAAAAAAAATATTTTGTGATGTGGTAGTATTTGACCTAATTTTGTTCTTCGAAATTTAAAAATTTGAATAAAAAAGTACAGAATTTTTTTCTTGATCTATGACGTGGCAATCTTCTGCTCTGGGGCCCGTCTATTTTGAATACAATTTTTAAAGGAACATCATGGTCTCGAAGCGATTCCCAGAAGTTTCTCATGAAAATAAATTTTCCCAGATTTCTGATGCGCTAATTCTTCCAAATCAAACATCTTGAATATTTAACCAACCAAAACACCTCGTGTTTTTTGCGAACTTTACGTATATCCTATTCTTATTTCTATAATTATAATTATACATATTGGCTTACTTAAGTATTAGGTTTCCTACTTATTTTTGGCTCTGCTCTTTTAGTTAAAAGTGCTCTGGTGACTAATATCTAGGGATTTACTTTATTTAGTCAAAGTAACACTACCAACTCATAATAATTTTATTATGTTTTCCTTCCCTTATTTTTTGAGTTATAAGTTATATAATGGAAAACCACATTTAAAATGTATGAGCTTGTTTGTTTTTTGAAAGAAAATAAGAGGAGGAGGGAGGGAGACAACAGAAACTTGGAAATGACGCAAAAAGGGGATCAAAAATGCGCCAACCTGTGCGAGAAATGCGTCAGTGTTGAATTGTAGACGTTAAAACTGCGAGATTCGTGTTCTATTAGTCACGGTGATTCAAATGACACTGAACACGCTCTATTTCAGCCATGCACCGAAAATGCGTCAAGGGTGACGTATAGGGGTTGCTGGCGCGTTTTTGGTAGTCTACAGAAAATATGGCGTGTTTGGTGTCAATCAGATCGGAATAATCTTCTCTTTTTCCAGAATCATCTCAAATCTAATGAAAAGTGATGCGAAATTCCAAGCAGAAGTCGATTTGTTGAACGACGAAAATCCTCAAGCCAAAAACATAGCTCGCCGTCGAAAATACGTGTTAATGATTGGAAGTGTTATCGTAGTTTACACGGTGTTTTTGGTCACTTATGCTGTTATTCAAACAATTCATGTGATCAATATTAGAAGTCGAAATTTGAGTGATGGAATGATTACGCTGAAGTTTGTTTGCTATTTGTTCATCTCGTTTCATTCGTTGTTGCAACCATTTTGTTTTATGAGAATGAAAGAGTTTAGGAATATTTTGAAGAGGTGAGAAATCTTAATTTAAATCGAAAAATCTCAAAATTTCACTTAAAACCTTAAAATTTTGATGAACATTTCAAAAATCCAATTGATATCATCGGAAAAATGCCAAAATCGGGGCCTGGAAGACCAGAAATGACCTAGGAAACCAACAACGAAAAATGTGGCCTAGAAATCCGATAATTGGTTTTCTAGGCCATATTTCTAACTTTCCAATCTTTCAGAACAATCTGTGGCTGCCTCAAACCCAACAATCCGGATTTCCGTCGCTCCTCTTTCCGACCAACTGAAATTTAAAGGAGCATACCGTATCTCACTCATTTCATCCCAAATTTGATCTCATTTTGTTTCATTTTTTTACTTATGCACACATTTTTCTCTTGTTGCCGGGCTTCCAATTTTTTCTTATCATTTTTTTCTTCATTTTTGAAATACACACACCTTTTTTTTGTCAATTTTTTTATCTTGTGAATAAAATTCTTGTAGTTTGTGATTCGAGTTTGTGAATTTTTCGGGAAATCACAATTTTTATCGGAATTTATTGGTTTTTCCAAGGAAAATTATTTTAATGGTTTTTTTTCAGGAAAAAATTGAAATTTTTCTGAGAAAAAACAACGACACTCCGCTGTTTACACCTTCAATTTTGAATTTTTTTCCCAATTTTCGCCTCAAACCTGAAAATCCAGGGGTTTTCCCATTTTTTCCAGCGAAAAAAAATGAAAATGAAAAAACAACGACACTCCGCTGTTTACGTTTTTTCAAAAATCTTTTTTTTTTCATTCCTCGTTTTTTGCTTTGAAAATCCCGGTTTTTTCGAGTTTCGCAACTGAAATTTCAGAAAATGAGTCCATCGGGTTCAAATGAATGGAAATTGTTGTATGAGACGAATGTTGCGATATTTGCCGGAAGATTGTGTGCAATTTCGATACAATCGATGGAAATTCCGGGAAATTTGTGGAAAGTGAGTGGATTTTGGGGAATGGGCTGGAAAATAAAGCTTTATGAGCTGGAAAATGAGCAATTCTAGATTTTAATCGAGGAGTCACTAAAAATTTGAAAATGAGAGGAAATTTTAAGCTCAAGACAGAAATCAGTTCGAAATTCATCAAAAAGTTGATTTTTTTAGTGGATTTTTCTGAAAAATCACTCAAAAAATGAAGAAAATCTTCAAAAACTTGCAATTTTAATCCAAAACATTAAAAAATTTGATGAAGATCCGATTTTTCAATGCAAAATTCTAGAAAAACTTGATTTTCAATAAAAGTTTTCAGCTTCGAATCTCCTCCTCTTCCGACATCTCAATCCTTCTTCAAAACTCTTCAATTCCTCCCGAAATCTATCAAATTCTTCTTTCTCGTCTCAAATTTATCCTAACTTCTCGTTCTGAAGATTCGAGTTTTATTGGAATTCGAATCGAGCAAAAAACACAGGAAAAAGGAGAATTTGAATTATTAATTGAGGGAAATGCAAAAGATGTGATGAAAATTGATGTGAAAACAGCAGATTCTGAAGAATTATCACATCATTTTATGAATTGTTATGCGAAGGAAAAGGTTTGGAATTTGGGAACTTGATACGAAATTCAAAGGAAATATGAAAAAATCATGAAATTCCGGTTTTTTTGAGTCTAAACATTGTTATGTTCCTTTAAAATGTGTTTTACGTTGCGAGACCCAAATCTAGAAAAATATGAATGTTCCTTTAAGTTTCGGATCTCACTACGAAAATCCTCTGTTAATTTTCCATCAATAATTGATTCCTGAAAAATATACGTTTCAAAAATTCGTGAAGAGAAAAATTAAATCTGATTCTTCGATATGTTGTCAACCACGGATCATAACCCTAAGATTTTGAAAAATCACGAAATTCTGATCATTTCGACTATAAACATGCCCATGTTCCTTTAAAATACAATTTTCGTGATAGGACCCAAATTTGATGTTTTTCAGGCACAAAATCAAGCAAATTTGGCGAAAATCGAAAGTTTGTCCAAACAATTGCAAGCCAAAGAATTTGAATGTGAAAATGTTGGTTTTTTTGCTGGAAAACCTGAAATTCCAGCCAAAATCCCCAAAATTTCAGCTAAAAATGCGCTGCGAATACAAAGAGGAGGAAAATCGCCTGCTCCGTCAATTAAACGCGTCTCGAACAGCTTCCGCTTCCACTTCCGCGCGGAAACCTTGCGGCGGATGTGCGCAAGAGAAATGCAGATGTTTGAATGAGGAAGAAGAAGAAGAAGAGGATCAGAGTATGGATGAGGAGGATGATGATGATTTGGAGGAAGAAATGGAAGAGGATGGGGAATTTAGAAATGTAAGCTGGGTTTAAGTGGGAAATTTTGAATTTTTCATGAGATTTGGAGCATTTTGAGTGGAAATATGGGTATTTTTGGGTGAAAATTGCTCAAAATTCTCTGAAAAACCCTATTTTCCCACAAATTTTCAGTTTTTCAGCCAAAAAATGATTGATTTTTTTGCAGAATTCCCTAAAAACTTGGCTAATGCAACAAGATCCATCAACATTGACTTTGCTTCGAAATTCAGCTGGAAATATGGTTTTGGCTAGAAAAACCCAGCAAAATGATCAGGGTAAGTCAAGGAGTCGAGTCTAGAGAACACGATTGTCTAGGACCCGCGGCTAGAAATCATCTCTGGCAAGGAGCCGAGCCTATAGAACCTAGTGCTCAAGTAACCACGCCTAGAAACCCTAGTTTTCAAGTAGCTGAGCCTAGAGAATCCGATTGTCTAGGACCCGCGTCTAGAGATTCTAAATTGACAAGGACCCGCGCCTATAGAACCTAGTGCTTAAGTACCCGCGCCTAGAAACCCTAGTTTTCAAGTAGCGAAGCCTATAAATTAGTGTTCAAGTAGCCAAGCCTAGAGAACCTAATCGTCTAGGACCCGCGCCTATAGACCTGGTGCTGAAGTAGCCGCGCCTAAAGATTCTAAATTTTCAAGGACCCGCGCCTATAGAACCTTTTTTCAAGTAGCTGAGCCTTGAGATCTTCTATGCCAAGCAGCGCAGTTTTCAAGAATTTAAATTTTTTGTGAATATTCAATATTTCTCTCGAATTTTTGTGATTTTTTGCAGAACCCTCAACTTCTTCTAACTATAAAATCGATGAAAAAATGGATTCAGAATTGATGAAAAAATTGGGAGTTATTATGAGAGGTGAGCGAGTTTTTACAAATTTCGAAAAGTTTGTATTGAAAACTTCAGCTCTAACAAATTTCCAATGAAATTTTCCAGCAGCTCCAGAATCTTCTCCATCTTCTTCATCTCCAAATTTTCAAATCGTCAAAACCGAATCTTCTGGTCCGTTAACCATCGAAAATGCAAACAATCCCCAACTTGTCTCAACTTCTTCCACCCAAAATTCAAATTCGCACCAAAAAAACGTGGTTTTGGGTGTTGTCCAATATGTAATATGTCAATTATGTCCAGAAAATGAGCAAAAACCGACGGATATTTCGAATTTGCAAGAAATGGAAGCACATTTGTTGGATAAACATGTCGATAAGGAGAAAAAACAATGTGAAGCTTGTCCGACGAATGAAATTCCGGCAAATAATATTATTCAGCATATGAGAATACATACAAATAGGTTGGCAAGCGGGAAATTTGGATTTAGAGGGATATTTTGGCCTAGAAAAACACTTTGTCGGATCCTAGGCCACCAGAAGTTCGAAAATTAGTTTTTTCCATGAAATTTTGGTTCGGGCCCTTTTTACCTAGGATTTCTAGTTGAAATTCCAGTCCGTGGCCTAGAAAGTTATCTTGTCGGATCCTAGGCCATCAGAAATTTGAATATTCGGATTTCTTATGAAATTTTGGTTGGGCAACGTTTTACCCAAGATTTCTAGCTAAAATTTTAGTCCGTGGCCTAGAAAGTCATCTCGTCGGATCCTAGGCCATCATAAATTCGAAAATTCGGATTTATCATGAAATTTTGACCCGGAAATCTTTTGATCTTTAGTTTCTTGCTGAAAGTTTAGACCATGGCCTAGAAAAACACTTTGTCGGATCCTAGGCCATCCACCTCGAATCTCTAATTTTTCAGTGTTTATGCATGTCAACAATGTGGAAAACGAGGAAAGAAGAATTATTTGAGATCGCATGTTCGAATTCATACTGGAGAACGACCTTATAGTGTGAGTTTTTCGAGTTATGACGTGGATTTTGGAATTTCTCATGGAATTTCAAGCTTTTAGACACCCATATTGATATACTTTTGATGATTTTTGAAAATTTCGCTACGGGACCCACTACGATACCAATATTTCAAATTCATCAAAAGTATATCAACATGGGTGTCTAAAAACCTGAAATTTTGTGAAAAATACAGAAATGACAATAATTTACCTTAGAATTAGCTAGAAATCTGATTTTCGAACATTTTTAAATATAAATTGAGGAAAAATTGATTTTCTCAAAGTCTAGACAGTATTTTATTTTTTTTTATCAATTCAATCAAAAACCTCCCACAAAATTTCAAAAAAAATCATTTTGACAGAAAATGAAACTAACTCTATTTGTTTTTCTGATATTCTCTTTGAATATTTCAATTTGTTCTGCTACTTTAACAAATTGTACAAGAGAAAATTATCCGAGAGCTGACGCGAGAAAAGCATGCAAATTTATGGAATATGAACAAGAAAAAAGAGGATTTACATCATGACTTTTTAATTGATAAACATTTTTTGCATTCATTTTTTGGAGTTGGTGATATTTGTAGCCGATTTTAAGCGAAATGCTAGTGATTTTCGGCTTTTTCATGAAATTTCAAGCTTTTAGACACCCATATTGATATACTTTTGATGATTTTTCAAATTTTCGCTACGGGACCCACTACGGTGCCGAATTTCCAAAAATCACCAAAAGTATATCAAAATGGGTGTCTAAAAGCCTGAAATTTCATGAAAAATTTGAAAATTCAATTTTTTTCAGTGTGAAACGTGTCCAAAAGCCTTCACCGATTCATCAACCCTTCGTCGACATCGGCTAACTCATACAGGCGAAAAGAAATATCAATGTCCAGTTTGTGGAAGAGCAATTGCAAGGAAGGATAATGTTAAAGTGCATATTCGAAGTCACGGAATTCATGTCTGAAATTTCAGACTGAAAATAAAGATTTAGCCTAAATTTTCCTGAAATTTCCACGTTTTTTGCACTATTTTCACTAAGTTGCTCATGCACCTTTAAAGCACATATTTTATCACTTTTTGGTTTGAAAATTGAATTTGCAGATTTTTTAGATGGCTGAAAATGAGAAGATTATCGAGGAGATTTTGTAGGTTTCATTTATTTTTGGCTGAAAATGTCTGAAATTTTTGAAGGAAAATGCAGGAGGAATTGGAGAGGAAAATGAGTGGATCGAATGAAAAATTGGAGCAGAAATTTGAAAATTTGAGAGAGTTTGTGAGTTTTTTTGGGGAAAAAATTTGAATTGGGAAAAATTTAAATTTTGAAAATTTTCCGCTAAAAATCCACGTTTTAAACCCTCAATTTTTTTTTTCGAAAATCAATTTTTTTCAAAAAAACAAGGCGAACTTTAAAAATGTTCCCAGTTTATAAATAAAATATATGCAAATTCAATTGAAAATGTGCCCTTTTTGAAAATAGAAAAAAAACGAGAAAACTTTTTTTTTGAAAATAAAGTGTTTGTTGATTTTTTATTTGGGTTTCAAAAGAGGATTTTTTGAAAAATTAGATTTCAAATCTCAGATCAAAAAAAAATTTTATTTAAAAAATTTATGAGTAGATTTTGAAAAAAACGTGAAATTTGATATCAGGTTGGAAATTTAATTCAAAAAAATTAGTTTTGAATTTTTTTTCAAAATAAAAAATTGTGCTCATTTTTCAGTTTCCAGAATCTCGTATTTTAATTAATCAGAGCCCAGATTTAATGTGCCACGTGGCATTTTCTGCACCAAAAGTTCCAAAAATCGATTTTCGGTCATCTTTTTCGATTTTGTCTTTGAAAAATCAAAGATTTCTCCTCTTTTTCCTTGTTTTTTTTTCTGTCCCATTCAAAATTACCCGAATTTCCTCTCAATTTCGCCAATTCAATTTTCCACATGATTTTTTTCTTTGTTTTTCAACTTTTTTTCTGTTTCTTCTTCTCAAATTCCTCATAATCCTCTCCAAATTTTTGAATATTATTTTTTGGAGCCAAAAAAAGAAGATTGGACTTTTAGTTTTTATAAAAATAAGATGAAAACGGAAAAAAAGAAGAAGAATAAAAGAAAAAGTATCTTATTTCAATTTGACTTTTGGAATTTGGGAGGGACCACTAAAACTGAATGGATTCTTGCTTTTTTTGTTCGGGAAAAGTTTATTTTTGGACCCTTTTTTGCGATAAAATTAAATATTTTCAAATTTAAATTTGATGGAATTTATCAGAAAAAAATTTGAAAATTTTGAGCCTAAGACACGATTTTAGCAATTTGGTTTTCTAGGCCACCAAGAATTTTGAAATCTGGTGTCTGAAAATCCACGTATTTTTAAATACTCTCGGACAATATTAGATTTTTCTGGTTTTTTTTTTCTCGAAAATATTTATTTTTCTTTTTTTTTTTGAAGAAATTGTTTATTTTCATTTTTCATTTTGAAAAAAAAAAGTTTTTTGTTTTGAAATTTTTCTGGAACATTTTTGGCCCCAAAATTTTATTTTTCCGAAAATAAAATTCAAATTCGTACTTTTCCCGCCCGCCTCAATTTCACATAATAATGCATAATACATCTTCCCTTTTTTCCAAATTTTTTTTTCGTTTTCCAAGAAAAATTTCGCCATAAATAGTAAATATGTCAGTTTGCATAAATATCAAAAACGTTTTCCTTTTTCACACCAAAAATTTTTTTTGAATTTTTTTCGTGAGAAAAATGACCACAAAACTCAAATTTTGGAGCTCAGAAAAGTTTTTTTTCATATTTTTGAGCCGAAGAAAATTGGATTTTCTCAAAAAATGGAATTTTTCGCCCTTTTTTGTCCTCATTGAAAAGGTGACTTTTTGTAGTTTGAGATGAGCTCGAATTTGCCACGTGGTATTTTTTCAAAATTTTCCAGGAAAAAAAACGTGACCTTTTTTGACTCGTGACAATTTTATTTTCTGATTTTTTTCAAATTAATTGTTCATTTCTCATTTTTCTTTTTCAAAAAATGAAATCTGGCTCACTTTTTCCTCTGGATTTGTGAGTTTTTTTCAATTCAAAAAAATTCTGGCTAGAAATACGGAACCCGGATTTTTTTGGGTGGCCTAGAAAACCAAACAGAATCTTTTGTTGTCCGAGAGAAATACACCAAAATTGGGAGGAAAACATTTGTTGTTTTTGGTCGTGACCTAGAAATTTCAGGGACTAGGAATGTTGGTTTCTAGGCCATCATGTATTTTTATAATCTCCTGATTTGGTTTTCTAGTCCACCAGGTTTCTAGTTCTGCAGGGAATCAAAAAATTAAAAACTATGAAAAATAATAAAATACTTATTCCCGCCAATTTTTAGTGTAGTTCTCTCGGACAAACTTCAATTTTTGTTGGTTTTCTAGGCCAGCCAAAAAAAATCACTCAATAATTTCTCAATTTAATAACATAGCATGTGTTCCGATTTTTCTTCCTCCCATAAATTTTTTTGATCCGCGAAAAAATATTTCAACACAAACAACTAATTTTGTTTGATGAAACCAAAACAGTTGTTCAAAAAATAAATGGGAATCCGGATGAAAAAGCGCGGAGACCGCAAGCTTCCGCGAACGCGGAATAGCTTTCTGGATATCCTAAAGAAGTTAGTGTAACTCCGAAGTTTCTAAAAAAATCAATATTAGGTCCAATATTTGTTTCATTAATCTCTTTTTCTTCTATTCTTTTTTTTCATTTCAAATTACTCATTGTTTATTTTATCGACCCACGAAAAAGCTGTCAAAAAATGTGTCAAAAAGTGTATTTCTTGACGCAGTTTTGGGTCATTCAATGAAAAATTTCAAAATTTTTGTTCTGAATTTGAAAAAAAAATTAAATTTTTTGTCCCGAAGTGTTTTTCTCAATTTTCCCTCCCTAAAAGTGCAGACTTCCTGTAACTCATAAATTTCCCACAAAATCTATTTTTTGCAGACAAATCGAGCCAATGGTTATATTTCAATTTTGAAGAGCATTTCGAAGGATGTCATTGAGATTTGTGAAAAAATTGAGAATTTGAAAAAACGCGCACGAAAAATTGAGGAAATTTGTTGAGATTTTTGAGTGAAAAAAGTGAGTTGGGGGGAGGAATTTGAAATTTGAAAATTGAAATTCGGCGCGAAAAATCCATTTTTCAAATACTTCATTATCGCGTCAAAACTTTGTACAAAATTGAAAAATTCAAATTTAAATTTTTCCCGCCTAATTTTTTTGTGTGTAATTCTCTCGGACAACATTGTGAGCTTTAAAAAAAAAAGTTTGGTTTTCTAGGCCACCAATAATTTGGGATTAGGCCACCAATAATTTGGGACTCTCAAAAATCCCTTAAATTGGATTCTAGATTATTTTTACAGAAAAATCACATTTTTCATGTTTCCAGAGCAAATTTTGTGATTCTAGGCCATGTTTGGATTTCTAGGCCACGCCAAAACCACTCAATTTTCCCTCACAAAAACATGTGTTCCTTCTCGATTTTTTCGCCCATAAATTTTTGCTCATTAAATTTTTTGATCCACTGTGTTTGTTAAAAGTGACACAACACAAATTTTAACAAATTTTTGCTGTTGTTGAAACAGTTGTTCTGAGACAAAAAAAAAATGAATTTTTGAACCCCGCAAAATTTTTTTTGAAACTAGTGTTTTGTTTTTTTTTTTTTGAAAAAAAAGTCCCAAAAACCCAATTTTCTGGCTCGTTTTTTTGTCTTTTTCTCGTTTCAAATTAACTTTTTTTTGGCGTGAGCGGGATTTTTTTGGAAACTGAACTTTTTTCGCGGAAAAATTTGAATTTTTGGACAAATTTGGGTGTTTGGCCGAACTTCGGTGGCCTAGAAATCCAGAAGTAAAACTTTCCGCCAAGAATTCAAATTTAAAATGTTTCAAATATGCTCCACTGAGAATTTTAATTTAAAATTCAAATTTGGCCGAACTTTGATGGCCTAGAAATCCAAAAATCCAAAAATAATGTTATATTGTCCGAGAGAACTACACAGAAAAAAATGAGGCGGGAATAATTTGAATTCATTTTTTTTTTGATAAATTTTTTGCTGCTAATTTTGAGAATTTTTTTGTTCCCGCCCATTTTTTTCACAAAATTCAAAATTTTCATTTTTTCTCTCTCCGAAAAAAATTATATTTTTTATGTGCTTCTTTCTTTTTATGAGGTGCCAAGGGGAAACCGGCCAAAAATTGGTTGTTTTTATTTTTTTAGGTTAAGTGTATTACTTTTTGGCTTAGGCTTAGTACGGTTAGGCTAACCTGAAAATTTGAAGCGGAAATATCTAATTTTCAAAAATTTTGTGATCGATTAGGCTTAAGCTGAAAAAATTTTGAAATTTCAGATTTTGGCGCCAAATTCTTCCGTGGTTTTTGATTCTTGATTTTCTCAAAATTTAAATTTTCAGAAAAAATGTTTGTTTCTGAAAATATCAGATAAGCCTTATCTCATCTTATTTTTTCTCGTTTTTTAAATGAAAAAAAAAGAATTATTTTGCACAAAAAATAGAGCAAAATAGATTTTTCTAGAAAATCCTGAATTATGAAATTTAAAAATTCAAATCAAAATTTTTCCCGGGTAATTTTTGTGTAGTTCTCTTGGACAACTTGAGATTTTTGGTTTTCTAGGCCACCAGAATTCCCGCGAAAAAAATTCAAATTTAAATTATATATATTGAACTTCTCACTGGAGCGCATTTGAAACATTTTCACCTATTGTTCCCGCAAATTTTTCCGTCAAAAATGAAATTGAGCGCGAAATTTCTTCTTCGTTTCGTAACCATGAAATTAAGCGTTTTCTTCATTCATTCTTTTTTTGTTTATTTTATTTTTCGTGCGCAAAAAGAAGAAAATATGAGATTTTCTCCAGCAAAAATGAAAATTCCCATTATTTTGATTAAATAATATAAACTTTTTCTCTTTTTTTTTGAGGAATTTTAAATTCAGGTCACGTTTGAGAGCAAAAAAGTTGTTTTTTGTGAGCAGAACTTTTTCCTAGAATTTGTGATCCTGCTAAAAATTTGAATTTCGAAAATTCCCGCTAAAAAGCGCCTAAATATTCATCTTCCCCTCGAGACCCAATTCCTACAGTACCCCAAATCATTTTTCCCGCCAAAATTCCTTATTTTTTCCAGATTTCCTTCTTCAAATTTCCACAAAAATGCTCTTCTTCATCTCAAAACTTCAAATTCCCATCATTTTTTGCTCATTTCTCATTCAATTTTCATTTCCAAATCCATTAATGTGTATGCAATGTGGCGGTGGATATTATGAGGGAAATGTTAGCCTAACTAAAGACAAATGCTGTAATTCACAACCAATTCAATGCGAACATGGACAGGTTTGTGTTTTGGGGCTGAAAATCTGGAAAATTCATCAAATTCTGGTTATTTTGACTGTAAACATTCCTATTTTCATTCAAAAAGCGATTTTTTCGTGGCAAGACCTAAATTGGGTCTCGAAACGATGTTTCAAGGAACATAGACCTTGAAAATTTGAAAATTCATGAAATTCTGGTTATTTTGACTGTGTTCCTTCAAAACCCGATTTTTTCCGTTGCTTGAAAAAATACGTTTCAAAAATTCTTGAAAAAAAGCAGTACATCAAAATATTTTATTCCGCTTGATTTTGGGGTTGAAATTTAAAAAAAAAACTAATATTTTATGGTCTCGCACTGGAATTTCGAGGAACATGGTTGCGAAAATCAAAAACTTCATGAAATTCTGGTTATTTTGAGTGTAAACATGCCTATGTTCCTTTAAAATAGTGGTTTTCGTGGTGAGACCAAATCCAGAGAAATTTGAATGTTCCTTTGAAGTTTGGGTCTTGCCATGAGAATTTTGATCTGAAAAAGAGCCGCGTCTAGAAAGCCTAGGGGCGACGACTTGAGATCGTGTACGTCAAGCAGCCTAGACGCCTTGAGAGCTTCTGTGTCAAGAAGCCGTGCCTAGAAATCCTAGTTCTCAAGGATCAGCGTCTTGAGATGATATTTCTTAAGTAGCCACACCTAGAGAACCTAACTGTCTAGAACTCACATCTAGAGATCCCTTCTGGCAAGCAGCCACCCCTTTAGAGCCTATTTCTCAAGCAACTCCACCTTCACCCTCTCATTTTCCTATTTTTATTCCAGATCTGCCTCCGTGCCTGGGTTTTCTCGCCCTATGGCAATTTCTTTTTATCCGGTTGTCATCCTGATGAAAATAGTCGAGATGGTTGCGAATTCCACATTTTACCCCACAATTCAACTGTTCAACGATGTATTTGTCGAGATGATGAATGTCAGAACTCATTTCCCGGAGATTGTCAAATGAATGAAAATATTGGAGATATTGTTACTACGGTAGGTGATTTTTGGGAGGGATGTTGGGGAAAATTTGAATTTTTACATGAAACATTTGAATTTTTGAATTTCCCGCCAAAAATTCACGCGGAAGGAAAAATTCAAAATGAAACACGCAGCGCGTGACCGCAACGCACCCAACGACATTCCCCCAATTCCTCCTAATTTCCAGACACCTCGCCCTCTTCGAATTTCATCTCCACCTTCATTATCCGCCAGATTATCGCACATCTCATCAGATTCCCCCACAAAATCCACACATTTCAATATAACTGCCAAAATATCCACGAATTCGAATTCGAATTCGAAATTAAATCGTGGCCGACAACATCACAGTCATCGAGTCAATTTTTCGCCCAAAAATTGTGTTTTCACCCTATTTTTCACATTTTTCTTGTCATTTTCCATTTTTCTAGTCTGAAACCCTCAAAATTTAAAGTCACATTTTTCTACCATCGAAGTATTTTTCGTCTTCTAATCATTTTTACGTGTATTTTTTGATTTTGTATTTAAAATGAAGTATTATTGATTTTTTGAAAATACGGGGTACTGTATCTTGAGAAATGTGCAAACACTGCAACTTTTGCGGACTTGGCATTTTAAATTACGCGCACGTTTTTTTGTTTTTTTTGTTTTGAACCGCGCGAAAATAGACGTAGAACTGTAGCTCCAGAAATCTGCAAACACTGAGCATTTCGCATTTCCACCGTTCCTCCATGAAAAATCAATATTTTCAGTAAAAATGGAAGCTCCGCCAGCAAAGCGACAGAAATCGACTAAAGAAAACAAAGAAGAAAATATATGGGAAAAGCTGCCGAAACACCTGAAAATTCAAATCAGCGATATAAACTCGAACAAATTTTGCGACGAAATTCGCTTCTCACATTATCAATTGGATGAATATGATCGAGCGGCTCTCAATTTCTATCACTCAAATCGTTTGTTGTTTTATTTGGAATTCAAAAAACCGCTCACAACTCCAATGACTACGATTTGCTGTTTTAGTAAAGAAGAAGAACATCGGGAGAAAGTTACGAATTGGAAATCGGATGAGAAAATAAAATCGGGACATTATTCGATTTTATGCTGGAAGAATGTGAAATTTGGGCAGTTTTATGAAATTGTTGGTGGATTTGTTAATCGATATTTGGAAGAATTGAAGAATTGTGTGAAATCGATTCATATTGAGACGAAAAATGTTAGGATTTTTATATTGTTTATCAAAAATCAATTTTTTTTATTTCAGCAGACTGGTTTTATGCTTCTCAACGTCATTAGAATCCGAAACTTTCTAAATCTCGATGTTTTGCTGATTCAACACGATGGTTTGCAAAATCAATGTCTTCTCGAACTTGGCACCATCGATTTTCTCACAATTTCCCGTGTTCAAAAATCTCTTGTAATTCCATTCATCAAATTAGAAATGTTTCAAATGATTCAATTAAAAGCCGAATGGATTCAATTATTTCTCGTTGATTTCAACACAATTCAACTTTCTCAAATATTTTATTATTGGAAATCGAATGGATTTGATGGAAATGTGAAGAAACTTCGAGTTGGAGGAGAATTTTCGATGAAACCTTATAAGGGATTGAAAAAATGGGTTGAAAATCAATCGATCAAACCGGGAACTTGTTTTTTGCCAATTGGTGATGATTTTGGTCAGAGATTTCCGGATGTTATTTCAAGATTTTCTGAAAATGAAGTGCATTCTTTGAATGCTGAAAGAAGTGAAGGATTTGCAATTCTTTATAGATTTTAATTGCAAACTTAATCAATTAACAGATTCATTTTAATAAATTACCGCTTGTCCTTGTAAATTTTTAATGAAATTTAACAAAAAATTTGGATTTTCTTCACGTTTTGACTATTTAATACCGAATTTCCACCTATTTCTTCATTTTTATTTTATTTTTGCTGAAAAATGGGCGTTTGGGTTTATATTGAGCCTTCCTCCGCATTATTTCCAGCTACAGTGCAAGCAACTTCTGTTCATCATCTTGTTAATGTGAAAGCGAAGAGATTGGCTTTTAAGGTAATATTTATTATATTTGGGGAGGTGGAATTGCGGAGCATCGTTGTTTTCATGAAAAATTTGAACTTTTAGTGTTTTTAACTGGTGGAATCGCGGAGCATCGTAAAAACCCCCTATTTTTACAGGTTAAAACCTCAAACAATGAGCAATATTCAGTGCGTCCAGTGTTCGGTTTCCTGGATCCAAATAGATATGAAAAATTTGAAGTTCAAAAAATGATTGGACCACCGACTGAAGACAAGATTATAGTTCAATATATCGAGGTATCGGATATGATTGAAAATCCACGAACACCTTTTTTACCTGAATACATTGACTATAGAGGTTCGGGGATTAAAGAAGTTGTTTTGCTTGTGAAAGCCACGTAGAAATCGGGGAGAAAAATGAAAATATACAACTTTTTATACTTGTTTTATGAAGATTTTTTATTCGGAAACAAAGTTGTTTCAGAAAATCTGATTTTCATTTTCAGACATTGCTCATATCAAAGTCGAATAAAAAAAGTGATTCTAGGTTAACCTGAGTAATGCTAATTTTCAAGATTCATTAAAAATGTTGAAAATGAGTTACATTGCTCATATTAGAGTTTATTCATATCATTGCTCAAATTAACTTGAAATTCCTTGATCTCTGACTTTAATATGAGCAATTCCGTACGAATTTTTCAGAAATTTGGAAAATTTGGAACTCAGAAATTGTTGCGTAATGTTTTTTGAACATTGCTCATATTAAACTTTTGCTCAGTAATTTTCTGTAGATCAAAAATATTCCTGAATCCCATGCTAAACTTTTTGCCACGTGGATTTCTGATACTTTTTACAATATTGCCACGTCACAATGCAACATTTTCATTGTTCTCCAAGTACAGTACTCGAATAGTTTTCCCAAAAACAAATCGCCTTCCCAAAAATCAATTCCAAGCCAATAAATAAAAAATGGGCGGAGCCTTATAGGTGTCAAGAGAGAAGGTGAGAAAATGAGACGCAGAGTGCTCTTCATAACTTCATAATTATATATTTTGCTCTAATATTTTCTGTGCTCAAAGAAAAACGAAAAAATACGTAATGGATGGAAAAATGGTGCCAATTCAATATTTCACTTCTTCGAGTTTTGACGATGAAATCAGAAGAAGAAGAAGAAAATATGTGAGCGAATCTTCTGAATCAGATGAGGATGAAGAAGATGTTGAGAAGATATTTTTCTTTGATTGGAAGACAATCGACAGTCCGGTTAGTTAACTTTTTTGGAGGGGATTTCACAGTGTGTAAATTTGTGCCCGGAGAAATTCTGTGAACCTTATAATTTTTCTGGTAGATCAGGGCGAAAATGTTTTGATAAAAAATTCTGTGCCACGTGGCTTTTCTAGATTTCAAAAACATTTCCATAAACAAATTTGAAGTTTCCGAATTTTTTTTTGGAAAATGAGCTATGACGTGGTAGAGTCAGATTCTCAAGAAAATCTGAAAACACTGAATTTTTCCCAATTTTTGCAGTTCGATATTCTTCCAATGGAAATGAAAACAATAATTTTCCAATATTTCGATCCCGAAGATATAACTCGTTTCGGAAAATGCTCCAAATCCTGTCAAAAACTCTTCAAAGCCTTTCGCCCAAAAATCAAAAGTGTCAAATACCGAGGAAACGGGATTAGCAGACTGGCATCTTTTCGAAATTGTATGATCGAAGTCGAATTTCATAATTATCCCGAAAGAAGATATAAAATCGAGGTGGAATCATTGAAATCGGTGAATTGGGCGGAAATCGAGAGAAGTTTTGCGAGAAAAATGTCGAGGAGAGATGAGATGATTGAGAGTGCGAGAAGATATTTGGAGACGATGGGAACGACGAAATTGTCGAATCCGAGGGGAGCAAGATCCAATGTTTTGCTCACAAAGTAGGTTACTTGCAAAAATGTGTTTGCGAAATTCAAAAATTCTTTCCAGAATCGCAAAAGTTCCCCTCTCAACTGGTCCAATTTTGCAAAAACTATCAAATCGACGAAAACCAAAATGTCGTCGAACAATTGCTATTGAAATACTCAAAAATATTATTGAGCACAATAAATTATCGATTGAATCGATTTCGATTGAAGCAAGTATTAATGTAAGTGCTCACAACTTCCTTCAAATTCCACCAACAAAATTCTGATTTTAGGAATCGAGAAACATGAGAAACATCGATATTTATTCGGAAAATTTGAAAAAATTAAAACTGAATGGATATTTCACAAAACATCCACAACTCAATAAATTCCTCTCAATCGAAGATCTCGAAATGGAAAATCTCAAACTAGGCTCCGAACATTTGCCATTGATAAAATCAAACAAACTTGTGATGCATAGAACTGTTATGGACAAAGAATTGTATGAAGAATTTTTTGAAGAAATGGAGAGATGGAAAGATTGCTGGGAATTTGAGAGAATTAGAGATGATTGGAGATGAATATCAATGGTTTTGTTATTTGTTTATGGATGATACGATGTGTAGATTTAAGATGGCAGAAAATGGAATGTTTTTTGAACGGTGGGTTAATCAAGGTTTTTATACTGCCAACGCGGTAAACTTGCCTGCGTCTCTCAAATTCTCATAATCTCTAATTTCCCCAATTTTTAAAAACCCCCATTTATTCCCAGATTTGATCGCGGAATACGCTGTGAAGTTGTTCGATCGCCATTCGTCAATTTCAAACTCGAAGGAGTTATGATCGATAATATTCATCATTTGCCTGTTCGAATGAAATTGAGCCGAGAGGATTTGGATTTGTGAGTCAGAGAACCAATATGGCCTAGAAAACCATTTGGTTTTCTCTTCCACGTCTCTTTGATTTTTCAATCTGTCTATTTTTTATCTTCTAATTTATTGATTGATTGATTTTTGTATTATCGATAGAAAATTTTAAAAATGAAATAAAAACTATTATAAATTTTTATTAGTCTTTTCACAGTGATTTTCAAAAAATTTTCAAGAAGTGATTTTCAAAAAAAAAAGTTTTTGAATTTTTGAAAATAAAGAATTGATTTGCATTAGAGCACATTTGCACTGATAACATTAAAAACAAGTTCAATATTTCACTTGTTCAAATTCGCTCTACTGAGAAAAAAGCCCCGCCCACTTTTTTTTCAAAAACCAAGTAGTTCAGTGGCAGTGGTGGCTGCTATCAATCTCAGGATCATTGGTTCGATTCCCGATGCCCGCTCTTTTCAAATCAGAATCTAAAGGCTCCGCCTACTTTTCAGATTGAATAAAAATGGGCGGTGCTAAAAATTCTCAATAGAGCGAACTTTCTAAATTGTGTTTTGATCTTCAGAAACCTAAGCTCCGCCCACTTTTATTCAATCTGAAAAAAACAGCGAGAGTCAGACAACCAGACAACCACAAAAATCGAGTGTCCCTTTAAAAGTACAGTTGGTTTTTTCTCGTTTTTTCTTCCGTTGTATATATTTTTGCTGAATATAAAAGAAGAAGAAGAAGAAGGAGAAAAGGAAGAAGATGAAGAAGAAGAAGAAGAAAAAGAAGAAGAAGAAGAAGAAGAAGAAGAAAACGCATCTATTCTACTTTATTTTCACACACTGTGCAGTGAAATAGAAGAGGATTAGAGAAGCAGACAGCGACGAAATAGTGTGAAGATGGTGAGAGAGTGGGCAAAATTGTGGAGAGAAAAAATGTTTGCTAGCGAACATGTGAATCTTTTCGTTTTGTCTTTTCGTTTTTATATTTTTTCTTGTCTTTTTTTTTGTATTTTCAAATTATTTGGGGAATTTCAGAGGGTTTTTGATGATTTTATTAATTGTTTTGGGAACTTGGGAAATACACAGCGTGGCGTTTTTTAATTAAAGTTTATTTTTCATTTTAAGGTTAGGCACTTTTCAACTTTTGATTTAGGAAAAGTTTAAAATTTTAAGACAAATCTTGAACTTTGAAAAATAAATTGATTTTTCGATCTCCAAATTTGGTGAGAAATTTTTTTGTAAATTTTTATGATCAGAAAAATTTAGCACTTGAATTCTGATTTTACAAACATTTTTCTTTGAAAATTTGATCTTAAAAAATTGAAATTACAGTAATAGTGTTCATTTTTTCGAAATATAATTTTTTGTTCAGAAATTTTTTAAACTTTATAATAATTTAATTCCGAATTCAGAATGAATATTGAACGATTTGTTTTCGAACCAAATTTATTTCAAGAATTTCTTATGACCTCAAATCAACGGATAAAATCCGAATTTGAATTTCAACCTTCGACTTCAGATAATAGGGTTAGTTAGCCTAACTTATTGTTATTAGCCTATTATCATTCCATTTAATTTCAGCCCTATCTTCCTTCAATGAAAAAGAAAAAAAGACATCAAACATGAGCCATCAGATCTTTCAATTTCACATCGTTTAACAAGTCGATTATTAAATGAAAGAGCAAAATGTTGTTATTGTGGAAAAATGGATATTTTATCAAATATGACTGCTGTTACAAAAGATCCCACTTATTTGACAGAATGGACTAGGATTTTGGGAATGGATTTCTATGAACAGGCAATGTCACATACTAAACCAAGGATTTGTCGAAGTCATTTTGATGTGAAATTTGGAGCGATTCGACCGAGACATGTTTTGCCGGTGGCAACGAATATTTTGATGACACAAAATGTTGAGGAGGATAATCAGAAAGTTAGTTGGGGATTAGGAATTTTGAAATTGAACTTTGGGTTAGAAATTTTCCAGTATATTCAGTTTTTCTTTGAATTTCGAAAAAACTCGGTGAAAATATTCAATTTAAAAAATTTTTACACACCATTTTCCAGCTCACTGAGAACCCTTCAACTTTCAAAATGAAGTTTAACGAATTTTTTTCAATATTTTTGAATAGAAATAATTTGATTCGAGCTGAAATTATTTTTTCTAACTTCTGAAAAAATAGCTTTGTTGAGAAAAGTTTTTTTCTTGAAGTCTAGGCTTTGAAAATTTTCAGTTTTTTTTTCAAGAAATTTTCAATATCTTCCAATTTTCTTTTCAAAAAAAAATGAAATTTACCTTCAAATTTCGTCAGTTGTTGTAACTCTTATATCCTTCAAATCAAAAACAAAAAACATTCATTAAATTCATATTTATAATTTTCCAAGTGAACATCGTTTTCCGCGGCTTTCTCGTGTTGTCGACATTTTGTACTGCTGAAAATTCAAAAACTTCATGAAAATCAATAAAACATGGAACTTACTCCAACGTGTACATGTTTGTGATGTTTTCGAACATCGAGTTCAGTTTCTTCTTTCTTCGGGCAAACACTACACTCGTATTTGCCATTTTTGAGCTGAAAACTGATTAAAATTAGTCACCGAGTTTAATTATGAGTTTAGAAGTTACCTTAATTGCAATAACCAAATCTCCTCCTTCATCCAAAACCACCAATCCATTATTGTTTTGAGTCGACCTTCAAAGAAAAAACTTTTATTTTATTTTTGGAAAATTGTACTTACGATGTCTCATTTGTCGATAATTTCCTTTTACGAATTTCGGATTTCTCGCCAGTTCTCTTTCCGGAGCTTTTTGTTGCTCGTTCTCTCGAAGTTGCTGCAACTCGAGGAATTTTTGGAGTTTCTTCTGAAGGAGCTGCAGCTTGAATCTTCATTCTAACTTCTTCAGTTGGCGCAACTTCTGTCTCTTCTGGTGGAGCAACAATTATGGTGTTGTTGTTGTTTTCGACTGGCGGATTTTGAGCAGCTCGAACATTTCCAGACAAATCTTCCAATTTGTTCTGTAAATCATACATTTCTTTTGAAATTTGAAAAATAGACTCACCAAAACAGTTAAAAATGAATTTTTAATTTCCGCAAATTCTCCCGTCGATTTCTCATTCAATGCGCCCAATTTGATCTCGATAATTTGTGTTTTGTTGATGATTAGATTCTTGACATCTGCCACTTCTTTCTTCAAATTATCCACTTTCTCTTCGAGCCGACGAATAAGGATCATGTGGCCTGAAATCCAGAGATTTTCTTGATTTTTATAAAACTTTAAAATTTCACTTACGATCTGATCCTTCGGCATTTCGCAAATCGTCTTCTGACAAAACAAAATTTTCAGTTTGGAACTGATTTTGTCGAGACATTGCTCTTTTTTTCAACACTTACAATTAGTATTTACAGCTATTTCCAGCTGGAAACGAAAAAAAAAAATTTTTTTTTTGAAAATGAAAAAAAAAGTGTTGTGCGCGTCGAGACCATTTGACGCGCACACATGTCCCTTTAACCGACATGACGTGGGAATTTGAAATTATTATTTGATTTATTTCATTTTTTTTGCAGCTATCCGGCAATGCTCGAAAATGCACATATTGCGGTGAGCTGAAAAAACTCACCGAATCCACATTCGTCCCCAAAGACCCGTTCTACCTCTCAAAATGGACCGAAATTCTGGGCATCGATTTCTATATGCGAACCATCTCGCAAAAACATCCGCGAATTTGTCGCAGCCATTTCAATAAGAAATTTGTGCGCGTAAAACCGTACGATTTGTTGCCTGTGCCTTTAATTGATCAAAAAACTTGTTGAAATTCATTTTTTCGTTTCGAGACCCCATTTTGATTCACTTTTTTCTTGCCAACTTTTCTCCCCAGGTTCATTTTTGCATAATTTTTATTGAAACGCTTAGTTTTTGTTATTATTGTAATAAATGTTTGATCTACCTCAAAAATCATAAGATTTCAAAAAAAAAACTTTTATGGATACCATAAAATGAAGTTAGGGGCATATTGTTGAAAATACCGGTCATTTGAAAAACTCTGTGAATTGAATTGAAAAAAAAAACAAAACAATAAATAATAGGGTGATTCAGGTGGAAAAAACGCTTGAAAGTTTTTTTTGTCAAAAATTTTGATTTTATTTTGGAAAAATAGTTCTAGATATATTCTGGAACGAAATTTTTGTGAAAAATCGATCTCAAAGTTCACTGAAAATGAAAAACTGGCCTAGAAATGTCGAGAATTCGGCCAAGGTAGGAAATTCGCTCCAATGAACCCGATTTCGAATTATTAGAGCGCGTTTGATCCCTTGGCCGAATTCCCAAAATTTCTCGGCCACGCATTTTTTCTGGAAGTTTGTTTTTCCCAATCTGAATCACCCTATAAAAGTTCAAAAATCCTAATCAATAAATACTGCTAATTTGTGCGTCATTATTCGATTTGCTGACATAATCACTGCTCAATAAATCAAGAACATTATCAAATTTCACACTTTTTTGCTCTTTCTCTCCAATATTATCAGCAGAAGCAAAAATGATAACACCAGGTGCTTCGGTCAATTTCAAATCCAGTGCTTCTTTGCAATTTCGATTCAAAATATGGCGATTTTCAGGAGTTGATAACCGTGCGACAATATCTTCAGCTATCCGAAATGGAATTCCTAATTCTCTCGAAACAGTTGACATATGACAACCATAATGCACTGGTTTTTCCTCATCCCATAGTCTTTTTCCCAAATGTTGAATCGCTTCTTCGTATAAATCAGGACATCTTTCTTTGATTGATGTTAGATATAATTGTGGGATTATTGATCCTTTTTTGATGGCATTTTTATAGGTTTTTGACCAGTTTTTGGGCGCTTCGATGGTTTTGAAATTTAGCAGTTGTTTGCCACGTTCATCGATTCGACGCAGAATTCCTTCGGGTTCTGGTTCAATTTCCTCTGAAAATGAGAAAAAAAATTTTTTGGTAGGGAATTCGAAATTTCCAAGGTTCACGTATAAAAATGTTTGATTTTCGTAACATTTTTCAGAAAAATGAGAGTTCTTAAAGGCGGAGTATCGTTTACTACGAAGCTCCGCGTTTACAGCTCGAAAATTGAAGGTTTTTCGATTTTCAAACGATACTCCGCGTTTACACCACTAAAAATCATGAAATTTGAGTTAGAAATCACTGAGAACACGGAGTATTGTTTGAAATGCAAAAAACTACGATGATCCATCCTTAGAGCTCAAAATTGAAGGTTTTTTCGATTTTTAAACGATACTCCGTGTTTACACCACTAAAAATTATGCGATTTGAGCAGTGTAAACGCGGAACATCGTTTAGAATGCAGAAAACGCCCCACCTTCTTGTTGTTTTTTCGGTTTCCAAATCCTTGAAGTGTGCTGTTTTCTGCGCTGATTCCAAATCTGTCCGTTGTGCAAAATTCCGATTTTAAAATCACAAACTGGCGAATATTCAATAGTTTCGAAAAGCGACGAATTTTCCGATAGAATCTGTAAAAATTATCAATTTTTTTGGTGATAAAAAAATTTTTTGGGAGATTTTTTGCACTCAAAATTAATGGGGTGATTCAGGTTTTCGCGCCAAAAATATTTGTAGAACTTACCTGAAGTGTCATCCAGGAATTGGGACAAACCACGTCGAAATAGCATTTTAATTTTGGAAGTGAACTCATTGTCGCATTCTATGAAATGAAGAAATGAAACAGAAAAAAATTAGGAACAAGCGTAGAAGATAACAAATAACAAAATAAATGTGGAAAACAGCTGAATTGCACGGGAAAAATAACTTATATTCTCTTTTTTTTTCGAAAAAAAAAATGAGAGAAATGGGGGCGAAAAGATAGAGAGAAATCACAGAAGAAATGAAGAGAAAAAGAAAGTGCGGTTCGTTTGAACTCGCCCCTTTAGATACAGCAAAAAAACCAAAGAATGACGTAGAAAATATTGTCTGTTTACTTTTATTTGCACCCAAAAGTTGCGAAAGGTATTTCCTAAACTCAAAGATCAAGATTTTCGAAAAAAAAAATGAAAAACCTCTTTTTCATTGAAATCAAAGCAAAACATTTCAAACAAAAAATTATTAGAAACTAGTGGGCCCTGTGCAGAAAGTGTTATTAAGCGTATCCCTTTGAATCTGATGAATTTACTTTATTGCAGAACAATTTTAAGAGTTCCCGAGCTAAAATCCCATATAAAACGAATCTACTTCAAATGTCTGCGGTTCCTTAGCCAATTAATAACTGCTTAGGTTACAAAAACTCAATCCGGGTCCCCAATATCCCGATTTCCGGGTTCCCAATGAAAAAAAAAGAAAATTGAAATGAGTGTACAACAGAGCGAGTTTGCTGCACTTGGCAAGTCGCCAGTGTGCACGGTTGCGTCATGGTGTTAGCTCATTAGTGTGGAGGTGTTGCGGTTTTGGGAGAGAATTTATTTTTTGCGTTTTTTTAAAGGGAAAAATTTTCTGTTTTCCCACAATCAGCTGAGCTTTCTCACGATCACTCGAAATCTCAATTTTCAGCCCAGAAAAACCCCATAAAATCTGAAAAATTCAAAAAATCCCCTGCTCGCCTCGCCTCTCCATTTTTCGCGCACTCTCTTCTCGTTTTCTGCAATTGTGCGTCGCCGTGTTTGCACAGCAATGAAATTGGTGTCACTGTGCCCTGAGCGCAACAATGGCCGAGTTTCCGATTAGTTCGGCCAGAACAAAAAATCTCGGCCATTCTTTTTTTTCTGGGGAAAAAAACTTCTGAAACCAAATCTGGATTTTCTCATCGAATTATTTCCAAAAAGCTGAAGTTTTATACATCATTTGAAAGAGGAAGACCTATATTACATTGTTGTTAAAACACAATTTCAAATAATGTTCATTTGAACTCATGGTTTTCTGCCAAACTTGCCCATGTATGAAACTTTGAGAGCGATAATTTCATGAAGTAGCTATCATTGTTAAGACTTTGATATTGGAATCTAACCAGCTTAACCTTCTCTACAAGATCTGTTACGAAAATTTTGGAAAAATTCATTTTTGGATGAAAAAAATTGAAAAATAGAAATTCACTTTTTTCAAACCCGTGTTTGAAAGCCGTTTCACAGGGTGTAAAAAAGTACAAAGGAAGAACGAAAAAAAATTACGTACTTTGTGCAAAGCCTCGCACAATGAAGGAGGCGGGGTTTATGTGCCACACAGTCGCAAGGTTCCGCACACATTTATTTTTTTTCGCTCCGCCCCTATTTTTATTTTTTCGAACAGCTTTTTTCAACTCGTCTATGCATTTTTCGATGCTATTTCGTTGTTTTCATGGAATAATCATGGATTGCGTGTGCAGTTAGTGGCAGATAAGTTGTTTACAGATACTTTTTGTACCTCCACCGCCTAAAATAATGTTTTTCCAGACCAATTCTTGCAGGACACGAATAGGATAAGGTTATTTTCAAATGAAAGTTCATTTTCGAGTGAAAGTAACCTATAAAGATACAAATTATAGTTTGTTATCGTTTGGAAAATCCACGGGATATAAATGATGATGCAATTGACATGGATCGCAAATTTCCATGAAATTATGTGATTTTGGCGAGAACCTAGAAGAAAATGCAAGCAAAACTGCAAGAAACCCAATTTTTCATTTTTGAGAAGCCAATTGATGATGCAATTGACATGGAACGCAAATTTCCATCAAATTATGTGATTTTGGCGAGAACCTAGAAGAAAATGCAAGCAAAACTGCAAGAAACCCAATTTTTCATTTTTGAGAAGCCAATTGATGATGCAATTGACATGGAACGCAAATTTCCATCAAATTATGTGATTTTGGCGAGAACCTAGAAGAAAATGCAAGCAAAACTGCAAGAAACCCAATTTTTCATTTTTGAGAAGCCAATTGATGATGCAATTGACATGGAACGCAAATTTTCATGAAATTATGTGATTTTGGCGAGAACCTAGAAGAAAATGCAAGCAAGATTGGAAGAAAACCAATTTTTCATTTTTGAGAAGCCATTTTTCAACGAATTACTGAGAAAATTTCAGTTGATTTATGTGCCTTTAGTTTTAATTGTGGTTCGCGACGATGGTTAGGCCAGTCTCGTCATAAATATTTATGATGAGCAGTAACATAGTTCGTGAACCACGTTTAACAAAATTAGAACTATTAATTCCTTATGGAACAGGCTGCCTAACTAATTAACTGAATTTTTTCTTTGAAATTCAATTTTTCTTATCAAAAATTGAACTTTTGTGCCGTGTCGAGCTGATTTTTGCGCTGAAAATCATCAATAAAAAATAAAATAATGGATAGTGAGTTTTTTAAAAATTTTATTGACAGAAATTATTGGCGAAATGATGACCAGTAAGGATGATGAAGATGGTGCTGAAGCTGAAGGTTGAACGAACGAAGAGGGCACAAATATCATCTTTCTGTAAAAATATTGAAAATTAATGACGGGTTTTGGATATATTTCTAATGTTCTTAAAATTTAAAATTTTCAACTTAAATGTGGATAACTTCCGAATGAAAATTAGATTTTTTTTGTGATCGCAGAAAATAAAAATAATTCCACTGTTTCAAAAACTTATTACAATAAAAAAATCATTTCTTGTTTTTTTTTCAAGTTTTCTCGGCACAAAATATCTCGATTTGTTGCTGGTGAGTTTATTTTTAATTTTATAAAATATATAATAAACATTTAGTAAAATGTGGAATTTTCGGAAATTATATTCGATTAAATTTTAATAAAAAACTAATATTCTTTGAAAAAATACCTTTTTAGAGATGAACACTCCCAAACGACCTGCGCCTGAAAATATCAGCAACATACCTGGTGCTCCGGCCAAAAAAATCGATGAAAAAGACAAGGAAATCTCACGATTGAAAAATGAAAATGTACGCTTGAGACAACAAGTGAAAAAGGCTAATGAAGAAATGGAGATTATGAAGGCGATGTACAGTAGTAAAGGGGATGGATCAGCGCCACTTCTTCCACCAAACATACTGCAACAACAGCTGAATGATGCACGTGGCGAAATTGGTCGCTTGAAAGTTGAAATTGAAAGGAATTCGCAATGGTTCCAAGAAACTTTGGGTAAAAGAGATGAGGAACTGGCAAAGCTGCACAATGAATTAGCAGAACAGAGAGCTAATTTGAAAAAAGCGGAAAACGAGTTGGAAAATAAGGAGAAGGAAACTGTGCAGAAGAACAAGGATATTTTTGAGCTAAGACAAAGACAAGAAGTTAATCGACAAGACACTGCTACATTGAAAAGGCAGCTGGAAGCAGCTTTGAGAGAGAAAAAATTTGAGCGGCAAAAAAATCCTTTCTCGAGCTTGTTGAATTATACTTCGCGCCAAAAAAGGTTCAAAGCTGCTCTGATTTCTTTGATCCAAATTGCTGAAGAGGAAGATTTCTCCGAACTTCTCAATCTTATTTATAAACAGGCTGGAGAAGATGATGATTTGACAATCCGAACAAAAATGACTCCATCTGAAGCAATGTTCATCATGAACCGGGTGAAAATGACCAAAAAAGGAGTTGAAGCAATGAAATCGTTTCTCCGGCATTTGGGCATAGCTGATCCATTTCCATCAAGAGCAGATATGGACGAACTTGAAAAGGAGATGATGGAAAGTGCATTTATCAAAGTTTTCACCGATCCAGATGGAACCGTCGTTGGAAAAGTTGAAGATATCAAAGCATTTATCGAAATTAGATTGAAAGAGCTTGCAGCGGAGCATAAATTGATATTTGATAAAGTCACGGGGGAAGATATTCACATTGCTTTTTTTGCTGATAAAGGTGGTCCAACGACAAAATTGGTTGCTGTCATCATCAACTTGAAGAATCCCAATAGTAGATATCATATAATTCCTCTGGGAATGTTCAATGGCGATGACAATGCTGATAATATGAAGAAATATCTCGGAGATGTTCTTGAACAGATCAATAATTTGGAAAGTGTGGAATATGAAGAGGATGGGAAAATGGTGAAACGAAGAGTGGAGCACATGCTTGGCGGGGACCTGAAATTCTTATCCTCTTGTTATGGGCATTTCGGTAAAGGGGATATAGAAAAACTCACCTTTCAATTTTTTTTCAGGTGGAAATTGCCATGACTTGTGCATTCTCTGCTACGCGAACAATGAGAAGAATCACAATTTGGCACATATTGATCTTTTGAAAGGAGAAGCTCGAACTTTTGATGAATACGTGAAAGATGCAAAAAATGGTACAAATTCCATATATCCCGACACCGAAATTCTGTTCAAGCGAGTAAAATTCGAAAATATCATTCCTCCATCACTCCATATTATTATGGGACTGGCGCATAGATATTTTTTCGAATATTTCCTGAACTTGGCAGCTTCGATGGACAATCCAACTTCACAACCTGTTACAAAATTGAGCCTGAAGAAGAGTCACCTGAACCGAATTTCGAGAAATTTATCCCAACAAAAAGCAGAAATTGAGGAGATTAAAAAAGAGAAAGGAAAAATGGGCAAGATTTTGGAAACAATTGATCATTTTATTGCAAAGAAAGTAGATAAAGTAAGAAATCCTCCACCACATTGCTCTGCGAAGCATTGCTTCTATCAGGATAAAAAGATGAAAGTGACTAAAAAAGAGAGGTTGGATATTGGAAGGTTCGAATGTGATGGGTGTCAAGGATTTTTCCATGGAATTTGTAGCGGTGTATTCACTAGTGATGATCGCGACGAATTACATCACCCTGACAACATCCATCAATGTTTTTCGTGTAGAAAATGGGACTTGAATAAGATCAGACGGGATTTGGTCAAGAAAATGGATTTGACAGATGTCTATGTTGGAAATTTGGAAAATGAGTACAATTCGTTGAACGATGAGAAAACTAAGCTGGAAGATGTCTATGGTGGTAATGGTGGGTATCGCAAGAAATTAGAGCAATGTTGGAAAGAAAATGGGGCTGATATGTCAACTTATAAACAGAACTTCAATGGTAATCAAACCTACGCATTGTTGGAAACCAAAGCCATCGACGAAATGTTTGCTATTTTCCCATCAACAATTCAACATGAGCATTTGAAAGCGGCGGCAAAAAATCTAGGTCTTCTCCAAAGTTTGTGCACATCCAATATTTTTGATGATGATCAACATCTTGCATTCGAGACCGCACTCAATGATTTTATCGAGGAGTTGAAGAAAGCGCACCCAGATGACACCATCACGCCAAAGCTCCACTGGTTGCATAAACATGTTCTTCCATTTGTCAAACTTCATCATACTTGGGCTCGAGCCTGTGAGCAAGGAATTGAGAGTATGCATGCGTACGCGAATGAATTGATGCGACAGTGAGTTGTAACAATAATATCGTTTGAAAATCCGCTTTTTCCAGTTTTGCTTCATGTCGCTCGAAAGAATTGCAAATGTATCGAGTTTTCAAACGTATGATCTTGAACAATCGGTTGAGCGACAAGTTCAGATTCTAACTTCGAGCTGAATATTCATCATCATATTCTTAATTTGTTCTCCCATTTTCAATTTTCTTTCTTTTTTCATTTTTTCAATTTACTTCATTTTTGCTTCCAATTTTCCATCATCATCCTTCTACTTGGTTTGTAACGCCCCTTGTTTCACATCTCCACTTCATCAAATCAATATATGCATTCTTTTTCGCTGAACTCCAGATTCCGGCGTTTTTCTGAAAAATCAAATAAAAACTACGGCATTTTTTTTACGGAAAAATACAGATAAAAACAGGACCTGATATGCTCACTGCCATTGCCATTACCCATCTCGTACGTCAGCCAATAATTCATCCAGTTCCTTCATAATGTTGCGCATTGACTTCCGAAACATATCTCTGAAAAATCAAATAACAACTACGGCATTTTTTTTTGCAGAAAATACAGAAAAAAAACCAGGACCTTGTTCAATCATCGATAAATTGAGCGGCGCGCTTCAATTTCAACACCAATCATTCGTCCAATGTTTTTTCATGAGTAACTCAACTCCTCCAAATGTTTTTTTCTGAATCAAAATGATTAATTTCACTGGAAATGCTGAAAATCTTTGAAAAGGGGAAAAACAGAAAAAAAATGATGAAACACAAATGTGTGCCGCACTTGCAAAATCATGTGCGGCGCTTGCAACATTTGAATTTTTTGTTTCCCGCTTCCATCTCGATTACGGTAGCTCGCAAAGTACGTAATTTTTCAATGGTAGTCTTTTACACCCTGTGCGTTTCCAGAACTTTTTTGGGTGAATTTCATATCTCTGCGTTCTACTACTCTTCCTCTTTCTGATCATCATCTTACTTCTTCGAAATTCCGAGTTTCAAGCTTTTAAATTGCGGTTTTTATTCAAAAGTCAGTTTTCAGCGAGAGTGTGTGGGGTTGTGAAGAGACGCGAGAGAAAAAGAGACACACGAGAGAGTATGAGAAAAGGGTAGAGGCAAAACATTTTCTCTGCTGTCGCGTTCCGGGCACAGTGTGGTGTGCATTTGAAAATTTATCCACCAAAAAACTGGTATTCTCCGCCCGAAAAGTGAAGTTTGTGAGATTCTCACGGTTCCCGGGATAATAATTCATTGGAAAAACCTCTAGGTTCCCAAGGCATATTTTTTCTTCGAAGGAAGGGATGCTGAAAATTTATAAAACTGCGAAATATTTGAAATGTGCTTATTGTGGTATCGAACAACATGCGAATTCAATGGTTCTTGTTAAAGATTCAATTCGAGAAGAATGGCCAGCGAGTTTTGCAGACGAATTTCGAAAAAAATTTGAAAAAGAGGAATATATTTGTATAAAACATATGAAAGGATTTGAGAATGAAAATGAGGAAGAAGATGATGGAATTCAATGGTTTTATGAGAACGGTAGAGTTAGTTCAACTACATGTGAATTTTCATTAAAAATATTTTGATTTATTTTTAGAAAATCTGCTTCAACATGTTTTGTTGTTATTGTGGCCCTAAAACGAAACCAATTAGAATGTGTGCAGTTCCAAGAAATTATTATGAAATGGAACATTGGATTGCAGTATTTGGAACACATTTTCGAATAAACGCTGCACATCTTCGATTTCCTTGCATTTGTCTGCGACATTTTGATGAGAATGAAGTTTTGCCTCGCGGATTTCTCAATGGAATTCCCATTGATGTTGTCATTGAATTAGAAAAATGTGTAAGTTTTTTTTTAATGTTGTTTTGTCACGGAGATTATTCTCTCTTTTTTATAGTTACCAGGATCATCTCTATGTTCACTTTGTAAATATTTGCGAGATAATCGTTTTTTGGTCAAAGTTCCACGTTCCGATTTCCAATTTTGGGTCAATATTTTCGGTGCGGTCTTGAAGAAGAATTGTCAAAATATCGTTGATCCGAAAATTTGCCGAAGTCATGTTATGGAAAAACTGCCAGAGTATACATTACCTGCTCAAAATATCTGCGATATTTATTTTGCGACACCGAAACCAACAAAAATTCAAGTAAAAGCTTATTGTTGTTATTGTGGAAAGAAGGATATTCAAATGAAAATGATGAATGTTCCAGTTGTTAGAGACACATTTATCGATTGGGTTTGTGAATTTGGAATGGATTTTGAGGAGAATTGCAGTTTCTTTCGATATCCAATGATTTGTCAAACACATGTTATAAAATTAAATAAAAGTGATTGGAAAAGATTGAAATGTACTGAAAGGAACAAACCGATTGCATTGAATCCAAAACCTGATTTTTCGATTAGAAGAATCGAAGAAAGCTTCAGGAAACGTGAACTTTCTGAGGAGCTAAAACCGATGGAACCTTCAACATCTTCTGAATTTCCCGAAGATTTTGTGTTGAAAATTGAGCCGCCAGAAATCAAACAAGAAATTGAGGAAGAAGAGGAAATGGATATAAAACCATCAACTTCAGAAATCAAATTAGTTCCAAATATGAATATCTCACCGGAGGTTGCAAAATTGATCGATATAGCAAAACATTATGAAAAGGTTGGGGGTTTTTGGGATGTTCAAAAATGTACTGAAAAATTTTTTTATCTGGGTTCAATATTTATTTTCTCACAAAAATATTGAATATCAGAAAATGATCAGTGATCATTACCCGGAAATTTCTGTTGATTTTTCAACAAAGATCTCAATTTTGCAGCTTTTCTATCCACGTTTCGGAAAATGTTGTTATTGTCGATCATTTTTGAGTGTAAGGCATATGATTCGAGTCCCCAATGATCCAAAATTATTCGAAAACTGGTGTGAAATTCTTGGAAACAAATTCAAAATGATTTCGAATGCTTTGAGATATCCAAGAATTTGTTGGCAACATTTTGAAGATACAAAAACGATTCCAATCGCAAATTTGAAAGATATTGTAAGTTTTAACTAATTTTTTCAAAAAATAAAATATTCGAAATATTTCAGAGTTTCCCAATTTGTTGCATGTATTGTAAATTAGCCCGGTAAGTTTTTATTAATAAAAATTTAATCGAATTTTTTTTAATTAAAATTAATTTCAGATCTCAAGGAGCATGTTTGGATATTGTGACAATTCCAGCTTCATCTTCCGAAGCCAAAAAGTGGAGAAAGATTTTGGGAATTCAATCGATAAATCTGAATTTGTACATTTGTTTTAAATATTTGGGAAAAAATATTTGAAGTCTGTTTTTTTAATGAATTTGTTACAATTTTTTGAAAATATTTTCATCAACTTCAGAATTTTCAATTATCCTAGCTCAATTTTTTAGGGTCTCCCGAAATTTCAAATTTTCAGCACAAAAATTTGAAAAATTCAAAAAATCTTCTGCTCGCCTGGGCTCTCCACTTTTCGCACACTCTCTCCTCGTTTTCCGCAATTGTTCGTCGCCGTGTTTGCACAGCAATGAAATTGGTGTGCATTTGAAATTTCAACCAAAAAAAAAAAAACAAATATTTTTTATCCCACCCCAGGAGAAAATGACAACAGCCGTGAATTTTTTGAAATGTGCTTATTGTGGTATCAAACAATATCCGAGTTCAATGATAATTGTCAAAAAATCAATTGAAGAAGAATGGTCGGCGATTTTTGGAGACGAATTTCGAAGAAGATTGGGAAAATATCGACATATTTGTATGAAACATTTGAAAGGATTTGAGAATGAAAAAGATGATGATGATGAAGATATTCAATGGTTTTATGAGAACGGTAGAGTTAGTCTGAATTCAAATTTTTATTAAAAATATTTTTATTTTGTCTTCAGAAAATCTGCTTCAACAAATTTTGCTGTTATTGTGGTCCCAAAACGAAACCAATTAAAATGTGTGCAGTTCCAACAAATGAAGATGAATTGGATTTATGGAATTCAACACTGGGTAAAAAATTCCAAATCAACTCTTCAAAACTTCGAATGCCGTGTATTTGTTTGCAACATTTTGAGGAGAATCAGGATTTTCCTTCCGCATTTCAAAAAGGAATTCCATATGATGTTTTGGATGAGTTGGGAAAAACTGTGAGTGATTTATTTAGGATATTTAGAGCTAGAAAATTTGATTTTTCCAGTCTCCAGGATTTCATTCATGTGCATATTGTTTACGATTGCGTGGAGATCAATTATTGATCAATGTTCCGAAATCTCCTGATTTCAAAAAAGTTCGCAAAAGTGTTTGGCGCGGAATTCGAAGAGAATTGTCGAAAAATGGTACATCCACAAATTTGTCGAAGTCATGTCATCCAAAAACTTCCGAAATACAAGTTACCTGCTCTCAAAATCTCGGACTTGTGTTTTGGACCGCCGGCGCCGAAAAATATCGAATTGAAAGCGTATTGTTGTTATTGTGGAATCAAGGATATTAAAAAGAAGATGATGCATGTTCCAGCTGATCAGAATACAATTATCGATTGGATTTGTGTGTTTGGCATGGATTTTGAGGAGAATTGCAGTTTCTTTCGATATCCAATGATTTGTCAATCACATGTTGAAATTACAACGAAACTTGATGGGTTCGGCCAATTTCACCAACATCAACCAGTTGCTTCAAATCCTAAGCCTGATTTTTCGATTAGCAAAAACTGCAGAGGAATTAAAAGAGTTCATGAAGAAAATCCGTGTTATTCCGTGAGAAAATATGAGGAAGTTGAGATTCCTGAGGAGCACAAACCTGATGTTTTGGAATTTCCTGATGATTTAGTGTTGAAAATTGAGCCGCCAGAAATCAAAGAGGAAGAAGAGGAAATGGATATAAAACCATCAACTTCAGAAATCATTCCAAATATTGAAATCACAGTGGAAAATGCAATGTTGATTGAACAAGCAAAACAATATGAAAAGGTTGGGGAGTTTTGGGCTGAATTTTCACTTGAAAAAGAAAAATTTTTTTGTTATTTTGTCATTGGTTCCCTGCTTTCAATTCTCAAATTTTCAAGATACAAAAAATGAAAAGATAAAAAATTAGTTTCTCTAAACTTCCAAGTGAATCTAAATTTTGATGGAAAAATTTTGAATTTTAATGCTGGAATGTCATCTATATTCATGTTTTTGCAGCTCCACAATCCTCTTTTCGGAAAATGTTGCTACTGGGATCATTTTTAAGTGTAAAACATATGATTCGAGTCCCCAATGATCCAAATTTATTCGAAAAATGGTGTGAAATTCTTGGAAACAAATTCAAAATGATTTCGAATGCTTTGAGATATCCAAGAATTTGTAAGCAACATTTTGAAGATACAAAAACGATTCCAATCGCAAATTTGAAAGATATTGTAAGTTTTCCACTCGATTTTTTTCACCAAAAAATGTGTTTTTTCAGAATCTCCTACCGTGTTGCATGTATTGTAATAACTCTCAAATCCCGCCTTGTTTGGATATTGTCACAATTCCTGGTTCATCTGTCGAAGCCAGAAAATGGAGAAAATATTTCGGAATTCGATCGAGAAAAACGGATTTGTATATTTGTTTGAAAAATATTGGAAAAGTCTGAAATTTTATTGAAATGAATTTGTGTTGAGTTTTTTTTTTTGAAAAATTTTATGAAGAAAAAGTGGTTTTTTCCATTATTTTACTTTTTTTTGAATATTGATTCGCTTTCTGGCCCATGCGCCTTTAAATTACGGTTATTTTTTCACCAAAAAAGATTATGTTCCTTTTTTAAAGGGGCATGACCAAATTTGGTCTCAAAATGACCGTAATTTAAAGGCACATATTCAGCTTATGTTCCTTTAAATATCACATTTTCCTTTCTAGATTAGAAATTCACCATGACAGAATATTTTTGTGCCTATTGTTGGCAACTTCGCCCACGAAATGCCGTGATTTATGTGCCGCACGCGAAAAAAGAAAAACTCGAAAAATGGTCTCGAATTTTTGGGCCGAAATTTGCGGCCAAAGTCAATTTTACGAATGGAATTAGTTATATTTGTTTGCAACACGTTGGAATGTTGCCAGATGATGAATTTTATGTGACGAAATGTTGTCAATTGAAAGAGGATGTTGATGGAGGTTTGAGAGTTAAGGTAAGTGGGGTTTTGGGAAAAAATAATGTGCCTTTAAATTACGGTCATTTTGAAACTAAATATAGTGTTCCTTTGGGTCTCACTACGAAATTTGAATTTTTAAAGGTGCATAGGTCAAAATGACCGTAATTTAAAGGCACATACCGAGAAAATGTTGCGCCTTTAAATTACGGTCATTTTGAAACTAAATATAGTGTTCCTTTGGGTCTCACTACGAAATTTGAAGTTTTAAAGGTACATAGGCTTGTTGGGTTTCAAAAAGACCGTAATTTCGAGACCAAATGTTCCTTCAAACTATGTACAGATAAAAATCTGAAATTTCAGAAAAAACTAAAAGCTAAATTTGAAAAATTAAACTTCGAAATTTTTTCAAATCGAGTATTGGCTCAAAAAATCTCAAAAATATTCAAATTATTCTGATTTTTGCTGGAAATTTTACGTTTCTCAAATTTTTATCTCATGAAGAAAATACGTTTCAAATTTTATTCAATTTGAAATTTTTTTGGGAAAAATTTGATTTTCTTGAAAATTTAATTCAAAATTTCTCCGAACACAAAACAAAGTGAACATTTCAATCGGAAACATTTTATCCTAATTTTTTTGGCTCAAAAATATTCGCGAGATAAAAAAAATGTATTTTTTGACACGTGGCAATTGTTTATTTGAAATTTTTTTTGGCAATTTTTATTTCTGATTTTTTCAAGTAAGGAAGAAGGAAGGACCTAAGCCCAGTTTTTTTTTTTGCAGATTCCAAACGAGCCCCCTTCTCAACTAATCTCGCCCCACGATTTTTGTTGTATTTGCGGAAAGTTGCCCAAAAAAATCGCCATGAGAAAAGTGCCGAACGAGGAAACTGAAAGATATTTATGGGCTGAAATTCTGGGAGTCGATTTCTATTTGAATTGCCAAAAATTCCGAAATCCCCAGATTTGTTTTTCACATTTTGAAGATGCCGATGATCCACAAGCACTGCCTTTTGTATTGAATACGCCGGAATTTGAGACGACGCAGAGTTTACAGTATACTGTAGGGTTTTTGGGGGAGGAGAGGGAAATTTTTAAAAATAATTTTTCAAAATCAACAATTTTTGCAGCTTCCTAAAACTCATCGATGTATATTCTGCAAAACCTTGCGAAATGCTCAACTAATGCTTCAAATTCCCAAAAACCAAGACATCGTGCAATTATTGTCCCCAAAATTCGGTGAAAATCTAATAATTCGTGCTCAAAAAATGCACGATCCTCGAATTTGTCTCCTCCACATTCGACAACTTTTACCCGAACAAAAATTGCCCGAAATATCGATTGAAGAATTTCCATTGAAATGTTCGAATTCGGTTGGATATTGTTGTTATTGTGGAGAGAGAAGATTGTGTTGCACGATGTTAAATATTCCCCGAATTCAATCGATTCGACAATCATGGTATCAGGTTTTGGGAGAGGTTTTTCGCAAAAATTGCGAATTTTTCGATGAGCCATTTATTTGTCTAGATAGGCATTTTGAAGAATTTCCGAGAGATTTTCGAAATCTTCGACCGGTTCCTTATGATATTGGAGCGACTTTTGATGTTTGTCGAATTGTTGCGAATTTTCGAGCTGGAATTATTGAAAAGGAAGAGGATTTGAGAAGAGAATTGGAGGAACGAGAGAGGAAAATGAAGGAGGAAGAAGAGGAAAGAGAAAAAAGAGATAGAGAGAATCAAGAAAAAGAAGAAGATCAGGGAATTGAACCTGGACCATCGAAATCTACGACGTTTAAGCTTTATTGGCATAAAAAAGCGCAAGAGGTGAGTGTTTTTGAGAGAAAAACTACGATGCTCCGTGTTTACGCGATGAGAATTGATGGATTTTGAGCATGTACACGTGGAGCATCGTTAGGAAACGAAAAACTACGATACTCCGCGTTTACACCAAAAATTTTGATGGATTTTGAGCATGTAAACGCGGAGCATCGTTAGGAAACGCTGAACAACGATGCTCCGCATTTACACCAAGAATTTTGATGGTTTTTGAGCATGTAAACGCGGAGCATCGTTAGGAAACGGAAAAATACGATGCTCCACGTTTACACCAAGAGAATTGATGAATTTTAAGCCTGTAAACGCGGAGCATCGTTTGAAACTATGGAAACTACGACACTCCGCGTTTACACCAAGAATCTTGATTGATTTTGAGCATGTAAACGCGGAGCATCGTTTGAACTTTGAAAACTACGACACTCCGCAATTACACTATCAATTTTGAGCTAGCAAATTTGAACCTACCCCGAAATTCATTATTATTTGAGTTTCAAACGATGCTCCACGTTTACATGTCCTCAAAATTCAATGATTTTTTCAGGATCAAAAAGGTCTAAATGCCACGTGTTGTTATTGTGGAATTCGAAAACTGAAAACCCAAATGAAAAATGTGCCAAAAATCCCGAAAATCTTCGAAATGTGGATTGAAGTTTTGGGAGAAGATTTCCGAAAACAATCGAAACTTTTCGAAAATCCGCGAATTTGCGAGAAACACTTTGGAAGTCATTGGACTTCGAAATGGAGAGAAAATCGAATTCCAGCGCCGCAGAAAAATGTGAGTTTTGAAAGTTTTGCTGAAATTTTGCATCTGAAAATGATTCCAGGCTGATATTCCAAAACATTTGTGTTGTTTCTGCAAGGAGCAAATTCCACGTCATCTTCTTCGAATTTATCCGGAAAATGATAAATTCGAGGAATGGAATCGAATTTTGCAATTCAAACCCGAAAAACCGGAAAAAGACGGCGAGAAACCACTTATTTGTATTCAACATTTGGAAAATGCGGGAATTGATTATAAAATTAGAAGATGATTAGATAATTAATGAACGATTTTTTTTCTTCTGAAGAATTTTTTTGTTTCACACAAAATTTAATTCAGGCTTAAGCCTTCTATGATCTTTTTTCCCATTCAAAACAAGCGAAAAAAAATTTTTTTTGCAAAAAAATAAAAAAGAAAACAACGATGCTCCGCTTGCCCGTTGTTTAGCAAAGTTGTTTTATTTTTTTATTTTTGACAAGAGTTTTCGCGTTTTTTGACAGAAACCAAGCTTATATTTAGCGCATAATATTCAACAAAAAATAATTTTCGACAGAATGTCAAAACGAATCCACGCCTGCTGTTATTGCTCAAAAAACAAACGAAAAGAAGAAATGTCGATGATTCCAACGAGTATCAAAAGACAAACTGAATGGATTAAAGTGCTTGGAGTGGAATATGCGGAAAATTGTGTGAAAGCAACGCATAAATTGATTTGTAAATCACATTTTGAATTGGATGAAGAAGGGAAAAGGAGAAGATATGACACACCGAAACCGTTGCCGTTTTGTGGAATTTTGGAGGAGAATGGAGAAGAAATGGAGGAGGAAATGAAAATGCATGAAGATAAGGTTTGGATTTTTCAAATTAAAATTTAAAAAAACAACATAATAGTGATCAGAAGGTCAAAATCTCAAGTTTTTTTCATAGTTTCTGAATTTTCCAGCCTTCAACTTCTTCTTCAACCAAACCAGTTGACCTCAAAAAAATCGATATCGAAAAAACGCTCAAAATTCGACGAGCTCGCGAAACTTGTTGCTATTGTTTTGCAAAACACAAAAGAGACGAAATGAGTCGAGTCCCAACACGAAAAGAATTACGAGATGAATGGATCGAGATTTTGGGAGAGGAATTTGGAAAAAATGCGATGTATTATAGGAATCCGATGATTTGTTTGACGCATTTTGAGACGATTCGGAAGAAGAAAAGGGTTCGATATGCACTTCCAATTCCATTGCCTTTTGGGGTTGAGAAACAGAAAGGAAATGAAGAGAAAGAAGAAGTGGGAAAGGAGATTGTGAAGAAAACTCCTGTAGGTTTTTAAAAAAAATATATTTTTAGTCGTGTTCCACGTGGCATTTTTACCCCAGATTCAAAAAAATCTGAAAACATACCACGCCCAGGGTGAGGCATTTGCACGGCGCCAATAAAAAAATTCGGAAATTCACCTCGCCAATTTGAGATTTTCTTGAAAAACAGCAAATTTTTGCTCGTTTTTCAGTAAAAAAAGTCGTATTTTTCAGTTGAAAAGGTTGTTTTCTCCTCGCCAGAAAATTTCATAACCCAAAACGCCAATTTTCAAAGTAAATTTGCACGAAGCTGGGCGTGGTATGTCTGAAAATTGACAATTTTTTGGCCTAAAAATTTAAGATTCTCTTGTAAACGACTTTCAAAAATAATCCATCCCACAATCATATTTGTTTCATTTCAGAACAAGATATGTGTATATTGTGCCAAAATCCTTCCTTGCTCAATGATGACACAAGTTCCACAAAACCCGATTGTTTTGGAACAATGGGGATATATTTTGGGCGATGAATTCCTCCACAACAATTCGCTTTTCAAAGTCGGAAAAGTGTGTTTGTCGCATTTCGAATTGACACCAACTGGAAAGAAACCAATCAATGCGTTGCCAATTCCGATTCCTGGTGGAATTCGACAAAAATATAAAAGGAAAGAGATTATTGTACAGAAAGATGAAGACTCATAATAATTTTTGATATGAGCTGAAACCGATGGAATTATTGAAAGAAATCAAAAAGGAAATTATTTTTGGTTAGTTTTTTAATAAATGGTTTTAATGGCTGGGTAACTGAAATATCTGAAATTATAAAATTCTGAAAAAGTACAATATTTATAAGGTAAAAACAAGTATAACAACCAATAAAGTAACCAGTAAATTGATCATGAAAATTGAAATTAATAAAATTCGACGTCGTCGATAAGCAATCATTTCCGGATCAACATTTCGTGAACGATCTGCGAAAAAACATGGTTTTTGAGGGAAAATTGGCTATGACGTGGCATTTTTCACAGAAAAGCTCTTAAATTATCGAAAAGTTTTCCAGGAGTCAGTATTTTTCCATTTAGGTTAGATATTTAAAAAAAAATCTGGGTTTGATCTAGAAAATTCTGAGCAGAATGCATTGCAATTTATATTTAATCCTATTAAAATATTTCTGCACTTTTTTGCCACGTCATAAGTGCAAAGTTATCGATTAGAAATTTTTTTGAAAAATTACTAAAAAATTGAAAATTAAAAGTTTTTTGAAAAATTTCAGTAGGGCGCATTTTCACGTGTGAACTTTTTTTGTGCAAAAATTTGAATTTTATTTTCTATTTTTTTCCAAAACTTCTACTCATGACTCATTTTTCAAACAATTTTGCTTCAAATTTTCCCGCTCAAAAATGACTCACAATTTTAACATTGAAAATTTTCAAGTAAAAATCCCCAAAAACTGACTCACAATTAATTTGTTGTTGTCGAGTTGGATGAACTCGAATAACTTGCCGTGGCGGATGATATTCTTCAGCCAAAACAATTGTATACGGTGGAGGAGTTGGAAGAGAATTTGAATTTGGTGGATTATTATCAGATGGTGTATATGGTGGAGGTGGAATATCATAGGTGCCCATTCTGAATATCAGTTATGTTATGACGTGGCAAAATTGAACATTTAGGAAAAAATTGAAATTTCAAAGGAAAAATGTCATACGATAAAATGCGCTCCAATTCAGATTTTCGAACTGTGTTGATTTTTTCAAAAAAAAAATTGAAAGAGAAAATTTGGAAATCTACAGTCTACAGTACTCGGACTGCAAAAAATTTGAATTCTGGGAAATTTTCAGAATACATTACTCTTACTGCAAAAAAAATTTGGCGCTCTACAGTACTCAAGTTTCAAGAATCTGAGACCTACAGTACTCGGACTACAAACGCTTTAAAATTAACTGTATCTACAGTAATCAAACTGCAAAGTTTCGTGTTGTGTTGTGAAGAAGTAAAGTAACCGAACTAAATACAAAACATAACTTATCAGTGATCTACAGTACTCGGGCTACAGAATATTTTTTAAAAATTAGGCCAACTACCGTAATCGAACTGGAAAATCAGGTCCGATTCAAAAGTTGCAAAATTATTTTCAAAAAAAAAATTATTCTTAAAGACACACAATCCGCTAGAAATGAACAGAAAATAAGTTTGTTATCCATTCATAACACCTTTCAAGTAATCTAAATTCATGAAAATCAAGAAAAAATTTTGAGTCTAGCAAAAGTGAAAAAATAAAATAATTGTTTTTGAAATCGCTCAGCCGACGGAAATTTCAAAAGTGTGTGCACACAATGTGTCGCTAGAGCGCACATGCTGGTTTTGTCGTTTGAAAATAAATGCGGGAAATCTGTTTTTTCCAGTGTTTCTTGTGTCTTTAAAAAGTTCGAAAAGTTCTATGTTTGGAGAACGAAAATGAATGAAAAATAAATTCTTATCAGTTGCCTCATCGATTTTGGTGTACCAAAAAAAAAATTTTTATGCAAAAATTTAAAGTGAATTTGTATTTGTTTTGGTTTCGAACTTCTTTTTTTTTTGAAAAGTACAAAAATACTAAAAATAAAAATAAAAAATTTATGAAAGTACGGCGAGAAGAAAGAAGAAAACACACAGAATTAGTAAAATGATCATGCAAATTTCAATGGCACTGAATTTGCTCAAAAAATTTCCCGACCATGAATCAGAATTGGGTTGATATGGAGCTGAAGTTGGAACAGAAGTTGGAGCTGCAAAAATTTAATTTTTCCAGCTACAGTACTCTTTGTTGTCTGGAGTAATTCGGGTTACAGTAATCTTTGCAGTCTTTGAACTACAGTAAATTAATCAGTCTGGGAATTTTTCAACCAATCAGGTTACAGTATTCTTTGCAGTTCTCGACTTACAGTAACCCTTGAATTTTCTCACAATTGTGCATTCAATGAGTCACAGTAATCCGTAGATATCGTAGCCTTGGCCTACAGTACTCCTTGCAGTTAGTTCATTTAGCTACAAAAATTCAGAAGTACTATGATACTTTCGAAAAATTACAAACTACCGTACTCTGTTAGCTACAGTATATTCTTTGCAGTTTGAAATTATTCGAGCTACAGTAATCCTCGAATCCTTTAGAACTTCCAAAGTACAGTAGCCCATGGAAATCTCTTGCAGTTCTAAAATCTGTAGTTTACAGTAAGAATTTCGGAGCTACCGTAATCTTTAGGCTACAGTAGTCTTTGAAAACATTTGAAGTTGTGAAAGTTCAACGAAATTTTTTCCAAACTTCAAAAAGTACAAAAAAACCTTCTGGAGTTCTCCTAACTCTGAAAATATTATTTTAAAAAAACTAACCTGATGTATTCACATGTGGAATAGTTTGTTGTGGTGGAATAATATATTGTTCCACTATAAAAATCCGCTGAGTTACCTTAACTTCTTCACGATTCTGATCGGAATTTGAAGCATTTTGAATCGGAAGTTCTTCAGGCGGAACATCGTAGCAATTTTGAACCGGAACATTAGTAACTTCCTCACTCTGAGATTTGTGGCCAGAATTTGAATTTGAAGCGGTTAGAATGGGTGTTTCGATTGAAGTATCATCTGGCGGAACATCGTATAAATTTTGCATCGGAAAATTGGTCAAATAGTTGTTTATCAGGAAAAATTTTTCGTTTGGGAAGATAACACTTTTTTTGTGATCGCTTTGATTTTTTTTTTTGAATTTGACCTCAAAACATTCAGAATCAAATAGGAACTATATTATTGCAAAACAATTATTTTTGAATTCATCCATGAATCACGTTGTTTATCATTGGAGCGCATTTCAAATTTAATACAGGCCAAAAGCAAAATGTCGAAATTGGGGCCAGAAAATAAGCATTATAACAATTTAGAATTGGTGTTTCCATTGGAAATTTTTCGGGTGCGGATGGCGGAACATTGTAGGAATTTTGCATTGGAAAATGAATTGATTATCAGTAGTTTTTGGGCAGATAAGCACGCGTTTCTCGATTTTGTCGAATCAAAAAAAAATTGAAAAAATTCGCAGACAGCAGGATTCGAACCTACGCGGGCAGAGCCCATTTGATTTCGAGTCAAACTCCTTAACCACTCGGACATGTCTGCACGCTCGCCATCGGTCATTAATTCTCATAATGTGTTCGCTTTTTTCTTTTTTTTAAACCGAAGTTGCAAAGGCGCTCCATTTGCAACTTTGGTCTAAAAAAGGAAAAAAACGGTAATTTTCAAAAAAAAAACACAAAGATATCATTTTCGTGAATGGGCAGCGCAAAGAGCAACAACAAAATAAGTTATACTTTGACACAAAAGGAACAAAACAACACAGGCAATTATTTTTCGCATTTTAGCAGCTCGCTGTTCCGGTGTCAACTGATGGTGAGGTTCTGAAGAAAATGAATTTGTGCTAAATTTTCTTGTTGATTACCTGGCACCAAAATTGGTGGATTTTGTGTTGGTGGCGCATTTTGTGATTGATCTGTGGCTCCCGAACTCATGACATCGGAATAACTTGGAGGCGGAGCATCGAACGGAGATCTTGTCTCCATTTTGCGACTGGAATTTTTTTATTTGGGTGAGATATTTTTCAAAAAATAAGGTTTTGAAATGGTTTTTGAGTTCAAAATTCAGGAAATCTTTAAAAATAGAAAAATGTTTTGATTTTTCGTCGGAAAATTTTTTTTACTGAATAAGAAAAGAAAAGGAAGGGAAAACCAGAAAATCTAACGAAAAATAAAAATAAGCTGCTCTTATCAGAACCCAATATTTCATCAATCGATAAAAAAGTGAGTCAATTGAGAAAAAAAAATATTTTTTTTGTTCAAAAACTTTCGCCGTGGAAATTCAAGAAAAAAGTAGGCGGAGTCTGTTCATATCCCTTTTTCGTCTCGCGTCTCTTCTGCACGCACACGCTAATTTTTACTCTCTCGTTTTCTCTCACGGCTGTTCTCAATCGTTTTCCACGGAAACGAAAAAAATTTTTTTCAAATGCGCTCCATTGCAAACAATGTACAAATGAAGAAATTTTGAAAAAAAAACCTTTTATTCTGTTCAAGAAGTTGTTGTAGCAACAACAGTTATAATAATTATACACATAATAATGATAACAATACTGACAATCATTTTTCGCCTTCGAGCCGCTCGCATTTGTTCCGGTGTCATGCATTGGTGACGTCCTAAAGAAAATGATTTATAGTTGGTTTCTGAAAAGGCACAGAAAAATGGGCGGGGCTTTGATAGAAAAATCGATCGATAGAGAAGTTGTAAACAATAAAGATAACAAAAAAATCATTGAAAATCATGTGATTTTTAAGCGAAAAATAGAAGATAGGCGGTGCAAAGTTCGTGTAGTTCTCGTGGGGCACAGAAATGTGGGAGGAGCCTAACACCGTCTTTCATCAGGAAAAAATCATGTATCACAATAATGCGGCACAAAAAAATGGGCGTGGCTTAGATTGCAAGCGCCGCACAATAAAATCCTCACCTCTCTGCACTCGAATAACTCTAGTTGGTGGTCTTGGAGCTGCGGGTTGTCCTTGAATTATAAAAATAGGCTGTGGCTGTTGTCCCGGCTGAATCTGAGCAAATTGTGCACCTTGCACCACAAATTGTTGTTGTTGACCTGGCACCAAAATTGGTGGATTTTGAGGTGCTGGATACTGTGTTGGCGCATTTTGTAGAGGTGTTTGTGGTGGAGCTGTGGCTGCAGAATTTATGGCTTCGGTATAATTTGGAGGTGGAACATCGAAGGGTGATTTGGTCTCCATTTTTTTCTGGAATACGGTAGGGTTTTTTTGCGCGTGGGATTTGGTGTTTTTCAAAAAAAAAAAAAGAAAAAAAAGAAAACCGAAAATTAACCGACGAAAAATAGAAATGAAGTGCTCTTATCACCAAAATTTCCTGATAAAAAAATAAAAAAAAGTGAGTCATAAACTTTTTTCTCTCTAAAAAACGTCACACATTTTGAACTTTCAAAAAAATAGTGTGAAAAGTTTTTTTGTTGACTTTGTATGTAATTTGGTTGGAGATGTTTGCACAGCTGATTTTGGCAGCGAGAAAAAATGATAAGGGACTTTTGGCGGGAAAAATTTAATTTTGAAAATTCTCCTTGAAGATTTTTGGCCTCAAATTTTAATTCGAAAACCTTGAAAATTGCCACGTGGATTTCTCAGCTCAAAAAAAATTCAAAAACTTGCTCTTTCTACCTCCCTAAACACCAAAAATCACGTGTAAAAAATGAAAAATTATCAATAAAATGACGATTTTTCTTGTTTTTCTTCAGTGGGCGTCAACTTTTTCCCAAAACTCATTGTCAGAGCCTTTTTGATGATAAGAGAGTTCTATTTTGCCTCAAATTATGACCGAAAAAAGTTCACCGCCAATTTATTCAATTTCAAATTCAAATTCGATAGTTTTCATAGAAGAAAATCCACCAAACTATGTTAGAGGTGAGTATTTAATTAGTTAATTAATTAGCTAATTAATAAATTAATTTTTTCAGATTCCGGAAAATCTTCAAATTGTAAAAGATCTTTAATTTTATCTTGTTTTCTAGTAGTTTCGATAAGTCTAATTGTTTTTTCAATTTATTTTTTGATTTTGTTGGATTTACCAAATAAATTAATTAAATAACACTGTGTTTTTTTCCAATAGAAAAATGCAATTTCGAGGAGACGCAGACAGTCGCTGGTCTCGCAACGCTATGTGTCTGCCACACACTATTTCTCTCCCTTTTTCGGCGAGAGATTTGTCTGCACACGTTAAAGTCTGCGTCTCCCTCGAATTGCAAAAAAAAATACAGTGATAATTTCATCACACAAAGAAATTTCAAAAATTCCCAAACAAGTTAGTTCAGAAAAGTTTAAAAAAAAAATAAAAAAAATAAAAACACCGTACTTTTCAAATAAAAATGAAGACGCAACAATTGAAACACACAATGGGTCTCATCCCGATGAGAAAAACTACTGTAGAAAATCAAAAATTGTTTTTATTTTTTGTTTTTTTTTGCGTTTTTTGCTTCCACTGAAAATCAAATTGGTGATTTTCGAAATATTTCGTCAACAATTTGATTTTGAAGGCTTTATTTGTTCGAGATCAAAGTTGGCTGAAACATCAATTACCAGTTAGAATGGGTGAAAAAAATGAAGAAATATCAGATGAATATGAAGAGAAACAAGAAAATGTCAGTGATGTAATACTACCTTTAAAGAAGAGCACAAAACGATGTTGTTATTGTGAGAAAAGTGGAACTTATTTGGAAATGACGAAAGTTACAGCAAATCGAGAACAATTGATTGAATGGATTCGAATTCTTGGTCGAAAGTTTTATGAAAATATTAGCGGAAAATCGAAAAGATATATTTGTAGAAGTCATTTTGAAAATATTAGTGAAACGAGATCTCAATTTGATTTGCCGGTTAGAATGAAAGTTGAAGAAGAGGTGAGATTTTGGAGAAATTTTAAAAATTATTAAAATGTTTTTAGGCAGAGAATCCACTAGAAAATGATGAATTCGAAATTCCTGATGATTTTGATGAGGTTTACAGAAAAGGACAAAGAATAACAAGAAGAATATGCGATTATTGCGGAATATCCCAACCGAAGAACGATTTAAAAGTTTGTAAACCAACAAGTCGAGATTTTGAAAGATGGGTTGAGATTATTGGACCGAAATTTTATGAAAGATCGATTCGGAAACAAAAGATTTTTATTTGTGTATCTCACCTTCATTTGCTCAAACAGAAACTTCTCGATGAAAATGATCCGGAATTGAGAATGAAGACAAGAAGTCAAAATAAGCGGAAAATTGAAAATGTATGTCATTTTGAAATCCGGAGAAAATTTGAAATGATTTTTGAATTGGGAAACAGAAAATGGTCACGTTTTTCCTTTTTTTCGCGTGAATTTTAGAATAAAACTTCCTTGGGGTACTGTAGGTTTGTGTGTGTCTGCATTTCACTGTGCAAACACCACACACATTGACGACACATTTTTTCTGTTTTTTTTCAGCGTTTTCAAAATTTTAAACTTAAAAGTGTTTTACAGGATGAAGCGATTTGCGAACAAAAAGTGATTAAAATTGAGGAAGAAAAAGAAGAGGAATCTGTGCAATTTTCAGTCAAACTTGAATTGGAGGAAGAGGAAATAGAAGAAAAATATTCGCCAACCGAAGAGATTGAAATGCAATTTTTGGCAGTGAAAGAGGAATTCATCGAAGAAGAAGAAGAATTAGAATCAAATAAGGAAAACATGGAGAGAACCAATATTCGCTGCCGTTTTTGTGATATTGAAATGAGTTCAATTCAAATGGTTGAAACTCCAACAAATCCACAAGATTTATTGAAATGGTGTCAAATTTATGGGGAAAAATTCACAGAAAATGTTTTCAAATATTCAGAACCTCACTTTATTTGTATGTCTCATGTTTTTGAGAGAAATTGTTGATTTTTTTGTTTTTTTTCTTTGTTAGAATAAGATTGTTTTTCTTGTTATAAGTTGAATAATCAGAAGACACCATTTCGAATACGGTTTGATCCGATATTATTTGTATTTTTTCTTGTTACAGAACGTTTTTTGAAAATCACAAACATTGTAGGTTAATAATGAAACCTCAAGTTTCTGCAAAACCCTGTTTTGTGTGCCAATACTGTGACCAGAGGGTTGACCGAAAACATATGACTGTAGTTCCATATTCTGCGATTACTCGAGCAAAATGGATGGATATACTTGGCCCGAACTTTTCCGAAAATATGAAGATATTTCACCAAATTGGAGCGAAAAAGTTTGGGCGAATTTGTTTGGCACATTTTGAAGGAAATTTGGAACGAAGAAAACGTAATCAACTTCCAATTCGAATGAGTGAAAAAGAAGAAAAAATGGCTAGAGTTAAAACACAAAAAAAGTCTATTAGCGAAGTGGGTTTTCATGATTTCAACACTAATCACCTCAAATATTTTCAGAAATACCGGAAAAGGTCGAGAATATGTTGTTATTGTGAAAAACTTACAAAAGAACATTGTATGACAGAAGTTCCGATCGATCAAAATGTTCGTGAAAAATGGATTGAATTACTTGGAAAACGTTTCGCCGAAAATTTGGAAAACATTAAGCAACCTAAGATTTGTCTCACACATTTCGAAGGAAATTTGAACCATCGAAAAAGGAATCAATTCCCTGTTGGAATGAATGAAGGAACAGAAAAGAAAGAAGAAATTGAAACAATCAATGATAATCCAGAATTGTCATTTCATTCATCAGGAAATATACCGCAAAACGAGAAAGTATATAATCAAATTGAAATTAGCGTAAGTTTTTGGGAATACAAATCTATTTTTGAAGTTCTTGAAATATTAGGGGGGATCGCAATAAAACATTTTAATCCAACTCTAAACACAAAAGAGGAATTGACTGACATGATCACAAAGCTTGGGACTCTCGAATTACCGGCTTAGATTCACAAAATACAATAATTTTCAAAAATAAAAATCAAATTAAAGCTTCCACCTAACTACGATACTCCACTTTGCCCTTTGTTTAACGGAACGTTTGGTTTTTATTTTATTTATCGATTTTTTCAACTTTTCGGTTTTTTCTCTCAAAAAATGTGTGTTTCACAGCGGTTTTTAAGTTCTTCACAAATCTATTTTTTTAACGAAACGTTTTCAGCAAAGTAGAAGCAGAAGAGAAAGAATTTATCGAATGTATAATGAAGAATTGGAAAATATGGATTATGAATATGAAGAAGAGTTTATTAATGATAAAAATGAAATTGGATTATTAAAAGTCAAAAGAGAAGAACCGGAAATTGTGGAAAATGAGCGAGTTGCGGTAAGTTGAACTTTATTTATTGAAAAAATTATGTACTTCTATAAATACATGTTTTTCAGCCGAATGAATCACTCGAAATGGATTTATTGCCGAATGAAATTGAAAAACCAAACGAGGAACTGGAAATGAAGTTTGAAATAAATCGAGAAGAATCATCGAACATTTGCCGAATTTGCAATGTAATATTCAACTTATCAAGTGAGAAAAGAGAGATTCCAAAGAAAACCAGGGAATTCTTACAATGGTCGAAAGTGTTTGGTCGAAAATTAACAGATAATATTTTTCAAAATGATGCACCACATTTTATCTGTATGTCTCATGTGAGAAACATTGAAAATTTGGTTGAGTTTACTTTTTAATTTTTGTTTTTATTTTGCTGTTCAAATTGAAAGTTTTCGGATGTTTTCGAAAATTCAAAACCTCATTTTATTTGTATGTCTCATGTTTTTGAGAAAAATTGGGAAAATTGTTGAATTTTGAAATTTTTTAAATAAAGTTTTTGTTGTAATTTGAATATTTTGAAACTCTTATTTGAATACGGTTTGGACCGATATTATTTGTATTAAAAATTCTAGATTCTTGGAACAAACATTTCAGGATGAAAAATCGAAAAGTTGGATTATCGAAATCAATATCATGCATTCACAATGGAAAATGCTGTTACTGTGAAAAATTGGTTGAACGGAAATGTATGACTAATGTCGCAGCAAATATCGAATGCCGTGAAAAATGGATTTCAATACTCGGAAAACAATTCGCCAACAATTTGAAGAAAGTTAAACATCCTATGATTTGTCGCGAACATTTTAAAGGAAATACTGAACATCGATTAAAATATCAACTTCCAGTTCGAATGGGTGAAGAAAATGAAGAAGAGGAATGCGAAAATGAGGTATAAACCAGAAATAAATCGATATTTTTAAAGAAAGGATCTGAAAGTCATCCAAAAATGAATGAATTTTTGAGAAATTCGAAAAAGCAGAAGGAATGTTTCAGAACCCCTGAGTTCATTTTTTAATCTGTGAATTCCTATAATGTTTTTGTAATAAGTAATCGAAATTGTAGATTTGGCATTTCGAAATGATTAATAGAAGAAATGGACCGACAGTAAGATGTCGATATTGTGAAAAATCACTCGAATCAAAATATATGACACGTGTACCAACAAATCTCGAAGTTCGTTTACAATGGATCGAGATTCTTGGCCCACGGTTCGCAAAAAATATGAAAATAGTAAATAAAAAAGCGATAAAGTATTTTGGTCACATTTGTCATTCACATTTTGAAGGAAATTTCAAACATAGAACAACACAGCTTCCAATTCGAATGAAAAAAGAGGAAGAAAATGAAACACGGAACGAAAAAAGAATATTTAAACAAGTAAGTTAACAGGATGGGTGATTCGAGATCTAACATACTTTGAAAGTTTGAAAGTGCATAGTAAAACCTCCAAGGAATTTTTCTCCGAAAAATGTAATTTTTCAAGCGGATTACGTAATAAAATTTAGCAATGGTTTTCCAACATGTCTTATTTAAATGCATTTTTCTTTTTTTCAGGCATCTCTAAATATTTCTCATAATCGATTAAAATATCAACTTCCGGTTCAAATGGATGAAGAAAATGAAGAAGAGGAAATTGAGAATGAAGATGAAATGGAAGACGAAAATGATGATGATGAAGAAAAAGAGGAAAATGCCGAGAAAGAGGCCGAGGATGAGATTAAAATAAATGCAACAATTCCAGAATTGGTATGGTTTTTTCTAAATGTTCAACCGAAAGATCAGATTCTTTTCAAGACTTCGCATAAATTTGAAATTGTTTTCAGAATGAAGTTCAAGATGATGAAACCGGCTCAAATGTTCCATCAACATCAAGGATTCCAAAAAACAACGGGAAAAGAGCAACTGGAAAACAAGAAGTCAGAAAGAGGAGAAAAATCGATTCATATTTTGAAGAATCATCGAAAAGAGGAGAATTGGGTGAAGAACACGAAGAAAATGACGATAAGGAAGATGAGGTTGAAATGGATACAACAATTCAAGAATTCAACGATATTGTGGAGAATGTTCCGGAAAAACAGGTTGAAAATCAACAAGAAAAAATGGATATTGAACAAGTTTTCCTAATGGTATGATTTATTTTATGAAAGTTTATTGAAAATATTACCCATAGTGTGTAATTTACTACTATGAATTTCTAGGCCGCAAACTCTTAAAAACTTTTTTGGTAGATCGAAAATAGTTTTCTCTAAATCTCTCACTTTTGCTTTGAATTTCGTCAACTTTAGTGAAAAAGTTTTTTTTTGTGTGTAAATTATGTTTTGCGATTCTCTATTTATCTAGTCTTACTGATTGGGTTAAATGTTTTTTTTTATCAGAACGAAGTTCAAGATGTTGAAACAATCTCCATTGTTCCATCGACTCCAAAAAACAACGGAAAAATTGCTTCAGATGAGCAAGAAATCAGAAAGAAGAGAAGAATCGATTGGAATTCTGAAAAATCGTCGAAACGAGGAAAATTGGATGAAGAAATGGGAAGAGAAGTGGTTGAAGAACAGAAAGAAAATGATGATAGAGGAACTAAAGGACAACCAAAATTGATGGATTTATTGAGAAATGTTCCAAAAAAGGAGAAAGAAGATCATGGAATTGTAATTATTGTAAGTTTATATTTTGTGGAGAGTAAATATAGAATTTCTATGAATAATTTCAGCAAAGTCCTCTCAATGAAATTCTTGGAGAATTTGGAAATATGGAACAGAAAGAAAATGATGATAGAGGAACTGAAGGACAAGCAAAACTTTTTCTCAAAAATTATTTTAAACCGGGCTTGTGGCCATTCTTATGGCCACAATAGAATGTATTTGGGCTTGGAGATATTTTATAACCTGAACTCTAGACGAGAATAGAAATTCCAAGCTTGTCAAATTTTAATTTTTTGCTCAAATACCCGCAATTCGAAAACATAACTCTGATAGTTTGCTGAACTGAAAGGACTACAAAATTAATTTCTTGAATCGCGGGTATTTGAGCAAAAAATTAAAATTTGACAAGCTTGGAATTTCTATTCTCGTCTAGAGTTCAGGTTATAAAATATCTCCAAGCCCAAATACATTCTATTGTGGCCATAAGAATGGCCACAAGCCCGGTTTAAAATAATTTTTGAGAAAAAGTTAGAAATTGATTATGATGAAAAATTGAGAGATCAAGATGGTCAGAATTATAACAACGTCGTCGATTTCAAGTTAAGGAGACATGTTGAGTTCCGTCTTAATGTTTGAAGAGCTTTAGGAATTTTTATAAAATGAACTTTCAAATATTCTGAAGATCTCAGTAAAGTTCGGGACGATGAAAATAAAAAACGCATAGATTTTTATATGAAAATAATACTTTTCGAGTTATCTTATGAATTTCAAGAAGTTTTGAGATGTAAAAATAATTAAATGTTTTCAGTAATACCTTCAGATTTCCGAAGGTCTTACTGAAGTTTCAGAACTCAGAAAACCATAAGAAAAATATGTTTCCAATGTAGTCTTTTTTCTTATGTGAGCTGGCTCCAGCGTACTGTAATTTTGGTTGATTTTTTTTCGAGATTTTTCAACAAAATTTGAGATTTTTCAAAAAATTCGATCTTTCTGATGCACCGAAGATCTTGCTGAAGTCCAGGATGATTAAAATCGAAAAATTCAATGATTTCTGTGTAAAAATGAAAAATTTCGAATTTTCAACAAGTTTTGAGTTTTTTCAAAAAAATCGATCTTTCCAGTGTCACCTTCTGATGCTTCGAAGATCTTACTGAAATCCAGAATGGTTAAACATCGGAAACTAACAAAAAAACATGTTTCCAAAACAGTCTCATCATTTTCCAAAACTTTCAAAAAATTTGCACTCGGCAGGGGTCGAACTCGAGACTAACCAGTGTCAACGTTGCTCAACCTGCCAGATGGGACAAAGCCATGCGTTATGACAAACCTATTATTTCTTGATTGCGCAAAAGCTTGCGCGGCTGAAAATTTCTGTAAATTGAGCTTTTTCGACGCGGGAAAAAGATTTTCGGTCTATTTTTCGATTCTGAAGACACTGGTTATATCGAAACAACACTAAAATGCCTTTGAAACGGACTTTTCTCGGCAATATAGATCTCAAAAGAATCTACCTCGAATTCCAAAAAATCCAGTCGAACAATTTTTTTGTAAAAGTGCCCTAAGGGGTATTTTTAGGTGCTCTTTCATATTTTATTGTCAAAATAATAGGTTGCAGGCCTGGTTTTCTCGGAAAAGCCGATTTTTTAAATTTCAAATTATCTTCCAGATGTCATATCATATCATAACTCATCTTAAAAGTGGATATGCGACTTCTAGTATTTTTCGTTGATTTTCTACACGCCAAACGCTACATTTTGAAAAAAAATCATTTCGCTACGTTCATTTTGAACCAAATTACGGTTCCGTGGAGTTTCAAAAAATCGAAAAAACTAAAATTGAAAATTTTCAGCTTCTCCTTCATCAATTTACAATGTCTTTTTTTTTGAAAAACGCGAAATTATGTGCTGCGTCTTAATGAATCAAGAGATTTTCAAAATTAAGACAACCTAGAGTAGAAACTTGCGTTCAAAAATCGTCATGTTTTCAATGGTCCCGCATTCGACGCAGATATCACAAATTGACCTAACTCGAAAAACACCTCGAGGTATTCACATTATCTATCTTTTAAAAAAAAGAGCTTGAAATTTCATGAAGTACAAATTGCTTTACGGTGGTACATGCGAAGGGTCTTTTTTGACTTCTCGGCGAGTTAGCGTAAGTCAGAGGCAATTTCAGAAAAATCCCATGATAGGTTTTCCTCATTTGGGGTGTAGATCAAACTGGAAAAGCGTTGACCCGAACAAAAATTTCGAAAAACTATCCCAAGCCCAAATAGGCGCAGTCTGAAAGCCTGCGCCTAATTGAACACATTTTTGAGAACTGTTCCGAAAAAAGAAAAGGAAGATAATGGTATTGTAATTATTGTAAGTTTTCTGGTTTTTGAGGTTAAAAATAAAAAATCATAAATAATTTCAGCAAAGTCCTCTCAATGAAATTCTTGGAGAATTTGGAAATATTGAAAGAGATGTGAGAGATCGAGAAAATCAAACAAATTCTCAAGAAAATGGATTATTGAGAATTAAAAGAGAAGAACAAGGAAATGAACATTTGGTGGGTATTTTTAATAATAAAAATCGAGACTTTCAAAATAGTTATTTGATTGTTTTTTAGGTTCCTGAATCGACTGAAATTGAATTGTTGCCAAATGAAAGGCCAATAGTAAAAGAACAACAGAAAGATTTGGAACAATCAGAAAACATTTGCCGAATTTGTGATGTTCAATTAATTCCATCAATTCAAGCCATTCCAGTCCCAACAAATGTAACAGAACTTATTAGATTTTATACTGCTTTTGGCGAAAAATTCACTAAAAATATTTTTGAAAAATCAATCCCCCATTTTATTTGTTTGTCACATGTTTTACAGAAGAATTGGGAAAATATTTGAATCATAATTCTTTCGAAAATAATGAAGTTTTTGTTTTATTTTGAATATTCATAGATTTTTTGAATACGGTTTGGACCGATATTATTTGTATTCAAAATGCTAGATTATCTTTCTCATTGTGAGAACAAAAATGTGAGCAGGAAATTGGGATGAAAAATCAAGAAATTGGAGAATTATCGAAAACAAGAGCACATACAAACACGAATAAATCAAAATGTTGTTATTGTGAAAAATTGACTGAACAAAGATATATGACTCGTGTACCAACAAATCTCGAAGTTCGTTTACAATGGATAATGATTCTTGGAGCACAATTCGCAGAAAATGTTGATAAATACAATCCAAATGGATGTTATTTTGGTCGAATTTGTATGACACATTTTAGTGGACATTTTACACATCGAAAAAAGTATGAATTTCCGGTGGCTGCTGAAATTCAGCTACCGAAAACCGCTGAAGAATATTTAGAATATGAAAAAGAAGAAGAAAAAACTATTGAGAAAGTGAGTTATAAGTAATCACAATAAATCCTTTTCAAAAATAAAAATGAATTATTATCAGCCATTTCGAAAATCCTCTTCATTTCTTCGGACATGTTGTTATTGCCTAAAACGTATGAAACAAGACGAAATGACACGTGTGCCGTCTCTTCAAAGTGTTCGTCAAAAATGGATCGATATTCTTGGACCTCGTTTTGCTAGAAATTTGGAAAATATTAAATATGATTGTATTTGTCGAACACATTTCAAAAGATTTGTCAAATATCGAAGAAATCAATTACCAGTTAGAATGGAGGAAGATAATGAAGAGGATTTTGAAATAATTGAAGAAAATCCTGAAACAGTTGAGATTATTGTATGTTTTTGGGAAATATTCATCAAATATATTTCATAAAATATAATGTTTCCAGCAAAGAAACAGCCGAAGAGAAAGAATTTATCAAAAATTTGATGAAGAATTCGAAAATATTGATTATGAATATGAAGAAGAACTTATGAATGATGAAACTGAAGATAAAAATTTGGTAGAAATCGAGAAAAATGGATTATTGACAGAGTTTCAACGAGAAGAACAAAGACACATTGAAAATCAAAAAACTTGTCGAATCTGTGAAATTGAATTGGAAAGTTCAATCAAAACAATTCCAATTCCAACAGATGCTGATGTTTTTATCAAATGGTTAGAAGTTTTTGGAAAAAAGTTTTCGGATAATATTTTAAGAAACTCAAAACCTCACTTTGTTTGTATGTCTCATGCTCTTGAAACTTATTGTTGATTTTTTTTGTTTTTTTCTTTGTTATGATAACATTTTTTGTTGTGCATAGTTTGAGTATTTGAAAATATTGTTTGAATACCTCAGAAAGTGTCCTGACAGCCGTCCGCGAGGTTGCGAGCTGTCGAAAGCTAGCAGAGGCTGTCCGCCAGCTCGCATTCTCATAAAAAGGGGAGGATCGAGCGCATCTCCTCGCCGCCAGCTAGCGGACAGAAAAAATTGCGACTGGAGCAGATTTGCTCGTCTATTTCCTTTTTCATTTTTTTTCGAATTTTTAGGCCTAAAACCTTTTTATGCCTTTTTCATCGAAAATTTTCACAGAAAACATGCAAGAAACGTCGCAAAGTGTTGAAATGGAGACGGTGCACATCGCCAGGCACCTTCGTGACATGAAAATGTGTTTTTGGTGAGTGTAGATGATTTTTAATTGAGTAAATTAGTGTAAATCTATTTTACAGGGCTCTCGATGTTTGAAGCGATGTTTTCGACTGAAATGGCGGGATGGACGAGCAGCACAACAATATTTTTGATAAAATTTGTAAGGTAAGGTGGTTTGAATGAAAGCTTTGGTTCCTAAGTCCCAGTAGTTTTAAAATCATGCTCTAGTGTAGGAACAAATCGATTTCATTTATGAGAAAAGAAAAGAACTCATTCTATATGAACTTCGAATGGAAAATTCTATATTCATGTCTGTTACTCATATTCATCTAGAAATGTATTTGATTGTATTTTTCCATCAGTGCTTGATAAATTAGAAAATCATTACTTTTAGAAAATTGATAGTGATAGGAATAAGTAGTTGCCATGTCATTGTCAAGTCAAGCTCCTAAATCGCTTGTTAGCACTGACTCGCTTTCTACGAAAACCTTGTAATTTTGGCTCGTTGAGTTTTCTAGACATTGAACGCTCCCTCTGCAGTGTTTTTTTCATTTTGCAGATAATGGGATATACCTGAATATGAAACTTGAAAAACTTCAAAAATGACTAAATTATTTCTCATTTCCCAATGCCCTATATTTTTCAAACGAAGTTTTAAACATGATTGAATATTTCAGATTCTACAATCATCAACCAACTCTTCGCAGCCTGGAAAACAACACATCACCCTCCACACTTCGACATCCACAGGATTCTGATAAATGAAGTGTTTTTTGTTTAATAAATTCTTCTGAAACAAGCTCTATGAACTGCAAAAACAACAGACATGCGCTAGCTAGCAGCGAGAACTGGCGAGGTCTCGCCAGAAAAATGCGAGAAATGGACGGCCGTCTGCCGGCTCGCGTGCTAGCTGGCGAGATTTTCTCGCCGACGGCTGTCAGGACACTTTCTGAGACGGTTTGAACCGATATTATTTGTATTAAAAATTCTAGATTCTTGGAAAAAAATTTCAGGATGACAAATCGAAGAAGAACATTAAGATGCTGTTACTGTGAAAAATTGGTTGAACGGAAATGTATGACTAATGTCGCAGCAAATCTCGAACTTCGTGAAAAATGGATTTCGATTCTTGGAAAACAATTCTCCAACAATTTGAAGAAAGTTAAGCATCCTATGATTTGTCGCAAACATTTCAAAGGAAATACTGAACATCGATGGAAATACAAACTTCCGGTTCGAATGGATGAAGATAAAGAAGACGAAGAAAATGATGCAGATGACGACGAACATCAGGAAAGTGAGGAATTTAAGAAGGAAGATGAGGTTGAAATAAATGCAACAATTGCAGAATTGGTATGATTTTTTCTAAATGTTCAACCGAAACATCAGATTTGTGTCAAGACTCTGCATATATTTGAAATTGTTTTCAGAATCAAGTTCAAGATGATGAAACTGGCTCAAATGTTCCATCAACATCAGCGATTCCAAAAAACAACGGGAAAAGAGCAACTGGAAAACAAGAAGTCAGAAAGAAGAGAAAAATCGAATCAAAGTCTGAAGAATCATCGAAAAGAGGAGAATTGGGTGAAGAACACGAAGAAAATGACGATAAGGAAGATGATGTTGAAATGAATGAAACAATTCAAGAATTCAACGATATTGTGGAGAATGTTCCGGAAAAACAGGTTGAAAATCAACAAGAAAATATGGATATTGAACAAGTTTTCCTAATGGTATGATTTATTTTATGAAAGTTTGGTATGATTTATTTATTGAAAATATTACCAATAGTGTGTAAATACTACTACGAATTTCTAGGCCGCAAACTCTTAAAAACTTTTTTGGTAGATCGAAAATAGTTTTCTCTAAATCTCTCACTTTTGCTTTGAATTTCGTCAACTTTAGTGAAAAAGTTTTTTTTTTGTGTGTAAATTATGTTTTGCGATTCTCTATTTATGTTTTTTTTTTTATCAGAACGAAGTTCAAGATGTTGAAACAATCTCGATTGTTCCATCGACTCCAAAAAACAACGGAAAAGTTGCTTCAGATGAGCAAGAAATCAGAAAGAAGAGAAGAATCGATTGGAATTCTGAAAAATCGTCGAAACGAGGAAAATTGGGAGAAGAAATGGAAAAAGAAGTGGTTGAAGAACAGAAAGAAAATTATGATAAAGTAATTGAAAAACAACCAAAATTGATGGATTTATTGAGAAATGTTCCGAAAAAAGAAAAGGAAGATAATGGTATTGTAATTATTGTAAGTTTTCTGGTTTTTGAGATTAAAAATAAAAGATTATAAATAATTTCAGCAAAGTCCTCTTAATGAAATTCTTGGAGAATTTGGAAATATGGAACAAGATGTGAAAGATCGAGAAAATCAGAAAAATTCTCAAGAAAATGGATTATTGAGAATCAAAAGAGAAGAACAAGGAAATGGACATTTGGTGGGTATTTTTAATAATAAAAAATCGAGACTTTCAAAATAGTAATTTGATTTTTCAGGTTCCTGAATCGACTGAAATTGAATTGTTGCCAAATGAAAGGCCAATAGTAAAAGAACAACAGAAAGATTTGGAACAATCAGAAAACATTTGCCGAATTTGTGATGTTCAATTAATTTCATCAATTCAAGCCATTCCAGTCCCAACAAATGTAACAGAACTTATTAGATTTTATACTGCTTTTGGCGAAAAATTCACTAAAAATATTTATGAAAAATCAATCCCCCATTTTATTTGTTTGTCACATGTTTTACAGAAGAATTGGGAAAATATTTGAATCATAATTCATTTGAAAATAATGAAGTTTTTGTTTTATTTTGAATATTCATAGATTTTTTGAATACGGTTAGATCCGATATTATTTGTATTTAACATTCTAGATTATCTTTCTCATTGTGAGAACAAAAATGTGAGCAGGAAATTGGGATGAAAAATCAAGAAATTGGAGAATTCACGAAAAAAAGAGCACATACAAACACGAATAAATCAAAATGTTGTTATTGTGAAAAATTGACTGAACAAAGATATATGACTCGTGTGCCAACAAATCTCGAAGTTCGTTTACAATGGATAATGATTCTTGGAGCACAATTCGCAGAAAATGTTGATAAATACAATCCAAATGGATGTTATTTTGGTCGAATTTGTATGACACATTTTAGTGGACATTTTACACATCGAAAAAAGTATGAATTTCCGGTGGCTGCTGAAATTCAGCCACTGGAAACCGCTGAAGAATATTTAGAATATGAAAAAGAAGAAGAAACAACTATTGAGAAAGTGAGTCACAATTATAATCACAATAAATCCTTTTCAAAAATAAAATTGAATTATTTCCAGTCATTTCGAAAATCCTCTTCATTTCTTCGAACATGTTGTTATTGCCTAAAACGCCTGAAACAAGACGAAATGAAACGTGTGCCGTCTCTTCAAAGTGTTCGTCAAAAATGGATCGAAATTCTCGGACCTCGTTTTGCCAGAAATTTGGAAAATATTAAATATGATTGTATTTGTCGAACACATTTTAAAAGATTTGTCAAATATCGAAGAAATCAATTACCAGTTAGAATGGAGGAAGATAATGAAGAGGAATTTGAAATAATTGAAGAAAATCCTGAAGTAGTTGAAATTATTGTAAGTTTTTGGGAAATATTCATCAAATATATTTCATAAAATATAATGTTTCCAGCAAAGAAACAGCCAAAGAGAAAGAATTTATCAAAAATTTGATGAAGAATTTATGAATGATGAAACTGAAGATAAAAATTTGGTAGAAATCGAGAAAAATGGATTATTGACAGTTCAACGAGAAGAAAAACGACACATTTTTGAAACAAATCAAAAAACTTGTCGAATCTGTGAAATTGAATTGGACAGTTCAATCAAAACAATTCCAATTCCAACAGATGCTGATGATTTTATCAAATGGTTAGAAGTTTTTGGAAAAAAGTTTTCGGATAATATTTTAAGAAACTCAAAACCTCATTTTGTTTGTATGTCTCATGTTTTTGAAACTTATTGTTGATTTTTTTGTTTTTTTCTTTGTTATGATAACATTTTTTGTTGTATTTATTTGAAAATCTCGTTTGAATACGGTTTGAACCGATATTATTTGTATTAAAAATTCTAAATTCTTGGAACAAAAATTTCAGGATGAAAAATCGAAGAAGAACATTAAGATGCTGTTATTGTGAACAATTGGTTGAACGGAAATGTATGACGAATGTCGCAGTAAATCTCGAACTTCGTGAAAAATGGATAAATATTCTCGGAAAACAATTCGCCAACAATTTGAAGAAAGTCAAATATCCTATGATTTGTCGCGAACATTTTAAAGGAAATACTGAACATCGATTTAAATACAAACTTCCGGTTCGAATGGATGAAGATAAAGAAGACGAAGAAAATGATGCAGATGACGACGAACATCAGGAAAGTGAGGAATTTAAGAAGGAGGATGAGGTTGAAATAAATGCAACAATTCCAGAATTGGTATGATTTTTTCTAAATGTTCAACCGAAACATCAGATTTGTGTCAAGACTCTGCATATATTTGAAATTGTTTTCAGAATCAAGTTCAAGATGATGAAACTGGCTCAAATGTTCCATCAACATCAGCGATTCCAAAAAACAACGGAAAAAGAGCAACTGGAAAACAAGAAGTCAGAAAGAAGAGAAAAATCAATTCGAATTCTGAAGAATCATCGAAAAGAGGAAAAATTGGAGAAGAAATGGAAAAAGAAAATGGATTGGTTGAAGAACAAAAGGAAAATGATGATAAAGTAATCGAAGGACAAGCTAAATTGAACACATTTTTTGAGAAATGTTCCGAAAAAAGAAAAGGAAGATAATGGAATTGTAATTATTGTAAGTTTTCTGGTTTTTGAGATTAAAAATTAAAATTCATAAATAATTTCAGCAAAGTCCTCTCAATGAAATTCTTGGAGAATTTGGAAATATGGAACAAGATGTGAAATATCGAGAAAATCAGAAAAATTCTCAAGAAATTGGATTATTGAGAATTAAAAGAGAAGAACAAGGAAATGAACATTTGGTGGGTATTTTTAATAATAAAAAATCGAAAATTTCAAAATAGTTATTTGATTATTTTTCAGATTCCCGAATCGCCCGAAATTGAATTTTTGCCAAATGAAATACCAATCGAACAAGAACCACAAAAGGATTTTGGACCAATCGAGCACACTTGCCGAGTTTGCGATATCAAACTGATTCCATCAATTCAAGCAATTCCAGCGCCAACAAACACAACAAACTTTTTAAATGTTTTAATGCTTTCGGCCAACGATTTTCAACAAACATTATTGAAAAGCCTAAGCCCCATTTTATTTGTATGTCCCACGTTTTCAAAAAAATTGGGAAAATGCTTAAATTTTGTTTTTTTAAATCATTTTAATTATTGCCTTTTTGTTTTTAATTTTTTTTTCTGTGAATAATAAGATTTGAACTTTTATTTTTTACACATGATTTTTCTTGGATTATATACACTTAAAATAATTGAAAAGATCGGTATTTTATTGATCTGATGTTGGTGAATTCGTAATTCCATCCTTGCCAACTTCTTTGGCTGGAATGGAAATGCGTGGTTTGACAACGGAAGAAGTTCGGATTGATGAGTCTTTGTTGACTGCATATCTGCAAAAAATGAAAATTTTCAAAAGGATGACATAGCTCAATTTAAATGTTGATTTTCATAAAATTTGTATTTTTCAAAATATTTTTCAAACCATACATCAAAGTGTCCGAATCAGGAATCGAAAGTTTCTCCTTCATAATTTGTCCAATCCGAAGATTCACATCATCTTTAGTTGCATCCCGTGTCCACAACGATACTTTATCCCCTTTTCCACGAACATTCAAAGCAGCTCCACAAATAAATTCGCCATAATCCTCAAATTGTTCGCCAACAATAGCTAGCAATAATTCGAGCCAAAGATGATCGAGATTCTTTTTTCTTGTCTCAGGCGGCTCTCCTTTCGTAACAATCACTCGTTTTTTAACATGTATTGTTTTACTGATTCTTTTCTTGATTATCCAACGACCACCTTGAACATTATTTACATCTTCCCACATTGGTCTGATTCCCTCTTTGAACATATAATAATCGGAACCACGTGGAAGTTCACCAGCTGATTGAATGTGGTTCTGGAGAGCCCAAAAATCTTCAACTGTGTCGAAAAGTGCAAGCATCTGCAAAAATATCACACTTCGCCCCAGCATTTTGCAATTAATGTTACCTTCAAGCAGTCTTCCCAATCCTTGTCTTTTTCCGTCTTCAAATACCACAACGCCCATCTATTTTGAAGTGGATGTTTCGCTTCGATTTCTGTCGAAGTTCCTTGATCACTGGGCTCTTTATTCGTGGACATTTTGCTGGAAATTATCAAAACTTTGTCAAAAACAAGAAAATAAACAAAATAAAAATTTTACTACGGTATGCGCTTTGTGCATTTGTGCGTCACCGTGTTTGCACATTAGTGTGCTGTTTGAAAATGTTTCACCGGATTTTCAGCATGTTAGAGGGAATTTTGGGAAATTCTGAATATACCACTCGATTCGTCTCGTTGAGATGAATCAAAAGCTATTGTTTTTTTTCTGTGAAACGGATCCTCCAGAAATTTAAAAGCTCGGAATTCAAATTTTGAAGAAATCGCTGCGCCATCAGTTTTCACGTTTTTCTGCATGAAAACTGGATATTTTTTCGCAGAATTCTGAGTAATGAGGAAGATAACATTACCAGAAATTGTGTTATGACATCATAATTCGATTTTTATTTATCGATTTTTTGTTTTTCATTTTCATTTTCATGTTTTCTCACGTTTGATGTTTTAGCCATCTAGACATAATGAAAATGTTTCGAAAAAACTTGAAATCATTGTTTTCGATAAAAAAATGTTGAATTCTCTCATATTTTTTCTGGTTGTCACGAACATCCTGGGCCAAACTGAATTTCTCAACAAGTTGGATGAATTGTAAGTCGAAATCTTGTTAAATATGATCAATTGTCATCCATCAAGGATTACAGAGTTCCATTCGAAGATCGCGATAGTTTTGAAGAACTTGTGACTTCGGATTTCGTCGGAATTACGGAAGTTTATCCGGGGAAACGGTTTGAGCACGATTTGAAATCGTTCAAAAAGTTCTTGTACATGTTCAATTCTCGATATTGGAAAATGCACACAACTGGAAGTTGGGAGGGTGTACGTTTATTTTTGAAGAAAATTATTATATTTAAAAACTCGTGGTTTCTCTAGAAATATTCAAATGATACGCCGAAATCTGAAATCATCTCTTCCACGGAAAAATCGGCCAGCTTCAAAATCTCGAAATTTTTCAAATTTGCATTCGATGAAAAAAATCAAACACAATTATAAAATGGATATTTGGAACTTTGAATTCAATGTGACGTTTGATACAATTTGGAAAATTCAAAACCTTTCGATTTATCCGAATTCCAAGATTGATATGTCGCGAGCAATTACATCAGTCATGAAAAGAACCGAAAATGAGTGAGTAGATTTTTCAAAAAAAACAAAAAAACATTTTCGTCTTTAAGAGTTTCTCGAATTGTCAACAAAGAACCTCCACGTAGAATATTCTTTGATCCTGATTGGGCAGAATATTTGACAAATATTAAAATCGCTCGATATTATCGAGATCACAAACCAAAATTGAACACCTATTTCGAACTCAACAAATATAATTTCAAACTCGAAAACCCAGCAAATGTTACAAGTTTCACAGATAAGCGTTTCGATGAAACTTTGCAATTTGAAGTTTTAATTCAAACCGTCGAATTTCATATTAATGTCAAATTTTATTGCAATTATGTGAGTTTTTAGTGTGAATCACATGGATGTTAAATTGGAAATATGTAAATGTAATTTCAGATCGAGAAGTATGATGAAATTTATATTGAAAGCATTTTGAGCATGCATCCTTTTAGTTATAAGTGATTTTTTGGGAGATAAACTCTAAATAAATACAGATTTTATACAAGACACATCATCCAGAATCACCATAAAATACTTTCAAATCATTCTTCATATTTTGTATAACCTGATATGCAAGCCAAATGTGCATCACTTTCACAAGACCAATCGATTAATCCGAAATCACCATGAACCAAAAGACATTTCTCATTGTTGTTCGCATTATCTGGATCATTATTCCACCATTTCTTACGTATCAAATCTTTTACTTTCGACAAACTCTCGCCATATTTATTGCTCCAAACACCAATCTGATTAGATTTTTATATTTTCAAATAATCTTGTAAAAAACTCACATTTTTCCTGTTACATTTCTCAGTCGAATCATGACGTGTACACCCGATATTTTTTCGAAGTCCGAGATAAATCGGAACTTTGTAGCTCATCAATTTATCATATTCTTGTTCATCGGAAAATGTGACAAGTTCTCCACCGATTGCTTTACATTCAGATTCTGCCGAATTATATCGCACCTAGAAAATAAAATTTATGAAGTTAGGTTAAATTGACTGGGCCTTACAATTTTGTTGCGCACAAATATCGTGCAAACACCTTGTCCACTTTTTCGAACATATTCTTCCCAACCATCCGCGCATTTTGTTGGTCTCTTTTCATTTTTGTAGAAAATTGAGCAAAGAAGTGGAGCGTCTTGAACCACTGGACGTTCGACAATATCAAGTGAATTTCTGTAAAAGTTGACAATTTCGAGATTCTCCCAATATCCGACAACTCACATTTTCTCCGGCGTGAACAAAAACGTGTGTTGATTTTCGCGATGCAATTTATTTGTTCGTGTACATTCGGTTTTTGTGATTTTCATCGAATGACGCGAATCTACGTGTTCTCTAAAATGACAATTCCATTCTTTCTCATATTCTCTCGGTTTATACACCAAAGTTGATTGAAATTTGCCATACTCATAAAAATCATATGTGCAACAGAAATAGTATGGTGCATAGGATGTTACTATCGATGATTTAATATTGTCATTCAATTTTGGGACGTTTTCAATTGTCGCGTCCCAAATATCAGCTTGTGAGGGATCGATTATAGCACTCATTGATGCACTGCATTTTTCGAACCGCGTCGAAACCATCCATGTTTCTCCTAAAGAAATGCTTGATGACTTACTTGTTAGGTAACTCATTTAGGGGCTGGTATTACTCTGCAAAACTCCGCCCACTTTTTTTAAATTTCGTGTTTGAATATTCTTAATAATTTTTTTTCGCTGTCTTTTCACCTACAGTACTGGCCAAAAAGATATGCAAAACTAGTTTTTCGAGTAAATTTACTCGAAACTGTCGAATTTCGACCCGAAACCTTTTGGAGGTTATTTTTTACGCCGAATCTGATTATTTGCATCAATTTCATAGATGAAAAAAAATTTCTTGATCTTACTAGGTCGGATCATCAAATATCGACTTTTTCAGAATATTCAAGTTTTCACCATTCCTTGATTTCTTTTCAAAAATACAGAGTTTCCGACCGAGAATCAACTTGCAGAAATGACTAGACATCATTATCTTTCATTTCCGACCTTAACCTTCAATTTTCATGAATCCTAAGATCGACACTGATGTCTTCAGTAAGACCATCTAGAAAATTGGGTTTAGGTCATTTCCCCGATATTTCCTGAAATTTTATCATCAGATTTTCTTGAAAACATGTTTTTTGATCATTTCCAAGGTGATACCACAAAATTCCAACCCTAACTTGAAGTTTTGACATAGTTTTGACATTGCTGGATTTCCGATGTTCATCTAGAACTTCAGATCTAGACCATCAGGAACTTCAGAATCGCATTTTTATAGGTGGAATCCGTTCCTAGAATGGGTGAAATAGTTATCTATGATCGTTCAATGCCAGAAAGCTCTTTTGAATTCAGTTATACCACATTATGTTCCAAAATACAAGAATTTGCATATTTTACAGAGGAAAACAGTGTAAAAGTACAACATTTTTGTGTTAACCCGATTCAACTTCCGATTTGAGTTTGGAAACCTCTATAAACTATCAATTATGCATTGCTACACCATATTGACCATCCCAGGAACGGATTTCATAAATAAAAATGCGATTCTGAAGTTCCTGATGGTCTAGATCTGAAGTTCTAGATGAACATCGGAAATCCAGCAATGTCAAAACTATGTCAAAACTTCAAGTTAGGGTTGGAATTTTGTGGTATCACCTTGGAAATGATCAAAAAACATGTTTTCAAGAAAATCTGATGATAAAATTTCAGGAAATATCGGGGAAATGACCTAAACCCAATTTTCTAGATGGTCTTACTGAAGACATCAGGGTCGATCTTAGGATTCATGAAAATTGAAGGTTAAGGTCGGAAATGAAAGATAATGATGTCTAGTCATTTCTGCAAGTTGATTCTCGGTCGGAAACTCTGTATTTTTGAAAAGAAATCAAGGAATGGTGAAAACTTGAATATTCTGAAAAAGTCGATATTTGATGATCCGACCTAGTAAGATCAAGAAATTTTTTTTCATCTATGAAATTGATGCAAATAATCAGATTCGGCGTAAAAAATAACCTCCAAAAGGTTTCGGGTCGAAATTCGACAGTTTCGAGTAAATTTACTCGAAAAACTAGTTTTGCATATCTTTTTGGCCAGTACTGTACATAATGCTATAATGTCCAGAAGTTCTCCAAACAGTCATAAATCCATCCTGTTGCATCGGATAATAATATGGTGCCAACAATCTGGCTTTGAATCCAAAACTTAGCGGTGTCTCTTCTGGTTTATAAACACAAATCACTTGCGCAATTGATTTTGATCGTAGTTTGACAATTGCACCCGGTCCAAGATTGAAATGTATTGCCATATCAATTAGAACAGCGAAATCTCGACCACCACCATCAAATTCCAGATATTCTTTGAGATATTCATCGGGTTGAATGAAGAATTTTTTGAGATCGGTGAAGAATGCTGGAAATGAAGTACTGTAGCGTGACGAGACCCAGTTAGGATTTTGTACTGTAACCTCTGCTCACCTCGTAGTAAACGAATCAAATCGACATCGTACAATCTAATCAAATCACCATGAATTGTTTTTCCATTTTTAGTCTTCACAATTTCCTTTTTACACAACTTCGTTGCTTTTTCATACGTCATCATTTTATCGATTTTTCGATAACAATTTCCCTCAATTTGTGTATAATCATCTCGACAACTCAACACATTTTCATATCTACACCAAGCTTTTTTATCTTTCATTTTGAATTCGAGCAAAGGATACGGTCCCCATGTTTTGCAATACCAATTCGCTTCTTCCTGAAATGAGGATTTTGTTATTTTTTCTCGTAGACTAGGGGCTGTGCCCCTAGTTGAGCGTGTCTCCCAGGCAGAACATAGTTCCATTTTTAATGAAATTTCTGCTCATCTCGGTCAATTGAAATTTTTATGAACAAATATCTGATTTCCAATGAGACAGCCCTTCTCCCTTTGTGGGCTTGATTCCCGCTCGAAAAATGTTTCCCTATCGGGTAAGATAGATTTTTGGAAATGTGGTTATTACTATAGAATTACGATATTTTGAGTAAAAATCCTGGGTGACGTTATCGATAAATTGTTCGAAAATTGTTCGAAAAAAAAAACTTATTTAATTATTTTTTTGAATTAAGTATACTCGTAAGAGGTAAATCACACAAATTACAATCAAATTTATAGAAAATTTCAAGTTTTTTGATCAAAAAATATTTCGTGGCAAAATCAGGAAGGCTTCCTAATTTTGCCATGGATGACGTCATCGATAAATTTTTCGAAAAAAAAATCTTATTTAATTATTTTTTTCGTTCTGTAACTTTTTTTTTTGAAAAAACTCGGGCCGATTTTTTTTTTTGAAAAACTTGGGCCGATTTTTCTTGAAAATCTCGGGCCGATTTTTTTTTACATTTTTGGATTATTCCAAATCTGTAACTTTTTTTTTTGAAAAATCTCGGGCCGATTTTTCTTGAAAAACTCGGGCCGATTTTTTTTGAAAAAACTCGGGCCGATTTTTTTTTTGAAAAATCTCGGCACGATTTTTTTTTTTGAAAAAACTCGGGCCGATTTTTCTTTGAAAAACTCGGGCCGATTTTTTTTTGAAAAACTCGGGCCGATTTTTTTTTGAAAAACTCGGGCCGATTTTTTTTTTTGAAAAACTTGGGCCGATTTTTCTTGAAAATCTCGGGCCGATTTTTTTTTTACATTTTTGGATTATTCCAAATCTGTAACTTTTTTTGAAAAATCTCGGGCCGATTTTTTTTACATTTTTGGATTATTCCAAATCTGTAACTTTTTTTTGAAAAACTTGGGCCGATTTTTCTTGAAAAACTCGGGCCGATTTTTTTTACATTTTTGGATTATTCCAAATCTGTAACTTTTTTTCTTGAAAAAAAATTTCTTGAAAAAAGCCCGAGTTTTTCAAGAAAAAAAGTTACAGATTTGGAATAATCCAAAAATGTAAAAAAACTCGGGCCGAGTTTTTCAAGAAAAAAGTTACAGATTTGGAATAATCCAAAAATGTAAAAAAAAACTCGGGCCGAGTTTTTCAAGAAAAAAAGTTACAGATTTGGAATAATCCAAAAATGTAAAAAAAAATCGGCCCGAGATTTTCAAGAAAAAATCGGCCCAAGTTTTTCAAAAAAAAAAATCGGCCCGAGATTTCCAGAAAAATCGGCCCGAGTTTTTCAAAAAAAAAAGTTACAGATTTGGAATAATCCAAAAATGTAAAAAAAAAATCGGCCCGAGATTTTCAAGAAAAATCGGCCCAAGTTTTTCAAAAAAAAAATCGGCCCGAGATTTCCAGAAAAATCGGCCCGAGTTTTTCAAAAAAGTTACAGATTTGGAATAATCCAAAAATGTAAAAAAAAATCGGCCCGAGATTTTCAAGAAAAATCGGCCCGAGTTTTTCAAAAAAAAAAAAAGTTACAGATTTGGAATAATCCAATTTAACTTTTTTTCTTGAAAAACTCGGGCCGATTTTTTACATTTTTGGATTATTCCAAATCTGTAACTTTTTTCTTGAAAAACTCGGGCCGATTTTTTTGAAAAACTCGGGCCGATTTTTTTTTTACATTTTTGGATTATTCCAAATCTGTAACTTTTTTTTGAAAAACTCGGGCCGATTTTTTTGAAAAACTCGGGCCGATTTTTTTACATTTTTGGATTATTCCAAATCTGTAACTTTTTTCTTGAAAAACTCGGGCCGATTTTTTTTACATTTTTGGATTATTCCAAATCTGTAACTTTTTTTTTTGAAAAACTCGGGCCGATTTTTCTTGAAAAACTCGGGCCGATTTTTTTTACATTTTTGGATTATTCCAAATCTGTAACTTTTTTCTTGAAAAAAAATTTCTTGAAAAAAGCCCGAGTTTTTCAAGAAAAAAGTTACAGATTTGGAATAATCCAAAAATGTAAAAAATCGGCCCGAGATTTCAAGAAAAAAGTTACAGATTTGGAATAATCCAAAAATGTAAAAAAAAACTCGGGCCGAGTTTTTCAAGAAAAAAAGTTACAGATTTGGAATAATCCAAAAATGTAAAAAAAAATCGGCCCGAGATTTTCAAGAAAAATCGGCCCAAGTTTTTCAAAAAAAAAAATCGGCCCGAGATTTCCAGAAAAATCGGCCCGAGTTTTTCAAAAAAAAAAGTTACAGATTTGGAATAATCCAAAAATGTAAAAAAAAAATCGGCCCGAGATTTTCAAGAAAAATCGGCCCGAGTTTTTCAAAAAAAAAAAGTTACAGATTTGGAATAATCCAATTTAACTTTTTTTCTTGAAAAACTCGGGCCGATTTTTTTTACATTTTTGGATTATTCCAAATCTGTAACTTTTTTTCTTGAAAAACTCGGGCCGATTTTTTACATTTTTGGATTATTCCAAATCTGTAACTTTTTTTCTTGAAAAACTCGGGCCGATTTTTTTTACATTTTTGGATTATTCCAAATCTGTAACTTTTTTTTTGAAAAACTCGGGCCGATTTTTTTTACATTTTTGGATTATTCCAAATCTGTAACTTTTTTTCTTGAAAAACTCGGGCCGATTTTTTTTACATTTTTGGATTATTCCAAATCTGTAACTTTTTTTCTTGAAAAACTCGGGCCGATTTTTCTTGAAAAACTCGGGCCGATTTTTCTTGAAAAACTCGGGCCGATTTTTTTTACATTTTTGGATTATTCCAAATCTGTAACTTTTTTTTGAAAAACTCGGGCCGATTTTTTTTGAAAAACTCGGGCCGATTTTTCTTGAAAAACTCGGGCCGATTTTTTTTGAAAAACTCGGGCCGATTTTTTTTTGAAAAACTCGGGCCGATTTTTTTTACATTTTTGGATTATTCCAAATCTGTAACTTTTTTTCTTGAAAAACTCGGGCCGATTTTTTTTACATTTTTGGATTATTCCAAATCTGTAACTTTTTTTTGAAAAACTCGGGCCGATTTTTCTTGAAAAACTCGGGCCGATTTTTTTACATTTTTGGATTATTCCAAATCTGTAACTTTTTTCTTGAAAAAAAAATTTCTTGAAAAAAGCCCGAGTTTTTCAAGAAAAAAGTTACAGATTTGGAATAATCCAAAAATGTAAAAAAAATCGGCCCGAGTTTTTCAAGAAAAAAAGTTAAATTGGATTATTCCAAATCTGTAACTTTTTTTTTGAAAAAACTTTCGAAAAAAAACTTACTTAATTTTTTTTTTGAATTTAATGTACTCGTAAGATGTTAAAGAAACGAATTACAATCAAATTTATAGAAAAATTTCAAGTTTTTTGATCGAAAAATGACTCGTGGCAAAATCAGGAAGGCTTCCTAATTTTGCCATGGATGACGTCACCTATCAATTTTTCGAAAAAAAACTTCTTCAATCTTTTTTTCGTATTGAGGACTTGAATAACATTCTTGGCCCGTTAGGAATTAGGAATTCTTGAACAATGCCAATAGCATCTGAAGAATCAGGCTTTTTCATTCATGGGTCACGCATGATATTTTCTCGATTTTCTCTTTTTATTAAGCTTTTTCTTCTCCATATTCTTTTTTCTTTTTTGCCGCGTTGGATTGTCAAATTTTCGCAATTTTGGGGAGAAAGGAACAAAATTTCCGAAAATCTGCATTACTCGATATAGGGAAAAATTTTTCCGAGTGGGGCTCGAACCCACAAAAGAAGGAGGGTTGCCTGATTGGAAGGCATCGCTCTCCCCGCCTACACCACACGTGTAGGTAAGAAATGAAGCATTTTTGATAAATATATATTTATCAGAATTTCACGTGACCGGGAGAAATGAACATTTCTAAATAAATTTCACCTTACGGGATTTTAATGAGGGGGCGAAATCTTCCTCTTCGAACTCACATCATCCGAAACTGGAAATTGTTTCCACGTAACCTCGCATTTATCCGAATTCGGACTCTTTTCATCGATTACTTTACTCGAAGTTCCTCCCGCTTTTTCACAGAATCGCAGAAAACTTGAATCGCGGATGTATTGTTCGGAATTCCGTATAAGAAATAGTGTAAGTAGGAAAAATGCACAATTTTGGAGGATAAACATAATGAGAAATAGTGAAGCTTTTTAAATTTGAAACTAGAACTATTTTTTTCTTATTTTTCAAAAGTTCACGTGAAAAATACTAGGCAAAAACTGAAAGGGTACGGCTGAATGGGGCCCGCCTGTCTAAATGGGGCCCAAAAAGAGTATCGTCTGAATGGGGTCAGATGCATAAAAAGTAAGGCTGAATGGGGTCAAAAAATAAAAGGGGCCCATTCATGAAAAATAGTGATTCTGAATGGGGTCCGTCTAAAAGGGGCCCGTTTTATGTCATTTCATTGGAAATAATATTTTCTGAATGGGGCCCGTCCAAATGGGGCCCATTTTATTTATAATTTTGATATGTCTGAAAGGGGTCCATTTTTTCGTATGATATTCGAATTTGAATTGTGATTTTTCATCGTCTCTGAAATCTCTATGGTAGCTTCTTAGTTGAGCACAAAATTGGGGAAGATGAATTTTCCTGTACTTCATTCAAAAATCGTTGACATAAACATTTCGATCTGAAATCGTCTAAAAATAGAAAAAAATTTGAGTGGGAACAAGTTAATCAATCGCATTGTTAGTTGAATTCAAAATATAAGGTTGTTATTTTCTTTAAAGGGTTGGTCCTGCTACACGAGAAAACAAGTCCGCAATAGTGCGTCAATTTTTAAAACTAACTATAAGCAAGCCTAAAGTTGATTAAAATCACTTTCCATAGTTGAAAAATGTTAGGAAATACGTTTCGCGAGAAATACACACAAATAAATTATGTGTGTGAAGAGCACACATGTTTTTTATATGCTCTAAAACCTTAAAACCTAACAAAAACCTGAATAAAATGGTGAAAACTCGCTCTGAAATCAAAATAAAATATGGAATGTTTCAGGAGCACCTTAGCTCTATCGAATGAACCTAAGTTTCCCTGTAGCAGGACAACCCCTTTAAGCCAAAATCTACAATTGCGACAAGTTCTCTACTGAAACTACAGGTTTTGTATGCGGTACACACCTCGGCCAAGCCGTGGCTGGCCAGAGTACAATTTTTTGAAAAATCTGAATTTCAGTTTTTATAGGTCAAAAATTGAAAAATCACAATTTTTAGAGGACAAAAACTGAAAAATTCACAATTTTTGTACTGTAAAAAGTTAGCGTACAGTTTTTTATTGTGGGAACCACGATTTTGGCCGAGGTGTGATGCGGTATGATTTCGTCTCTATTTTCATATGAAACATACTTTCAAATGATAATTATATTTCTTAAGACTAAAACGTTTTAATTTTGGGGAAAATGGCTCAATACTGTCCTGTTATAATGTTGGCATTAACTTCCCAAAATTGAAAAGTGTCTGCCTCATCCAAAAAAAACATGCTATTTTTGAAACAAACCCATCCCGAGGTGCGAAAATTGTCATGGATGGCGTGGCGTGACAGGTGGCTTAGAGATTCAAAAAACAATTGAAAATTGAAGTAAAGTTTATATAAAACTTGCAAAAATGTCATTTTACGTTGTGAAAATTGAAAACAAATTGTTGTAGACATAGACTTTTCAGAGTTTTCAGAGTTTCTGACATAGTTTTCAGTATACGAACCGCACTTGTTTTTCAAATCCTCGAGAATAACCTCACACAAATGCATTTTTTCAAATTATTCTATAAGATTCATTTTTTCACAAATACGAAGAAGGGTCACAGAACCAATTTTGAAACACAATTTTGAATTCATTAAGCATAAATTTCGAATAGTACAGGGAAAAGTTCATGCGAAAAAATGGACCCCTTTCAGACATATCAAAATTATAAATAAAATGGGCCCCATTTGGACGGGCCCCATTCAGAAAATATTATTTCCAATGAAATGACATAAAACGGGCCCCTTTTAGACGGACCCCATTCAGAATCACTATTTTTCATGAATGGGCCCCTTTTATTTTTTGACCCCATTCAGCCTTACTTTTTATGCATCTGACCCCATTCATATGTCGTCTTCAACACAGTGTTCTATCCCGAACACTACAGGTGACTTCTATCGTCACACCTAATTACCGCTTAGCCCAAGATTTACTTCTGATGTTCCGCTTCCACAGTCTTCCGTGTCGTCTTCGCGCTTCCTATCAGAACCTATAGTTGAGCCATCTCTTGATAGACTGACGTCTCTTCCCTCGGACCTTGCATCCCACCAAATGGGCGTGGTCACAGAGAGGCTTACTTATATTACACCCTTTGCTATTGGCTGCGCCACACTCCCGGGGAAACGCGAAAAATCGCACCTTGCCTCTTGAATCATCGCTCATTTGGTTTTCACATCCATTTTTAGACGTTTACTCCATAATGGATCATAAGTAATTTGAATCATTCTAACAAAACTTCAGTCACATTCGGAATTTCATTTCAACTTTCATATACATAGGAATTGTTCTATCAATTCTTCATTTTTATGTTTATCTAGATATTTTCTAATAATCAATTGATTGTTGGACTTAGGCTTCGGTTTTACTTATTTTTCTTTCCTTTTTTTTTATCAGTTACCAATTGGTTATTTAATTCTTCTTCTATATTTATTTAATTCTTCTTTTTCTATTTATAATTTCTTTAACTTATACTTAATTTAATCCTAATTTGATGTTTTTTTTTTTAGTTTCTTCTCAGTCAAATTTTTAGTTCATATCAAAATTACTTTTAATATTCACTCAAAATCTTTTTTAAGTTTTTACAAAATTTATGTTTTTTTTTTAAATTTTAAAATTGACTTCTTCTATTTTTCTAGTTTCATTACTTTAGTCCTTTTCTTAAGCTCAAGTTACAAATATTACAACAAAAAAATAGTTTTGTAGAAAACAATGAACTATAATATTCTTATTTTATTATCTGAAAATTGAAAACTTCCAATTTTCAAACTCTAAATTTTCGTGATATCAAACTAGAATTTTATATACTCTTAATGATCCTCTAATTCTCTACTTTTCAAACAGCAATTTAAAATTATTTCGATTTTTTTTTCTAATTTACGCACTTATTCTATAACTTATCTTCGAAACTTTTATCTTTCAAATTTCAAAACTTTGTAGTTTTTTTTTTAATTAACTTTAACTTTAATTAATTTTTTTTTAAATTTAAATTTTCTGTTTTATCAAGACATAATTCATAACTATTTTCCTACCTTTCAACTTTTCCCGATGGTTGTGAACTTAATTTCAAAACAAATAATAATAATTGAATTTTAAAATTTCCGATAGGAAAATTCGTGTTCAAATAATTCATTCATTTTGTTCAATTTTGTTCAACTTTTAAACAAAATGGTTTTTTTTTAAAAAACTATTTTTTCTAATTTTTCGAAGATGAACTTTCTGAATTTTCTAACCCCTTTATTTCTGTGGGTATGTATTTTTATATGAGTGTCTGGTTATTATTTTCACATCTGGTATTTTTTGCGATGACCTATCTCTTTGACTAGTCTACTCTATATAACTTCTGACAGTTTTATACATAGGCTCTTTTATGATATGCTCATGTGGTTGACCTTTTTGTTTAAAACATATTTCCTTTTCTATGTAATTTGAGTATTTTATTACCCCATGAGTAATATATCTTTCAAAATCATCTCTTTTGACTAAACAAAACTTTGACTTCAAAATTGTATCATTGGAGAATTAAAATAATGTTCTTACTGTACAATCTATTCAACTGAGCACTTATTATTACTAAAAATTATATACATTTTTGATATAAAAACTGATTCACCTAAAGAATTTTCTTTCAAATATGGATTAAAAAATATATATTGATCATTATCAATTTACATTTCATAAAATCAGACTAGATCTACATTTCCCACATTCAAAAATATGAGAAAAATAGAGAATCAAACTGATTATAGAAACACAATTAATAATTTTTCTTACAGATAACTAACTAAATTATTATGAATGCTTGACTATAATTTTGTAATCAAATATTTAGTTCTGATTGAACTTTCATTATTTTTATATGCCTCTTTAGGGCTCGCTGTGCGATCTGTTTTTTATAAGCCTCTTTAGGGCGCCTCTTTAGGGCTCGCTGTGCGATTTGTTTTTTATAAGCCTCTTTAGGGCGCCTCTTTAGGGCTCGCTGTGCGATATGTCTTTTCAAAAACGATTTCTCGCTTCTGTCGACGGTCTTTGTCTTTCGACGGTCTTCCTGGTGAGCTAGCTTCACACAGGAAATTTTCCCAGGGGCCCAAAAATATCCCAAAAAACTCCTCCAACGAAGAGCCCACGTTTGCACTCCTGCCACAAGCACTTACGCGGTGACTTACCTGACTACTGCCTGGGATGACTGGTAGTCGCCTTTTCACAATAATTAGTTGCCCGAGAACTGTTAAGACTCGATCCGATGCACCATATGTCGTCTTCAACACCGTGTTCTATCCCGAACACTACAGGTGACTTCTATCGTCACACCTAATTACCGCTTAGCCCAAGACTTACTTCTGATGTTCCGCTTCCACAGTCTTCCGTGTCGTCTTCGCGCTTCCTATCAGAACCTATAGTTGAGCCATCTCTTGATAGACTGACGTCTCTTCCCTCGGACCTTGCATCCCACCAAATGGGCGTGGTCACAGAGAGGCTTACTTATATTACACCCTTTGCTATTGGCTGCGCCACAATTCAGACGATACTCTTTTTGGGCCCCATTTAGACAGGCGGGCCCCATTCAGCCGTACCCTTTCAGTTTTTGCCAAAATACTATTCTTATTTTGAAAATATATCTATTTTTTTTAAATATATGATCATCGGTAGTACAGTTGCCATAGCATCGATAACATCTTCGTCGTTATAGCGAAGTTATCGGGGATTTCTGGAATCAAAACAATTTGTCCGAAGGTTTGACTGAAAAATAAAAAAATTTCATGAAAACTTGCATTTTTTGGTCTCAAAAACAAACTCACGTACAAATTGCGTTAATGTTCCTGATGATAGTTGCTCATTCAACGTTGGCACGTCAAAGTACACACAAAATACATAATCAACTGAACACAGCGACGACTTTTCCACAGAGACATTTATAAAGGTTATCTTACTGACTTTTGTCTCATGACTCATGTTTCCTTTTTTGAATAACAAATGATAAGAAACACTCATTTCAACTTAAATTTTTCATCGAATAATGTATGTGAAATTATTTACTGACGAAATTTCTTCTCCAAAAGAACTTCGGCCGAATTTTACAATTCAAGTTGAACCTCAAACTAAACTAAAAACAAGTAAGCTATCCATATATTTTCACCTCTAATTTTAATAAGTTTATAGAATCGCCCACACAAAATGATCAACTTAACTTATATTGTAAAGTATTACTAATTGCATTCACGGGAACATTTCTAATGTGTATTTTATACTTTTTGTTCCTAGCAGTCAGTCAGGAAATTGTGCAGGTTTTTTGTTCCTCGGATAATTAATGAGATGAATTGTTGAAAGTTTAACTCACAGCAAAAAAAAAAAATTTTTTTTCGTTTTCTTTTTGAGAACAGTCTTTTTCACGTTTTCACGTGAGAGAAAACGAGAGAGTAAAAATTAGCGTGTGTGTGCAGAAGAGACGCGAGACGGAAAACGGATATACAAAACTCCGCCCATTTTTTTTTAAATTTTCCGTAGCTAAAGTATTTTAAACAATTTTTTCGCTGTGCGTAGATAAATTTATAAGATTAAGCTTTATTTTCACAATTAATTAAGCACAAATTATAATTCCCTAATACAATTGGCATTTATTTTCTGGATTCATCGGTGTATTTTTCTTACATCCAAAAGCTTCTGAAAATCCATCTGAATTTGACATAATTCCATTAACTCGAAATTCTCCAAGACTATGAACATCGTTTTTATACTGTGCAAGTTCTGTTCCAACAGTTTCTTTACTACACCAATCCTGGAAACAGTTGGGATCTAGCTATAAATCTGATAATATGGTTCTCAAGGTGCTGATCCTTGGCGCAGAGACCGCAAAGGCATGATCGCTTGTCAGATTAGCTCACAAGCCGTGGCTCCTTGAAAGGACCCCTCCCTTTCTTCTAAAAAAAACCCACATAAGCCAATCTCTGATAAAATTGTTGTTGCACAGTATATTGATCAATAACCGGTAATCTTTGTTGTCTTTTCTCATCCAATAATTTCCGAAATAATCTCGAAACTAATTCAAATCCAATTTTATCAGCTGTATCTTCTTGTTTCGTTCGATTTCCATTTGAAAATGTTCCATCCGAAAATTTGAATTTGTTATATTTTTCAATCAAACAATCAACACGTTTTTTGAATTCTTGTTCAGTTTTTGGACTTATCGGATATTTATTATAATCTTGATCTAATTTGAAAGCATGTGCATCAAATGCATGGCCAACTTCGTGTGAAAGAACAAATGCAAATGATGCGTAAATATTCCAATTTGGTAGATCAAAATCGATATATGGATAGTTGAGAAATATTGGAGCCATTGCTAGAAATATTGATTTTTTTGGGCGGAGCGGTGAAGTTTGAGGATTACTGTAGAGGATTCTTATGGTAGTTCTAGATTTACTGTAGCTGAAGATTTACAGGATTTTTTGCGACCCTTTTTCAGGGGTACTGTAGATCAGAACTTTTAGATAAAAAAGGGCTCAAAATTCATCGAATTTTTGTTGGTCAAGCTTTCGCGTTCTGAAGTTACTATCAATTCTAAAAACTCACAAGCTCTATGAGATCCTCCAAAATAATTAGCCGAAAAATGCAAAGGTTGACCCGCATAAGTGATTTGTTCTTTCCTGGCAACTCTCAAAAATGTTTCTTCCGAATTCATTTTCAATAAATTTCTCACAAGTTCTAAATATGTTTGATCTTTTGCTTTCTTCGATTTTTCAATATTTTCATACATTTTCTCAATATTTTTCATATTTTTATATTCATCCGGTATTCCAATTGATGATTTTATCAAATTCGCTTCTTTTTTCAATCTATTTTTCAATTCTTGTTCCATCCAATTATTTTCATCAATCATTTCATTAAACACATTTTTCACTTCATCCAAAATCTCATTTGCTCTTTTCAAATTCTCTTTTGGCACAAATTGTTCCACAAAAATCATGGCCAAAGTTCCGGGAAACATTTTCTCAACAACTTTAAAACATTTTTCCTCCCTATCTTTCCCACTGAATTTATTTTCCACAACATAACTTGAGAGTTTTTCATCATAATATTTTTTGAGAACATCTCGAATTGCTGCAACTCCTTTAGAATTAACAATTTGTTGAAGAGCTGTTAATTGATTCACAAAATATATCAATTCCCAATTTGTATTTGTGCGTGAATAATTTGGGAGCAATTTGAGCATATATTTTTTGATGTTGAGAAAATTGAATGGAAATATTGAATTATCATTGGATTTTGCTCTTTTTTCAGTTTCTTCAACTTGAATTGCGTTGTAAAAGGCCGTGTATTCAGTTTTGAAATCCTGCAAAAAAAACAGATTTTTATCTAGAAATTTAGCCTAACTATTCCGCTGTAAAAATTCCACATTTTTTGAAGATGGACCCAAATTTTGCTCCTCTTACCTTCTCAATTCCACTTCCAATTTTCAAATACAATTTAAATTGTTCATTGGGAAAAGCCAGCGCCATAATATCGTTTTTCAAAAACTGTGTTTTCGCAATCGAAACTTTTGCCATTTCCAATAAAATATCAGTCAAATCCAATTTTTTCCAAATATCAGTCTCATAAATTTCAACACTTTTAGTTTCCACACATTTATTCCATAAAACCGCCGCAATTCTTTGTGGAGTTGTTTTTGGTTGAAAAGTGGAGAAATTCAAATATTTTGTAAAATTTTTTCGATCAATAAATAGATTGTTATATATTTCTGTGCCATAATTTTCAGAAGGATCCACATTTTTTTCAAAATTTCCACAGCTAAATTTATAAAAATCAATGCATGGATCAGTTGAATTATCCATTAATAATGCCATTCGATTTCCCAATTCAAAACATTTTTCAGTTTCACAAATTGGTTTAAAATTATCATGATTTATGAAATCTCCAACACTACCAATTAAAATTGCGATAAAAAGTGAGAGAGTTAGAAGAAATCCAGTTATTAGAATCGCATATTGAACTTTTCGCTTTTTTAGAAAAGATGGGCTGAAAGTTGAAATTTTTAGGGGAAAAAGAGTGATGGCTTACGTTTTCATATTTTAGAATTCTTAAAAAATGAGAAAGTGCTCGGGAAAAAAGTCACGTTTTCTCTTCTTTTTTTTTTACTTTATAGGAGGTCAGAAAATCTTTAAAATTTTTTACATTAAAAGATTTATAGAGAGTTAGGAGGAGATATAACCATTTTATCAATTGTCCAGCGATTTTCGTTCTAAAATTTAATTTTCAATTTTTGTTGCAACTCTCAAAATGCCAACCAACCTGTTTAAAACTGCCTTCAATCAAAAATCCCCATTCCTTCCCAATTTTTGTTCCATTTCCAAATCTTCTTTCAAAAATATAAATGCGTTTTAATAAAACATGATCATTTTCATCAATTATCATCAATAATTTATCTTTGGATTCTTTCAAAAATTTCATTCTTTGTAGATAATTCACAAGTTCCGCTAACTTATAAATGTGTTGCTTTTCAGTTTCCACGATTGCTTCGAAGTTTGGGGAAAATTGTTGGTTTTTAGATATTTCAGGGAGGCTGGAAAAGAATTTTACTTTAGCTGCGGAAATTCAAAAAAAAAAGTGGGCGGAATTTTCCCTATCCCTTTTTCGTCTGGCGTCTCTTCTGAACGCACACAATTTTTGCAAAAAAAAATGATTTGAACTCACATTTTCGATGTTTTCTCAATAAACTTGCTCTTCAAATCTCTTGTGCTATAATTAGTTTTCAAAGTTTTCATGGAATTAATTGCTTTCTGAGTAAACTTTGGATAATTAAAACATTCATCATCCAACTCGATTTTCACAATCTTCCAAACATTATTGATTTTTCGAAGACTAAAAGTGTGCATTTCGGAAACCTCATAACTCATAAAACTTTTTGAAATGTAATAAAGTTTGAACATGAAATCATCGGATGAATGTAGAAGTTGAAGAATTGACGATTTTTCAGGAATTCTGAATTTTCTGCGATGTTTTTCAAAATATTCAAAGATGTTTTCGGTTTTCACTCCACATTGGATGAATTGGAAATCGAGATTGGATTCAAAGAGTTCCGTGAAGTTTTTCAAATTTTCTTGCCAATTTGTGAAATCGAAACTCGATTGTGAGATTAGTCTACAACAAATTGTACATTGAGAAACACAGAGAATTCAGACAATTAGATAACACTATAGAGTTAGAGACGCAGAGAACCTTAAGCTTGTGCTCTTCTTCAAATTCTGAACTTACAAATCACTAATTTCCTGCGAAATCCTCAAATGTTCCTCAAAATTTTCTTCTGAAAATCGCTCATTTTGCATAATATAAAAATTCGGAAGAATTTCAGCTGAATGAATTTGAATCGAAAATCGGCTCATCAAAATCACGGCTCTGAATTCAATTCTGACAATTCGATAAAGTGCCCAATCATCTTGTGATTCACAATTAATTTGAAAAATGAATTCGGTTTTGTTGAGAAATGTTGGTGGATTTTGATGATGACTACAGTTTTGGAACTGAAAAAAATAGAGCAAGATGATTAGAGAGCATGTGGAATTGAGAGACACGGAGAAATTCGAGATCCGAAAGACAGTACTACCTTCAAAGAGGAAGATTTAAAGGGACATACACTCGCGCCAAAGGCACTCGGGGTTACTACAGGAAAATTTGAAGGAATTCTTGTTCGAAATTATTGAACTTCAATGTTTCCCCTAAAAAATAAATAATCTCACTTTTAAATCTTGATGAGACCCAAATAATTGTCTCAAATATTCTGTCGGATGTTCAAATAAAATCGTATGTTTCATTTTCGGCTCAATTTTCTTCACCTCTCCAAATCGCTCCAAAAATGGAGAAGTCTTATTATTCTTAACGAAATCCAGAATTCTGAAAATGATTGCTCATATTATTTTATTTTATTTCATTTTATTGGAAAAACCTCACATTTCTTTAGTTTGTTTGACAAAAACATTTGCAAAATTCATGGAAAATTCTGAAAAATTTTTGATGTCGAATATTGACTGCTGACATTTTTGTGATTTTCCATTCATCAGAATTCTGGAAAAAATTCAAGAATTCAGAAGCTTGCGATGTCACATACATAACATGCTTCAATTTGAAAACTCCATTTTTGTCTATCAGTTTCTTCCGAATAATTTTCAACATTCACCAAATATCGAAAAACAATGTGATTGATGTTTTCAGCGATTTTATCAATTTCAGATTCTCCAAATTTGTATTGTTGATGAAATGAAGACAGGAAGTTCAACGCATACACTTGAAATTTGAAGAGAAAAATTTAGAGAGACATGAGAGAAGCCAGAAATTTTTATAGAGTTAGAGACGCAGAGAAATCATACTTCTAAAAAATTACAGACTACATTTCTCTGCGTCTCTACCTTTCTAGCTGTCTGATTTCTATGTGTCTCTAACTTTCTGGTGATTTCTAGTCATGTGCAAAATTTGGAGCTCACCGAATTCTATGAGAAACTAACCTCGATCTAAAAATAGAGTGTGATCCCCAAGTTTTGTTAACAATTGGAAATTTTTTGAGAATAAACTCTCATCATCAATTTTTCTCACAAATCCATCAATAATTTTCTGATTCTCTGTTGTCCAACTATTCCCAATTTTTGTATCCAAACTCGATTTCGTATCCAAACAATCATTTTCAAAATGAATTTGTGTAACTGGCCATTCATAAGTTTCAAAGAATAAGAAGTATGACACAAGAATAAATCGAAAACTAATAGTGATTTCTTTGACAATTGTGATATTCATCCAATTTGTCAAATTCAAGCTAAACTTATAATTGATTTGTTCGGAAGGATATTTCGGAAATTCAAATTTTGGTGCAAAATCTTCGGTTGTTTTTTGGTATTTGTATCTTTCGAATTCCAAATAATTCAGAAGATGTAAATTTTTTTCTTCTTCTGCAAAATGGCGCAGAATTTTTTAAAAATGATTTGAGGGAGGACTATCTCACTCACTTTCCAAGACTTCTCCACAAACTGTAACTCTGACACCTTCTTTAGACAAAAAAGTAATCATTGATTTAAGAGAAGTAGCAAATCTCAAATTCTGAATACTAAATTGGTTCAAAAGATGTTTGGGAAAATATTTGAAATGATTTTCAATTGCATGTTCATCAGTTCCTTTTTCAAGTGCATCTTTTTGATAACTGCTTGTATTTCGTAATTGAATATATGTTTGAATATGTCTTTGTCGAACCCATGAAAATATTGAGGGTAGAACTAATAGGAATAATATTAAAATTGGCTTCAACATTTATTTTTGAAGAAGAAAAATGTTTGGATTTTTGGGGAAAAAATTAATATTGATTATGTCTAGGCTCAATAAACACGTCCTTTTACATAAATTTTCATTTTCTAAAATGAAAAACAATCTAAATGTTTTTATTTTCCATATTAATTTTCGTTTCAACAAAACTAATATTTTGTGAAGAAACAATTCCAGTGGAATATGAAAAAGATATGAATGAAACAACAAAACGAATTCAAAGACAACTTTGGGGAGCAATTTCAGCAATGCATATGAGAGATCAACATTTGAATACTATCGCCGAAGCTCGAAAACTCAGAAAACTAATTGAGAAAATACCGAATTTGTTGCGGGAACAATCGAGTTCTCAAAATGAGAATTGGAATTCGAGCTTATCAGATCTGAGGAATTTGATTGATTCGGAAAATTTTACACCAACGATTTGCGGCCATAATGTTTTGCCATTTCGTGAGTTTTTAGAAAAAACAAAAAAATTGGCGCGAAATCTATGGATTTTCAAAATTCCAATAATGTTTCAAAAATTCTAGGCGGCTCCCAATCGGCAACATTTCTCGGATTTCTCGATTTCGAGCGTCGAAGATACCGTAACTCCAACAAAACCCCCTTCGATCTTGTGATTCTTCAAGAACCCGCAAAACCCTATCAAAAACTTCTAATAACTCTGAATCTCGAAAATTTGATGAATTTCACAGTATTTTGGAGATATCACGTGAAAATTGGAAGAGAGAAGAAAATGTGGAAAATTGAGGCGGTAGAGATCGATGGAGCATGTTTGAATTCACAGAATTTTCAGAAGAATTCGGTGGCAAATGGTGGAAATTGCGGAGGGAAAAATGAGATTAGAGAGGAATTTGTGAAGAAGGTTAAGAGAGATATGTAAGTCTTTCCGTAATTGCGTAGTGTCGTAAGCGGCGCGTGTGCGTCGCGGTCCAAGTTAAAATTATTCAATAAACCAATTGTCTATACTTAATATTTCCAGCTTTATATTAATGGATGACAAAAATTTCGACTCCACCAACTTCAAGGCTTTTATAGATACAAATCCAATTCTAACAGCGAGTTATAATTTTGGTAAGCTTTTCCTTTTTCATTTTCCCACGAATTCGTAATTTTTCAGCTGAATTCCAGTCTTATATCCATAGATTAGTGAAAATATACAAACCTGAACATGATTTGAAAGTTTTGACAACTGAAAAAACATCAGAAGCTCAGGCTGAAAATGAAGATCGAAAAGCAATGACTAATATTATCACAGCTACCGAAAATCATTTAGTTTTCCGATTTTCGATAATTCTACAAAATTTGAAAAATCCGAAATTATACGAATTGTGGGATTTTCAAATTGAAGCCAAATCTTTGAATTCTAAAAAATCTTGGAAAATTCATCAGATTTTCTTAAGACCTCCGAATTATTACATTGGAAATAATATTTGGGAAACTGAATATTTGACAAGATATTCGAGAGAAATTCGAGAATTATTGGAGTCGAGAAAAATTGAGAGCTATCCGCATTTTATGAAATTTAAGCAATGCAAAAATGTTGAAAAAATCGATATTTGTCGGGAAGAAATTATGGAAAATAAGAGAGATGGGAAGAAATTCAATGTTGCTTGTTTTTTCGAAAAATCGGAAATATTTAGTGCAAAGTTCCAAGTAGATTTTGTGAGTTTGAGGTTTCAAAATTCGCGCCGAAGTTTGGACAACTTTCGCATTAGAGCGCAGTTGCATTAGTAACAGTAATAATATAGAAGCTTCATCAATAGAGCGCAATTGCACCTTTTCATAGGAAAATTTGAATATCGCATTTTCCCGCTCAAAATTACGGGATTTTGTAGTGGAGCGCACTTGCGTTTTTCCTTGAAAACTTAATTTTTTCAGGATTTCAAGACAGAAAATTTTAAATGGATAGGAATTGTGGTGGATTGCGTGGAGAAAGTCTAAATTTTTTGTTATTGAAAATAAATTTTGAATTTGGCGTAATTGCGAAGTGTCGTTGCAGAACAGATCTTTTTGATCAAAAATAAGATGAATAATCTATAAATCAATCGATTTTTGCATGACTAATTTATATTCTCCATTCTCATTTTTGTCTGGTTTCGCAAGAAAATGCAAATTCTTTCCTGTCTCTGTTTCTCGAACTGTATAAGTCAATCTTCCGCCAAATCTTTTCTCCAATTTCACATCCAAAATTTCCCGCTTCGAATTTATTTTGTCCTCGAATAATTCTTTGATGAATTTCTCAATTTTTTCTTTATTTTCCAATTTTTTGATTCCATGATGGCTTATCAGAAAATATGGAATTTGGAAAATATTTCGTAATTCTTGCAAGCATTTTGGCTCGTGATAAATTTTATCCAATTTCGTCGCGATTTCATGATATTTATCGACTTCGTTGGCAGCAAAAGTGAAAAATATGAAAATTTGGAGAATAAATAGGATTCTCATCTAGAATCGTATTGAGAATCGATGAAATTCAACACTTTTTTATACAACCAAAATTTCGTGGGATTTATGATGGGAAAAATAATAAACTATCATTTCATAAAAACAATCAGGAAAAAATTTAAATTTGAAACAAAAAAAAACGAACAAAAGTGATTAACAAAAAAATTAAAGAGACATAACAGTAATTGAGTCTTTCTCAAGAGAAAATGTGGCGACTCCAAATCGATAATTTGTATTAGTTTTGGAAGTGAATCCAAAATGTTTTGGGCCGAAAAGTGATTGATGATGTTCGAGGTACATTTCTTGCATTTGAGCCATTTCAGGAGGAACAGATCTATCTTTAGATTTCAAATTTTCTGTGTAATAATCCATGTTCAAATTTTCGTTTTTCGGAGTCATAATAACTAAACTCCACAATTGATTATCTTTTTCTCCACTTTTTATCATTTCCAAATATTTTTTGATAGTTTTATCATCGAAATCGTTGCATCTTAAACATCCTTGTTCTCCTTGATATTCGCATAATTGTTCGAATGTCAAATTGGTTTCACTTGCCAAAATACTTTTAATATTCGAAAGTTGGTTGAAGTTTATGAATCCCGATGTCAAAAGATCTTCTTTCTGTTGGGTAACTTCAAGCGCTCTGAGTCGTCTCAAATTATTCACGTTGAAATCGTGCACAGTTATCAATTCGTGCTGAAAAATGTTCTCGGTAATTTTGTGGAGATATTCTATCTAAAATTTAAAATTTGCCTGTCTGCACTCTCTCAATTTTCAACAATATAAAAATCTCACCCTGAATTTAAATTGTATGATCGAATTATGATAAGTGTCCAAATAATTCGTCAAATATCTCAAAACAACAGTTTTCATATCTCCTTCTTCAACTTTAGTCCATTTTTCCTTATGATTCTCACAAAAATAATCATCGGGATTCTCATAAAATGAATTCGGCAAATCATCCGAATCTTCGTATATATGATCGTTTCACTTCTTTTTCGCAATCTGTTGAACATCTCGCGAATTTGCAACGTGTTTTTGCGTCCATTTCGAGAATTATCATTTCTCTCAATTCAAATGGTATATCAAATAAACCCAACGAAGCCTGAAATTCAGAAAAATTGACTGGAATTTGAGTGAGAAGCGGTAAATTTGAAAATTCAATTTCCATCTGACAAAAAAGCTATTTCAAATTTTTTTCGGGAATTCTAAAACTCACATTCTTTTTCAACTTATCAGCAACATTTTCCGATTTTCCACGTCGTTTTCGTGGATTTCGACTCATCCTAACTCACGGTGAGATTTTCTTTACACAAAAAAAACCGTCGCGAAATTTAAATTGGAGTGAAGAATGTTCGCTCTGTTGCACAGAGCGGCGACACATTTGTGTGCTTTATGGATACGGAGTTTCAATTTTTTGCATGCTGAACAAATTTTTCGCGACGGTTCCGGACGTCAAGAAAATCTCATTGTGAATTGATTTTTGGAGAAGAAAACATTTTCTAACAAGATTTTCGAAGAAACATATATTTGAATCGTTCAAAAAACGAATTTCAATCAAAAAATTGAATAAAAAGAACAAAAATGTATTTAAAAAATCGTTAACAACAAAAAAACATGTTCGAAAAAGTTTTAACGGGGAGTATGGATTTGGGCGCGCTCTAACCTAATTCTAGAATAGCTACCACCATCAATCAACCAAATACGTATATCACATTGTCGTGGATCCTTGATTTTAAGAGTAAAATAATTGCCCTCATAAGACGATCTAAATAATCAACATTTTCTATTTTCAAAAAAATAAAATAAAATTTACCTCAATCTTTTTTCGGCTGGGTCTTCTCTATCAAAAACTGTCAACAATCCATCAATATAATATTCTTCATCCAAGATTTTCAATTCATTCAATATATCAATCGAAATACTTCCAATATTCTCTCCAATTTCTCCATTTTCCCACATTTTCAAATATATTTTGATTTGTTCATTTGTCAAATCTTTTGCTGCAATTTCAATAAAATCAGCTTCGAGTTGAAGAATTTGATCGAATGTGAATTGTGTTTTTTGAAGATTGATTGTTTCTCTGCATTTCAAGATTTGCTCGAATGTCATCAAATTGTCTTCCAAAACATCGCTAGAATAGTACACGATATGTTGAAGATTTTTCAAATGTTTAATGTCCAAGTTTTCCTGCAAAATACGAATTCAAAACACAATTGAACAATTAATTTTTCAAACTTACAGTATTTTCGAAAACTTTGAGAGAATATTTATATTCTTCGAGAAACTTCTTCAAATACTTCGCAATAACACTTTTCTTATCTCCTTTCTCCTCAATTTCCCATTTTTCTTCTTTCAATGTATTGATATACGAATGTTCACTTGACTCTTCATCATCATTATCAATATTGCGCATAAATCTATCCAATCTATTTTGTGACCAATCCTCAATTTTTATTTTTTCGTGACAAATTGTTGTCTTTTTGGATTTGCCCCATCCGCTATTCGAAAAAGTATAACGAAAATGTGGACAATCTCGATTTTCATTTGTCAAATAAAAACAAATATGGGTTCCTTCTTCACTGTAATTCATATCGATCTTATACATAGAATTCTTCGATCTTCCAGCTTCTTCAGCACACAATTTCGAACATTGTTTAAATTGAAAAACGGTTTCCGGATCGATTTCATTGATAACCATTTCTCGCAATTCTTCAGGCATATCAAACCAGGATGTTGAATAAGGCTGAAATATTTGAATTTAAAATAAAAATCTTGGAAAATCCTACATATTTATATTGTTTGCGGCTGTTTCGAAGTTGTCTGTTCCTGCTGATATTCTTTGATTTCTGGAAAAAATCGTTTTTCAGATTTTTCAAGAAATTTAATTTTCTGCCGGGTTCGAAAAATAACTTACATAAGCATCCAAATTTTCTTTTTTTCGTATATCTTTGCGAAGTTCCAATGTATATTTGAGAAGTTGAGCGGGCGAATATCTTCGAAGTTGTTCATCAGAAATATCCATTATTCAGAAAAAAGGTTATTAAAAATCAAATCGCAAGGTTTTTTTTTTAAATATTTCGATATCGTTTCAAACGAAAGAACAGGTCTTTAAAAAAAATCTAATAATTTAGTCAACAATTCATTAAATGATCATAATATCAAAAAAATGTTACTCATCATTTTTATAAACCACAAAATAGAACGATGTTTGGCTGAAAGTAACATCGGCATAACTGTTCTCTCTTTTTGGATCGACCAATTTGAATTTGAAGCAATAGCTGAAAAATGCACTATTCTTGGTGAAACTTTCAACTTTTATAAAAAGTTCCTTCATACCATCTAATATCACCATCAAATTGATGATCGTAAATATGCAATCCTTTTGTGATTTTTGCTCGATTATAATCTCTCCAAAAATTCCAATTAATATCCATAAAATGCAAATTTTGATGAAGTTGTCCATTTTTCAACATTTTCAAGTACTTGTTAATGTTATTGACGTCATAAAATTCATTGCATTTCACCGTATAACTATCGCCTTTCAAATTCAGAATTTCATCGAATGATAAATGTGTTCCGCCCGCACAAAACGTTTCCGCATAGATTATCTGTAATCAAAAATTATTTATGACATTTTTTCTACATAAATATAAATACAAAAATCAACCTGATTCATTGAAATAACTCCATTTTTCAGAAAATCCACTTGTTTATCATCATAAATTGTGAAATTATTCAAATATTTCAGATTCTTCACGTTGAAGTTTTCAAAGTTCTCGAGATCCCGCTGAAAAATCAACAATTCATGTTTTTCTTCAGAAATCTCTCACGTTCAAAGTGAAATTTTTGATGGAATTTTGATAAGTATTCAAATAATATTGCAAATATCTGTGTTTGACTTCTTCGGCTTTTCCATTCTCTATTTTTTTCCATTTCAATAATTGTTGTTTTGGTCGATTTGGTAAATAAAACTGGGGATCATATCTGGAAAAAAAACAATTTTTATTATCAGATGTTCACCACAACAAACTAACTTTTTGTAAATAACAGTGGTTTGTGGAGGTTGCGAATCTTTGACATCAACAAATTTATAGTAATAATCACTGGTCATATTCGTCATTCCAATATATAATTGAGGATCTCCAGTTCCACGTGGATTATACGAAACACTGTGAAAAATGCGATACAAAAAGTTTCTCGATTGTTTTGCTTCTTTTTCACATAACATTGAACATTCTGTGAATTTGCATCGAGTTTTCGAATCCATTTCATCGATTATCATTTCTCGCAATTCCGCAGGTAAATCAAACCATGATTTAGAATACGGCTGAATTTTAAAATTTTTGAAAATTTCTATGAAAAAAAAATAAAACTAACATAAACATATCCATTTTTCTCGATTTCTTCTCGTAGTTTCAAAGTATATTCAAGAAGTTGAGCATGCGAAAAACTATAAAGTTGCTCTTTTGTCACATTCATTCTCTAAACAAATTTTTGAAAACAGATGAAAAAGTTTGAAAACAAAAGTAGGAACATCGATAGAAACGAGTTACAAAAAATTGGCAATTATTAAATGAGATGAGAATAAAAACATTTATTTACAAATTGTGAACAACATCATGAACAATAAAGTAAAGTTTGAGAAACAAATATAAATATTAATGAAAATTATATGTTCTTTGTGAGATTTATGAACTCTCGCTGAATCATAAGGCAACCACAGTCGAACCAAAAAGTAATAACACATTTTTTTGAATAATTCATTGAGGGTTTAGGAATTCTAGTCAATCTGAAAGTTAATCTACATATTTCGAAAAATAAAGCTGGAAAAAATTACTTGAAATATCCATGATTTTCGGAAACTGTCAATAATCCATCAATATAATATTCACGATCCAAAACTTTCAATCCATTCAATTCAATCTCAATATCAACAATATTGTCATCGATTTCTCCATTTTCCCACATTTTCAAATAGATTTTGATTTGTTCATTTGTCAAATCTTTTGCTGAAATCTTGATACAATGCGCTTTGAGTTGAATAATTTGATCAAAAGTGAATTCAGTTCTTCGAAGATTGATTTTTTCTCTGCATTTCAGGATTTGCTCGAATGTCATCAAATCGTTTTGCAAGACATCGCAATCATCGAATTCGATATGTTGAAGGCATTTCAAATGTTTCAGATTCAAATTATCATACTCGACATTATATTCCTGCAAAACATATATCAGTTTATGTTTTTTATTTTTCATCCTTACTTTTTGAATGAAACTCTTCAGAGAATATTTATACTCTTCCAACAATTTCTCCAAATATTTGACAATTACACTTTTCATAACCCTATTTTCCTTAATTCTCCATTTTTCTTCACTCAATACGTCGATAAATGAAACATTGCGCAAAAAGGAAAGAAAAATCACACGATTCCCAATACGTATCATGGACTTTTTCGTGACGAATAGTTGTCGTTTTCCATTTTCCCCACCCGCTTTCAGAAAAACTATAACGAAAATGTGGACATTCTAAGTTTTCATTTGTTAAATGGAAACAAATATGGGTTCCTTTTCCGGTGTTGTTGATTTCAATCTTGTACACAGAGTTTTTTGATCTTCTCGCTTCTTCAGCACACAATTTCGAACATTGTTTGAAACGGAGAATTGTTTTTGGATCCATCTCGTTGATAATCATTTCTCGTAATTCTTCAGGGATATCGAACCAAGATGTCGAATAGGGCTGAAAATCATTTTTTAATTACATTAAAAGTAAAAAGTTGCAAAAACTTACATATTCATCTTCCTTGATTTCTTGACGATTTTGCGACATGCTTCGACTCATCTTCGTTATTTCAGGTTCCAATACTGAAAAAAAAAGAAATTATCGAAGTTTTTCGACAAGTTGTTATCAAGAATTTTCAGCAAGAAAGGTTTTCGAAAAAAAAACACGTATTTTTTTGGCCCTCGGTTCGCGGTTGGTATACTGTATTGACTTGTGCAAACACAGTGACGCACAAATGCACAAAAAACTCTCGCGTCTCTCCATTTTGCGCGCTATTTTTCGAAATTGGTCTCGCCACGAACCCCGAAACGCTAAAACGGCACCCGTCCGCTCCACCAAAGCTTATTTCCATGCAGTTTTTCACGGCGATAAAGATGGTGTACTCAGATTTTCATTTCATGCAGCCGTTCTTGAGATTTTGGTGGAAAATTAAAGCATGTCCCTTTAAACAGCGAACCGAGATTTTTTCTTCAGCAACAAAATACGTGAAAAGCGAAGAAAAAAAAACAAAAAACCGTGCGCGTCAATTAAAATGCATGTGTGGTGTTCACACACGTATTTTTCTGCTGAACAAAAAATCTCGGTTCGCTGTTTAAAGGGACATGCTTTAATTTTCCACCGAAATCTCAAGAACGGCTGCATCAAATAAAAATCTGAGTACACCATCTTTATCGCCGTGAAAAACTGCATGGAAATAAGCTTTGGTGGAGCGAACGGGTGCCGTTTAAGCGTTTTGGGGTTCGTGGCGAGACCTATTTCGAAAAATAGCGCGCAAAATGGAGAGACGCGAGACATTTCTGTGCATTTGTGCGTCACCGTGTTTGCACAAGTCAATACAGTATACCAACCGCGAACCGAGGGCCAAAAAAATACGTGGCACACATCTCGCAAACTACAGTAGTATTTTTTCCAATTTATTTTTTTTTTCCGAAAGTTCAATTCAAGAATTGAACTTTTGTGTTTACTAATCCTTTGTCTCCTTGAACCAAACTTCACACTTTTTTTGTGATGAAACAAACTATTGTTTCAACCCAACCCAGCTGTTCAAATAATGCAAAAACTGTATTTAACAGTGTGATTTTAAATTTTTCCAAATTAAAAGTTCAAAATGAAGTTCTTTCTAGTATTCTTTATTTCTTTAGTTGCTGTAACTTCTGCAGCTGAGACGTGTCAATCTGGAACAACAACTGCACGTAAGTTAGATAGTTATTCAATAATCTAATATAAATATCATTATTTCCAGCCTGTGATTCCACACTTCCTTGTCCATCTGGTTACACCTGTGATTCAACTGGAAGTTGTTGTCTAACTTCGAATATTGTCTCTGAAACCACTTCAACAACAACCAAAACCACAACAAAATCCGCGACCACCAAAAAATCATCGACTACTTGCCATGATAAATTGAATCCGGTGACTGGTGTTTCAGATTGTTTGAAAAGAGCAAACTTGTGCTCGGATTCGGCGTATTATGATGTGATGACTGTGCAATGTCCGAAAACTTGTGGAAGATGTTCGAGTTTGTCGACGAGTTCCAAAGGATTGACAGGTGTTTGAACTTGGGGATTCAAATTAAAAAAAAAACTATAATTCTATTTAGGCTCATGTGTCGATCTCAAAAATCCGAATACTGGAATTTCGGATTGTCCGCGTCTCAAATATCTATGCTCAATTAACAGTTACAAATCTCTAATGATCAAACAATGCCCAAAAACTTGCGGATTTTGCAATTCTTCAGCTTCTTCATCATCTTCTTCGTCTTCTTCCGAAGAAAATTCAAATGAAACAGAAACTTCATGCTTGGATAAAATCAACAAATCAACTGGAATTTCAGATTGTTCGATTCGTCAAAACCTGTGTCACAATGCGATTTATCGCGATTTGATGAAAACACAATGCCCAAAAACATGCGGATATTGTAATTAATTTTTCTAAAAAATAATTAACAATAAGTTATAAAACCTTATCACTGAAAAATATTCATTCGTTTCACGAAAAGCGCAATTTCAAAATCGAGACGAATTAGACCCATATTTGCATTATTCTCCAGCCGGTTTTTCACACATCACACTTTGCGCATAGCTCTTTCTAAAGTAACCGATTCCTCTTTTTTTCAAATCTCCACGCATATCTTCCATCGTTCCTAAACAAATTAGTTGAGGTTCAAATCTGAGCAATGTTTTTTTTTTAAATGGCCGGGGAACGGAAATTATGAGCACTTTAAAAAGTTGATGAATGAAACTCGAAATGTACTTTTTTTTAGTTCACAAAAAATTGAAGTACACACGCTAATTTTAAACGGACAAATCGAGAATCCACTAAAAAGGGAGAGTGCAGAGAAATCGCACCAAGACCACACTTGGCTGTGCTCCAGCTAATGGTAAAATGGCGTACTGTAGCACTATTTCAGCTGTGTTTCTAGCTTCTTTTCCCTCTCTCAAACTCTCGATTCGTCCCTCTTTCTATTGTTTTAAAATAGCGTGTACATTTCAAAAAAATTAATATGGCCGAGAATTGCTGGAATTCGGCCAAGGCAACACTTTTCGCAACATTAGAGCGCGTTTGTTGCTTTGGCCGAATTCCCGACTTTTCTCGGCCACATATATTTTTTTCTAAAAAAATTTACGTTCAACTTCAATTTTTGTAAAGTAATTGAATTTTGATCAACATTTGAATATTTTAAAACACTTACCGCGTCTTACATCTTTAGCTCGAGTATGTTCTTCTTTGTCGCACTGAAATATTCAAAAAATTGCTAATCACACTCAATTTTCCATTTCCTCACCCCTTTCGAAGTCATACATTGAACCCATGCATCACACGCATCAGGACATCCTTTTTCACTACGAATCGCGTAAACTCGATTATATTCGTCTTCATCTTCCCATCTTGTCAAAGTTGCATTATGTTCTGTTTTACACCATTTTTTCGCATCATCAAAAATCATAAACTAAATAAATGGAGTCAGTTTTTGCTTCGGTTTTTTTTGAATAAACTCACTTTGCCGGTCACATCTTTCAGATGAAAATAGCGATGACAGACATTTTTGTTGTTTTTACGAACATACAAATTCCAGTGACGCGGACAATTGTCCAATGCACGATGAACATCTTTTTCATAATGTAGACCGCAAAGAATTGGACTGTGAAGAGCAAAACGGAATGATTCGAAATTAAGACCGCTGAAAATGTTTTCTTTGAAATTTTTTTTCATTCAAAAACTTACTTGACCGGTGTCGGATAATAAATAAAAGACCAACCATCTGGTTTAGAATCGACATTCCATTTTGCCGCATATTCAGGTTCCAACAGGTTTGCAAGTTCTTCACAAATTTTTCCAGTCTGACAATGAAATTTTGTGATTTTCCGCCTGTCCAAACAAAACCTAAGCAACTCACCACATATTTGTTGGTATAAAATACTCTCCATCTTCCCGATTTCTCGTTTTTACAATAGACAAATGGGCCGAAAGCGCGAACAAATGATGATTTGACTTCTTTGGAGAGCATTTGGATGTTGTGCGGTTTCAAATTGAGAAAAGTTCCATCGGCGGTTCCAAGAATTGCTTTCATTGAACTCTCGCAAATATCATCGTTGGTGTAAGGATAACCTTTGATATTTCTGGAGAAGGGCAAAGATTTTGTGGTGTTAGGAATTATATTTGAATATTTTTGGAGCAATTGAGTTGAAATATTGGGGTTTAATCTCAATCAACCCAATATTTCAACTCGATTTCTCAAAAAAACACGAAAAACAATTTTCGGTCTAGATATATACCTTGGTGTATAATGCGAAGCAGTTCTCCAAACCGCCATTGCACCAACCAATTGTGTCGGATGATACAATACTCCAAGTTGTTGCGCTTTCACATTAAAACTCAAAATTGTTTCCGGTGGTTTATACATGCACATAACATATGATTTTTTATTCGAATCCAATTCGATGATTGAATTTGGCCCAACATCATAATGAATACCAAATTGGAAAAGAATCACATAATTCCTTTTTTTCGTTTTGGCATGATCGATTTCAACAAATTGACTCGATTCTTTGAGATGTTCTTCAGGTTGCAGAAAATACATTGATAAATCCACCATGTTTGCTGAAAAAATCGATTTTCAGAGTTCTATAAGAAAATCACTCACCTTCCATCAATTCTCCAATATTTTTCGAAGGCATTCGGAGAATTTCAGCGTTCAGTTTTTTACAAGCTTTTCCAGCCTCTCTATAATCATAAAGACCAGCAAGTTGTCGATAGCACATTCCACGAATTTGCACAAAGTTATTCTTACATTCATAAACATTTTCGAATGTGCATGAGGCTTTGTTTTCGACAGCATCCCAATCGACTAGAGCGAAAATTGCCCATCTTTTGCAATGGTGAAGAGCATCTTCCTGTAATTAAAGAACTAATTAAATGATTTATTGACTCGGGCAATGGAGAACTTGCAGACCAACGCGTTGCAAGCGCAACAAAAAAAAAACAAATGTGGCCGAGAAATCTCGGGGATTCGGCCAAGACAACAAACGCGCTCTAATGTTTTGTCATTGGGGCGCATTTGTCGCCTTGGCCGAATTCCCGACGGCCATATGAAAAATTGATTTACCTTTTTTTCCGCCGGCAAATTTAGGATAACTCGGCATTTGTCACCAGATGGAATAGTAACCGAATTTCCGGAATCATCTGTCTCAATGTTTGAAACAGTTTCTGATCCATTCATTCGATCACAAAATGAATGAAAACTTCCATCTCGAATTTGTTGAGTTGAGAAATTGACAAAAACTAATAAGAGCAGAAGTTTTCCTATATTTGTCATCTCGGTGGATTTATGAGAGAGTAAAATATTAAAACTGACTTGTGAGGGGTTTTTCTACTTTTGTTATTCTTTTTGGTGATGTGGAACACGTTTCACGTGGAAAACTCAAATTTTAAAATTTTCTTTTTTTTTTACTTTTTTAGTGCAAATTATACTTCATCTTGGCGGGTTACTGTAGAAATTTTGAGAAAAATTCAATGAAATCTGTTTTGAAAGGATTCTTTGAAACTTGAAAAGTTCTAATTTCCCCTATTTACACCATTTTGAAGCTCTTGGAATTCTCTATTTACAAAATGAAATAACACCCAAAAAATCTCAAAATTCATTCAATTTGATCAATCAATTTCAAAATTCTTTGCAAAACCAAAGGAATATCACAATAAAAATTAGCCCTTTTGTATGGTTTTCCGAATTTCACAATTCCTGATATTTCATAGATTCCATCCGATTTTTCAACAACATCGATGTGATGAGATCGTAAATATGAGACGATTTTGAGAGCTCTGCAAACAATATTTGAATTTTGAAAAATTTTTTCGCCACGTGGAAATTTGAATATACCCTTGTTTGGTGTCAAATTTCGCGCCAAAATTCAAAAAATCTAACCTTTTCTTAACTTCTTCCTCACTTTCCTCTTCATTTTCTTCATAATTCAAATATTTATCAAAAATTTTGGGATCTCTTTGATTTTCCTCGAATTTCTCAATTTTCTCAATCGATGTGCCAGGAATCAGATGAAATTGTCGAATTTCGTCGCCATTTTCAAAGAATTCCGCCAGGATTACGGTATTCGTTATGGGATCCTGTGTGACTAATGTGCCTTTGCTCAATTTTTGCGATTTTGAATTTCGCTCTGGGAGGTGGTGAATTATTACCTCCATTTTTGCTGTGTTTTTCTGAAATTCGAATTCTCAAAGTTTAGCGCCTTTGAATTCCAGATATTTTTCCAGGAGGATTTTTCAACCAGAATTTTTCTAAAACCAAAAATCATAAGAATTTTTTAATTATGCAAAAAATAAATAAATAAATAAATACATCACAAAAATTATATACCGTAACCAATTTTCGAACCCAGACAGAATAAGGCAAGAGAGGGAGAAGAAAATATCGATTTTTTTCAAAAATTAAATTTTATTTCGGTTTGACGAGTCCAGCATGTAATTGTTGCATAAGTAGAAGATCTTCTTGTGACGGATTGTAAATTCGACCGATTATTATCTGCAATTTTGCGGCATCGTTTTGGGGGCGGGGCTTAGATGAAATAACTTTTTCGTAGATTTTGGCCCATTGATCATAGCCCCAAAAACTGTTATCAAAAACTACTTAGCTCAACTCTGATTATGAGTTATGACGTGGCAAAATTTGTGATTTCACAAGATTCAAAATTGGTTCCGGATGATTTCTGAAATATTTTCATTGATTACTTACTGTATTTAGTTGAACATTTCCAAACTGCAAGGTATACTGTAGCTCCCAAGCACACCTGACGAGACGTGTCCAAAATGGACACTGTACATTTTTTTCAAAAGTCACACTGTATTTTTTTCGAAAAAAAATCACCTGTTTCCTTTTCACCAACATTTCTCTTCTCAAATAAAAACACACAGTTGTCCGAGTGGCTAAGACGCTGCGCCCTCAATCACAAGGTCATGGGTTCGGTTTTGCTCAACGAAGCAATTTTTTATTTTTTTTTCAATTTTTTCACACTATAACAAACAAGGTTATACTTTAATAAATCTTCATTTTTAAAATGAATATAGTTTCTAGACAGTCTGTTATCTAATTGGAACTCCATGTGCAGTGTGGAAATTGATTACTCGCCTAGAAAAACATAGTGTCCAGTAAAAAACTGTTTTTCATCATATGTGACTTTAAAAATCAATTTCCACACTGCACATGGGTAGATTCAAAAACTAGACACAAAAATAACCCTACTTTGTGAAGAAACCAAACCCGGAGGTTGCCTTATTAAAAAATGCCCCGCGATTCTTTCCAGTGGCCAATTTTTCCATCAAAATGGACACTTCAAAATAACAGCGAAATAGGGCATTTCCACACTGCACTCATGGTGTTCCACACTGCCTATGACCTTAGCAATCTATCATAAAAAATTCAAACATGTTCGTCAAGTCTAAGCTTAGTTTTCCTAACTTCAAATTTTGAGCAACGTTGCAACACATTCGTTTGAAAACAGTTTCCTTTTCCACCAACATTTTCCCCTCGGGAGAAAAGAGAGATGTGGCCGAGAGAATAGCAGTTTTGACTGGCATGCATGAGACCAGGGTTCGAGTCCTATTGCCGGCGAAGTTTTTTTCTCGAAAACTTCAGATTTTCACGCTGCACAATTTTTTTTTGAAAAAATTTCACACTGTACAAAAATTTTTGGACACTGTCTCTCCAGGTGTGCTCCCAAGCTGAAAAGGCCAGTATTTTTCGAACTGCAAGAAGTACGGTATCTAACCATAGTTTTCTTGTTGGATTCAGCGTTAGATACCGTACTTCTTGCAGTTCGAAAAACAATGGTATTTTCAGCTTGGGAGCTACAGTATACCTTGCAGTTTGGAATTATTCAACGAAATACAGTAAGTAATCAATGAAAATTTTCAGAATCCTATTTTTTCTGAAAATCTTTTCTATTCTAATTTCATGGAACCAATTTTGAAGCTTGTGAATTCACAAATTTTGCCACGTCATAACTCATTTTCAGAGTTCTATGAGTCAAAATCTACTAGAAAACATATCAGGCCTGTGCCGGAAATTTTCCGAATTTTCCGAATTTCCGGATTTTCCGGTTTTTTCACGGAAAAATTAATTTTCCGGTTTTCCGGAAAATTTGGTCGGAAATTCCGGAAAATGATTTTTAATAGTAATATCTTCAATATTGCCTAAATTTTGAGAAATTTCCTCAGTTTGTGATACAAAAAAATTTTTTTTGAAAATTTTTTTCCAATTTTTCTGAATTTTACGATTTTTTGAACGTAAAAAGTCCTAAAATAGAAGAATTGTATCTAAAAATACAATTTAGGGACTTTGAAAAATTTTCCGAATTTTCCGGATTTTCCGGTTCAAAAAATCCGGAAATTTTCCGACTTTCCGTTTTCCGGGTTTCGATTTTCCGGCACAGGCCTGAAACATATATTTCATCAATTTTCAAATTCAAAAACTCACCTTATCCTTGAACAACTTTGCCAACAATAAATAATTGGCAAACATAAGCAATACAAAAGTGACAATATGTTGCCAATCATTTGTCAAAACCAACATCCAAAATTGAATGAAAATGAGAAGAAATTCAAAGGTGCACATTGCATTTATCAAATTTGATGGTTTTTTGAGGCATTTCTGCAAGAAAAATCATTAGGGGAAACTTTTAAGGGTGAAAAAACTCACAAAAAACAAATTATGATTGGAATTTTCTGGAATTGCCGCAGTTGTTCGGATGATTTGCGATGATTTTGCTTTATAACATTTTCCATCGGGCATTTGAACAGTTTCACCGTCGGCATATAAATTGAATTCGACCCAAGGAGATGGAAGGGAACTAGAAAATATAATTGAAATTTGGGCGAACAATGAAGATTTTGGGTATCAAATTTATGAAACTCTAGAAAAAATGATTTAAAAATGATTTTTTTTATATGAAAAAATTTGATTTTTCTGATCGTTTTCAAAATTTTCCCCCGCAAAACCCTTTCAAATTCACCTCATAGATCCAGTATGTCCAATTTTAGGTCCTTGAATATTCTCCCAAGTTCCCAAATGAACAGCAGCTCGATGCAACAAATCCAAATAATTCAACGGCAACAAATATGTCATATAAAGAGAGAAAGCAGTTAGGCCAACTACTAAACCAAGTTGATATTCCCAAAATTCGTTGATCAGAATTTTTTGCGGGATTCCTTGACTCGTTTGGAACTGAAAACAGATTTCAGATTTTGGAATAATTTTTCAAATAGAAAATTTAAAAATGCTCACCGGTACAAAAACACATGGCAAAAGTATGCTCAAAAATGCGGTCGAAATGCCGGCAAACAGACTTTTCTTAATTCGAAGGAAGAAATCATCGATAAGAACATCGATTTCTTCGCGTATTTGAATTGGATTTGTGGAACACATGTGAAGAACTGATTCGAGATCAATTTGAGCGGCTGGAGAATCGAGAAGTCGCTCGAAGAGCTGCAAAACATAGGGGTTTGAGGTTTTTTACAGATTTTTCAATGAAATTTTGAAAATGCTCCTGAATTTCTAGCTAGATTTTATATTTTTTGTGCCAAAAAAACGCGAGATTTTTTAATTTTTATAATTTTTACCAAAATAAGTATATAATTTTGATGTTAAAAATCAAAATTTTCAATTTGAAAATGATTTTTTTTTCAAAATTCCACGTCAATTAATACATTTTCAAATTTTAACTTTTCTCCCCAAAACCCCCGATTTTCTTTTGAAAACTCACAGTTCCCGCGTCAATTTCAGACCTGCTCCATTGTCCCAATAATCGTTTCAGCCTTCCGAACCACGAAATAATTTCAGAGAAGAAAATCAGAATGTAGATCATAACTCTGAAATTTCCAAGATTTCTCTCAAAATTCTCTTTCCAGTCTGACTTACGGGAAGAAAAAGTAGAGAACAGAATCTGATGGATAATCATGACAAACTCGTGTAAAACTGAAAATCACTAATTTCTAATTTTTTCAAAAAAAAAAAAAAAGAGAAAATCTGCAAATTTTTACCTGAAAAGAAAACTAGTTACAATAAGTGTCATCAATGGTGTTTTGATGGCTGCATATTCGATTATCATGAAACAGGATTGTACAAATTGCGATTGATTTACAGAAATTGTGGCGATCAGATCGGTGATAGTCTTCCAGAAGCACATTGTCACCCGCCATCCTAATAAAAGCCCCACACTTGACAGAAAATATGGGTTTATAAGGTGGAATTTGAGTGAATAGTGCCAATATGATTTTGGAAGCCACCAGAGGGTTTTGTAGATGTTGAGATATTGCAGGAACAGTGCCAGCACTGAATAGAGAAACAATGTACATTCGAAGAAGAGTTCGCCTTGGGTGTATTGCATATCTGGCCATATTGGGTGAACCGAAATCGTTACACCCGATGTTGTGTTGATTATTGGACGAGGAGCTGTGGATGGTGTGTTTGTTGGTGGAGGCGGTTTTGGTGGAAGTTGTGTCGGCTGAGGCACTACTCGCCGAGGGCCTTTTGGAGGCATCTTCGAGGAAAACGATTAGTCAAATTTTTTTTTAAAGGAAATGAGAAAATAGAAGGTGGATGAGATTACCGAGTTTGTAAAATGAAAAAACGATAGAACTTCAGGTCAAATGTATTAAAATGAAAACAAGCGGTAAACCAACTTCCTGTTCATGTCAGAAAATAACAATTTCATTGTAAACAGATAACACTTATTGTGGTGCTTGAGCTCCACGTCCGAATCCGGCTCTGTAAACTGGAGCAGCTCCTGGTCCGGCTTCGGTGGCCTTCTCGGTTCTGTAAGCGTCACGGTCTCCTCCCTTCTCTCCTGGTGCCGATCTTTGTGGTCGGTCAGATTGTGGGACACGGATCTCTCTTGGCTTCGATTTGATGGTGGCTGGGACGATCTCAGCTGGGAGAGCCAAGTATTCACGGAGGTAGCTGATTCCGGCGTCGGTCAAGTACCAGTAATAGTGGCGCCAGGCAAATTGTTCCTTGACCAATTCGCGGGAAGCGAGCGACTGAAATAATTCGTATTTATTTCAAGAAATGATTGAGAAAGCCAAACTTATTCTTTGAAATATGACGTGACCTTATTACACGAATATATTTTCACTGTCAATTTATTTTCAATTTTTGGGTGGATTTCATGAGAACGTGAAAAATTATTCCTTCAGCAATTTTTTCGTGATTTCTACACCGTTTCTGAATCAACCAGGATGAAAAATAACTCACTTTCAAGGTCTTGATGACTTCGAGGTTGGTGACTCCCTCAATGTGTGGGTGAGTCTTGGCGTTGAAGTCCTTCTTGGCGACGGTGACTCCCTCGTTGAAGAGGTACTCATAAATGAGCTTAGTGTGGCTCTTGTGGATGAACATATTGACCTCAAGTTCTGAAAAATAAACCTTCAATCAATAATCAAATTGCAAAAAAGGTGAAGTCATCAAAAAATAACGAAAAAATTTCTTGGGCCAAAAAATACGTTTTCCCGAGTTTCAGTCAGGAAAACGGAATTGGTGATCAAATATACATCAAGTAACATACTAAAACGCGTGCTTTACAATATAGAATCGCTAAAAATTACGTATATCTGCCAACTTTCACAAAAACGGCGAAAAAAGAAAAGAAAATTCATGTTTTTTGCCCTGCAATGCAAAACATAGGGGCAGCTACGCAGCAGTAATAGTGAGCGACACAGCCCACTTTGTGTTACCGTAGTTTGTGCGTCGCACCCCTATGCTTAACCATTGGAGACGAAATTTTGAAGAGGGAAAATTTTTTTTCGTTTTTTCTTTTCTTTTCGGGCCTATCGAAGGGTTTTTCGAAGTTTTCGATATGAATTTCAAAAATTTGCTGGTTTCATTGTGAAAAAGCTTGTTGAATTTGCTATTTTATTCGTTTTTCTTCGTAAAATTTCGTAATAGGACCATTTTTGAGGCGAAAAAAGACTTGTGAATTTTTCACTTTTTCCAGTACAGTCAAGCGTGGGAATTCGTCATCATGAAGGTCGAAACCTGTGTTTATTCCGGATACAAGATCCACCCAGGACACGGTAAACGTCTTGTCCGTACCGACGGAAAGGTAAGTAATTTCTTTCTATTTTTCATTCAAAAAAATATTGATTCAGGTCCAAATCTTCTTGAGCGCCAAGTGCCTCAAGGGAGCCAAGCTCCGCCGTAACCCACGTGACGTCACATGGACTGTTCTCTACAGAATCAAGAACAAGAAGGTGAGTTTGATAGATTTCAGCACAATAATTATTTATTTATTTATTTTTCATATTAAAACTTTGAATTTTTAGGGTACCCATGGACAAGAACAAGTCCAAAGAAAGAAGACCAAGAAGTCTGTCCAAGTTGTCAACCGTGCCGTCGCTGGTTTGACCCTCGAAGCCCTCCTCGCCAAGAGAAACCAAACCGAAGACTTCCGTCGCCAACAACGTGAACAAGCCTCGAAGGCCGCTAAGGATGCCAACAAGGCTGTCCGCGCTGCCAAGCAAGCCGCCAACAAGGTAAGATTTTTATATAGAATTTTTTAAATTTGTGGCATGCTATTAGAACTTGTGAAAAATCTTGTAGTTTCACGAGTGTCGAAGTTATGCGAAATAAAAATTCAGGGAACGCAACTGACTAGTGTTTCTTTTTATTTCTCTGCGTTTTGTGGAGGAATGAAATCTATAAGCTTTTCAAGTTTTCTTTCTTGGAACAATTCTATTTTTTGAATATAAAATTATTCTCAAGAAATCGAGTGCAAATATTAGTTGTTTTGATTCAATTTCAAAGTATTTTTATTGCAGGAAAAGAAGGCTTCGCAACCAAAGAACCAACAAAAATCCGCCAAGAACGTTAAAGCCGCCGCCCCACGTGTCGGAGGAAAACGATAAACAACATCGGCAAGATTTTTTGTTATTTTCAATAAATATTGTTGACTTGAAACTTGTCCATCACAACGGCACAAATTAGAACAAGGTTCACTCACCTTTTCATATTAAACTGAAACTAAATAGGTGGTGGATTTTGTTAAATATTTTCTTTTTTAGAGATTCGGTGATGGAATGGGTTCAGAACCGATTTGTAAGTCAAAAACAAGCTAAGGCTCACATTCAGACAAAATTTACAGACATTCCCTTTGAGTTTTCTTGAAGTCACAATACTGATTAGCGCAACAAGTGCCTGGTTTTGGAATTTTCTGAAAATTTCCACATTTTATCTCGGGTATTTTCCACAAGATTTGTTGAGACAATCGATAAGTTCCGACAAAATCTGTCCTTTCGCATTGGATTCCGAAGTTGATGGCCTCTACGTCCGCGACTTCACTCATCATGATCTCCCCGGCGAACTTCTTGCCGCAAAAATCGCAACATTCCTCGACTTTGCCGAAACTCCCGAAATTATTCTGAAATTCATAGTGGATCAAATGAAAATCTCGCATCTTTTCAACGAAGTTCTAATTTCGCCAAGATTTTTGGCAGTGTTTTTCATGATTATATTCGCCATAATTTTGATCGATTATTTCATAGTCGGAAGGATATCTGGAGAATTTATTGAAGATTATCAAAAATTAATTGAAATTGAGAGAGAGGAAACTGAAACTATGCAAACATTTTCAAGAAAATTCTTCGGTGAAAAAGTGCTGGTTTTGGGATTTGTGATAAGTCAAAACTTCATCGACATTTCACATTTCACGTGAGTTTTTGAGTTTTTGAATTTTGAAATTTTTTCACCGCAAAAATTTTAATTTTCAGACCGAATCTCAAAGATTTCTCAAGTTTTGTGAATTCCAAATTCTCATCAGCTTCAATAACCGGAGATTCGACGATTTTTGCGATTTGGTATTGCTTCGTATTTTTCGTGTTTTATGTCACACAATTGATTCTGATGCGATTTGTGTTGGTGAGGTTTTGAGAAAAAATTGAAATTTGAAATGAAAAATGAAAATGCCACGTGGAAAGTTCACGTTTGCACGTTGGAAAATTACGAATTTTATGATTTTTTTCATTTTCAAATTGAAAGCTACTCAAAATTCAAAAGTTTGAATGTTTGAAAAAAAGTTATGACGTGGAAAAATTTTTGTTCAAAATTAAAAATGAAAATTCTAAATTTTCACAGCAAAGTTCACGTTTTTTGAAAAAATATCGACTTTTGCGTTTTCAAATTTTCAATTTTCATTTAAAGACACATCAGCCACTAGAAAAAACAGATTTCCCGCTTTTATTTTCAAATGACAAAAACAGCATGTGCGCTCTATTGCTTCGTTGTGTGCACACACTTTCGAAATTTCCGTCGGCTGAGCGATTTCAAAAACAATTATTTTGTTTTTTTCACTTTTGCCAGACTCAAAATTTTTCTTGATTTTTATGAATTCCGATTACTTGAAAGATGTTATGAAAGAATAACAAACTCAATTTCTGTTCATTTCTAGTGGATTGTGTGTCTTTAAAAAAAGTTATGATGTGGCAAATGTTCAGGGTTCTGAAAAAATTTTTTTGAACGAAATTTCGATTCAAAAAATGTCAAAAATTATATTTTTTTCCACACAAAAATAGAAATTTGAAAATATTTCAATGAAAAAAGTGTTAAAAAATATGGTTTTTTGACATTCGAATTTTTTTGTCAAAATTTTTTTTTATTGATTTTTTTTGCCACGTCATAACCCTTTTCCCCTTTTTTTCAGACCCTTAAAAACGGCCAAATCAAGCATCGCAATCTCTTCTCGAATCCTCCAATTATTTGCACATCATTCCTATTGCTCATATTATTCACATTTTCCTCATTTATCTATGGAATTTCACTTATGGCTTTCAATTTTTTGAACACCAAATATGCCGCGATTTTGATCATTGATGTGAGTTTTTTTCAGCGGAAAGATTCCGCGTCGTTTTCCGCGCGGAAAAATCAAAATTTTCTCCTTCCAGGCTTTCCAATGTTGGATTCGTTGTGCCTACACTCTACTTCGTGTAACTCTCATAATCTCAACCTCAAAAATCACCACCGACTCCGAAATTCTCCTAAAATGCGGAAATTCGCAACGAAAATTAGAAATTTGCAAAATTTTCTATGAAAAAATCGCACACCTTCTCTATATTCTACAGTACTCGTTATACATGGTGAGTGCAGCTTTTTTCGCGTCAAGGAAATATCGATTGACGCATTGTTTTGCAGGTTGTTGGAATTACGATAACTCAAAAATTTGCGTCGATTTTGTTTTTTCGAAGATTGGCCAAAAATATTCGAATGTTTTTTGAGACCAAATTTGAAGAGGATTTGGATTTGGATAAATTAATATGAATTTTATCAAAAGTTTCGGCTGGACCGGAAAAATGAAAAATAATTTTTAAAAAAAATTGGGTAATAAAATTTTTGGAATTTTTTTTTGTGATTCAAATGGAAAAATCGTTCTGAGTTTAGCCGGGTCCCTGAATATTGCAAAAACCAATGTTCCAACAAATCCATGTTTAAATGTTATTTTCTCACGAAAAATGGCCAATTTTCAATGATGTCTATGAGAATTTTTATAAAAACTGCTTGCAAACTCATGTCAGAAAGATTACAAAAAAATGTTGATAATATTTGTGATAGCTTTATTTCTCCCAAATTTCATAAAATGTCATCTTTTCGATGTTGTCGGATATTTTATGGAATTAGAAGTTCCTGAGAGAATGACTGATCTTACTTTGGAAGTTGCGATTTTGTGAGTTCTAGACTTCGACATTTTAAAAGACTCGTATTCCAGGTTGAAAAATCAATCAAGTTCAGCTAATCAGTATTATAAGACAAGTTCGGAGAAATTGTTCGAATACATTGATGATGCTGATAATTTTCAAGTTTCGTATTGTGGACAACGAATTCAGGATTCGGGTGAATGAATTTTGATGGCCTAGAATTTTTGAATAGGCGGTTTTTAATGAGTTAGGCCACGTGTACGATGTGCTGTCGTATTGTCGAAGTTTGGAAGAAACGAAATGTGTCTGGTAAAAAATAAAAACCAGTGTAGAATTGAATGAATGAAAAAACATTTCTTCGTCAGTCGCGCGCGGCTGTGCGTCGCGGTCGGTAAACGTAGGAAAAAAATTGATTGTTTTTCGACCGCGACGCATAGCCGCACGCGACTAACGAAATAATGTTTTTTATTCATTCAACTCTGCATTGGTTTTTATTTTTACGGCATACATATTTTTCATGTCCGATAATTCGAAGAGCATGCGGTTTTTCTGATGTAACATTTCAAAATTTTTTGAAACGTAAAAAACCAGCTTTAAAAAATATTGCGAAACATTAGAGAAGAGACGCGAGACGAAAAAGGGATATTTATACAAAACTCTTGAATATAGGCGGTTAGGCGGGAACACTTTGTTAGAGGTCTCGCAACGACCCATCGTAATTGCAAAGACCTCAATTTCTTTTTTTCCCTTTCAGTAAAAGGAAAATTCAAAGCTCTTATGGAATTCGAGAGCCGACGATACAAAAATTCCGATCAACTCAAAATACACCATAAATATTATCCAGAAAATGGTCTCAATAATACAATTCTTCTCCTCTTCAATTTGCCAAGTTTGTTAAACTTCGAGACGAAAAAATACATTAATATAAGTTTTGAAAGAGATAATTATCTTTTGAAAATACAATCGATTAATATATTTGGATCAATGTGTTTGGATAAAGTTGATACAAATTTGGATGTTGTGGGCAAAGAGTTTCCACAAAAAATTGTCGAAGGAATGTGAGTTTGGTTTCAAAAACACTTCTGGAATATTTCAGCACTCATTTTCAGATTGTCAAATATCACGAAGAAAATACATGATACATATGATGATTCGGTGGAAGTTTTCATCGACAAAGATCTCAAATCCAATAAAAAATTCAATCTTCGTGAGTTATTTTGTGAAGTGAAGCAAATATAAATAAACGTCAAATTCAGATGAATTCGAGGCTTTCATACTTCGGTTAATGAAAAGATATAAACTTTCTGATAAACAAAAACCAAGAATTAATATAATGCAACAAACATCTGATCATATGGTATTTCATATTGAAATAGGCTTGAATAGCACACAATTCAAGGAATATGATTTTGAAGTGTGGGATTTTCAATTTGAAGCAAAATATGTAAGAATTAATGTACATAGCGTATGCGAAAATATGTGCCCCTTTAAAATTTTTTATTTTCATCAAAATAATGAAATTAAAGGTGCACAGATTTTCTCACTGACTAATATCTCGCAACGTAAATTGTGATCTCTAGGTGCAATCAAACTTGGAAAATCAATGGAAAGTTGTGCAAGGTTTCATTCGCCCACCATTAAATCTCTTAGAAAACGACAACTATGAATTGAGATTATTACAAATTTTTGGAAATAATATTGTGAAGAAATTGGACAATTTTATGGATAGAATAAGTACACAATTCCCAAATTTTGGAAAAATAATTGTTTGCGGCAAAGAAATCGAGTCATATCAACTCAAAAAAGTGTTTTCACAAACTCATAAACTCCCTACACAGTGTTTTACTGAAAAAGAAACAGTAAACAGTTTTTTGATTGATTGCATGGTTATGGGACAGGATATGACGACACGGTGGAGAGGACAAGTTGAGACGAGTTTTGTGAGTTTTTTTTTTGATTTAAAGAGAATCTTAAATTTGAATTTTAGGATCCAAGAAATGAAGGACACAAAATTCAAAAAATTGAAGTTGAATGCCAATTTGAAAATGCAAATTTTAATTAATTTTTCTATTTTAATAAAGCAACTTGAAGCCTTACTAAAAACACGTCAGCAAAAATATGATTGACGTAAATTTTGTGAAGGGTTCAGTTGCTTTTTCTGTGTCAGCGAAATCTTTTGTGGCTACCGAAAACACGCTAGCAAAATATTTGCTGACCTTTCTTCTTGCTTTTTGAAACATCAAACTTTTCCTGTTCTTATCAAAAAATTTTTTTGTTTTTTAAAATCAACTGAAATGTCAAGGAAATGACGTGCTTTTCTTATTGCCCTAAAGTATTTTTTTTGTTGCAAAAATGAAATTCCAAAAATTTTCCAATCACATGCGAAAAAAAAGAAAGATCACTTGGCAAAAACGTAAATAATTCTTGGTTTTTTTTTCTGATTTGAAAATTTTGTTCGATAAAAAATGGGTCAGATCATTGAAATTATGGAAAATTTTTGGTAGCTACAAAAATTACGCTAGCAAGGCCCTAGTTGACGCAGTTTTGGAAGCTACAAAAATTGTGTCAGCAAAACTGGCGCATTCAGCGCTTCTCAAAAAAACAAATTTGATTAACATGAAACCTTTATTATGGCTGACCAGAAAACACCAAACATTGGCTACACAAAAAAAAGAAAACCCGCGAAAAAAGCACAATTTATCCATAGAGCGCATTTGCACATTTCACACATCATTAGTCCTTAAAAACGCCAAAATTCGCGCTAAAATTGGATCAACAACCACACGATTCTCCTCGTAGATTTGCCTTTGTTCTTGTGGAAGTTGGTCGAAATTGAGAGCACGGCGTTTTACAGAATGTGTGCAACATCGTGTGCATTTTGTGCCGTCCGTGTATGCACTACATTGTGCACCACATTGACAGTAATCAGCGAGAGTTGAGAGAGTGCAGAGAAGTAGACAGATGAGAGAGATGCAGAGGAATGTTGAAGTGAAGAAGGGCTTCATTTTTTGAATGAGCTGGAAAATTGGAGAGGTTAAAGGGAGGTACAGTAATAATTTTGAAGAGGTCTTGGAACGAAAAAAAAAAGCAAATCGAGAAATCAAAGAGGCGGGGGTACTGTAAGTCTAAAAAATCAAGATCAATATTAAATTTATAACTGAAATTTATTTTTCCCAAAGTTTATTTTTTGACGCCAAAAAATAAAATTTGAAAATTTTTGAAACCCACACAAAATTGATCTCTAGATTAATTTTTTAAAGGTATTTCGAGGGTACTGTAGGGGTTTTGAACTACAGTACTTGGGGGGTTTTCGAGGGAAAAAGGGAAATTTGAAATAATTTTTTAATTGCCGAATTCCTAGGGTACTGTACTCCAAAGCTTGGCTAACTATCAGGAATTTGAACTTTTGAATCAAAATTATCCCGCCAAAAAAATTGAGCTACAGTAATCCAGATGTTATGTTAACAAACTTCAAATTAGAATTTTTCACACCAAGATTTCAAACTACAGTAATCCCAATTCTTGAAGGAAAAAAGCAGAATTCCAAATTTAAACTTTGAAAAAAAAATCTGAGGTACAGTAATCTAAATGTTTCAGAGCCCGATAAGAAATTTAAAAAAAATGCCCTAATAAATTTTTCCCCGCCTAAAAATATTCAAAAAAATATTGGCGAGTCCAAACCCAGTTCCGTGATCAAAAATGTTTCCAACTCAAGTTTTTCTTAATTAATCTGTGTTATCACCAAAAAATCATATATTATTTGTGTTTCTAATCAAACTCAAGTCAAAGTGTGCTTTTCATACGTAATTCACTCATTTTTTATTTGAAAATAGTCTCAACAAGCACAGAAACGACGTGTTTTTATCAGGAGAAAAACAATTTTTTTCTTTCGTTTTGGTCAAATAATAAGATAGGGCGAAGAGTACTGTAGTTTGTCTGCGAGAGCAAAAACCTGAGCTCAAAGTTTGAGCATTTGATCTAAGGGAAACGGATTACTGTAGCTCAATTAATTTTGTACCCAAAAATTTGGATTACTGTAGATTCTATTACATTAATCTGACTACTGTAATTTATGAGCACATTTTTGTTATTTATTTTTTTAAAAGAGGAGTACTGTAGTTTCAGAAAAAAATAGAGGTACTGAATTCTAACAACCCATGTGTTTTCGAAAATTTGGAAATCGATTTTTTTCGCGAAAAAAAAACTCTGGGCGAATTCAAAACTAAAATTCTGAAAAAAATTTCGAAACTGTATTGAATTCTAGATTTTTCTGTTGCAAATTTAGAAAAAAATGATAAAAATTCGAAGAGAAAATGCGATTTTAGTTGAGGAAGTTGAGATAAGACACTTTTATTCTTGACAAACAAAGAGAAAAAAATGATGATTTTTACGGGGTCGAAAGTTCAGCTCAAAGAATTATGAGTCAAAAAAGAGAAGCTACAGTAACCCAGGGAAGTTTAAAGGAACATATAACTTCTATCATAAGATTGATTTGATTCTCTACAGTATGAAATTTAAAGGAACATACATAGAATAAATTCAAAATTATGGGTGTCAAAAAGTTTGAGGGTACTGTAGTGATTATGCAACAAATACAGTAACCCAGGAAATTAAAGGAACATAGTCTACTACTACAACTAGAATAATTTTTTTTGATAAAAAATCGTCCCAGCTTCATGTATTTATAGTAACCTAAGTAACCCTATCAAAAATATTTCGAAATATTTCGCGAAAGCATTTTTTGAACTGTGAGTAAATAAATAGTAAAAAGGGCTGGGGGTGGTGATTTTGCAAAAAAAAAAGTGTTTCTCAAGGTTTCGAAATTTTTCTTGCAAAAAATTTTGTCTACAGTAGATTTAAAGGAACATGATCCACAATTTCTTTGGTCTCGGAATCCAAAGTACAGTAGCTCCACTTATGCTCAAAGGTGCATTATAATTTTTGATTTCACGTACCTACAGTAATCAAAGACATTTTAAAGGAACATACTTATTTATTGATTTTTCTAGGTCAAGAAATACAGTACTCTGGAATTACAGTAACCCAGGGTTTAAATGGAGCACATTTAATTTTGAACGTATAATTTTTACAGTAATCTGATAGCTTGAAAATTTAAAGGAACATCTCGATCTTCGAACTACAGTAACCAAACTATTCAAAGGTACATGATAGTTTTCTTGAAGCTTTTTGTTCTACAGTACTTCCATTCAAAGGTACAGAGTATTTTGAATTGAAAATTAGGGAACTACAGTAGCCCGGGATTTAAAGGAACACGTAAATTTCATGTATCTATAAATTTACAGTAACCCAAACCCTAACAAATTTCAAAGGAACACGCTTATTTTTAAACTTTCAAAACTCTACAGTAACCAACAAACTTTAAAGGAACATGCCGACCTTCGAACTACAGTACACCCCGCCTGCCACATGAAAAACAGACACACACCGTGAAAAACCAAAGAACCCGAATATATGTGCAAAAATGGCAATCCTATCATTTCTTTTTCTCTGCTCTCTCTCCTACTCTCACTATCTCTCGGCCCGCCCCTTTTTTCACCCACGCACCGTCTGTTTTCTCCGAAAAACTAGTGGGCGGAGCCTCGCGGAAAGTTCGGCGCGGCCCAAAAATTTGGGAAAATGAATGATAAGATGATGCAAACAGGACAAAGTGCGAGCAGCAGCAGATTTCACGAAATCGGAACACCATTTTATACGCGGAAAGGTCAGCAACCTGAAATTAGATTTAAATTTTGGGAAAAAAAAATTGAATTTCATTTGCGCTTCCTGGAGAATTTTATCGAATTTTGGTTCAGCGTCATTCTCCCGAATTTTCATTTTATTTTTAGCCATGTTTTTTCGGGAAACCGTAAAAATTATATTTTTTATCGCATTTCTTCTTCATTTTGGAGACGAAATAATAAAATGAAATTTTTTGAGACGAATGATATCATTTTACGTTTTCGCATTAATGGGTAGGAAATTTAGACCGGGATGGATTGAATTACAAGATTCACACTTCAAAATTCGACAATTATCAAAGAAAAAAATAAAAGTTTCGCCTACACACGGACTCGAACTCTGACCTCCTGCGTGAAGTGCAAAAGTGCACCCAGCTGAGCTATCTTGACATTTTTAAGAAGAAAGGGATTTTCATAGAAAAACCGCGCCCTCCAAAAAAAACCCTTGAAAACTGTGTTTGGCGACCCAAACATTCCTAGACTTTGAACCGGGTTTTGATGTCAGAAAAAGAGAGGGGAGCAATAAAATCATGTATATACAACAATTTTATGAGTTGATAACTAGGGAAATTGACGTAATATATTCCATTTTCCTTGTATGAGTGAATGAATGGAGGAAAATAAACTACACCTCAAGGAACACACGGAAAATGACTAATCCTGTTATTTTTTGACCAAATGGGATTAGATGTTTTGTTTTTTGGCTCAAAAATTGGATTTGTAGTTTGGAAGAAGGGAAAATGGGGAATTTTTGAAAAAATAAGAAATCTCAAATTGCCACGTCATGACGTGAAAATGTTCATTTTACGACAAAACTCCTTCAAACCCTTTTTTGAAGTTGAAAACCCCCAAAATTTTCATTTCCTGAGGGGTACTGTAGGAAGAAATGTGTGCAAACACCGCGCGCGCGAAATTTTGAATTTTGTTTTTTTTCTTTTTGTTTTTTTTCGATTTTTCCCACTTCACTTCGTTTTTTCGCTTGTTTTCAGCCTCCTGAGCGTTTCCTTTTTGCAGATGACAATCCCAATTCAAAGTCAACGAAACACAATCCAATATCGATTCAAAAATGTGAAAGACTGGGATGGAGAAATGAAATATAGCGATGATTTCGAAATAAACAATGTCAAATGGAAAATTGGATTACAATTGAAAGAGCGAAATCATCCATATATTTATCTCAATTGCACTTCGATGGAAAACGAAAAAACTGCGAAAATTTGTGCAGCCAATATTGAATTTGCAATCTTGAAACAATCTGGAAATAATGATCATTTGAGAAAAATGTTGGGCGAAACTCAATATTTTGTTGATGGAGATTGTGAAAAAGGAACTTATTTGGATAATTCGAGTTGGATGAACATTCAAAATGAGTGCTATCGAATTGTTGAAAATGACTCGATTGTAATCGAGATAAACTTCGATTTTACATTTTGCGACTTTTCCAAAAATATTCCGAATTACACGGATTTCATTCTTGAAATCGAAGATGTGGATTTGCATATTAATAAAGGAGTAAGTTTATTTGTAAACACCGTGACGCCAAAATGCACACAAAAACCTTGTTTTTTCCAGTTATTATGCTCATGCTCCGATTATTTCTACAATCTTCTCATCGACGATAATTGCACAGAAGAAATCAACAAAATGCAAATCAATGATGTGAAATTGATTGATTTCATGAAACTTTTGATGTTTATGCATCCAAATTATCAAATTATGACGAACAAAATCGAAAATGCTCAACTCAAATTTCGCGAATTCGAGAAATATCTCAATTTGGCTGATCAATTCAAAATGCGCTCGATTTTTCTGAAAAGTGCATTGGAACTTCAAGCGATGTGCAACAACAAGAAAAACGAGAATAATTTCGCAAATTCTTATGGTAATATTGGTGTGATTATGAAATGCATCAAATTTGCCGACAAATATAATTATCCCAACATTTTGGTGAGTTTTTATCATTTTTTTCTGTATTTTATAAGTTAAAATGTTTATTTTTTTGCAGGAGCCATGTTTCGATCTTTTCAAGACTTCGAGAGAAATCAAAAGAGCGACAGAAACTGTCGAATTTCACAGCAAATTTTTCACTACGCATTTTCTCATTGCACAATTTCACGTGTCGCTACAGTATTTTCGCAAAAAAATGTCTTTTTTTGTGTTTTTTTTCACAAAAAATGTGTTTTTGAAGCCGAAACCGAAGGAAACATGCTCAAACTACATTTTTAGAAGTAGTTGATAATTTTTCAAGTAGTAATAGTTTTTTGAATCAAAAGTTTATTGTCTTTCCTGGGAAAATCGAGAAAAATATGGAGAAACGTCATTTTGAGCGGAATTAGAAGATTAATAAGCAATTATCTGTCTTCCGGACCTCCCTCAACCCTTCTTTGCTCAATTCTGATAGTGAAAAATCAACTTTTCCCTGAAATTCGGGTTCAAATCCTCAAAAAACGAGTAAAAACAGGATTTTATTAGGCTCCGCCCAGATGTGTGTGCCGCGTGAAAAACACATTCTGCAATGATTTTTTTATTTGAGGTCACGTAGAAAAAAATTTGCTGTGAATTTGATGGACTTTGCCAAACTTCGAAGGTTCAACTTTTACGTCGTCTTTTGAATTTTGTTTCATGAGGAATATAAATAGAAATAGTTTTATATATGATTCTTGTGAATGATTTTTGCCCTCAACTAATTACTTACTTATGATATATTATGTTCAAAATGTTTATTGCCACGTCATAAATAATTTTTCTACTGCTTTAAATTTCTGAATTAACAATTTCCAAATTGCCACGTCATAGTTCACTTTCAATTTTACTTGAAAACTTTCATGAAATGCATTTTGCGACAAAACTTGAAAAAGTTCAAACCTCCAAATTTTTTTCCATTTCTAGGTACTGTGGGATGAAATGTGTGCAAACACCGCGCGCGCGGAATTTTGAATTTTGTTTTAAAAAAAATTTTTGTTTTTCAGTTTTTTTTCTCCAGTTTTTCACTTCACTTCGCTTTTTCGCTTGTTGCCAGCCTCCAAATTCAAAATCAATTTTCAGATGAGTTCCCCGGTCGAAAGTCAAAAGCACACAATCAAATATCAATTCGAAAATGCGCCGAATCTCAACGAAATCATGAAATACAGCGAGATTTTCGAATTAAACGATACCAAATGGAAATTTGGGATAAAAGTGACACAAAACAAAATGAACGTATTCCTCAATTGTTTGTCATTGGAAAATGAAAAAGGAAAGATTTTGGCGGTCGACGCGGAATTCGTTTGGATGCGGCAAATTGGAGAAAATGATCATTTCAGAAAGAATTTGACGAAAACTGAATATTATGTTGATGGAGATTCGGAGAAGGGAATTGTTTTTGATTCATTTTATTGGTCAGTTATGGAAAATTGATTGTTGTATTGAAACACGACCGCAACGCACACGCGTCGCGAGACAATGTTGTCTGGTAGATTTTGACCCGCTGATCTATTAGAGAACATTGTCTCGCGACGCGTGTGCGTTGCGGTCCTGCTGAAAACTATGAAAATTGAAATTTTCAACTTTGCCACGCCATAACTCATCACATTTTTGCAGGCCCCATATCAACGAGCCAAATTGCCGTTTTCTCAAAAACAATTCGATCAAACTCGAAGTGAATTTCGAATTTTTCGTGCACGATTTTTCGAAAAAAATCGATAATTACACGGATATTATTCTCAAAGTCGAAAATGTTGATTTGCATATCAACAAAGGGGTTAGTTTGAATCTTTCTCTTTGAAAATTCAATTTCAGGTTGAAAAATTGATTTAATTTCAGGTCTTATGCTTCTCCTCCGAATACTTCTACAATCGTTTGATCAATTCGCCAAAAAACGAGGAAAATACTGAAATTGTTGCGATTGATGATGTGAAAGTTGTGGATTTTATGAAACTTTTGCTGTTTTTGAATCCGAATACTGCATTTTTGCCATCGAAACTTGTCACTTTTTTGAACTGTGAGTTTTTTGAGGGAAAAGGAAGGAAAATTCAAATTTCTAGATCAGATTTTTGTGCTTAAAATGGAGAAAATCATGATTTCCAGCATTTTCAGCACAAAATTTTGATCTAGTAATTTTTCTCAAGTAAAATATACTAGTTCTAATGAGGATTCGATCCCCTGACCTCTCACCTCAAAAATCCTCATTTCTATATCAAAATATCGTGCTAAAAATGATGAAATAGCTGAAAATAATCGAAAATCACTATTTCCAGCATTTTCAGCTCTAAATCCCTCATTTTTTTTGCAGCCGAAGACCTCGAAACCTATTTCCTTCTGGCCGATCGTTTCAAAATCAAAGCAGTTCACTCAAAAATCGCGTTGGCTCTCAAATCGATTTTCGAAAATAGTCAATATTTTGTGGCGTCGCCAGTTTTGCTCGATTTCACAATTAAATGCATCGAATTTGCCGATCAATACGATTATCCAATTTTATTTGTGAGTTAATTAATTAATTAATTAAAATTTAAAGGAACATAGCTTTATTTATACTCAAAAAATGCGAAATTTCACCTAAAATTCAAAAATTAATAAACATTTACCTACTAATTACCCTAATTAATTAAAATTTACAGGAAACCTGTTTGGACTACTTCAAATCAGCTCACGACATCAAATTCGCCGCAAAAACTCCGGAATTCGACGGACTTAGCCAATATTCCAAAGTTCAGCTTTTGCGCAGACTTTTGAAATTCTAATTTTGCACCACTCATAGTTTTATCGCACCCCTAATTAATTAATTAATTAATTACCTTAAATTCTTGTGAATGATATATGAAAAATGTGTTTAAATTTCATTCAATCAATCAAAAAACAGGAAAAAAACAGAAATCGAAAAAAACAGAAGGTGAGATTTTTTGGGGTTATTAAGAAGAGGCTGTGGTCTCGACACGAAACATATATAAATAGGGAAAAAATCAATCAATAATAATAATAAATAGATCTATTCCAAATCCATTGGAACATCATCCGAACATTCATCAGCACTTGAGATTATCATTGGAATATGAGCTTTTTGATTTTGTTGTTCAGAAGTGGGCGGAGCTTCTTCTTCGCAATTTTGAGATGGTAGATCTTTTGTTGTGTCGTCGAGAGTTGTTGATGTCACTTGTTCATCGTCGGCTGAAAAAAACATATTGGGTTTATTTTTGGAGAAATTTGGTCAAATTTTCATGAGCTCAAAATGTTCCTATGAATTTTTCTGAAAAATTGCTCTGCCAGGGTTACTGTAGATTTTGGAGCACAAAATAATTTTGGATTTTCTAGTTTTTTTTATCAAAGCATGTACTACCCAATACTGAAACCACCTAAAACCCATTTGCTCCATAAAAAATTTGAAACGTAATATTTTCAGGGATGAAAAATTGGACAGATTTTTGAGGAAAAAATAAGAAATGGATGAAATTCACCAAATTTCAGATGAAAAAACCAGTTTCAACAAAATTTCAGATTTTTGGTGAAATTTTTGAATTTTCGTGAGAGAAGACTGATTTTTTGGGCTAAAAAATCGAAAATCATCTGACTTGGATCAATTTGAAATTTCTACCTTTTTAATAAAATCCCGATTGGGTGGTGTCTCGATGGAAGAAGGATTTTTCAATAGGGTCCCCCCTGTTCTCATTTTTGAAATGTCGCAATTGCGACATTTCCCATTTTTTCCGAAAATCATACCTTCGCGAACGTCCAAAAGGATCCGATCCTGGACCTTCTGAACAAAAAACACGTGATCTAACCACTTGACCATTTCTGACACAAGAAATGACCATCAATTTGCTTAGAAATGCTCGATGAAAAATTTTGACGTGAGAAAAAGAATCTACCTTTTTTCAGAAAAAAATTATTGTCAGAAAAAATTTTAGTGAGCATTTATTGAGTACATTCTATTTTTTGATCGAATATTGCCCCGCCTGGGGGCTAACAGCCCCTATCGAGTACTTTTAATACAGAAAAATGATTTTCCATGGCAAAATTAGGAAGTCTTCCTAATTTTGCCACGAGTCATTTTTTTATCAAAAAAACTTGAAATTTTTGATGAAATCAATTGTAATTCATTTGTAAGATTTTTGAAAAAAACTCATCGACTTCATTTTTACATTTTTGGATTAATCCAAATCTGTAACTTCTTACTCAGGTCTCAAAAAAATCGGCCCGAATTTTTGAAAAAAAAATCGGCCCGAATTTTTGAAAAAAAATCGGCCTGAATTTTTGAAAAAAAATCGGCCTGAATTTTTGAAAAAAAATCGGCCCGAGATTTTTTTCAAAAAAAAATCGGCCCGAGATTTTTGAAAAAAAAAATCGGCCCGAGATTTTTCAAAAAAATCGGCCCGAATTTTTGAAAAAAAATCGGCCCGAATTTTTGAAAAAAAATCGGCCTGAATTTTTGAAAAAAAATCGGCCCGAATTTTTGAAAAAAAAATCGGCCCGAGATTTTTTCAAAAAAAAAATCGGCCCGAGATTTTTGAAAAAAAAATCGGCCCGAGATTTTTTCAAAAAAAAATCGGCCCGAATTTTTGAAAAAAAAATCGGCCCGAATTTTTGAAAAAAAAATCGGCCTGAATTTTTGAAAAAAATCGGCCCGAATTTTTGAAAAAAAATCGGCCCGAGATTTTTCAAAAAAAAATCGGCCCGAGATTTTTTCAAAAAAAATCGGCCCGAGATTTTTGAAAAAAAAACTCATCGACTTCATTTTTACATTTTTGGATTAATCCAAATCTGTAACTTCTTACTCAGGTCTCAAAAAAAATCGGCCCGAATTTTTGAAAAAAAAATCGGCCCGAGATTTTTCAAAAAAAATCGGCCCGAGTTTTTTCAAAAAAATCAACCCGAAATTTTTCAAAAAAATCGGCCCAAGTCATTTTTTGATCAAAAAACTTGAAATTTTGAATGAATTCAATTTATTACGAGTACATTTAATTCAAAAAAATAATTGAATAGGTTTTTTTTTCGAAAATTGATCGATGACTTCATCCATGGCAAAATTAGAAAGCCTTTCTAATTTTGCCACGAATCATTTTTTGATCAAAAAACTTGTAATTTTCTAAAAATTTGATTGAAATTTTCAATGAATTTGATTGTAAGCCAATTAGCCACAGAAATTTGACAATAATCACAGAAAAAAGTGAAACGGAAATAAATGAGAAGACTGTTACGCCTGGGGGCTAATAGCCCCTAGTTTGAATAGAAAATTCAGAATTTCGGAAGAAAGTCATTTTTTCTCTAATTTTCAGGTATTTGGGGTCCAAAATGACAGATTTCTGTGCAAAATTTTAGATTTTCAGTCAGAAGTTCATATCAGATAAAGATCAAATGTCAAAAATAGGTCAATGTCACTTAGATATTCAAATATTTGTTATTATATTATTCTTGTGACTATGATAACACAACTAATATTTTGTCTATTTTTCGCACTTCAAATAAATGCAGGTAAAATAAATTAGAATTTGTTTTCTATGAAAATATGTATTTTGCAGGAGTTATCCCAACTTTCTCATCATTTAACATGTCCCAAGAGTTATCAAAAATCGAAAAATCCTGTCTATCACAAGAAGATCATGACGAAATATCAGGAAACAAATACAAAACAGGATGGGCTCAAGTATTCAATTTACGCACAATTTATCTATCTCTGGAAGTTATTGTAAATTCAGAAATGCGAAAAGTTTTGGGATTATCACAGTATTCTGGAACATATCAAAATCATAAATTTGCATCAGATAAACAATTAAAAGATGCTTCAAATTTTGAAGAATATTTTGATTTGCAAACATTAGGCGGAATAGGTTATGTTGCTAAAAATGAAGCGATTACTGACGAGGATTTGATCACAGCAATTCAGTTTTTGGACAAAAAATGGCCAGCAATTCGTATTATTCTAAGAAATAAATTTGAAAAATATATCGAGACCGCTAAAAATCATAAAGGATTTCAAACCGGGAAAAACTATGAATGGAAACAGGATCGAAAAATTGTCAATGGTTTGATTATTGCACATTATGAAATGCAAAATGGAGTATGGGATGCGATTAGCGAAATGTATTATAACAAAAAATGCCAACAATTCCCTCGTCCAGATTCTTCTCATTCATTTTTCAAAACACTCAAGAAAAGTGTGATGAAAGACTAATTGAACATGATTTTGAATTGAAATTTAAAAAGGTTCGGAATTTGAATGAAATTTGACACATTTTATCTTTTCGGACCATCAAAACTACCTGGGTTACTGTAGATTTTGGCGCAAAAAATCATTTTGGATTTTCTAGTTTTTTTTTCAAAGTATGTGGATACTCAGTACTGAAACCACCGAAAAACCCATTTGCTTCATAAAAAATTTGAAACGTATTATTTTCAGGGATAAAAATTGGACAGATTTTTGAGAAAAGCATGAATTTTGACAAATTTCTCTGAACTTGAAAAGAACAATTTGGTTTCAACAAAATTTCAAATTTTTTTTTCAAGAAATTAGTGAAATTTCTAAATTTTCTTGAGAGAAGGCTGAATTTTTGAGCTAAAAATGAAAAATCCAGAATCTCGTGGAAAAATCACTGTTTTCTTCAAATTTTCTAGTTTTTTGGGTGAAAATTCAACTTTTCATTTTAAATTTGATAAAAATTGAAATATATGAATTTCAGTGAATGAAAAATCATAGGATTTTTTTAAAATTAGAAATTTTCAATAGAATTTGATAAAATTTTGAATTTTTGAGCTAAAAATCCAGAATTTCGTGGGAAAATCACTGTTTTCTTCAAATTTTCAGGTTTTTTATATAAAAATGAAAAATCTTTAGATTTTGATCAAATTTGCCCATTTTCCCAAATTTTCACTCACGAATCGGATTTTCAGGCACAGCAACTGTAATTTGTGTTGTTTCCTGCTCATTTTGCTGCTCTTTTCCACCCGTTTTTCTCTGTTCCTCTTGTTTTTCCTTCTCTTTTTCCTGTCCTCCATCATAACTCGGACTTCTTCTCAAATCTCTCGATCTTCTTTCCGGTGATCTTCTTCTATCTCTGTCTCTTTCTCTATCGTCTCTTCTATCATCATCATCTCTCGCCCAACGAGATCTGCGACGCGTTGAATCGCGATCGCGATCTCTTTCTCGATCTCGATCATCGTAGCGTCGACGATCCGATTCGCGATCTCTGCTGAAAATAAGAGATTTTGTGCTGAAAATGGTGAAAATACTGAAAATCATCGGAAATCATAAATTCCAGCATTTTCAGCGCAAAATTTTGATCTAGAAGCTTATTTTTACAAAGAAAAAGAGTAGTTCTAATGGGGACTCGATCCCCTGACCTCTCAATTCGAAAATCCTCACTTCTAGATCAAAATTTTGTGCTGAAAATGCTGAAAATGCTGAAAACCATCGAAAAACGTGATTTTTAGCATTTTCAGCGCAAAATTTAGACCTAGAAGCTTTTTTTTACAAAGAAAAGACTAGTTCTGATGGGGACTCGATCCCCTGACCTCTCAACCTTAAAAATCGATATTTCTAGATTAAAATGTTGTGCTGAAAACGATGAAAATGCTGAAAATCATCGAAAATCACAAATTCCAGCATTTTCAGCGCAAAACTTTTGAAAAATTACCAAAAATAGACTTCTCGGGTAAAAAAATCACCAAATTTAACCTACTTTACGTAAAAATCACCGGAAAACTCCTACTTGACCAAAAAATCAGCGGATTTCACCTACTTTACGTAAAAATTAGCGGAAAACTCCTACTTAAGGTAAAATGCACAAAATTTCACCTACTTGACATGAAAATCACAATTTTTCAACTGGTAAGTTCAAAAATCACGGATTTTTCTCAAATTTCAAGCCCAAAATCACAAATTTGTGAAAATTTCTCACCTAAACCGTTCATTATTCTCTGTTCCTCCTCCCCCTCGATGATAATTATTATCCACATTCCTTCGCATTTCTCCAATTCTTGGCGGCGGTCCACGTTGATACATATTTGAGTGTGGATGTTGAGGCGGCAATCCGCCGCCGGCGGCAAAACCATTCGCAGGCGGCGGCGGAGCACGATAAGGAGTCACCGGAGCTGTATTTGCAGGTGGGAGATGGGGAATTTGGGCAGCGGGAAGTGGTGGATACATTGGAGGGGGTGCACCATATGGACGAGGAGCTGGCGGGAATGATTGAGGCTGTTGTTGTTGTGGAGGTGGAGGAAGACCGAATGGTCGACCAGTTTGTAACATTGGTGGATAACCAGATGGGAGACCGGGTGGAGGAACTGCAAAAACAATGCGATTTCATATTTTTCACTGAGAATGTACCCTTTCTCAACCAAAAATCTCATTTTGAACAAGAATTGGTCAAATTTTGAATAAAAATGTGATTTTACTGCTGAATTCTTGAAAATCTTTCAAAACGAAACTTTTTGACTGAAATTCTTAAATTTTTGCAAAAAAAAATCTGAAATTTTGTTGGAACTGGTTTTTTCATCTGAAATTCAGTGAATTTTGTCAAATTTCATCCTTTCCTCAAAAATCTGTCCAATTTTTATCCCAGAAAAAAATACGTTTCAAATTTTTTTATGAAGCAAATGGGTTTTTAGGTGGTTTTAGTGATATGTTTCATGGACAAACAAAGAGAACATCCAAAATCTACAGTAACCCAAGCAGTTTTGATGGTCCGAAAGGATAATTTTTAGAAAATTTCGAATTTCAGTAAAAATGTGTCAAATTTCATTCAAATTCATGTGATTTTTCTGTTGAATGCTTGAAAGTCTTTCAAATCAAAACTAGTTTCGTATAATGAGAGAAATCTCGAAACTCTAGGCGCGCCTGCTTGAGAACTAGACTTTCAAGGCGCCACTCCTTGCCATAGAAATTCTCAAGGCGCGGCTCCTTGCCATAGAAATTCTCAAGGCGTGGCTCCTAGACAAATAGGTTCTCTAGGCTCAGCTACTTGACAACTGGGCTTTCTAGGCTCGGCTCCTTGTCATATCGGTTCTCTAGGAGCGGTTACTTGTCACACGGGGCTTAAGGCGCGGCTCCTTGAGAAATAGGGTTTCTAGGCGCGGGTCCTAGACAAATGGGTTCTCTAGGCTCAGCCACTAGACAAATAGGCTTTCTAGATTCGGCTGTTTCAAAACTTTTAGGAAAAATTTCAAAAATTCAGATTTTCCAGTTTTTCAGATAAAATTACTCCAGATTTGTTGAATTTTTCGAAAAAAATCAATTATTTTTCATAAAAAATATTAGATTTTCAAAAAATTTCATGTAAACTTTCAAATTTTCTCCAAAAAATGCTCACCTCCCGAATAAAATTGTGGTGGAAGTCCAGCAGATGTCTGAATTGGCTGCGGTGGTGGCAATTGAATATTATTATGATGAGCAATGGCCGAATTCTGACTAGTTTGTGGTTGAATTTGTGCATTCAATTGAATCTCGCCATTTTCCTTATACATTTGTCGTTTTTTTTCGGGCAAACTTTCCAAATCCAATATCGCTCCTTCGCACAATTTCTCGAGTTGTGGTGGTAATTTGTCATACGGTACACTGATAACACCTTTATCTATATCCCACATATTGAAAAATGGCTCTTCGTTCATTCCGGGGCTTCGAGCCCAATAAACCTGAAAGAAAATTGGGGTTTTTGGGGGGAAAATGAGATTTTGAACGAATTTTTCTACTGAAATTCAAAATTTTCATTTAAAAATTTTTGGGAAACAATTGTTTGAATTTTTTTGATCCAAAAATTGAAAAAAATCTCTGAAATTTCCCACGTACTGTATTTTTTGTTGAAAATTTTGCCACGTGGATTTTGAGCCTAAAATTTATATTCCAATAAATGTTCAGCGGTGAATTAGTACCTTTTTAAGTTAAAATTTCAAGTTTCATAAAAATTTTCTGAATCTGCCACGTGGCAATTTCTATTGTATTTTTTGAAGAAAAATAAATTTTGGGGCAAAAAATTCAGTTTTCAAAAAAATTTATATCAATTTATTGAAAATTTCATGATAAATTTAAATTTTTCAATTTTTTGAAACCTACTAATTCAAAAATCGGTCAATTTTTAATAAAAACTCATTCCTCAGGGCCACAAAAATTCAGTTTTTCAAAAATTTATATGATAAATTCTATTCAAAACTTCAATTTGAACAATTTTTCAACTTTTTGAATATTTTTACGTGTAAATGACTATTTTTAATGGGGTGATTCAGGTCGAAAAAAAACATTTTTGTGTGGAAAAAAAAGTTTTTTTGACATTTGCTGAATCGAATTTTTTTGTAAAAAAACGTTTTTTTTTTGGGCCTATGCAGAATAATATTTTGTAATAAAAAAAACATATTTTTCCTATGCAGAAAAACGTCAAAAAAACAGAATATACAGTTTACTATTTTGAGTAGAGACAATGTGAAATTGAGAGAGTGCAGACAGACAAATTGATTTTTCGCACAAAAAATACAAAAAACTGTCTGCACTCTCTCAATTTCACATTGTCTCTACTCAAAAATAGTAAACTGTATATTCTGTTTTTTTGACGTTTTTCTGCATAGGAAAAATATGTTTTTAAATGTTTTTTTTATTACAAAATATTATTCTGCATAGGCCCATTAGTTTTTTTTCGACCTGAATCACCCCATAACCTAAAAACCCTCCCAAAACCCCGCTCACCTTCACCATTTTCTTCGCCACTTCAACTTCTTTCAATCGATTGATGACGTCATTCGCCGATTTTCGATTTTCCATTGTTACATAAGCACAAGCTCGATTTGAGATGATTTTGACGCGATTTGCTTCGCCACAAGATTCGACAGCTTTTTTCAAATCCAGTTCACTGCAGTTTGGCGGCACTTTTTTGAACCAAAGAGTTCGAGAAGCAACTGCAAAAAATTGGCGATTTCCTTTTGAAAATTCATTTTTCATGTTCAAAAATTCAAAAAAACCCAAAAATTTTCTTCATTTTTGCAACTAACTATATGTGATTCCTTCTTTGATTTGTGGCAATCCAAATTTTCTTCGTTCTCTTTCTTTACTTCTTTCTCTTTCACGTGATCGACCAGATGATCTGCTATCATGACGACTTCTTTCGTGCTGTAAATATGGAGGGATTGGGGGATTTTCAGACAAAAAATTTGGGATTTCAGAGCATTTCCCACACATTTTTAGGTAGGAAAATCGTAGGTTTTCAACAAAAAAACCTGAATTTTTCACAAATAATTTGCTCATTATTTAAAAAATGATTGATCATGTTAGAAAAATGAGCAAAAGAATCTGATTTTGGAATTTTCATCTGAAAAACTTGTTTTGATCTGTTTCAAGATAAATTTCAGCAATTCTCCACGTCATAGCTCGAAATCTATGATTGCTCATGTTAGTTTTCTCCTCAAATTTTAAAAATTAACCATTTTTTCGTCGAAAATCGGATTTTCTTGAGAAATTTCGAGCTCATACTCTTCTTTTTTCAATTTTTCAGAAACTCGCCACGTCATAGCTCAAAATCTTGAAAATCTACGATTGCTCATGTTAGTTTTTTTCTCAATTTCTTAAAAATTCAAACTTTTGAAAATTTTTCTGAAAAAAAAAGATTTTTCTAGAAATTTTGAGCATAATTGGAATTTTTATCTGAAAAACTTGTTTCAAGATAAATTTCAGAAATTCGCCACGTCATAGCTGAAAAACTATGATTGCTCATGTTAGTTTTCTCCTCAAATTTTTTGAATTAATCATTTTTTCGGATTTTCACATATTTTTTATAGGAAAAAATTGCCACGTCATAGCCAAATTTTCCCATTAAAAATGCCTCACCTCATTCTCAACTCCAGCCACAAATTCCATTTCATTTTCCAACATTTTCATCTGTTGTTGAGCCGCCAATTGTTGTGCCATAATTCCATTTGGATCATGATGTTGAAATTGTGGAGGAACACCTAAAGGAGGAGGTGGTCCCTGTGGAGGAGCTAATTGTTGTTGTTGAGAAGCAGAAGAAGAAGGTGGTGGAACACCGGGTGGAGGTAAACCAAGTGGTAAAAGTGTGGATTGATTTTGAGATATTAATTGATTGAGAAGAGCACGTTGAGCTTGTTGAGCAGCCTGAAAACAACAAAATATTGTGGGATTTTTTTTAGAATTTTAGGATAGAGCTCTAGACTTTCATTTTCAGCATCTTAATTTCAGGTTAAACTTTAAAAAAATATCACATTTCAAATTTCCCGAATTTCCAACTCATTTTTTGACCTCATGGCCTAGAAATCTAAAACTTGGTGTTCTAGGTCACGGGCTCTAAAATTCGGCCAAAAGCAGAGCTTTGAACTGGCGGACTAGAAAATCCATTTTAGGATTTCTAGGCCATCTGGTATCCGAGTTTTGTAGCATTTTAGTAACCTAGAAATCCAAAAATGAGATTTCTAGGCCAGAAATTCAGAAAATTGGGTTTTCTAGGCCAACTTGACCCGAATTCAATGAAAATCTAGATATGTTAGTTTCAGATGGCCTAGAAATCCAAAATTATAATTTCCTAGGCCAACCTGATCTTAATTTAATGAAAATCTATATTTTGAAGTTTCATATGGCCCAAAAATCCAAAAAAAACTTGGTTTTCTAGGCCACCTTGACAAGAATTTAGCGAAAAATCAAGATTTTGAATTTTCAGAAGGCCTAGAAATCCAAAAATAGATTTCTAGGTCACTTGAAGCCTCTTTTTCTCAAATTCCATGAGGAAAAATGGATTTTTGAGCCTTTTTTCCATAAATTTCAGATTTTTTCCCCAAAACCCCCAAGCTCACCTGAAAATTAACCTGTTGCTGATTTGGAACTTGTCCAACTTGTCCTTGCGCAGCTCCAGCGAATGCCTGCAATGCTTGCAATTGTTGCTGTAATTGTTGTCCACCAACTAATCCAGCAATATTTGGTGGAAGTCCGGGTGGCGGCACATTTTGCACTCCTGCTCCTGGTGGAGCAACTGGAGGAGGTTGTTGAGCAGCAAAACGAGCAGCTAATTGTTGATTTTGAGCTTGAATTGCTTGAAGAAGTTGGGGATTGAGTTGAGGTGGAAAAGCGGCTGCGATATTGGCGATTTGTGGAGGGATTTCTGGTTGAGCTGGAGGTTTCTGGAATGGAAATTGGGAAATTGAATATTTTTTTAAAAATTTTTTCTTCTTGCGAGATCATTTTTGAGCCAAAAACGATTCTAAAAGAGGGATTTTCATTAAAAAAATTGATGAATTCAAGCTTTTTCCCCCAAAAAACTCACATTAGCTTCAGACAATAATAATTTCAGCCCTTCTTTAACAGTTTCATTGTTGATCAATTCTCGAGCCATGCTGCAAAAATTGATTTTTTTTTTCAAATAGGGAATTTCAGGTCCGGAATTCAGAATGCTTTACAAGCTTTGTTAGCTCATTTTTTGCCACGTCATCATAATTTTGAATTTTAATTTTTAAAAATTGATTTTCTATTGCCACGTCATCAAAAATTTTGGTTCCGAAATTCAAAAATTTCAAATTTTTAATGTGACAGGTCGAAAATTAATTTTCCAATTGGATTTTTGACTCAATTTTCGCCACGTCATCAAAAATTGGGAAAAATTCAGAATTCTTCAATTTTTCTGTAATTTTCTATTGCCACGTCATCAAAAATTTTGGATCCAAAATTTTGAATTTTAATTTTTTTTAATTTGATTTTAGAGCCAAAATTAAACACGTTATCATAATTTTGGCTTCGAAAATCAAAAAATTCAAATTTTTAATGTGGATTTCAAGCTTTTCCATGTGAAAATAAAAGAAAATTTTGAAATTTTCACATTTTGGCGTCAAAAATCATTTTGACAGTAAAAATTCTAATTTTTCGCGCCAAAAATCAACGTGGCGATGAGTAAATTTAGAATCTTATCTTTTCGCGGCTTAATTTTGATTGCCACGTGGATTTTAGGTTTTTCCATGTGAAAATGATTGAAATTTTCAAAAAGCCCCCCCCTCCGCTCCCAAAATTGCTTACTCAAAAATCATTTCCCTCGTCAATGGCGGTGGATCTTTGCTCTCCTGATTCTCCTCTCCATTTTCATCTTCATCATCCGAATAATTGAAACCCTGCGACAGCACATTGGCCAAACTTTTCGCGCGAATCGCCGCCGCCGCCGCTTGTTCCGCTTTCAACCGTTGAATTCGTGCCAACAAATTGTTGACAAAGATGACGTGAGCGCGAATCAGAAGACTGTGATCTTTTTGAAATCGGCCGAATTGATCGAAACCTGTTTGTCTGATCAAATCAAGCATTTCTCTTTGCGATATTGTTCCCTCTAAATATTCTTCACTTGGAACAAAATGCGATGGATTTGCACCCAATAATCCATCTCCTACATTAGGAGGCGGAATTGTTGGAGTTGTAGATCTCACTGAAGTTGTCTTCACCTTCTTAATATAACTTCCACCATATATTCTCATATCTGCTGATCCTCCTTTAACAGCTCTTTCAACCGCCTCAAAATCTGTATCCAACCCATTTTTCTCGCAAATCTCTCGAAATGGCGCAATCTCTTCCTTCGTGTACACACCGTTTGCCTGCCATAAATTCAGAGTTCGAATAACTTTCATTTGTTCCGAATGTTTCAAAGCAAGAAGTGGTTTTAATATTTTATCAAAAGATTTGATGAATCTTGCAGCAAACACATCTTTTTCTTTGAATTGATGTTTTGATGCTCGAATAATGCTATCAATGATATAAAGAACGTGCAAACGATGCTCCGGTTTACATTTGATTAAGAACTTTTCCACAGAGAATACGACGTGTTTGTAGAGCGATTTGGCTTTTAAAGCGGCACGTGTTATTTCCTGGATTTTGGCTTTTGAAGGCGCTTTTGATTCGTGGATTGAGGAGAGTTCGTTGTTGAATTTCTTGATTACTTCCGATTCCATGGTTTTTGTCACCTAGAAATGATGCTATTTTTGAAGATTTTATTATTTTAAACACGGAAAGAAAAGAGTTTACGTTAAAAATACAATTAATTTCTAAAAAAACGGATTTTTCTTTAAAACGAGGTAATTTTCCCTATTTCTTGTAAATTTTTCACTCAAAAAATCCTCAAAAATGTTCTAAACCTCCAGATTCCCGCAATTTTCCCCCAAAACCTCTCAAAACCTCAAAAAATGAGTTAAAAGCCGTCGAAAAACCAAAAAAAAAAGAAAAGAAAAAGCCAATGTCCGCAAACACAAGGCTCTATCGATTGCACACCGTAGTCCGCCAAGTGCAAACACGGCGACGCACAATTGCACAATTTATCCAGCTCGGTTTTTCTTTTTCTTCTCTTTTGCCTTTAAGCTGCGAAAATGGGGGATATCCCATGTGGAACATATACAGTAGAATTGGGCAAATCGTTTCAAGACCCTAAAAAGAAGCCATCATCCTCGCAGGAATTGTATACATCGATTAAATGTGAGTTATTTCAAAAAGTTCAAAAATTATGGAAAAATTGCCTTTGCAGATGATTTCAAGCCAAGTTCTGTATCAGATCAACCTGAAACTTATATCGCAGTTGGAAACAATGGAGATGTTCATGTTGCATTAGATCCAGAAAATTTAACAGTCTTCAAAGGCGCGAAAAAAGAGGCGAAAAAGGAATGTTACCTGTTTTTTGATTCACGGACTAATACAGTTCGACTAGAGCAAATCAGCTCAAACATTCAAGTGAAAAAGACAAGAGATTTGGATCCCGCCACAGAACAAGCACTTCGAACTGGAATTGAGAGATTGAGAACATCTGAAAATGCTGCAGCCTCTGCTCCTATGGAAAATAATCATCTACCAACAATTTCACCACCGAAAAAAGAGCGAAAAGAAAGTAGCAGTTCATCGAGTAGTGCAAGTAGTGGAAGTGGATCGGATAGTAGTTCAGATGAATCAGATGATGATAAAAATAAAAATGATGATGATGGTTCTTCAGATGATGATAGTGAATTATTGGAAAAATTGGCGGCCAAACCTCAAACTTCAAGTATTCCTTCAAGAGATTATCATCCACCACATCATCACAATATTTCAATGCCTAATATTACTACAACTAGACATAATGCACCGTAAGTTCTTTGAATATTGATTTTTCAAACCCAACCCAAAACCTTCCAGAGATTGTCAACAACTTGGCCTAAATCTCAGCGAATCATCCGACGAAGATTGAAAATTACCTATAATTTTGGGAATGTATGGGAAAATATTATTAATATTAATATTATATTATGTGCCTTTAATAACTGCTAATTGTGATAAATTAATTTATTAATTATTATTCAAGGAAACTAAATAGAGAGAGAGTTTAGCGGGTTTTTCCCTGAAAATCTTAATCAAATTGAATTTCAGATTTTTAGAGGATTTTCAGATGTATTCCAAGAAATTTGTGAAGAAGGATGTGGAATTTATTCGATCTGATCATATTGTTCCAATTGGGATAAGTACGATGGTAATTTTCAGTTATGACGTGGCAAAATTTGAAAACATTTTGCTTCAAAATCGTGTTGAGAATGATCTAGAATATTTTCTGAAATATGAAGAATTTACTATTTAAAATTGGCTAATTTTTCAAATTCACAATCAGTTCTTAATGTTAATTAACTTCTCATGATTTATTTGAAAATTGAATTAGTTTATTAAATATTTTAACTTATTGATTTCAAAATTGAAGTTTCAGCTTTGAAGTTTCAGCTTTGAAATCAATAAGTAGAAGTATTTAATAAACTAATTCAATTTTCAAATAAGTTATAAGAAATTAATTAAAATTGAAAACTGAATTTGAAAAATTAGCTAATTTTTGAATAGTAAATTCTTCATATTTCAATAAATCTTCTAGATCATTCTCAACACTATTTTGAAGCGAAACTTTTCAAATTTTGCCACGTCATAACTCAAAGTTGAACTATGTATCTATGTATTTTTCTATTTTCTAGAAACGTCTTCGAGAAGATTCAGTTCAAATCGGAAGATCGAAATTCGTCCGCCTCCAAATCTGCTCAAAAATCCATGAAAAATCTCTCGATCTTCTGAAAAACAGATTGCGACTAAAATTAGATGATGATTTCTGGATCGATAAAGCAATCACAACAACATTTCCACGAGAATTTGCGAATTCTTTCAAAGTCAATGATTTTGTGATGGTTTGTGGAAAAGCGAGATTAGAAGAAGATGGAACACCGTATTTGAATGCGTTTTCAGTGAGAAAAGTGAGAATTTTTTCGAAAGATTCAAGAAATTTGGGATTTTTTGAGACCGAATATGACAGGTTTCTGGGCTCTGAGAGCTCTAAGAGCCTGTTTGGTCTCAAAAAAACCTCCCGGAGCTCCTGTATCCTCCCATTTTCAGGTCTCACAAATCGAGCAAAAATGTTTCGAACAAGAAACCAAACTTTGCTCAGAATATTATTCGGATTGTGCCGGAACATCTTATATGCCAAAAGTTGCAACACCGCCACTTTCAACTGAATTAAATCTGGGAGTTTTGGGACTTTCGAGATTTCCGATTGGAATGCTGGAAAATTGTACTGTGAAGAAGGAGGTAAGGTACATTTGGGAGGGGAAAATTGGGCTGAAATCTCGTGAAAAACATCAAATTTTAATTTCAGGACACCCAAAAATCATCGGAAGATTCATTCGAGAAATTTGGTCGAGAACTTGCTGCAACTTCCTCAAAAACCGCTGAAAAATTGGATGAAAATAATCAAGACGCAGATGATAGTGTAGGATGATCCCTCCGATCTCCTCTTCACCAGGCCTATCCCCTGGTGAAGTGAAATAAGAAAAGAAAGAATATTAAAATAACTATTTATTCATAAAGCAACTATAAGCAAAGTAAGCGACCGACCCAGAATGACTCTGAGGCCGGGCTTAAATACGGTTGGAACTGGGCGGAGCATGAGTGGGCCGTTGTGTGTGATAGCGGTGATTGGGGGCGCTGAGGAGATATGTTGTAATCGTAATCCGTGGGTTCAAGAGAATCCGTGGGTTCGAGAGAATCCGTGGGTTGTTATAAGATACTGCTTGATTAATTATCCTCACATCCTCGCTTCCCAAAAGATGGCGTCCCGACATCTCCGAATTAAGGCATTGAGCGGTAGCAAAATATTGTTTTACAAGCAGTCTAAAGTAGAACTATGCGACGAAATGGTGGTACTTACGTAGATCAATCGGATTTTTGATCGTTGGATTTGCTGGCATTGATGGTTCGAGTCAATTTTCGCAGCTCGTGATCCTGGGTACTGGTGCGAGTGGTTTTCCATAATTGTAACTCAGAATCCGATATCTCTCCCTTTGTATGCGGCGGTTTATAATTCTGCTACTTTCACTGTCCAGCTTTCGGTAGCGTTTGATGAACCGACGTCGCCTTTGTATTTCCGCGCGGCAAATCCGTGCAGCAGGTCCAACAGGTAACTGGCGCACCAATTTCGAAATTTCTTTCAATGGGGCATTCATCAGCTTGACTGCCAGTTCTTCCATTGTCCCCACAAGTAGCTCGACGTTTTGAGTCATTTCTGAAGTAAGAGTTAGATAAATTGGATTATCACCCTCTGTTATTTTCCACCCACTCCCCTTTTTTTTTTTTTTTTTTTTTTTTGAAAAATTGTTGGGTTGAGTTTGGAAAATAAATTAAATTGACGTGACGTGCACGTGGGAGTTGGATTTCTGCATTTCTGGTTTGACTCATTCTCCTTTTGTCTTGCCTTCTCAATTGGTTTTGTTTGAGTGGCGGAATGCTTGGACGACGTTTTCCTTCCAAATACTGCGCACCTCGTTGTTCTTTGGGTGAATATTGTGTGCGGATGAGTGAAGGAGAACCATTGAGATGTTTTTCTCCAATTGAACCAGAAACTTTGAATTGGGTGCCATATGTTGGTGAGTTTTTCTTTTGGTCTTTGGCTTCCGAAGGTGTGATTTCAGTTGTAGCAGTCGTCCTGTGTCTCTTGGGGATTGGTATCTTTGCTGTGCGCAAGCGTCTTCCTGATGTTTGGATGTCGATCTGCGGCAAATGTGGTCCAAGGCGAGAAAGTGGCGAAGCTGTTTTGCTGGTTGAGAATGGCGCCTTGATTGACTGATTAATAAATAAATTCGGATATTTTTGGTTTGATTTCGTTGATCAGAATATTATGATAAGCATTTCCATTTCGTTTGTAGACTATACTATTTATGCCATTTGCTATGCGATTTCTATAAGCTTCCTTTATAACTACGAGGTCTGACTTTCATTAGTTGGAGTCAGGCACAAACTTCTTGCATCGGTCTTTATGCACGGTCCATGTCTTGGCTTCTTTATTTCTGGTGTTATGTGTCCGGGGTAGATTGACGGTCACATTTTCCTTCGTGGTTGCAACCACGGTCATTGGTTCTGAGAACAGAGATGATATCTTATTTGTTCTGGCCGTTCGTACCAACACTTGATCGCCGATTGCGATGATTGTGCCGGTTGGAGGATTGTGCCTGGTATAGTTCTGTTTTTGAGATTCTCGCGCTTTTTGGATGTTTTCAAGTGTCGCTCGGTGTGTGAACTGCAAGTTCGCTTTGATTCTTTCGACATAGTCGTCTTCGTCGCAATATCTGCGCACTGGTTGTTGTAATGCAATTGAACAAGGTGATGGAAGAGATCTTCCATAAATGAGTTCGTTCGGCGTGAATTTGGTTGAAGCTTGAACTGTAGAATTATACGCAAAGATAGCCAGCTGTAATTCTTCGTCCCATGAATCTGTTTTGTTGTTGATCATTTGTCTCAGAATTTGCTCCAAGCTTTGATTGTTTCTCTCAACTTGGCCGTTACTCTGGTGGTGCGCGGGTGTAGATGTTTGGTGTTTCACGCCCAGTAGTTCGAGCATTGCGATGAATTCTTTGCTGGTGTAATTACTTCCTTTATCGGTGGTAACAATTCGCGGCGTTCCGAATCTTGCAAATATCCGATCCATGAAAACCTTTGCGGTTGTCCGTGCTGTGATGTCCGGAGATGCTTCTGCGACCAGCAATTTGGTGAATGCGCAGCAAAATACGATGATATATCTATTTCCGTTGATGGTTAGCGGGAGCGGACCCAGAACATCAGAACTCCATTTTTCAAATGGTGTGTTGACGATGTCCGTGGTTCCCAATGGTGTTATTATCCTATACTGATGTGGATCCTTATTTTGTTGACAGTTTCGGCACTGGCGGATTTCTTCGGTTACGAGTTGTTGCAAATTTGGTGTCTTTATGATATCTTTGACTCGATGAAGTGTTTTTCGGATTCCTTGATGACTCGCCTCGTATTTGCTTCTGTGTATAAGTTGAATCAATTTTCTGGCGACGGTTGAGTCAGATGGGAGAATGATTTTCGGATTGTCCGTTTCTTGAAGTGGTAACATGTAGAGTATACCCTCGATTTTTCCATTTGCGCCGGTGTAGTCAACTTCTTGGCATTCGTCCATGAGTTTCAGAATTTCTGGATGTTTTTGTTCCTTTCGCACGGCTTCTTGGTTCAGGATCTTGTGTACTCCTTCTTCTTCAATCATGTTGACTTGGTGTTCAAACGATTCCGAATGAGATTGTTCGCTGAAACCTCGGGATAATGCATCTGCGACGACATTTTCGCATCCCTTTTTGTACTGTATTTTGATGTTGAAACTTTGCAAACTTATTTGGAACTTTTGAAGACGATTTGATGTTGTTTTATTGGTGATGATGGATTTGAGTGGCATATGATCAGTGTATACCGTAGTTTCACTTCCATCAATATATGGTTGAAAAGTAGTAAGAGCCCAAACCATTCCTCCACTTTCAATTTCGATAGCAGCGTATCGTTGTTCGGTTGCGCTATGCTTTTTGGAGGCGTACATTATCGTTCTTCGATCTTTTGGGTTTCCAGGTTGGCATTGGTACAGTACTGCTCCGACTCCAAGTTTTGAAGCATCTACTTCCACTTCGAATGGGGCGCCAAGGATTGGGGTTGCCAAAATAGGTTCTTCCATCAATTTTTGTTTCAAAGTTTCAAACGAGTTTTGACATTCTTCTGTCCAGATAAATTCTTTGTCATTTCTCAATAATTCATTGATGGGGGCCGCGATAAGTGCACATTTTGGGATAAATTTTCGAAAAAAATTGATCATACCCATAAATCTTCTCACTTCATTTTCATTGGTTGGTGGTGGATAGTCCCGAATTGCTTGTGTTTTCTTCGAGCTTGGTTGAATACCATTCTTTGACAATACGACTCCCAAAAATTCGACTTTTGACTTGGCCAAATTTGCTTTCTTCGGTGATATTTTCAGTCCAGCTTGAATGATTTTGTTCAATAGTTCCTCGATATCTTGGAGATGTTGTTCTTCAGAATCCGATGCGATGATTAAATCATCCAGATAAGCTGAACAAGTGGCTCTGCATGTTCGAATCAAAGAGTCCATGACCCTCTGAAACGTGGACCCTGCGTAGCGCAGGCCCATCGGCATTCGGACATATTCGAAAGTTCCGAATGCCGTGCTGAAGGCCGTGCGCTCGCAGTGGTCCTCTTCGAGTGGTATTTGGTAGTAGCCGCTTGTGAGATCCAATGTGGTGTACCATGTTTTGTTGCCGATCAAATCCAAAATATCATTCATATGTGGTAGGATAGTGGAAGCTGGGACTGTGATGTCATTGAGTTGCCGAAAATCTTGACAAAAGCGCCAGGAATTATCCTTTTTTCTGACTAACACCAGCGGACTGTTGAATGGCGAGTCCGATGGTCGAATAATGCCTTGTTGGATCATCTTATCAATCTGCTTTCTAATTTCTTCGCGCCTGGCCAGCGGAATCCTCGGTGTTCTGCCCTTCGGGATTTTGTATCCTGGTATCAGTGGAATTTTGTGTTTCACGTTGCCGGTGTATCTTCCGAGTGTTTCCGAATTATCGGTAAACGCTTTGGCTTTGTTCAGGATTAATTGGCGCAACTTTTCCTTGTTTTCTGATGACAATTCAGCGCTTTCGACATCGACTTTTTCGAGAATATTGAATATTTCTGTTGGATCACTGATTTTTGGAAGTTTTCTCCACCATTGGGTTTCTTTGAATGCGAGATCAACTTCCGATTCTTCTTGGATTTCATTGATGTCAGTGCTGGAACTTCCGATAATTGTTGCCTTTGCGATTGTTTTGCCTTTGTGGAATTTTATTTCTTTATTTGATGGATTGCAAATTCGAAGTACTGTTTGACCGTCTTTGGTGGTTGTTCCAATTGATCTTGCAATGGTGTATATATCTCTGGACTGATGGTGATCGTCTTCGATGATGACAGTGGTTTGCTTGTGGTTTGTTGGTTTAACTTTCACACTAATTATCGATTCTGATCGTTTTGGGATAATTGTCTCACTTGTAGTTACCACTTTTTGATATTCTTGGCTTTCTTGTGGTTCAATATTGTTGATGTCCAATTCGGTGTCTCCGATGGTGACAGTTCTCTTGTTCTTTTTCAGATCAAATGTTACTGTTTTGTCATATTCAGCCAATTTCTCCATAAAATCCATACCCAAGATGATCTTTTGGTTGGGGTTGTGTCCGTCCAGAACTCTGAAGTTTTGCATAAATGAAATCCCGTCCACGGTTATTTTGAGATCGGTCTGACCGCAAAATTGTATCAATGTTGAATTGGCGGCTCTAGCTGTTTCTTTGATATCATTTTTCAATTGTCCACCAATTTCTTCGAGTCTAGATTTTGATATAAGTGATAAGCAACTTCCACTGTCTAACAGGCATTTCATTCTTTTTCCATTCATTCTGATCCTTAAAAACGGAAGCTTGCCTGTTTTGTTGTCGACGTTGTTGATGTCGTCGTCAATGTTATTTATTTCTGGCAAGTCTGGCATTGGATATGCTTCTTCGAGAGTCAATTCTTGACTTGGTTCGATTTGATTGATTTGGAGCAGTTTTGAGGCTGCATGATTGAAGAAACTTTCTTTTGCGGATTTTGCAGCTCTTCTTGCGGCCATTCCTGTGCAATAGCATTTTAATAGTTGGCAACAAATGATAAGGGAGAATGTTCCGGCTACAATTGGCAAAATGATCCATAAGACAAAAGCTTTCAGATTCCACCATGTTTCTTCAATTCCGGCTTTTATAGCGGCAGTGGTTTTGTGAACCATACCCTTGATTGTTCGAGTTGTTTCGGCTGCTGTCTTTTCGGCAAATTCTAGACTTTCGGTAATAATATCGCCATCCATTGTCAGTCTTTTTGTAATTTGTTTTTGGTTATTGATCTTCGCGATTTTCTTTAGAATTGGCATGTGATCGTCAAATTCTTCAAGGTTCGAGTAGAATATTTTGTCGGAGGACTCGAATTGCTGTTTGTTGGTTGATTTCCAGATTTGAAGTTTTTCGGTAATTACTTCTTCTCCTTTTCCGAGCTCATTTTTGAAATACTTTCTCATCTTTTTGTTCAAGTACTTCCACATTGTTGATTTCTTAGTTGATCTCTGGAACATGGCTCTATGTCTTGTTATCGCATCCATACGCATCTGTTGAACTTTGGAGAATGCATCAATCACGAAAAGTTGTCCTAACTTTCCAGAAATTCCCAAAAATCGACATGGGACATGTTTTCGATTTTTGAAAATAAATGAATAATATTCGGCTGCGCTTACAAACTTTCTTTTCCCTTTCTGAAGAAAAAATTTGGAACTTCAAGCGGAGTTTTATCTTACGTTCATAACTCGAACTCCACCATTACCACGATTTTCAGCTGTTATCTCGGAATCATCAAAATCATCTAACGCAACATGTTCAAATTCATCTAATTCCTCATTCGACTCTTCATAATTTTCATTTGTTTGAATTACATGTTCTTCAAACTCGCAATTGTTTTCTTGAAGTTTATCCAACTCCTCATCATTCAAGAATTCGTGTTCATCAACAATCTAAAATCAATATTTTTTGAGATTTGTATTTTTTTGGTGCCTACTTCAACATCGGGTGATCTATCTGAATCCGAAACAAAAGGAATAATTTCATCTCCGTTTCTAACTGGATACATTTCTCCATCTCGCTCTACAAATATCACTTTCGGACGTTTCCCAAATGATCTTTGTTCCTAAATTGTTTTTTGTTTTCTAATTCATATTTTTCAAAAAACTAACATTTTGCAAATCATCTAAATCTATGTTTTCCAGCACATCGGCTTCATTGGAACTGAAATAAAAATTTTGAAATAATTATTTCCTGAATTTTAACTACCATTCTTCGTTTTCCGATTCAAAATCACTTTCAATATCATCATTACAGTTTTCTGGAATATCAGATGTATTTGTTACAATGGGAATATTGTTTGTTCCAGTTTGTCCATCGAAGTAATGTTCAGGATTCTCCCCTCTTGATTCAATCTGAAAATCAAAATTTATTCAAGAAAACTGCGGCATAATTTTCGAATAAATTGATGATGCATCAATTTTATCATAATTTTTCAAGAATATTGCACATCCAAACTAACATTCTCAATTTCCAACTTAATTCGATCTTCAAAAAGCATGATTTCTTTTTTGTCAAATCTTTTGTACTTTTTCAATGTGAAACCAGTTTCTCCATTAGGAAAATGTAATGGATAAGCCATTGGCGGAGCCTTTTCATCATAAATCGAAAGCGGTAATTGTTCGAAACCCTGCAAAAAATGTGTTTATTTTTAGAAATGATCCAAATCAAACTTTAGGATTTTTTGCATAAATTGTCATTCCCCTTGGTTTGATATTCATATCATGGTCCATAGAAAACGCCACTGATACAAAATCATCATTCATTCGTGACGGATCCGCATAAACACCTTTGTGTTGTTCAAGATCAAATTTTTTGATCTCATCAGTGTGAACAATTCTGAAGTTCAGTTTTTCCCAGTTTTCGCCTCTTCGATCTGCTTGTTCCAATAGTTCCATCATTGATTTGAACAAATGAACAAACTGATTATTTTTGTCCATGTATCTCTTCAACTCGACAAAAATCTAAATTAAACTCTTTCATTATTAAAATGAGTTGTTGAACTAACTTCTTTGAGTCCTTTGTATTGTTTGAACAAAGTTTGAAGCCGTTTTTCAGCTACTCTTTCATCAGTCGCGTTTAGAACAATGAAATTACCGAAAGCTGGTTTTTCGGGATTATTAGCTATCAATGCGGAAGCCATTAAATTTATTTGACCTTTTACTTTTATTGATTGCACACCATGAAGTTCCTGAACTTCTCTATTGTAAACAGTTGATGCCATCGCATGAACTGCATTTATCTTGAATTTTGATTGTTGTTAAAATTTCAAAAAATTAAGAAAACCAACGTTAATAATAATAGACCTATAGTTCCGATTTTCATACAGTTTTGTAATAACTTCTGGCAATTTCTTGAATGGCGGAATCCAAATTGCACCATTCAAACAACACTTCCTATTCTTCTCATTTCGAAAACCATAAGACCCACAGTATGAACATAAACTGTCACGAGGACCAAGATTAAACAATGGCCAAAGTTCGAACTCTGATAAACAAAAAGTAGTTCGAAAAAAACGTTCAAACCAACCTGGTTCGGAATAATTCCCTTCACTAATTGACTGCCAAACATACGAAATATCTCCAATCATTTCTTGATCAATACTTGTATCATCAACTTCTTCGAGGAGATATTGTATAATTGTATTTGGTGCGTGTTTTTCCAAAAACGCCAGACCAAAATATTCCTTCGCATACATTCCTGAACATGAATGAATTACAAGTTAAAGGCTCACAACTAACGATTTCTCATTTGAACTTCTCTCTGAAAACTATTTGAAATATGTTCCTTGAATTTCTCCAGTTTACTTCTTTCCATCTGTTTTTCGTGTGGATTTTCCTGACTGTTTTCTTTAGATCCCAAACCTGTGGCTGAAATCCATAATTTTCTTTCGAAATCCAGTTTCAAACTTACTTTCAAATTCAACAGATTCAACCATTGTTGAAATTGTTGAAATTTCTGCATCTTCCATAAATTTGAGTATAGAGTCATTCTCATTCAAAATAAACTCGTGACAATTGAATTCATCATTCAGAATTTTTCGATTTTTCTGAATAATTGTTTTTTTTCTAAATTTCAATTAATTTCTAACCATTTCTATCGCTTCTTTAGTATTATCAAATACTTCAACTTGTTTACAATTAGTTTTAGGTGCAACCAAAAATCTAATTCCATCCTGTCCCTCAACAAAATACAGCGATTTATTCTTCAAAAACCATTCTTCCATTATTTTATCATAGTGACTCATTCTTGTGCCTGAAAAAATGAAATCAGTTTCATTATTCAAAATTTTCATACCAAATACTTGAAAATTATTGTGCCCATCGTCACCACAAGAACATCGTTTGTTGTTTGCTAAAAAAAAATAAACTTATGAAAAAAAAACTGAATTTGTCTCACAAAATTTGATTTCATAATAATTTTTGACCCATTCCAGATGACTATCTTTGAGTTTCAAAAACCATTTCTTTCTTTGTGCGGAGTATGATGAAAGATTTTCTCCAGGTTCTGATCCTGAATAGAAGCAGTAGTATCTTGATAAAATCCACACTTGACGGAAATTTTCATATTTCAAGCATTTGATTGGTATAGGAACAAGTTCTGATATTAACTCCGAAGTGCTTGGAGTTATATCAAGTTGTGAATGATTAATTGTGACAGGATGTGTTTCGAAAATAGAGTGATCTAAAATATTCAGTGTGTTAACTTGATTGAAAGTTTCATTTGAATGAAATACCTATGTTATCAGTGACTCCAATAACATTTTCAAGACGTTTTCCTTTCATTTCGGTTAACTTCTCAACTGTCTTCGAAATTTTTCTGAAAAACAAATTTTGAATAAAATTTTCTGGAATTGAGTCTAACCTCGATATACGCATTTGATTGAGAGTGAATGTTGACTTGAAAGTCCGTAAGCGTAATTGGGTACCCGGAAATTTCATATAAGATCCTTTTGTTTTTATATTCCTCATAAATGTGTCTATAAATTTCAAACATTCGGCTGGACTATTTTTACTCAAATCAAATTCTCTATTGTACAGTAACACTTCACCCAGTTGAAAATACTTCTTTTTGTTCCGCACGCAAAAGTAAACAAGTTCAATATTCTGAAAAAAAAAACCAAATTAGCAAAATTATATATTTTGAATGCTAACCGATTGTTGAACTGAGGAGAAATATGCAAATACCGCTTGTAAACCTATGATCAATGATCTTTTGCTATCAATTTTCCCAAATCCAGTACCAAGTAGAGGAATGCTCTGTAAAAATGATTTTTTAATAGATACATATAATTGTTATTACCACAGATTTTATTTCATGTGAATCACATTGATGTAAAATTCGAAAATATGTTGCCTTTAATTCAGTTTCAGTTGAAATCGTAAATCCTTTTTTCTCACATGCGACAGGAGATCGAACCAACATAAAATCTGAATCACTCATGAATTGTTTCATTAGATATTCTAAAAACTTACTGTTATTCACACAAAATTCCATAGTTGACGATGACAAAACTTGAAACTCAAAATTATTAAAATTTGATGGTAAATTGATAGTTGGGAAATCTTCATCAGTCTCAATTAATTTTTTGAACTGTTGATGAATCGAACCTAAAATGTTATATCTCAAAAATGGAACTATTTTGAAAAAAAAAACCTTTTGGAATTTTAGAAACATCAGGATCTTGGAAATATGGAATAATAACAGTATCAACTTCCGTATCAAACAAATTAATCTGACTGAATCGAACCAAAACATTTTTGTCTAAAAAAGACATTGATTCAATATATTTTTTGAAGAACCTACTCTTTGAGCCAATAAAATCAGGTACAGTTCCGTTCTCACTTTCATTAAAATTTTGAACAATTTTCATTGATTGTTCCAAATGTTCATCTGAAGATTCTCGTGATTCAGGCTGTTTGTCTCGTTCTTCCTCCAGAATGTTTTCTTTTTCTCCAATTGTTGAAGTTTTTGGTTTTTTTGACAATTTTGGCTCTATAAAGTGAAAAAGCACATTTGACAATTATTTTTTCAGATTACCGTAATTTTCAGATTCCCTTTCCCGTTTCATTGTTTTCTTATAAAATGTTTTCTGACTTGGAGACAATTCATTAAATTTTGTATTTGCTCCAAACATTCGAGAAATTGCACTCTGTTGTTTTTCTAAAAATATTTGAATTGTGAAAAAGTTTGGATTGAAAGTATCTACCTGTTTTTCTTTCTTTTTGTTTTTTAATACGATTGTATTCTTTTTTCTCCTCAGAAGACATCAACTTGATTCTTTTTCGCACATTTTTTGTAGGATCATCATTTGATTGGTCATTTTTTGAGTTTTCAAACATTTTGAAAATTGAAATGAAAAAAGTGAAAAAAAAAATTAGTTTCCACGTAGAAAAACACGTGAAAATTCAAACATACTTATTTTTGGGAACTTTTTGTGATGTCTATTACTTTCTGAGATTGTTAGGATGGTTTCAAATCTTTCAGAATATTTTTGAAAGTGTTAATATTTGCTTTAAAAAATGAAACAATTAGGTGGTCTGATCTGATCTTTTTATGGTTAACAAAAAATAACAAAACAATATAATTTAGGCTAAAAACAACTTTTAAAAAATAAATCAAAGAAAATTTGAAAAAAAAATTCCAATCGTTCGTCGCCGCATTTCCAAATTTCTTAAATTTTCAATATTTTGATTCAATTATAAACCAAATTCTTAATTTTCTTTGGTTTTTGGATTTCAGCTGAACCACATCACTCAAACGTTATTATGTCATACCTGAAAAATAGAGAAATTACGGGATGAAGATAATTTGAAAAGCTGAAAAAGAAAAAATTTCTCACTCTGAAACTCAAATAAACCAGTATACTGTAGGTTTAAAAAACTCAAGAAATGGGGATTTTTTAGCAGTAATTTCATGGACAGCAACACAACATTTTTGTAAAAAAAATTAGGACATTGGAATCGTTTTTCAAAAAAATTTCAAAAAAAACTTGAATATTATTTTCGACCCAATGGTTCGATCCGTTATGATTTTGAAATTCTTGAACAATGCCAATAGCATGTGAAGAATCAGCCTTTTTCATTCATGGGTCACGCATGATATTCTCTCGATTTTCTCTTTATTTTTGAGCTCTTTTTATTCCATCTTCTTTTTTTCTTTTTTGCCGCGTTGGATTGTCAAATTTTCGCAATCTCGGGGAGAAAGGAACAAAATTTCCGAAAATCTGCATTACTCGATATAGGGAAAAATTTTTTCCGAGTGGGGCTCGAACCCACAAAAGAAGGAGGGTTGCCTGATTGGAAGGCATCGCTCTCCCCGCCTACACCACACGTGTAGGTAAGAAATGAAGCATTTTTGATAAATATATATTTATCAGAATTTCACGTGACCGGGAGAAATGAACATTTCTAAATAAATTTCACCTTACGGGACCTACCTAATCCCGATTGGGTGGTGTCTCGATGGAAGAAGGATTTTTCAATAGGGTCCCCCCTGTTCTCATTTTTGAAATGTCGCAATTGCGACATTTCCCATTTTTTCCGAAAATCATACCTTCGCGAACGTCCAAAAGGATCCGATCCTGGACCTTCTGAACAAAAAACACGTGATCTAACCACTTGACCATTTCTGACACAAGAAATGACCATCAATTTGCTTAGAAATGCTCGATGAAAAATTTTGACGTGAGAAAAAGAATCTACCTTTTTTCAGAAAAAAATTATTGTCAGAAAAAATTTTAGTGAGCATTTATTGAGTACATTCTATTTTTTGATCGAATATTGCCCCGCCTGGGGCTAACAGCCCCTATCGAGTACTTTTAATACAGAAAAATGATTTTCCATGGCAAAATTAGGAAGTCTTCCTAATTTTGCCACGAGTCATTTTTTTATCAAAAAAACTTGAAATTTTTGATGAAATCAATTGTAATTCATTTGTAAGATTTTTGAAAAAAACTCATCGACTTCATTTTTACATTTTTGGATTAATCCAAATCTGTAACTTCTTACTCAGGTCTCAAAAAAAATCGGCCCGAATTTTTGAAAAAAAAATCGGCCCGAATTTTTGAAAAAAAAATCGGCCTGAATTTTTGAAAAAAAATCGGCCTGAATTTTTGAAAAAAAAATCGGCCCGAGATTTTTTCAAAAAAAAATCGGCCCGAGATTTTTGAAAAAAAAAATCGGCCCGAGATTTTTTCAAAAAAAAATCGGCCCGAATTTTTGAAAAAAAAATCGGCCCGAATTTTTGAAAAAAAAATCGGCCTGAATTTTTGAAAAAAAATCGGCCCGAATTTTTGAAAAAAAAATCGGCCCGAGATTTTTTCAAAAAAAAAATCGGCCCGAGATTTTTGAAAAAAAAATCGGCCCGAGATTTTTTCAAAAAAAAATCGGCCCGAATTTTTGAAAAAAATCGGCCCGAATTTTTGAAAAAAAAATCGGCCTGAATTTTTGAAAAAAATCGGCCCGAATTTTTGAAAAAAAAATCGGCCCGAGATTTTTCAAAAAAAAATCGGCCCGAGATTTTTTTCAAAAAAAAATCGGCCCGAGATTTTTGAAAAAAAACTCATCGACTTCATTTTTACATTTTTGGATTAATCCAAATCTGTAACTTCTTACTCAGGTCTCAAAAAAAATCGGCCCGAATTTTTGAAAAAAAAATCGGCCCGAGATTTTTCAAAAAAAATCGGCCCGAGTTTTTTCAAAAAAAATCAACCCGAAATTTTTCAAAAAAAATCGGCCCAAGTCATTTTTTGATCAAAAAACTTGAAATTTTGAATGAATTCAATTTATTACGAGTACATTTAATTCAAAAAATAATTGAATAGGTTTTTTTTCGAAAATTGATCGATGACTTCATCCATGGCAAAATTAGAAAGCCTTTCTAATTTTGCCACGAATCATTTTTTGATCAAAAAACTTGTAATTTTCTAAAAATTTGATTGAAATTTTCAATGAATTTGATTGTAAGCCAATTAGCCACAGAAATTTGACAATAATCACAGAAAAAAGTGAAACGGAAATAAATGAGAAGACTGTTACGCCTGGGGGCTAATAGCCCCTAGTTTGAATAGAAAATTCAGAATTTCGGAAGAAAGTCATTTTTTCTCTAATTTTCAGGTATTTGGGGTCCAAAATGACAGATTTCTGTGCAAAATTTTAGATTTTCAGTCAGAAGTTCATATCAGATAAAGATCAAATGTCAAAAATAGGTCAATGTCACTTAGATATTCAAATATTTGTTATTATATTATTCTTGTGACTATGATAACACAACTAATATTTTGTCTATTTTTCGCACTTCAAATAAATGCAGGTAAAATAAATTAGAATTTGTTTTCTATGAAAATATGTATTTTGCAGGAGTTATCCCAACTTTCTCATCATTTAACATGTCCCAAGAGTTATCAAAAATCGAAAAATCCTGTCTATCACAAGAAGATCATGACGAAATATCAGGAAACAAATACAAAACAGGATGGGCTCAAGTATTCAATTTACGCACAATTTATCTATCTCTGGAAGTTATTGTAAATTCAGAAATGCGAAAAGTTTTGGGATTATCACAGTATTCTGGAACATATCAAAATCATAAATTTGCATCAGATAAACAATTAAAAGATGCTTCAAATTTTGAAGAATATTTTGATTTGCAAACATTAGGCGGAATAGGTTATGTTGCTAAAAATGAAGCGATTACTGACGAGGATTTGATCACAGCAATTCAGTTTTTGGACAAAAAATGGCCAGCAATTCGTATTATTCTAAGAAATAAATTTGAAAAATATATCGAGACCGCTAAAAATCATAAAGGATTTCAAACCGGGAAAAACTATGAATGGAAACAGGATCGAAAAATTGTCAATGGTTTGATTATTGCACATTATGAAATGCAAAATGGAGTATGGGATGCGATTAGCGAAATGTATTATAACAAAAAATGCCAACAATTCCCTCGTCCAGATTCTTCTCATTCATTTTTCAAAACACTCAAGAAAAGTGTGATGAAAGACTAATTGAACATGATTTTGAATTGAAATTTAAAAAGGTTCGGAATTTGAATGAAATTTGACACATTTTATCTTTTCGGACCATCAAAACTACCTGGGTTACTGTAGATTTTGGCGCAAAAAATCATTTTGGATTTTCTAGTTTTTTTTTCAAAGTATGTGGATACTCAGTACTGAAACCACCGAAAAACCCATTTGCTTCATAAAAAATTTGAAACGTATTATTTTCAGGGATAAAAATTGGACAGATTTTTGAGAAAAGCATGAATTTTGACAAATTTCTCTGAACTTGAAAAGAACAATTTGGTTTCAACAAAATTTCAAATTTTTTTTTCAAGAAATTAGTGAAATTTCTAAATTTTCTTGAGAGAAGGCTGAATTTTTGAGCTAAAAATGAAAAATCCAGAATCTCGTGGAAAAATCACTGTTTTCTTCAAATTTTCTAGTTTTTTGGGTGAAAATTCAACTTTTCATTTTAAATTTGATAAAAATTGAAATATATGAATTTCAGTGAATGAAAAATCATAGGATTTTTTTAAAATTAGAAATTTTCAATAGAATTTGATAAAATTTTGAATTTTTGAGCTAAAAATCCAGAATTTCGTGGGAAAATCACTGTTTTCTTCAAATTTTCAGGTTTTTTATATAAAAATGAAAAATCTTTAGATTTTGATCAAATTTGCCCATTTTCCCAAATTTTCACTCACGAATCGGATTTTCAGGCACAGCAACTGTAATTTGTGTTGTTTCCTGCTCATTTTGCTGCTCTTTTCCACCCGTTTTTCTCTGTTCCTCTTGTTTTTCCTTCTCTTTTTCCTGTCCTCCATCATAACTCGGACTTCTTCTCAAATCTCTCGATCTTCTTTCCGGTGATCTTCTTCTATCTCTGTCTCTTTCTCTATCGTCTCTTCTATCATCATCATCTCTCGCCCAACGAGATCTGCGACGCGTTGAATCGCGATCGCGATCTCTTTCTCGATCTCGATCATCGTAGCGTCGACGATCCGATTCGCGATCTCTGCTGAAAATAAGAGATTTTGTGCTGAAAATGGTGAAAATACTGAAAATCATCGGAAATCATAAATTCCAGCATTTTCAGCGCAAAATTTTGATCTAGAAGCTTATTTTTACAAAGAAAAAGAGTAGTTCTAATGGGGACTCGATCCCCTGACCTCTCAATTCGAAAATCCTCACTTCTAGATCAAAATTTTGTGCTGAAAATGCTGAAAATGCTGAAAACCATCGAAAAACGTGATTTTTAGCATTTTCAGCGCAAAATTTAGACCTAGAAGCTTTTTTTTTACAAAGAAAAGACTAGTTCTGATGGGGACTCGATCCCCTGACCTCTCAACCTTAAAAAATCGATATTTCTAGATTAAAATGTTGTGCTGAAAACGATGAAAATGCTGAAAATCATCGAAAATCACAAATTCCAGCATTTTCAGCGCAAAACTTTTGAAAAATTACCAAAAATAGACTTCTCGGGTAAAAAAATCACCAAATTTAACCTACTTTACGTAAAAATCACCGGAAAACTCCTACTTGACCAAAAAATCAGCGGATTTCACCTACTTTACGTAAAAATTAGCGGAAAACTCCTACTTAAGGTAAAATGCACAAAATTTCACCTACTTGACATGAAAATCACAATTTTTCAACTGGTAAGTTCAAAAATCACGGATTTTTCTCAAATTTCAAGCCCAAAATCACAAATTTGTGAAAATTTCTCACCTAAACCGTTCATTATTCTCTGTTCCTCCTCCCCCTCGATGATAATTATTATCCACATTCCTTCGCATTTCTCCAATTCTTGGCGGCGGTCCACGTTGATACATATTTGAGTGTGGATGTTGAGGCGGCAATCCGCCGCCGGCGGCAAAACCATTCGCAGGCGGCGGCGGAGCACGATAAGGAGTCACCGGAGCTGTATTTGCAGGTGGGAGATGGGGAATTTGGGCAGCGGGAAGTGGTGGATACATTGGAGGGTGCACCATATGGACGAGGAGCTGGCGGGAATGATTGAGGCTGTTGTTGTTGTGGAGGTGGAGGAAGACCGAATGGTCGACCAGTTTGTAACATTGGTGGATAACCAGATGGGAGACCGGGTGGAGGAACTGCAAAAACAATGCGATTTCATATTTTTCACTGAGAATGTACCCTTTCTCAACCAAAAATCTCATTTTGAACAAGAATTGGTCAAATTTTGAATAAAAATGTGATTTTACTGCTGAATTCTTGAAAATCTTTCAAAACGAAACTTTTTGACTGAAATTCTTAAATTTTTGCAAAAAAAAATCTGAAATTTTGTTGGAACTGGTTTTTTCATCTGAAATTCAGTGAATTTTGTCAAATTTCATCCTTTCCTCAAAAATCTGTCCAATTTTTATCCCAGAAAAAAATACGTTTCAAATTTTTTTATGAAGCAAATGGGTTTTTAGGTGGTTTTAGTGATATGTTTCATGGACAAACAAAGAGAACATCCAAAATCTACAGTAACCCAAGCAGTTTTGATGGTCCGAAAGGATAATTTTTAGAAAATTTCGAATTTCAGTAAAAATGTGTCAAATTTCATTCAAATTCATGTGATTTTTCTGTTGAATGCTTGAAAGTCTTTCAAATCAAAACTAGTTTCGTATAATGAGAGAAATCTCGAAACTCTAGGCGCGCCTGCTTGAGAACTAGACTTTCAAGGCGCCACTCCTTGCCATAGAAATTCTCAAGGCGCGGCTCCTTGCCATAGAAATTCTCAAGGCGTGGCTCCTAGACAAATAGGTTCTCTAGGCTCAGCTACTTGACAACTGGGCTTTCTAGGCTCGGCTCCTTGTCATATCGGTTCTCTAGGAGCGGTTACTTGTCACACGGGGCTTAAGGCGCGGCTCCTTGAGAAATAGGGTTTCTAGGCGCGGGTCCTAGACAAATGGGTTCTCTAGGCTCAGCCACTAGACAAATAGGCTTTCTAGATTCGGCTGTTTCAAAACTTTTAGGAAAAATTTCAAAAATTCAGATTTTCCAGTTTTTCAGATAAAATTACTCCAGATTTGTTGAATTTTTCGAAAAAAATCAATTATTTTTCATAAAAAATATTAGATTTTCAAAAAATTTCATGTAAACTTTCAAATTTTCTCCAAAAATGCTCACCTCCCGAATAAAATTGTGGTGGAAGTCCAGCAGATGTCTGAATTGGCTGCGGTGGTGGCAATTGAATATTATTATGATGAGCAATGGCCGAATTCTGACTAGTTTGTGGTTGAATTTGTGCATTCAATTGAATCTCGCCATTTTCCTTATACATTTGTCGTTTTTTTTCGGGCAAACTTTCCAAATCCAATATCGCTCCTTCGCACAATTTCTCGAGTTGTGGTGGTAATTTGTCATACGGTACACTGATAACACCTTTATCTATATCCCACATATTGAAAAATGGCTCTTCGTTCATTCCGGGGCTTCGAGCCCAATAAACCTGAAAGAAAATTGGGGTTTTTGGGGGGAAAATGAGATTTTGAACGAATTTTTCTACTGAAATTCAAAATTTTCATTTAAAAATTTTTGGGAAACAATTGTTTGAATTTTTTTGATCCAAAAATTGAAAAAAAAATCTCTGAAATTTCCCACGTACTGTATTTTTTGTTGAAAATTTTGCCACGTGGATTTTGAGCCTAAAATTTATATTCCAATAAATGTTCAGCGGTGAATTAGTACCTTTTTAAGTTAAAATTTCAAGTTTCATAAAAATTTTCTGAATCTGCCACGTGGCAATTTCTATTGTATTTTTTGAAGAAAAAATAAATTTTGGGGCAAAAAATTCAGTTTTCAAAAAAATTTATATCAATTTATTGAAAATTTCATGATAAATTTAAATTTTTCAATTTTTTGAAACCTACTAATTCAAAAATCGGTCAATTTTTAATAAAAACTCATTCCTCAGGGCCACAAAAATTCAGTTTTTCAAAAATTTATATGATAAATTCTATTCAAAACTTCAATTTGAACAATTTTTCAACTTTTTGAATATTTTTACGTGTAAATGACTATTTTTAATGGGGTGATTCAGGTCGAAAAAAAACATTTTTGTGTGGAAAAAAAAGTTTTTTTGACATTTGCTGAATCGAATTTTTTTGTAAAAAAACGTTTTTTTTTGGGCCTATGCAGAATAATATTTTGTAATAAAAAAACATATTTTTCCTATGCAGAAAAACGTCAAAAAAACAGAATATACAGTTTACTATTTTGAGTAGAGACAATGTGAAATTGAGAGAGTGCAGACAGACAAATTGATTTTTCGCACAAAAAATACAAAAAACTGTCTGCACTCTCTCAATTTCACATTGTCTCTACTCAAAAATAGTAAACTGTATATTCTGTTTTTTTGACGTTTTTCTGCATAGGAAAAATATGTTTTTAAATGTTTTTTTTATTACAAAATATTATTCTGCATAGGCCCATTAGTTTTTTTTCGACCTGAATCACCCCATAACCTAAAAACCCTCCCAAAACCCCGCTCACCTTCACCATTTTCTTCGCCACTTCAACTTCTTTCAATCGATTGATGACGTCATTCGCCGATTTTCGATTTTCCATTGTTACATAAGCACAAGCTCGATTTGAGATGATTTTGACGCGATTTGCTTCGCCACAAGATTCGACAGCTTTTTCAAATCCAGTTCACTGCAGTTTGGCGGCACTTTTTTGAACCAAAGAGTTCGAGAAGCAACTGCAAAAAATTGGCGATTTCCTTTTGAAAATTCATTTTTCATGTTCAAAAATTCAAAAAAACCCAAAAATTTTCTTCATTTTTGCAACTAACTATATGTGATTCCTTCTTTGATTTGTGGCAATCCAAATTTTCTTCGTTCTCTTTCTTTACTTCTTTCTCTTTCACGTGATCGACCAGATGATCTGCTATCATGACGACTTCTTTCGTGCTGTAAATATGGAGGGATTGGGGGATTTTCAGACAAAAAATTTGGGATTTCAGAGCATTTCCCACACATTTTTAGGTAGGAAAATCGTAGGTTTTCAACAAAAAAACCTGAATTTTTCACAAATAATTTGCTCATTATTTAAAAAATGATTGATCATGTTAGAAAAATGAGCAAAAGAATCTGATTTTGGAATTTTCATCTGAAAAACTTGTTTTGATCTGTTTCAAGATAAATTTCAGCAATTCTCCACGTCATAGCTCGAAATCTATGATTGCTCATGTTAGTTTTCTCCTCAAATTTTAAAAATTAACCATTTTTTCGTCGAAAATCGGATTTTCTTGAGAAATTTCGAGCTCATACTCTTCTTTTTTCAATTTTTCAGAAACTCGCCACGTCATAGCTCAAAATCTTGAAAATCTACGATTGCTCATGTTAGTTTTTTCTCAATTTCTTAAAAATTCAAACTTTTGAAAATTTTTCTGAAAAAAAGATTTTTCTAGAAATTTTGAGCATAATTGGAATTTTTATCTGAAAAACTTGTTTCAAGATAAATTTCAGAAATTCGCCACGTCATAGCTGAAAAACTATGATTGCTCATGTTAGTTTTCTCCTCAAATTTTTTGAATTAATCATTTTTTCGGATTTTCACATATTTTTTATAGGAAAAAATTGCCACGTCATAGCCAAATTTTCCCATTAAAAATGCCTCACCTCATTCTCAACTCCAGCCACAAATTCCATTTCATTTTCCAACATTTTCATCTGTTGTTGAGCCGCCAATTGTTGTGCCATAATTCCATTTGGATCATGATGTTGAAATTGTGGAGGAACACCTAAAGGAGGAGGTGGTCCCTGTGGAGGAGCTAATTGTTGTTGTTGAGAAGCAGAAGAAGAAGGTGGTGGAACACCGGGTGGAGGTAAACCAAGTGGTAAAAGTGTGGATTGATTTTGAGATATTAATTGATTGAGAAGAGCACGTTGAGCTTGTTGAGCAGCCTGAAAACAACAAAATATTGTGGGATTTTTTTTTAGAATTTTAGGATAGAGCTCTAGACTTTCATTTTCAGCATCTTAATTTCAGGTTAAACTTTAAAAAAATATCACATTTCAAATTTCCCGAATTTCCAACTCATTTTTTGACCTCATGGCCTAGAAATCTAAAACTTGGTGTTCTAGGTCACGGGCTCTAAAATTCGGCCAAAAGCAGAGCTTTGAACTGGCGGACTAGAAAATCCATTTTAGGATTTCTAGGCCATCTGGTATCCGAGTTTTGTAGCATTTTAGTAACCTAGAAATCCAAAAATGAGATTTCTAGGCCAGAAATTCAGAAAATTGGGTTTTCTAGGCCAACTTGACCCGAATTCAATGAAAATCTAGATATGTTAGTTTCAGATGGCCTAGAAATCCAAAATTATAATTTCCTAGGCCAACCTGATCTTAATTTAATGAAAATCTATATTTTGAAGTTTCATATGGCCCAAAAATCCAAAAAAAACTTGGTTTTCTAGGCCACCTTGACAAGAATTTAGCGAAAAATCAAGATTTTGAATTTTCAGAAGGCCTAGAAATCCAAAAATAGATTTCTAGGTCACTTGAAGCCTCTTTTCTCAAATTCCATGAGGAAAAATGGATTTTTGAGCCTTTTTTCCATAAATTTCAGATTTTTTCCCCAAAACCCCCAAGCTCACCTGAAAATTAACCTGTTGCTGATTTGGAACTTGTCCAACTTGTCCTTGCGCAGCTCCAGCGAATGCCTGCAATGCTTGCAATTGTTGCTGTAATTGTTGTCCACCAACTAATCCGGCAATATTTGGTGGAAGTCCGGGTGGCGGCACATTTTGAACTCCTGCTCCTGGTGGAGCAACTGGGGGAGGTTGTTGAGCAGCAAAACGAGCAGCTAATTGTTGATTTTGAGCTTGAATTGCTTGAAGAAGTTGGGGATTGAGTTGAGGTGGAAATGCGGCTGCGAGATTGGCGATTTGTGGAGGGATTTCGGGTTGAGCTGGAGGTTTCTGGAATGGAAATTGGGATTTTTGAAGGAAAAATTGACCTGAAATTGAATTTTCATTGAAATTAAATATTTTTTGAGCCAAAAACAATTATGAAAGAGGGATTTTCATTTTAAAAATCGATCACTTAAAGCTTTTCCCCTTAAAAAAGGCTTTTCCCCAAAAAAACTCACATTAGCTTCAGACAATAATAATTTCAGCCCTTCTTTGACAGTTTCATTGTTGATCAATTCTCGAGCCATGCTGCAAAAAATTGATTTTTTTTAATAGGGAATTTCAGGTCCGGAATTCAAAATTCTTCAGTTTTTCTGTAATTTTGGTGGCAAAAATTGAGAATTTGAATTTTTCAAAAATTTATATGCGTATTTTTGAAGCCAAAATTCAATTTTCTATTGCCACGTCATCATAATTTTGGCTCCGAAATTCGAAATTTTCAAATTTTTAATGTGACATTAATTATCCAATCGGATTTTTGACTCAATTTTTTGCCACGTCATCAAAAATTGGGAAAAATTCAAAATTCAAATTTTTCGCGGCTTAATTTAGATTGCCACGTGGATTTTAAGCTTTTCCATGTGAAAATTGAAGAAAATTTCGAAATGTTCACATTTTTCGCGCCAAAAATCAACGTGGCAATGAGTAAATTTAGAATTCAAATTTTTCGCGGCTTAATTTTCATTGCCACGTGGATTTTAAGCTTTTTCATGTGAAAAAAATTGAAATTTTCAAATTTTGGCACCAAAAAGCCCCCCCCCTCTCCCAAAAATGCTTACTCAAAAATCATTTCCCTCGTCAATGGCGGCGGATCTTTGTTCTCCTGATTCTCCTCTCCATTTTCATCTTCATCATCCGAATAATTGAAACCCTGCGACAGCACATTCGCCAAACTTTTCGCGCGAATCGCCGCCGCCGCCGCTTGTTCCGCCTTCAACCGTTGAATTCGTGCCAACAAATTGTTGACAAAAATGACGTGGGCGCGAATCAGAAGACTGTGATCTTTTTGAAATCGGCCGAATTGATCGAAACCTGTTTGTCTGATCAAATCAAGCATTTCTCTTTGCGATATTGTTCCCTCTAAATATTCTTCACTTGGAACAAAATGCGATGGATTTGCACCCAATAATCCATCTCCTCCTCCATTAGGAGGTGGAATTGTTGGAGTTGTAGATCTCGCTGAAGTTGTCTTCACCTTCTTAATATAACTTCCACCATATATCCTCATATCTGCTGATCCTCCTTTCACAGCTCTTTCCACCGCCTCAAAATCCGTATCCAACCCATTTTTCTCGCAAATCTCTCGAAATGGCGCAATCTCTTCCTTTGTGTACACACCATTTGCCTGCCATAAATTCAGAGTTCGAATAACTTTCATTTGTTCCGGATGTTTCAAAGCAAGAAGTGGTTTCAATATTTTATCGAAAGATTTGATGAATCTTGCAGCAAACACATCTTTTTCTTTGAATTGATGTTTTGATGCTCGAATAATGCTATCAATTATATAAAGAACGTGCAAACGATGCTCCGGTTTACATTTGATCAAGAACTTTTCCACAGAGAATACGACGTGTTTGTAGAGCGATTTGGCTTTTAAAGCGGCACGTGTTATTTCCTGGATTTTGGCTTTTGATGGCGCTTTTGATTCGTGGATTGAGGAGAGTTCGTTGTTGAATTTCTTGATTACTTCCGATTCCATGGTTTTCGTCACCTAGAAATGATGCGATTTTATTTTTTAAAACATGGAAAGAAAAGAGTTCACGTTAAAAATACAATTCATTTCTAAAAAAAAACGGATATTTCTTTAAAACGAGGTAAATTTTCCTATTTCTTGTAAATTTTTCACTCAAAAAATCCTCAAAAAGGTTCTAAACCTCCCGATTCCCTCAATTTTCCCCCAAAACCCCGTCAAAACCTCAAAAAATGAGTTAAAAGCCGTCGAAAAACCAAAAAAGAAGAAAAGAAAAAGCCAATGTCCGCAAACACAAGGCCCTATCGATTGCACACCGTAGTCGGCCAAGTGCAAACACGGCGACGCACAATTGCACAATTTATCCAGCTCGGTTTTTCTTTTTTCTTTTCTTTTGCCTTTAAGCTGCGAAAATGGGGGATATCCCATGTGGAACATATACAGTAGAATTGGGCAAATCGTTTCAAGACCCTAAAAAGAAGCCATCATCCTCGCAGGAATTGTATACATCGATTAAATGTGAGTTGAATTTTAAAAAATTCGAAAATTATGGAAAATCTTTGCTTTTGCAGATGATTTCAAGCCAAGTTCTGTATCAGATCAACCTGAAACTTATATCGCAGTTGGAAACAATGGAGATGTTCATGTTGCATTAGATCCAGAAAATTTAACAGTCTTCAAAGGCGCGAAAAAAGAGGCGAAAAAGGAATGTTACTTGTTTTTTGATTCGCGGACTAATACAGTTCGACTAGAGCAAATCAGCTCAAATATTCAAGTGAAAAAGACAAGAGATTTGGATCCAGCGACAGAACAAGCACTTCGAACTGGAATTGAGAGATTGAGAACATCTGAAAATGCTGCAGCCTCTGCTCCTATGGAAAATAATCATCTTCCAACAATTTCACCACCGAAAAAAGAGCGAAAAGAAAGTAGCAGTTCATCGAGTAGTGCGAGTAGTGGAAGTGGATCGGATAGTAGTTCAGATGAATCAGATGATGATAAAAATAAAAATGATGATGATGGTTCTTCAGATGATGATAGTGAATTATTGGAAAAATTGGCGGCGAAACCTCAAACTTCAAGTATTCCTCCAAGAGATTATCATCCACCACATCATCACAATATTTCAATGCCTAATATTACTACAACTAGACATAATGCACCGTAAGTTCTTCGAACTTTGAATATTTATTTTTTAAACCCAAAATCTTCCAGAGATTGTCAACAACTTGGCCTAAATCTCAGCGAATCATCCGACGAAGATTGAAAATTACCTATAATTGGAAATGTATGGGAAAATATTATTAATATTAATATTATATTATGTGCCTTTAATAACTGCTAATTGTGATAAATTAATTTATTAATAATAATTGGAGGAAACTAGAGAGAGAGAGAGTCTAGCGGGTTTTTCCCTGAAAATCTTAATTAAATTGAGTTTCAGGTGATTTATTATTGGATACAGAAGATTTTCAGATGTATTCCAAGAAATTTGTGAAGAAGGATGTGGAATTTATTCGATCTGATCATATTGTTCCAATTGGGATAAGTACGATGGTAATTTTTCAGTTCAAAATGGAAATTTTCAGTTATGACGTGGCAAAATTTGAAACATTTTGCTTCAAAATCGTGTTGAGAATGATCTAGAAAATTTATTGAAATATGAAGAATTTAGTATTTAAAAATTTGCTCATTTTTCTAATTCAGCTCTCAATTTCAATTAACTTCTTATAACTTATTTGAAAATTTAAATACTTATACTTATTGATTTCAAAATTGAAGTTTCAGCTTTAAAATCAATAAGTAGAAGTATTAATCCAATTTTCAAATAAGTTATAAGAAATTAATTAAAATTGAAAACTGAATTTGAAAAATTAGCTAATTTTTGAATAGTAAATTCTTCATATTTCAATAAATATTCTAGATCATTCTCAACACAATTTTGAAGCGAAATTTTTCAAATTTTGCCACGTCATAACTCAAAGTTGAACGAAGTATCTATGTATTTTTCAATTCCAGAAACGTCTCCGAGAAGATTCAGTTCAAATCGGAAGATCGAAATTCGTCCGCCTCCAAATTTGCTCAAAAATCCATGAAAAATCTCTCGATCTTCTGAAAAACAGATTGCGACTAAAATTAGATGATGATTTCTGGATCGATAAAGCAATCACAACAACATTTCCACGAGAATTTGCGAATTCTTTCAAAATCAATGATTTTGTGATGGTTTGTGGAAAAGCGAGATTAGAAGAAGATGGAACACCGTATTTGAATGCGTTTTCAGTGAGAAAAGTGAGCATTTTTTGAAAGTTTCGAGAAATTTGGGATTTTTCGAGACCGAATATGACAGGTTTCTGGGCTCTGAGAGCTCTAAGAGCATGTTTGGTCTCAAAAAATCCCAAATTCCTAGCTCCCGGAGCTCCTGAATCCTCCCATTTTCAGGTCTCACAAATCGAGCAAAAATGTTTCGAACAAGAAACCAAACTTTGCTCAGAATATTATTCGGATTGTGCCGGAACATCTTATATGCCAAAAGTCGCCACCCCGCCGCTTTCTACTGAATTAAATCTGGGAGTTTTGGGACTTTCGAGATTTCCGATTGGAATGCTGGAAAATTGTACTGTGAAGAAGGAGGTAAGGGACATTTGGGAGGGGAAAATTGGGCTGAAATCTCGTGAAAAACATCAAAATTTAATTTCAGGACACCCAAAAATCATCGGAAGATTCATTCGAAAAATTTGGTCGAGAACTTGCTGCAACTTCCTCAAAAACCGCTGAAAAATTGGATGAAAATAATCAAGACGCAGATGATAGTTTTGAGAATTTTGCTAAAAATATTAAATAAAGTTTTATCTGTTTTGAAATATTTTTGAAAATTGCGAAAAAATGGTTGAAAAGCCAGGATTTATCTGTTTAAAAAATTGAACTGAAATCAAATTTTTAAATTGGAACTTTAAGGTTAGAACCCAAGCTACCTTATTTATTTTTACTATGGAAAGTTCCACCTGAAATTAAATTTTGCAGATGCTAAAACTCAATCACTCTCTATTGGATCCAAATTTCGAGGGATACAAAGTATCCATGGAAAATTTTCCCATCTTCAAGAAAAATCTCGAAGAAAAATGTGAGTTTTCCATTTTTCTCTAACCTGACCTGACCTAAATTTAATTTCACAATCAGGTTTCTCTCGAAATCGTCCAAATTCAATGGTAACTTTACAACACATGAAAATATTCGGAGAAGAAAATCCGATTTTTTCGAATTTTGAGGCGAAAAAATTGTATCGATTTTTGGAAAATGGAGATGTTCAGATGATTTTGTTTGATCGAATTGTGGGTTTTTTCGGGGAATTTGAGAAATATTCATTAAATAATTAATTACATAGTTAATTACTCATTTTCAGTCCTCAATTTGGCTGAAAATTTCGGAGTTTCAGATGAGAAAATCAATAGATTTTTCGAATTTTCATTAATTTTTGCAAGTCTCAAAATTTCAGCCAAATTGAGGTCTGAAAATTTGGGGAAAATATGTTTGATGTGCAGGTCCCTGAAAATCTAGCAAACAAAAAAAATTAATTTTTTACGAGAAAACATTGTGACGTCATCAAAAATTTTTTTCTCATAAAAAATTCCCTATTGCTCATATTAATATCATATTTTGTTTCAGCTCAAAACCTTCCAAACTTCCATCATTGCTCATATTAACCTCGGATCTCCCGATTCTCTTGGATATCCTCCAAATCTCCAATTCACTTCGCATAACTTGATTGTTGCCTCAAATGGAATTTCAGACATTTTCGTATTTTTGGAATTGGATGGGAAAGAATGGCTTGAAATGCTGAAAATCGAGATTTTGGCTGAAAATTCTGAAAATCCAGGAATCTCTTTAATTGAAGTGAGAACTGATGAAAAACGAGAAAATTTGCATATTTTGGCGGGAAAATTGGAAAATTGTGAGAAAACTGGAAAATGGAGAACTAGAATTTATTGGATTACTGTAGGATTGGAAGGTTTGGTTAATTATTCTTAATTAATTACCCTAATTAATCACCTAATTATATTTTCAGACCTCGATTTGGCTGAAAATTTGACTATAAAATCTCGCCGAGAAATCCTTCAATATGGAAATTTTGAGACGTGCACAATTGATGAAAATTTGAAGAATCTATTGATTTTCTCATCTGAAACTCCCAAATTTTCTGGAAATTTGGATGCTGAAATTGAGAGTGAAAAGTCTATGGATTTTCAGCAAAATGGAAGGAAAATTGAAGTGAATTTTGAGGTTTTGGACGAGATTTTGGAGGAGAATGTGAAGTTTAATGTGAGTTTTTTTCTGAAATTTCTGGAAAATCTGAAAATTCTAGTTTTCGAGCGGAATTTCTCATCAAAAATGATCCAAATTCAAATATTTAAAAAATTTATTTTTCAAAAATTCATCATAAAATTTCCTCAAAAATAGATTACTGTAGATTTTTGGCTCCAAAACTACGGTAAATTGAAAATCTCATTTTTCGCGCTAAAAATTGTACAGTACACCCGGAAAATCCACGTGGTAGATCAAATTTTGGCGTCAACAATACTCTACAGTAACCCATGACTTATTTTAACTTAAAAAAACGTGAAGTTTTGGCGCCAAAAACCTACAGTAACCCTAAGTAGATCAACAATTTCGCGCGTTTTTCCTTCAGATCTCGAAAAAATCGATATTCTTGGCTGTCAACAATTCAATTCTACTCGAAGGCACACTTTTTGGAGAAATTGACGAAAATTCGGTGGAAATTTGTGCGGACCCAAAAAATCACAAAATTTCGCTGAAAATTGAGAAAATCGAGGATTTGAAATGGGATGAATTGCTGGAAAAATCTGGAAATTCCGAGAAGAAAATTGAGAAAAAAGTGGGATTTTCCTCAATGAAAACTAATTTTGGCTTGAAAATTATGGATTTTTGCAGGGATTTGGTCAGAAAATCGATAAATCTGAAGATGAAGAGAAAATATGCGGAGGAATTGATGAATATTCAGAAGAATGTGATGAATCTGAAAATGCGCAATTTTTGTGGATTTTAGATGTGGAAAAGCTGAAAATTCTGAAAAATGTGAGCAAAAATTGAAATTTCAGCCAAAATTCTGCTTATTTTTAGCCAGACTTAGATTAAACAGGATTCTGGAATTTCTGATTTTCTGGATAATAAAAAAATCTAATTCACATTCTGAAATACCTGTCTGAAACTAGAAATCTCAAAATTTCAGCCAAAATCTTGTTTTGACTGAAATTTTGAGATTTCTAATTTTTGGCAGGATTTCAGCGGAGATGCGGAAGCTATGCTCAAATTTTGCTTGAAAAGGGGCGTGGCCTAATTTGAAAATATTTGCAGTTTGATCTCACTGGCCATCAAATCCTTTTCATCCGCCGCGACAATCTGAAACCCGCCGAAATTTGTTTGCGATTTGATGTCGATGGAATAATCTGGAAATTTTCTGCCCAAAATCCCGAACATCTCGCAACTCTTCAAGCTTTCGGATATGTTCAAGCTTCAAAAATTCAACGAATTTGGTCGGGATGTTCGGATGATTTTAAATTTGGAGCAATTGTTGAAGCAAATCGCATTTTGGTTTATTCGCAAAATGTGGCTGTTGATGGAAGTAAGTTAGCCTAATTTAAGTTAAAGTTAGCCTAAGTTCCCCCAATTTTTCTTGCAGATTTGGTAAATCGGAAAACGAGCTCAAAAAATCACACATATCTCCAAACAACATCTGATTCGACTTGAAACATCGGACAAAATTTGTGGAGTTCAAATTTTTGATAATCTTATTTTTGCGGCTACAAAATCTGAAATTCATGTCGCGATTTTGAGCGAATGAAAAATTTTGGAATTTTTGTGATGTTCGATAAGTTTTTTATTTTTTGTTAGATATTTAATTTGCTATAAGCTGCAAAAACTAATTGTAAATCTGAAGTTCATATCTCAATTCTTCCTGATTATTCTCTCTTGATCTTCGCACTGAATTTTCCATAGAACACATAAAATTCCTGAAGAGTTTCAAAATGTTTATCTGTCTGCAGATCATCAAATTATTCGCCAACGCATTTTTTTTTTGGAATTTGGAAATAATTGTGAGTAAAATTCAATTTTCCTGACTTACGAGAAGTCATGATAAATTTCAAAAAATCAATTGATTATCTGGCTAATTAGAAGAGATAAGAAAAGTATACAGATAAATAGTTTCATTTGAAAACAAACATTTAGCGTGAGAAAATATTGCTAATTCTGACATGGCTTTTTCAAAGTTTTAATGATGGCATGCGAAAATTAAGTAATATAAAAGAATAGAGCAACGAACCGTTCTTCATCATTCGAAAAAATGTTGAAAAACATGATTTCCAAAACTATTCTCCTTTTTCTCATCCCAATTACCTCTTTTGCGATGTCACCGGAAGATTGCAAAGAATTATTCAGAAATGAAATGTTGTCTCCGCATTGGAGAATGAAACCAGAAATGAATTTCGAATTACCGGAAGATCATCCATGTAATTTTGAATCGATTAATAGTAGCAGACGGAAAGAACAAATAAAGCAAGAAGAGAAAGAAGAAAAAGACGATGAATTGAATGAAACTGGAGATATCGAACCAGTTCAAGTTGATATTCGTGAAGGATTTGTGACTAATGCATTTGCAATCAAGATCGCAAAATTGTAAGTTTTAAAGGGAAGCGGTCAGAGTTTTTGTCAAGCTAATTGTCAAGCTTGTCTTAGAATATGAGAAAAAACTTGGGGCCCGTTTTTTCTACCCTAATTTTCTAAAGGTGGCGTTTCAATTCAAAAGTTCATCTCCGGGTTAAAAAAAGCCATTGACAAATTTTGAAAATTGGAATTTGGAAATAATTGTGAGTAAAATTCAATTTTCCCGACTTCCGGGAAGTCATGATAAATTTTTAATTTTCATAAAAATCGGAATTGACAGAGAAACACAGCTCCAAATTACTGTACATATGGATTTTCAAGCCATTTTACACGGTGTTTCACTGTTTTTTTTTCGAATTTTGACAATTTTCAACCAATGTTTCGGAAGCTACAAAAAACCACAAAAATGGATAATTCAAAAAAGTTATTATGAATTTCTTGTTTTTTTTTCAGATTTTATGCACAATCAACTGACCAATATTCAAAATCTCAAAAAAGTATCGAAGAACTATCGCAATATTTCAATGAATCTGTCAGATTCGCTGCCAATCTTTGTCATGCAAATCGTGTCAATCTTAGTGGGTTTGAAAAAAAAACTGTGTTTAACAAAAAAAAAAAAAATACCGAAATTCGTATTTTCCAGCAACTTTCCTCTATTTCCTCAAATTACAACGACGAAGACATGAAAAGATGTTGAAAAAAGAAGAGGTAAGTTCCCCTACTGAATTGTTAGCCATTGTTTTTTTAAAATAGAACTTGGTCATCCAAAATTATGGTGAAAACTTTATCATTCAATTCTACTATCAAGTCAAAAGCAAAATGAATTTCTTGACCGAAGTTTTGTATAGAATTCATTTTATTCCAAATGGAAACTCATACTTGATCACTAAAATTATTTTGGACGGAGGATGCGAAGGATCAAAACTTCATGAAGAGTATGAGCAATCCGATTGGAAGTCAACCCGGAAGTTCGAGAAAGTTGAAAATCCAGAAATGTTTGCTTCTAATTTTAAATTCATGTGAGTTTTTTTCAACAAAAAATTCAAAAATTTCAGAAAAAGACGAATTTTTTATAGATTGCCATTCAATGAGTATACTCATATTAGATCAAGTCTTCAAGATGTATTCACAAAAGATTTTGAAGCAATTGTGGATACAAATTCAAACTTCACATATAATATGAGTAAGCTTGAATATATGTATTTCTCAACATTTTCAAATTCTTTACAGACGAATTTTTGGATTATATGACACGATTCAATCAAAGATATGCAATCTATCGCGATGTAAGTTCTCACAACTTGTTTTTTTAGTAGAATTGTATTTTCAGAAATCGAGAACCGTTGTTATGAACAAAATTGAAAACCATCTTGTTTTCCGCACTGATGCCGTTTTCCATCTCGACAAAACGAATAATGAAACTTGGCAATTCCAAGTTGAGGCTATTTATGTGAGTTTTGCATTCAAACTTGAAAATAGTAGCTTGTTGGGAACTTGCATTTTAGAAAAGAAGGAAATTTGAAACAAAATAATTTAATATCTTAATATTCTAACCCCAGTAATGGGACCTGGAGCCGAATTCATTAAATTGGTATACCAAGAATTAGACAAATTTGTGCGTACCAAAACAAAATTCGAAGGACCCCCTTCCTATTTTTTTAAAACATAAACGGAATTATTGAACAGAACATCGACGGAAAGAAAGGCTGGAAATTGAACAAACTGTTCATGAGACCACCATTGGCGGTTTATGCAAATGAAAATCAAATAACAAGACAAAGAGCCGCTGATTATTTGATTGATGACGTATACGGAGAGTCAGTGAAACTTGACGAAATTTCCAAACATTTATTTTTCAGAATTAAGCGAGTTCTTAAACCTGGACAAACTTCTCAATTTAATGCCAATTTGTTGAAACATTTGAAAATGGAAAAAGTTAGCGTTTGTAATGACTTCAAAGGACAAGAACGTGAGTTCTCAAACAAATTATTATTGATGAATCCAATTTTAATTTTTTTACAGAAGGAGTTAGTATGAATTTTCATTTGAAAGATTATGAGGTAAACGAAAAATATAAGTTTCTAATAAAAAACAAACTGATTATTTTCAGCCTGTAATCTTACTTCAATCTATTGAATATGGGGAGAACATCAATTTCAAGTTTGTGATTCAGTATACAACATTCGCAGGCTTACAATATCACGAAATTGCTGTAGTTTTCAAAGCTAGTTACGTAAGTTGAGCTATTTTCATGGTTTCACTTCGTACACCAAGAAGTTTTGTTTAATTTTAGTATCCAAAAAATGATATATACGAGGTTGATGAGTTGCACGTGCTTTGTGATGTTAAACAAAACGCATTTAGTCGTGCTGGATCATCATTAGGCAGCTTTTTCTCGAATGCTGGTAAAACTATGACCAATGCTGGTAAAAACGCTATCCATACATTTGTTGATGTTTTACCATTTGGCTCATCGAACGGAGCAGATTTAGATGATCCAGTTGATCCTAATGATTTTATCGCACAATAAGTTCGTCCTTGTATGTTTAATAAAGTGTTCATGTTCATCATAGTTTTTAAATTGAAGTTTTTTAAAAATCTTTTTGAATTTGATACGTTAAACCTTAAACGTTAGGTAGAAAATTATTATTAAAAAAGATGCAATCAATAAATTATCAACAAAAAAAAACTGAAAAAGTTCGAAAATTCAAAGTTCACGAGCAAAAAGAACAAACTGCGTCCCAATTTCAACGCGACATTTTCCATTCGGAATTTCGAAAACAAAACCCTTGGAAAAACTTGTTTTTTGAAAACATTTGAAAACTTTCAAATTCTCATTATAAAATCTCATATCCAAATTCGAATTTTGTGGGGTTTCCACACGAATTGCAAACAAATCCTCACGAATTTTCCCATTTTTCCACATTTCCAAGTAGTTTTTGATCGTCTGCGGATCCATTTCATCACATTTTCCGACCAAAATTCGACCGGGGAATTCGAGAATTTCGGAAAATTTGAGATTTTTTGATGGTGTTATGATATGTTTGAGCTGGCAATACTGAAAAATTAAATTTGAGAATTTAATTTCGGATAGAGAGCTTAAAATCCACCTGTTTCTGCTCCATAAATCCAATCTGCATAAAATCCACGTTTTCAATACAATCCACATAAATCGAATCGAGACGTTTCAAATCTTTCAAATCGAAGTCGAAAATCGATGTGGTTTTGTTCTAAAAATTCCATTTTTTGTTGAAAAAATCTGAAATTTCACGGAAACTCACCTCAAATAAGAAATATCGACAACTTTTTTGATAGGTTTTCAAACTGTCTTTCAAATATTGCAAAACCACATCTTTTTTTGCTCCGCGAACACTTTTTGTCCACATTTTTGTCGAATTTCGAATCATTTCTCGATTTTCATCTGAAAAAAATGAGCTATGACGTGGCAAATTTAAAAAAAAAATAGAAAAGAGCACACGAAAATGAGAGAGTGGCAGAGAAACACTTTTCTAACTATATTCTTTCGAGCGCGCTGCGGCTGCGTCGCGGCTGCAAATAATTTTTGAAATTTTATTTTTTTTCACTGTGTTTTTTTCTGATAGAAAAATGCAATTTCGAGGAGACGCAGACACTCGCTGGTCTCGACGCGCTGTGTGTCTGCCACACACTATTTCTCTCCCTTTTTCGGCGAGAGATTTGTCTGCACACGTTAAAGTCTGCGTCTCCCTCGAATTGCAAAAAAAAATACAGTGTTTTTTGAGTTTTCATGCGTGACCCTTCAAATTCCTGGATTATTTAATTTCTGGAATTTATTTATTTCGAAATTTTTATTTGCTAGAAACCTGCAGGAGCAAAATTCTGTGAGTTTTTTTTGTGCACGGTAAAATTAACCTTCTCTCACCTTGAAAATCATCCTTCTTCTCCATTTCAATTTCCCCAAACTTGCGATAAGTAATAGTTGTTCTTGTCGATCTTTTCGCACTAAATTCCAACCCATAATCCGGAAATTCCGAATTTTGTCCACAAAACTCGAAACACAAACACGAGATCTCATCATATTCGAAGAATATGATTCGATTCATATGATCTTTCCATTCTTTCACTTCGTCTTCGCATTTTCTCGAACATTCCGAGAATTTGCAACGAGTTTTGGCGTCCATGTGTGAGATGACCATTTCGCGTAACTCGAACGGAATGTCGAACCAACCAGTTGTCTGAAAATTATTTATTGATTTAAATTCTAAAAATGAGTTGTGACGTGGCAAAGTTTATCAGTTTCTTTAAACGATTTTTCAAAACTATTTGCCACGTCATAACTCATTTGAGTTCAAAAGTGTTATTTTTCTCGGTAGAAACTCACACTCTTCTTTTTTTCTTCTCATCGAAATTGCCTTAGGCAGCTCCATTTTCACTGGACGTTTTCGTAAAACTGGAGCCATCTGAAATCATTTGAATTAAGATAATTCTCTATTAATTAAGGTAATTAATTGAATTTCAACAAATATATAACAAAAAAAACAAATACAAAATTTAGATAACCTTCATTTGAAACATAGCATTATTAATAACAATTTCCAATTTTTTCGCAGGTTTGAAGTTTGTTTCGATTGTAAATGCAAGTGATTTGTCACTGAAAAGAAACATTTTTCAAAATTATTTTTCGGCAAAAAAGAAAGAACTTACTCTCGTTTTTGGGAAGATAAAACTTTAAAACCTTTCGCATAAAAATCCAAACCAAAATCTAATTCTTTCCTCTCTCCTTTGGTGATATCAATATTTCGAATATTCTCATGAATATTTCCATTTGCCACCATTTCCAAATATTTTCGATTCAATTCTTCATCAAATTCCAAACATTTTCCAGTCAACTTTTCTCCATTGAATTCAAGTATTTGATCAAATGTAAAAATTGATCTAAATGTCGCAAAACTTCGCAATCTCGAAAATTGTTTTGATGTGATAAATCTATCAATAATTGTATTATCTTCTTGACAGCAGAAACTAGACAGAGTTTTGAGTCTTTTCAAGTTTTTCAAATCGAACTTGTTGAGAAATCTCGCTCTATTGCTCTATAAAATGCTCTCTTTTCACAGCAAAAACTCATTCAAACAAGAACTTACCGCAAATTTGCAAGTTTTAATTGAATTCTTATACAAATCCAAATATTTATTGATATATCTCAAAGCAACTTCATGAATTCCTCCATTCTCTGTGATTTTCCATGGTTCATCGCTAATTAATGGGAAGATTTCATCTTTTGAAGAATTATGATAATTTGTATAGGTAACTTTTGTTTTTCTTGAGCACAATCGCTCAAAACCATAGCCATAATTGAAATGTCTCTCATCTTCATTTTCATCAAAAACAAAATTGATATAAATCACTCCGACATCTAGAATATGAATCGAATCCAAATAATTTGGCGATCTTTTGATAGAGTTACCTCTTTAAAGAGGTAACTCTGGGTCCCTCAAAAAAAACATAAAAAACATGTCGTAAAATCAAGTGTGTTTGGTGTAAACACAAATTCACACAATAAGAGGCACTACAGTAACCTGTGTTTTTTTTTTGGTTTCGAAGTATAAAAATCGTTAAATTCTACGATATTGGTAAGAAATTCAAACAAAAAAGCATTAAGTTGTATTATTCCGGTTATTCAATCAAATAAATTTAGTTGGGGGTGAAAACTGGGAAAGTTAGAAGAACTCAAAAAAGGGGTGAAGCTTGGGGGAAATAATTATGAAATGTAGTAAATATACCAAATCTAGTTTTGAAGTGGTTAGAAAAAGTTGTGATAAGTAGGAGGAGAATTAAGCTAGCTGGGACAAAATGAATTAGTTTCTTGTGATAAATTAAAAGTTGAATAAGATGATTAGTAAGTTTTCTTATGATGAATGACTATCGAGGTCTTCGTATCATCAGATCTCGATCTGCTTTGTAAGCTCTCATACATCAAATGATACGGGTTTCGCTGATTTTGTTCGAGATGCGATTCACAAGCTGTCAAATCCAAATTATCAATCTGCATATTTCTAATAGTTCGATATTCGATACATTGTGGCAATTCTTCATCTTCCCACATTCTCAAATATTCAAATGCTTTTTGCTCGTCGAGTTCCTCGCATTTGATATCAGCATATTTGGCTTTGAATTTGATGATTTTGTCGAATGATAAATTGGTATCGATTGCCAATACTTTTGTGAGGCGCATGAACTAAAAAATAACATATAGACAATCAAACGCGCTCTATCGCACTAATAATGTGTACTTCTCGAGGACTTCTGACATTTTTTTTTGTTCGTGAACTTTGAAAAATCGTAACTTGGCTCAAACTCAACTAAATTACTCGATCGAAACATGAAAATGTAGCGATTTTCAAATAGACCCTAAAAACTCACCTGTTCGAGAGTAATCATTCCAATTTCCAAAACATCGACCTCTTCTTTGCTTCTGATTTGCAAATCGATTAATCTTCTCAATCCTGTCAAATTGAACGAATAAATTGATGTGATTTTGTTCTGTAATAAAAATTATATTGTCTTCCACCTAGCTTCCACTCAACTAACCTCAAAACTAAATTGTTGAATCGAATTCTGATACATCTCCAGATATTTGTTCAAATGTTTGGCAACAACAACATCAATTTTCTTCGCAGTCTCAATTTCTTCCCAAACAACCTTTTTCTGAACATCAACCCTCCCAAAATAATCCCAAACTTCCACATCATCTCCATATCTCGCAATGATTTGTGGTCTTCGAATCGTCAATTTCTGGCACATTATTTTGGTGCCCTTTTCTTTTTCCTCGTTTTCTCGTAAATTCGAGCTGATAGTCTGGATATTCTTTTGGTTTGGAGCCGAAGAAAAACTTCAGAATTGATTTTTGGGTTGTTTCAACGAGATGTAATGCATATAGAGTTTCGTTGAATGAGAATACATCATATTTGATGTCTTTTGATGTTTTGGAAAATTCCATTAGACTTTTTGGATTCAGATAGGACATGATGGTGCGTTGAACTAGGTCAGGATATTTGAACCATAGAACATTCTGGAAATATTGATTTTTTGTGTTGCTACAGTACTCTAAAGGGATATAAGGCTCGTTTTTTAGAATTTGAATTCTCTCATCTACAGTACCTTTGGGTTACTAAAATACTTTAAAGGAACATACACTCGCGCCATAGGCGCTCGAAGCGAGTACATGTCCCTTTAAAGTACTGTAGCGACCTTATGGTAATAAGGATCAAATTAAAGGATCCTACAGTACCTTAGGGTTGCTACAGTAATTCAAAGGGACATTGAGCAAAGCGAGTGTATGGCCCTTTAAACTACTGTAGCTTCGAGTAGGGATTAAAGGATCCTACAGTACTTCGAAGCTACAGTATTTTAAAGGGACATAAGGTTCTTGTTCTAGATATGATCCTTTGAACTCTCTCATCTACAGTACCTCAGGGTTGCTACAGTACTTTAAAGGAACATACACTCGCGCCATAGGCGCTCGAAGCGAGTACATGTCCCTTTAAAGTACTGTAGCGACCTTATGGTAATATGGATCAAATTAAAGGATCCTACAGTACCTTAGGGTTGCTACAGTAATTCAAAGGGACATTGAGCAAAGCGAGTGTATGGCCCTTTAAACTACTGTAGCTTCGAGTAGGGATTAAAGGATCCTACAGTACTTCGAAGCTACAGTATTTTAAAGGGACATACATTTAGATGGGGTTCTAGATATGATCCTTTGAATTCATCTACAGTAATTTAGGGTTGCTACAGTACTTTGAAGAGGTCAAGAAGCTCGAGTTTATGTGCCTTTAAAGTACTGTAATCTACAGTACTCTACAGTAATCTACAAAAACTGACCTCCAGATTCCATTTTCTGTCCTCCTTCAACTTTTCCTCCAAACGTCTTCGATTCACCTGAAATTAATTCTTATTTTATCGATTTTTTTAAAATAAATTTTTGAAAAAACTCACAATTTTGTCGATTTTTTTCGTTTGCTCAATTGTGCTCTTTCTCAAAACTGGAGCCATTTTTGGGTGCTCGGCTCTGAAAAAAACTTGGATTTTTTTGCACAGAAGAATTCGTCATTATAAATAAAATGGCGTGCAAAAAATAAAAACAAATGAATTTTAATTGGGTTCAGCCCGGAAAAAAAGGAGAGTAGGGGGATTTTTGAGCAAAGTGTAGACCGCAAGCTTCTGCGAAGCCGCAAAGTTACGATAACTTGTTCAGAGTTGCCGCTGCGCGGAAGGTTGCGGTTAACACTCGCTTCGCTCGAAAATTAGAAAAAGTTAGCCTAAGTTTCCCGCACGGAAATGAGAAAAAGAGAGAAGAAAAGTGATTTTTCTCTATCTTCTCTAACCAATCACAATGTTAGGCTCCGCCCACTTTAAAGGAACATTCATTTTTTTTTCGAGATGAGCAATGATTTTTATAATGGGACTATTCAAGTTATTTTCTCAACGCTGAGAAAAGCGAAGAAAACCTATTCAGGTAGGCTGAGAAAATACGAAAAAAGAGAAGAAAATACATTTTCTCCGCATTTCTCCTGTTTTCTCAGCGTGTTGAGAAAATACTTGAATAGCCCCATAACATGAGCAATAATTTCGCAATGGAGAAATAATGTGAAAATGATGGGATGAGTCATAATATGAGCAATGAAAATATTGATTAGAAAATAGAAAATCGATAATTTTCGCAACAGAGAAAATGAGTCAGAGTGTTTATTTCGAGAAAAAAAACGAAAAAATGTTGACTCAGGCAGTAGAAAACTCCGGAGGGGAACCAGAAAACGCAAAAACTCCGGAGATAGGCCAAAGTGGGTACAGAAAATCGAGAGAGCGCCTGTTTTTTCTAGTTTGGCACGCCTTTCTAGTTTGGTTTTGGCGATTCTCCGGAGCAAATCGCTGTCGATCGAACGCGCTCCATCGAATGATGACAATGACTAGTCATTTTTTTCATTTCATTTTTTTTCGTTTTTCTAATTTTTGCTATTCCTTCAAAAAATGCTCAGTTTTCAGCGTGTCTTTGCCTGATTTGATAATTTTCAGACAATTGAAATCGTCTAGAAGCAATGTGCGTCCTACGAAATCGTCATGCATGACATATATGGAAAAAAAGTCAACCTGGACTCCATATGGATAAAAGTCAACCTGGACTTGGAATACAATTAGAGATTTTTGCTCCTGGTGAGTGAAGTTTCTTCAACAGAAGTGGATACTAGTTTTAATTATAGATTCAATTGGAATCCCTCGTGCTAGGAGAATTTGAAAGCAGAGGCTCGCTCAATTTTCATTTCTGGAGGATCGCCTTGCAATAATTCCAAAATCCTGAATCACAAGATGTATTCTATTTATGAGGTGAGTCATGAGAAAGAAAATCGATGAACGTTTTTTCGAGTTTTTGAGCTTTGAAAGTTTCCAAATTTCAAGTTTATGGCCATTATCACATCCTATCTCAAAAAGGTCGTTCACAATTTCAAAGTGAGAAATTACGATTAATAATACTCTTGGAGAATCATCCTTATAAATCTATTATCCTTTTTTAATTTTCAGCATGAAATGCGCTTATGGCGTCTCCACACAGTGCTGCAGCTCTCCTCGTTGGCTCAAAATGATAAGAAACAGAAGTTCTCGTCAAAAAATTGCCTAAGTCAACACTCAATCTTCATTAGAATGCCAAACGAATCTTCTGATGCTTATATTCTACTCGTTAGGAGATTGAAACAATCAGAAAATAACTCATTTTTCCTGTTTGTTGAAAATAAATATTGATTTTTGAGAGTGAAACACTAGAATGTATTCGAAAAAAGCAGGCGACAAAAACAAAAAAACTCTGGAGAATCGACAAAAAAGTTCCGGAGAATCGCCAAAACGTACCGAGAAAAGATCCGGAACCGGGTTTGGAGCCTTTTTCGCGACATTCTCGTTCCATTTCGGCGAAACTCCGGAGTTTTCTACTGCCTGAGGAGAATGAAAAAAAACCGAAAATTTATATTTAGAAAATGTTTTTTCGCGCGCGCAAAAATTTTTGGGTAGATCAAATTTTTGAAAAAATTTCATACAAAAGTTTGAGAGACCGAACTAGTGCTACAGTATGAACAGGGAAAATCAATGATAAATCCAGGGCTATCGACCGCGACGCACACGCAACGCGTGTGAAACTTTTAGGGAGCTGGGCCTAGCACGACCATTTACTCCAATAGAAAATTGCCCCTCGGGTCAGACGAGAGACGACGGGAGTCTGATGACGTCATCTAAGACAGAGAAAGACATCGCTTCGAGATATTTTTGAGAAAATATGTGTCCCTTTGAAAAAATACCGTATTTTGTTTCAAGGAACACATGTTTTATTGAAAATATCTCGAAGCGAAATTAATTTTCGCAAAATACTCTCGTCGTCTCGCGTCTGACTCAACGGGCGTCTTGTATGGTCGTGCTAGATTTCAAGAATAGACAACAAATATACTAGAAGCGGGCAGTGGGATTCGAACCCTTTACCTTGAACTTGATAAATTGAGCTCTAACCGGCTGAGCCAATAATCAACGTGGCATATATTTCTGACGCCAAGAAATAGATTTCAAAAATTCAAGATTAGCGGGCAGCGGGATTCGAACCCCTAACCTTCAACTTGATACAATAAGCTCTAACCGACTGAGCTGAAAATCCACGTGGCATATATTTCCTTATTTTTTCAAAAACATTGGCTTTTTGCCAATGGCATTCTCTAATTGTCTGCGCATCTCAAAAGAAAGTGTGAAATGAGACGAGAAAAGTGTTGGCTACAAATATCTGCTTCTCTCCGCAAACCAATCACAATTTTTCGACCGCCTAGTCAAGCTCCGCCCACTTTTTTTAGGAGCTATGACGTGGCAGAGTTAAGATAAGTACGAATTCTGAAACACAAAAATTTCACGTGGCAGAATTTTCGCGTCAAAAATAGATTTCAAAAATTTTAGATTAGCGGGCAGCGGGCTTCGAACCCCTGACATTTAACTTGATAAATTGAGCTCTAACCGACTGAGCCAAAAATCCACGTAGCATGATTTATGGCGCTAAAAACATATTTTTGAAATTCTCGAAAAAAAAACGTATAAAAATAATAAGATTTGATTTTATTTTTTTTTTTGCAGCCAACCTTGAATGTGTTATTTTATGGGGAAAAGAAAAAGAAACGAGAGTGCAGATTTTGAACAAAAAAATAAGAAAAGAGAAAAAAAGAAGCGGGAAAAATTATATTTCCAATTTTGTAGCGGCGAAAAAATAAATTGAAAAAATCTCGGAAAATTTATTCATTCAAATATTGTCTTTTTTTTATTTGAAACGGACCATAAATCACTTTGAAATTTTAATTTGGATTTTTTTTTGGTTTTCAAAAAAACCTGCAGATCAAACTACTGTAGCACTAATTCAACTAAAGGAGTTTGATACGCAGGTTGTTGTACAGTACTTTACAGTGCGCTTCTTTAAATGACCGCGTCGCACGAGAGAGTGCGATGGAGCGCGTTTGAATATGAATGTTGCTGTTTTTTTTTTAATTTAGACAAAAAAATCAATATTTTTGGCGCGAAAAAGTAAAAAAAATATATGAGTACAAAAAATAGTTGATACATTTTTTTCGTTCCTCGAAAAAGGGCGATTGCAAAATTGGCTTGATTAGGAAAAAAATGAGTGAAAATGTTATCCAGACAGGCTGGGTCAGAGATAGAGAGGTTTAGAGACGCAGAGTGTTTAGAGAAGCTAGATGCAGAGAAGACATATACGCTAGACAAATATAGAGAAGCTGGAGACGCAGAGAAAAAACCCTGTTGAAATCGGTTAGAGATACAGAGTACTTAACTAGAAAGGTTAGAGACGCAGAGTGTTTAGAGGAGCTAGATGCAGAGAAGCTAGAGACGCAGAGAATCCATAGAGCAGAAACTTTTCGACATTCTAGAAACAAGGAAAATCTTTGGACCTAAAAATTAAAAAAAAAAAAGGAAAACACTAACGCTCATTTCTTCTCTAGCTGTCTTCGTCTCTCATTTTTCATTATCTCTATTTTTGGATTTGCTTGCTGCTCTTTTTCTCAAATTCCGAAAACTTTGAGAATGAAAAACATATATATTTTTTATAGAAAATAGGATAATATGAGTCATGTTTGAAAAAAAAAAACAAAAATAATGATTTTATTTTTCCATAGATTTTATATCAATCAAAATGTGTCATATCTAGGCTCCGCCCATTTTTTAAAGGAGCATCATATATTTTTTTTGTTATCCTTTGGAAAGTTAGCCTAACTTAGCCGCTGCGCGGAAGCTTGCGGTTGATTGATTTATAACACATTTTTTGATGAGTTTTTTTTGGGAGCCGCTAACAAAGAAGTTGTAAATCATTCGGAACCCGAAAATTTTGGGGTGTCAGTAAAAAATATGGCACACATGTTATTTTGGGAACTTATAAACAAACACAATATTATCGGTAATATTTCTGAGGGGACCAAACATTTAGCACAACTCGAATTTTTGAAAATATTCCTCGTGAAAACCCAAAATTTGGTACATCACTTGGGAAACTTGAAATTTTTTTGGGACAGATGTTTTCTCGATTTTTTTATATGCGAACAGATTTTTCTCGAAAAAGCTATTATTAAATTGTGTCTTTCGGCCTTTTTTTTAAAGAAAATTGCGCTCTTAAAAAACAATTCTAAATAAAATTATTTAAAATTCCACGTAAAACGTGTCCTAATTTTCAGAATCAGTTTATTCTTCCCTTATATAACAACAACAAATGGCAGCAATTATTTGTGAGTTCCTTGGGTTCTAGCCTAGTTTGGATTTCGTAGGAGGGCTCACCCTTTTGGCAAAATTGTCACTTATTATTATGGTATAGGGTAACGAGGTATTATTCTATTATTTATCAAAATTTTGGATGTTAGTGGCCATTTTTTTCCAAAAGAATACTCTTCTGCAAAATGGGAGACTGATTTTGGGCAGCCGGATAAAAGCATGAAAAATATCCCGAAGCAGCTTTTCCACCAGGCATTTTGAGACTAAAATGAGTCTCAGATGAACCCCCTCCCAATATTTGTGATAGGGGGGGGGGTTTGGTTTTTTGACTTGTGGGCACTATAGTACCCCTATAGGGGCCCTACAAAGTTTTCGACTTGTGTGCGTAATGAGTACACCTGTAGGGGCCCTATGCAAACTTTTTTCAGTACCCCTATAGGGGTGTCATAGTGGTTTTGTAGTGGTTCAGTAGGGATAAATCAGAATAAGACTTAGGTTTGACAATTTATGTTTTTTTGCCTGCAAAATGTTGGGATATGCACTCTATGTATAGAAACAATGAAAAAATGGTGCATTTTCGATGGCGCCAAACTGCTTTTGGGTGCAATTGTGGCAAAAAAAGTTTATTCCAGGACCTTACACACTTCCCCTGTGAGCTAGATAAAAAATGTTGAGAAAAAAGGTTTTATATTGTCAATCCGAAAATAAAAGAACCCCCGTTTGAATTGGCGCTCACGTACAGTAGACTAAAAATGACGTGACACATGCACATCAAACTGGTTGGCAAATAGCCAGCGTGTAAATTTCGCATTTTATTTTTAAAATAGACTCCAAAATTTTTCAATTTTTCAATTCTTAAATTTAGATTCACTGTTGAACAACACAAAATGGCCTATCCAGCAAATTTTCCGGAAACAAAACGAGCCCAATTTGACCAATTAAAAACAGAAGCATCATCAGCAAGTTTGAATGCACAAATTCAATTGGGTAAAATGTTAATTGATGAGAATGTTATCGAGCTAGATTCGGCTCTCGATATGACTGAAGCTCGATACAACCGCGACATTAGACCAACAATGAATGTAAGCGAAATAATTTAAAAAAAAACAGAGCCTGACTACATTGATAATTTTCAGATGGTTCAATTCAAAGTATGGATCGTGGGAGTGACTCCTCAATTAAACCAAGCTGTTCTGGATCTGACCGAGAAACATCCAACGACGCCGAATGACTTCACGATTCTTCTACCTGCAGCGTACTCAAAAAGCCTAGTATTGACCATTCGAGCAATATCGAATATCTTGAAAATTGAACAAGGAAGATTGCAAAAATGGGAGGTGTATCGCAAGATTATAAAAGAAAATATTGAAATTGATGCATTGCAGAAGCGTGTAAATACGGAAAAGAAGTTGCCACAAAGAAAGTGTGGAGTTTTGGTATTTGAAATATCAAAACCGATCAATTATCGCCATCAGTTCAAGGAGTTTCTAACGTAAGTGAAACAATCAGATATTTTGTTCCCTAAATAACTCAGAATTTTTCAGTTTGTGATTGGCGAGGTTTCAAGCTTGCGACCATCTTGAGGACATTCAAAAGATACCGTGAAGGTGGGGATGCTCTGGTTTATGCGGATAAGGATCAATGAGTGTGTTGAATCAATCTTTCTTTCTACCATAAAGTGTGAATAAAAGAAATTTCTAATTTTTCATTGTTTGAACGGGTGTGCGCTTGCGCCTGAAAAGGTTCTCCGAATTTTGTGAATCAACCGAAAAAATTCGAAGGTTCTCCGAATTTTGTGAATCAACCGAAAAAATTCGAAGGTTTTTTGGTTGATTCACAAAATTCGGAGACCCTTCGAATTTTTTTAGTTGATTCACAAAATTCGGAGACCCTTCGAATTTTTTGGTTGATTCACAAAATTCGGAGACCCTTCGAATTTTTTTGGTTGATTCACAAAATTCGGAGACCCTTCGAATTTTTTTAGTTGATTCACAAAATTCGGAGACCCTTCGAATTTTTTTGGTTGATTCACAAAATTCGGAGACCCTTCGAATTTTTTGGTTGATTCACAAAATTCGGAGACCCTTCGAATTTTTTGGTTGATTCACAAAATTCGGAGACCCTTCGAATTTTTTTAGTTGATTCACAAAATTCGGAGACCCTTCGAATTTTTTTGGTTGATTCACAAAATTCGGAGACCCTTCGAATTTTTTTGGTTGATTCACAAAATTCGGAGACCCTTCGAATTTTTTGGTTGATTCACAAAATTCGGAGACCCTTCGAATTTTTTGGTTGATTCACAAAATTCGGAGACCCTTCGAATTTTTTGGTTGATTCACAAAATTCGGAGACCCTTCGAATTTTTTGGTTGATTCACAAAATTCGGAGACCCTTCGAATTTTTTTGGTTGATTCACAAAATTCGGAGACCCTTCGAATTTTTTTGGTTGATTCACAAAATTCGGAGACCCTTCGAATTTTTTGGTTGATTCACAAAATTCGGAGACCCTTCGAATTTTTTGGTTGATTCACAAAATTCGGAGACCCTTCGAATTTTTTGGTTGATTCACAAAATTCGGAGACCCTTCGAATTTTTTGGTTGATTCACAAAATTCGGAGACCCTTCGAATTTTTTGGTTGATTCACAAAATTCGGAGACCCTTCGAATTTTTTTGGTTGATTCACAAAATTCGGAGACCCTTCGAATTTTTTTGGTTGATTCACAAAATTCGGAGACCCTTCGAATTTTTTGGTTGATTCACAAAATTCGGAGACCCTTCGAATTTTTTGGTTGATTCACAAAATTCGGAGACCCTACGAATTTTTTTGGTTCAATCACAAAATTCGGAGACCCTTCGAATTTTTTTGGTTGATTCACAAAATTCGGAGACCCTTCGAATTTTTTTGGTTGATTCACAAAATTCGGAGACCCTTCGAATTTTTTGGTTCAATCACAAAATTCGGAGACCCTTCGAATTTTTTTGGTTGATTCACAAAATTCGGAGACCCTTCGAATTTTTTGGTTGATTCACAAAAATTCGGAGACCCTTCGAATTTTTTGGTTGATTCACAAAATTCGGAGACCCTTCGAATTTTTTTGGTTGATTCACAAAATTCGGAGACCCTTCGAATTTTTTGGTTGATTCACAAAATTCGGAGACCCTTCGAATTTTTTTGGTTGATTCACAAAATTCGGAGACCCTTCGAATTTTTTTGGTTCAATCACAAAATTCGGAGACCCTTCGAATTTTTTGGTTGATTCACAAAATTCGGAGACCCTTCGAATTTTTTTGGTTCAATCACAAAATTCGGAGACCCTTCGAATTTTTTTGGTTGATTCACAAAATTCGGAGACCCTACGAATTTTTTGGTTGATTCACAAAATTCGGAGACCCTTCGAATTTTTTGGTTGATTCACAAAATTCGGAGACCCTACGAATTTTTTGGTTCAATCACAAAATTCGGAGACCTCTTCGAATTTTTTTGGTTGATTCACAAAATTCGGAGACCCTACGAATTTTTTGGTTGATTCACAAAATTCGGAGACCCTTCGAATTTTTTGGTTGATTCACAAAATTCGGAGACCCTACGAATTTTTTTGGTTGATTCACAAAATTCGGAGACCCTACGAATTTTTTGGTTGATTCACAAAATTCGGAGACCCTTCGAATTTTTTGGTTGATTCACAAAATTCGGAGACCCTTCGAATTTTTTGGTTCAATCACAAAATTCGGAGACCCTTCGAATTTTTTGGTTGATTCACAAAATTCGGAGACCCTTCGAATTTTTTGGTTGATTCACAAAATTCGGAGACCCTTCGAATTTTTTGGTTGATTCACAAAATTCGGAGACCCTTCGAATTTTTTGGTTGATTCACAAAATTCGGAGACCCTACGAATTTTTTGGTTCAATCACAAAATTCGGAGACCCTTCGAATTTTTTGGTTGATTCACAAAATTCGGAGACCCTACGAATTTTTTGGTTGATTCACAAAATTCGGAGACCCTTCGAATTTTTTGGTTGATTCACAAAATTCGGAGACCCTTCGAATTTTTTTGGTTGATTCACAAAATTCGGAGACCCTTCGAATTTTTTGGTTGATTCACAAAATTCGGAGACCCTTCGAATTTTTTGGTTCAATCACAAAATTCGGAGACCCTTCGAATTTTTTGGTTGATTCACAAAATTCGGAGACCCTTCGAATTTTTTGGTTGATTCACAAAATTCGGAGACCCTTCGAATTTTTTGGTTCAATCACAAAATTCGGAGACCCTTCGAATTTTTTTGGTTGATTCACAAAATTCGGAGACCCTTCGAATTTTTTGGTTGATTCACAAAATTCGGAGACCCTTCGAATTTTTTGGTTGATTCACAAAATTCGGAGACCCTTCGAATTTTTTGGTTGATTCACAAAATTCGGAGACCCTACGAATTTTTTGGTTCAATCACAAAATTCGGAGACCCTTCGAATTTTTTGGTTGATTCACAAAATTCGGAGACCCTACGAATTTTTTGGTTGATTCACAAAATTCGGAGACCCTTCGAATTTTTTGGTTGATTCACAAAATTCGGAGACCCTTCGAATTTTTTTGGTTGATTCACAAAATTCGGAGACCCTTCGAATTTTTTGGTTGATTCACAAAATTCGGAGACCCTTCGAATTTTTTGGTTCAATCACAAAATTCGGAGACCCTTCGAATTTTTTTGGTTGATTCACAAAATTCGGAGACCCTTCGAATTTTTTTGGTTGATTCACAAAATTCGGAGACCCTTCGAATTTTTTTGGTTGATTCACAAAATTCGGAGACCCTTCGAATTTTTTGGTTGATTCACAAAATTCGGAGACCCTTCGAATTTTTTTGGTTGATTCACAAAATTCGGAGACCCTACGAATTTTTTGGTTCAATCACAAAATTCGGAGACCCTTCGAATTTTTTTGGTTGATTCACAAAATTCGGAGACCCTTCGAATTTTTTGGTTGATTCACAAAATTCGGAGACCCTTCGAATTTTTTTGGTTGATTCACAAAATTCGGAGACCCTACGAATTTTTTGGTTCAATCACAAAATTCGGAGACCCTTCGAATTTTTTGGTTGATTCACAAAATTCGGAGACCCTTCGAATTTTTTGGTTGATTCACAAAATTCGGAGACCCTACGAATTTTTTGGTTCAATCACAAAATTCGGAGACCCTTCGAATTTTTTGGTTGATTCACAAAATTCGGAGACCCTTCGAATTTTTTGGTTGATTCACAAAATTCGGAGACCCTTCGAATTTTTTGGTTGATTCACAAAATTCGGAGACCCTACGAATTTTTTGGTTGATTCACAAAATTCGGAGACCCTTCGAATTTTTTGGTTGATTCACAAAATTCGGAGACCCTACGAATTTTTTGGTTCAATCACAAAATTCGGAGACCCTTCGAATTTTTTTGGTTGATTCACAAAATTCGGAGACCCTTCGAATTTTTTGGTTGATTCACAAAATTCGGAGACCCTTCGAATTTTTTGGTTGATTCACAAAATTCGGAGACCCTTCGAATTTTTTTGGTTGATTCACAAAATTCGGAGACCCTACGAATTTTTTGGTTCAATCACAAAATTCGGAGACCCTTCGAATTTTTTTGGTTGATTCACAAAATTCGGAGACCCTTCGAATTTTTTGGTTGATTCACAAAATTCGGAGACCCTTCGAATTTTTTGGTTGATTCACAAAATTCGGAGACCCTACGAATTTTTTGGTTCAATCACAAAATTCGGAGACCCTTCGAATTTTTTTGGTTGATTCACAAAATTCGGAGACCCTTCGAATTTTTTGGTTGATTCACAAAATTCGGAGACCCTTCGAATTTTTTTGGTTGATTCACAAAATTCGGAGACCCTACGAATTTTTTGGTTGATTCACAAAATTCGGAGACCCTTCGAATTTTTTGGTTGATTCACAAAATTCGGAGACCCTACGAATTTTTTTGGTTGATTCACAAAATTCGGAGACCCTACGAATTTTTTTGGTTGATTCACAAAATTCGGAGACCCTTCGAATTTTTTGGTTGATTCACAAAATTCGGAGACCCTACGAATTTTTTGGTTCAATCACAAAATTCGGAGACCCTTCGAATTTTTTGGTTGATTCACAAAATTCGGAGACCCTTCGAATTTTTTGGTTGATTCACAAAATTCGGAGACCCTTCGAATTTTTTGGTTGATTCACAAAATTCGGAGACCCTTCGAATTTTTTTGGTTGATTCACAAAATTCGGAGACCCTTCGAATTTTTTGGTTGATTCACAAAATTCGGAGACCCTTCGAATTTTTTGGTTGATTCACAAAATTCGGAGACCCTTCGAATTTTTTGGTTGATTCACAAAATTCGGAGACCCTTCGAATTTTTTTGGTTGATTCACAAAATTCGGAGACCCTTCGAATTTTTTGGTTGATTCACAAAATTCGGAGACCCTTCGAATTTTTTTGGTTGATTCACAAAATTCGGAGACCCTTCGAATTTTTTGGTTGATTCACAAAATTCGGAGACCCTACGAATTTTTTGGTTCAA